GTGCGGGCTAGAAGAGGAAAAGAGAGGCCACTGAGCTTCAGGTGAGCATACAGATATCCGACGCTGATCGACGGTATGCAGCGCATCGTGAATGCTACTGACCCTTATGCACGTTCTGGTAAAGTGGAGACGCTGATATTTGGAAATGACGTTCATGGCCTGCACAAGTCACCGAGTGTTGCACTGCATCTTTGCGTTTAACACCAAATGACTTGACTTTCTTACGGCCTTGCAAAACCTACGTAGCCAACACAAATCTGATGTAATTAAGCTGGTCACCGAAATGCTTTGACAATGCTGGCATCACCGGGGAAAGGGGCTGGCATGGAATTGTGCATGATCACTCAGGAGCAGATGAAGCGAAAGTTCTGTCCATTCACGGAGCCGCAACTGATAAAGACAGCCGCATTTCGAAATGCACATTGCCAAAGATGCGTCTGCTTTTGGCTGCGAAGACACCTGGATTCTACATGCACAGCGTATGCTCTAGGCAGCACAAACCGACAAACCGCACCGGATGACGGCAAACACTAAAGCGACAAGCCGCGCTTAAGTTTTTTGACAGCTTACTCATTGCGTGCTTTACAGGATTTTGGTGCATTTTTGTAGTCTTCGACAATGGCTGTGGCAAACATGTGATGCAACAATCATATGAAAACCCTACAGCCAGGCACATGAGAATCAGGCAAACATGCGATGCCCGTGCCAGACAGTTACACTGGCCTGGCATATACAGACCTGTGTCTTGGCATTAGTAGAATGCTGTGCACGTTTCAGAGCATCCAAATAAGCTCATATGACGCTAGCCGCCTTACTGCCATATCTTCATATTTCCTTCAGGCGACACGCGCAAGCGCCACTAAAGTTCATCCCGGCGTTGCCCTGTACTGATAGAGTGCACGATACAGTCTACGCGTTGGTGAATACAATCAGTAGTGCGTCGGCTGAAAAACCCTGGAAGTCAAGCGAGGCTCGAGGACTAGAATATTCCTGTGCCATCCTACGTTTTAGTAAGAGCGCGTTAGTCGTCTTCATGAAATATGTATAGTTCTGCACCATGCAACGGACTTTTCCCTAGCGTGACCTCCGAGGCACGCACGCCAGGACTGTTCCGGTACAGCGCTGATTCCTTTTTTTTCAGCAGGTTTGAGTGTACCAAACCACCTACCCAAAACGCAAGCCTTTCTTCAAACTGGTTGATTGCGCAGTACCTCATGTGTTGCAGTGCTTTGCCACACAAAAGCATTACGTAGCCAAGAACTACAAGAGGAGTGCAGCTACTGGCGACTGGGTTTCAACGTCCACTCATTTCGTGCAGCCATACAAAGCAGCTAATTTCTAGGCTTGTTTCCTTTGGCCGTTTTAAATTCTCCTACGTACTTTGAAACTTACCTACATAGTTTAGCTTTGCTAAGCTGCGCCATCCTCTGTTTCCCGCTCCTCTCTTGCAATACAACTGCCCGTGCTTGGAGAATGTGGTTTAGTCAAGGGGTTGGGATCCAAACTCCAGCGGAGTGCATGTTAAACCGAAATATGAGGCTGAAACATGCTAGAAATGGGGACCGGGAGGCGAGCTTCTAGTTAAAAGCTGCAAGAACAAAATAAGATCGTGTGCGAGCCGTTGGGGTCGCTGGCAAAACCCGTGAACAACCCCTGAGCAAATGTTATCATGGCTGTATGGTCATGAACTAGAGGCCTTGCAGTGGCAGCTTGCTTTCGGAGGACCAAAAGGCCCATTATTACCACCTTGCAAGAAGGCAAAACAAACTCGAGTCAGTATTTTGTTTAATTCTTGCACTGCAGCGCCTTTGGTAAGAAGATGTGGATTAACGTGCATCTGCTTTGGAATGAGATGTCCGGTTTTGCGTGGAGCATTCTGTCGGCACGTGGATGGGTGATGCATCTCGCTCAATTCAAGAATGAATGAATACCTAATTTTTGTAAAGCTGTGATGCTGTGATGATTATACGTGACAGATTAGGATCAGTGAGTGGATCGCTCTTCCCTTCGAATGAATTCGGGGACACGTTCCAGTTAAATATGTATGAGTCGCAAGGTTCGCTTACGGAAGAAAGCGGCTTTTGCTATGTGGTCGTACACCGCCTATTTGGGGCACTTTACAATATACTTTGGCCTTTATCTAGTTTTCATGTAAATTTGCTTTTTCGCCTAGCAGCATGCCATCCCACTTTAATTGTGCTGTTGGCTTCTACGTACTCTCCTGTATCGTGGTCTATTGTACTTTTACTGCATTTATATTTTAAGAGCGTTTTTCAAGCATCGTCTCCAACCGCATTTGCCGCCGCCCCTAGAATGCAAGTTCAACTTACATCTAACGCAGAAGTGGCCTTTCACTGGCAAAACCTATCAGGGCCCTGAGCCCCTAATAAAGGGTAATAGAGATGATTATTCGTGTGTAACTGGAGCTATTGAATGCTGTGCGGCAACTCCATTGTGCTTAATGTTATTGTAGGGTCTGTCAGAGCTTCCGGCTTTCCCGCAGCAACTAGGACTTACGATGGACTTGAGGAAAACGATGGCCAAGGACGAGGAATGATAGAACAGCGTTTTGATCTACCTGCTTGGGGCTCCGTGGGCGCTGATGTCTACTGGGCAAGTAGTAAAGCTATGACTCCGAAAGGCTAACCTCTCCGGCACGCAGCAGCGCACTAGGAGACATGCCCGGATAGTCATACTTGTTGTGTTTGCGCGGAATTGGCCGCTTCTTCGAGACAACGGGCTTCGTCAGCAGGGATTATTTTTGTTTGTGTAGCAGCCGGAGCAACAATCGTAAAACCAAGGAAAATGATCATTTCCCAAAAGGCTTTTTGTGGAGCACCTGAACCTATTTTGGATAAAAGGAAAGCATCAATCTTTTGTGCTAGAATGTGCATGAAATTGTGGGAAGGTCGTCGAGCTCGTGAGCTTTGCGCGAGCGCGCAGCCTGCCTTGGAAACGCTTGCTATCCCATTGTGTCCAGCGGGTCCAGGACAGCACCGCAACTTATTAGTGAGTGGCAATCCAGGAACAGACTGTCGTTGGGGCTCCGGTCTGTGGAGGGGGGTAGTAGAATAGAAGCGGTGCTACCTGGTCTAGAGCTACGGTGGCTATCGGGCGTCCAGGCGGGCCTTTGAGGGCCTTTTTATGATAAGGGGGGTCCTCACCGTTACTTAGTTTGGCAGTTAGGCAGAGGCCTAATTCAGAACCTCGTTTGGGTGCTACTGGGTTTGTTGGATGAATGGTTATTCGGGCTTTTCACGGGCCTAGGCGGAGACTCTGAGGGCCATTGTGATCCTTCCTATCGTAACCTTCTAGTAACTTGGTTTTTCAATATACTTGCTCACAAATATGGTTTAGAGTTTTGCTACTACCTTCACCCACCGAGCCGGAACCCCAACAAAAGTTCACTTGAAAAGTGTTCCTCACTGATGTTTTCTGGTGCTGTCCTCAGCCTCGTGTGGAGCTCCCGATTCCACTAACTACTCTGCCAAGCTCTCCTGACTTCCCTACGCGTTGTAGCCTCCACAAATCAATATTTCCTCCCTTTGATGTGCAACCCGAATACTGAACAAACTTGACCTTGAAAGTAAGGTTTGTTTCAACGCCTTTACACTCACTAGCCCGACTGCTGCATTTTGCAAGCCAGTCCTCAGAACGAATAGCAGGATTGTTGCTTATTGATAGAGTTGATCTAAAGGAGCAGCAAGCTGCGATCAAACGCTAAACACAGTCTCTGATGATCAAGCACTCATCAAGTGTTGTGCACTCTCATGTGCAAGGGAAGTTGGGACTTCTGGATATTGAGGACCTCCATGCGCCCAACACTCGTTAGCGACATCAGAGCCACAAACAGCTATATAAAAATTTTGCATTCTCAGTGGCTTATTCTTCTATCCTGGCCATCGCTACGCTGAAGCTACAGGGAACTCCCAGGCACTAAAGGAGAGCCAAGAACGTATGGGTTCTCCCCAATTTCTGCTGCAGAAGCCTTGATAGTCTAGGATTTAGACAGGTAAGCATATTCATTACTCTTCATTAGAGACTGAAGGTCTTGATGGACTGCGTGTTTGCAAGGCCGCTTGTTCTTTAGATGATAACTGAAGTCACATCCTGCTGACTGCGACGAATGCACCCGCCCGCTCCACTATTGCACTGTTAGCTCGCTAGAACTACACCTGTTTGTAGTACTCTGTGACATCTCTGTTATCCCCGAGACGCCCCGATTTAGGATCTAAAAAGCCTTTTCAGCTGCAAACTAGATACTAGCTGGCCCCCATCCGCTTAAAGAGAATGCTCCTTACAACTAGCTGTACAAGCGCTTAAAAACTTATAGTTAAAGAGACTCTCTGTGGTGTCCGAGCGCCTCGTACACCGTTGCTGTTTGCATTTGTGTGGATGCTGCGGAGACCCGTTTCCCACAGAGCTCTAAGGATCCAAGCTCTAAAGGAGTGCTTCCGACAATGCATATCTTAAGCCTTAAGCCGCCTCTGCTAAGTAACGCGCAGATTCCATTTCAAGACAAGCCTGCAAAGCTTATTGTCTAATGTTTAGCAGTACTACCTACACCACAGTTGAGTCGAACAAAGCAAACATAACATTCCCTTGCGTAGCTAAATTAAACGTTGGCGTTCTCGTGTCAGTTGGCGTTTTGCTAAAATTTACCATATCAAAGCCCCGCATAGGCCGCTATGTAGTATCAAAAAAAGCAAAAGGGGACAAGCACATAATTAATGCATAGTTTGCAAGTAAAGCTGCAATTCCAGTGAGTAATCTGGCTCAGTGAGCACCGTGATAGACAACTGGCATGCAGAATACCTAGTTCTATAGATTCTACCTCTTGAAACGTGCCTTTTGGTCTAAAGGAAGCCACTGGAGGCACGGTTGCAGCTTTAGTTCCACTGTTTCAATCCGTGGGAGCCACAATAGTGCCTATACATAAGATTCAGGAGAAAATTCCAGAAAAATGCCACTTTGAACTCTATAACACGATAAAGAATATTTCATTGCCCTAGATCTACTTCAGCTGTTTGTAGTCTGCGCTGCAGTGCAAGTTGACTCTGTTGTAGAGCAAAATTTTCGTTTCGTAGCGCCCGAATCAGCTCGTGAATCCGGTGGTTTTCTGTTCGCTGCTGTAGAAAAAATTGCTTCAACTCTGCTTTTGAATTTTGCAAAGCAGCCAGCATTTCGTCCTTTGCTTCTTGTACAACTTCTTGTGTGCGACCCACCTACACAAAGACATATCCAGCTAGAACTTCCTAACTTCCAAGGTGGCATGACAATCCATACCATTATTAATTTTCAAATGAAGGCATTCTCAAAGCGCTTGGTGGTCTCATGAGATATTATTAATGCTCTATACCTGGACAGTCTTCTGAGACCTAAACTGTTGCACCTGCATCTGAAGTGACTTTAGTTCTGAATCGATAATACACTCGAGCTCTCGGATGCGATGCTTGAGGCCTGATCCGCTCGTCGGCGTCAGTAAAGAACCGTGAGGAGAGCGAGAGCCTTCGGTTTTTACTGAGTATTGCATGGTGATGGTATCCTAATCACAAACGTTGACCTACGTAAGTGGTTAGCTGTGCCGATAAGTTAGCCAGATGCTCGAACAAGGCTCAAGTCCACGGACCTCGTCCTTCGGAGTCGTCTCTATGCATACCGATGGCAAGGAACACACACGCATCAAGGTTTCCTTGGCCCATTCAGTTTTAATTGATCACTTCACTTCTCATTTTGGCTGAGGACTGACCGACGTCAGCTTGTAGCAGCTCGATACGTTTAGAAAAGCTGTATGGAGTCTAAGCACTACTCTCAGGCTTTTATCTAATTTATTCTGTTCACTGAGGCTATATTCCATGGCGGCAGTAGCATATGATGTGCGGCGCTCTTTACCTATGTGAATGCAAGCTGCTCGAATTTAGCGGCAGACTACTTACTGGTATTGCTGAGACTTAGAGTTACGCCGTCAAAGGGTGATGTTTACCAAGCGCTCGCACGAGCATTCCTTAGTGCGCTCATTATTTCACGGGGAAAGTTTTATTTCGTACAGTGCCTTTTCATGTCCGCTGGCCGGTGATGCCGCGCCTGCAGAATGGCCATTACAGAGAAGATATCTGGCTCATCACCAAGAGTATAGCTGACAGAAGATTGAAACTTTGTCGGGGTAAAATGAGGGTGGGTGATTGACCTTTGATTCAATGAGGTGCAGAAAGAGCTGAAGTTGGTGACAGGCTTATCGAACCATACGTTATGCGTCGCGGCGAACAGTAGATTGATAGATATTGGAGCAAACACAGATCCCTGATCTTCAATTGTCAGATAAGTACAGTATTATCGCCTAGGTTATGCTTTTATTAAGGAGCTATGATTAGCTCCTGTTTTTCGGAGGGGTGTTGTAATCCCGCTGCAGCCCCGAAGCTGCTTGCACCTTTGCTTCACGAGCTATGCTTTAGGAACTCATAATTTGATTTAGGCTGTTCAGCCATTCACTTTAGACATCCAATGATTTAATTTATCATTTTTGCCGTACTCGTTGTGTCTGCTAGGCAGCCGCGCACAACTAGCGAGAGTGCACACCAGTGGCGTTTACTCTATTTCGGGTTCTAACGGGATAGATCAGATACCCCCTAAAATGTCCTTTAAAGCAAATGGTATGCTGGCAGTGCTGATTCTAAGAGAGGCTAGAGGAATTCGAGATTCAAAGCCTTGCGCGTGGCCTTGATCTGCACACCCCTTTCGTCATTAAGCATCCTGGCATGGGCCTCGTTTGAGTGGCAGTTCAAAAGATTATTTAAAATAAATTAAGCAGATTTGTTTGCAAATCAAGAGGACAATCGGCATGTGCAGCTCAATTCCAGGCTGTCTCTTCGTGACTCTGCGGTGGAACCGACTCAAGCTCTGCATGATTCCGTGCAGGAAACTGGTAATACGGTTAACCATCGCTCCGGTGTAGCATCTGTATCCTACACATAGCTTTTCAACAAAGTTCGGACAGAAAAGGCTATTCAGGAACTTATTTTTTCCTGAAAAATACGGGAAAATGATCTAGGCTCACATGGCGCTGCGATTATTCGGCCTAAAGGAACCGCTATGCAGCATCGTAGCATAACATCACAGTCTCCTAAGCTCATCCAGGCGCAAATCTGGTGTTAAGGCTTACAGCTTTCATTGAAACAAGGGAGGCACGGAGATCTTGCACCAAAACCGATCTAGGGTCACCGCACACAACTAAATTAGAATAAGATGGCTACGCCAATCAAGCTTCCTGATGGAAGCCTTACGGAGAGAATATATTGGCTATTAAGGGAGCAACAGTACCATAAGGTAGTAGAAGCTTTGGAGGATCTGATGCAGCGCCAGTCATACCTTGAGAATCCGCGAACATTTCATGCGTTACTATCACTGCTCGGTTATTGCTTGTACACGATGGGGGCTTTTGAAGGTGCGAGGCAGGTGTACAGCCAGTTACATCAAGCATTCCCAACTGTTGTTGAATATGAAGTAAGAATACGCTGAAAATGAGAAGCCATCGAGCTGTCTTTGCATTATGGTCCACTCATATAGCTTTGTAGTTCTTGAAGACGCTGCTCATGTTCTAGCATTCGAGCCTAAGCACCTTTCCAAGCTGTATATGCGGGAACCTTTGCAGCTCTATATGGCGTATTGCGTCCTCTACTCCACAGCATGCGAGCCTACAGCAGCCCTCACAACTACGAGGCAGGACCAAGACATATCGGCTGCTGATCCCCTCATATCCCTCTGTATACGATCAGGTGCAGTCCCGCAATATGATTCTCGCCTACTGGCAACAGGAGGAAGCAAATATACATTAGTCTGCAAATGTACACGCCAAAGGGACCTAGTTGCCCGTTCCACGCTGTTTCGAAAAGGAAATAGCGCATAAAAGCCATGTGCTGCTCGCGCGTGCACCGTATGCAGAAGCCAGGGATAGCCCGGAGCGTGCTACAAGTGATGAAGCCCTATTGGATTCTGCTGCTTTGTTCCGTGTGGGAAAGTTTGACGGCGGCCTCAGAATAGCGGCTGCAGCAGCTCACGCTAAAATGTGGACGCCTGCACTCGCGTACAACGAGGCTCTATGCGCCTACAAGGTACTTCGAAATGAAAGCCTGCACGTTAGGAGCAATGTTGAAAGTTTTTTCATTTTGCTGTGCAACGCACGGTTTTTTGTGTGGCTACTTTACGATATCACAGAGGGGGTAACAGGTAGCACTACTACCCTGTATTAAGTCTAAAAAATTGCACCAGTGTACATGTACAATGTAAATGGAAAACAGGCTGGTAAAACTGAGGTGGCTGCGAGGATTGCTGAGAGGATACTCTCACTAGGAGCCTTGAACTACAATGGCACAGATACTGAAGCGGCGCGGATGGACATGCTCACTTTCAACAGCAATCTTGGGGAAAAGAGGATCTCCTTGTCCTCTCTGGAAGAGGCAGTAGTGTGTAGAGTGAATACTCCAAAAACAGAGATGAATGCATCACTACATACCGAAAGTTTACATCCACAAGGAAATACTGGCTGAAAAGCCCTTTCAAGTTCTTAAAATCTGCAGTTTTGATGGATTTGCAGGTGAATGCAGCAAATCTCCGTTGCGCGTTGGATATCAGTGATAACCGACTGCACGCTGCAAAGGGACATCTAGATATGCTGTGTTCAAGGAAAGATGAGGGTAAACCTTATCACATTTATATTTCTAGCTGATGTGCCTCAACTAGAGTTTGATCACAACGAACAGAATAGTGATCATGGGTACTGATGCCAGTTTCCCCAGTAAGGTTGTTTATTTTAATGTGTACGGCTTCGATTTGGGGCAGGGCTGGACTGCGTTACTCTACATAATCAAGCGTTAACCACGTCTAGCTCCGATCCAGCAGACTCTATAAGCAGGCTTGAGTGCCTGCTTGCTGAGAGTCGCTGTCCTCCCACAACTGCATCCAATCTCCTTATCCTTTACTGCAAGTTAGTCAGAGACCTACCTAATTGGTCCAATTCAGCATAGTCGCGCAGCATGAAGGTGCTCGGGATGGAGATCTGTAAAATCTCAAGAGCTTGTTGCTATTCCATCGTTTCCCTTTGAAGGTGAAAGCGTCATACTGCGCATTCGTTCAGGCACAACCACCCTGCAGCTGCTGCTGCTCTCTTGGTAGGTTCACCGTAACATGACCACAGGCAACACAACTAATGATAGCGTTGACAGCTCGATAGATTTAGTAGGGTCCTGTCGTGTAGCATGGCTCTTCAGTGCGGGAATGCGTAACTACTGAAGCATACTTAGGTGCCAAGCAATGCACTGAAATGTACACCTGCCCACCATCCGCACAGTGAAGCTGCACCTACTTTCACTGTGGGAGCCGGAAAACCCTTACCACTGCGCATGGCAATATTTACAGGTAAGGCGATGCGTTTAGTAACAGGGGCTCTTGTTCATTGTGGGCGGTCTCTAGGCTGACACTGGTGACTCTGTGTTGGGTGGCCTAAGCGACAACGAAGTGGAGTTTTTGCGCAGCTTCATATTGGTAAGATCAGAATCAGTGGACGCATCAATCGAACCCGTCAATCAATTGTACGATAGCTTGACTGTTACCCACGTACAAATATAGCCAGACGTCCTAGAATAGATGCTAATCCGCCTCGCAGGTGTGCCAGATGCGATGCAGCTTAAATCAGCTCCTGTTGAGGGTCAGCAACGACTAGAAGGTTTAGTGAGACAGCTAGGAGAGCAAATAAATCATACACAAGAGCGGCTTGTGCGCATATGCTTATTTGCATACGTGGCCGAACAACCCTCAACTGCCTTGGTTTAGGTTACTCTAGCGCTGGCTAAGGTCTCGATAGCTGACCGGCTCCTAACTTGCACAGTTAACATGAAAACAAACGACAGTTTTACAGGCTAGGTGCTATATGCCATTTCAAACATGCGTGTGCCAGGCCTCCCCCCTTTTATCGACAACCGAAGCATTGCGAAATGGCAGGGCGTCATCGGTACAGGAATGCATGAGCAGCCTGATTTATGTAAGGGCTCTGAATAAAATTTGCAATAAACACAGCGTCATGCAACTTTTCGAACGTCCCGGGCGGCACCTGCCAGTGTTGTCTGTTGCAGGCTCTGATGGCGCTGGCTGGCGCGTACTGTGAGGAAGGAAAGCTCTCGCGGGCGGAGAGGTGCGATCCTCACTAAAAGGCACAAAACGCATACCACACTTTTACTGTGCCTCTTGAATTCTACAGTACTTCTAGAAGAAGGGCTCACTTCGTTATAGTAACTTCATCATAGCCCAGTGAACACCCATGCATGAGCACAAATGCCAAAGGTGGTGAAGATCATCCAGAAGGTTGTGGCATTTCTTTGCAGCCTGCTGAGATGTTATGAAGAACTTTGTAAGGATGATATAAACTGGAAAATAAACATGGGACACCTCCGCTTTATGCAGGTAAGGTGCAAGAGCAAGTGAGGACCTCTCCACTAAAGTGTTTTTTCGCAATACCTACTAATTACGTAGACTCAGGGGGCCAAAACCAGCAGCTATCGAAGCAAAAACTTGCTGCTGATGTACCGTCTGCGTACGCAGAAGGATTATATTGGCTGCCTACAGTTTTACCGCCACTGTAAATGGGAGGAATTGGACGATAAACGCAGTGTTCAAGGCTGGGAAGCTGGTGTCCTGGCAAACATGCTGGCTGCAAACATCATCCTTGGGCATCTTGATCAAGCTCAGGAGCTTCTAAAGTGCGCTACAGTTCATAAGATATTAAGATTATAAAACCGGGCATCACAGATGCATTAAATATAATTCAGTGTTTGCGGAAATATGCATGATGTACGTTAGTTTGGTTTTGGTGAATGAGCAACTTCTGGTCGATTATTTTCTCACCTGCATATTAGTTTTCTAAATGGCACTGGCCGTCCCAATGGATTAGAGGCCTCCACCCCGTTTTTGTGGAGGAACTCTATTCCCTATTCTTCCGCCGTAAAGCTGGTGATTGGCACCGTCTACTGCTCCGAAAAGGCGTATGACTATGGTATCAAGACTATGATAGAAGGTTTGCTGCCTATGGAAAAGATTCTGAATGCAGACAGCTGGTGTGTTGCAGTGATAGTAAATGCAGATCGCCATCACAGATCCCAAATGTCACTTTAAGAGCTGCTTAACCACATATTGAGGTCTCGGGTTACAATGATTTATGAGCTCTGGTGAGCATTTGTGCGGCGTGTGTAAAGTACAGGGCCCAGTGTAAGGCCTGTATTGCGGCGTTGCTGACCGATGTCACGTTGGGGGCCTTCATTATGGATGATCAGCTTACGCGTAACATTATAATCTTCTTACAGCAAATTGAAGCCACAGCATGTAGCTGTTCGTGCAGTCAGGTAATGCATACCGATGTCAGTATTGCTATACAGCGGGAATTGATGGCTTCTATGAAACCAACCATCCTGCGTTCAAGTCGTGTATTCCTGCGCCTTCTGGGGCAGGCAAACTGCCAAGGTTTCAGACTCGCCCCCCTTGTGAACTTTTGTGAATGCTCGGAATGTTTTGTGCAGGGCATGAATGTTCTCGTGGACGAGGCAAGGGCGTTTCTTCGAGTGCTTTTGGGGCTTGCCGAGGAAGGGACCCCATCGACGAAGTAATCATCTGGTTTGCCTTGTCTAGGAGCAATAGCTCCAAAGCAGGCGCCGCCCTGTTGCCTCAAAAAAATTCGATGTAGCTTCAAGCAAAGAATGTGAAATACAGAAGTGAGTCTGGTCTGCTTGGTCTGTAGGCTATCTAGGGCGGGTTATGTTCCCCAAAACAGAACAGTTTCTGCAACACCAGAACGTTAAACCTGCTTTGATAGGAAGTGACAATCCGGAGGCACGACCATCTGATCTATGAACACAAGTGTACGTGGTACAATGGGTCGATTCTCTCTACTGACGCTAAAAACCAATGCAGTGTTCTGATAGTGTGGTTGCCCGCCGCACAGCAAAAGAGAAACAGACTGTAACAATCACCCACAGAGTGCTTGCAGTGTCTAAGTCTGTTAAGCTAGAAAACACGGATTTCTAGCATAATACAGACCTGGCCAGTGAAAGCCCTCAATAGCCCTCTGTATAGGCAAAAACAATGGGCAACGTCTAGTCGTTACAGCAGCAGATTGCTGTATTAAAATCAAAATTTTACCGATCGAAAGGAGCGTGGCAAGCAGAGATGGCTGTGCGCGATTGAATATCTCAAAACTTTAGCGGTGGCCAAGAATGGCAGTACTATCTTGGCTTGTATCTTGTGAGAAGCAGGACTGGCAGGAAGCGCCTTTCTCTACTTGAGCTAGTGCACCGTTTACTAAGTAGTAAGAGATCACAATGGCCTGCTGCCACAGCCAGCTCAGGAGATTCTTTTGTTTGCTACCCAGGTAGCTTGCTTTACACTTTGTGAATTTCGTTTTCGGAACACGCAAGCTACGAAGCGAAGCTCCACCTGTTACCACAGTAGTGGCCCTTCAAGTAAACGTGGACACAAACTTAGGTCATACAGCCCAGAGACTGATTGCCGGGTGCAATCGAATACGGAACATATCTTATTGTTCATTGCGAGCCCTCCACAGTTGCGGGGGGTCTCCAATCCTTTGCACCCTAGTCGCTGCTGCACCGAAATAACAGGGCCGTAGGGGACTACATATTTGCGCGTCCATACTTGTGAAAGCCTCTTTCCGTGCTAAAGAGCCAGCTGACGATTTAGGCCTTGGAATCTCTGTATCATCTGTTCGGACTGACTGGTTTGCTGGCGGCAGGAAATATGCATCGCCCTAAGCTAGCATGTAGGACATATTTGCAACAATCAGTTTTTCGGTGGCCCTTACCCTTCACTGCGTCAATGGAGACTGCTCTGTCTCGGGCGACGAGCATACGTTGGTAGGCAGCTTCTGAAGTGCTGCGCTGCCCCCTGCAGGTCAGTCCGCTGCTGTTCGCGTGACCGGCTCTGGTGAACGGTATCGTTAAAGGTCTTGCTCAGTATCCTTGATTGGTGACCCCCATGACTTAAAGCTGCTCCAATTTAAAATCAATGATGGGTAGCGGAGCTGGAGTAACGTGGCACTCAATTCTGCCACTCATTGCTGCGGCACCAATGAATTTTGCACATTTCCCATAGAACTTATAGGAAGTCCCAAGGCATGCCGTACAGGCAAATTTAAGGCAACGGTAGTGGTCCCCGGGCTGTGACCAATCGCGGGATGCTCATCCTGAACCACGAGGATATTATGTCGTCCCGATTGTGTCAGAAAGGTTCTACTGAAGATTCTCACCCCGTTCTTGCCACCGCATAATATCAGTAAACTACGTTTCAGTGTCCTATTCATGCTGCAGTTTCTAAGGGCCACGGGAGCATGAATTAGGACGGTTAGTCGAATATGGCTGTGGGACCTACACCCGTTACTACGTTTTCATTCTCACTGTGCATTCCGTGTCCATGTGGCCCATTCCACAACACTTGTTGAATGGACTAGTCCATACCTAAGCTTTTCTGGAAAAGCTAAACCATTCCATAGATCGGTACCTCTATAAACATCTGTCATCTGCTGCATTAACTTATGCTGACGATGTAACGGGCTATGGTACATTTTGGCACATCATGTTAGATAGTTATATCCAAATAGCCATTAGGAAAAACAGCGACTGCTTATTTCGATTCATCATCCATTGAATTTGCGGCAAAGTAAGCTTAGCGTGATACGATAGTCATTATTGCTGCGTGCCTATGCGTTGAATTGTATGTGCCACTAATTATGAATGCCCGAAGTGCTTAACGAGGGGAGCAATACACCACCTAGCTGTTCCTCTACCTTCATGTCACGACCCTGTGGGGAGGATGGGGTAAAAAGAAGGGCGTGTTTGCAGGGATCATCAATAATTTCCTACCAAATTTTATTGCGGGATCGAGGCTTAGCCCCTACAGAGGGAACAATGCAGGCAACATTCACGAGTTTAATGCTTATATTTCTGTCGGACCATGCAGGCCTCATTGCATAGATTGGTGCATCGTGGATGAACGTGACCATTGTTGAAGGAGGTGACGCTCTTTTTAATACTGTGGCGGAAGGAGCGAGCCCTGGTACATTTACGCAACGATATTGTCTCAAGAACTGTACTCTACCACCACCTTTGCTTATTGCGGTGAAAACTAGAACTACATTGGCTGTCGACCAAAAGCTTTGGCTAGCCATGCATTCAAGGTAAGTTGCCAACTAATCTTCATAAAACTGGTACAGTAAAAATAACTCTAGGGGCTACAGTCACCCCGCATATTAAATGTTGAGCAATTTGGTGCTGCGGTCCATGAGGATCGCAAAACCGAAAATTTGGCTATAGTTTATTGTTGATGTTCATTGTTCTTCGAAGGAGAAGCTGCTAGATAGACCTTTCCATTGGGTCAATGCCGCCACTACGTGCCTGCTTGCACGAACCCAGACATACATGGGACGCTGAAGCTAAATTTCCAGGACTCATTGTCTTGATTGACCACAGGTCTTAATTTGAGCGAATTTTTTACAAAGCCGACTTTACTACCATTACAAAAAGTAGCAGGCGTTACAGAACCGAGGTCTCACGTGCAGCTAGCGGAAGCCACGAAGGCTGCAAGCGCGGTAGTGAACGAGAGCCTCTAAAGAGGAAAAAGAGCCGTAAACCACCCGATATAATTGAAAAAGCCCAGATTGAAATCGTTTAAGGGGTAAAGGTAGATAGCTTCCCGATATAACGTCAGGACGAGTGATATTCCTGACCAAGTTCCCGGTCGGCGCATATACTTTCACTAAAAATGTGGCAATGAAGCCGAACAAACTAGATTCTTTGCATCGAAAATCCACTATTCCAGTGAATAAAAACCATCTGACACACCTGCCTCATCTGGAAACCAGTACATGGACACCCAAGGTTGATACGAGGGAAGGTAGTCAAGTGCGTGCGCTCAAAGGCCGCTTACAGCGATAAATTCTCCAGCGCCCGTTGCCGTGACGCATGTCCTTGCAGCACGGTTGTTTTAGTGAGGTGCTGCGCTGGTGTCATTTGATTGCAGACGCTTTGCATATTTCGACAACGTGCACGAGTGGCTGTAGATACGATGAATAAGTGATTGAGCGTCCCTACGGAACCCACCAGTTTTACAGCAGCCTACGTAGCGCGTGCAATGGTTTTGAATTGCCGAATTGATCTTTGTTGAGAACCGGCATTTTTCGGCAGCCGGACAGTGCCACCTTATTCGCGTAGCTTTATGCAGCTTGCGTTGCACCCTGGCACATAATTGTGCCTCTACGGGAGGAGTAGTTCAAAATATCGTCTTCTGTCCATAAACCTCTTCCTTTAGGTAATACTATTATGGCACAGGAGAGTTGCACAGGACCCACTTCAGATAGTGGTAGTTTTCACACCAAAGGAGCAAGCGACCCAGCCAGCTATTCGGAAGAAACCGCAACTCCAGGCATATCATTGGGAGCTGAATGCTTCCAACAGTTCGTGCAAGAACATGAACCTGGACTCTTGGATTCTTCAGCAAAATTTTTACAAGACAGTGGCTTCGTAGAATGTGCAAAAGCACAAAGAGGAAGTGGTGTGCGGATGCTTCCTGATTCATCCGAGCCCTGTACACCAGCTGCAGAAGAGCTGCGAGAATGGGAGGAACAATCAGTTATGCTGTTTGATAAGCGACCATCATATCTTCGAATCGTTCGCCGTCTTCGGAGCATTCGTGTCTTTCCCGCTCTCACTGCTTGCACTTCTGCATTGCTGGTCACTGCTGCGGTTTGCGGAGCCGAGATCGCTTTCCGAGCAGCGGACATCTCGTCAGCGTTTTCTCTGTTGGGGTGCTCAATACTGGCCTTTTTACTGGCTGTCATTGCAGCCCACACTAGGAGCCACTTCCAACTTGTTGGGCTACTCCTGCTCGAAGTTATATTTACTTTATACGCAACAGCTTTTGGCTCGATTGGAATTGTGAATGTAAAGCAACTGCTCAAGCGCCAGATGGATACACAGCAGGATCTTACAATGCAAGAAGAACAACGCGACAACGCTATGAAAGTCATGCGGCGCATGTTGATCGAGCATGCTATCTTTTCTGGACTGTATTTCTTCGTTGCAGCATCTCACTGCTGTGCCGCAGCATCAGTAAATCATTTACGTGGTGCAGTTCAGCCCTTTGACAGCCGTTTACGGAGGAAACGTCAAAGGGCTCGCGCTATTAGACTGCTAGGTGTTATTCCAGTTTCCGACCCGGAAGGCAGCGAAGCAACAAGGACCATGGTGTTAAAAGAAGGGAGTACTTTGGAAAACCATCAGAGCGACTTTGTAGGCTCAGGATCACAAATGAAAAAACCTGAGGCCTACGGATCGTGTTCTGGGCAGATTGAAGAAGCAGTAGAGCTGCAGCACTGCACCACGGGGTGCTTTCCTGGTCCTGAAGACGACAAAATAACACATGCAGGACTGCCGCTAGGCGAAGATTGCTCGCAGGACCAGCACGACCTACTCGAAGGCTCGGTGCTAGAGACCCAGAATCCAAAGAACTAATATGTGCGTCCCGTGCACAATGATAAATCAGCAAGTATACAGCAGCGCACATCTTGCGAATGCATCTCTGATGCTTCTTCATGCAAGAACAGGAATCTTATGTCCATGGTAGACGATATCCCAAGAGACGCAGTACATTTAAAATTGAGCTGTGCAACTGATTAGCATCACTGCTTTTTTTATGAATCCACAGCAGAATTCTCCATAGCAATGTCATCCAGCTGTAGCATTAAGCGTATTGCTTTGCTGATATGGACGGAGGAAGGGTAAGAGAACTTACCTGATGTCTGGGGCCCTTAACTATGTCCATTGCTGAGCAAATTTGAAAGGGGTTCGTCCGCTGTCAGGCTTCGAGGGTAAATCCAAGTGTTGGCTCTGTTACCTTACTAACATTCGGTGTCTCAAGACAACGCATGTGCAGAGAATATCTGTAAAGCACGACCCCACAGCGGGGCTGCTAATTACGTGGTTGATATAAAACTCGGACTTCAGCACACTCAAGGCATTCCAAGAAAAATCGCTCTGACGGGCCAGCCCCATGGTAATATAGTACCTGATTAAGATTGGATGGTGGACATGTGGTGTTGGGGCCAAGATGCTCACGTACCATTGGGACAGACATAGGGGAAGCACATTGTGTGTGCAGTATATCACTGCTGTCGAGCCCGGGATTGCATGCGCACAATTCTTGCAGTCCATATTGCTGCCTTCTCATGGCCACCACAGGCCCATATTGAGGGCCTGTACTTGTAGGTTAATAATATTCCGAAATCGAGGTACAATAACTTCACTGACGCGTTCTGAAGTGCGTCGTAATTTCACCGGTGGGGAGCCGCTGTGAAGTTTCTGGGCAAAACTGTGTGACATGTGTCCAAATAATGACATAAAAAACGTAGTCAGAAAGTGAGTGCACTACAGGGCTAATGCATTAGGGCCTTGCTGACAAAATGGGTCTGAGAACTATTGCAAGCTTCAAGGCTGCTATTAGGTCAGTGCAACGATGATAGGGGCCGACTCAAAGATGAATACTTTTCCACATGAATTTTGCAGGTGTTTAATGCATGGCATATCTACCAGGTCTGCTGATATATGCATCAGGCATCTCCACTAGTGCTGCGTAGCGAGCGAAAATTCGCAGCTAATCACGGTTTTAGGTGGAAGAAGTGCTAGAAAGAAGTATGTCAGCGATGCGACTAAGGTATTCAGGCTTAGGCCAGGGCAATCAGGGAGGAGAGCTCTCACAAAGTCACTCTCTACGCGCATCGATAGCATTCAATCTTTTGTAAATCTCCATTGTTTATCTCGTGGGCATGCATAAAATGCCCAGAGCTTCCCACATTTGTGGGAAGAGAAGAATGGCCCTTCTTGTGTGCTCCATTGGGGGGACACAAGCAACTTTTGACGCTTGAATATTGTGGATGTAGGCCATTAGAGGGTGGGGAAATCCGCCCTTCCTACTCAACCGATGCTAACTCATCACTTCAAAGTGCTTCATTGGTGTTCTCTAGAGGCATCGTTTCAGAATTGGCCTTAGTGGCGTCTAGAACAAATGTCTGTCGCGATCATGGATTCTCACACGGTGGGATATCAAGCTTGCATTTCAAAAGACGAACGCTGCGAAAGTGGATTGAAACCGATTGCAGGGCTAGTCCACTGGGAAGTCTGGAATCGTTTTTCTCACTGGGCTCTGAAGTTCTAATGGTCTTTACCACGCAAGACACCTGCAGTGCCAAGTAGGGAAATGAAATTATGCAGATTATTTACAACTTGGGGCTTGGACAAAATTTGTGACATGAGCAGTGGGTGTTGGTCTTTACCGCTGCCTTGCTAACAGGATATTCTGGGAAAAAGGGCCAAGCAGACTTCTGTGTTTTGTTAATCGTCTTACACATGGATTTTGGGCAGCGCGTACCTATTAGCAGACACACTCGGCCCTGGTAGCCGCCTCTACCGGAAAGCTCTCCGAGAACTTCCAGAATACTGGTGTAAACTCTTGAGGCTACTGAATGGCGAAGACGTAGACTTTTGTTCCTCTTCATGATTTATAACTGGTGAGAAGTACAGGGACTCCTGGACTCCCTTTCCTCCGGTAAGCCCCACAGCACATCGCATCTAAGCGGCAATCAATGCCCTTACTCCGTTTTCTAGCATTGATCTACGTAGTACGTGCTTTTAAGACCCTGATAAAGCGGTTATTGAAGCTCTAACGTGCACATTCACGTCGACATTTACGCGCGACAAGAGAGACAAATGACTTCTCTGAAGGCGCGGCTCAACGAATGACGCATCCATAGAGCTATTAAGATTCACTGATGTTAGTTGAAGCACATCACGAAGTGGGTATCATCTTGTACAGTATGGATAGCCAAACCGACTGCTAACTTTCATTGCATTGCCAAACGAGTCAACACGGTAGCCTTGTTGTGACTACAAGCCGACATTAATGGAGCATGCCTGCTGCGTTTCTATGTCTTTCATTACTTTCCAGTTCGCCGATTTCTATACCTTTGTTTCTTTGCCAAGCCACCAGCACGATAATTGTTGTCGAGTTCAGTGGACCCCATGCCAGAAAAGAAGAGCACTCGCTATACAACAGCTGCGCTAAAGAGTTATAAGCATAATCCCAAAAAAGCTACATCTTACAACGACAGAACTTGTCTGAGCCTGGAAAAGCTAGGAGGCACTGAAACAGATTACTCCGCGGTACCAACACCAGCTCGTCCATTTTGTCTCGATTTCTGCGAACCGCTAAGTGCTTTACTTTCAACAGAGAGATAATGTGTACCAGGGAACTTCAGCGTGAGAGGAAGTCTGGACTCAGATGGACGTCTCGGACATTGGGTCATCTTAGAATGAATACTCACTGGGATTCAAGGTTCAGATCAGACGCGTTCAGTTTTTTCTCATGCTCGTGGGCTGCTTTTATTTGATTCGGGTTGGCCCATGCTTGGACCCTTGCTGCTGGAAATCAGGCACGAATACTCACTAGGCTCGTTGTGATAATCCTAAATGTGATGCAGATATACTGAGTGCTCTCCCTGGCAGCATCATTCATTTTTTTCAAGCCGTGTTGCCGTGAAATAGTATTTGACTTTGGGACCAACTCAGTATAATAAAGGAAGATGCCACTTTCGCTGTTTACATTAGGCAGGACACCAAAAATCATAGCCTACATAGGCCTATATCAAATAAAGCTACAGACCCACATCCTTTTCAAAGGATAATGGTGTAAAATAAGCAGAAAATATTTACTGCTCCCATGGCTCACGAAAAAGCTCGCTGGTGGTGAACAACAGATCCAGCCTGCACATTGACGAGAGAAGCAAAACTGTGCGGGTTAAAAGAGGTACAAGACTTTTGATGCTACTTTAATATGACTTTTGATGCCAAAAGACTCATGTACAGTGCTTGGTCCCCATGAACAAAGCTGCCATGTAGTTGCCCTGGACGGCACTATGCCAAAACTTGGGTGGTCACTGCAGACCTCAAGTGCTCTTGAACTTCATGGCACCAAGAGAGCAAATTCCTCTTAATATCAAGCAAGAAGGCCGAGTCAGGTGAAAGAAGAGAGAGGAAACAAAAATTGACTATAACATACACTAGCCCAGTAAGAATGGCATTTCTGCATCATGCATAAGAACATTGGTACATAGAACTGGATGATCTCGGCTTGCTGCCTCATTAGCTGTGGAAGACGATGGAAAGCGTTGCGAAAAGTAAAATTTTCCCCCAAATTAAGGGCCTAGCAGGCATCAATACGTCGATTACCAGAGTTCACGCAACCAACAACGAGCTTATACACTTGGCTATTTGGCCGGGGGAAGCATCGTTTTTTTCTGACAAGGCATATTTTTTTGGACAGGGGCTGTACTATTGGGGTGGGTCTACACGGCGGAAGGAGCGGCTGAAGCAGTATGGGCATGTCCTCCATTTTTAATGCAGCACCACAAAAAGATGATAATGAGAGCGCTCAAAAATGCCATGCCTCCACCAAGTGCCCGGTACAGTGCTGCCTGAAGCAGAATACAGGAGAAGAGAATTAAAACGATGCAGCAAAATTCAAGTCTGGAAAAGGGGCCACTTGAAACCACAGGAGGAAAAAATGCGTTCGGTAAATCTTTCATGCATGCGTTGGTTTTTGACGCAATGAGCCTCACGTGATAGAAACTGAAGACGGTAGACTCGCAGCCAAGAATTGTAAATTGAAGAATATTACGCCGAAGGAAGCGGCAAGTCAGTGACTCGCGCAAATATTCGAAGGGGAATATTGCTTTGTTGTTGATTTCTTCAATAGCAGCTGAAACTGGGAAGGCAGCAAGCACGAATCCAGCCAAATAAACACTTCACTGGAATTAGCACGACAAAAGTCGACCGCATATCACAAAGTAGCTGTTGCAGTGGAAGGGGTGCTATTCTTGTTTGTAAAGGGGAAATTGAGCAGAAGAAAGTGGTCTACCAGCGTGACCGAAGCAGTTCGATATTTGTAGGTCTGTGCACGCATACGTCGCGACACAACACGTCACGTCAATAGATATAAGTCTGATATGAGCCACTATGTGTCGACTAGCCGCTGTTGGGCAGAGAATGCTAAGAGAGTCGCCAATAGAGCTATATGTAGCTTCATTTCTACAGGTTTAATGTATAAACTCAGTGCTTGACTGGTCTCACAGCTTCTTCCTGCCGCGAGCTGTTTGCCGTACATGTAGGACACTTGCATTTGATTCTCTCCCAGTCCAAACATTTCTTCATACCCGCATAATTGTTCTTGCTGCTCTCGATTTTTGCATGCGTAGCTCAAATCTAAAAGCCTCTTCTTCTGCTGAAGCCACCAAATGCCGTTCTTAGTATGGACTTTGAATGCTTCTGCTTCTTTCTCCGCATTATCCGCCGTTTGTCCACTTGCCATTAGCTGTACCTTCTGAAGAAACCACATGCGTATTTGTATAGTATGTGTGCCGTACATACGCATGGCTGTAAGCACGGATACGCATGCACTGCATCATATGCGCACCACGAGTATATACACATGCCATCAAGTGGGGTGGATTGAGCAGTTGGAAAGTCATGAAGGCTCTTATGAGGCGAGAAGTACGGGCATACCAAAATACTACAGGTTCACATCCCGTCCACATTATATATATATGTATACATATTATGTGTGTGCGTGTCTTGGCGCGTTGTCCAGGCCACCGCCCCTTGCAATCTGTTTGCAAACGTTTCAACGTGCGATGTAGAGCCTGCGCCACGCTATAAATATGAAGGTTCCAGGCGAATCACGGTTTTCTTGTCCTGCGGGCCGCCTGCCCTATTGTCTAGGCTGTTTTATGCAATGGAAGCATGGCGTACCTTGCTCTCTTTGAGCTCGTCAAGCCACTTAATGTATTTAGGATCTCCTTCAACAGGGTTGGCGTCTTCTAGATTATACTCGCGGTCCCTCTCATCGTCAGGATGGAGAGATGGTAATTTCCAAGGGGCAACGAGACGTTCAAGAGTCTCGAGACCGTAGATAATTTTCCCCTCGACCTCAACATCTTGCCTTTGCATGCCGCTCTTGAATTGGCACAAAAACGTATGCACGCTTTAAAATTGCGATGGCCACACCAGCCAGGGCAAGAAGTGTACACTCATCTGGGTAGAGCACTTTCCGGAAGTGAAAATCGGTCCCGATTTTGAAAGCAGATGTTCATAAGCACATCAGCAGATTACGCTGTGTACTCACAGGCGTGCTTGAATGTCCGCATAAATGCAAGCGCCCTTTTGTAAGAATACACATATATATGTAATCGCAGCTATGAAGAACAATGCCTATATATATATGTATATATGCTACTTGCACAGAGCCTGATACCTAGCGCTGCACACATGAATAAAGGTTTCAATGAGCGCATGTGCAAACGCGCTCCCTATAACCTACTAGATATAAGCAGCTGCATATACTGACTTTAGACAGATGCTTACTTCAAGAAATTCGGGGAAAACTTGTCTTCGGATTGAGGGGGCTGATTCCGGATCGACAGTCACCAGAGTGCCAAACGACATGGCTGCATCCAAGTAGCTCTGGGCCAGCTCTAAGAACGTGGAACAAACACAACAATTGGACCACAATGGCATAGTCCACGCGGCATGCAGGGGTGTATACACACATTTTATATGCTCAGCTAACGTGAACTCTGCCATTAGAAGGAGAATAACTCTTTGCTTACCTGAGGTTTTTGGATCTAGGGGATATACAGCACTGGGAAACTTTTCTAATGTACTTTTCACCGTGCCAAGCATTTCGTCATAAGTCTCAGCTAGTCCAGCTCCATCAAGAAGATCTCCTTCTCCTTCCTTGTTAAGGCACTGAGTGACGAGCGGTTCGGCAACTGGAAACAAATCTGTAAACAGGTCCCAGTTGTCTTGTTCCAAGCAATAATCAGTCAGAATGCTGCATCCCTGCCGACCCAGTGTCGTAATCCACCCCAGTAAACCCCCCAAAACCAGAAAAACTATCGCCACCAGCACTAGAGAGTTCCACAGAAAAGCGGAAAAGCAGCCGCCGGCCTTGTTTCCGCGGAAAAAGAGACAGAGAGTCCACAAGGCAACTAGCAACAGGATGAGCAAGTGCAGGGCAGCGTCCACTCGAAGTCCTATGCCAAGCCATCGCAATAGCTTGGAAACAGTTTCCTCAGTGCTGGACAGAAGGTCTGTGGCGTTTAAGAAAAGCTGTCTAATAAGGTCGATAGGAAAGCTTTCGGCAACGTTTAGATCTGGAAGCTGAAATTCAGTAAACAGCTTATCCACGTGCTGCTGTGGCTTGAGCCCCACGATTTTGGAGGCTGAAGTAATCATCGCCGTTGATGCATGGGGCAGGCCAACATTAGAGCTTTCGGAAGGGATTCGTACTTGGCTAGCCTCGCACCAGAGAGACTTATGGAACGCTCCTGGAAGACTATTATTTGCCGAAAGAGCTATGCAAGCACTTTTAAGGCTTTCCATGGCTTCAAGCATGTCTCTCTCCAGACTAGTTACATCCAATGCGTTCGATGCGGATTTTTTCGCCTGTTCCAGAATGTTTTCGGGGTTGGCCTTATCAAAAAGCAAAGCCAAAGCTTCTACAGTATCAGTGAGCGGAAGCAGGCCTGCAAATGTGTCGAGCTGTGTTTTCGGATTGTCGGCTTCATTTGGTTCCTCAGGTTCCATGGCTATCGGCTTCGGGCTTTCAGTGTGCAACAGTACTTCACTTTCGCCGCCATTTGGTGCCAATGAAGCGCTACCCCGCAGCATTTCATCAGCAAAAAGATACGTTTGACAGTACAGCTGCTGTGACCCTGTTACTCCGCGGCCTTGGTAGTAAAGAACTAAGCTGCTCAACACTATTCCTGCCAAGGCTAAGGCAACTAATACTGAAGCCCAAACAGCGCGAGAAAAGAATCTGAGTTTTCTAGCGCAGCGGTTGATGCAGCAGCAAAAACGGCGAAGTGGCTTGCAGCAGAGCTTGGGGAGGCAACATAGAACGTATATAAGGGCTACAAGGACGCCGGTGACAATGGAAAGACCGAAGAGGTAACTGCTTCTTATGACATCACCTAGGCCTCCATTGCCGCGCAGATAATTGTACAAGGCCTCTGGGTCAGATTGAAGCCTTAGCATCGTGCCGAAAAGGCCTTCCATCCACCCGGTCACATGTTCCATCGCCTCAGAGCCAACCTTGCCGAAAAGGCACACCACAGTCAGCTCTATTCACACCCATGCATCAAGCACCTTTGTGAGAGTTGCTTTTAAAAAAAATTGGGATGCTTATTAAGTTTCTAAGGAACCAGCACCTCGCTAGTCAGTCTTGATAAAATCTCACTATTGTGCCTGCAAAAATCCCTGGAAGCTCACGAATGGCTCTAACGTGTCGAAAAGGCCAGCTCTTGTGTCAGACGTGCACGCGCTTTGCATTGCTGCGTCAAAAGTTTCTATTGTTGTCGAGATGGGCTCTCTTGGCTGGTCCTGCTCTGTTGGGTCAGCAGGATCAGCGTTACCACCCTCCTCTGTGGGGCCACTATGCTCCAAGTCACCAGCCTTATCTTGTACCTGTGGTTTCACCTTGGTAGAACCAGGTAGGGGACTTTCACCTAGGTGATATTCATCGGCAGACATGCGATTGGTTTTGTCTTGCAGCAAGTAGGACAAGTCAAGTGCCCTTCCACAATCTGCCTCACTTTCTGCTGCAAGTGCGCAAGAACCAGCAGATTTACTAAATCCTCGGGGGATATCTGGCTACTCGGGTCTCGAGCTCCCAATCATAGCTTGCTGAAAAGTACACTGGCTGTATTCTCGCTCGCCTTGTTTAGAAAATCTATCTTGGAAGCCTAAACCAGTCTTTTAAGCGTTAAAATGCACAGTTATGAGTTAAGATAAGGCCTCTATTCAGCAAAACATTCTAAGTTTTTTCCACTTCAAAATGATCATGTGCGTTGAGTCCATGAGTTTGCCATCGAAACAAAGTGCTTCCATCAGTGCTACTGATAGGGGCAACCAGTAGTACACTCATAGATTCGGGCTTGACTTGAGTGTTTGCATTTACTTGTTTATCTGCTGCATTTTCAGGAAAACTGTAAGCTTCAATGCTAAGTGCAATGAAATATTCCATAGGTGGGCTTACCTGGCAGTATTTTGTGCTTGTGCATTATGCAGTCTGCATTAATACTTGAAGCCCTTGCTATGCCAATCAAGACAGAGAGGACTAAAGCTCTTGCAGTTGTGTGCCCTGTTTGACGCAGAGTAAGAGGGGATTGGGCGCACCCCGCGACGCCTGTTCTCCGGGACAAAATCATCTCCAGAGTGCCACAATGCCAAATCTAGCAGTACTGGAACTGGAAGCCGTGCAATATAGCTGGTCTTAGCGTTTGAATATGCACAGTGCTGGGTTGAGAATAGTCCATAGCATATTCAAGGAGATGGTATGCAATGGATCGGTAATCATGAGAAGATTGTATTTGAGATATTGAACAAGGGCTCTACGAAAGCAACTTTACTAAATTCAGAGCAGAGAAATACTTGAATAGGCTAGCAAGAGTTTCATGCCTGCTGCTGGTCTGAGAGGTCGGAGGCGTACAGCCAACAGAGCATGTCCGAGGTACATTTAGCGCTGCATGGTCAATAATTCTTTTATTATTGAATAACGAGAGATGCGAATAGGTTTTCCTAGTGGCTTTGCTAATGGACAGTTTTTTGCCACGTCTATCGATGCAGAGGGTGTGGAAGTGCAAGCCAAGGAGGTTCTCCAAAATCATGTTCAGGTTTACTTTTCCATGGATCGAAGTGCCTACTTATTTACGATGGACATATCTAGTTTTACGGAATTGGGTGGTTTCGGGTGGCTCAAGCTGGCTGAATAGCCGTTGTGCGCATGGTAGGGGCAGGGAGGTGAGTGGACGCTGGACTGGTGACCCTCATAGAATGAGCCGGTTTATCAGAAGCGTTTTTTGATGCACTTTGAGCCGTAAAATGTTAATATTTCTTAGCGTCCTACGATAAAATTTTAGAAGTTCATTCCAGCAAGGTGGTTATCCACCAACACAGATACCAGAGGGGCCGGGTGTGTCGGCTTCGAAGCAGCTACTGCGAAAAGGTTTTGCTGGTCTGTGCACAGTCTCTAAGCATTATGCAAGCAAGGCTTGACAGTCAGCAAGACAAGGACTTGCAGCAATAGGCTGTGTTGATGAGTTGTTCTAGTTATGCGATACATGATTTACACTACGTGCCTTCAAATAGATGAGCCCCATGGTGAATAGGGGAGCCAACACACGCTGCTTTAGCTGGTCAATTCTCCTGAGCTGCACTCTACCTACACAGGCGCAACCAGGTGCTTTACACTTCTTGGAGCTTGCTGCTCGGACTTGAGTCATTACTCTCCTACCCTTTAGCTCACAAAATGCTGATGTTGGAGGCAATTACTCCTTCTGAGGCGTCCTTAATACCTTCGAAGTCTTGTTCCGCCTTGAGTAATGACACACCGAAGGCCATTTTACCGAATAAAACTACTGACCGAAGCCCGAAACAAGCGACTTTCCGTGAGAGCATGGAACATATGAGTTACCGAATTTCCCCAGGCGAGAAGACAACCTCGAACTCTAACGGCTTCAAGGACATGCCACCGTTTTTGCAGCCTATGATAAATACCCATTCGCCCTGCCACAGATGGCCTATGCACTTACCTGCCCTAGTAGAGGCAACCAAAGTAGTTCTAAAGGAACTCTCTGGAACAGCAACGGTTAGTGCCTTGGCGAGCTTCCCAGTTCCATCTACCGCCTCAACTACAGCCGGCGAAACTGAAGCAAAGGGTGTAGAAGCTGACTTTAACGATCTTGAATCTAGGAAAAGAACAAAGTTTCTTGGGACAAGGAAAGAGCCCCAATTTGGCCCAAAGTCGGTCAAGGTCGAGGTAGCAACAATAAAATCACATTCACCCTTGAATCCTATTAGGAAAGCAGATATTCCTCTAGCACTGAAACCCCTTGGATATTTTACCGATGGAATTGCGGTAGCTGTGACAGAGGAGAATGCTTTGGCAACGCAAGAGCCCACAGAACGTTGTAACCCACACCCCTTACGGGAACTGCTGGCCCCTTCTGATTCTGGCTTACTGCCAAAGACCCGAGCAGATTGTACTAGAGTAGGTGCCTTAGGCAAAATATGGAATGGTTCCCCAGCTGCTGAAATTGTTGCAGCTCTCGGGGAGTCGAGTCTGCGCCTGGCGACTGCAGCGTACGAGGGCCTTGAGAGCAGCCCTTCAGATGTTGGAGGGAGCAGGTGGCAACCGAGGCGGGGTGCGGAAACTCGTTTTTCGGGTAATTCATATGCCAAGCTTTCCCTTGTTGATTTGCCTTTATCTCCAAAGGCTCCTTCATCCAGAAGACATTGTCGTGCCACCGGACCTAAAGGTGGTATGCGGCCTTTTTATAGCCCTCCAGTCAGTAGCAAGAGGCACTCACGGATCTGTCAACGCACCCCTTTAGGTGGAAGAGAAACGAAAGTGCCACCAAACCCAGTTCGAGCTTCGTCACCGCAGTATCCCACAATTCGCCTAGCGAGGTCCGCATGCCAAAATGAATTACCACCAGATAAAGGCCGGTGCCTCAACGTGCAGAGGAAGTACAACATAGACAGTGGTTCTCAAAAATCCTCTTGTGTGGAATCGATCAATTTTCAATACACGGGAGAGGTGCCCGCTCACAACAATCCAGTTTGCTGTTGTAACATGAGGAGCCTATCTGCGATGAGAAACACGAGTAGTGCTACCCATTTTCGGAGCAGTGAGCTCAAGCAACAAGAACGTGAAAAATGTGTGATAAACTTAGCTACACCCACACCGATTGCCTCCAATGCATCATCCTTTAGTCAATCTGTGCGAAAAGATTTCGAAGGCCAGGGTAGGTCGCCAAAGCGGCTTCCGCCAGCAGGGCTAGGGCGACATGACCCGATTACGAGCAAATACTATGCCACTGCCGCGTCCCAAGCAGAGGGCGAGGATCAGTTTTTAGCCTTGCTGCAGCAGTCCCTAGGGATTCTACAACGAGAGGCCTCTCGCTGCTTTGCCACGTCCCAGGCCAGCATGAAACAAAAACTCTGTGTGGAACTACAGCGCGAGAAGCAGTTGCGGTTGCGGCTGCAACAGGAGCACCAGCATGCAAGTGCTGCTGTTTGTGCTGAGCTTAGTTCTATGCGAGAGCAACACAAAAAGGATCAGCGGCGGCTAGAAAAACTACTGGTTATATCTCTTAACAGAAAAGAGGCACATGACGCTGTCTGCCTCCTGCGAATGGCCTGGAGAGGGTGGCAGCAGCAACGTCGGCTCAAACGGAGGCAGAGCCAGCTTCAAAAGGTTCTGCAGCGGCGCTGCGTGCTCCTTCTTCTACTTCGAACATTTTCTCCATGGAGATCAGCAACGATAAGGCGCACTCTGGTGCAGCAGCAGCAAAGAGCACATCAGATGATACAACATGAGACGGACCGCCTAGGCCAGGCCCACTTGGAAGGCATGCAGCAGCAACAACAACAGCTGGCACGGCTTCAACAGCAATTATCAAGCGAAACTCGGCTTTGCGAATGTTTGAAGCAGAGCTTAATTGCGATCGCGGGTGGGGGAGCTATCCGAGGGGCGTTTCAGGGAGCTGTCAAACCAACGGCTTCCATAACGACGCCAGTAGCATCGGAGTCATTGTCATCTGGGATATTTAAAGGAAAGAGGCAGCAGCAACGCATGCCAACTGAAGGTATCAGGCATAAGCAGACCCCATTAGCTGTGGTTGGAATGAATGTAAACCTCGGTGACCGGCGGAATCAGGAGCAGCTGCAGGTAGGTCACAAGACACTGGAGTTCAATGCCCTCCAGCAGCTGCCCTGCTGGAATTGGACTCAACAGAATATGGGATTTGGGCATTTCTCATCACCAAGCACTGCAAAGAAGGCAATTTCTGGAGCCATGAAGTGCCCCATGGACACTCGTGGACGGCGTGTCAAGTTTATGGATGAGGAGGCTCACCAGCAACACCAAAAGCAGCAGCCCCTCACCAACCCGTCTACAAAGCCTCATTATGCCGTACACCTGGAAAAAAGTGATGCGGTGTTAGGATGCTCCAGGTGGGCCTCTGCATGCTGGCCCCGAAGACAAGGTTCTTCAGACTCAATAACCTATGGTTCCGCTCCCACCGTTGATTGCGATTGTTGGGGGTTGCCTCTTGGCACAAGAGCAAAGCCAATTACGACAAAATCACCACAAAGCCCTGAATGGGGCAATTTCATTTCAACGCATGCTTCCGCTCTTCAGGACGCCAGGACAAACGAAGGGAAGACAAACCATGAAGGTCATGAAAACTTTTTGTTGAGGGTGCTTCCATGCAGCCCGTTCGGGCTAGACAACCAGGCGCATAAGGACAGAAGGTGGACACCAGCAGCATAGTAATCTCCAGCTGTGCGAGGCTGCTAAGTCCCTCTCCCAGCATAAAAGGCTTCGATTATATGACACTGTTTTTTTCCTTTAAATACAACAGTACCCGAAGTACGAAAGCTGTCCTCAGCCGCAGAAACCACGGGCCGCCGAGCGCACATATATATGTACGTAATTACTTTTACGTAGGTCTAAAAGTGATAGTTTTGCGCGTGTACAGCAAGGGTGTACACAGCCAGTAAAGGCCGGCCCCCTTCTTTTCCTCTTTGTGACGCTTAGAGTTCTCAGCCTGTATATCCAGCACATCGCAGTGGAGGTAAGCAACCAGTTCTGCCGTACCGCATACACTTGAACTGGTTTACACCTAGGGCTAAAGCATACTCTTGTGTTAGTCAGGGTACTTAACATATTCATGTTGCGTCCTCGTTCGTTGCTGGACAAACTTGACTATGCGTCAGCGCATAGTTTTTGCAGCAAGGCACAACCAGGGAAGTGTGGAACTAGCAAAAGAAGGGAAGAGGAAATACACTTATTATAACGTGCAAATCTGGTGCAATAGGTCGTACATTCCAGAGTGAGTACCTGGACCGGGCAGAGCCTCTCTTTATGTCTATTACACGTTGCTTCAGCTCCTACTCCAGCTATTGCATACGAAAGGTCGTACGCTCAGTACCAACGTCTATCATACACAGGTCCGCCATATGTAGGCCAATAAACTCTGGAAAACAAGATGGACATAGTATGTAAAACACATCACAGAGTACTCATCGCAATTTTAAATGGGGCTTTATGGTGCTATCAGCTTTGTCTGTGTTTGGTAGCTCAAATACAGGCAGCTGCTCTCCCGCTAAGAAGAGGGCCTAGAAAACTAGAGCGCAAAACAACAGTGGACTTTTTGGCTGGCTACACACGAAAATGATCAGCTTCATAGACTTGTAATCTATCAGGCTGTAGCTAGGATCACAATCAAGGGGAGACGCAAATATGCCTGTCGAAATTAATGTGCATTTCTCCTCTTCCTATGGCAGCTCATAGCATGCAACGTGCACATCCCACTCAATGTAGTTTTTATTACACCCTCAAGAAGTAAACAGAGCAAAAGTGGTCAATCGTTCTTAATGCTGCTCACAGTAAAGAGCATCATGATGAATGAAAAGCCTAGGTGTGTATTGAGGAGTACGGCGATGCTAAATGCTTTCTGCACTGTTTTCTGACACATTTTAGTGAGGTGTCGAGCTCTAAAGTACCCCACCTTTTACGGTACAGGTGCGCAGTATCCAGGACTAATACACATAGTTCTAGCACAAAAGAACATTGAGTCACCCGAAAGAGTAAATGAAGACAATAATACGCAGTAATTATCCTTCTAGGTGACCTCAGCCTATTTGAAACAAAGTTCTGTAGCTCAGAATACTGTGAGAAGACCTTCGAAGGCCATGGATGCCATCTACAAAGAATACAGATGTAATATGAAGTGGCGTGCTATTCATGTACTGCATTCCAAAGCTACGCTGCTACTTTTACAGGCTTTCTTCATCTTCTTCAAGTGAGGCTCAGGGATGCGCTTGATGCGGGGCCGATGAAGCTGTTTGTCGAAACAAGAATCTAACTCTTTGAATTCTTATTGTGCCTGGACACCTTTATAAGCAGACATCGGAAACATTCGGCCTTCGGATGGGGCGATGCGCAGTTGAAATACAAATGAGCTGGAGTGGCATTTAAATCCACAAACAATTTTTTCAGCTCTCAGCCCAATTAAGATTTTTTTCTCTAGTGACATGTTACAGCTATTTTATGATGTAAGCCGGATTGATCGTTGCGTATTTGAAATTTTCTTTGTTAGTTTGCTAATAGTTAATACCTTGTATTACAAGTTAGGTTGCACGCAGCCTCTAAATTCGTCGTTCATAAATTTTTAAACCGTAAAGGCAGGACAGCTGAGCTCAGCCAAATAGCAAAATGCTACAAAACCCCAGCAGTGGAAGCATCCCCAGCGACTGTTGATTTATCGAAAGCGATAGCCTCCGCCTTGCATGTAACTACTGTGTACCTCGCTACTTCGACCGCACCTGCATTCTGTCGACAGAGTGCACGGACCGCATACCTTGCAGCCTCTTCTTCGATATGATTTAATGTAAAGTCCCAACGGATTGTAGTAAGGTTGGAAAGGCATTCTAAGCCCTGGAAATCATAGGAGCATGCTCTCAAGCGCATATGGCCAGTAGAAGCGCAGTACAACATCCGCGCATTTTGTCTTGCTTGACACGTTAGATTTAATGCTCCGCGTATTTGCTTGGGCACATTATGACCGTTTTTCTTGAATACCAGTCAGGGAGAGACACGGTAGCATATGGTGAAACTGTTGAGAAATATAGAAAGGCCATATTAAAAGCAGCAAAACCGACTAATTCAAGAGGCTGGTACCGAAGTATAGCGCACATGGACACCAAACCAGAAATACATCTCTGCTTCTCCAAGGCTTTGGGCAAACGTTTAGTGGCTTCTCAACGGGAGTTACACGCAAATTGGTGTCTTACGATACAGCAGTAGAACTGCGAGAAAAGGGCTAGCCTTCTATGTCTTGGCTAGGCATAAACGACACCTACGCAGAAGAATTCTGAGGGCCAGGCATAAACACGTTTTCTGCGTGAGATTTTTTGAAGTCTGCCATCCTGGGGGAGGTGCATTCAGCACCGCTAGCCTCCTGACAAGCGTTACAGTAGCATACTACTTCGATATTCCGTAGACAACCCAGCTGACTACACATTGAACAATGAGGCCGCTTGTATTTCATAACCTTATTGTTGCTACTAACAGAACGCAATAGAAGATAGGGCTTGAGGGCTTTACTTCTCCAGCTCTTGCACGGGGGATGATGCGAAGGGACTTTTTTACCAGGCCCCCCTGCTTCTTCGCAGTGATTTCCTGGTGCTGTGTTACTGGTACTGTTGGTCTTCGCAAAGACTCCACTCTCCTCCCGACCACTTGTATAGGTGTTGGTAGACACCCTTGTCTTTGAACCGCTCGACCTGCTCTCCAACGATCCTGAATCAGGCTTTTTCAGCACCTGAGTAAACAGTCCTTCCTTGACGGTCCATTTAGGCCGGCTTGTAGGGTCACAGTGGCGCGTTTCATTTGCAGAGAAGGAAGCGCTACGCTTTTTGAATTCTCGCACATCCGAATTCCTCTTTGCTTTTGCTTCATCTGTAACTGATGCCCCTAGGGACGCTTCATTTACACTCTCCCGCTGACCACGCAGGCTGCAATTAGAAAAAGCAGCACAAGCGAAGAGTGAAATCTTTGGCATCTCATGATACTGCGCTCCCGGATGATTACGCAATTTCCAGCTAAGCCCTTCCTGAAAACAGCGGGGAGTGGCAATGCTAATGCCAGTGGGGCCGGCCTTCCTGCAGGTTGTTAAACAAACAACCGTACGCCGATGTACGGCTTCTGGTCATGGCAAGTTTCGTCACAAATGTCTCGCAAGTTTCTTCTTCCTTACGACGCAGGGCCATGCGTGGAGAAGAGCAACGAGGCTTGCCACTAGAACATTGTGGGCAGTGGCAGCGGCAGTCCAGCCCGGGTCTAAGAGCCTCGCCACAACCGCATTTTTCGCAGTGGGGCCGCAGAACTTCTGGATCTTCAGCAGTCAGCAACTTACGACCGGCAGATGATGCTGTTCTAGTTGATCTAGCCCTTTTAGCAGTGGTTTCATTCGACAGCTTCCTATTCAGGCCCAGCGCCCACGCATGGTGTGCGACAATATTTTGAGCAGGACATCTAGCTCATAGCCATCAGTTTAAATTGCTACGGCTTTTATTTAAAAAGTCAAGCAAGCTTTCAAAAGGCGGCTATCAAGTGCGTGTAATGCTTTGCTCTGATGTGGATTATCTGCGTGCATACTTAGGGGATTTGTGCAATCGACAAACGAAGGAGCCCGTGATAGTAGTTGTAGGGCCGTGGGCCGCTTGTGGTGCAGTATTTGGCGTCATTTTTTGCCTTGCTCGCAGAAGTAATCTGCCTCAGGATAAGTAAAGCTTCGTTCGCAATGGTGACAAAATGGTGGTTTTTCCCGCTTTACCAGTAAGGGGCCAGACAAATTTAAATACTGTGGTGATATAGAGAAGATATTCTTATCAAATTGTTCTATTCACGTTGAATATGAGGAGCCCTAGTACGTGAAACCCATTCCGCTTCAGCGATGCCCGCCTTGTGGTGCACTGATCACCGGATTGGGTAGTGCGCTACCTGACTCGTCGTGTACTCACTCCTTCGGGTACGCAACGAAATCCGCTAGAAGGCAAGGATTACCGAGCAAAATTACCGCAATTCCGGATGGATTTAGTTGTAGTCTGCTAAGCTTCATGGAGAGTACCGGGCCCCTGGTGCGGCTGGAGCCGCCAGCTTGCAATGTTGGCACCAGTAGACAAAGCCCCCCTCAGCGATCGAGGTGGATGAAAATTTCCACAATATTCTGGCAGGGGGGTAATTGAATACTCACGGAAGGGACATAATTGACAAGAATCCACCTTCGACACCTTAATTACTCCGGGTCACCGATTTCATGTAAGGACAGATTCGAGGCCACCCCCCAAAACAGTATTTTTTGAAGTTTCTTGCGAAAATGTGCACCACAGCAGGATGCCTAAAGGTTCTAGCACAGTATCACTTGATTTCTGTAGTATCACATGTAGCGATTATCTGAACAACACTGCGCACAGTGCCTGGAGTCGCAATTCATCGATCGTATAATCACTCCCAGACCCAACCAGGGACATATTCAATCTTATTCTACGGCCACTCAAAATCCTTTGCTTGTAAAAAAATTGTTGCTTTGGTAGGAACAGTGATAATTGTCCTTAGAAACTCAATAGGGCATTTTTCTGGCCCACAAAAATGAAAACTGTCTCTAAGCGGGTAAACCCAATTTGATCCACAAAAGGCCCATTGACGAGAAGACTTCGCGCAACCTTAAGCGAACCCTAGGCAAATTATTACAGTGGCGCAGGCGAAGATGCACTATGCACGGAAATCGATGGGGCTTAGTTCTACGGACGCTTTGTCAAGGGGCGCAGTAATTCACTATTAACAAATCTAGCGCCGAGGACTACAACGGTGGGAATGATTACCAGTTCCTCGGCTGCTTTCTAACAGCTAGCGAATCCACATAGCCCCTGGCAAACTATTTGCTGTCCAGCATCTCAGCTAATCGATGTAGTTTATATCGCTAGAATGCCCATTGTTGAAGCTGTGGCTCCCTAGAGTATGATTTGGTCCTGGGCGCCTGAGTGTGTACAACTTGAGCAGTCCCACCAAAAAGCAGAGTGAAATTTCTATGAGCCCGCTTTCGGCATCTTAGTTTCTAAACCTGCTGACAACTGCAATGTTATATGATATAGTTGCAGGGGCCTCGTACTGCCACAAAGCACTAGTGCTATTGCCCCTACTAACGAAAGGCTAGAGTAAGTATATGCCTCATTGGCGTGATTCTCCCTGAGAAAAGCACTGCTGTTGGCATAGCCATAGTACTATAGCGCTGGATGCCCTCTTGTGTGGACTACCAGCAAGTATCCGAAATTTTGACAAACCAGAGAGTTGGTCGTTATCGTGTTCCCAGCATGAGCCTTTTTATAGAAAAATAAAGAAATTTTGAATGAACTATCCAAATCAAAATCAACAAATGAATCGCTGTGGGAAGCTAATAATATGAGATGCAGAATCATGCCAATGGTGCATATGTTTACTCTAGCTTTTCAGTGGTAGTGGCAATAGCATTGGTGCAGAGTAGCAGCACCCGGTCACGCAGATTCACACTGTGCAGGCAGTAAATCCAGCTCGATTCAAGGCAAAGCGAATCATGACTCGGGTAAAGCCGAGAAGTGTACCTCATATGGCTGTGTTTCCAAGTGGTAAAGGAGATTCACAGAAATCTACTAGAATCTCCTCCTTAGTACTAGCTTACTATAAACATTGTGTTTAAATGAACTACGTTAGTCGACTGATTTTTTTGCTCCAGGTATTCTCATAAGACGTTGTAAATACATGCAGTGCTCTGAGTATAGCACAGCTAGCGTGCATACTTGGCAAGATAGGATCTGTTCAGAATAATTCCTGCTCCTTTTGCCCACGGAAAAAGTGGCCAAATGAAGTTGGTGGCCCATTGTAAAGCGTGATTACTTTGGGGGAAGCACTGAGCAAAACCCTATTAGCAATGTTAGGAAGACAGAGTTAGCAGATGCCACGCAGCAGATCTCGCTTTTGCTGATGAATAACACATTTAAAAATTTTTGCCTTTTCAGGGCATTTGGCCTAAGTCTCCTCTTCTATACTCAACTCAGTTGACCGCTGGCTGGTTCCCTTCAATCTTTTTGGACTTCTGAGGAGGAATACCAAAACTTTTAAGCATCTCTATCAGATTCTGTTTATCTTCATTGCTCTCCATCCGCATAGGGATGCAGCTTTCGGTCTTGTAGAGATGTAGGCCGACGGCGCTGCAACCAGAATACGCTGAAATCAGACTATTGTTAACCCCTCCGTTTGAAACACTCTTTAAAGACAGGGCAGCAACCATCCGTTCCTGCACACTATATCTGCCTTGTCAGTGTACACTGATGCTCATAACTTCCCGCTTACTATGGGTCATTTGTGATATCCTGTTGGGTGTCCACGCGCGCAAGTTGCTGAGGAGTGGCTAAAACGTTCTTGATAGTGTTGAATGGCACCACACGCATCTTCTCCTGAGCCCCAGCAGAGCTAGTGCTATTTACACCACATTTAAAGTCCTACAGCACCAGAGTCGTCTGGGGCAGTGGGCTTAGGAAAGCTAAACCCTAAACATAGCTTCGTGGTTGCGTGAACCAAGTAAATGTGGCAGCTTGCATGTACAAGCTTGCAAGCGCTTATGCGCTGAAGCTTGGCTCTTAAGTGATGCAGATTCATTTAGCATTTATCCTAGTCAATACGGCTAAGGAGTCTCACGCCATTTCGGATCACCAGGGATCGTGAGTTGATGTCCAGGACGAGGATGCAGTTCATATTGCTACCATTCTGTGGCACATCCGAATCTGATGTTCCAAGAGAATTTGTGCCTCCCATCCCGGAACCTTAACAGTATTGTGGAGGAGAATCCCACGTAAAGGGAAACAATTCGAAGGGTAAAAATAATACTAGGCTGTAAAATGCTGCCTAAATCGCAATATATGATATATCTGCTTGAAGTACAAAGGCCTAACCTGCAGAACAACTTGAATGGTTAGGCCTTGAGTTTCTGCCCTCTTCATAAACTCCTTCAAGGCAATGTCGCTGCCCTGTGTGCACGCCGATAGCCTTAGTTTTACACCCTTGTTAACCATCTTTGTACAGGTTGTTCGCAGCCAGCTTTATGTTGCTACGCAAACGGTATTCTTGCGTGTACACTGCCACACCTGAATTCAGCTCTCAGGGCCACTATGGCAAAAGTCATAAATTACAGCTTTAGGCACAGGACTCGCTATTTGTTTACTGCCAGGTATTTAAGGGACTTCGTTACAACCGCAATGTGGAAACGACGTGGTAATTGCGTTGAGCGCCTCGGATCGCTTTATTTCAGGATAGTGGATTTTTGCAGTGCAGTAGGAATATGCCAAACAACAGGCCAAAGTAGGACCAAAACGCAGCAACTACAACTAATATGCCTGCTTTAACGTAGTCTGCTAGGACTATTGGCGCGCCCGTGGAAAAGTCAGGATGCCTTTGAGCATTTCATTGCATTCAACCCAATCATTCCATTAGAATTTGTGGCATTGCGGAGCTATCGACTCATGTGGCGAATGACGTGCTAGAGGACTGAATCGCACACTGCCCCAGAGCTTGCGCATCCTAGCATCTAAGTGTTCAAATGGAATGCTCTTCCGTGGCAAAGTTGTGAGAGTTGAAGTGGCTCGCCCAAAGAAGCACACACACGGCATTGTACTGCCTGCAATACCACCAACTCACCTGTTCCTGGCTGGTCACGTAGCAGCAGGTATTTCCCATCGTTTCTTGCAATAAGCGCGAGGGTGGTTCACCCTAGAAACTTGTGTGGGGGAATCTGCAACCGGCTCCGCCAAAATTGTTATGTTCCACCACCTCTCTGGACACGATTAAGTTTAGGTCAGAGCTTAAAAATTGATTGACCGACTTAGATGCCCGCCGAACCAATGTTGTGTCGATGACACAAGCATGTATTGTTGGTAGCTGCAAAAACTAGGACGCAATGTAGATCGCCAAGCAAAGCCTCCTGCACAATGCATACGCCTTGCGGGTAGCTGGTAGATTACTCTGTACAACTAGTATGAATATTCAAGTGCAAATATGCTAGATGATGACCCTATGGCAACACGCAAGTCAGCCATTGCCACCGGTACTGTGCCCTGCTGATGCCGTGGCAGCCAGGGTCGACTTGCACAGTGGCTCTGACATGGTAGTTTTTGCCACTCCTCACCATGAAAGCTTTCCAATGAAAATTACAAATTACTGCTGTGCGAAATTGGAGGGATCTGAGATGCAACAAATGCTATGTGCATGGTGCGCCGCGTCCCGTACCATTGGAGTCACTTTCTCCCTGTGATCTTGTCCGTTGAAACGAATAAAAGGTAAGTAACCTAACAATTTCTCGTTTTTTCCAAAGAGTCAAGTTGCTCCCTGTGTATACGCAGTCCTGGCCTACGATATCGGCCAGGCAGGTGAATTGCAGCAGAAGCCCTCCTCACATCATGGGTGTCTCTACACATCCAGCATGCTTCTTCATGGGCTGAGAATGGAAAAAACTATTTCATGCTCAAGTTAACGTATTTCTCGAAAACATCACACCGCTTGAAGTTTATCTTGAGACCCAAGCCCACCTGCGAGCGTATGCTGGATGACATATTTCCTGAGCTAGGCCATGGGTAGAGGCTTGTGTATGAGCATTGGCAATGCATATCATTCTAGGGAGTACTCCCATAAAGTATCTTTGCGAAGGTCGGTTTTCTTTTGATTTATGAATGATGCCAGAATGCCCTCAAGGTAGCTGGGCGGCATGAACCGTATAACACCGCAAAACAACACCTTAAGACTTAGCACCAAACAATATGGGCAAGCTTGTTGTTAGCAGTATTACCTCTCGGAACAAACTGAAGTATTCTTTTTGCCGTATAGAGGGTTTCATCCATCTTTCTGCACTCGTCAAAGCTTTTGTGTCCCACGGTTGCTGATAAGTAAAACCCAATGACTCGGCATGCCAGCACTCAGTGTACATATCTCCCCCCTTGCAGCTATGCTATGGTTGGTCCTCTACGTGAATCATTGGGCTTATGCGTTTGTATGCCTCAAAGAATGGAAGGCTGCCTTGTCGGGACCTTTGGATTAACAGCCAAATATGCACTTGATAGTCCGTATCAGCAGCGATGGGGCGTTGCATCTAATGCATGCTTATCAGTGCATTCCCAAAAAATGTCATATTGAGTATCATCCCTGCAAGTAGACGATCTGCCTTTGTGCCCTCAGCCTCACCCAGCATTCGCAATAGGATAAAGTGACACGCGTAACCATGCTTTGCTTGGCCGCGAAAACCACGACTGCTTTGGTGCGTTGCTTACAGAATAGCACAAACTGACAATAGAATAATCATAAGCATCTCCAAAATCCCGAATTACTGGGTTGAGGGGCAAAATTTGGCGATGGATGGCACGCTGGTGAAAATGGCTTGCCTGGCCGGCGTGCACTAAATGTGCCCAAATCGTGGTGACTGGCAGAAAAATGCCTTTCGGCGAACACCTAATCAAAATGTTAGCATGTACGATGCAAAAACTCAAATGGTTTTCTCCTGGCTCTAGTGCAATGGCGTGCAAGTGCCAGCCAATCTGGCCCGATGGGCTCTGTTATATCGGCTGATCTGCTTAGTGGTCAAATAGCCAACAAACGAATAGACTAAGCAAGATCTACGCTGAAAAAGACTAGCCTGAGCATGTGAACATAAGACCTTCGCGAAATAATTAGAACAAGCGGCTAACTCCTTGCAAGGGTAACTGAGTCTATGCTTGTGGCCAAGGGTAACTTTAGAGACCGACAAACGCAGTCAGAAGGTAAACAGCTAATTGTACCCCATGCCACTTTATTGGGAACAAACACATAGAGAACCTACAACAACAGAGTTTCGTCACCAGTTGTGTACAACACGGAGCAGGTAGGAAAGACATTTTTGCCAGAGTGGTTCAGTCGACTTCGACTTTCCTGCTTCCTGTTGCATAAGTCGAGATATAGGTATAGTCTCATGGGCCTCTACGGATGCGGTTGTGGTGTAAATTATTTTTGCAGCAGGCTGGCTAGCCCAAAGCTTTACGGCTTCTTCTAGTTAACGTGCTTGCAGCAGCTGAAAAGTATCCTGATCCCGCTTTGCGAGAGCGTCCAATTTCCCTGCCTAATCCACTTACATAAGAGACAGTGTACCTTTAATCTTTTTGCTTGCGCAGTTTGAGGGCTTATATTGTATGACAGACATTCCATTCTCTATAGTAACCTGAAGTACCTTTTCAAGGGATGCCGAAAAGAATATTTTCATTCCCTTCGGCCCAGGGAATGAAGTACTAGATGCTCGTTAATCATCTCTTTGAAGGCAGGCTAAATACAGAAATAGGACCCGATTTTATCGCAGAAAAGACATGTGGTAGCTTGTAGGTTGCAGAAAGAGGTGAAAACCTGTAAGCTATCATCGAAGGCGCTATTAGACCAACACTTTTTTTGGAATTGCGGATCATAAAGCATAAGCTTGCTTCGAGGTAATGGCAACTAGTTATTGCTATTCAGTTATTTTTCAAATTTTTTTTCAGCCCCAAATGGTACAATAGAATGGTGAGCCGCTTGGCCGCTAGTGCCGTAGTAAGCAGTTCCAAATATTCCGTGTAGCCGCCTGCGTTATACTACATTAGTCATATTTATTAAGGAATTAGTGAAGAGTTGACTAGTCCGTGTGCATCTTTTTCCAGCTTCTTTATTGCAGCGTTGTGTTAGCTGGAAACAACGAAATGTTTTGTGCGTGTGCTCTTGATGCTATTAGCAACTGACTGGAACAGCTAGGACTCCTCTGAGGGTGCATCTAAGCTCATCTCAGCTGTTTCTCTCCACTCATGAGGGAACTCTGAGGGGAGGGTGCAAGGGGCTGAGGGAGCCTTCTTTTTTTCGCTCAACACTTTATTTCAAGTTTGCACTAGGTGTGGAGTTTCGCGTCTCCTTACGGAGAGACCTTGGATGGAACATTGCATTATGCAGCAGCGTCGTGCGCACGGATCTGAACTTGTATCAAAAACTAATATGAGCATCGCTGATCCTTGGTGTTAATGTGTTTGCGTTCACGAAATGCGCATCCTGCCACTCATTCACGCTGTCTGTTCAGTATGCTGCACTCGCTGCAGACAATATCCAAGTAAATACTTATTTTAATTTGCAGATGGCATATTTTTTGAAAGCTTGCATCGATAATGCTTTCCCTCGCTCTGTGCTTCTAAACTAGAAAAAGCGTTCTTCTGCAACGGTTGTTGGACGTTCAGGCCCGCTACTGTTGCAGCCGGTCTCGCCAATACATCTCGAACTGTCTCATCCATCCCTCCTTGTAACTATGTCTGTGTTTATATCTATACTATTTATTCCTCTCACTTCGCCAAATGAGGGCTGTCGCAGCTCCATGCTGTCACGGTGCCAGACCAGACCGAGCTCGGTGGCTTCCCGCCGTACCCTTAAAGCTTACTAACCTCATTCTCTATCTTTGCAAGGTTCCCCATACATAGGAGAATATAGTATCTTGCTTTTTTGATTATCGACAGTTGCACACAGGGCCTCCTGAGTGCTGGAGACGCCCCGAGAGCCTGTCTCCGTGGTGGGAAAGGAAAGAGTTCCTGGAGTCACTCGTCATGAAGCTGTTTACACAGCCACATTTCATGCTCCCTATCAAGATATCTTTGTGTACTATACTTCATCCTACTTGTATATAATAAGGGTACTATCGAGGGCAAACACAGTTCCGTATTACCATGAGCGACAAGGCACTATTGCTGTAAGCCCCTTATTCGCAATCGAGTTTTCTTGCCCCACACTCGTCAATGTACCCTTTTGAGGACACCGTACTAAAGGCTACCTCCGACAGTGGCAACTCTATGTCTGACATGGATGAAATGCCGCCAGCGAATCATTCAGCTCTTAGAGGCCTCCCTGGGGGTGCATCCGACCAGGTTGCTCGTGCAATTGGTGCTCCATCTCAGCTACCTCCTTCTCCGAGGCAGTCAGAGATACCAGGGGACCACTCTGATGTGCCCATAGAAGAAGTTAACTTGTTTGGCGAGCCAGAGGGGCACGCCAAACAAGAGGCGTTAGCACAGGGAATAGCTACTGGTGATGGCAAGAGGGATTCAACGGTATACGGCCTTGCAGCAAAACCAACCAAATTACCATCCCACGAACTTACAGATTTGTAGGGCTGCATGTAGCGATTGAAATTTTCACTCCCAGAGAGCCCATCCCTCAACACTATGCGTCTCCACATCGCTTTCATTTTGCGTCTCAGTAACTAGTCTCCTTAGTATGCACAGCCTGCCCGCTCTTGATCAAGTCATGTATTTCCTCTTATAGCTGGGTCTTGGTTTTGTTTGCACATTGCTAGCTTGCGTGATCCTCAAAACGTAGCTAGACACTTCGGCACACTCCACCCTATCTTGACAAAAGGGCTCCAGAAATAACCTTGTTAGCAGCTGGATAGGCTATAAGACACGAGTAGTGGTGAGTAAGCAGGATATAACAAAAAGCAATTGCATCAAGGTAAATTGATTGTTTATTAGCGGACCTCACGAGTTAGCATCAAATGGACTGTATTGTGCTCAGCGACTTACGGATTCAGCTACTGGGTGGGCTTGACGGAATAATGGGCGTGATGGTTCGAAAACAGAACCTGAAGCGGATGGGTCTGCTTCTGAGTGACGGCCCAGATTGTCGCTTGCTGCCATTCAAGCATTTCCCGAAGAAAGATGTACTGCAGGAGATAGCGAGCAGGGGAAACGAATCTGACTGGACTGACCATAAAACCGTTATTAAGGTCTGCTCATTGCCTCTAAATGAACTAAGATTTATAAATTCTGGATGTTATGTGTCTGGAAGCTACTGCGAGGATATTGGTATTGCAAGTTTTGCGTCTACCACAGCATTTGCAATGATTCAGCATAAACGCCCTTAAGTTTAGGTATATGAATCTCACTTGTGCCAAAATTACACGTGCATCAGTATAGTGTATTAAAAACTATTAAATGCTGCTTGTGGATTACCTGCCTCCGATACATTTCGCTCTTCGTCGTATCAGCCATGAGAGTTACATATGCCAAAAAAGCGCTTGCAGTTGGCATGAATAGCACTTCACTCAGTGGATCGTTTTTTGGGCTCTGCAGTATGCTCAACGGCTTAAAGGATGTTACTCCGCTCAGGCCTATCCATTGGATAAGCTGCTATTGGTTCGCGATGACCCAGGCAACTACGGAGCAAACTACTTGATGCCTTTCAGCGAGATGGCCTACCAAGCTGTCCACGAAGTAAGACCATACATGAAATTTAGAAAGGCCTCAGCAAATTTACCTCGAAATTCCTGTCACCTTGCAAGATAGGACAAAGATAGGACAGATCAGTCGCGCATAGTGGAACTACGGTAGAGGTCTTCGCCGCAAAATTCTTGCATACTACGTGAATCAAAGTTGAGAGTCATTTATTGTATGGCGAAAGAAAAAATTAGCATATCAGTGGTTATTCAAACCAATGGCCCTCCTTTGGGAGCCGTCATTTCACTCGGGGGATGTTACATGCTTGTGGATATTTTGCATCCAGTGCATATATATGCAAGCCCTCGATGAATCTACAGTGGTTTGCACTGTGTCCCAACAATTCCGTCTAACAATGGCCATGCTTCAACACTTTTGCTTCTGGCTCGTTAGGCAGTGTTGGCAGCCCAGGCTGATGCGATTGCTACCAAAGAAGAGGAGGTGAAGCGGCAGCTGCTGTCGGACGGGGAGGCGAATATAAGATTGAGAAATGAGGAGTTTGATGCTCCTCAAAGCCCTCGTCAGTGGCAGTCAGAGACATCCGCAATCACTGCTGCTGAAATAGCGGCGATGACAATTAAAACAAAGCGAGCCCTTCTCAAACAAACTGTAATCAAAGATGGGCACACTCTAAACGTCACGGCACCTGTACAACCCTTCACAGGCCAGCCGCTACTGCTAAGAGCACCCAAAGTCAGTGTGGTACCACCGAAAGCTATAACACTTTACAAGCTGAGCAGCGCGTGAACTGTTTGGTGGGACCCATCTGGTCATACTGGTGCTACTGCTACTGCTATTGATGTTGGCATAACTACTGAAAGCTAGCTGTTCAGATTGTATGATCTACCCAAATCGGTACTTTCACATATTGCGCCCTGAACTCTTTTGGCAGGAGTAGACGTCCTGCTTTCTTGTGTTGCCCAATCTATTGCCGTCCAGGACTCGTTAAGTGTAGACCTCAAACAGGAGCTCGAATTCGGGATTCAAGCTGTTCCACCAACAGCAGAACGGTGCTGCCAAGCAGCAGGATTGACAGTGAAGGCAGTGGAGATGCAGCACGACTCAAGTGCCCTATCAGTGAGCAATACATTTTCTAAAATTAATCATCATCGGCCGCCTTGTGCTTTATACGATTGGCAAAAACAATGAGGCAGTAAAGCAAAGCATGGCGCAGCCATTACTGAAGCACCGAGCCCTATGGTAAATTATACTTGGTGGCTAGCTGGGCTAGTTTTGTGTCTACAGAGAAAGCGCAGGTTCAACTACACCACGGAGAGCTTTTTAGAATCATATTCCAAGCACTGAAAACATGGCTTTATAAAGCTCTTCTCGACATTTTATCACCATCACTGCTTTATCGATTGCGTGTCTGAATAGCTCCTTCAAAAATTAGCCCACTCTTATTCCTTCTTATTGCTTCAGAGGAAGGCTGGCGTCTCTACCTTTACGTCTCGCAAGAACCTTAAGACATTTTTTTCAGCAGTAGAGTCCATGTAAGACACGGGCACACCAAAAAGCAACATGTATTCAAATATTAATTATACTTCTAGAGACTTTATTACTAGCGTTTCCTTGATACGCAGTTTTTGTCTGCGTATTGCTCGCATCATGAACGGGTGCTGATCTGGCAACAGCTATATGCGGCTAGAATGCTACGGAAAAAAGGATCTGCCGCATTTACAGAGAGGATATGTTTGTATAATTAAGCACGCGTAGCTATAATCGGGAGACTTAAATGCTAAAGTTGTCGACGCAAACATTCAACGTACCCATTTCGAATATTCTTGGAGAAAGCATTCTTAATACCTGTTCGTGTGATCTGTTCTTGCATCTGCTGAGCGGAAGCATACAGTACAGACAGTCTGCATATTCATCACTAACATCTCTATGCCAATGGATGCTCCGACACCTCCTTAGTATGGAGCTGCATGCCATGCGTTGGGTGTAGCGCTGTATACTCAGGATGGAGGAAGCACTGCAGCAAAACGAAGCTGTTGATGTTTTAAAAGAGGAATATATGCCCTTGGAAGAATCTGGAAATGCTGAAGAGCATGTAAAAGTAAAGGACAGTATCAGGGAAGCGTTTACCTTCAGCGACCTTTTGCACTCAAAGAACAAAGTCATTTCCTCCGTTCGATGGGTTCCGGAGTACGTCACGTGACATCCACCGTGAATCAAGTCTACTTCACTTTTGAGTTTTTCCGTGTCAGAAATCTGGGTCATATCTGACTTGCTCACCATCACGCATACGGAAAAACATAGGTCTGCACTGGCACTTGGTGTGTGAGCAGGTCAGGCGCTCTGATTGCTTGCGCCATCATGGAAGCGAGCTCATTTGATGAGCGTGTTGAGTCTCAATGGCATTCAGGGAAGTCTCTTATCTTGATATGGTCTCTGCAGGAACCGCTTGCTCCCCAGCACATCTTTGAAGCCCCGGCGGTACGCCAAACTGAATTGATAGTTCAGTTGTACGAATTGGTGATATTTTTGATTATCTAGAAGGCTAGCACAAGCGCAGTGAATACTTTTGAAGAAAAAAGAATAGAGATTGGTATAATCACTATATCATATGAAACGGAATAATTACAGCTGCTCTGGAGGGAAAATTATTCCTAAATACTGGTAACTTTGAACGAGGCATTACTTAGGCTGCCCTGCTGCAGGCATTCTAGTACTTTTTGCATATGTAGGAATAGTGGGGCGTGTTGTGCTACAAGGACTCCGAATGACACTGCAGAGGTTTAAGTTATTGTATGCGTGCAAACAAAGAGGCATGCCATTTACTTGCTGGATCGCCCCCCAAAATTGTTTTCCTCCTTTGAGCAAAAAACGCTTGAACGTCATGTGCTCCAATTATTAGCGAGAATTTTAGAGCGTTAGTCATAGAACCACATGTTTGGATTCCTGACAATGTAAAGAGGGGGGACATCATGGATTATTCTATTGCCTTATGCGACGTTGCATGGGATGTACAAAAAGTGCTGCAATGTAGACAGAGCATTAGCTTTAGTTGTAGCTAGACCACCTTGAAGATAGGTTGCATAGGCAGAAAGGGGTAAATGTGTGAGTTGAAATGTAAGTCTCTTTCATTTGCTGTCGTCCACCTGTAGGACGTCACGACCTTGTGTTTCGTCCACGTAGCTCAAAGGGGGCTGTACTTGGTGGCAGGCCTTATCAGCGGACAGGTGAGAGCTTTTGTAGCTGTTAAGCTTACACGCAACGCCAAAATTAAGGCAAATACTCGAAGAAAATGCACAACACCTATTTTGAGGGGCCTTAGTCTTCAGCCTTCGGCAGGTATATCAAATGGTTACTATTGAAGCCTTCCTTTTAAGAAGCCGTAGGCTCCTTAGAAAAGCAGCGCTGGAAGTAAAAGATATTTTGTAGGTGTATGAGTGCACTTCAATCATAATAAGCGAGTCTGTTGTTCAGTGATGTAAGGCCTCTCCAAACTAGAAAACACAGGTCCAGACTGAGACGAAAATGAGGAGGTGGGGCCTGCGTATTCTGCAGATTGTTGTGTGGGATGCTAGTTTTCTTTGGTGCCAGCAAATGGCTGATCGACGTCCTTCATTGATCAGCAGTAACAGTGAGTACCCGCCCGAAGCCAAGACCACTACTTGCATTTTTAACCCCTCTTTCTGGGGTCGCTAGTGCTTGCCGCTGCCCTTTGGCCGTAGCCTCCTACCGATCATTTATTCTCTGACACCATTATTGACCAAGTCTTTTGCGTTAAGGGTGTCAAACAGGTGCAAAATTCCGGACTACCTTGCCACTTAATTCGTTTGCTAGTTTAATGTTTGCTGTTCCATACATCCATATTTACTTACGTCAAGTGAGACACACATTTTGGAAAATAAGTCTTAACTGCTTCGATTTGCAATTGCAGGCGTCGTACTCCCTGGTTCAGCTCAGTCGTCGTTGCTTTCCTCAGCAATCGATTATTCTCACAAGAGACCAGTGCAGCACATAAAACCGCTGCCTGCTTCTCTTGACTTCAGGCGCTCATTGGCCATTTACTTCAATCCAAAAGCGGAAAGCACGCATGTTCTTTCCTGTGGAGCGGATGGAGGTATTTTTGTGTGGGACATTGCCACTGCAGTGGCAAATGCAGAGCATGCAGAGTTCCTCTGGAAGCCAGTACTCCAATGCCAATTGCGCAAACAAGACACAGGTACGCTAAACGCACAGATCATCAGCTGACGAGTGTAGACAAGTCTCGCATATTGAGCGGCTTTGTTTGTAGCCCCCTGCCACATTGGCGTAAGCGCAAAGCTGTTTTCTATGCTTATTATTGCAATAAGAGTCATGCTGTTAGCTTATGTCGTCGCCAATTTGCATCCAAACCCTGACGGGCGGCTACCAGTGACTGGACGTAGCAACAACAGCAGCTCTCCAGTAGTTACATGCGCATCCCCTTTGCGACGTGCTGTCTTCACCCGGTAGATAGCCTCTGAGAAATTGTCTTCGTGCCATTTGTTGTTCTGGCAATCAGGAGTCCCCGTCAGCTGCTGTGAACTTATTGTGCTTCCTGAAAAGCCACAAACGGTCTCCTCCGAATTCTGGGCGTCCACTGTAAGCTTCGAGCTGGGACACATGTTCCAAGGAAAACCTTGAAGGAAACTTAATAGTGATTCTAGTGGCAAGACCCTGAATCTCCCCTGATTTTCCTAGCGTGTACGATACACTGTGATTCTCCAAGTTTGAAGGCAAACGATTGATGGGAATATGCATCCCTGTTTAACTTCACACCCGTCAATTCCGTAAGCAGTACACTGTGTGCGGGCGTGGCACCTGATCAGGAAGAGGGAGATATAATTTTGGGAGACTGGGATGTGTCATATGGCGACGTGAAAGTTGAGCATATTAAGCAGCACTTCCCAGTAGGCCTACAGCACGTTATTCTTCCTCCTGCTGCAAAATAAGGGCAGTAGTGCAGAGTCGTGTTCTTGGTTTGATGGCCAGCGATATAAGGTCAAAGCTTGACATCAATGTAACTGCAACTCATGCTGCCACTGACGCTGCTCCTTCAGTAGCTAAACTCTTTTTCGGTATATGCTGCCAAATGTGCCTTTGTGTCTGTGTATTTTGCGTTATCTGTATTTGTTGTAGGCCACACGCTGTTTCCGTCCGTCCAGGGCATTTCAATTGTCTCCGTTTTTGCCGCAAATAGCCGTTTTGGTGACTGAATTTGCTTTTCACATTTTGAGGCTAGGACGCTCCCGACCCGTGTACTCCTCTCCCATGTGCGATAAACGCAATGCACAAATACACTAATCCAGTCACATATCATTGATGAGAAGGGGAAGCAGTTTTTATCCACGAATTGCAAAAACTCAAGCGCCTCAAGCATGTGGCATATTGCTCTCAGTGGTGTTAGAACACCAGCGTTTGCCTTACGAACGAGCAAAGGCAGGAAGCTGGGAGCTTGGCACGACTATTGCCTACATGATACGGCTGCGTTCCCTTAGCGCGTTCACTTCATCTGCATGTCTGCACCGCTTCTTATAAATAAATGAACGACCACCGAAATTACTCCTGTGAGCACAGCGTTCGCACGTGCTTTCAGTCCCACCTCAAGTTACTCTTGCGGAGCTTGGAGCGCCTCTCGGCCTGGTGTGCTGTTCATCGGTAGAATCGATGGCAGCCTGGAGGTCTGGGATATCAGAGACCAGCTTCAAAAACCTATAGCTACTGCTCCTGTCTCTGCAGCTCAACTGACTGCCTTGGCATTTCCTGATCTGAGGCAGCAAGAGCATCAGCATCAGCCAAAGGGTGACCGTGGCCGTAGAAAATCAAGGAATTTTTCTAGACATGTACTGGCGACAAAGATGGCGGAGGCACCCTTCGTGCCCAATCCTGCTTTTAGCTACCTTGCAGTTGGCGATGCAGTAGGAAGCCTACGAGTTCTCCGGCTATTGCCCAGTCTCAGCACACCTGTAAGCCACTCTGCATGTCACAATCAGCGCTATATTACGGTACAAGAAACAGGAATGTGGGACTTTTCAGTGTGTCCATAGATCCCCCCGAGGCAAAACTTCGCTCGTTATGTGCGATCTACAGTTTACGAACAAGAGTATTACCGCAAGTGTTCATGATTAAGGGCTTAGCTGAATTGCGTGTCGTTTCTGTGTTATCATAAACAGTATCCAGAGGAGTTGTCAAACATTTCAACGATGCTGCTAAACGAAGACGAACGGCTGGACTACTTAAATTTTCGCAAGCCTATTCATGCAAAGGTGATCAAAGCTATATATAAAGCATGGTTTAGCTTTTTGCTTACTATTTACATTAAAGACTACCTCTAAGGCAGATATTCTCCTCGGAATGAATTGCCTCCTTCGATAGATAATCTTATAATTTCTGCTTATGTTTGATGTTTAGTAATATTCAAACTACTATTTTTCCCCTCGTGCAATCAGCTAATTGTGTTTAACCATAATCGAATGTGACTTGAACTGTTTCTAGAACTTTTTCTCTCTTTGGTACCGGCCGCCGACAAGACTTGCCTCCTTTATTATTTGTGGCTGTCACTTATCTGGATCGGGCAGGCTGCAGTAAACTTTATCCTATAACAGCCCCCCTAAAAGCGTGTTAAAAGAAAACGATCCCTGTGCTTGTTGTGCCGCTAGGCAACTGAATTGCATAAGAAAAGTCTCATGGCTGACAGAGAGGCAGAAACCCTACAGACGTCTGTAGCACCTGAGACCGAGTGTCCTGAACTTGAATCATTGGAGAGGGCATACAGAGATATGGAATCAGCGTTTCTTGAGGTAGGGTCCTTTATATGACTGGGTAGCTAACTCAGGCTATAGCCGCCGTGGAGCAAAACCGTCGGCGCACCTTTCGATAGATGAAGGCGATGTGAAAACCTAACAAAGCAGGTCATTAGTTCTGGCGCGTCAAATTGGGTCACAATTTTTAGCATTTATTAGCTCACAACTGCTAAAATACCTAGAGTGGACGAATGTTTGAAGTACATAGAATGTCCCTTCCAGATTGATAGCTGACCACCAGTCGACGAGGGTAGATTTCCACGCGGCTCACGTTACATGGACTCTAAAATATATATCACCATACTGAGCAATGTAAATCACACCCTTAATCCTGTGTACATTTGTGGTCTGCCAATCGGCTGTTCAATTTGTCCTTGTTTCCAGGACCTGGAGCACCAGGCAAAGCAGCAAGAGCAGGAAACAGCACCTACATTAGATGCATGGCTAGAAACTAGCAGTCAAGCTGTTGCATCCGATACGTAGAAAGGCGTGTCTTCGCCAGAACTCACGATAAATTCTATATGTATATTCGTCTGGTCCAACACGCCCGGATAACTGCACTGCGCCTCACTTCCCTAGGAAGGGATATTTTGCTGATATAAGTAAATGGGGGGAAAAGTGCAGAAGAAAATTTCAGTTGATTATAGTCAATCGTCGACACTTTTAGTGTGCTGGGAGGCGGCTTACGCCTCAGACAAAATCGAGAAGACGTACCCAAAGAGTGCCTTAAGTGTCACGGGTTGTCAGGTATTTGTAAGAATTGAGCAGCAGGCCTAGTTCCTCAAAGGCAAAAATCATCAAATGCCATCCAGCGTTTTACGACACAGAAAAAGTGAAATACTTCACAATACATAGTAAGTGAATAGAACACATTAGACCATTTTTTGCATTCATCACTATTTCGTTTTGGGTGAAGCTTTGTGCTGCCCTACTAAGGTGTACAAAATAGACTTTTCTGTTCTTCCTGCGTTTTGGCCAGGCTGTGAGCAGTTGCCTGAACCATCAGCAATTGACGCCAGAGCTACCGTGAAATATGTGTTTTCTGTGCCTATACAGAGGGTTGCTCGCCTCTCAAGACTGGCGGAGCTACATTAGTCCATCTGACTTGGCAGCATAGGGATAGCGATTCCCGCAGATGTGAAGTGCAACATGCGACTGCACCAGCTAAACAGCAAGCCTATTAACTCATAATAAAATAACTGTGATACTTCAAGTAATCGGCATTGATGGTCAGCGCTAGATAAGTCTTTGAATGTGAAAATCTTTAAAGAGTCATCAGGGCGGCTCGATTCTTTGTGACAATACGACTGCTGTTTCGTCAGCCCGCGATTGCACACTGTTTTATCAGATTCTTAGCTTACGTCTCGAGAATCAATTTTTTGACTTCTTTAAAGCTTTTGTTGTGTATTTTCCTCTCTCATGATACGGCGGCTGTTACAAAAGTACTTGGAAAGAAGAGGAATGCCCTTATTGACTTTCACGCGTTGCTCAAGTGTATCACATGATTATGACTTAGAAAAAAAGTTTTTCTTCATTAAAGCAGTGTATTTCACTGTACTCGGTAAACGTAAGATTGGGAAAAACGGCAATTCGTTATCTCGGTTGTAGACTGTTGAACCACAGCGACCCACCCACATTGTCGCTCAATGTAGCCTATCAATGAATGTATGAATATGCATCATAAAAGATTTACATGTGATTAGTACTAGGTAGTGGGAGATGTTACTGGATCCTCAAGGGACCTTCATTTGAACTGCCCCGGGGAGCAAAGTGAAAAGGTTGAATTGCCATGTACCTAGCATTTCCATTTCCCTAAAAATCAGCAAACAAACATTTCAAGGTGTACTTTTGTTTTTTCAAGCCCAGCCATATAAGATGGTTATGAATTTGATGACTGTTGTAATACAACTGAAGGCCCGTGTGGGGCGCTGTTGGTTTCTGTCCCCGATTTTTTCCCCCATGCCGATATAAAATTGAGACAAAATCATTGATTGTATGTGACATGAAATCAAATTAATGTATTACAGTAGTATTAGGGCTATTTTTTTGCTGGCTTCCACATTTCCTTCTCTTTGCACCTGTAAAGCTGGCGTTCTCAGCAGGGGCACTCCGTGTGTGGGGGTCTCACATTGCGGTTATTAGTAAGTGGAAAGCTTGCAAGAAGGCTTATTTGCCAACCATATCTAGAATTTTAGGACATCAGGCAGACAGTCTGCATAGAAAATACAAGCGGCGCAAGTGCCCTTTGCTGAGAAAAGGTAGGAATTCGCAGGTGCAGTGGTGTGAAAGATGTACATCGTAATGGCCAGCTTTATGTGGAGTACCCGAAGCACTTGATGCATACCTCAAAAGCGCTTAGCAGCAAACAAAGCAGTCAATGCCGCACGAGCAGCTGCATAAGTGCAGCTTGTTTGGGTATACAAGAAATCGGTCCACACAGAAGCTCCTCCCTCCACATGGATAGGCATCCCTAGGAGGCTCAAGAGGGTCCAAGCCACAACATCTTGGGAAGCCCACAACGTGCACTTGATCAAAGGAGAAAGCAAGTAGCTATCTACTACTAACTTTATAAGGAAGCCAGCCACCTAATGACATGAAGCTATACTTCAAACCGCAAACAAACAGGATTAACTACTAAACTGTTCACTGACTAAGCAGAGCCTTACTCCTTTCCCCAGTCTCTCCTCCGGGAGATAGGAGGGAGTGTGATACTGTCTCAGCGTTCCTAAGAAACGATGCTGCAGCTACAGGAGGCAACCCGTGGAGACTGCGGTATAAAGGGCTGTTTCTTGGCAGAGTGGGGAGTAGGAGGGCGCAGCAGAGAGGATCTTCACTGCCAGAGGGTCTGGTCTCTTTCCAGTGAGGGCAAACTCCAGGCTTATGACCTTGAGGAGTCTACGGCTTCAGCTGTGCAGGCGCACATCGCCCTGCCCGTGGAAGATTCAATCCTTGTAGCAGCGATCTACAGCCTAGTTGGGGCTGGAACGGTTTTATGTATGGCTTTAGGCACTCGGGCTGGCTCTGTGTTCCTACTGGAACGTTTGTCAGATCCGCCCAGCGGTACGTATTCTCTCGAGAGCTGGGATGTGTCTGCACAGGCACTTCAGGCTCACGCGGCCCCTGTAGATGGAGCTGTGTGGAACTCCGATGGCAGCCTTCTCGTTACTGCTGCAGCAAATGGATCTGCATGTATCTGGCAAGTCTAATGTTTGAGTGCGCCTCCGTAGGCCTAAACCCTATACTCTGAGAACGCTAGCAAGTTCTTCTGCCTCTCTGCCCACTAATCAAAGAGTGAATGAGAAATACGTATACTATATGGGCTGTGTATTAGGAGCCGTCAGGGACTAGTCTGTCAGAGGCGATTTCAAGTGTGCGCAGAAGGGCCAAAAGATTGCAACTACTTTGCTGCTGGTGGCCTAGGGGTAACTGCGCTCTGCTGGGAATGGGGAAACCAAAGTGTTCTGCTGGCTGCTGGAGAATGGATCACTCTTACTAAGCTACAGCACTTTTGTAGGAATGTCCAATGCCAAGAAACGAACGGAGACAAGGCAGCAGAAAATGCTGAAGTCAAGAGCTGGAAAGCGCATCCGAGGGGCATAACTAGTGCTGACTGGGCTCCTGTTTCAGCAGGAATGATAGTTTCCACGGGTTGTGACTGGACCTGTCGCATCTGGGATGCGGAAGGAGTTCTCTTGAGGTCTATGCCCACAGAGCACCTTAGCGTAAGCCCCCGGGCCTGGCTACCAAGCGACGGATTCCGAAGGGGAGATGGATCGTGGGAGAAACTGGGGACTCAGGGGCACCCAACCGCAGTAGCTTGGAGCTCGTTGGGAGAATACTTTGTCATTGGAGCTGGGGGCTCTTTGGTTCTCTGTAGTGCACGAGGTGAAGTTCTGGATATCGCTACCTTACTTCACGGTGCGTTCAATGCAAGAGAGTCCTGCAAAAGCTGTAGACTAGGCGTCTCATTACAAAACCACACGTTATCTATTTACAATTCCAAGCTTTTCTGGCTGTGTGGGGACACCTGTAGAGTTTTACTGGTCAGCCCTCCAAAACCATTCACGTCAGTCAGCAGCATTTTCGTTGCGTCAATGGAGAGCCGGATGCTCTAGAAGCTGAGAGCAGGCCAGTCTTAAGGGGTTGTATTCATGTATATCTTCTTCTGTGTATGTCTACTATTCAGTGAACTTCGTTTTCGCGCTGCGGTGGGCCTCTGACAGTCTCCAGTTTGCAGCGGCCTGCGGGTCCTCCGGGTTTTATTGCTTCAAAGTCAAGGTTATAAGAAGAGACAGCTGGCGTTATCGTACAACGATGGAAGGTCACAATATTTTAAAAATAGAGGTACGATAGAACCAAGGAAGGCCTTCCTGCCACCGCATAGCAGTAGAAAAATACGAGCAGGATTTGGGGCTTGCACCTAGGTAGATGGAGCATGAAGTAGCTACGTCATGCATCAATTAGGACGCAACGGAGCCTAGATGAGTAAGGCAACCGAATGCAACATACCGAGCTCACTTTACGGAGTACACAGAGAGAGAGGAGAGAGACGCACAGGAAAATCCGCAAATATGGCAGCTGGACAAATTGAGAGCCAGATGCAAATATATATGTGCATATACAGAACTACATTGAAGGATGGATAGAGAGAGAACAACCGAGAACCAGGAATGCAAAGGGGTATTCGGTGAATAAAGTTCATAGTCATTTGTGGACGCACTAATTGGGCTTGCAGGATTGGCTGGAAGGGAGTCAGAGCAATGTCTTAACTAGGGAAAGTATTGTGGACTTTGCGCAGAGTGAGGAAGCAACTGATACACCATATCCATTCGTTTCCCGCAAAAAGTCCCAACTATAAACCGCTAGAGGTACCTGATGTAAGGGTGCTAAGCTCCAGCTGTCCTAGGGGTTGAATTGCATGTAGTCTGATATTTTGCGTTTCCGCATGTTCCTTATCTGCTTCGCCTGGCGCTGTTCTTTTGAATTGCTGTCCTGCAACCTGTATCGAAGGCCCCGAATGCCTTGTGGTACTAACAACCAAACAATGCATTGTTTACCCTACCCAGGCAAGTGGGCGTGGTTTTTTGTTTTCACCCTTGGCTCAGCGCATTTAGATTTGAGCCAAGCACGCGCAACGTGGATGGTGTCAACTAGCGCGAAAGAAACACTTTAGCCTGCTAGCAAGAATGGCCAGAAGCTACATACTTTGAAACATGGTCATTCGCATGTGTTTACGCAGGAAAATGCCTCGATGCGCAGAGCGCCAATTGCTATAGAGACATCACAGCCGCCCCAAGAAGTATTTGTAGGCCGAGGAGCTGTCTGCTACTCAGACTCAAACGCTCTTCACGTGCGGACAAAACGACACAGCTGCTTATTGCTTCTATTTTTGCTAATGCTATTGCTGTAGGCTTTGTCCTTGCTTTTCCTGGTATTCCTGCCGTTGCTCTTATTGAAGTTGCCACTAGTTTTTCTTCGAACTGCTTGTTGTGGCTTCTAGCAGTGGAGCACATCTGGTCAATCGACTGTTTGAGTAGATAGTGATGCGAATATTGGTTGCTTGCTCAGCTCTTCACGTAGGCCATAATAGTTGCGTTCACTAGAAACGGCAGATACTCGAATATGTCGTGTCCTTTGTTTTGACCTCTTGAAGCCTACGTAGTGTTATTGAATGCATAAATAGTTGATTAGTTTCAAATGGTTCCCTCCACTTGCAAGAAGCATCAGGGGTAGAACACACCATGGGGAGTGGAATGCCTCCAAATAATCTAGCAATGCTTCTTTGCAGGTATTTAGTTTATGTGGTGGCCGTCTGTGCTGTATCCCACGTCCAGCGGACGCACCTTATAAACTCAGGGCTGCTTGTTCAGCGGCAGTAATTGTTCTGGTGAGGAAGCCACTTAATTCAAATAGATGCAACACGCAGAGCCGTTCCTGAATTTCCTATCCCAAACTGTTTTGCCAATGATAGCAGCAATAGGAGAAAGGTTTGAGTCGGAAAGATTTTTATGAGACATAGTGAGGCAGCCGTGTAAACACTTTTGCGGTCAAAAACGGACACTTAGAAAGCTGCAAAGGAAAAACCCTAAAGCACGCGACTGCTGTCTAGTTCTTTGGTACGTGCTACGCTACTGGCCATCCTTCTTTGCACCTGGTTGCATGGTGCTTAACGGCGGTTGATGTTAACTGTGGCCATCTCACTACACTGCAGTTTTCCTTTCTTGCTAATTGTAGGTGACAGGCAAGTGGCAACAGAGGCTGCAAATAAACGACGCACGGAGTGGAAACTTTACAGAGGAATACCTTCACTGTTGTGAAATCAAGGAGGTTGGCTTAACGACTTTCAAGAGCTTTAACCGTAGACCCTAAGCTCACACCGGAGCCAAGCCAAACACTTCGTCACATCAAGGCGTATCCAAGCATTTAGTTTCTCTTAGGGGGTGAAGCAGCATTGCAAATTCCTGAATTAGTTCCATAGCGGTGGCAAGAATCGCGTTTGGTGGACTCCCTGGTAGTTCGTTGACCCGGCCAATGTATTGAAGAATTAGCATGGTCTGTATCTGCAAAATACTGAAAATATCCACTCAATTCGGCATATGCAGGATTTTCCTGAAGTCTATGTGTTCGTTTAGGTGGGCATTACCCAGGCCGCTAATGGGGACAGGTGTCATATCGCCATTCGAGACGCCAAAGGGGCCCTCTTGATTTCAGAGGCGAAGCGGTTAGGCACAATAAAAGCAAAGCATTAGTGCTGTATCTGGCATATACCATGCTTTGACACTTTATTTACTTGTCCACTGTTCATTAATCTGCCTCTTTTCATACTGCTTTATATATTTAGAAGGACTTTTGCACAGAATGACATAAGCATACTATATGCACACCAGATGTGACATATATTCAAACGAATACAAATGAGCGTTGTTCCTAATGGATTGATAGTACATCTCCAAGATTGTGCATGCGCATGTATATACCTGTTTTAAAAATTTGGCTGTACAGTCGTGGCAATGCATACACAACTTTCTACTGAAACTCATATTCACAGCTATTCTTGGTGATGAGATAATGTGGCATGCATCGCACACGCCAGAGCGCGCATATTGAGGCTGTGCCCTTGTGTACGGATAGGGTTGCGCAATCCACACGTGATAAAAAGTAACTTTACATTTGCATAACATACCTACACCTGAATACCCGCGTTTGTCAATATATCTGTATACCTCATTAGAAGTACACATAAGCTCAGCAATAGTGCATGGATTGAATAGTGATATGAGCGCATCGAGTATAAATGTGCACGCCTCAGGCCCAGGCAATGGATGGAAGTGAGCAGCGGCCTTGTTGCAAGCTTCCGCTGGGTATGGGGATCTGGGGTGCTGCTAGGGGTCGTTGACGGACAGTTGCACCAGTGGTTTGCAGCCCCCACTGTAGGAGACTTGCTGTCTATCTCGGAGTTTCAATTTCCAAGGGTTAGGAGAAAATGCTGTTCTACATATCGGCTTAGCACTTAATTGTAAATACTGAAGTAGCATCATGCGTTTGAAACAGCTAAGAACGTATTTACCGTGCATTGCACTTATCTTCGAAGCCCAGGTAATATCAAGCACATTAATAGGGAACTTCTGCACTGTGATTTAGTCTGTGTGGTTGATACTAATATGCAGCGTGCTTTAATCTGTGTAGTGCTCCCAGTTTTCAGCCCTAAAGTAGCAGCAAACCTAACTCTAGCTGTAGAAGGTGCAATAACTTTTTAAACTCTTAGGTTCCATAACTAAATGAGAGCCACTCTATGTACACATCGTGGTACTAAATGACTAGTCCTGCATGGTAGTACCCGCACAAGCCCCGTAGATGTTTCTTGTAGTGTCTATGCCCATGCACAATGACATTCTGCTGGAGGGATAAGGGGTGCTGTGCTCTTTGTCAGCTGAGTCTTGGGGAGGCTCCCCACATAGATTCCACAGTTATTTCGGCTGAACCAGAGGGGGCACTGATAGCAATCGGAGGGGGCCTTGTAAGGATATATGTGCTGTCCCCATTTAGCTGCAAGCTGCTTTACCATCTGGAGAAAGGCAACTGGTGGGTCCTCTGCTGACCTCGCCATTGATGCCTTTGACACTTCTGCCGCCTTTACTGCTCCCCATCCATATGTAACTACTATACAACCAGAATAGCTGTACTCGGAAAGCTTATAGAAATGTTTCGTGAGTGCATATACAGAAACAACGAAGGGGAACAGGGGAAGAAACACTACTTGTGCTGGGGTACAAGCATGCAGCAGCAGAGCAAGCTGCTTTCGAATACGTTTCCAAATTTGTTCTTTTCCTACCAAAGCTGTCATTTCTCTGACTGCAGGGAGATTGCCAAACTCACGTGCGTGCTGGGAAGAGACCCCAGTATGTGGTGCTGCCTAGCCAGAGACGCATTGCACAATGAGTATGCCAGAGTGCAGAAGAATTTAGACTTTGTGTTCTAGCCCAATTTTTGAGGCGTATATTTCAGCCACTCTCCATAATCCTTCTCCATAAACTATAGGTGATCCTCCGGAAGTGGCACAAGCGGTAAAATCGAACTGCACGTACACCCCAACGAGCATCAAAAATTACTCATCATACCTGGATCTTCCAGCTCGCGATAATTAATTTTGTAGTATTCGAAAAAGTCACTGCCTGATCAAAATGCATGGAAAAGTCATTATACTCGAGGCGCCAGCAGGGGATTCCTTTGCTCTGCTTTTGCCAAGGATATTTTTAAAAGCAATTGGCTTGCTCCAGAGCACTCTACTTTTCCCAGCTTATGCCTCGTAGTGGAAATATGTAGTAGAGTGCCTAAAGGATAAAACTGCTTAACAGATAGAAGATCTAACCGCACTAACGCCAGGCACGAATAGCAAGCAACATGAGAAGGGTTCAAGCAGATTCCTGCTGTTGTGTACCCTCAGGAATTTAACAATATGTGACTCAGCCTTCATCGCCCTCAGAGACCTTCCCCGTGTGCAGCTGATGGAGAAAATCGCTCTAAGTGACAGCCCTACCCGCCGCGCACTACAGCTGCAGGCTCTTGGGGCCACCCGGGAGACAGCAGCGCCCCTGCGGAGAAACAGGCTAATCAAAAGCTGAGAAATTGTGTCAAAAAACAATTATATACAGTCAGCAGGGGCAAAAAGAATATTACGCTTCAGATTGCAATGCGTTAGCGCTTGTAAATAGGGTCTGAGAGCCCACCGCTTTAATTACAGAGCATGAAGGCTAGATTCGAGCAGTTCCAAATATTTCGTTGTTTGAGAAAGCTTGAACTGCCAAGGATAGATAACGCAAGGGAGTGGTAGACCGCAGGGCACCTTATTCCCTTGTGGACTTCCAGAATTTGAGCCAAAAAATCAATAAGATTAAAAGGAAGGAATGATGCTATTGATATGGCTTCCAAATCAGGTTACTTGGGGCTTGCTTATTTGACACATGTGCATGGCCATTGACGGTTTGCTGGTGGCCTCTACATGAATGCCACGCATGTAAAACGTTAACATATCAGTAGTAATAAATAACTTTCTGCTTGAAAATCTTTTCGAATATCGAATAAATTCTGTTCGAACTTTGGTAGTTATTTGTGTACAGGAGGCCTTGCTTCTTGTCAAAAGCTCCCAGGGGGCAACTGATGTCTGGAAGACCCGCAGTCAGATGCCGCAGCAGCTCAAATGAAGCCATGATAGAGAAGGTACTTGGAGATGATGCGGCAGCATAAGGGCGGGAGATAAAACAGAGACAGACAACAGGCACGACAGAGAGGAAGCGCAGATGCAAGGCGACAGGAGGGAGAAAACATCATGCAAAATAGCCTGAAAAAAAACAGGCTGAGAGAAAACTGCGACACAGGGAGGAAACCAAATATCGGAGAAGGACTCAAGTCGATGAACCTGAAAGAGGAGAGGCAGCGAATAGATCATGGAGCTGTATGGATAACCGAGATAGGGGCTGGTATCAAGGAGCATGGTGTGAAACGCTCCATAAAAATTCCTGAACCTCCAAGCACGAAATATGGGATGCTAAGTGAAACACTTGTACAGGATCTCTCCAGTCAATCTAAAACTCTGGGTTGTTCCATGTTGGATTCTAAGACTCATTCATAGCATTTATCCTACCAGATACATATCCAGCCCTTCTGGAATGCTCTCAGGTCTAAAATTCTGTCCTGTCTAGGGCATTTCGTTTTGTTTGATTTTGGAACCGAACAAAGGTGCCAGCCGGAAGTCCCTGACCTCCGAATCCAACAATACACTTGTATTGTTCAAAGTCCTACGTTGTCTTCTATGTGCTCAACTTCGCTGTTGTGTGCCAAACAATGCGTGTGCGTATCTGCTGATTAATAGAAAACAGATTGTAAGTTGAAGGAAAACAGATTATCCCATGTAGCAACGACCGTTTCACCGTCATCATACTACACAAATGCACTGACTTCCCAGTTTCGTCAGCTGTAAAGGTGCCCCCTTGAGCCCGCAACAATCCTGTAGCGGGGCCTATAGTATGGCTCCCACTGCAGTCCGAGAAGCCTGCTGGATTTCTGAAGGCTTCTCACAGCAATTCCTGAAAGCAACAAGAGCGAGAAGACTGATAATTTAATTCTCTAATCAAGCGGCACAAGTCAGTGAGGAAGCAAAAACCGCTTGAAAGTGGCGCTGGTATGCAAATTGCCAAGTCCTTGACTTTTCACTTTGGTGATACATGTGCCTGGAAGCCTGTCATATTCCTTTTCTTGCTGGACTATTGTTGTTTGTAATGTGTAGATGTAAATGACATAATGACAATTTTGTATTACTAATAGAGTTACATGATGAGTGAGACAGAATAGTTGCTCGGTCGCGTATCCCACAAGTCTCACCTGAGTGCCACAGTGCTGCCCCCGCTCATCAAAAGGGATCGCGCAATGGAAAGATTCACTGCGAAGTTGTATGGGTTGCACGGCATCGATGAAGAGCAGTCCTCAGGCTTACACCCAACAACAGCACGAGCCCAATCCTGTACAAAACACCACGCCTCAAAACAGAGCTGTACGCTTTGTCTGGCTTGAGAGGTGCAGTTTGCGTGTTTTGTAAAATCGAGTAGATGGGAGTGGAAAATGTATGGTTGGCAGTTTCCTAGATGGGGTCGTGAAGTAAAGGGGTGCTGGCACAAGATGGGATGACCTACGCCTCAGGGCGTGTACGCAACTTGATACACACTACAAAGGGCGGGTGCAGTGCTATGTGAAAGGTTCACATATCAGGGTCTGCCGCATGTGGGCGGTTATGACAAACCTTCAGCGCCCAAGTAGGGCCCGTCACTGGGTGCAGAGTTGGGTGCTCGTAATGCTGGAGAAACCTGTGGACTTCAAATGCTTTTCTCTCGGGATCCCATTGAAGCTACAGCATCAGCAACATCAGCAGCAGTAATATATAGGTGTACTGCCAGCACGAGCAAACAATCACACGAAGATAAGACGCTTCAACAGGATTGACTATAGCCCAAATCGAGATAAAACGCTGATAAGCACTTCAGCATAAGAAAATGAAGTACTGCACTCATTAACGTACCGCTTTAAATCCCTCCAAGCCTCCAGGGCTTAGGGTTAATTATAACCTCACCACCCCCTTTGCCTGCGCCTCGGGATACGAGGGGCGATAGGATTCACATGAATACTCACCTTGGCATGTCCCTTTAGCCCCCATGCCATCAGTTCGAATCGCGAGAGAGGCGAATGTAAATCTAAGAGTAGAGACACAGAAGGCCCGCGCTCAAACTGTATGTGGCCCGAGAGGGTTCCTGTAAAAGAGAGGCAACGCATTTTAACGTTGGAGCCTTGGGCTGTATTGAACTAGGACGCATATGCGTGTGCATTATTCACAGGTAGCTAAATAGTCTATGCAGTGTCTCATAAATATATACTTGTATTCATGCTTAACAACATATTGATGGCCCATCTACGTACACACAAGCATGCAAGTACAAGTCTATATTCAGCTGGCCCCCAAGCATACATGTATTACGACCTGCTTGAATATACCATTAAGTAATTTAGTTATGTGCATCTCGGAGCAATCTAATCGTCAACATGGACATTTGGCCTTTCATCAACGAACGCCTTTGAATACTTTACAGGCACCCATATTTTCGGCATCATTCTACATCCGTCATCAGGTGTCTGACGACCACGCTTCAACAATCTACTCCGTTTAACCTAACAGTTCCCGCAAGAAATCGCAATTCAACTAACCTGAGTCTCCAGTTTTAACAGAAGACACAGTAGATACCTCCCCAAATAATTCTCGCAAAAGAGCCACAACGCTACAGCAACTTCCAGTTAGGAGCTCTGATACACACACAGGCAATCAGAAATTGGCATGGTCCAGCTGTCCTAGGTGTAATTTGGCGCCTAGGGGATACATCGTCTACTTGAGGGTTAATGTGTCGCGGATCGACGGAGGTGTTGTGGCTCAGAACATAGGTTTGCCGGCCGCTTGGCCTTCATGGTATCGAAAGCCTTGTCGGTTTGAGCTAAAGATGAAGTCCTGTACTTAGCCTTTACGGTATTGGAAAGCTTCTGTAAGTTCAGGTCTAGCACAATGTCTGCATGCTTGAATTTGTCCTTGAAGGCTTGGGTATGTGGCTTACCATTTAGACTACTGCTCTTGAGGAGGTTGTTTGCGTTTCCGCATTCAGCGACAGCCTGGTTTTGCAGAAGCGATGTACAATTCACTTGCGCTGCCACAAGCTGCCCTAAGTCAAGAAGAATCGCTTTCACTTTGGCAGCAGCGACTTCGTGTATGAATGAGCTGCATACTGCCCAAACACACCGGGGTGTGGAATCACCGTACTGCGACACAAGGCGCTGCATGCGAGGAAAACTATAGGAGGGAGGAGTGCAGCTAAACACATGCTTTTCTCTGCCTTGTGGTATGGAAAAGAGGGTCTCCAGCAATTCCGCCTGCAGAAAAGATGTAATGCAGGAAACATATGCAGTCTTAAAACATGGCTAACTCAACCGTACTTAGAAACCTCCACATCCCCGTGCAACCGCGTGAGTCCCCCCTAGTATTTGTCTAGGGTCCCCAGGTGCTTTCTGACCCCTTTCAGCATGCATATGCTTTACTTACATGCATTTCTGGCGAAGCTGCAATAATAAAAGAGTCCACACGTTGTGACAGGACGATGGCTTTTAAGCTCTTTCTTCCCTGGGTGTTCTCACCGTCTCCCCATACCACGCGGTCTGTCTGTAAGCCTGAGCCCTCTGGGGACCGCATCAGCGATTCTGCTGCTTCCCGCCGCCGGCACCATAAGTACACGACGTCTATACCTGGACTCTGTTCAAGTAGTGATAACCACCAACGGGCAGCTACGGGGAAAACAGAAAACGATGCACATCACGCACAAATACATGGTTTTCTTACCCCTCACGTTTATGAAAAGTATCTGGTGGTGTCTCTCTGCTTGGCTTTGCCAGCGCGCGCGTGCCTCTTTGCCCATTACATCTCCCGTGCTATTTCTACTTGCGTTATTGCATGCGCAGTTACACCATCATCTTGTGATCAATCCTGCTTGCATGCCTGTCTCAACCAGCTTCGCGCTAACTTTCTAAAATGGTCCTTTAGCTAGTGCTTGTCTGCCTCGCTCAAGCCCTCTCAGTTCTGTCTACCTGTTGCTGTCTGTCTTTCTTCGCTTTCTTTTCCTTCCATTTCTGCCTGGGTGGGTGCGCGTGTGTCTGCATACCGGTAGAGTCATCACCCAGGAATGCAGCCCTTAGCACAGCTCCGGCCTCGTCCTTCATCCTCGGAAATTAGAACAAGAGAGAAAGGAAACAAGGCAAAGAGACCAAGGCGGGAAATGAGAAAGGAACCTGAGATAGCACGGCAAGGGGCAAAGCACCGGAGGACCCCAAGTGAAAAAGTAGCAGGCAGTGCAGAAAATTGAATAGCTGTAAGCCAGAAGCATAGCCACCATCATACAGGGGGCAAACACATTGGGAGCACAATGTGTGGAGGCCCATACATCCATGCCTGGTTTGATGCTCCCACTCCCCCACCTTCTCAATTTCTGGAGTTAATAATAAATTGCTTATATCTTGGTTTTTGTACATCTAGGCTCAATTAACTCTTTTACGAACCTTTATATGCACATAGTTAAGGTCCTTTTGCCTAGTACGTTGTGAGAGAAGCCACCGACCGCTGGTCGGTTTCACTGTAGGGCGCAAGAGCCATCCTGACCCTTTTTGCTGCTTTGATTTCTTCCCCTATTTCCTATGACTTAGAGCATTTAGTATATATTTGCCTTTCTTATGTCCTTAATGCTAGTGTCTCCGGGCTTAGTATGTTTGTTGCACGTCCAAGAAGCAATGAGCACTTTACCGGAGTTCTGCATCAAGCGAAACCTCCGAACAATAAACTTGAAGCCGCAAAACCCCATATGCTTCATCGAAGACATATGTGTATGCAAAGTACATCAGTGTATTCTGTCAATTGAGGCGGCTCAGTAGAGGGCTTTTTATTTTGCCTTACCTGCGATGCAAATTTTACTGTTCACAAAAAATTGATTTCGTGCTAGGCCTTAGGCTGCACAGTATCTGGAAGAAATAAGCTTTGTTCCAAACAACCAATCTCCTAACCCCATTCGCTATCAAAAATAAAGTCGTAACCCCTTGGCCGTCTGTAGAAATGCACCTCGAAAACAAAATTACCAAGCAAGCATCACATGGACTTCAGCCTCAGCACACTGTCTGTTTTAAAAGACGGTAAGGCTGGGCATACAGAGGAGGGTGGCTACTTCGCCTTTGTGAGTAACAATTGCTAAAGTAACGCCCCTGTCTATCGGTTGATGAGCTGTATGTCAGCATTTCTTTTCTGCTGCACCTCGCCCGGCAAGTCTCGTCGCAGCTTTACTTTGGTATCCCCCTACCAGCATCTCCGTTTACAAGCTTCATTCAGTATTGCATTGGACCTCTCACGTGCAGTGACCTGCAGGGGCGTTCTGTAAGTTCTGAAAACCACTGGAGGCATTGTAGTCCCACGTCATAAGCTAGACACACTAAAGCAAAAGAACCGTAATGTATCTACCTAGGAAAGCCGAAACCCTGGCCTCTGAACTATCTAATCTGAGATTCCAGACTGTATCAACTCTATATTCTGCAAGTAGCGTCTCCATACTGGAAAGGAACTGCAGTACAAACCCTAAAAGTGCAGCAACAGAAAGAGACCGCTTGAGACAACGGGAACAAGAACGAGCTCAAGGATTGGGGTGAGGAGTCGATTGGGCATGCCTCTACAGAGGGCAGTATAACGTGAAAAACAGGAGGAGGGCCCCTTCCTCCCACTTAATGAAGAACAAAACGGGGCAGACAGGACACATCAGACTGTTGATAACAGCTCAACACAGACCCTGCATCGCTGTAGCTGTTTTGTTTCGCGCTCATCTCATTCTATAAAGCTGAAAAGCTGTCCTTTTCTCTATGGCTCTCGTTTATACAGAGTGAGAAAAGGAAAACACACAACGCTCCTGACGCTGCTCCTTTCTTCCTTTGCGTCTCCGAGCTGCATATTCTTTGCCACTACTGTTCTCATTGAGCACTTATTAGCATTATCTGTAGTTTTAGGGAGAGACAAATCTCCATTCACCGTCAGTTAACCACGGCACGTCATAGCCTGACGAGTGGCTGAAGTTATTTTCCCCTCCACAGCGCCCTTCGCCTCCCTCTTTGATTGTATTGGGTTAATGCCTGCATCTGAAGGGCCAAAGGACTGCACATGTAACGAAAATCATCCACATGACCTTGTGGTTGTGCAGATTAATCAGAGATTCCGCATACGGAGCTGCAGGATCATGGCCACCCATGAACATTCTCCAAGACTCGTGATGGTCCAGGCGAGCAGGAGGTGTAGCAAGAGGTAGAAATGAAGAGCTCTTGCTGGTGCCGTTGTTGGTGTTGCTCCTATCCGTAGCATCCCCGTTATGTTGGTGCTGCTGTAAGCGAGAGAAGAAGGAGGTGTAGGTGCTGTATAACGACGAAGGCAGCAGAGGGCTCGACATTTTCGTCTGGAGCGTTAGTAAGACACAACACCTGAAGAATCGCGCAGATCAGTTACTCATGCTATGAACAATAAGCCTCACAAAAAGCATGAGGAGAAGAAAGAAGTCCCGGGGAGGCGAAGCGGAGACTAACATACAACTTCAGATCAGCTAGCCTCAAACAACGCAAAGCACGAAACAAACAATGAGATATATCAGGAAGGGAGAAAGCCACAGGTTTCGACAGGGCTACAAGGTGCGACTGGGGGACAATGACACAGAGATGCAATTGTAAGAGTATTGTCCACAACTAAAGGGTATCTGCTGTTACCGGCGCAGTGTACTCAGGCATTCATTTGGACAAACCTTCCAGCCTTGGGCTCACTATTTCTTATCGAACGCATGTGCCCTCATCCCGTACCCCCATCACGTCAAGGGGTCTACTTTTTTGTGCCCTGTTGCCGGAACTCACGAGAGGGCTGCTCGTGTGCGCTCCCACATGCCCGGAGCCCAAAGGGGTTATAGAGATAAATGTACACTTGAAAATAAGGGAAAATGCTTCGCTGCCTCACTATTTGAATGGAAGAGAGAGGAGTGCGTGTCGCAACACGTACTCTCGTCTTTGGGTCCGGTCAAACCTGGAAAGTAGGGGGGGACGAGGCAACGAGGTCGAAGCCCCTTCCAGTTCTTTGGCTGTTGTCCACAATCCATGAATTTTTCCTGAGAAAGACCCTTGAACCTCAACTCATGCATGTGGTACAACCTTCAGAGGGATTTGGCTGTGAGATCGAATGCATGCAGCAACATAAGCACCTGCCGTACTAGCAACGCAGAGGTATCGGAGTGAAATCAAAAGTGTACATTGATCTTATTTAACCCTTTTAAACTTAGGCTGTGCGGATTCATCACCCCAGCTGTTCTCGTTCGTGGGGAGATGAATGCACCATAGCAGGGTACCCCCTTACCGTTAAATATGGAAAGCAGCCAGAGCGTCCGCGCATAGCACTGCTGGCGCCTCCACAGCACAGAGCAGACAACAATCTGAACATCAGCAGTGAACTTTTGCGTTGCGTTGCACAGGATGCTTATGATTGCTGCTCCTGGTCTGCACCAGCCGAGCCAACAAGCGCGAACTCATGTGGCGGGTGAAGCTAACTTTGGCACTCTATGCTACACTAGTAATGTCTAATCCGAATTGACAAAGAGTCGAGTAGCTGTTTAGGTGGTTCGTTTAAAGCATTCTATTCAGAGTGATGATCCCTTAAAGAAGCTGCCATGTAGCGCACCTTTGCGCTACATGCTATTCGCAACTAGTCGTGAACGCTCAGGCTGCAGCAATGCTCGCCGTAGCTGTTCCTTATCCCCCATACTGGGTAGGTAAGTGGCAAGGGCAGGGAGCTTATATGGAAGGACACTGGATAACTTTCTCTTGGTATTTACATCGGGTTTGCGCCTAAGAATGTCTCCGTATCAAGGCCACAAGTCTAGCACAACACAAATTTGCATTCAAGGAACGGAGAAGCATTGGGGGATATATGCTTATATATATACTAGCTGTGGAAGGCATCCACGTCACAAGGGGAGGTGCCAAGCACTTAGTACGTTGCAGTGGGACGAGGGGAAACCTCGGCAGGCATTCAACGGGTTCACTACTTACAGTGGTGCTATATTTAGAGGAGTTTTATGCGGTTGTGGAAAGTACAGGGTATGAAAGCGTGCGATGTTCGGTCCAGCTACATATAACACTGTGTGGCTCACTCGTGTGGAGGTACTGTGGTACTGTCTTTCGTGAACTAATGGTGGGAACGATTTTAGGACTAGGAAGCTGAATTTAGCGCACAGGCGCTGGTCTGTAGCCTCTGAAATTTGTGGAAAACCACGGCGGGCTGCAGCTAGCATGTAGCTCATTGCGGGCACAAGGACCTCTTTGTTGTGCCGTTGGGTTGAGATGTGGTGGAGAATCCTGTTCGTGAGATCAAGTGAAGGGTGTATGTAAGGTTTTCCATTGGCAAATGCTTGTTGTGCTTGGTAACTGAGGCTACTCGCATAGTACGTACTCTACGTCATCCCTGCATTCGTCCTAATGCTTCTTTTCGGCTTGTAGTCGAATATGCCGCGTGGGCCGGCTGTAATTGAATGCACAGCCTGCGCTATCAGGCAGGATTACTGCTGAAGTAAGGGGTCTGCTGACTTTCGCTGCACACCTTACTTGTTTTATGTTTACATTTAGCATGAGGCTTACACATTTCAGCACGCCAATGCTAGCGAGTCATTGTGCTGAAGCAGCCCAGTCAATTTGGCCCCTCGTTCGTTTCTAGATACGTGTGCATTTTTCCGCCCTTCGAGTTCTCTCCACCAGTGGATGCGCTCACCAGATTATTTTGTTCGCAGTGCTTCATTGTTTTTTCCTGCGTGGGGAGTGACGCTTGAGCGCAAATTATTCCTTTATGTTCAGTGCAGCTGGTTTCCACGGACAAGTACGGAACGGCAAGTGATGCGAGGGTAGGTGTAGAGACTAAGCTATACTTAGGTGCTTTGACCTGTGTGAATTATAATGAACGAAGTATCAGTAGGGGGATTGACTTCATGTTTTGTCTGTTCGTATCGACTATCTATTGCAGAGTACTCTAACCTCGCTGCAAGAAGAGGCTGTTCCAAGTGCTCATGCACTAAATAATATGTGTACCTTGCTGTTGATGCTTAAAAGGCTTGGAGGATGCAGTTGCGTGCATTTCAATCGCCCCTCCTGCATGTGGGGAACAGTGAGTGGAGCAGGCAATGGAAAGTGGAAGGTTTTTGGAAGCATCTGGCAGCACTCTACAGATTTCTATCAAGCTGTTAATTGGGTCTGAAGTTAAACGTCTCAAAGAAGACCTAGGTGGAGTGCTACAATGTTACATCCTATGGCTGATATTGATGTTCGGAAAAAAATGCAAGCACGTGCATCACCCAGCAATAAAACATTAGAGGAAAGCAAGGCACACGCATTAAATGACAACATAATTTTGGGTCATATTGACGCGACTGCGAAAGTGTCGTCAGAGCGCTGAAATGGATCTACTATCAGCCACGAGAAAGCAGAATGAAAGTGTAGTGTGTAATAGGAGTCGAACTACACACTCCTGCTGCAGTGCCGCTGCGCCTAGTAGAGCAGTTTTTGCATGCTACGACGGCTATTGCACGCAGCATGGTCGACTTCAAAAGCGAAGAAGTATAACAGGGAATGTAGGCATAAGACTCCTGAGGGTGCATGTGCATGACACTGAGTACATACGACACATAAAAAATAATGACGGACACTTCTAGCAATACCCATAGATGGGGGTAGCTATTCATGGCCGAGTATGCTCTGGGGAAGGAGAACTAAAGGAACGCGATGATTGCCTTTTAAGCGACTAGCTTTATCAACCAAACAGCGACAGATTCGACCGCAAGCAACGAACCATACAAAAGATCCTTCGTCAACCATGAAGGTTGGCGCTTTCGAGCCCATTTTACCAAACGTTTCCGTCTATTGTTTACTCAGTGGCATTCTGTACTCGAAACTAGCACTTCCACGGCTCCATGTGAATACTCCTGCATACGGCTCTCATGGCTGCGTAACAAAGCTCGCGAATACTTCAGAAAGTTTTGAAAGTACTTCAGGCAGCCAGTATTGGTAGTTTTGTGGCACCTCCAGCTTTCAAGAGAAGCAGCGGGGTAAGAAAGGGCATTGAGTTGTGAAAGGATGACAAAATGGCCCTAGCCACATACTGGCACACTTCCTTGTCTGGTCACTTTCTAGTACAATTCATAAAGCCACACGAGCCACTAAGGCCAAAGCTTCGGGCTCAAAATACACAGCCCATTGTCGTTTATCATAATCTTACGCTGCCTCGCTTTACTTTTGCTCAGACATTCGCGTGCAGTATCCAGATGTTCCCTAAATCCTTTTACTGCTCAGGGTGAGTGCTGACCCCGCTTTAGCAGTCCCAGGCCTGGACTGCAGGGAAGATTCTCAGTGTACGGCAGGGATGCAGGGGAACAACAGGAGCATGAGTCTACTATTGCATCATAACCCCTCTAATCACAGGGAAGAAAACCAAATTATTGAATTGGATTTGCGTAGGCATAGAATCGCAACTAATGCAGAAAATGCTAATGGTGCGCTCTGTCTGTCCATCTGCCTCGGAACGTGGACGTGGCCCCTCAGGGTCAGCAGCCACCATTTGCAGCGAAGGGCTCGAAAGAAAGAGCTGGCTAGTGCAAATGCACGGGTGGGCCTCTGCCGCCCTTGCCGGCATTGTGCGACAATTAACTTTCATCGGCAGAAACCTTTCCCAGACCGCTGACAAAGACTTATCCGGCTGAATCATCAACCAACCTTCCAAACTGACACAACTAGTGAATGGACAAGAGCAAGTGCATCGAAGCATGCAATGCTACCAACTTCAACACTCCATTCATGGGCTTTGTGAAGAGACACTTAACTTCAGGCTTGATAATATTTCAATTGTAAGTATTGAGTAATTATCAAGAAAGCGCCATTCTCCCCTTGCCCGCAGCCCTCAGATTTCTCTAGATGGGGGAGGGGGGAAGGGACGGGGTGGGTTGCGAGGGGAGGGGGGAGGACAGCCACAGTGCGCGTTGCTGCATCCTCTAAGCACTCCAAGCTTTCAAGCTAGTCGCACATAGAATCGGAAGCACACTCATACAACATTGCCGGTCCTTGTATCGCGCCAACAGAGCTCTGCAGTAAGTAGAATATACAAACAGACAAATCAACTGGTTGGCTCTTTCCAAATTCTCAGTTGAATATATATGGTGTGCAGATTGTGCTTACGCGTAGCTTAGCTCGCTGCGCTAACTGTCCCTCTCCTTTCATCTCATGAACTCTGAGGCCCACAGGCAGGAAAAGCGGGAAGTCGCTCTTGAGAATCGCTCGACATCTTTTTAAAAAAGTTAAGCTTGTATTGAGCCTGGAGTGAAGCCTCTTTATAAGGAAGCCTCAGGAGGAGCAATACATACGCATTCTTAGACTATTTGCCTCCACAGAGTGTTTTCCAGAAGCAGCAAGGGACCCAGCGGCAGCTGGCTTGCTGTGGTTTCATCCGCTGCCACCGTTGTTGTTTCGTTCCTGAAGCCTTTAGTCGGGTCAGGATTTAACGGTGCTGCAGTTGGAGCCGAGACTAGCTCTGAAGCTGCCCCTGTTTTCTCTTGGTCCAATTCCTGCTGGCTCTGCTGTAGCAAGAGTTCCTCCCAAGTTGTGCAACATGGAGAAAAATAAGGGGCACTCCAAAGCCCTGCCTGATGCTTGCGTATCACTAACCTCCAGAGAACCTGATCTGCGTTTATACTTCCATTATCTCCCCTTGCTTCGGTAAAGCCTGCTGAGAGTACTGCGTGTGCTGCTGTAGAACCTGCTAGTGCTGGTGAGCTGTTCATTGCAGACGCTTTGGCTGATGCAATGGTCGCCACTGCTTCTGTTGTCGCGTTTTTATCCCCCGGTACCTCTGTCGCTGTAGCATCTAGGAATCGTTCTGCTGCCGCAGTGACAGCAGCAGGGGAGAGTCTGTACTGCTGCAGGTCAAGGGGTCCACAGGGCACGCCTGCCCATCCCCACTCAAAAAGTCTACTGTTCTCGTTGCGATCTTTCTGATTTTCGAGAAACTTAGTGTTCATATCTCCATCTGGTGCTAGCGTTGCTGCAGTGGCAACACTCAACCTGCATGGTGTCTCTTCGGATATGATCCTTACCAGCAACTGCAGCAAAGCTCATACGGGCAACAGAAGCCGTGGACACGGACCTTGAGCGCCAATGTACCAGTGGGAGGAACGGCAGCGGAGGGACAGGAATGAAACCAGTAGGGGCAAGAATACCAACATGATCATAGAGAGCAGCAAACTGACTGCCTCACAGCGTTGCTGCTCAACGAGAGCATCGTTTCCACAGGCCGCTGCTGCTGAGGCAGCAGTAGGAACAGCAGAATGTTCTGATGTCCGTCGCTGCACTGCAGCAAGTCCAGCTGTTTGCGCACTAGTGGCCGCAGTTCCGCTGAAACTCTTGCCTTTGCACTACCAAAGGCAATGTTTGTAGACCGATCCTCTTCTAGCGGTGCCGATACTTCTAGTGCTGTTCGCACGGAAGCAAGTGGTTCTGATATGCCTGATGCCGTAGATACCTCTGTTATGCTGGCTGCGGCGACCGAAGCTGTCCACAAAGTATCTGCCAAGATCTCTGGTCGAGTGCTTGCATCTGTAGGTGGTGCTTCCGTGCCTGCTGTAGGTGTTCCTGCTTCAGCAAGTTCTACTGTTTTGCCTGCTGCACTATGAGCTGCGGCTATTCCTCTGCCGGTATCTGCATTTTGAGGTGCTGTGGGTGTTGCTGTGGCTTCTGATCCTGCAGCTCGTGTGGTTGCGCATGTTCTAGCTGCTAGTGTCTCTACTTCCGCTGTTGCTGTGCTGCCTGATACTTGTGAGTCCACTGCACGATCTGCATCGTGTGGTGCCAATAGAGCCGCTGCATGTAATGTTTCTTTATCTGAAGCTTCTGCTGGCGCTGCTAAGGTGACTGTCGTATTTGCTATTTGGTGGCTTTCATCAGTTTCTGGGTTCGTAGTACCTATTCCTGCAGGATTTTCTACATTCTTTCCATCGAAAGTGCTGCTCTTCTTCCTGCTAATAGTGTTTTTGGTGCTGCTGGCGGCTGCAACAACTGGGGCCTGGACTTTTAACACTCGCTTGGCCTTCAAGAACTTTGCAGTTGCAGCAGACCGTTCCACATCAAACGGCAGGGGAATCACCTAATGACAGCAGCAGGAGAGTGGCTTCGGAAGGAAATATAGTTGCGAACAAGCGCTCTTGAGTGCAGCCTCCTCTCTCTGAACATCAAAATGAGCAGAATGCTGCTCACTATATTCTGCTCCGGGCTTTTGCAAAGAGAGAGTGCGAGGCGGTTTGAAGCGTGCCATTCAACTACAATCTCTGAAGCTCTGGCCTGAGAGCGGAAACAAAGACAAGCAGAGCCATACCGGTTAATAAAGGCTAAGTGCGACACGGGGTTCAGGAGTTCTGAGTGGGGCTCAGATTTAGACAAAGTGTACAAGAAAATTCGCGCATTAAGGTCTACTGCTTATGCCTACTGAATTAAGGGCACAGTTGTTTGGCTGACTCAAACTAAAGGCCATACGCACAACTTCGACGTTATTTAAGTAAAACTTTAGTAATTGGTGTTTTTATTGTAGCTTTTAGGGTTTGCTGACAACAGTGGGAACAGAAATCTCAACGCGCAACGCCTCCGGGCGGTTTGGTTTCTCCACCACCTGCGCAGAAATCCCGCTTACACAGAGGCAAATTCTGCACCACAAGTTTATCAACGTATTCTTTGAGGTGTGAACTCTAAGTCACAAAAATACAGCTTTAGACTTGAAACCCGCGACGCCTGTGTTTGACTTTCTTGTAGATCATGAGAGGCGAATTCTCCGATGCCAACTTCGCCCACATACACCACGGAGTACGTAGCCCATGGCTGCGGATGCAGCAGCTGCTCTGGCTGGAGGTCTTGCTGGTGATCTTGCTGGTTGTCTTGGTGCTCTAGATGGTTTGGTTGTTGCTCAGTAGTTTTAATGTGTGTTTTGTTCTTTGCCTGTTTGACCAGCCGTTTGAGCTCCTTCCTTCCAACTGTGCGTACAAGCACATTTATTCGAAAGGGATAATCGATCAACAGTGCCACAGCCATTAAATCCATATGCGTATGCAGGGCTGTTATGTTTGTTTTGTGTGCATGGATATGCCAGCAGACGTTCACGTAGGTATGCATGCAATTCTATGCATGTCCGGTGAATGATTAGCATTTATCAGAAGACACACGAAGTGTACTAAGCTATAATGCATTATTTATAGTAGTTACTGCATAAGCCTCTATAAAATGTTCAGATGGAACTTCTCTCTGTATATGTAAAAGCGCACGGAGTGCTCATGTATATAGTTTTTTGTACAGATGCAGATACCGGCACTTCATAGCTAGGCACCATGCAGCTCTATACAAACTGATGTATGCTTTTAGACTCATTTGTACTCAAGCGAAATTCCCGTTCTTTATCCTGCCTGCATGAAGAAATAAATATACATGCATGATTATTCTGCAGTAGATGGACGTACAGCGTACGCATGCGCTTCTTCGAGCAGGAGAAGCATCAGAACAATGTACCTACACGCATCTACGATGAGAATACTCGGCAAGACTCATACATATCCTGCTGGTTGGACTTGCAACAACACAGCGAGAACTGAATTTACCTGCGACTGATTCTGCTTCGGTTTTTGTGGTGCCTAGATACTTGAATTGTTGCCAGTTTGGGGCGAGGGCCTTGGTGGGAAGTGACACCAAAGAAGGACTGCCCCCCATGTATTGTTTTTTCAAAAGCCGGTAGTCTAAGGAGAAAAGAAGGAAATGAGAGCACAGCTAGAGCAAAATGTCGTGGAAGTTTCCCAGTGTCTCTTGTTCACACGCATATTTCCAGGGTACGGGTACAAGGAAAACAAATGAGGTTTATATATTCACAGGCCTCTTTATGTTTATGAACCACAGGTAATTAAAACACAACCAACGGTTTCAGCTGCTTGTGATATTTGATCAGAACCAGCTATGGTTATCACTTGAGAAAGAAACTGTTTATCCCTGTTCCTCCCCCCGAACAGCCGTATTTTTAGCAGTACATGCTTTGTGCAACCCACAAAGCCCAGAACATCGAAGAGATACATGTTATGGAAGACACTATGGCCTATGCGAATAAAGCGAGAGAAATAAGAGGAATGGCTCAGGGTAACAGGCACGCATGCAAGCAGCTACACACAGTGCTGACGTGATTTGCACGAGGAAAAGTCCAAAAGAAAGAGTCGTATACAGAAGCACGAGATCAAAAATTTATAGCTATTCACGTTTAAGCTGCGACATCACACACATCTACGATATGATATATTATAAGATATTTTGGGGGAGGTAGGCTGGCCCAGTGAACAAAATGGCAAACGAAGATATAGAGAACTCTTCACTCTTTATGCTCTACCTCTTGATAATTTTTCTCCTTTGAAGAATTGTTCTTCTAGGGTGCGCGCGGCTTGATCGATCAGCACCGACAAAAGAGAGTCTTTCGCTGCAGGCGCAACAGAAATGCGATGGATCTGGGCCCGAAGTGTAGATGGAAGCCTAAGCAAGCATACCTAGGGAATCTATTTACGGAGGTGTGCATGTGCATATGGAAAGGCATATTCGCAGGCACAATCGAGTGTTGCAGTGAAGCCCAATTACTCCTGGCAACTCATCTTCCCATGAAGCCGTAAGTATGTGGCATTTTTAGGAATAAATACACTAGGAGGTATAAAGCTTCTACATTTATTTAGTGGTACTTCCATCTATAGCCGTGCAGAGGCTATATGGTGGTGTGTGGAAAAATATACGTTCATACAAATGCGCACCCCTAGCAAACCATCTGCGCGTGCATATCACACTTTATTGTAGGCACAAACATGTATATGTGCTTATTCGCGTGCACATCCATACATCTGTTACAAATATGTGGCTTCTCTACGACTTGAAAGAAGCAGGTGATCAAATCGCCAAGCCTTAAACACACCAAAGGGAAAGGGTGGACAGTTACCTCTAATATTGTCGATGGTTGTAGGGTGCACACACACATCAGAAGTTAGGCAGGATGATCCCTCTGCACCATTGTAGCCCAAGGAGCACAGTTGACCAAATACTTTGTGATTTTGTGCGAAAATTTCTTCATCAGCAAAAAATTGAGGGTATGGATGTGGTCAGGAGAACATAAGCGGTTAAGCATTTGCTTATCTACGCATCAGTGGATAATTGTATTGCTGTGCTTGGAAGTCTAGTTTTTTACGTGCATCCTAATAATACGCAATCACGTACATAGGCTAATCGCGCTACACTTCCCGGAGGATTTTCGCCCTGCTGTCATCTGTTTATACAGACCAGAAGTCAAAAGCAGAAAAAGCGACAAATGAGCTACGTGCTTTCCTTGCTCACTTGTGCACTTGGTGGGCCTAGGAAGGGCTGCCAGGAAAGGTAGAGAGACACATACGCCCACATCCTCTCCGTCTTTCCTTTCAATTCCTTGCCTTTGCTGCTGCTGCAGCTCGAGTGTACATACTGCCTCCAAAGCGCAAATATTAAAAAAAAACGGCTGACACACACCACTGCTATGAACCACCGAAGTGCCGACGCAGATGCCTGAGAACAGGAGGCAAGCAACAAAGGGTGGCCGTTATAGAGCTGGCTACACATCTTGATTGTAAGCAAGCATGTAACCGAGAGGTATATGTTAAAAGAAAAACGTTCTAGGGGCAATATTCGGTGCCTTCGGGGAAGAATATAGTGCGTGGGCACACAGTGGCATGCTGTGCAAAACAAGGTATGTATTGTATGGTGGAAAATACAGCTACAATAACCTATTTAAAAGCATTTAGAAAGCATGTTTTGTGGTTTGTTAACTGGTTGAGAAGTCTGCACAGCTGACCAGGCCTGGGTCTGAACAAAGCTGTTCCCTTCGGCGCTTCTCCCTGTTTCTCCAATTGCAGCAAATATTCATCTTGCTCCTGATTGAGCCATGAAACAGTAAGGTTCGGCGAGCGGAGAAGTAGCAGGTACACAAACGTTTGTATGTGCTTTTTCCCGTGCTTCCTACCGCCGAGTAAAGCTCATTCAAAACATAAAGATATATGCAGCATCTGAAGCGAAGGCTAAACTGATTTCGTTGCAGCGATAGTTTTTAATTATGCGCTATAGAGACTGGTATATAGGCACGCGCCCAATAATTATTTCGCTTGCTTTTTGGTAAGTAACTGCATGTGTGCGCGCAGCTAGATCTGCTTGCATTACTTGTTTGTATTTTGGTTCAGATATCTCCTCCACATATTCCTTCATTAGGAATCCAAATTCTTTCTTCCGCATCGCAGCGCCGAGACGCTCAACCTCCTAAAAGATGGGATCAGAAAAGAGCCTCTGCACGCTGCCCAATGGAACTTAGTGTGGAATCAGCAACCGTACAGGCGATCAGGAGGCAGAGAGGCAAATTACCACGGGAGAAAACACCCATGAAGGGCACTCAGACAGCACTAGGAGTCACAAATAGGAATCAGCATTAGTATAGCGAGAAATTCGGAGGCCTATGAAGGCTGCACAAGACGAGCGAAAGTTGCAAAAGGGCAGGCGATGGTGCATAGGAGGGAGACAAAGAGGCACTGATGTTAGGTGGACGAGATAGAGCGAGGGCGGGGCAGTGAGACTTTGGGGGTACCTAAGGCGAAGAATCAAGAAATTATTGCATGGAATAAAGTAAGGCACTGGAGTGAAAAGGCAGCAGTGCACACGCCAACATGCAGCGCGCTAAAGGTGGAGAGAGGCGGTAATGATGAGAACCGAACGCAGGCAAGGTAGCATGCGAAGACAGTTCCCACGTCGGATTTCCATATCTGAGCAGTGAATGCTGTGTAAAACAACATCGATGAGCTCTCCATCCTATGAACAATTAGTATCCACTATGTTGAGCGTACTATCAAAAGCTGTAGCTATTTCTAGTTCAAGGTTCTGCTTATTTCTTTTGACTGTCTTCTATTTTTGTTGACATTAAAATTATGTAAGTGGGATTGGTGTTCCATACTGCGTAGGTCAGCTCTAGCCCTTCCGCCTGGGTCTTGTACGTAACATTGCATGACATTGTGAATACCCCAAATCGCACACCTTATGCCATATGCCCTAGAAGGCAAAGATAAACAGGTAAAATGTACTTCCTTCTGTTATTGAAAACTGATTATCTGTGGGGTTTTTGTCCTTTGAAAGAAAGAAGAAAGTCAAATGCACTTGAAGCAGTCTCGGGCACGAGCCACAACGTGACTCCAAAACCCCAACTCTGGGGTGTTCTCGTCCGTTTACTAAAATACGGAAATGAGAAAAGGAATTTAAAATAGTAAAAACATACATGCTAAGTACTTGAACTGCGTACTGAAGATCCCTAACTCACTATTCATGCACAGACGGCTGCAGCCACCACACAGACTCGCGGCCCTCTGCATAGTCAGTGCTCTAGACTGGAAACAAGGCCATTCAGACCTTGAAGCTTACTACCCTGAATTCTTCGCCGTCGCGCCTAAACCTTGAACCAGTGCTTTTGTGCGTCTTTGCCCGGTGTTGTTGCCCCTCTGCCATGTCGCCCAGCACCCAAATCCCTGACTCTCAAGGTACCCCAGTTGCCTGTGTTCAGCGTACACATGCATCCTAGATTCCAGGCTCTGTACCCTAGATCCTAATTCCCATGTTGTGGCGCTAGACCTTGAACGTCCGCCATGTCAACAGCCCGCAGCACATTCAAGCAGCTGCTGCGGAGCGCCGAAGCGGATCTGGCACTTCTCACAAGAGCTGCCTGTACACTCCGCGCGGGAAAGCCATCAGACGGCCAGGTGTACCCCTTTTCTGATCAGCAGCACACAGCTGGCGCCAGGGGCGCAGCAGACCCTTGGGTCTCAGACATTCCACTCAGAGGCTCAACTGCTGATGTGGCTGGTAACAGTAGCACCGGTGATGACATGTGCAGTAGCAGCTTCAGCGTGGAGAATCTTCTGAGAATACGGCGTCGCATTGTAGCGAATTTGGATGCAGCAGAGGCTGTGTTGCCTGCTTTACGTGCGTCTTCGTCTGCACAGGCGGGCGCAGCAGGAAGTGTAACATCAGCAGCAAGAGCCCAAGCGCGGCACTTCGCCGATTTGTTGCTTGCTGCCCGTACAGAGCTGGCAGCAGTAGGGTCGACCCTCGATGAGTGTATAGAGCGAAGAGCGCTCCTGGGCACCTCTTCGGGGGGAGTTCGCAGGGACAGAGCAGGAGACAGTGTGTCGTTTGCCGAAGGGGAAGGTGATGAGGGTGAAGCAGCAGACGCATCAGCCTTAAAAAGAGAAAGAAGTGGGTTGCTAAGCGCAAGTTCTTCCGTGCAGGAGCTTACTGAATCAGGGTTTTCTGCATTGCAACAACTAAGGAGTCAGAGGCAGCGACAGCAGCGGCAGCAACAGCTGTTGCTCGTGCTGCATTCTGGAGTCTCGGGTGTACGTACACTACTGGGAGGGATACACAGAGTTAGGAGGAGAGACAGTGTGGTGCTAGGCCTGGTTTTAGGGGTCTGCTTCATATTCTCTTTCCTGTGGATTTTTCATGTGCGAACCAGCAGATAATGCAATAGCAAAACATTGTAATATTCAATCGGTATCTTGTTGCTGGCTGCTGGTAGGTGTCGGGTGTTGTTAGCAGCGTATTCTCTCGCTGGTGCTACTCCAGTTAGGTTTTTGCTTTTGTCGCTGCTCCTTGCTCACCAAAAACGGAAAAAGTAGATACACAGGCAAGATGCAAAATTGCTACGACTCGTAGTGCAAGTCTGTTTTCGGAGCTACGCCACTGGGAAGACTCCGACCACAAAATTAGCGCTGCGACCGGGGGTCTATTTGTATTGCTATCTCTCCTGACGCCGCTGTCTGCAGTGCAAACACTTCATCGGAGAGTGGTGTTGCTACTATTGATGCCTGTGTTGCTCCTATCCTTCTGGCTCCTTCTGGAGCGCATAAACTACTTGACGCAGCTAGGCCCCTCGGGTGGAGGCCAGGGAGCGCCGCCTCATAGGCCATAGAGAAAACAGCAATTAGAAAGGCGCGTAAATAAAGACTTTAGGCCAAAAGATTTGCTGACTTTGAGCTTTGTGGGTGACGTTTGGGGTTGTACCACCGGAGGGGCCCCCATATGGGGCTTTGACCGTGTGCTTAGGGGTTTGTTCTGGGATTTTACGCATAATCCACCCTTTTAATAATATTTTGAGAGATGCAATAAGCCTAAAGCAGAGTTTTGGTGCAGTCCTCTGCAGACGGTTCCCGCCTCACCCCTGCGGCAGCTGCCGCGCGAACGCCAGCAGGGGTCTGCACCATCGCCAACGGAGGCAGAGCCGCCAGAGTCTTCCTTTTGACCCCCTGATAGCGCACGGCAGCAGAAGAGTCAGCGGAAGCGTCGGCAGCAGCACGACATAAGAGCCGACACGTGCGCCCACATCAGAATCAGTAGGGGAGCAGCACCAGCGAGACGGCGAACGAGCGCAGCCGCGACATACCTCCTCCAGCATCGATGTGGGGAACTCCAGCTTCCGCTGCAGTCTCTGTTGCTGCAGCAGGCAGCAGCACTGCCAGAGTCGCCGCGTGTGTAACGGCGAAATCCCAGCAGGCCGCTGCCTCGGCAGCAGCAGCAGCAGCAACTCCGGCTGGTGCAGGAGCCAGCGCCTCTGCATGCGCAGCTTCCTCTGCAGGAGCTGCTTCGACAACCTCTGCCTCAGCGGCAACAGCAGTTGCCGAGCAGGCCGTGGTCTACAAGCAGCAGAAGACTCCCGTGGGTTTCTTGTTGAACAAAGCTGTGGATATGCTCAAGCAAAACAAGAGCCGCCACATTCACATCAAGGAGTTAGAAAAAATGCTCATACAGCAGGGTTTCGCCGATCTGCATCCTTTTTTTTCCACGAGTCCGTAGTGCCGTTGTGCTTGCCAGATGGCGGTGGGGTGGAGTGCTCCACCTCCGCGTGGTGATGCCTGTCCCTTACCCGCTTCTTGCCTGCCACATCCCCTCCGTCTTCTTGCGCTTCTGGTGGAGAGAGCACTCCCTCCTTTTGGCCTCTACGTCTGCCTCCCTCCACACTGGGCTGGCTGCTGTCGATGCAGGCTCCTCCTTCCTCTCGATGCTCGCCGCCGTCGAGAATGTCTCGTACAACGAAAACCACAAAACTCTTTCCTTCACCAACCCGTACGAAGCTATCAAGGATCCAGAAGGCCTTCAAGCCGCCATTCAACAAGCAGGCACCACAGGTAAGGCCGTTCTGTAGCCACTGAGCCAGGGAGAGGCTAGCGGGTCTGGCAGCCGCCGAAAGGGTCTGCGGATGCACTGCTGATTGGTGACTCTGTGGGCGGTGCAGTCGGCTAAGTGTGGTGCACGCGTCGGTCTGCTGCAGTCTCTGCAGACGGGCGTTTTTGTGCATGGCGCCTTCCTTTGCACCTGCTCTCGCCCTTTCCTCCGACGTGCCTGTCTGTATTTCTACCGTCCCCGTGCAAAGACCCCGCATCTTTTCTCCTCTTTTCGCTGCGTCTAAAAGCTCCTCTTCTTCTTCTTTTCTCCTCTTTTCGCTGCGTCTAAAGCTCCTCCGCTTCTTCTTTTCTCCTCTTTTCGCTGCGTCTAAAAGCTCCTCCTCTTCTTCTTTTCTCCTCTTTTCGCTGCGTCTAAAAGCTCCTCCTCTTCTTCTTTTCACCTCCCTTCCGTGTCTTCATTCCCTCCGTGGCGGCTCGCTGCCAAACGCTTTGAACCCCTTCTTTTAGCCATGAGCTGCTTGAGCGCGCAAAAATCTTAGGCCTTCGGATCGACAGCGGCTTTTTGTTGGACTGCCCGGGTGCCGTGTCTTTCGTCAACGTTTTGCTGGCAAAAAGACAAGTTCGAGCAGTTCGCCTCAACACGAATCACATACGGGGAAAGCTCAAGTGCCTTCGGCTCGGTAGGCTGGCCGTCTAAAGCCTTATCTGCGAGAAGGACTGTAGGCACCCCAGAAGGAGTTCTCTGCACTCCCTCCACTCCCCAGCTCTCTACTCCTCGATACTCGAAATCCCTTCTGTGTGAACAGGCGCCTCGGCCTCTGCTGCGGAAGTCTGCGACCTCTATGACTCCAGAAAGTGCAGCAACTGCCAGAAGAATCTCCTGGGCTTACTCCTGTACCCCCTTGGGAACCCCGAGACGGAGGAAGCGCGACTCAAGCTGGACAGGGATATCAAGCGGCTGTGGGATACTGTACGCTGATCAGCATGCTGCGACTGACTCTGCAGCTATACATATATATATATATATATATATATATATATATATATATATATATATATATATATATATATGCCCCCTTGGGTGCAGCCGAAGTTGGGCTCAGCGTGATTTGGGGTTTAGGGGTTGTGGATTGCTCTGTAGGTGGAGTTGCCGTCCCTGGATATTATTTTGCTGCATTTCGATTCTTCGGGAAGCACTGCGAAACAGAGGAACAATAACGGGTATCGAGGAGAACCCCCTTGCTCTGTGGCATCGAGTGCTTTCGCGCAAAAGATGATCATGCCCCTCCGCTGTCTTCCCCGTTTTCCCTGCGGCGTCGCTCTGATTTTTGTTGCCCCTGTTGCGCTTCCCAGTCTCGCTACTGCTGCTTTGTGGCCGCGTGTTGTGCAGTGTGAAAGATTCCATCAAGCGGCGGAACCAGGAAAAGAGGCAACCTCAAAGGTAGGTCGACTCAGCATTCTCCTTCTCTTGCACTGCCTGCGATTGCGACTCTTTCTAAGGGGTTTTCCATGGAGGAGTGTGCTTAGTCGCTCTTAGTTTTTCTGCCGCTGCTATTGCTATTCTATTTTTCTGCGTCTTTGGTTTTGGGAAAAGGGGCCGGTCCACTCATGCCCAGCACTCACTGCCCGCGTTGCTGTTTCTGCTTGCGGGGTGTCCAGACACCGCAACAAGTTCAGGAGGATTCAGAACACGCACTTGTTTACGGCGGATGAACTGAGGGCATTCGCAAACGGAGAAACCATTCACTAGCGGCGCCACCTTCTGCGGCGTGTAGTGGACTGCACTGGGTAGCAATTCAAGGTTCGTAGCACTGAGGCTTTGGGGTTGATCTTGTGTTCCACAGCTAGTGTGAATCCCTTGTCTCAAGAATAGTGGAGTTCTACTCTCATCAAGGACCCTACGAGGGCACCCGTAGAGTTGCGCTTAGTCCACCAGTAGGCCAACTCCAGCGTACAATCAAGGCATCTTGTGGGTGGGGACGCTTGCCCCCTGCCTCCGCTGAGGGGAACTCCTAGACGTCTCCGAAGGCGCTTGCTGCACTTATCCGGAACCACCTGTGTAAGGGAACTGGCTGGACCGGGTGTGTGATTTGGGATTTTTGGGCTGTGGCAGCCCCTGGGGCTTGCAATATGCATGCAACAACGGCTCCAACGCTTGGAACTCAGTTTGTGCGCAGCAAAACCCCATTTTGTTTTCCAGCCTTTTCTGGCAGTCTCTGAATCAATTAATGCACTAATCCCTCAACAGAATAGCTCTCTCTTCAGAGCGCCCTCTCGTTGGGTTCTGTAGTAGAGGTGCACTCCTCGCAAGTGTCTCCAACAGTGAATCTGCCGCTGCAGTGGGCCAAGCTACATTTTGGCGGCTTCTACTGCACTGCGTTCGTGAAATCAGGAATTAATGCGGGATGAGATATTATTTGCTCGTTCTGCTCGTGAATATTTTTGCTGCACACTCTAAATGGATTGCTCGGCATAGTCAGTGCTCTGTGCCGGTGTATGACAGGACGTGATGCGCAGCAAGGCGTGACAGTTTGCGTGGGTGCTTCGAGAGTCTGGCAAGACCTCTGCACAGTGACATTGACCGCATTATACACAGAGCTTCTCGCCCAAAGGATACGAGCAACTGAATCAGATAATCTTCAATTTTTAAAAAATTATTGCCAGTATAATCGGAAGTGCCAAAGTCTGGCTTAGGGCCTACTACAGCCGGTCCCTAAGCCACTTCAAGACATTGTGATGTGCTCTCACTTGCATGGTCCCTCAAACCTCTCTGCCCCCAATCCACACGATAGTGATAGAGGAGGAGGATTGGGAGCGGGGGGAAAGCACCATACTTGCATACTCCAGCCCTGCCGAGTACTTCCCCAGAACTCTTCCTTCATTGGCACGCTCCGTATATTCTTAGATTTACGATAAAGCTAGGGCTGCTTCCCGTCAAACGAACCCCAAAACAATACAGCCATCGTTCAAGTGTGTCTTGAGCATAATTAGAGCAGTGGCCGATGCCAAAGAAGCCTGGCACTCTACGCAGACGCGAATGGGTGTATGCCCTGCATTGCCGGCAAATCTGGTCGCCGCAAAAAGTGCTCCTAAACTCAATTACGCCTGATTAATGCTGCTCAAAGGGCGTATTATTTTTGTATGTGGACGGCAAAGACAGCCATAGAAGCTCCCGGAAGCAGGCGACCTAGGGCGGCCTCGTGAAGTCTCCCAAGAGCAATAAACCATAGATCTAGGTGTAGCCTAAGCTCAAAACGAGTCATAGGGAGGCAAAAGCCACGTGCAGTTCAATTCATTTTATGATGCGGGGCTTTGCAGTCTGCAGCTTCCCTAGTGGTTGAGCAGACAAACCATCCGCCTACAGGCAATGACCAACACGTGTTGATGACGAAAAGAAGCGATCAGCAAATCGAGGCCAAGGAGACTCAAGTAGTATCATTCAGCAATATATAACAAAAGCGAGCACAGGAGCAATGCTTTAGAATTTATAGCTTGAACCTAGGAAATAGGGTCTAGAGGGATTAGGGTTTCGGGCCAGGCGTCTGCGGTGGCTGTGGAGAGCGTTGGGGTTGCGTAAAGAAAGCGCATGTTTGAGTGCCTGCCGCCGAGAGGCGTGGCTTTTTGTTTCCATGTTATTGTTTTTAAAGATGCAAGGACGGCAATCCGTAGATCCTGAGTCGTACGCTGTAAACCGCAAAGTCGCATGCAGCGCCTCCAGCCAAGCAGCGCCCCTGCCGCGGAACCAGGGGTCTCGTCACTTGTTCTTTTTTGGCCAAAGTCGCAAACCGTAAATTATCAGTCGTAGATCCGAAAGTGCCGTTGCATGCGGCAAGCCTAAATCCCCAGTGACTCCGGCGCTCGGCTTCCCACGCCCCCGTTCGAGGGCCGCACGGACCCTCAACTCTTGCCACATTTTCGGGGGCCCCCAATCCTTCGGGGGGCCCCCGAAGGCACAAAAGCTGGAAAGACAGGGGCCCCCATTCTTTGGGCCCTCAGCAGTAGCCGCTGCCGCAGAGGTGCCAACAGCAGCAAAAGCGGCAGCAGCAGAGGCACACACGGGGCTCCCCTTACTGCCCGCTTCTCCTGCTGAGGAGCCACTCCCCTGATTCAGCGGGGTCCCGCAACAGGGCGCACAGGCATGGTTTGCTGCTCCCCTCCAGTAACACCAACCCCACCATCACAATGGAAGGGCACGCCCTCCCAGGTTTGACCCTGAAGGAGGGGGGGCCCCTCCCGGGGGGCCCCTCTGGCGCCCTCGGAGTGGGGGCTTCCCCGGGTGCTCTTCACTCCACAGGCGCCGATGCAGGCTTCACCAGGCCTTGCTACATGCCCCTGGATTTGCTGCAGCAGCAGCAGCAGCTGCTGCAGCTCCAGCAGCAGCTGCAGCAGCAACAGCAGCAGCCGCAGCAGCAACACCAGCAGCAACATCAGCAGGAGCCTCGCTTCCTTGCTGCAAGCGCGTTGGGGGCGCAGCAGCAGCAGCTCCTCCAGCAGCAGCTCCTCCAGCAGCAGCTTCTTCAGCAGCAGCTTCTTCAGCAGCACCATGCGCACTCCCCTTCGCAGCAGCAGCAGCAGCAGCCCCATAACCAGCAGCAGCTGCTGCTGCAGCTTCAGCAGCTACAGCAACAACAGTTGCAGCAGCAGCAACTCCTGCAGCAGCAGCAGCAGCAGTTGCTGTTACAGCAGCAGCACCAGCAGCACCAGCAGCAGCAGCAGCAGCAGCTTCCTGTAGGGTGCTCTTCGTCTCCGCAGGCTCCAGAGCAGCAGCAGCAGAAACAGCAGCAGCTGCTACTGCAGCAGCAGCAGCAGCACCACCTGCAGCAGCTGCAGCAGGAGCAGCAGCAGCACAAGCGGGGAGTTCGCGGCAGGAAGCCACAGCGTGCGCGGCAGCAGCAGCAGCCTCAGCCGCAGCAAGAGAGCATTTACAAGAGAACGTACTCTGGCAACAGCAGACGATACAGGTTATCGGCAGCCGAACCCTCCGCAGCCGCAGCAAGCGCAGCGGTGCTGACCTCAAACGACGCCGCCTTCGGAGTGGGGGGAACAACAGGAGCACTCGCGAGCAACGGCACTCTCAAAAACTCTTTCTTTAGACCCTCAGTAGACTCCTCAGTGGCTGCTGGAGGCAGCATGTCTTCGAACACTGCTCTAGGGGCGGCAGCAGCAGCAGTCACCCCACCGGCAACTGCTGCGGCAAGTGCAGCCGAGGGAAGCTCCTTGGAGGGAGATTGCGGAGCAGCTGCAGGAACGCTTCAGCCGCTGCCTCTGGGCGAAGACGGAGCAGCAGCAGCAGCAGCAGCAGCAGCAGCAGCAGCAGCAGCAGAGCCTCGCTGGAAGCTACGGCCTGTCAGGAAACGAAGCAGCTTGCGGCTTCTTCCGCTCAGCGAGCGAAGGGAGTGGGATGCGCCAGAGCTCAGACAGTACCTCAGGGAGGTATCATGCTGTTCGTGCTGCTGCTACATCTTGAACGCCTCCTGCTGCTTCTTGCTGCTGCTGCTGCTGCTCTTGTTGCCAGTCGGTGGCTTGTGCGCTTTCGGGGTTGGGGAAAACGCTCTCCAAAATTTGGTCTTGTTATATATATATATATATATGTGTATATAGGTGTATATAGGTGTATCTATATGTGTGTATAGGTGTATATGTATGTGTGTATAGGTGTATATGTATGTGTATATATGTATGTATGTGTATATGTATGTGTATATATGTATGTATGTGTATATATGTATATATATGTGTCTGTGTCTGCTGCTGCCGCTGTCACTCCAGCGGGATATGCGCGCGTATGCCTTGTGGCAGCGGGCAGTTCAGAGAGTGTTGGAAGAAGGTGGGAGAGAAACTGCAGCAGCAGCAGCAGCGGCAGCAGCGACGGGGCAGCTCAATGCGCTTAACAACAAGAAGACAAAGAAAAGCAGCAAAGAATCGGTTCTGGAGCCTCCCAGAAGGTGCGTCATTGAAGCGTTTTTGCTGTGAAGCTTTCTAGTTTTTCGTATTTTTAGTGGTCATTGTTCGTAGCAAGCGGAAGCAGCTCACGATGCGAGGCAGTGCTGCGGCTTTTGCCCGACGATTCGTCTCCAAGGCTTAGAGGTTCGTCCCCTTCTTGTGCTCCTGCAGGCTGCTGCGACATGAACCCTTCGATGAACGTCTGGCTTTGGAGCAGTACCAGACGCTGCTGCTGCAGCAGCAGCAGCACGAGGGGTCGTCAGTGCAGGTGAAATCTGAAGACGGGAGCAACACTAGCAGCAGCAGCAGCAGCAACAGCAGCAGCAACACGGCTAACAACGGCGCAGCTGCACTGCCTGACACAGTGTCTGGCAGCAGTAGCAGCAGCAGCAACGCTGCTGTTGCTGCTGCTGCTTCCGTCTCCAGCTCCCATATAACAGCGACACTTGCAGCTCCAGCGACTCCGCGCGCGTTTTCTGAAGCTACGAAGGAAGAAGACGATGAAGCTCCAGATCAGCCTACTGTGAGTAGGCCTTAGCCTCGACTGCAGGGATCTTTCTTTTTGATGCTGCTGCTGCTGTTTGGAATGGAGTACTCTACGCCATTCTTCTTTATTGTTCGCTGCTCCTGGTTCGAGCGCTGTTTCAGTGCTCTCGAAACATGAGCTGCGATCGTTCTCCACTGGCCTGCCTGCTCGCCTTCCTCACTGTTGTTGCTGCTATCACTACTACTGCTGCTGATGCTGTTGCTGCTACTATCACTACTACTTCTGATGCTGTTGCTGCTGCTACTACTGCTGATGCTGATGCTGCTACTACTACTAATGCTGTTGCTGTTGCTGCTATTCTACTGCTGATGCTGTAGCTTATGCTGTTGCGCTACTAGTACTACTACTGATGCTGTTGCTACTATTACTTCTACTGCTGTTGCTGCTACTATTACTACTACTGCTGCTGCTACTACTACTGCTATTACTACTACTGCTGATGCTGTTGCTCCTTGGTTGCAGTACGGGCTGGAGCCGTATGACTCGACTCTGGAAGAAGGCGAAGAGGCCAAGATGCCTGACGTGTATCCCTCCGGCATCCAACGTAGAAGAGACGACGCTTCTGTGGATCGTAAGGCTCTCTCTGCACTTCTAACCGTCGCTAAATCTGGCTGTTTTTCAGCTGTGCACGGCGTAGAGTAGATCACGCTTTTATGCGCAGCGGCCTAAGCAGTGGCAAGACAGCGTCGTCGTGGTGTAGGGGAGTATGCGCATGAGTGTATGCTTCCGTGTCTTTGCACGCAAACGATGCAGCACACACACTTAAACACACACTTAAACACACATTTACATTTTATACTTCAGCACATACTTACGCACACATTTACGCACACATTTGCATTGTGTACTTGCGCACACATTTACGCACACATTTGCGTTATGTACTTACACACACATTTGCATTATGTACTTGCGCACACATTTACGCACACATTTGCGTTATGTACTTACACACACATTAACACACATTTACGCACACATTTGCGTTATGTACTTGCGCACACATTTGCACACACATTTACGCGCCGCCTTTATTCAGGACTGCGTATATGTATGTATGTGCCGCCTGTGTGTTTGCGTTGTGTCTCGCCGCATGGCTTGTTGACAGCCAAAGTCAACCACCACATGTTCCTCCTGCAGCGGTTTTTGGATCTTTTTGGACCGCATATTGGTCTTGAGGACTGGAGTTTCGAAGCCGTACACGATCTTGTCACCAAACGTGTATGTCTCAAAGCTTGAGAGGAGTGCCTTTTTTTTAAGTTGGGGAAGGATGTGCTGCAGCAGCAGCCTGCCTGCGGGAGTCGCGCAGACTACCTGCGTGGCAGCTCGTGCCTTGTGTTCAGCGTCTGGTCGTGAGGCAGGAGGACTGCATGCACTTTGTGGGTGCTCTTGCTTGCTGGAGAGGGTTGTTTGTTGGGCGCGTGCTTTGTACCGGCTGGAAGGGGGAGCCTCGCGGCTGCGGCTCTGTGCGTTCAGGAACTCAACGACTTTGGTGCGCGCTTCTTCTCGCGGCTTTCCGCTCTGATCGGTCGACGCTACACGCCAGGTAGGCTGCTGCAGGCTCGATTTTTTTGGTTGGTGCTGCGCTGGTGTGGCCTTTGGAGTCAGCGGCGTGTCTGCAAGAAGGCGGCGAGCGCGTTGCGGCTTGCGGGTGCTGTAGGGAATAACCTGTCCAAGTGCCTCTGCAAGATCCTCGAAGATCGAGTGGCGATGGATTTTGGATTTCTCTTTCCTCTGGGCATCAATCCTTTCCTCGTGAGGGTGTGGGAGGACGTCAAGCCCTACCAGGTAGGCATGTGCATGCGTCGTAGCTGGCTTTGGAGGTTCGGCAGGCGTTCGCGAAGGTTACGACTGCATGCCAAATCGATGTGTGTGTGTGTGTGTGCATGTGTATGTACATGCGTGTTTTCTCGCGGCTTTCTCTGGGGGTGCGTGCGGGGGGAGGAGCTGCATGCTCGGTTGCGCCTCCGTTTGCCTTGCCCTTGTGTGGCTTGTTGCCAAACTGGATAGCGGAAGAGTTGCTTACTGGGACTGAAGGGTGGGGGTTGGTGGCTGTGGGGTGGGAAAACGCGTGTTTGCGTGCCGCGTGTGCGTCCTCGACCGCTGCGTCGAGCTGTAGCGCACTTTCTTGATGCGTGTCTGTGTGTTGCGGTGTCTGCTGTGTCTCTGTCGGCTTCAGCGCCTTCGTTGTATTCGCGTCTTGCTAAACAATGCGCTCGGAGATTCAACTGCGCTTCACAACGTCATTGGTAGGCAGGAGGCACCGAGGAAGGGCTGCGCTTCAGCACAGCTCTTTGGACTGGCGTTTGTGGCTTCCCATTGTCTGTCCCTGTGCGACGCCGCTCAATAGAACCTTCACTTTGTCTGTCTCTTTCTCTCTCTGTCTGTCTGTCTCTCTGTTTGTCTGTCTCGCTGTCTCTCTCTGTCTCTCTTTGTCTCTCTCTGTCTCTGTTTCCCTCTCTCTTTCTCCCTCTCTCTTTCTCTGTCTCTCTGTCTGTCTGTCTCTCTATGTCTCTGTTTCCCTCTCTCTTTCTCTCTCTCTCTCTGTTTCTCCTGCGCGTTCCTTTTTATTTTGCTTTGCGCGGGTTGCCCCTTATTGCCCCTTCGACTGTATGCGCTCGATCGAGGGATGCTTGCGCGAAAGTGGCGAGTCGCTGGACGGCGAGCTGGAAGTATCGCGATGGCTAATTTTGTGTTTTCCAGACTCTTGGGGACCATCGAAGCGTGCCGCTTTCCTGGATGGGTCGTTCTTCATTTCCGCCGACGGCTACATCTTTTGGTTTGTTGCGGAGCATCAGAAACCCCACAACTTCAGACTCTACAAGGTGAGTGTGTCGCCGCCTAAGGTTTGTGTTGGGGAAGCCTGGCTGCAAGACGCTGCAGTGCAGCAGCAGCTGCGGTGCGCTCTAGTGCATGTTCTGGGGTGTGGTGAGTGGAGGAAGCATACGGGGGTCCAGGAGGCTTGGAGAAGAACCCGAGTGTGAGATCTGTACGTCCACGCAGGAGGATCAAGCAGCGGGCAGTCTAGAGATCGTGGCGGAAACTTTGGAGGAGCTCAAGGCTTTCGCCGAGGCGGAAGAAGTGCGTTTGGCAGATCCTGCGGGGTGTTTTCCCGCCATATGCGCGTGCAAGGAGGCTGCTTCCCGCAGCCTCCTTCTCCGCTGCTGCTGGTGTATACTGAGCCACGGGGAGAAGGGGAGAGGAGAAAGGGGGAAGAAAGAGAAGGGCCGCTCTAGCGAGCATTTTGCTCGATTGGCGCATGCAATGATGGCTTTGACACGGCGACTGGGGTGTGGCGCAACGATTTTTAGGCGAAAGATCCTCCCGACGAGTTCTTCCCCGCGCTGCTAAGGGAAAAGGAGTCGGAACTGCAGGCTGCTGCGGCTGCCGCTGCTGCTGCGGCTGCTGCTGCAGCGCAGAGGGAGCTCGAGCGGCAGCAGCAGCAGCAGCAGCAGCGCCAAGAGCAACAGCAGCAGCAGAAGCAAGGTCAGTCCCCGCACGAGTCTGGTCGAATGGCATGCGGGTGAGGGGGCAGGCGTAGCAAGGCCTATAGTTGCCACGGATTTGCACGGAGGATGAGCCTTGCGCAAGCAGTCTGTCTTTCTCTCTCTCGCTGCTTGCTGCTTCAGAAGGGGATGGAAACGCTCTAGGCCAAGAAGGCGCAGTGGACGCGAATCACAGCGACGCTCCCATCGAGGTTCGCAGCAACGCCGCAATTTTGCATAGCCAACGTTCCAGTGCCAGATCCCTTGTACGGAGTCTCTTTGAGCTGCCCGCCGCGTGCGGGGAAGTGAGGGGAGAAGTGCCTACAAGCTCGGTGGGGGTAGTGTAAGGAGTGGTGGCGAGTGCTTTGAGGCAGTATGTAGGACTCACTAGCGGGAGGAGTTGCAAGGATTTCCTGCTTGTTTTTTCAGTACCGAATTCTGATGAGAAATCGCCGCGTAGGCGCTAGGGAGAGGGGCAGCCGGCTCGAGGCCAGAAATCAACGTATTGAAATGGTAAGGCGTGTGAAGGAGGAAGAGGGGAGGAGCTTGCGTCTTCTGCTGGAACTGTGCTGGTGGCTGGTGTCTCGAGAAAGCTCGGATGCAAGGCGTGCTCAGTCGTGGTTGCGACAACGTGTGCCTTTCTAGCTGCGCATTCGTTGTCGCTGCGTTCGCGCTGCTGCGTCATTGCTCCTGCAGCAACAACTCGAAGCCTGTGGCTCCGTAGGAGAGGCTGATGGCTGCGGACTGCTCAGTGCAGCTACGGCAGCAGCAGCAGCGCAGCAGCAGTTGGTGTTGCGGTCTCGCCTCTGTGGCAGCCCTCCTTCCGCCTCGCCTCTGTTGGCGTGTTCTTCGCCTTTGCATCAGCAGCACAAGGCGGGGGGCATGGCGAGTGCAGGGATATCTCCTATAATTCCTGCAGCAGCGACGCCTGGTGCTCTTGTTGCGTTGCTGCATCTCTCTCTGGCGACGCTGCCACAGCAGCAGCAGCAGCAGCAGCAGCTCCAGCAGGCTGCCTTGATGGCGGAAACAGAAGACCAGCAGCAGCAGCCACGGGGAGAGGACGACAGCAACGATTCGCAGCATCGGCACCAGCAACAGCCACAGCAGCAGTTGCAGCAGCAGCACCGATTGCTCTCCCGGGCAGAAGCCGCGGAGCTGCAGCAGCATGCGGGAGTGCTTCTGGACGTGCAGCATTCGCTGCAGCTTCTGAAGAAGATGGATGACGCAATCCAGCAACAGCAGAAGCGAAACGGAGAGGAGGAAGCACACACAGAGCTACGCGTGCAAGCCGTAAGCAGACAGCACCAAGGGTGTGGGAGCTTGCTGGGGTTGAGGTTCAGCCGTTGCCTCGCCTAGGGATTTTCTCCTGTCTTGAGAGACGAGTGGCCAGTGTCAGTACGTATACATGTATGGATATATATGTGTTCTTGTAATTACACGTATATATATGTGTGTATTTATGGGTGGCTAGGTATGAGAGGGATGGGGGCATGATACGTTTCGCGGTGCACATGCGGTTGGACACGTGTGTATCAGGTGATGGAGTTTTACGGGAAGCTGCGCGAAGGCATGAGCGACGAGGAAGGAGGAGCAGTCTTGGGTTCTCAGCTGCTGCAGGAAGCCGATAAGACACTTGTTGTCTTTTCAGCGGCCCCACAGCAGCAGGAGAAGCAGGAGGAGAAGCAGCAGCAGGAAAAGCAGAGACCAGTGGAGAAGGAGCAGCTGCAGCAGCCAGAGACGCAACAGGCTACCTCTTCCCCAGGGGATGGACCACTTGAGTCGGAAGCGGCCACTGAAGCAGAATGACGTGGGCAGCGAAAACAAAAGTACAAGTAGAAGCAGATGCAGCGCGCTTCGTGTTATGCGGTTCCATTTTAACACTACATCTGTATATATGAATGGTGTGTTAGGTAACTAGCTAGCTTTTTCGGGATGTTTCGCCGATTGGATTGATTTTCTAGAAGCAAGCTGCGGCTTCTCGACCTCCTTCCAACCGCCCAGTCTCATTCACAGCACATGACATTTTAGGAGCAGCAACTTTAAGCAGCTGCTGAAAACAGCTACAGCTGCAGCAGCGTTGAATGTTTGCGTAATTAGGCTCCTTTGATTTCTGTTTATTAATTCTTCCTTGGGATTCTCTGTGGCGGCGTACAGCAGCGCAGAGCCTTTTGCGTCGGTGTCCTCTTGCCTCCTGGAGTGTGTATGTACATACGGTAAAGCTGTATGAAGCTACATACATGCATAAATATGTCGATAACTATACACATCTAGATCACTTATCTCCATACGTCTGTGTATAAGTGTAGCTATGCATATATATATATGAGTGTACAACTCATATCGGTAAACACCTCATATGTAGTCTCCAAAGCTTGTTTGTAATACATATATGTGTATGAATACACCGACGCAGATGCATCTATATACGTATATATAATACTTTATGTTTATATATACAGATGCATGGCCACCTATTCTGTCTATGCACATATATGCGATGAATTACTGCGTACAGATATATAAGACGGTGTTTGTATGTTTTTGCGCGTCTGCTGGTGCGCACTCCTTCTCTCTTGCATGCCTGTATCGTTTGGATTTACACCACACAGGCACCATTCGTTCTGCTTTCTGATTCTTTTACGTTTCGATTATCGTTTCCGTCTTCCACCCTATCTGCCCTTTTCTTTCCTTAATCACAGTATTTTATGCCGACACGCGGCCTGCCAGCTGTCCAACTTGCCAGGTGGTTATCTCGCCAGCTAGGCCTTGCCCGCCTCCGTAGCTAGCTAGTTAGCTAGCTGCAGGCGACCCGACTGGCTAGCTAGTCAGCTGGTTGGTCACAAGGCTGTTTGCTGGCTGGTTAGCCACTTGTTCGCCAGATGCTTGGCCTGCTAGCTACATTTCGGTTAGTGTGCTCGCGTGCTAGCTGTTTGCTAGGTGTCTAGCTGGCTGGCTATTTGACTTGTGGGAGTTTGCCGTTGGCCCCGCAGACGTTCCAGTAACTTTTCTCTTTGGACGTCTTTATGGACACCTATATCAGGTGTGCATATGCTTAAATTACGTGTATACGGTCGCGTGTTTTGAAACGATGTGGTAGATGTTGCTGCTCTAACGAGTTACCCTGAAACGCGTTGAGAGGAAGAGCATATAATCCTGTACGCGTACGCGTTCGTGATTGCGGAGCAAGAGAAAGGACAAGCAGAAATAGGCGGGCGAATGCCTTCTTGCAGATTCACCCCGTAGCAGTGGTGTGGATTTCGGATGCGCACTGGCAGATAGAAGGAGGCATGTGCACTGGCAAAGCATCTCAGATGCGTTTGCGAGTGCCTAGCAAGCAGAGCATACGGCGCTTTCTTCGGAGTGTGTAGAACGCTTCACAGGCAGCCGGCGCGCGATGGCACACGCCCAGTAGACTCCGTGGGGAATGGACGAATCTTCCACACTTTCTTAGGTAAAGAGCCAAGAAAACGCCTTGTGTGCGTCAGCTTGGACCCGAAAGGAGGCACAACCAATGCGACGTATCCTACCCGTGCAGTGGGAATAGCTCAGCGGCCTGGCCATCTTTATTCCACTGGCATGTACAGCACTGCAACACTTACAAGGAAAAGGCCAACGTTCTTGCTAGTTGTTATGCTTCCACTCCATTTTCTTCCTTTGTAGCCTGTTTAATGAATATTACTGAACTACTCATTTCTGCCCCCAATTTCCGTCTCCCCACGGCAACGCGTTAGTAGTCCAGGGGTAGGATGCAACCCTCCCAAGGTTGCGACCCGGGTTCGAGTCCCGGCTGACGCAAATTCTGAGTTCTTCCAGTGCTCTCACTGTTTTTAAAAATTACAATGAATTTAAACGAGTAACATCCTGAAAAGGTTTGTTTTTCGATTGCGTCGTGGTGGCATGGGTGTACATGGCTGTGCATTCGTCTTGCGCTATCCTGTCTTTCTTTTCAAATAATTACTATCAGCATCACATGTTCTTTTATCCTTCGTTTTGCTTGATTTCGTTGAGGCGTTACACTATGAATGGCACCAAACTCTGAGGAAAAACGTGCTCAGGTACCGTAATTTCTGCAAGTAAACCACGTATGGCGACTTTGCGGCATTAGAAAGCTACATTAGCAGTGGTCAGTGAATTTATATATCGAGGCATGGGTTTGCGGTTTCGAGGTGTGGCGAACACAAAGACCATTGACGCTATTTGTGCTGAGTGTTGTAGTCATAGGTTTTACCTCAGCTAGCAGGGTCGAGCATGGTGAGTATGAGCGGTTTAGTATATTGACGGAAGCCTGGCACTGGAAGGCAAAAAACGTTAGGACGCCAACGAAATTCTTCAGCACGTGAAATTGTTATGGAGTGCCGTATGCAGCACAGAATGGCACCAAAAAGGCGTTCAAGAGAATAGGATAGAAGCTTCCGCCATCACATTTGATACTGCTTTAGGAGTTGTTGGTGCCACTGACGCTGTTGCAAGTACTGCGTCTACTGGACTGCTGCTGTATTTGCTACGTATAACACTACAGATACTGTGATTCCTTCTCTTGCAGATGGTGCACTAGCTGGATAGATGGTGCACTAGCTGGATGATCTGTTGCCATATGGTAGCTGCTGGTGTTGCTGCAGGTGGCTATGTTCATTGAGTCTCTGTTTGTGCTTCATTTGCTGCTGCTTTTCCAAGTATGGCGTGCCACTCTACCGTGCAGAAAATCTATGACTTCTGGCTCACCTTTTCATCGGACAGTTTCTACACTAGAGTCTCACCATGAGGATTCTCCACTTGGATGGAACAGAGTACCTGCCAAGCTCTAGCCACAGCAAACACTAAGGCTCCCATACTGTGTGCCATATGCTATGTGCAACGAGCTCTGAATACTTCCGAAGGTGTTCGTATTTGCAGTTCGTTGCAGAACTGAGTTTGTTTAATACGCTACGAACGAATATTGTGTTCCTGCGTGCCACATGCTACGTGCAACAAGATGTGAATGCTCAGAATATTTCAAAGGTGCAGCAACATGCACCCTAGCCGTCCCTCGGCATCTCGGGAGCCTGAGGGCTGAGGGTGGGGACAAGAGACGATTTTGCGGAAAAATATCCAATAGTTACTCACTTTCTATTCAGTTGGTGTTAAATGATCTTTACGGAGATCTAAGGTGAATAGTTACACTTATCACATCGCTTGTCTTCTTTTCACGCATCTAAATTCACTGTAACGCTCCATCGAGGGTCTCTGTAAGTGAAAAGAAATTTCTCAAAGTAAATGCACTCTAAATAATCAATCCAAGCAGTCGAGATTAGTTGCACAAGGCGTCTAGTGCACATGTATACAACATTGTGTATTCTTGTATCGAGCCAACAGCATTCTGCAATATATAGGCGGTGCAAAATGCAAACCATGAATTGGGTTTTTAGCCAGTTCTCAGTGAGACACATATCTGGTGCAGTAGGGAGTGCTCAGTTGTAACTAAACCCTCTACATCTAATCTCTTCGTGTCTAGTCCCGCTGCATCTGGTGTGGTAACTGTCCTTCCGTTCTTTCCTTGATGCCCTATTGCGCTTATTTAGAGACACCGGAGTGTCTTTCGCAACACCTTCGCCTCCAGACTGTCTATGCACTACCTATGAAGGCAGTGCAACCCCTGAGGTGTGCAGGCCAATGTCATGGTCAACCAAGCAATCCATTCTGGCTGTTTTGCTAAGACGCTTTAGGCCATCCACAATATGTCGGCCTCGCTTTTTGTAAGAGTACAGAACGGAATAGAGTGTCTTGAGACCCCTAGTCTGGCTGGGTGCCCCAGCGTGGTAAGGTTGTCCAAGAAGCCCCGCATCCATTAGGTGCTACCAGAGCGACTTAGCAAAGTGCGTCACCGCTGTAGGTCAGTGATTTGGGCTAAAGATATATGCGGTTGTGTACAGAGCCCATAAGCAATGTGTAAAAGCTGATGTCTCCCCTTCCCTCTCACTTTCTCTTTGAATACGTGTATGTACCTATGGTAGAATTCAGTAGTGAACGAAAAAGGCCATATAATTCCAGAAATTCAGGGTCTCCTGCTGTCAGGCATGCTATGCGTGCCGCTCTAATTCACCACCGCTCGGCTGAGCCAACACAGTCTTCCTTTATCCCTGCCTCTCCAGCTTTTTCTTCTAGTGCCTCCCTGTTGAAATGCTGCGTCACTCCTGTGCCTTCTCGTGCACCTTTTCCATCTCTGATACTTTGTTTATCCGTTGGTTTCGTTAACCTGACGTAAATGCCCCTACTTCCTCCTGTGCTACGGTGTCTCTCATGTCCTCTATCGATATATGCCCTTCATGTATATCTCATATTTTTGTCCTACTGGGGAGCCCCCTCAAGGGGCTGTCTTTCTGTTATAACTGATGCAAAAGGGAGTCACATGAACGAGGTTTAGCGGCGCTTTAGCAAAGTTTGACGTGGGATGCAGCGGCATGTATCATACGGGGCTGCAGGCGGGGGGTGACCCTGAGTGACCTCGGCGTATTATTCGCTCAAGTTTTTAGTCCCCACACTTTCATTCAACACTAGATTAAAATTCCAAACTGGCAGATGGGTGGGCTGGGGCAGCATTTCTGCCCTGGCTTCGGGCAATGAGATTCCGAAAGGACACTCGACACGCAGGAATCACGAAGGGAAGGCGACCAGGCTGATATGTCTTTCCCGCATAAACCTCGGCGGCGCTGTTCGCCTGCCCGAGCGTGGATTTCTCTGGGAGGCCACTGATAGTCAGAAGTCCTTCTGCATTTTATCAAGAGTGCAATATCATTTTGCTTAGGCCCGTATAGGGAGCACCGGCTCCCAGAGGCCCTAGCCTCCTAGAAGCTTTGCACGTCTATGAGATAAAACGGGTTGGCCCACGCTGGATTTGCATTTTAGTGTGGCCTCAACGCTCTCGCTTGTGTGTAAACAATGGATGAAAGGGAGGAAAGCCAACGTAATCATATTCCTGAAGGGAACACCACAGTGCTCACACATGGGAGCAGTGGGCACCCGTTGCCTAGTCTTGTAGAATCGCCTCCTCCTGAAGTTGCCCAGTCCCTCTATGTAGAAGAAGGACGGACTGAAAGGCATGTGCCCGCTAGTAAAGGCCGTGATATACCAGGCGACGGAGCTTTGCCCTCCGCGGGGAACCCGGTAGCAGCCCCCTTTCAAGACTTTCGCGCAGTAGCAGTACATGCGCCTCCCCTAAGTAGATGTACTGGATCATCTGATGCTTTAGGAGGACAAGAACTGCACATAGATCCCCTAGCAGGAGCACCTGCAGAAGGTACGCCAGTAGAACCGATCCCCTTAGACAGGCCGGCAACAGCATGTGGAGGAGCCACCAGCGAATCTCCCACAGGTACAGCTCAAAGTGAAATACATCAGGAGAATGCAAACTCCAGACCTGGGCTAGCCTGCGATGCTGAATGCGCCCTGACTAACCGAGAATATGGCACCTCAATTCCACCAGATTACCCTCAACCGCTCACAGCACCGACTGGAAGCAGAATATTACAGCCAGGCGCAGAGCAAGAAGGCCCACGAAACACCATTTGCCCAGGAAATTCGCGGATAGAGCATGCAGCAATGGCTACACTGACTGGCAATGGAGACAATGCAGTGGCGCCCGCAATTGCAGACACAGATGTGGAGGCAGCGGGTGAGACCCCCGGAACGCCTACAGGGCTGCCCTTCCCGACATCAGGCATGCAAACTGCTTCCGAAACATCAGCTGTTGCTATGATTGCATCACAAACAGCAGCAGCACTCCTTTGTGCAGCAGCTGAAGCTGCAGCAGGTACGTCCGCTAGGAAGGCACCCTGGCAGCCTCTGCATTCGCGCCCAGCAGCAAAACCATCACCAGAAATTCCTGTGGACAGCATCCTGAGCCACAGTTCTCAGAGTGGGCCGCCTTCTATCGTCGATTACCCTCGGTCACTATCAGCTGCTGCTGTCGCCACACCAGATATCAAAGCCACAACTGGCACTGAGCCAATGAAAAGGAGATCGGTAACCGCTGAAGAGGAGGCCGACGATTTACCAGCATTTGCTAATGAGGAGAATATCACATTGTACTCACAGATTAAAGAAAAGCAGCAGCTTCTGGCCCATCGAGGAACAGCACTCGGCCATAAAGCAGAACGCGTTGCACTCATGCGCGAGCACCTGCAGCAGCTCCGAGCTGAGGCTGAACAGCTGGAAAACCTTGCTGCTGCAAAAGACGCCCATATAAACAGCGAACAACATATGGACGGGGTAGCTCACCGCCAGACTAGCAAGTTTAAGAGCGAGATACGGCAACAGCAGCAGCATCAAGAGCAGCTTCAGTCGCGCCTCATTGCACTGCAACTCGAGGTCGCTAGAGGACACGAACAAATCGACTGCTTCAAACTGAGAATGAAATGGAGCGAGGAGGAGCTTTCCCAATGGCGCTCGGCGGCCCATCAGAAACAAGTGAGGTGCAGGTGTCCAATCTGGGAAGATATACTGGCCTACATTCGCTGAACACTTTCGAGGCGCTTTCACCAGCGCCTCGCAAGGCGAACGATCAGCACTGTTTAGCGACAACAGTTTAGTTTGAAGCAACCCAAGCTAAAAGCCTCAGCACAATAGCCTTCCATGAGGGCTCGCGCAAAACTGGTGTCTCCAGTTTGAATCTGATGTCCTCTGCACCACATGCCAGATCTATCTGGTCGCTTCATCTCGACGGTCCTCCATTCTTATGGCACGTGCTTGATTTATGAAACGTTCCTCTTCTTTTGGAGGCAGCAACCCTAGACGCTTGTTCACGCGCCTTCTACGTTCCTGCAATTGGCTTCTCAGGAAGACCTGGAGTGTATTGCGGAGTTCAAGAAGAAAGATGATGCGCGGGCAGCAGAACTAATAATGCAGGCACAGAAGGCATCTGTTGAGCTGACGGAGGCAAAGAAACGTCTAAGAGAGGAAGAAACGGCGGCCCGTGCGGCACGCGCAGAACTGCAGAGGGCTTTGGAACATTTCGCACTACATCAGAAGGACCGTGCGCTTCTTATTGCTCAGGGGTGAGCGCAGTTAGCTGGCTGATTCCTCAATCCTGCATGCTGTCTTCGCCTCCTAACGGTGTGGCAGCAACCGCGCATGCATATCAACGCCTCATCTAGAATCTACTACAGGGGTTGAAAACCTGTCATGGTTGTGTGACTTGTGCCGGCAGAGAAGCTGCCGTAGAAAAGATGTGGAGAAGCGATGAACGCATTGAGCGGTCCACGCACAGCTTTGAGAACGCTCAGCAAAGGCTGCAACGGCAGTCTGAGAAATTAGGTATTGCATATTGATAGGGGCACCGCGCATTTACAGGATGATTAGAAGTTCGTCAGCGTGTGTCTGCTACCTTGATGTAGTAGCTGACCTCTTGTGGTGCTGCTGCCGCTAGGATCGGTTGAAGGTGGTGCTGCTTCTGCGGCGTGGTTTTTCGCCGGCGTTGCTTTTGTGAGCAGCTGCTGCCAAAGGATTTGCTGAGAGACAGCAGACGCAAAACAAGGAGCTTCAAGGAGAGCTCGCTAGCTTAGAACAACAGCTGACCAGCTGCCGGTCGACCTATGCCACAGCTACAACGGCAATAAGCCATTTGTCGGAAGAGGTTCGTGAGAGCAACCGCTTGGGCAGATAGCCGCCCGCTAGAATGCCTCTCCCCTGACTCAGAATAAGAGTTAAGGGTGGTGGTGTCTGGCAGTACACTGAAATCCGTGTAGAGAAAGATCCTAAAGGGCATTCATAGGATCGCACTAGCCCTCGGGGGTAACCTATAATCTTGATCTCTGAGACAACGCGTCACTAAGAACAGTCGAAGCTTCAAAATAAGCTTTCAATAGTTTAGGGTTGTATAGGTCAGGCATGAATACAGACACAGGGTGCACTAAATGGCCGCTTGCAGCTGCAGTGCACGTTAGTGTGCTTGAGCCTCCCCCGATTTAGGTAGCAGCATTGAGAGGCCAAATATCTGCTGTCGCTACCCGATGGAAAGCCGCAAAGGGGCAGCTGGCGGAGTTGCATGAAAGTCTTGCTAGCCAACAGCAGCGACTGGAGAAGCTCAACAAGAAAAAGGAGGCAGCCAGACAAAGGCTAACTAAAGAGCAAGGAAATGTCCGCTCTGCGGGGGAGGCGGGACAGGCCAGTGAGGCCTTTAAAGCTCAAGCGGATGCCAGGCTGCAACAGTTGCAGCTCCGCGTAAAAGCAAGCAGGGACAAGCTTTTCGGAATTGCGCAGAAGCTTGCTGAGGAAAAAGCAGCGCTCAAAATGAAGCGTGGCGGAATCAGTAGCTTAAAAAATGCCCTCAAGAGCCTTCATGTAAGCCAAGTAACACTGGAAAAGATCGCAAGCGGTCCACGGCTGGTTAAGTATTCAACGCTTTATCCGTCCTTCGCCAAACCCGGTTCAGGAAAGAGCACGTAATTGTTTAGAGTGGTAGACAAAGCATAGGGGCAAGTAGCTGGCCACGGCGGAGAGCTATGTCCGCTCAGCACACGCTGCTGTAGGAAGTTGACCTAGACCTTTCCCTGTTGCCAATTGGGAATTGATCGGCCTTGTATAAGCAAATAGCTGCTTGTTGGGTGGGGTTCATATTTCTGCTGTACACTTTGAAGGCAGTCATGACCACATCAGCAAATGTAACCTCACAGGCAATGGCTAGCTGCTGCTTTCTGCTCCTTACCGCAGGCTCAACTGCAACAGCAAGAGGCAGAAAAAAGTCGGCAACAGGAATTGTTGTACGCCATTGACTTCCAGTGCCAAGCAATGCAGCGTAGAGTGTCGCGCGTTTCTGGGTATAAAACAGCGGCAGAGACGAAGACTCTAAAGAAGCAAATCAAGGAGTTGCAGGCTGTGGGTGCACAAAATTACAAACTCGAAGTCTGGGGATCAAAATGCTGACACATAGATAGCATGCATACAGCGAACACTAGCTGGGGTATCCATATTCATGAAGGCTTGAATTTCTCAGTTCTGCTCTGTTCTGGCATAATCAGGAAGTAGCCGTGCAGCAGGAAGAGCAGTCGATGCTGGCGGCACAAGTCAAGCACATTGAAAGCGAGCTACGGTAATTCTTGTGAAAGAAACATATCTGCCCGTAATAATTTCCGTCCATTTGGCTGCCAATACAATTCATGCACTGCCTGTGTAGCATCCACGTCTCCACTAACACCGTTGGTGCGCATGCCCCTTGGGATTGAGGCAGAAAGGCGCATCGGAGCCTCGTCAAGGCTGGAGAAGAAGACGATCGCTGCTCCAGCAGTGTAGGCACTATTCGCCTGACTTGTGCGTCTCTTGACCGAGAGTTACAACGTGCTCTTAAGGAAAAGGAGGAACTTGTTGTCGCCGAATCCATCAAAAAACTGGAGGTGATCTGGGAGCATCATTCTTTGTGGGAATGGCCTTACAATCGCCACTGAACAGCGTCGATTATCTTTTGCTCCCGATCAGCATCCTTGTTAGCACCTTGGATAACCAAAGGGACGGCAAACATTTTGAAAAAGTTTGATGTGCTTGCGCCATTGTTGGGAATTTTGATGCGGTTAGGTAACCCGTATTCGCGAAGAACTGGAGGCATGTGCCGATGCTTCGCTAGAAGCAGAAAACAGAAAAGCGCAACAAAAGCTTCAGGCACAAGAGGCACTAGCTGCAATGGACGTTGAACTGGACAAGGCCAGGTGTCAACTGGTAAGAAACATTCTATTGGCTCGCAAAAGCCTCCACTGTACCCGTGCCATGCTGTTGCGGAAAGCATCGCCCTTTGCACCCTTGCTACTATTCATTTTAATCACTAAGGACAGACAACAGCATCCACCCTCTTCGAGTACCAAAACCTCGCGGCGGTGTGTGAGTTTGGTGCAGCGTGCGATGGAAGAAGAGAGGCACAAACTAAACAAAGAAGCGACGGAACGGAGAGCTAAAATTGCCAGCCTCGAAGCCAAATACGCAAGTATATTGCAGGTAGACACCAATCCGCCTCTCTTGAGCCTGCTACTTTGGGGTTTCAAGATGTACATGTATCTCTGCCCAGCATACTAGAAAAAGCTGTCTCTTGGATCCCATATTGTAAGAGCACCATCATTTCTGCATAACGCGTTTTTACAATTCGGGAAAGACAATCTGCTGTGATTCGCCCCTGACTTTTTTCTACAAACTTGCCAGAATGTCGATGGAGCAGGGCGGTCGCAAGCGTATTACGTCATTCGTGCTGGACAGGTACTTCAGGCGAGCACTGGATCGGAGCCAAGGACGATGGCTCCTGCACAGTACATTCTTCATACACGCTAGTCCTTTGCAGCCTGCGTGGGGGACTCGCCTTTGCATCACCTGCGTCCTGCAGGTTATGTGATATACGACGCCGGTGTTAGAAGGTTTTTGTTGCAACCTGATTTGCTGTGCATCTCATATAGGAACGTGAGGAGCTACAGCGACGTATTTCGGAGATACATCGGAAGCTTCAGAGCGCTTCTGCAGAAGTCGAGGGGCTACAGGCGACTTTGAGGGATGTGGCCCTCTCGAACACCCGTCTGCGCTCAAGGCTGCAAAAAGAAAGCGGAATTCTCGGCACTCTAAGGGAGAAACAAGCCCAAATGGAAGGCACTCTCTTCTTGAGAAACCGCATGGAGTTCACACAGCAGCAGCACATTGCGAAATTGAATGAAGCTATTAAAGCTGAGCAGTGCGCCCTCAAGCAGACAAAAGAAGTTCACCAGTGCACATTGGATAAACTTGTGGTGAGAGGCACAAGGTATTACGCATTCGATGAGAAATACGGCGTGCGCGTTGCACTAAAGGACACAACCTTTTTCACCTATAGGGATATGCTATAGTACACATGCAAAGCAAGGGAGGCATACTTCGATGCCCCAAAAGCCTGGCTTGTAAACAGCTGCAGCTACGTTGCAATCTGTGGTTGGCTAATGTAGGAAGTAGAAGAGCAAATGAAAAACCTTAGGAAAGAGTCCGCATCTGTTGACGAAAAACTGCAGCGAAATTTACAGCAGAGACAAAAGCTACAAACCAGCTTACAGCAGCGGCGTCCAGCTGCCTCCGCCACAGGTCCACCCGAAGGGCAGAAGCTCGGAAACGAAGTCTGCAATGCGGAAATGCAGTACCATGCAGAGAGCCTCAAAAACTTGCTGCAGAACCTTTATCGGGCAATGGGGTATAAACCTTTGGCAGCTATTAAGTCATAATGCCACAAAGCTATTAAGGCGCTTGATCTTAGTTGCCATTTTATCCAATTGTCTACGAAGCAGGTGTTGTACATGCATAAACTGCACTATTCTTCACCACTTGATAGAACTAAACTCTGGATTATATTACCCACATATGTGCTATTGTGCAGTCAGCGAGATTAATGGCTTCCGGTTCAGCGTAAACTACTGCCTATGTCATAAGAGTAAGTATGATCCGCTTGGTTATTTCATCAGGCCGTTGCTCTCTGCTAACCCCAGTGCGTTGGAGGCCCTTCAGCGAGCGTTGGCTGAGGGTGAGTCCGCCTCCAGCCCACCGCCACACTGCGCCAACGTCTTTCTACTTGATTGGACTCCCCATTTACCTACATACACACGGTGTATAACACTAAATTAGCTATCCAGTGTTCAAAAAGGCACTGTAGCTGATGATTTAGCTTGCACTAGCGTCTGGTAGACGGAAACGCGACCAGCCGCATGACAGACGACTTCTTGACATGCCTTTAACAAGAATCAGCAATCCAAAGGAGTTGCATGAACAACGAACTGGTAAAAGATGTGCTTCTTTGTGTGCGGAAGGCGGAGGGACTCCATCCCTTTCTGTAGAGTCATCCCTTATTTACACAGCGTCGTCAGGGCGCTGACATATAAGGTAAGCGAAAGGGACACCGCGTGATTGTTTTACCTTTCAAAAACAGATGCTAGTAGCACACAGGCTTGAACGCCAAAGCGCCCTCGCTTGCTGCATACCTGTATTGCTTATTTGCACCAAATAGCCGGATTCAGCGTGGCATGCTGCTGCAGCATACCAAGTAAAGCAACGTGAAGCACAAACGCCGACATCGAATGGGTCGCGTTTTGCTGTTGAGTTGAAGCTAGTTTGGGATAAAAGCTTATTACAGTGCCTTTACTCCTAATTTCGTCCAGCTGAAGCAACTCTCAGGAAGACCACTGCTCCCTTCTTATTCTCAATGTGGAGCTTGTCTACCTTCCTGTGCTGGAAAAATGTAGCTTCAACCACCCTGACCCACAAGCGTCACTCTGTTGTTGCTCCTACCATCCTTAGATACAACCCTACCACATGTTTTCGGCGCTTATCGCATTTCCCGAGGTTTGTAATACCAGGGGCTGGAAAAATCGAATCACTTGCCTTCGGAGCAAGGCTCCACAAGACTGCATATGAAGTCCTATATGCATTTGTCATTCTGGCTAGCCTCTCTCAAAGTGGGTTTGCTTGTTTAATAAAAAACGACACTAGCTTTAAGGCAAGGAGGACAGCAGAGCCTTCATTGGCCGTAACAGTGGAGGGGCATGTAAAACAGATTGAGACCAAACTTGCCACTAAAGTGCCTTGTAGGATGTACAAGGGAAACGCAATGCACAGGTGCACAACCAGTCGCAGCGTGTGTTTAAAAGAAGAAATCTCTTGAAACGAGCCGATTTCTTTACAGCGTGTGTTCCCGCCTTATTGCACACTAGCTGCCTAGCTCATTATGTACTGAGATCCCGAAAAATAGGTCGCAGTGTGGCAGAGTGGCAAGAAGATAACCACAAAAAGCAAGCGAAGACCAGACAAATCAATTGATATGTGACTCCTGAGTACATGGTCAGCGAAGCATGTCCAGTTGTCAACAAGCTCAGTAGACTCTAAATAAGTTATTCTATCGGACCGCACTCGAAAAGGCATCATCAGTGATTAGCTGCTTTATCAACATGACAATGCCTGTGACACATGTAGCAATACAGTGTCGAAACATCCTCCATATCCAGCATAAAATTTTCTCTTTCAAACAGGATTTGATAATCCGTTACTGCTCGAACAAGCGCTCAAATCTGTCTACTACCTCGTGGGCCCTGCACTTTCCAATGGTTGTCATACGCCCAGAAAACCGCATAGGGCCGAAATATCAACGCTACCCAGACTCCGAGCGTGTAGTCATCAAGCTCTTGCAGGAAGCTCATGATACGGGCCAAGCTGGAGGCAGCATCGGTGTAAGATAGGCCCGTTGGCACGAGTACCATTGCATGGTACTCGCATAGTTGCTTGGAGGCTGCGGGAATGCCTATGGTAGAAGAACTAGATTTTCCGCACCCCTTTGCCACCGCATTGCGGGTATACGTTGGCAAACCTTGTCACGTGAGCCCTTCGTAATTGAGGTAGTTCAGGTAGGTAAGTTGAGACTCATGCACATTCTATGAACAGGGATTTTTTAGTTTACCTTCGAATCGTTCGGCTGTTTTTTCTTCTTTGTCCCGAAAAAAAGAAACACACAAAGGTTAGATTGTTGGGCGCTTTTAGAAACCCACCAATGCCATTTTAATGTGAAAGCTTCTGCTCTTTGACAGCAGCTACACTTTAAAGGAGCCAGAGAGTCAGCATAATCTTTCTATGATTGCTGCAGAGTGCGGCCAGCTCTATGCCGGTAATGATGCTAGAACTCAACCTTCAATGCTTGCGCCACTGCAAACTGAGAGCCATCTCCAATGTTGCTCGAAAGCGTTGAGCGGCAAGGAAGGGCGGAAGGCGTTTACAACCTTGCAGAAAAGCGTCTTTGGGGTAAAGATCTAAAACCTACCCTCAGGTCTCCAATGCCAGCTGGTTTAAGATCGTGCAAGGCAGATTGTAGCTCTCTGGCCTGCAATTACAAATCGTTATTTTTGTGTCTTCTGGTCATTCAATTGAACCCATCGCTGGTTCATTCTTCCAAATAATAGCTTTAGTAGTTCGCTCTTGAACCAAGGAATGTATATGCTGTGACATGTGTGAAATCCAATGTGTGACGATTGCCGTAGTCTACAGTGGCATTCAGTAGCCCACAAATCCAGTGGTTCGTGTCTGAGAGTAATATAAAAGTACAGCGATTTCAATTAAGAAAGCGTAGTTCAGCTCTTCTAAGCACGCAAGACAATCGATATCTTGGTTTGTAGAGTGACTTGTCCTTTGTGCTGCTGATCCGCCCAAAGGGATATCACGGAATTCCTAGAGCCAAATGGTGAATGCAAAACGGCCAATACTCCTTATAGCTAATTCGGCTCAGCTATGTGGGGAAAAAGCGTTTAAATTTAGCAGCATTGGTAAGAAATTGATATCCTGGATTCTCTATGAATATCGGTGAAAAACCTACGCGCCGTTGTGAAGGGTCTCGTTCTTTTATTAGCTCTAAAACTGAGACCCAGGTCGTTTAAACACACATTTAGCCCTTTTAGATACGCTATTTGCACTATTTTTTCACTATTTCAGTTGGAATGTTCAATCTTCATCCCAAACAGCAGCGCATGGCCGAGACAGCGTTTGCTTCTTCGAACCTTTTAGTTGATGGTGTAGGGGAGGCAGGACCAATTTAAAGGCTTTCCATCTTCAGGTAAGGTCCTTCTGAACAAATCTATCAGGATGATTTGTATGAACAGGGGAATTTAATAATTTTGGTACCAAAACTAGGATAATCTTTTCCTCCTCGCACCTTTCAAATCGAGCAAGGTATCACGCGTTGTTGGTGCAGGATCGACGCCGAGTGCTCCGACACCACAGTACGTAGCGCAATATACATATATGTCCTTAAAATCCTTCTAGAATAGGGTTTTCCTCCAGAGTGAGCACTAGCCAAGATCTCAAAAAGTCAAGCAATACGAATGCTCTGACGGATCTTATGACCTTGTGTTACCGGCCGTATTGCTTAATCACAGCAGACTTATCTACAGCAGTCATCTAAGCAACGCTATGCATATTTACTCGTTGTGATCGTACATTATAACCTCACCAGGCCTTGCGAGGTACGGAAAGTCTGCGTGAACCAACTCTACCAGCAGAGATGGGGAGAGAGAACAATGGCCTGCAGCAGCTGCTAGACAAGGACTCGTCGTCCATCATGCTGCCGCTGAGTAGCCGTTTTCCCATGAAAGCAGCGCAAGATCTGATGAAGTCTTTGCTCGAGTGCCGTCTGAAGGAAGAAACATACTCTGTGAACACTGCTTCGCAGTTGTCTAAGGCCCTAGCAATTACCCTAAGAGATTCTCTTTCTGAGCTGTGCAAGCCACGATACAGAATAGCCATCAGCGTAGACCTGGGTGAAGATTGCGGCCAGGGGATTCGCGTGGGTTGCCGCTGTTTCTGGGACAAAGAAACCGATTCAATGACCAACGCTGTTTACCGAAATGCCTCTCTCTTTTGTGTAGCCACTCTCTATGCTGTGTACCTCTACTGAGCTCTGACAGAATCCGGAAACTCAAACTGCATACTATATTTATGATCACTCTAGTGTCACTCCGAGTGTCCTTGGGTCATGGGTAGGAAACAGCAGGTCATGCATGGACAGTGTTTCAGTCCTCATCACTCAACCATCTGCTTCGAATCAGCCATTGTGCACAGCCCTGTTGTCTACAAAAAAAACGAGGAAAGCGAATGCAATAACCAATGGTTCTTGGTGGCACTGCATGTTAATTGCTGTAGTGAGTTGTCACCGGTGCGTAGGGTTTAATTATAACCCTAATATCTATTTTACGTTTTTGCTCCTTCCGCAGTTTTCAGTAACCACCGAATAATTGCGATATTCATAGGATGGCATATATGCTGTGGAGTGGGTTGAGAGGGCGGCATGGGTGGCTGCTTTTCTTTGCACTGCCACCTTACAGCTGGAGTGAAATCGTCCAATGCAAGCATTTCAACCCCCAAACTTTAGCTTTACGACTCCTGGCAGAAAACTGGTGTCTAACCTACAGTCATTTGCAGAGCAGTTGCAGTTTTGAATATGCTTAGGTGGGAGGGAAAATAGCGTAAGCACATCAAGCTATAATGGAGTAAATTTAAGACTTCAGGCGGCTAAGTACCATGTCACCTTTATACTTAGAGATAGTGGAGCACCCGACGTGAAGAGGCGTCACTAAAGAGTCTTGTTGCAGGGAGGGCATCGCAAAAGTAGCGTCCCAAGTGCACTCGCTGAGGAATGCGGGAATAGGCTTCGTAGATAATTTGCGCACATCCATAATTCTTGCTGTGGGCACGGTTGTTTGACTCATTTATCTGTAGTTTACTGGATAAGTGGACAACAAGCATTTTCCTGCTTGCACCAATGTGTTACCCCAAGCCGACACGAGTACTACGCATAAGTGAATTGCCATCTGCCGAAACGTTTGCTTTTTTAAGCCATCTTGAGCAAATACTGCCTTCTTTCCTGATCTAGTAAGGCAACAGCCAGTATATCTGAGTGCAATTAAGGAGCGGACTACAATAAACGGCAAGGGAGGAGGATGAGCTGGGCGCTGACACAAGCATCCTGAGCCACCGTGCTTTTAGCCAGCAACTGTTGAACATTTGCTACTCTAGACCTAGGGTACTTCAACCATAATGTGCCTTCTGGTAATGGAATTGCAGATCAAGAGTTGATATAGATTGTAGCTCGGCGTATGTTGCAAGGTGTCTGATTTAGAACACTTTCGAAAATCTCTAGACAATCCAGGACACCGCAAGGGAAGCTGCAAAGGCCACCAGTATCGGAGGAATATAAGTGTACAATTCATCACATGTAGCTCAGCGTGTGGAATGCTTCGGCCGTCACCACTACAGACATTTAAAAGCATTGCTGCTGAGATAGAGGACCACCATTATGTTTTCTTGAGAGAAATCTGTGGACTGCACTAGACAAAAGCCCTGTTGTCGGTGGGTGTAAATAACAAACATCTGTACGAAATGCATTGCCTCGGCGATTCCCCGCTAGACCCTAGTGCAGATGGACAGTGCGTGCTTTTCTGTTATAGAGTTTTTCTTGAAACTAAAACGAGCACATAGGTCACTAGAGCTTCATGCATTTCCCTGCTGCTTCTCGAAAACTTAAGCGGTGGGCGCTTGCAATTAAGGGATGCCGGTGCCGGCTAAACATAAAACCAAAAGAAGCAGAAAGGGCAAACATCATAGTTGTGACCACAAAATCGTGTTATTTCCAAGGTACTACTCAAACAGGGGCAGGGCTGTACCGGTTCCATAAGCCCTCAAGTGCAGCCAACAACCCTTGTCCTGCCGCAGGGCATGGCCGTTATTTGTTCACTCAGAGCCCTCTCTACCAAAGGAGGTGGTAGCAGCCACTACCACGGACTGATGCCCGTAGCAGCGCTTGCGACTCCTCTACACGCCATCTCTCTAAGGTTGTCTCAGCAAGGCCTGCCAGGCTTCCGCGCACATTGGCTGCTCCTAGAATAGGTGAGAGAAAGGCAGGCAAGTGAGGCCGAGATTGTCCAATGGGCCACCTCGTGCTGTTTCCCCTCAACGCCTTGGTGGATCCTTGAGGGCCTTCGCACGTTGCGGCATAGCCCCTCATGCTGGGAACTGGGTCGTGACAGAACATCGGAAAAGGAACATAATAACCCTCACATTCATGCCAACCTCCATTTTAACTAACGCATACTGCGGACCTGTTGAGCGCCTCCACGTTGCTGCCGCAAAAAAGCGTGCAAGTGCAAGATGCGACACACTGAAGCAATGGCCAAGAAATTCGTGTTGAAATATGGGATAGAGAGAGCGTGAGAATGAGGGTGCCACCCCCGCCAATATTTACGGTGTAGCAGGTGAATTAAAAGGCAAGATACTAAAAGAGAAAACTTTTGCTTGAGTATATGTGGCTACATTCACTTGCTGTTCCCCTAGTCTATCAAGGAGTGCTAGGGGCCGAGTGTACAAGCAGGTGTGGATGCATTTTTGCAGGGATTATGCTGTTCCCATGTGTGATTCCGGCGCACTTTTGCTTGGCCACTGCTGTTCGTGTACATATAAAAGGATTAATTGTGTACATTGGGCAGTGTAACCACACTGTACCTGCACTGACCTGTCCTGGACACTGACAGTTGTCATGCAAATTAATCGACGGCTCCCCTTGTTTCAGGTGTACGCATACCACATAGGCTCGCAGCCGGTGTACGCGTGTCGTACCAAAGGATAAGTTCAGGACGTGCCACATTGGTGCAGCTTGTGGCTCGCCGGCTAGCTAGCCATGGGCCAGCTGGCTAACTGACTAAAAACAGGGCGCCGGGCAGCCCAAGACAACAGGGCAGTTGCCGCGCAGTGACACGACGAGGTTCACGTGGCTTTCGGTCTGTCAGTCCGTTGAGGACTGGGGTGGTTCCTTCTGTTGATTATATGTTTGTATATGAACAGACAGCAGAAGAGAACACCAAACGAAAAGACAGCAAACAGCTCATGCATTTCGTACGAGCTGCGGGCCCTGTGTAGCGCCCTGAGGAGCAAATAGGGGCTAGCAGGATCCCCCCTGAGTGTGGCGGCCAGTCCTGAGGAGTCCGCTAGGCGCTGCAGCTGAGGTGGAGGGTTTAGGCACAGGCAGAAGGACGTGTAGAGGAACACGGGAAACCATAGGTACTGCAGACACATACACGAATGGGAGCCAGACAGGGGCAGCACGCACCATGGATGAATTTCCGACCGCAAGCGAGACAGATGGCAACGAGAAATAGCACACACCATGCGGCCACTTGTGCCGATTCAACTATCACGCGGAAAACGGTGACTATACTAGCTCAGATAATACTGTTTCTTTTACTATACATGTGACAGAACAACCCATGATGAGGCCGCGCACATAATAGACGACATGCAGGAAAAAGAAAATGAGCAGAAACAGAGGGGCTGCGCGACGGGAGAGAAGCGGCTAAAGGGGCTGCCTGCCTACAACTCTGTCATGGCAGGGACAGAAAGCCAACAGAGAGCGCTAAACAGCCCAGGAAAAAGCGAAAAGCGGTAAAAATGACGGCTACTTGGCCGACACGGCAGGGCGAGCAGAAAACAATACAGCCTTAGAAAAGCGTTGAGAGGAAGATGTAGCAAAGAGGAACTAGAACCCAGAAAGACGTTCACTTACCAAGAGTGAGCGGACGTGAAGCTTGAGTCTCGCGGCGATGAGCTCAAGGCAAAGAAGCGAGAAGCAAATGATTTGAAGGCCGAGGGGAGGGGCAAACCAGAAGGTCTGAAGCAGCATATTCATAATGCAAAAACTGAAGGCTCGACTGCTTTGACTGCCCGTTTGAGCTGCCCTCCGTGCTTGCTGAATACCCCCTTCTGTTCAGAAAAATTGGCTGCTCCCGCTTACCGCGGCGAAGAAGCAAACCCCTGGAAGGAAGCGGGGGATGTGCTCTCTCGACAGGAGCCGCCGAATGAGGCTGAAACACGCATGCGCAAAATACACGAGTACGCCCTCTCTCGCTCGCTCGCTCTCAGGTCTATGAAGGCACCAAAGGCGCGCATGCATGAGGGAATAGCTTTGCGGCATGCCGCAAAGCTCGTCTTCAGCGCTCAAGTTACAACTGCGAGGAAGAACGAGTAGCACAAAGCTCACACACGACACGCGCGCAGGCGGCATGTGGAAGAGCGCAACCAGACCTAGCTTCTCCAAAGAGACGCAGCGAGAGGTGTCCTACCGTGAAGACTGAAGCAGGGAAAAGGCTACAGAGACGGTAAGCACACAGAGCCCCAGTGTTAACTGCCGTTGCTCCTGTGACGGCTGATGCTGCTCCTCCTCCTCCAGGAGAATCGTGCTGGCAAATCCACCCATAAAGCTTCGAGCTGCGCTCGAAAGAAAAGGTCCAATCGCCGGCAGCAGCGACACGGCGTCCGCCAAAGATACAGCGAAGACCCAAGGAAAAAGTGCGCGCAAAAGCAGCAAGCCCGGAATAACCAACAAATTCAACTCATCGACCTGCGCTCGAACGCACCAAAATGCATACAAAACACACATATACAAAAACACATAAAAACACAGAAACACACATAAAAACACAGAAACACACACACAAAAACGCAGACACACACATAAGAACACACACAAAAACACACATAATAACATACAGACACACACAAAAACACACATAAAAACACACACAAAAACACAGATACACACAAAAACACACATAATAACAGACAGACACACAAAAACACACATAATAACAGACAGACACACAAAACACACATAAATACACACACAAAAATACACACAAAAACACATGTATGTATGTATATATATGTATATATGCCAGAAGGTGAGCACAAGCGGCGTCCCCAAGGCCCTATTTTTGTGCCCTTCGTGCACTAGGGGATCCCTCATGTCTAGCGACCAGCGTCTCCCAGAAGCTGTCGCGCACAGCGCAGAGGGTGAGTGGATCCCCTCGACACCGTGAGGCTATGCAGCTTACAGAGAAGCTGCCAGGGCCGTCGACGGACGCGGAGAGCATTGTTCGTCCCACAATGGGATGTGCCCAAGTAGCGATGAAGAAGGGGATTTGGGAAAGCAGCGTAAAGGAGATGCTGAAAATGAGGGGGCGAATTCGCAAGTCCGTTGCGGACTGGAAGCAAACCCTAAAGCCCCGGCCTGCATGCGGCAGGAGGACGCTCAAGCCGGGGATGTGTCGGAGGAACGCCAAGGAGAGGCACTCCTGCTGCGGTCCAGAGGCTGCTGCTGCTGCCTTGCCAGCAGCAGCTGTAGACGTTCCAGCTGCGCTAGCAGCAGCAGCGGGACCGCACAGCATGTGCAGGATGATCAGCGCAGCAAACGAGGACGAGACAGAGTCACTTGAATGGTCAAAAAAGTCGCCTCCAGCGCTACAGGCACCCAAGCGACGTGCCTGGAGCAAAAAGAGATTCGCGCAAAAACGAAGCGTCACAAGGGTCAGTGGCAGAGCACCTGGAGGGGGAACACCCCCTCCCTCTCCTGCCCCCACGCTGGATGAAAAAAAGAAGCCCTTCCGCAGAGTCGTCGCACGCATCGCGAATGATCACGCACCCTGGGCCGTGGTCTCACCTGCTTGCCGTCTATATTGTCAAAAATTCCATAGAGAATCCAGAAGAGCGCAGCGAGAGCGAGCTGCTCGCTGCTGCCGCTAGCATTCGCTGCGCAGCAGCAGAAGGCGGCAGCCGAGGCACAGCACAGCCCCGTAAAAGATAAAACGTCGGGGTGTATACAGGGTGGCAGCACTTTGCAGATGGCGTCGCACACGGGCGATACGATGTTTTGGTAGAAAACGGTCCCTGAGGAGGACGTTGAGGTATTGTTGGGGAGCTTCTTGCTGCTGCTGCTGCTCGGGCTACTGCTCGTACTGCTGCTGCTGCTCGGGCGAATGCTGAGAGTCGGTGCGTCCGAAGAAGAAGGCATTTTTGCTCTGGGGGGTGCAGCGGGAGCGCCTGAAGGCCAGTGGAATGATCCCTATTCGGCGTGTCTGCTCAGGAGCGCGAATGCCCTGTGTCTTCTTGACTGGAAGGGCGAAGCCCAAAGTCTGACAGCCTACGCTTAAGCACTAAGGGCCGCTGTGGCGGTAGGACGGCGCTTGCAAGTCATGCTGCGGGAGCAGATGCTGCGGAGTGCTCTTGTATGGCATTCAAAAGGCCATAGCGGACAGCCAAAAGCGCTTGAGATAGCAGCAAGGGCTACTGCCGCCCTAAATCACATAGGTTAGACACTCTAACACCCAGAAACCTGATGCATCCTAAGTCTCAGCTCTACAAGATCGCTGCGCAGCAATGGCTTCGAGCCTGGTGTACGGAGGCTGTCCTGCGGGTCTGCACGCAGTGCGTGGCAGTCCGCACTTTTCCAGCTGAGGGCTTTTACTGATTTTCAAAAGGCTGTTTTCAATTCTTAAGAACGCACTGGGTTGTTTCCATGAAGCAGCTCCTCCTTCTGGATTGCAGACCTCAGCAGGGGGGGGGGCTGCAGCTGCGGGGCCTCACCGCGGAAGCCATCGACCCTGTCCGAAGGCTCTCCATAATCGTTGAGATTCAAAAGAGCATCCAAGGGAGCCGAAAACAGTGAGCTTTCTGCCTTCTTGGACTGTGATGTGTCCTGTTTTGAGAGAAATAAAGAGAGAAATACTTGGCCTGCGCGTCATTTAGGAACGCGAAAAAGCAATGCCAAACGCGCGAGTCCCTTTTCTGCGCGACTGCAAGCTGCGAAGGACGCTGGACTCAACGAGGCGCACGGCCTTGTTTGAAACTGGTGGAAAAACACATTTTAAGCACTTTTGTGCGTGGGTTAGGACTTTGAGTGTATGGACGCAGATGATGCTGTAGTCAACATAGGGAGGGGCAAGCGACATGGCGTGCCTCGAATGTCTTTGCATGCCCGTCCACTAATGCCTCTCATGCATGCATCTTATTCATAATATATATGCGGGCTTTAATACCTGCTTAGTCTTAATCGGGGCTATTGGGGGCCGCGTCTACGTTGGAGAGACTACGTACAGTTGCTTTAACGGCCCAAGGGCTGAGACCCTTGCTGCATACAGTTGCTCCTGAAGAGCCTTTTGTACAAGCGCAAACACCGCACAGCCCACGATCAAGGGGGTGGGGGGCACTTCGCTTTACAGGATATCGTTTCGGTTGCTCTATATGCTCTATTCGAGGAGTTTGTCTAGTCAAGCGCCTTGGGTGTTCTTGCGGTTACCCAAGAAAAAGCTTTCAGTAAATGCCGGTCAGGAACAAATACCGTTTTCTCCGGTAGCTTTTTGGTGGCCCTCTATCTGGCTATGTTGCAGCGGCAAAGATTGTCGTGGTGCTGATTGCTCCATGCGCTGCTGAGAAAATGCAGCTGCGAATTTACTTGGCTGTGCGTGCAGCGGCTCCTCTTCCCTAGATTGTCTGCATTGTCATTTACGGAGGGGTCAGGGGCCTCACCTTTGTTGCTTAGTCTCTGGTGGTGTCCTGGTTTCTTACTGTCTTCTGCAAGGTAGCCAGTTTTCAGGCTGACTGGCGATTGGACGGTGTTGGGACCTTTCCCTACTCTAAGCTAGCGGGTGACCACCTCATACGTGCACACAGCCTAAATCAGAGCCCTAGATTCTTCTGTGGGCAAATTTAGCCGCATCAGGACCCCCTTTTCCCCACAGCTGTACGCTCTTTTGAATGACATTAATTCAGCTGAGCCTTCGATATTGCCACACTGCAGCACAGGTGCATGCAGAGAGCTCTGTATTTTGCTGGTGTTTTCTTCAATGCTGCTTTTTGCCAGGAGGGGGCAAAACACTCTGGGTCCCCCACTGTGTGCTTTGGTGCCCCCGTATCAAAAGTGTGGGGGCGTTTCGCTGTAGAAGTGGCTGTTGCGCAGCTGGACTTTGCTATGGTGAGCGATGTTCGAACTACGGCTGTCGCATATCTGCTTGCATGCGTAATTCCGCTTTGGCGGATTTTCGGGAAGAAACATGCTGGTAGAGAGTAAAAGTTGGGTTGCCTAGCGGCGCTGTCTGATGAGTTGTCTGCAAGCTGTTTGGCGAAGGGCAGCCAGCCGCACAAATTCGGGAGAGAGTATAACGGATGGTGAGAAGACATTAGGGTGGGGTGCGTCATCCAAATCTACAAAGCTTAGGTAGCAGAGAATGTAATGCATGAGAGCCGAGAACACTTGAGTGGCCGCATGTTGCCGGCCGCCTCGAGCTAACAGAATGCTGCGGTATGGGCTCATGGAAGGCACACTTCTACCTTAAGGGGTATTCGACTCTGATAATTCCCCTATTGTGGAGGTAACGCACCCTTCTCTTTTTGGATATCGAGAATATCTACCTTGCGTTGTTTTGAGAGGCATGTAATTAAGGGCTGCTGGCAAGGAGCATGACGCGCGCCCCAATGGAGTGCTGGAAAGGACCGTATGTAGCAGTGTCAGGCGGTACAGTATGCGGGCATCAACCTGTGCTTGCCTTTCAAGTTGTTTCAGGGTTTTTTCAATGGTAAGGAGGTCTGACTGTTGTTCGGTTGCTGGCACGAAAGTTCTACTGACTTTGCATGCAAATGGCCGCGTGTTGGGTGAAAACAGTTTGTGCATGCTTTTCGGCGAGTGATCTTAGAATAGCGCCTTGGGTCTTATTGACAGAGGTGGCTACTAGACTCAGTGGAGGCCAATGGAGCCCTTCGGCAACTACTGATGCCCTATATAGGTGACGCAATGACATGCGCCTAGAACGCGAGTTTTGCGTTTAATGGACTCCTGGGTACTGCTGTGCGTTGTTACGGCTTCTTTGGAAGATACGTGCGTTGCTATGGAAAGGGTCGGTCAAGTAGGCTTTCCTGTATTGATTCATGGTGACTTATAGTTGCGCTATCTGTCACCGTGTATGCTAACTAACTTTCTTGCGAGAGCGCGGGTGCACTATGTACCGCATTGAGAAACTCAAGTCGTTGGTCGGTGTGAGCTGATCACAGGGAATCTTACCATCATGATCCAGACTCTGCTTCTATGTCCTTGCCCTTTTTAAAGGAAGGTGATGGCCATTACAGGCTACCAGGGCGCTAAAATCAAAGGCAGGCAAATTTTGGTCACTTGTGCTTCTGGGCTACCGTCATAGGGGTACGCCTGATGTCTCTTGCGCTAAACGGTTCAGGTATCACAGAAAAATCCAATTGGTCGCCGTCGCACGGAACTGCTTTTTAGCGATCTGTTAAGAATTCCGACAAGTCCTCAGTTTCCTTTACTCAAGTTCCTCTAAAATATATCCTTTAAAGCATGAGCTTTAGTCTGTATATGGACCCGTTGACTGCTTGCTTTGCATTGGCCGCAATGATGCTTCACAAGGTTGTCCTCTCCACTGCAGGCCCAACACTCAAGACTCAAGGCGTTTAATATCCTCCAGGGATCACAACTGAGGGGCGTGCAATTATGAGAGCTTTGCCGCTCGGCTGGTACAAGGTAAATTGGAAAACAGAACCTATGCTGTCTAACTTCACAGATATACACAGGCAAAATGGAGGCAGAGAATTCAAGATCCAAGTTGTTCAATTCGATTCAGCTGTCGGGGGACCGTCGTATAAGCCCAGCACGCTTATAAATACACTTGAACGGGTCCCAAACGTCGTTTTAAGTGACCAGAAGAAAATTTATAACTTCAAGGGTCAGATTTTTATTGAATTTGAGGAGTATTTACACGAGCAAGTGTGGCGAATTCATGAGCGGCCAGTTAAAAGAAATGCAAGGCGTTGGAAAGTAGGCAGATCAGTGTTGCGGCATTCCATTACGCCAGCGCGGTTATTTGAATAAGTCTCATGAGAGCCAGAATGGCATGAAGCCGAATGTCAAAATTTTGGTGCCAGGAGCTTGCCTGGTTTGCCTGAATCCCTGCCATATGAGAGGCAGGGCCTTGCAGACATTGCCGACACAGAACATGGTATGGCTAGGCAGCGAACAAAGGGAGGTACAGTGAAAATGACTCTACACACCTGTAAAAAGGGATTAGACTGGATATGGCTATGCCAATAGGTTTAGTTGAGGGGACAGATGCTGAAAACTCTACACCCAAAGAAGCACCCGTGGAGGGAAACTGCCAACAGGAACTCACGGGTTTGCTACATTACCGCGATATATCCGGCTTTCAAGAAGATGCGGACGGATATTCTTGAAGCCACAATCAGTAGGGTCTAACTTCGCAATAGGAGATCACCGAAAAGAAGGACCACCGGAAGGTAGCGTACTAGTAATAATCCCTATTGGGTTCACTTGCTTTGCGGCGGATGCCAACATATGACTGCCACCTATACACCAGAACAAGTGCTACCAGCCAAAATGATCTAGAACCAGAAGAAACACACCACAAACTGCGAAGCCAGCTTGCTATGATCATTTTACGAGAGCACGATGTGTCGTGCTCTAGAAAGGAAGGCCTTAGCCTTCAGTTCTTTCTACTTGCACTTGTTCCTTTCGAGCTTGAGTTTCTCTTACTTTAGCTTATTTATATCGATTGTAAGTAAATTTGGAAAGTTTCTGCGAGTAAATATAGCGTGATCATTGCTCGTACCTGGCAGCAGTTAGTGGTTTCAAGTTCTTGGCAGTATTCAGGAAACTCGACGACTGAAATAGCCTTTTCTCTGCAGCGCCACGGCGCTATCTCCTTCAGCTAAAAATATGTCTTGATATTAGATAGAAATACACAAAATACAGCGGAGAAGGGGGTCCGCTTAATCGACAGCGCGAAGCGAAACGCGCAGCATCGCGCCTCTTTCCATGCACGTGTGTCCGAGCGTGCTCGTCGGCTTATAAACGCCTTTTGCCTTTCTCGTGCTTTTGGGGAATCGATGTGCCGTTTGCTATGTGGCTGGGAAGCTTTATATTCCAGAAGTTGTAGGTCGGTTATCTCCGAATCTTTATGCAAAGCGCTCGTCTCAAGCCTTTGAAAATGCCTCTTTATCTTGGAGATACGTTTCCCAACTTCGACGCCGAGGCCTTTGGTGCCGAAAACTTCAACCTCTACGACTACTTAGGCAACAACTGGGGTATTCTGTTCAGGTGAAAGGCTCCGCCTCCTGATTCCTAAACTGAATCTGGCTACTGCATCCACAGGATATTCAGCCCCGTCTGGCTCGAACGTCTGCCTGCACGGCTGCAAAGCCAATTTTGCTCGGTGTGCGTACGCAGCCACCCAAACGACTTTACGCCAGTCTGCACCACTGAGTTGGGAGAAGCTGTGAAGCTGTGCCAAACCTTCAAGGACAAGAGCTGCAAGCTCATTGGTTTTTCCTGCAATGACGCAGAAAGTCACAAAGTCAGATGCGGTCGCAAAGAGAAAAGGGTCTTTACGTCTGGCGTATGAACGAAATGCCTAGGGGGTTGCCCTGTCTGTCGACCCGGCTTTCCTGCATCCGGAAGCCGGAGCCTCTTGGGTATTCGAGGAGGTCACCTCGGGGCGTAGAAAGCTGCTTACGAGCTGTTCACTGTGCTGAGCTTCGATTTTCGCGTGGAAACTAAGCATGCTAGTCCAGAAAGTTGTGTGTGCGGCCTCGTGGTAGTTTGTAGGGCGCCAGCTGAGTTCTGCTTTAGCGCATGAGTAAAGACTGCTCTATGATTGACACCCCTCCTTTCTTGGTGCGACCCATGCCGGTGTCTATCCTGCTGCAGGAGTGGGCCAAAGATATTGCGGCTTTTTCCGGTTTTCATGGAGACTTGCCGTTTCCTATGATTTGCGACCCCAAGCGAAAACTTGCTACTTCCCTCGGCATAATGGATCCACGAGAGAAGGACAAGGCTGGAATGCCGCTCACGTGTCGCTGTGTCTTCTTTATAAGCCCTCAAAAGAAAGTGGCGGCTTCCATTCTGTACCCAGCAACGACTGGGAGAAGCTTCAAGGAAATTCTCAGAGCGCTTGATTCCCTTCAGGTAGCCGCGGGGCTTGCTGATCCGCCTGGAGAGTGCGACCCAACAAGCATGTGTTTCTTGTCGCACACCAGCTCCACGTGCTGGCTTAGAGCGAGGCCGATTTCACCTTGGTTCGTGGAACTGGTATTTGCGCACCCTCTTGTGCTACGTATATGCGCACGTCTCTCTGCACGTATACATGTGCGTGTGCTTGCCGTTGCAGCTGACCGAGGAATATCCAGTAGCCACTCCCGTGGAGTGGACGGCCGGCGAGCCATGCTGCGTTCCTCCGCAGCTGTCTGAGGAAGAGGTGAAAAAGAGGCTTCCCAAAGGAGTGCGTACCAAAGAACTTCCCTCTGGAAAGACGTACATCAGGTATACTCCCGACCCTAGGAATTAAAAGGGCGGCAACTCACGCAAACTCTTCGCCGGCGAGCAAATGACAGACCGTGGGCCTCCCCGACGTGCTGCGTCTTGCGCATATTTAATGCAAAACGCGCAGGGAGCAGCTTATAAAGGGAAGGCGCTCAGGGCCCCGTATATGGGTGTTCTTGCGAGTGCCCGGAAAACCCCAGTCTGGGGTGTATTTCCCCTGCGTCTGTTGGCACCGGTAGCACAAAAGTTGGTCTTTCTATTCTCCTGCGAAAGCCGTCGTGGGCTGCGTGTATTTAGGGCTTACTGAAGATGCGGATAGCTTGCGATCCGCAAGGTGTAGCTGGGGTGCAGGGTTAGGCGGAGTGCGTCCGACTTGCAGCAAAGGTCGTATTGTTTGTGGCTATGGATTGATGTGAAGGGGTGGTTTCTGTCTTTGAGGGATTCAGCACACTCGGCGTACACAGTAGCAACGCGTGGTCGAGTGTAGCGGGGTTCGGGCGAGCCTCGTCATTTGCGGTCAGAGGAGGTTATGAAGGAAGCCTTTTGCGAAGCCCCCATGTGCACGCACGCAAGCTAAGAGGGGGAGGCGACGCCTGGGGCAATAAGATGCGCAATAGCCTCATTCACTCAAAAAAGCAACCTGTGTGAGGAGGGGACCTTGCTCTTGAGGGGTGTTGCTGCAAGGGCACCTGTTGTACGAGTCGCTGGTGCTGTGTCGGATGCCGACAGATCTCAGCTTGCTTGCATAAAAATGGCTAAAAAAAACTCGCGTGCTAAAATTGCACCTTGCGCTTAGGGCGTTACGTTTCCTTCTCTTGTAGTGCCTTTTGGTTCTAGCGCAGCTGCTCTATACACCCGCGCACGCTGGTGCTCTCAACACACCTGCGTTATAGTGTACTTCGCGGCAGTGGGATGGAAGGGGGTGTGCCGCGTTTCGTTTGCCCCGTTCAGCAAGCTGCTCTTAGACTTTAATCGAATTCCAAGGTACTTAGAGAAGGCCTGATTGTGTGCTTGCTTTCAACTTAACGGCCAATTAGTGAACCTTCTCTTTGAGTAGCTAGCCCGAGCGATGGAGAACACAGCTTGCGCGCTCTCTCCGTCACCCTAGTCGAGGCACCCTTATTTCTCATGCTCAAATCTTCGACTTGGAGCGCTAAGCTTGTTATGAGGTGGCTTTGGAGGCGCAGCTTCCAAAACGGGGGAGACACTTTTCGCTTCCAAGTGGGCATCTGCATGCGCCGTAGGAAGCCTTAGCCGGATCGATGTGATTTTTAATAGCCCATGTTGAGGCACTTAGGAGAGCCCCTTTATGTGGATGGGCTCTACACGCCCATAAGGAGGAGGGCCCCCCTCATGGGGCCCCCCAAAGGGGTACCCGGAAGGGACCCCACTAGGGGCCCTCCCGTATGTGCTTGCCAGGAGTCGCCAAATCTGAAATACAGAAACACGTTTGGGCTTGCTTTTGAAATGCAGGTGCACCTCCAGTCGCACAGGAAAGTGCGTGCAATGGTGGTGTGGATATCTTGAGAGTTTGACCCTTCCCCTGGCAGCGTGCATGGCGCAGCGTGCAGCGTGCCTGTCGTGTTTTGGTGGGATTCACTCCGTTGCAGCAGGAGCAGCAAGGGGGACGGCAACAAGCGCAGCATCAGAGGAAGCGCTCCATCAGTGTAATATCAGTGACGATTGTAATCGGCTACTCCTCTAGTCTCCAGCCTGCGCCTCCCCCCCTCCTCTCATCTGCACCCCAGCGCATCACCAGGACCGCGGCGACTCCCCGGATCCGTCTGCTTCCTTCCTGAGCGTGTGTGTTTGTCTGCACTCAAGGGAGATGCAGAAGAGCGTGCGTCGCCTATGTTCGCTGGCTGCTGCATGCGCCCCCCCTTCAGCGCCGCTAAACCCTTTGCTGCTGCCTCTGACGGGTTGCCGATTCGCTTTAGCCGGCCCGGCCCCCCAAGACGCAAGCGCCTCCCCCCCTTCAGTGCACCCCACGCACCCATGGAGACTCCCCTTCTCAGCTGTAGCAGACAGTCCCCCGCCCCTCCCCTGGACGGGGAGCTCCATGCAGAACGACAGCGACTGGATTTCGTGCACCCCGACTGCACGGAAGAGGAAACAGGAACTGTTCAAGATCATCAACAAACAGGGCCTCGGCAAGAGACAATGCGGGATGTTTTGGGGAGTCTATCTCAACAAAGCGCAGAAACGCAGGAAGAGCAAGAGGTGCATATAAATTGGAGCGCGCCCGCACACCCGAGTCTTCGCGCTAACCGCCACTACTGCTGCCCAGAGAGCAGGACGCAACGAGCCGCTTCCTCCTCCCGGAGAGACTCCCTTTTAAGGCTTTTTCGTGCAGGAGGAGGCTTCCGCGGCAGTGTGTGGCACCTCGTGCGTGGGGGCCCTTAGTGCAGGGCTTGCTTCGAGGATTCGACATGCACAAAAAGACTTGGGAGGGGAAGACGCCTACACGGGGGAGCCTTCGGCCCCCCTTCCCCCCCCAAACGGCAACGACGGCAGTGCCAAACGGCGGGGTATAGCGTGCATAAGGAAAGGAGACGGACGGCATGGAGTGCCGCGGGAACCCCTTGTTAGCCAGCTAGCGCAGCCGCGGGGGGTCCAGCTGCTGCCTCTGCATGCGGCAGGTCCCAAGCAGCTGCTGACGGCTCGCTAGGGGGATATGCTGCTATGCGCAAATCGCCTTAGGGCTGGCCAAAAACTGCGGCCTTTGCCAAGGTTTCTTTAATTATCTAGATCAACTGCTCGCTCGCAGACTTTCCTCTAAGGAGTGACCAGCGATGCAGACAGGTGGCGCGTGCGAGAGCTAGTGGGCGAGCTACGGCTCATCTTTAAAGGTAGAGCTCCTAGGATACAGCGAAGGCCTAGGCCTGCACGTGCCCCAGGGAGCTTCGGTAGGAGATGAGAAGGCGGAAGAGAGATTCACGTGGGGATGTAGGCTGGGATTCAAGCTGCGATTCAGCATAGGGTTGGGAAGCGTGGACGCCTGCGCACCCGCTGTGGGCTTTGTCAGAGAGAGGTAGTACTTTGAGTAGAGGAAGAGTGACATTGCAGATATGCACACAACGACCACCGTAAAGGATACCTCGAGTCCTAAGCGAGCGTAGAGATAGCCGAGCAATCCTAGGACCTGAGGGAGACACCGATGAAAGGAAAGCGGCAGGAATGCAAGAGACGCGAGCCAAAGCTCGAGAAGGCGTCTTCGACAACGCCTCCTCAAGAGGTGCCTACGTAAGTATGCTGCGCACTGCACTTACCAGGTGCTCGAAGCCGGCTCGCAGAACGGAGACAACCGTTTGCAGCCCCACAGCGAGAATCAAGCCGCAGACAGACACCCCGAAGAACAGGGAGGAGAAGGACAGCGCCAAACAGATACCCAAGAGAACCATGAGCACGCCTATCACCTAGATATACACACGGCACACGTCGACAGCAGGCAGGGGTCATGTATACCCCGCCGCCTCCAAAAGACCCCCTGCCTTTGAAAGAACTCGCAGAAAACACGCCCATACACATATACACATATATATACGCATATGCACACGTGTAAACACACAAGCACATGCACATACACACACATATAAACACACAAGCACATACCGTACATGCACACAAATATTCCTGCTTCCCCGAACAAGGAACATTTGCCTCTCTACGCAACCCCGAAGGCGAACGAGATTTTCTCTGCAGCATATTAAACGGGGGGAGTGGAGTGGTGCCACCCCCACCCCCTAAGCAGCTGGTAGTCGCCTCTTTTCCTTTACGAGAGCGCTCGTTGCAGAAATTGGCGGGATCGGTTGCGTTTCTGTTCATTGTTTCCAGTCCACCGTACCGTAGACAGAAGGTTCATGAAATTTCGGTGAAGTTGCGGCTCGTATGCAGCCCTGAGCTCTGTCTGAATCCAGTGGACAGACACCCGAGAGACCAGCGAAGGCGAAAGGCGAACGTTTGTCTTGATGGCTGCCGATTCAGAAAGAAGGAGATCTTCTGCTCGCTGACGCGCCAGGAGAGCAAATGAATGCCAGAAGTAATACTTGCCAGCCTCGTCCTGCAAAAACAATTCCCAGCAGCAAACACGCAGCCGTCATCCCCCTGCACGACTCGTGGCAAAAAGAGAGGGCTGAGGCACAAAGGCGGCCTCATACGCTGCTGCCTATCTAGCAGCGCATCCCCATGCGGCTAGACACCCCTCTCACGTGGCATCGCATAACTTTCCCCCCTTTCTTTCCACGCGCACCGCTAGTTCCTCCTTCAGCCGATCCAAAGGTTTGCTACAGTTCGTTTTTATCGCCTCCAAGTTCGCCTCTTCCAAAGAAGACCCCATCTCGTGCAGACGGTGCTCCAGCTCGGCCGACACCTGCACCGCAAGTTAGCCGCATGTTCTTTCTCTGTCTCTTTCTCGTTTTTTCACTTCTATCGCGCGCTCTCTCTCTCCAGCATATTGGTCAATGCCCACAGCACTTACTTCCTTCCACGGCTCCGAAGAAGCGCAGTACAGCCGCGCAAGTTCTTGCCTCGCTCTGGCCTTGACTTGCTGGATGTGCATTTCTAGAGCATCCTCCTCGATGGGGAGCGGGGCGCTAAACTCCGACATCACTTCTGGATGAAATAGCAGCTCCCACCGAGAGAGGACTTCCTGAACCGCAGAAAAAAGCACGAAGTGCACGCTCTAGGAGGAGGCACACACCGCTGCCAGAGAAAAATCAGCCACGCAGAGGGAACCTGCCACACGCTTCCAGCAGACACCCGCTGCACTTCACAGACATCCAGAAGAGGCAAACTTACTTTTGAGGCTTCCATGCACTTCGCGCTCCAAGTCTTAAGGCCTTGCGCCTCCACCTGTCCAAGTCTCCTCGCCAGATCCGCTGATACATCGGAGTGCAAGTCAGCAACGTCTCGCAGAGAGGCAACATCCGACTCAAATAAGGTCCACGCTGATCGCCACAAATCGCCCGCCAACACACACCGCACGAAGCCCAATACATTTCCTTCCTCCAAGGCTTTTCCGACAGACAGAAGACAGTCAAACAGTCAGACAGAGACAGACGCACAGACGCACAGACAGTCAGACAGAGACAGACGCACAGACAGTCAGACAGTCAGACAGCGACAGACGCACAGACACACAGACAGTCAGACAGAGACAGACGCACAGACACATAGACAGTCAGACAGAGACAGACGCACAGACACATAGACAGTCAGACAGAGACAGACGCACAGACAGTCAGACAGAGACAGACGCACAGACACACAGACAGTCAGACAGAGACAGACGCACCCTCCCCCCCTCACCATGTGTGCACGCAGCACATGCAGAAACCCTAAGAACCACCGCTTTCGCTCGGGGAGACGTCTACACATAAATCTCGAGCACAAGGCGCCGTAAAAAAATGCAATGCTGATGCGACAACTCAAAGCCTGCGGCAGAGACACCCACCTGCTTGTTGCCAGTCAAGCAGCAATCCCTTGAACTCCTGAAGAGGCCGAATAAAGTCCAACGGCTGCTGTTGCAGCTGCTGCCGCACAAACTCCGCTGCCCTATCGGCTGCACGCTGCATTTGATCCGTGATGCTCCTCTAAACCACACACACACAGACATACCGTACGTGTCCATATATGTATATGTATGCAGATACACGATTGTACATGTAGAAAGACAGAAGACAGATACAAACACAGATACGCATGTATAGTAACACATATTTACACGCATACATACATGGAAATACACAGGCTCTAGGGGCACCAAATCCCTCGGCGTTCAGCATGTGCAGTGTGCATGTGGGGAAGAGAATCCTGCGTCTGCGTACAATGTTTGCTGAGTGCAGCTCCAAGTAAAGCGCTTGCACCGATTCAAAGTGTTGATTGAGCTGCTCAGTGCAAGAGGGCAATGCGGAGTAATCTCGTCCGCCAGGACGGAGACGCTGCAGCAATGCAGATTTGCTCTGCCTGCATGCACGACAAAGCACGTCGGAAAGGTATGAGGAGAAGAAAGGCAGCTGTTGCAGCTGCCTGCACGCGTTGCAGCTGCCTGCAGCTGTTGCATGCATTCTCCATAGAGTCCACCCAGCAGCTGTAATAGCTGCTGAAAGGGGGAGCATGGCTGCCTTTTTCGGTTTCTCAGACGTTTCGCATGCGATTCGTTGTACAGATGTGGGCATGCAGCATGCAGCGGCTTCTTCTAGGGGGCACAGCGTTGAACATCAGATATCGCAAAAAAACAACGTGCACCACCCCCTTGCCAAGTTCTACCTTCTCTTGCTCCCCCATTTCCCCTCCCTCCCTCCTTCCCTCCCTCCCCCGTTTGTTGCGTGTGGCGAGAGAAGGACGGACTGCTGCTGGTAGCTTGAGAAGTCGGCTAATTCCTTTGGAGGCATCGGCAGTCTCCGCATCTGCAGCTCCGCGGCTTCGCGCTGTACAGACAGCTGAGCTTCACACACCGACTGACAGAAGGCTGCAACCAACTTGCTTGCCCTGTACGCAGAAGCGCAGAAAGACACACACGCACCAGGGGGATGCAGTTAAGACGTGTTTCCTCTCTCGCCATGTAGACACGAAAGACGGTATTCGGCAGTTCAATAACGCATAGTCCATCAAAAGGGGCAGATAGAGGGCTATATTTATATATACATATATATAGCCCTCTATCTGCCTGTTCTCCCCAGATCCCAGGCTTGTCGCCGGTGCACAGCGTTCTCACGTCTGCAAGGCTTTCTCCACAGTTTCATCCATCTTTTTAATTAGCTGCTCCTCCTGTTTGTTGGTCTCGAGGCGGTTCGCGAACGCTTCCGCTGCAGTCTGTTGCTGCCACAAAGCCAGCGTCTTGCTGCGCAGCACAGCAGCTGCTGCGGCGACTTCTTCAGGCAGCAAAGGGAGCACGCGGTCGGTAAGGTGATGCAAATCTCGCGAGAATAGCAGCAGCAAATCGTTCTTCGCCATTGCACTCTGCAGAGAGTCTCACATGGAAAAGCGCTGCTGCTGCACACACAAAAAGCTCGTCTCCCCCGCTGACTAGATGTCTGCCTCAGTTTCTCCTCTTTTTTCTCGACTTTTCCCGCCTCTCCCTGCCCCATCCTGCCTCGCTCTCGCGCATACGCCCTTTTTGCTTCCTCCCAAGCCAAGCTGCCTTACGCGGACAGTGGAGAAGTGATTCATGAAGACTTGAACGTCTTCAAACATGTTGGCATTCGCCGCAGCCACGAGGAAACGCACAAGCTCTGCAAGATCCCTTCCTGACAAATACTGCTGCGGCTGCTGCGTGTCTTGCAGCTGCTGGTGTTGCTGCTGTTGGTCAGGCTGGAAGGCGAGCAAAGCCTCTCCTGCTGCGAGTTTCAGCTTCGGATTTGCGGCAGCAACTGCCAGTATCCTACGCCTGACAGCGTCAAAGGCAGTTCTGTAATCTGGATCTTCGTCTTCTGGCATCAGCCGATCCAGACGCTGCAGCAGGTGCCCTGAAGACGTAGGTGCCTTCAAAGCAAAGCACTCCACCGAAGGATACAACGTCCTGTGCACATATACATACATACATATGAATACACATACATACACACATAAGCACATATACATACATACATACACACATATACATACATACACACATAAGCACATATACATACATACATATGAATACACATACATATACATACACACATGTACATACATACATACACACATATACATACACATACATACACACATAAGCACATATACATACATACATATGAATACACATACATACACACATATGCATACATGCACATGTAAATACACACACATAAACACATATACATACATGCACATGTAAATACACACACATAAACACATACACACACACACATATACATACACATACATACACACATAAGCACATATACATACATACATATGAATACACATACATATACATACACACATGTACATACATACATACACACATATACATACATACACACATAAGCACATATACATACATACATATGAATACACATACATATACATACACACATATACATACATACATGCACATATGAATACACATACATAAACACATGCATACACATACACACATGTACGTACATACATACATAAACACATATACATACATGCACATGTAAATACACACACATAAACACATACACACACACACATATACATACACATACATACACACATACATGCACATACACACAACCTCCCGAACTGTCCGCCACGCCTTCAGCAGATGTCGCTGAAAACAACTGCAACTGAAAACAAAGCCCACATGGCGCAAGCCACATGCCAAAAGACAGGAAGCGTCTTACCGGAGCGAGTGCTTGTTATGAGACTGTGCCTCGCCAGCCTCGATCGCCTTAGGAGGCGTATGCCATCGGTTGGTTTGCAGCAACCCTTCAAACCACTGTTGCGCGGTCAAACCTTCCAGATCCTACGCACGACACGACCCATATGCATATCTGCATATATTTACATAATACGTAAGCACGACTCACATGCATATCTGCATATATGTACATAATACGTAAGCACGACTCACATGCATATCTGCATATATGTACATAATACGTAAGCACGACTCACATGCATATCTGCAAGCATATCTGCATATATTTACATAGTACGTAAGCACGACTCACATGCATATCTGCATGCATATCTGCATATATGTACATAGTACGTAAGCACGACCCACAGGCAGATATGCAGACATACATACATACATGCATGCTTACATACATGCATGCATGCATACATGCATGCATGCATTGAAGGCGCACGAAAGAAATTTAGCCCTTGCTTGCCAGCCCGCTAGAAGACTGGCAAGCCTACACTGCTGCGAGCTGGCGTGCAAGGGGCATGCAAAACAGAGGCGGCTAGCAGTGATCTCGCGTGTGCGTCTGCCTGCCCAGTTGCCGATTAAGACGCACAAAGCGCTGCCACTAAGCGCCGTACGAACGGAGAAGAAGGCGCCAAGCATGGACGAGTCGGTGACAAGCTGCACTCGCCACTTACCTGCACGAAGTCTTGAACTACCCAGGAGAGACAGCAAGGGCTTAGAAGAGACAGGAGCGCGGAAGATGTGTCTGCTGCCTGCTGCTGCTGTTGCTGCAGTTGCTGTTGCTGCGGTTGCTGTTGCTGCAGTTGCTGTTGCTGTTGCTGCTCTTCTTGCCCCTTCTGCTGCTGCCCTGGAGCCTCGAGAACAGAGCGTGCATGTGCTCGCAAGGAAAAAAGATTTGCGTCTCTAGCCAGATCTTCGAGGAGCTGCAAACCCTGTGGCAATTGCAGAAAAGCGAATAGCCGTCGAAGAAGGCGTCGTGTGCATCCTGTTACGCTTCAGAGAAATGCAGGAACGCTCTCTTCGTGCACCAACCTACTCATGGTCGGTGTACTTGTATATTCGGATCGTGAATTTATATGTATGCGTGCGAATGGATTTCCGTAACTGTATGTCTGTCTATTTTTGCATGTATGTGTGTATGTGTATACACATGTATATACATACATATGTACACACATACATATATACATACATATACATATGTGCATACATACACATAAATATACATTTTCGTGTATATAGAATTTATGCACATATATGGTTATATTTACTTGTATTTGTATGTATTTTTTCGTGTCTGTTTGGGGGAGGAGGCGATTGGCTGACCTGTGCGTCAATCATCTTCATGGAGACGAAGATGACGTGAGAGGCGAGAAGCGAGCCGATTGCGTAGAGCAGCTGGTCGTAGCTTCGCGTGACATTCGGCCCTCCAAAGCCTTCGCTGTCTAACATCAGCACTCGCACTGCGTCCGCCTCTGCAGCCTTCCCCGAGGCAGTGGCTTCAGAGAGCAAGGCACCCGTTGCTCTGTCAACGAGCAAAGGCTTCGAATACAGCGACAATCCTCGCGAACCAGGAGCAACAGTAAAGCCTACTGGGAATCCGGAAGACCCCAACCCTTCTCGACCTAAGAGGCTGTTCAAGAAGAAGCTTTTGCCGGAGTGAATCGGTCCTGCAAGCATCCACGCAAGCGCCGCTTCCTCGCACGCTCTGCCCCCTGCAGGGAGTTTCTTGGCATGGCATGCGCAGTGGCAGACGCAGCGCTCTCGCAGAGCACTCCAGCTCCCTCCGAGCAACGCACACACAGTATGTGAAATCTCAGAGCGAAAGCTGCCGGGGAGGCTGCATGCATGCTCTCGGCAGCTCATCAGTTGCATTGGTCAAGTGTGCACGCACCCATGGCTGCTACCACTGCGAGCGGTCCACTGATCGCTTCCAGCTCTGCGAGGGCTTCCTCGTTGATCAGGAAGCCTGCGAACGCGAAAGCGAAACCGAGAAATAGGGAAAAAACGAAGAAAAAGCGTGCAGCACACCAACCACGAAGCGCCGTGGTCCTCCTACTGCCTCTGAACCGATCTACTTCGTGCAGCCATGAGGGAAACTTCCTGCTTCCGGCGCACACACCTGTGTGCAGCTCGTTGGGCATGACGATCTGCAACGGCCTGCCTGGCTTCTGCTTCTGAGGAATGCTGGCAGCTGCCTGGAGGGCTTGCACGTTCTTCGATTTGCGCTGCTGCCGCTGCTGCTCCGCCTCCTCCTGCGAAGGCTTCGCGGGTGACTGGGGACGCTGCTCGTCGGTTTTTCCCTTCGCAGCAGCGGCCTCTCCCATGCCCAGCAGCATCAGCAGCAGCAGCAGCCGCCAATTCGCCCGCCTTGCCTCCATCTGCGAAAAGCGCGATCCGAAGATATGCAGCGTGTCTGCGTCGTCGTCTTCTCCCCTAGCTCAATCCAGCAGCGCGTCATCCACGTAGTCATTAAGCGCCTGGTGCTGCTGCAAAATAAACCGACCAACGGCTGCGAACTGCGGGAACTTGCTGAGCTTTTCCACTGCTGCTTCGCCAGCGGGCCGAATCACAGACATCAACGCTGCCCGCTGCCGCAGAAACGTTCCGAATCGCTCCCCCAAGTCAAAGGGAATGACTTGAATTATCCAAACAGAGGCATAACACCGCGCAAAAAGCGAGGAAAGGGAGAGCAAAAGGTCTCCCGCTGCCATGCTGCTTGCCCTAAGAGGCGCCTGAGTCGCTGCTTGCGCAGCAACGCGAAGATCCCCACACGGCGCACACGATCCGGCAGCGTGCCCTTTCAAGTTTCAAGGAAGAAAAACGAATTAAAATGTTTTTTTAATGCCAGACACAACTTGAACGAGCTGAAGGCACAAGCTTGGCCGCGCTGCGCATGCAGCCATGCGCCATCTTGTTGTATCGGCGCTGCCGGTAGGGTGGTGTTCTTGCTGCTGCTGTGTGTGTGTTACCACTGTTGCAGCCTTCCGACCCCCTCCCTCCCTCCACCCTTCTCCCCTCTGAGTCGCCTTCCAACCCGTGTCTGTACTTCTTTGCAGCTTTTTTCGCGTAGGCTACGCCATTCGAATCGCGTGTCTCCATGTCAAGAAACAGAGCAGCCTTCCGACCCCCTAGTCCTTCCCTCCACCCTTCTCCCCTCTGAGTCGCCTTCCAACCCGTGTCTGTACTTCTTTGCAGCTTTTTTCGCGTAGGCTACGCCATTCGAATCGCGTGTCTCCATGTCTAGAAACAAAGCAGCCTTCCGACCCCTCCCTTGTGTTGCCTGTCCGTCTGTCGGTGCTTCCTTGGTCTACCTTTCTCTCCCTCTCTCCCTCACGTGAACACCCCACCTCCCACTCCTTCAACCCAGTCAACAGCACAGCACACAGAGACACAGCACACAGAGACACAGCACACAGAGACACAGAAAGATACAGACACAGACGTCAGCCTCAGATCGCCACGCATGACGTTCTGCTTCCGTTTAGGAGCTGGGAATCTTGCTGCTTAGCGGCGATCGGGAGGAGGCAACAAAGGCTTTCTGCTAAAGAAAGGCTTCGGCATTCTGTCAAGGGCTACACATATAATATATTTAAATATATATATTACTAGCAAGAGTGCTCTCCCTCAAGATGTGCGTGCGACATACGTATCTGCGCATTAACGAGTGCTGATGTCTCTGATGACGCCGAAACTGGCACTGCCAAGTACAAAACATTGAAAGCTAAAAAGATGGCAGAGAGAAAGAGAGTCTTCCAACTTCTCCCACCTGACCCCCAGAAAGAGAACGTTTGAGGGCGTGTGTTGAAGCTGCACTGGGCTTCGCAAGGCTGCCACTGCACACTGAGCTTGAGCTTTCTGTGCTTCGCTGCAGCCTCCATGTGCTCAGCACAAAATTGCCCTTACTGACCCCAGCACAGCGGCTTAGTCAGCTTGGTATGCAGGTGCTCTGACAACCTCTATTGGTGTGGCTGCTGCCGTTGCAGCAGCTTGAGCTTCCACTTGGGTACGCTGCAGCTCGCAGCAGCTGCCTGCTGCGGCTGGAGCTGCTCTTCCGCTAGAATAGCTTCTGCTGAAAGACGCATGACTTGCAGTCCCCCCCCCGCACCGGCTGCTGGAGCCGTTGCTGTTGCCGGCTGCTGCTCGTGCTGCTGCTGCTGCCAAGCGCCACTGTTGTTGCTGCGTTGTTGCTGCTGCTGTTGGCTGCCCCCAGAGTCACGGTGTTTGCTGCGACTCCTGCTGCGGCTGCTGCTGCTAAGTCGCAAGCGAGGGGGGGAGGCTTGCCGCTCCTCCAAAACTGCGCGAAAACAGACAAAGGCAGCCCGTGGCGGGGGACCGTCAGCACTTAAAGCAGCAGCGCAGAAGCACTACTAGCAGCAGCACTTAAAGCAGCACTTAAAGCAGCAGCGCAGAAGCACTACTAGCAGCAGCACTTAAAGCAGCACCAGATGCAGCAGCACTGAAGGGAACAGCGTAGAAGCAGCACCACCACTACCACCATCAACAACACCCCCTACCAAACAGCAGCGTCTCAGCGCACCCACCTGTTTTGTGCTGCACTGAGCCGCTTCCAAAGATCGCATTCAAATGGCTGGACTCCTCATCGGCAGCAACAGCCTGCGCGAGCAAACGCAACAGCAGCAAACAGGAGAAGGCGAAGCAGGCAGCTGCAGTCTTACACTGCTTCCGCTGTCGAAATTCGCAACGTCAGCACTGCCAGGTGACCCCTCCCTCCCCCTCTCTCCCTTCCCAATATCAAGACCAGCTAGCGTCAACAACTCCTGTTGCAGCGAACCGTTCTCTTAGCCTGTCTATGCCGATCAATAAACTCCGCAAAAGCAAACTCAGACTCGTCTTCCACCAGAGCAACTGCTGCAGCCCGCATACTGCCCTCAGCCTGCCCATCCATCCAGCAAACACACACACATACACATACACATACATACACGCACCCACAAAAGCTTATGCAGCTGCTTTTGATACATCTCTAGCTGCACAAACAACGCCATCTGTTGCTGCTTCCCAGAGATAAAAAGCAGAACCCCCCCTCCCCTCCCCCCAGTCCCTTTCCCCTCGCAGTCAAGCCGCCATCAGCGGCAACAACAACAGATGTGCTCAGCACACATACCGCAGCGGCGAAGTCATCCTTCCAGCTAGCATGACCCCTAGCGGCTTCTTCCGCTTCTTGATCGATGACAGCTTTCAGCGTTCGTAATCGACTGCATGCACACACGCACATCCAACTCCCGAAATCGCATCTTTATGGCCCTCTACATAAAAGAGCCCTCTCCTCTTCGCGTGAGCGATGAACAAAGAAGCACTGCTCCTTCCTTACCCTTCTTCCGCCGTCAAAGGCATCCGCGAATGATGTGCAGCCTTTTCTCTGTCTCGTTCCTTCTGATCCTGCCACATATATGCATACATTTACATACTATACATATATATATATATGCAAACATACTGTGCATACATACTACGCATACACACAAAACACTAATAACACCCTTCTCCGGGGTTCCTTCTCCTTCACGTCGAAGGGGATTTTGAACGAGAAGGTTTAACCCCTGCAGCAGCAAGACACCTTCTTCGAGCCTTAATTTATCAGCCATTCATCCTTAGACACACCGTTACATGGCGTGCAATGCGTTCTTTCAAAGAGACTGCTGCATCTTCTGCTCTCCTGGTGCTACCTGGCCGTCTAAGGCTTCTGCTGCGACTACGGCTTCTACTGCGCCCTCTGTAACGCTGCTGCTTGCTGCTACTGCTGCTGCTGCAAAAGGTGTTACTGCTCCTGCTGCTGCAAAAGGTGTTGCTACTACTGCTGCTGCTGTTGCTATTGCCATATTTCGTGCCTTTATGGCGTTGTTGTTGTCTGCTGCCACTGCTCCTGATGCTTCTTCTGCTCCTGCTGCTGCTTCTTCTGCTTCTGCTGCAGCTCCTGCTTCTGCTTCTCCTTCTGCTCCTTCTTCTGCTTCTGCTGCAGCTCCTGCTTCTGCTTCTCCTTCTGCTTCTGCTGCTGCTTCTTCTGCTTCTGCTGCTGCTCCTGCTGCAGCTGCCGCTCTGCTGGTGAGGACGTCGCCGTCTATTGCTGGTGCTGCTTTCAAGAGAAGCATGTCTAGCACCGCATGCTTCCTGCACACTTTTGACGAAGAGGCTTGAGAGAGAAGAGCTGTCGTTGCTGCTCGAGCTGCTGCCGCTGTAGCCTAGGCCAGTCTTGCCGCGACTCTGTCTTCCCGAAAGATTGCGCTGATGCACAACACACACAGCGCCAGTCAGACAGACACCTCGCAAAATTACAGGCTTTCCCCATTCTTCTCCTCCTCATGCCCTCCTCCATGTGCACAGCAGCCGCCTCGCGTCTATTTACAGCCGTGCAGACAGCTCCTGTCTCACGTAGCATGCTTCCTGGTGCTCCTCCCTCCAGCCTCCTCTCGAGCCTGAATCGCATCGATCGACACCGTATGAGCTGTCCGTACCACCACCTTCAGCAGAAACAGCCGCGAACAGCAACAACAACTCCTACCACTACACCCACTACCAGCGCACAGCGCTCGCACACATGGCCAAATTTCCGCCTTATTTTAGGAGGGGCAGCGACAGCTGTTGCTGCTGCTCCTGCTCCTCTTCCTGCTGCTCCTTCTGCTCACTAGGCATAGTCCAGATACCCTCTAAGGGGCATTCGAGGTGTTTTCGCCGGATTGAGTTCTATGCAGAGAAGCATGTTATAGGTGAAAAAAGCAACTGGCGAGGCAGTTCTTATCTTCAGATCGAAATCCCTTGGGGGGCCCCTCTGGAGCTGGAGGGGCCCCTGCTGCGCCGCGTTGCCTTGGCAGCTGCAAACTGCCGGGGAATTTCGCCGTTAAATCGATCCATAAAATGCCTTTTTGTCGTATCCTGAGTTTCCTGCTTGCTGGCAGGGGCCTCCCTTCGCGGCTTGCCGGTGATCTTTGAAGGCAGTGCCCCTTGGACCCTTCCCTCCTCCCCCCTTCCTTTCCACATCGCCTCCGTGCTTCGTTCGATCTGCAGCAAGCGCATTGCAGCACTCGCTTTGCATTCGATGCTGTAAAGCGGCAGGATCTCGCGCCGCTTTCCCTCAGGAAGCAGCGCCTGGAGGCGCTTCGAGGGGGTATGTTTCTGTGTATGAGCATGTGCATGTGCATGCGTGCGAAGCTTGCCTGCCGTCCGCGCCTCTAATGCTTCCTTCCTTTCGGCTTGAACTCCCCCTCCTGTCAGACAGGAAGTCTTACGGCTCCTGCCCGTCTTCCTCTGCCTCGCCGCTACAGAGGGGCCTCGCGAAAAACTTCCGGGAAAAACAAGCGAGGAGGAAGAAGGAAGGAGACGTCTTCTCGCGAGAGAATGCAGGAGCGCCGCGACTGCCCTCAGCACCCCCTCTCTCGAGGCGCTGACGCTCAGCCGCGGCAGGCGCTCCTTCCGCAGAGTCGACGTCTGAAAGGCGGAGGCTTTTCGCCTCCTAATAACTGCAGCACCAACAGCAACAATAGCAGCAATATTAGCAGAAACAGCAACAACCGAAAGCAGCATTTCCAGCGCTGTGGAACTCGCGAGCTCACTCTGCAGCAGCAGCAGCAGAGGCAGCAGCAGCTGCTGCTCACAAAAGGCGGCGAAGGATATGCTCGCTATGCAGCAGCAGTCTCTCCAAGCCAGCGTCTCCTCAGCTGCAAGGATAGCTGGCATCCGCATACGCCAAACCCGTCTAAGGTATGTGCTCTAGCGGGGCGGGCGAGGAAGGGAGGCATTTCGAGAATAGGCAAAAGTGCAGCGAAGGCTCTCGAATTTTCCCACGTTTTTGTGGAGTTGAGGGTTAAGCGCTCCTCTTGCTCTTCTTGCGGCGGATTCCCTAGCAATCGTCTCTCGTGCTCTTCGTCTTTTCGCTGCAGCCCCTCAGCGTAGCGCAGTGGAGAGATGTCTTGGGAACGTGGAGACGACAAATACACAAGTGGACAAATGTAAGAACTGCCGTCATGCAGATCCTCCAGCTGGCGGCTACTCAACGGCCTTCCCCTACATGCTCCTTCCTCGAAACGGCTGTTTGCCGCATACGCATTCCAAGATTTAGGGCATTAGTAGATGTATACATGTATGTATATGTATGTACATGTGTATGTATATGTATGCGTATCTATGTGTATGTATATGTTTGTATATGTTTGTATATGTATGTACATGTGTGTATATGTATATGTACATGTAGATGTGTCTGCATGTCTATGTATGTGTATGTATATGTATGTGTGTGTATATTTATTCACTTATGTATATGTATCTGTGTACTACTGTACATGTATGCACATATTGATAAACAGATATCTGTGTACATCCATGATCTGTTTGTCTATGTGTGTTTACGCAGCTTCCCGCTGAGCTCTACGCCCAGCTTCTCTTGCTGTCTGTTCCAGACCAAGTGCGACTCTTGCAGGAGCTGCCCCCAAGTCAGCTGGATGTTCGCCAAGGCTCTTCAGCGCATGTTGCAGAGGCAGCCGCGGATACGGATAGAGAGACTACATCGGCAGCGTTCAAGCCTCCTGGAGTTGCAAGCGCCTCTGCGAACACTTCCAAAGAAGCAGAGAGTTCCCTGCATGCGCTACAGGTGAGGCAAAACTTTTCTGTGCGCAAAAATTGACACCTCTCCAGGTACAGGCGGCGAATGTTTTCGGCCTTTTGAGAGCCTCTCTGCGGTGCGTTTGCTCCATCCTTTTGTGCATTATATACTCCTTCCTTTTTTGCATGATATACTCCTTTCTTTTTTGCATAATATACTCCTTCCTTTTTTCCATAATAGACTCCTTCCTTTTTGGCATTATATACTCCTTCCTTTTTTGCATCTTATACTCCTTCCTTTTTTGCATTATATACTCCTTCCCTCTTTTGCATTACGCTCCAACTTTCATTTTTGCATTATATGCTCTTTTTTTTGCATAATTCAGCAGCAACAGCAACCCTCGGCTGTCGTCGCTGCAGCACTTGTCGGGCTGCCGAAGACTTCCACAGACAACTTCTTGGGAAACTCGCCTACCGCCTTCGTGCCTAACTGGTTCCGGTCGGCCGTTCATACTCCGGGGTGCGGCGCGCTGCGAGGATTGCTGCTACTGTCACTACACTGCATGGAATGCTCAAAGGCTGCTCTGCAAAAACACTCCATGCAAGGCTCTGCTGGAAAACACTGCATGGAGTGTACTGCTAGCTTCTTAGTGGGTCGCGCTCTCGCGTGAGCTAGGGTTCTTTGTGCCGACTGTGTCTATTCGTGCAGCGTGTTATTCATTTCGGATGCCGTCTTCGAGCATGCTGCCGAAGAAGCCGCTCAGCGGCGTTCAGGTGCGCGTGCTCCGCGCATGCATGGATTGGATGCATGGCATCGATCTCTGCATGCCTGCCAGATGCCTTTTGAAGCTGCAACATACATCTCCTTGCATGCGCCCTAGTGACGATGCCTCTATGTTCTCGTCTTGCGCCACCTCGTAATCTCGACACACCGTCGCGGTCGCATCCATCACGGCTCCTGTGGGGGAGAAGCTCCTTCCTTGCATGCGCCTGTCTTCCGCCCTCCTGAAACACCTATGCATGCATGCATGGATGCATGCATGCATGCGTTGCTCAGGGCAAGGGTTTTCCTAGTCCGCTTCGAAATCTAGGGCACGCTTTGTGAGGATTTGCCGTATGTGTATATGGACGTGTCATGTTTCTGTGGGTATATTTATGTGGATATGTATATATATACATATATACATGTGTGTATGTACATATGTGTATTTATGTATGTGTATACGTGATGTGTGTGTGTATGTGGACTTGTGTATGTGTGTGCTCGCGTTGACTTGCGTGCGTCAGAGATCGCTGAGGCTGCTGGATTTCCCTCTCTGGCCTTTCGACGCGCGCAGGAGCGACTGGCCGATATCTACGGCGCTGCGGGGGCTGCTCTTGTCCGCTTTCAGCAGGCGGAGCAGCAGCAGCAGCAGCAGCAGGCGGAGCAGCAGCAGCAGCAGCAGGCGTTACAGGGGCCAGTAGACCAGCAGAGGCTGCAGCAGCTGCCTCTAGATATGCGCTTTCGTCTGCAAAACGTTGCGCCTACGCTTCGTGGCACAATCCCCAGCCCGAGCAGCAGTTTCGGCAGCAGTACAAGCAGCAGCAGCAGCAGCGCGCAGCTGCTGTTAACGCGCCAGCAGCAGCAGGCTGCCCTGCTGCTGGCAGACGGGGGAGTTCTCAGTAGCGATGCGTGTTTCTCAGCTTTCTGCGCGCTACCAAGACGCAGCACTACGACGAAGCGGAAGCGTTTCGCCCAACACCTCGGCTGGCTCGCGCGTCCGTATTCGAGCGCAGACATGGCTACGCATGCACGTGCAACGCACGCTGGAGGAAGAGGCCTCCTCGCCACTGAGTAGCGGCTGCAGTGACACCCACAGGGGCGCTGCAAATTTTATTTGTGCCGCTCCCGGCTTAGCAACTCTGCACTACTAGTAGCAGTGCCTCGTGCCGAGACTCGTCAGACTCAGTCGCGCACGACAACGTTTCCTGTCACGCCATCCACAGGGCCGCCTAAGGGCGGAAAGCCTTGAAGAAGCTGCGCAGATCTCGGAGTGAGGCTCCCCCGGAGCTGAAGAAGTGCATGGTGCAAGAAGCTGTGGGGAGTGAGCAGTCGGCTCAAGAAGACGGACTCACCATGGCTTCGGTAAGCGCCTCCCCGTTCGCACACGGCCATGACACTAAAAGCATTCGCTGAGAATTCTACAGGCGGCAAGGGCGTGTGTCTTCACCGCAGCAGCAGCAACAATTGCACAAGAGCAGCAGCAACAATAGTACAAGAGCAGCAGCAACAGTAGTACAAGAGCAGCAGCAACAATAGCACAAGCGCAGCAGCAACAATTGCACAAGAGCAGCAGCAACAATTGCACAAGAGCAGCAGCAACAATTGCACAAGAGCAGCAGCAACAGTAGTACAAGAGCAGCAGCAACAATAGCACAAGAGCAGCAGCAACAGTAGCACAAGAGCAGCAGCAACAATTGCACAAGAGCAGCAGCAACAATTGCACAAGAGCAGCAGCAACAATTGCACAAGAGCAGCAGCAACAATTGCACAAGAGCAGCAGCAACAATAGCACAAGAGCAGCAGCAACAATTGCACAAGCGCAGCAGCAACAGTAGTACAAGAGCAGCAGCAACAATTGCACAAGAGAAGCAGCAACAGTAGCACAAGAGCAGCAGCAACAGTAGCACAAGAGCAGCAGCAACAGTAGCACAAGAGCAGCAGCAACAGTAGCACAAGAGCAGCAGCAACAATTGCACAAGAGCGCTAACCTTTGCACCGTTTGCTCATGTGCTTCTTGCCTTCTTCAGGCAAGTCGACGAACTTCTCTTGCTGTCTGCACGGCCCGGCATAGCCTTCCTGAAGATTCAGTTTAGGAGTAAGGCGGATGAGGAGTTTGGTGTGGGTTTAGCGCTGGGGGAGAGCCTTACAGGAGCCTCGCAGACGTCTCTGCTCAGCGTCCAAGCGAGAGGACAGGGAGCTGAGTAGTCGCGCATGCAGGTGGGAGCTCCGCAGCTGAATGAGACGCCGCACGTGTCTTCTGTTTCTGCCATGGAGGCTTCTGCCTCCGCGCCTTTCGCCGTAGTATCCATAGCCGTCAGACCACCAGTGCAGGGCCCTGCATACTCTGCCTGAGGAAGCGCATGCAGTTAAAAAAGGGGGCTTGTGCTAAGACTGGGGGCAAATACGCAAAACACACGCCTCGCAGAGAGCACGCAAGAAGAAGAGGCGCTTGGCGCGCAGCGCAGCGTCGAGAAGAAGGCCAAGAACCGAGAGAGAAGCGAGGCATAGAAAGAGAGATAGAGAAAGGAAAAAGAGAGAAATAAATAACAGAGAAAGAAATAACAGAGAAAGAAGAAAGGGTATCGGGTGCGTGTTTGGCAGTTAGGGAGGGAGGCTGCCGCTTTTGTGTAGGTACAGAGGTGTAGAGAGGCGTTTGCGCCTTATTTTGACTGCCACTTTTCTGGTGATATTTGTGAGGGGAATCTGGAATTTTACTGGCGGGTAACATTTGTTGTCTTCTTTCTGCGTCCAGGTGTCTGGACAGGGGCCCTTGTGGCTGCCTTCCGCGCAGGAAGTTTTACAGGGAAAGAGGACTTGGCACTTTTCTTCGAAGCGTTTCTTGAGCTCCGGAGAAGCACCGACGGCCTGTTGTTTGCTGCAAGGGCCGCTGTACGCTTCAGGCGCCTCGCAGATGTCTCCTGCAATCGAGGGTGTGTGGCTGTCTTTTCGCGTCGGAGTTTGGCGAAGACTGCGTCTCACCGCTCAAAGTCCAACTCTGCGGGCAGGCAGCTGAGAAGTCGCGACGGCAGGGAGCTGCACAGGGCCCTGGGAAGATTGAGATGCGCGACTTGAACGCGGCGTTTGGATGGTGGAGGTGTTGGCAGCAAACCTACAGAAGGCTGTGCAGGCTGTTGACCAGCGCTGCTTCTCCGAGCTGCAGACGAGGCGTGAGAAGTTCGACTGCGCAGTTAGGCGCTGCACATCACGGGGTGCGTTCACGTACACGGACATGACTGCGAAGTTCGTCTTGCGCGCGCATCGACCTGCAAGGGTGCAGCATGCAGTATGCAGAGTTGAAAGAGGCCGTTCAACCATCTCGCCCAGCCCTTCACCCTCCGCTTTCATCTGCCTGCCTACCTGCATAAGAAAAGGGGGCCTGACAGAAGCCGCCTCCTGCTCTGCGAATGCATCACGAGCTCTTAAACTCCAAACGCTTAGGCCTTCTAACTCGAAACGCAGCACGCTTACTCCGTCCAGTCCTCCGGGCAGGGGGCGTCGAAATCTCGCGTGCATTTCTTCAGGCTGGTTTTGTTCACAACCGACGGTGTCGCATGCCAAAGATGTGTGAGAGCTTAGAGTTTGGCGGGATCTACGGGGAATGGTCTCACCAAGGCCAAGAAACAAGGCACTCGTTTTCGAGCTGCTGCTTTTCTTCCTGACTCACGGCAAATGATCTCTCCTTCTCGCACTTGCCTACACAAGCCACCCGCGAACTGGCAACTTTGGCAGGCAAGCGCTAATTCCCAAGCCCTCACCAATGTACGTCTTGGGAGCCTTGCAGGCGCTTTCTCCTGGAAGCGGCGTCCACGCAAAGGGGCACAGAGTCGAATAATTGTGGTCGCAGCTCTTCAGCTCCGCAAAGGCCATTCGCAGTTGTTGCGCTGCTGCAGCCGACATTTCGGATTCCAGCCCCGACAAATCGTACCCCAAGAGGGAGGCTTCTTCTGCTCTTTCCTTTGCGGCAGCTGCTCCGACGTTTTCCAAGGATCGCTCCATCTGAATCTCGGTGCCTGTCTCTCCCGCGTGTGCAACACTCAGGTGTGCCGATTACCATGCCTTTGCACTCATCACCCAGCTCCGCTATCCTCTGTTCTTTCTCCAACATCTCTTGCTCTTCCTCTGATGATCGTGCTCTACAAATTCCTGTTTCGGGTGTACGCACTTGAACAGGTCGGCCCACCATCTTTCATCTGCAAGCAGGACTTGAGCATATCTGGCTCAATTGATGGCCTGTTTATGAAGGGAATCTGCGATATTCTCGAATTAATATGTAGGGATGAAGCTCGAAAGTCGAGGGTCCTTTACTTTTTCTGCCTCGGGTTTGATTTCTTTTCTACACTGCTCCTCCTTCTCTTCTTTTGTCAGCCTCTTCATGGACGCCCTCTCCACTTGGAGTTTCCTCTTCAGCTCATCGCATTCCTTTTGCCTCTGCTCATCGAAATTCAGAATATTATTTATATCCGAAGAGGAGGAAGGAGAAGGAGTGGGGGCCGTAAGCGGGGGGGGCGCCGACTGAAATCGGAACGCACCAGCGGGGACAAGGAAGCACGAAAAGTACAGAACAGGGAACAAAAGCATTGCCAATAATGAGTAGATAAGCTTATATAATCTCATTTTAAACGCTATTGGAGCAATATGCAAAAAGATCGCTCGTTCCATTTAGGTCTTTATCATTCCTTCGTGCAGACCACTGGACGTGTCCGGTGTATCGACACACTTCCTTGAAAGAAAACCGCGAGGAACAGAGTGGAAGCGAGAAGTATTCATCCCTCAATCAATTCAACTCATGTTAAACACTACACAGCACTTCGTACTGCCTGAAAAGGTGCAATCCATTACTACAGTATGCACATGTTTGTGGTTTCTTGCTGACGAATGCGTCCTATGCCACACCAGTCGAACCGCAAGACACTGTCGAAGACAAAGTTGGCGACTTTCCTCTGTCCCTTAGATAAATTAGCTGGACATCAGCTGTCTATACTACTTTAAATGCGTCTTTGAAATACTTTGCAATTATTTAGCGGAAGCAAGGAAGCCCTTTTAGCTGGTTGGTTTGATGGATTATTCAGTGTATGATTTGACGAATAGGGAGTGAGGAGAGATGTTTTGATGAGTAATTCCAGGAACCATCGATCCAAAAAGCAAATTGAAAAGCATTCGAATGTGCAGCAGAGAAAAGACCTCATTGCTATCGGCTGCTGCCTCCTCAAGTTGCTCTTTCACGCATTTGTGAGGTTCTTTTCAGGTTTCAACAGCTTGGGGAAAATAGCTAAAGGAGGTACCTAGAAACGAACCCGTCAAAACGAGAAAAAAAGAAAACATATTTCTGGAGGCCCTCTGGCCCTTGCTTTGTGCCCGCTTTATTGTGAATTGCTTCCCACGGTTTCGTTTTAACCCTTGCCCTGCAACTGCTCACATGTTCTACTAGCTTAGATGCATTGGCAATTCTCCTAGCCACGTGAGCCCCCCTTTCAATCTTTGGGTACCGCAGCCACCGATAGTCGATGCTACTCAGCCAACGCTGCTGCTTGCAAGGGGTGGAAGCGTTCCGACACTTCTTCTCCCCCACCCCTTCCAAAAACGAGTGGCCGTATCTCACATTTGTAGCGACAGGCATAGACGCAAAAGCAGATAGTAGCTGAGAGGGAAGAAGCCTTACAGTGGCAGTGAGAGCACGCACGGCTAGCAGTAATGTCAAGAGGTGCAGCAACAGCAACAAGGACTGTGCCCCAGCATTCAAGAGCTGCGCTACAACAGTAGCCCCTCCGGATGCTGAGCGTCTTTCTGGATGGGCTGCGCCAAAGATCGTTTGCTGCGTTTTATGGCCACAGCGAAAACTACACACAGAAAGGCATTCGTTTTCGAGTCTCTGCGATTCATACCTCTCAAGCTGAGCAAGTATGAGAAAGTTACATAGAGGGTATGCCCGCGAGTACTTGGCGCACAGAGTTACACATGTAGAAACTAAGTGTGTACATAAAAATAGACATGAATAGACAAAACGCACGCGCAGTCGTACCTTTGTTCTCTCGTACATACATACGTGCATCCATATATACGGCGAAACGAATACCCGTTGAAACCAACGATTGCAGGAAAAAGAAGAATACCAGCCATCAAGCAATGACCATTAGAGGTGAATGCCTTCATATACGATCATCCTCGTGCTTCCCTGAAAAGCTGCTGGGAATACTAGAGCAGCGTAGCTCGGTAGGACTGTGGCGAAAGTGAGTAGAGAGGACCCGCGAGTTTTTTCATGCAAATCGGCACGTGATACTCATCTTCCTTCCCTTCCAAACCAGCAGCCCCACATCCGGCCGCATGCACGGAGATTATGATGGTTATAAACTCTATAGCTCTAATCTCTTGAGGTGTGTGCACGTGTGTGAAGGTGCTGACGGTTGCTAATGGCTGCGTCGAGGGACCCGAAGGGCCGGCGGGAAGTAGGAGAGGACATGAACGGATTGTATCAAGAGTGTGCTACTTGCTTGCTGAGTGTCTCCAGCTACACGGGGTATGAGAGCGAGGGGACTGCCCTGGCGTTTTTCGGCACCCTACAGGGCCATAACACGCGCAAGCGGAGAAGGCGGCCTAAGGGAGGCATGAGCATTGCATCTCAGTCTTGAACGGTTCCCCTCTTAGTAGATAGGCGCGTGTCGTGGGGTCTCTCTATTGAAACTCAACTCTGTAATTTGCATCCGACTTTCGCGGATCGGTCACATGGGAGCGGTCGGCGCACCAGCACATGCAGCAAGTCTGGCGCATCCGCTGGCATCCGTCGAGAAGATCGCGCGAGCTGGCGAGAATAAAGGCAAGGAAGCGGTATTGGGGGATGAAGGTAGAGGAGCTGGGTCTATAAAGTCGATTAGAAGACCTCCTCCTGCTGCATTTGAAACATGGCAGCGGTTAAGAAGCCTCCTTCTCGATGTACCACCTCAAGGGCCCTCCCTCCCTGCCTCCCCCCCCTATGGCGTTGCGTCATTCAATCGCCTCCGCGCCTCATGGTTTTGGCGTTTTGCCGCCTTTTCCGGTGCTTTTCCTGTTTTTTCCTCATTATTTCATCGGAATTTTTCATTTTTGGCTAGGTTACGGTGTTCAAAGGTATTATTCCCCAGAGGTCCTGTTGCTCTCTGACCGCGCGCGGTTTCGCCTGCGGCGCGGCTAGTTGCTAAATGGCACTGGCAGTTGAGCGACTCTGCTCATTTCGCCGAAGCCCCTCGTCACATCTCTCATTTTTAACACTGCCTGCGCTCTCCCTGCTCCATTGTCTCGGGCCCAGAAGCCTGGGTGTCTGAGGTTTCAGCTCTGCAGCCTGTTGCGCTCGCGAGCCCTCGAAGAATGGGGCTTTTTTCATGCCTAAAGGGAAAAAACAAGCGCCGCTCGAAGCAGAAACCGTCGGATCGCTCCGAAGAGCGGCCTCCGACTGAAGAGGGCGACGATGTCATCGTCCTGTATCCGCTGTACGATCCGCGAAGGCTAGTCGCGAAGGGTGAAGAGCCTCGCCTTCTGGATCAGACCGAGAGGAACGGCGGCGGTCTCTCAGAGCCAGGGAATGGCTTGAAAGGCCACAGTCTCAGCAAGCAGCTGACGGAGATTCCAATCGAGATGCGCAGCGGCGAGGGAGTCCTCGTGCCGCACAGCGAAACTGATCAGATGGAAGATGAACTCCTCGAAGACCAGGATATAGCCGACGCTTCCAGCGATAGCCCTCTAGAAATACCCCGCGGCGATGAGTCCCCCCTCTCCGCTAGCTCCATGGAAAACGCCCTCGCAGCCTTAGGGGCCCCCTTCAAATCCCCTGCTCCTCCCTCCGCAAGAAGACGGCAAGACACCACTGCCTCGCGGCTTCCTCCGCCGGACGAAACTCCGCCTGCAGCGCCCCCGCGGCAAATCCCCCCAGTGCACGGCAAGGAGGAGCAAACGCCATGCCCTGCAACAGCGCAGCCGACGCGTGCAGAAAGTTCTCCCCCCCCTCCTGAGACTCCCGCAGCGGTCCTTCCTTCACAGGCTCAGCCCTCCGTGGCACCACCTCCTAGCGCCTCACCGCCTGTAGGGACGCCTCGAGAGCCTCTGTCGTCTCCGACGTACAGCCGTGCGTCGTCTTCCCGCAACAGCAGCAGGAGCAGCAGCAGCAGCAGGAGCAGCCGCCGAAAAGGGAGGAAGGTTTACGACATCGAAACCGTTCCGACGGCTCCCACAACGCCTCGAAACATGCGCGTTCTTGAGTGCAGCAAACAGCCGCGCTTGCTGCTGCTGCAGCCGCACATCCAGCCACACCCAGCCACAATCCGCATGCAGCGGGAAGGCCGGCGCACAAAGCTGCGCTGCAAACAGCTGCAGCTAGCCATCGACATGTATGCTGCACGGGGCGGCATTGACCTTTTCAAAGTGCCGTCGCACGACACAGAAAACTGCGAACCATGCAGGTTCTCAGACTTCACCGACACGCCCCTTCTCTGGTAGCAGCAGCGTGAACGGATGCCACACAGGCAACTCGCGGAGAACGTGAGGCTTTGCAGAAGAAAGGGGGGAGAAGGAGGAAGAAGAAGAAAGGAGGGGGGAGAAGGAGGAAGAAGAAAGGGGGGAGAAGCAGGAGGAGAAAGAGGGTTTGAATGCATCCGCTTCTCGGTGGCAGAGGCATGAGGGATTCGCCTGCCACTCTAGGCCTGTGGCAAGGGCGGCGCTGTGTGCATGTAGCGTTTTGATATTCTGCTTGGCTGCTCGTGGCGCAGCGGTCAAAATACGATACGATGCGCGACTAGCGCTGCAAAAGTGTCGGTTTTCACCCTAACGGCCACCTAGGAGGCCTCGTTTTTGCCCATATTCCCTCGCCCTTTTTCCTTTCGCACTACTCCTAGAAGGCTCTCTGAATTCCTCGCTCGCTCCCCTGGAGGGAGCACGCGCACACGGGTAGACAGCCCTTTCTTTTTCACCTCCTTAGACCGAGACGACTTTTTGCACAGGTGCAGCGCTCTTGCGCTTGTTAGAGAAAGGGGCGCAGTGTGTGGAGAGATGGGGTAGGCCTCATACACATCGTCAAAGCCACTTGCACCGAAGCCAGCTTCGCTGCGTAGCCTTCTGTAGCGCGCGTCTTGACGACTTCGCAGTGTGCAGAACGGATGTTGCAGCTGTTGTTGCAGTAGCGGTCCTTCCAGTGGCAAGTTGAACGAAACCTTTCCAAAATCGTGCAGCTGCATTAGGCCTTGCTGTTTGGGGGAGCTGCTTGCTGCCGAAGCCGCTGTAGCAACGCGGTCCTTGCGGTAGAAGCAGCAACAGCAACAGCAGGAGCACTTGCAGGAGCAGGAGAGCACAACGTCTCTCAGAAGCGTGACTGCTCCGTGATCGCACGTGTGGTGTTGTGGCTGCTTGCTAATGAATCGTTCGCCACTGGTCGGCTCGCCTTCAGGCCCAACAGCCTGCGGCGAACACCTCTCTCAGCGCGTGTCGGCTGCTGCATGCAGCTGCCTCTGTGCGTCTCTGCGTACCTGCAAGCTAAAGACGTGCTCGCGAGGGCTTCAAGAAACCTCAGACAGCATGCTTGCATGCATCCATGCTTGCATGCATACATGCTGCATGCATACATGCTTGCATGCAGGCATGCCATATGGGGCTTTATGGAGCGCTGCTTGGGAAGACGGGTTGCGGTGCTTCCCCTGCATCTGCTCCTTCCGCGAGCGCTGCAGCTGCAGCAGCTGCTGTCGGGGAGCTCGTTCCTTGAAGCTCCCGTCGTGTTGACGCTGCGGCTTCTTCAGGATGAGAGCTGCTGCTGCCGTTCATCAGGATCTCACCGCTGCTGCCCGTAGGCGCGCTGCAGCTGCTTGCACGGCTGTCGAACGCAGCTGCGACATCCTCCATAGACTCAAGGTGCAACTGAGGCGCACAACGAGCAACACATGAGAGTTCAGGGTGCAGAAACTGCACTGCAGAGCCTGAAGACAGCAATCGGCACTCTGTGGTCAGCGGCTGCCGCTGCATGCTGCTTCTGCGTATTACTTGAATATCAACGAGCTCCTCTGGAGAAGAGGACCAAAGGGAAAACTGCCGCTCGTCCTGAGCCTCCTCCACACACGACTTGGGTGCAGCTGCCCCCCCGTGCAGATCTGTCACTGCCGTGGCGAAGATTCCTTCAGCGTCATCGTCGGTCGCTACACCTAGTTCGACTTCTCTGGAAGTGGCTGCTGCTGCTGCGGAAGTTGGTGCTGCTGCTGCTGCTACTGCAGCAGCTGCAGAAGAGGCTTCTTCTTTTGCCGTCCCTCGAGTGGCGATTTCTGAGGAGCTCTGCACAAAAGGAGGTTCCTGCTGCACCACACTTCTGCATCTGCCTGTGTGCTGCTGCTGCTGCAGCTGTTGCTGCAGCTGTTGCTGCGAGAGAAGCTGCTGCCGCCTTTGGCCCTCTGCCTGTTGATCTTCCTTCGCGAGCCGAAGCAGCTCTTCAGTTTCTGCCCTTAGCGCAGCTAAAAACTCGTAAGAAAGGCTGCCGTTGCTGCCGCTGCTGCTGGCGTTGTGGCTGCCCACACTGTGGCTGTGCGTGAGCCTCAAAGACACGGGAACGCTGCTGCTGCTTATCTGCGATTTGTAGTGCGCTGTTTTCTCTGCAAGCTGCAGACAGCGAAGAGGTCACCAAAGCATGTATGCACACAAATTATTCCGTCGCTAAAGGGGAGGGGCAGCTGCAGCAACAACAACCCCACCCGCAGCAGTGGCAGCAGCACCAAGACGGCCTCATCGTGAGCTCCCTCCGCAAATCAATCCCCTCTGGCTAACCCTACCCGCAACTGCGCTTGCAGCTCTTCCCTCTTCTTTCGTTCCCTCTCTGCAGCCTTTTCTGCTTCGCGGCGTCTTTTACTCTCCGTCTCAGCCTCAGAGAGCAAGCGCTGAATCTCCTCCCCCTAAGGCGCACACAGATGCACCGAGATATGTACGTAGAGACATATGATTGTATAGTACATATACATACACGCAAAGATATATATATATGATACACATACATACATACAGAGAAGTACATAGTACAACTACGTACAAACAGAGATACATATACATATATGACACATACATACACAGAGACAGATTTAGACATGCAAATGTTCAAACACATACACATCCACACAGACCGAGATAGATATACACACAAGCACACATCTACATACATACACGCACATAGAGAGAGCGAGAGATAGATAGATACACGCATAAAGACTTACAGTGGTATATATGTTGCACATACATACACGCACAAATAGTTACACATTCCAGTGAAATATACAAACGCATCCATACCCACAGATACATATATTACACATACAGATACACATACATATATATATATATACATAGGGAGATTCGAATATATATATATATATATACAGGAAGATATGTTTACAGAGCTGCATATACACACACATATACACATACATACACACATCCGTGCGAACATCTCTGGCTGGCATTGCTTCATCCAACAGAGATCTTAAAGCGTAAAACGTTCCCCAAAATCTCAGAATGGCACCTGCGCTATGCAGAGGAGATGCTGCTCATCAAGTTCTTTCGCAAGCCTCTCGAGTTGAAGCTCTCGCACAGCCAAAACTTCCAAATCCTCCTGTGGTGCTGGTGCAGCTGCTGCTGCAGATGCTGTTGCGGCTGCCTCACTGCTGCTGCTGCTGCTGCTGTCACTGCTGCTGTCCAGTTCGACCCGCTGCAGCTTGAGAGCATCCGCTTGCAGCTGCTGGAGCGCGACGGCTGTTGCTGTTGCTGTTGCTGCTGCTTCTGCTCCTTCCGGGAGAGTTTCTGGCTGTGTTTCTGCCTCTTCGCTAGCCGCTGCTGCTCTGCTTGCTGCTGCTGCTGCTGCTGCTGCTGCCGTTTCTTCTGCGTGCTTGCTAATAAGGGCGTTCAGCTGCTGCACTTGCCGCGACTTTTTTTCCAGTGCGTTCTTGAGGCTTCGGATGGCGTTGTCTTGCTGCTGCTTCTGCTGCAGCAACAACTGCATGCTGTGCTGCTGCTGCTGCTGCTGCTGCACCAGCAGCTGCTGCTTGCTCCCAAATTGATGCAGCTGCTGCAGCAAGAAAAATGATCGATCCACTGCAAAAGCCGCAGCGCGCTCTGCCGAGAGCCTGCCTTCCGCTTCTGCAGCGGCTCGACTTTCCAGGGCAGTTATTCGTGTGATGTAATACTGCAGCCGCAGCAGCAGACAGAACGGCAGCAGCGGTCAGGGAGTCTCGAGGCAAGTTTCGCTCTTCCTGTACTTGGCGATGCACGCACAAGAAGAGCGAATAGCCGCAGCAGCGCGAAAGGCAGTCTTGGCGAGGCGCTGCCTGGAACAAGCCGCCCCTTGCCTGTCTAGCTCTTCAAAAGGCTACTCAGAAAGCAAGACACACCTCGCTAGTCACAAGCCTTACCTCCTTGAGGAGAGAAAAGACGTCGTGGAGCGGATGGACAGAAGCCTGCTGCTGCTTCTCTGGAGGATCTTCCTGCTGCATGGCGACGGCGAGATGCACTGCGCAGGGAGACGTCCAGACTCTTGGAAGGGCAGCGGCTGTTGCTGGAGAAGAAATTTCCGACGCAGAATATGTCTGGTTACAGGAGCCTCCTAAGGGCAGGCTCTCTGCAACAGCGAATGCTGCAGTACTTGACAAAGAGGATCCTCCTCCTCCGCCTCCTTTTGACGGAAACTCTTCTTCTACTGCCTTATGGTAACCTTCGTCACCAGGCGGAATTAAAGGCCCAGTGCTGCTGCTTGTGTTGTTACTGCTGCCCCTACGGCTTGTGTTGTTGCTGCTGCTGCTTGTGTTGCTGCTGCTGCTGCTTGTGTTGCTGCTGCTGCTACTTGTTTTGCTGCTGTTCCTACGGCTTGTGTTGCTGCTGCTTGTGTTGCTGCTGCTGCTTGTGTTGCTGCTGCTGCTTGTGTTGCTGCTGCTGCTTGTGTTGCTGCTGCTGCTTGTGTTGCTGCTGCTTGTGTTGCTGCTGCCAGTGTTGCTGCTGCTTGTGTTGCTGCTACTGTTTGTGTTGCTGCCGTTTGCATTGCTGCTGCTGCTTGCATTGCTGCTGCTGCTTGTGCCGCTGTTGTTAAGATACCCAGAAAATCGGAGAGCCTCGCGAAACATCCTGAAACTCGACTAAAAGCCGCATGCTGCGTGCAAAGGGCCCCCGCGGAGCAGTCCGCTGCTGCTGCTGTTGCCTCCAGTTGCAGCGCACGGCTGCTGGAGTGTGAGCATTGCAAATGCCGTATCCGGCTCGCGTTGCGTCCTGCGCCTGCTACTGCTGCAGCTCTTGTTGTTGTTGCTACGGCTGCTGCTGCCCAAGCGTACCAGCTACAGCGCAACGCTGCATGCGGCAAAGAGGGTATTCGCACTCGGCTGCCTCTGACGCACAGCGTTATTAGGCAAAGTTCACATATTTGCCGGCCCTGAAGAGGGTTGGCGGCGTGAGAAGGCGCTTTCGCGCAGGCCACCCCTGCGTTCGCGAGACTCAAGAAGACACAGCGGCGAGGCGGCAGCCGCCGTCCTGGTGTAGCCGAAAGTCTTCCACGCAAATTGCACACCAAAGAAACTAACAGACTGAAAAACACGCTTCATGACCCGCTAAAAATCCTGAACTTTAAGCGCTTGCCGGGCTGTCTGCTGGGCCAGTCATTCATGACCGCCCCCCTCGCCTGCGCGATCTACGGCTGTGTTCATACCGGCACCGCCGAGCGTTCGCACACATCCCGACACTGCAGGCCTTTATGTACGACAATAAAGACACGTGCAATACGAAAACTGTGCCTCCGCTGTGCTCCTGTGCCACGTGATCCAGCCCGCGAAACGCTTTTCAAGGAACCCGCCACACCCTGCACACGCGCACCATTGCAACCGCCGCCTTCTTCGCGAAAATAGGCCAAACGCAGTACGCGCTATACTTGAACAGACCATAGGAATCCCCCGGATCCGTGTTTTCTGGGGCAGCAGCAGGCCGCCAACTGCTCTCAAGTGGTGACTGAATAATAACGCCACACTCCCATAGCTACACGCGTAGACGTGCACCCTTCAGGGAGCTGAGCGTTCGAGCCACACAGCTGGCACTTCGCACTCATCTTAGGGCAGGCGATGCCAGAGTGGGCAGAGAGGGAGTGAAGTGACGCCACGGCACATCTACGAGCTTTTCCCCCGCATGCTATGCATTTGAGTGCCAAATCTCACCTCTGTAAAAGGTCGGAGTTTTTCTATGGCAGCTGCAGGGGATGGCCCTAAGGCAACTCTTCTCTGCACCAGCTTCCTTGCGGGGGTGAACCCAGGAGGCTCTCTAAGGCATAGCCGATACTCAGATCCCTAGCACGCTACGGAGCTTTCTTCCAAAGGAATACCCGCCCTCCTCTTTCTGCCTCCAGCCTTCGGGGTTGTAGCATCGCGAGGGGAGAGACACGGCCAGTGTGCGCGGCCTCTGCACACTTCAGGCAGTCCAACCCTTCATACGCAGTTGCACGTACCAACCGATAGAGCAAAGGCACACAGTAGTGAAGCTTACCGTACTTAGACAAAGCTGCTGTACAATAACTGATAACCACAACCAGCCAGACCAAATAACTGTCTGTTCTTTATATTTCTCATTTTATTATGACCGATGTGGCAAGTGTTCAGCTTGAGCCTAATTCGCCACATCTTTGCTGGTTTGTTGCCTGTGCATCACCCAACCCACTATGCTTTCCAGCGGCTCAGGTCCAAGGCTTATTGAAAGGCCCTCTGTACTGGTGAGCCCTGAATAAAAATCTCCTCTAGCCTCGAAGAGCAGCGGCGTTTCCTAGAAAACTACTGCAGCACGACAAGCTACACTTAGGTATCTTCTACTTAGCGGGTTGTAACTCTAAACAATTAGTAGGGAGTTGGTTGTATGACTTGGTTGTGCGTTTGTGGTGCTTGCTTTCAAGCATGCAAGCCAGCCCAGCACTTTGAGCGTTGCCTACTTGTGTGTCCCATGTTTCCCGGTGCAAATGGCATGAAGGAATGCTCGTACTGCTCAAAGTGTGCAGTAACATTCATGGCCTCTAGCTGTGTCTCTGTATCCCTTCATGGCGGAACCCTAAAGCGTGAAAGTGGCAGGAGCGATGAAGGCATTTTTTTTAAAGCATGCCCACTAACTCTCGTATAAGTTTCGGATAGGGTTTACGGCTAATAACAGGTCTCTCCATGAACACCCTGAAAGGGGGAGTGTCACATGTACCCTACGCAGTACTCTTTGCCAGGACACGATGCTACAGTTTGCGCGCATTCACACTTCTCTTCCACGGAGAACTACAAAGTAGTTACATTGATGCGCCCTGACTAGCGTGGCGGGTGCTACGAGTCGCCTCACACTGCCCTCTCATCAAAGCGAGTTGAGTGCATCCCAGCGAGCTATGGCCGCTTCGCACTTGCCATCTTTTCTCTAGGATAAAAGGCCACAACAAGGGGCTTTGACCCGACTAGCCTACACACCGTCGTCCTTCCCTGTAGAGAGTGTAGCGAAGGTGGATAAGATCTGCTGAATACTAAAAACGTCCGCTTTGCAGGAGCCACCGCGCAATAAAGGGTAGTGACACGAGGGGGCAATTGGCTTTTTAATGCCAAAGGCGAACACAAATGTAGCGTATGACCTCGTAATTTACTGTAATGTGCGTTTGCAAATACTTGCACTCTTGCGCGGGCAACGGAAGTCTGCAGGAACAGGCATGATATCCCCCTTCGTGCCCTGCTGCAGGAGCACACGTGCAATGCAGCAGAGCAATCAATGCGCCGCATATGAAGAAGAAAGGCTTGTTGCCCGCAGACAAACCTTTGCAGCGGGCTCGTGGTATGTGGCACAACTTCAGGTCTTAGTGTGGGGGCATGCAGGAGTGCACCGTTTCTGTTCGGCGATGCAAGGGGGCGCCCTAGGCTGTCGGTGTTGCTCAGACAAAGTGCGCCGCGCATGTAACTGGAGCAACCCACTGTCCAAATTTATGAAAACACAGTGTAAAGCTTCATCTAAGCTCCTTGGTCAAAGAAAGTTAATTCTAGACCTGATACAAATTCGACTGAAAAATCTTGTCTTATCTAAAAAGAAACCAAACTTTCCCTGCCCGCGCCTTTCAGTCCGTCCTACCTGAAGAAAGCAAGCCATACAGGGTGCGCGTAGCTGCACCTTCCAAGTGCTCTGAGCATTCATAGCCATTTGCACATAGCACCTATCGCACACAAACACATCAATGCGTTCTCCAGTATTGAGCTAGCAATATTCTACAGTATAAAGATGTGCGGACGGCCAGACCAGTCAGTCACCTTTCTGCCAACTCCGAAGTAACTAGAACTAGTTGTGTAAGAACGTCTTGACGGGCAACCTAGCCCTCTATGTAGTGCGCTAATTGCGATTTCTGCACGTTACATGTATTATGCCTGTGAGTTATCGGAGAAGGCAGCCATCCCATATATATATATCACTAAATCCGAGATCGAAGCCCTTAGGAAGGAGCCTTGTAGATGCATTATCAAAGTTTGCATCTCTGCGCACTCGAGAAGTACAATGTTATTGGACAGCACTGCTGCAGCCTGCAGGTGGCACCGCAGCTGCCTCGCCTGTGTTAATGAACACATTTCATTAGTTCGGTGAGGATCTTTAGTATCCTTTCAGGTTATGTTTTGGGATTGCTTCCTGAGTGCTGCCTGCTCTTTCGAGATTCGAGCTGACCCCAGGAATGGCCTACTTGTACCTGCGAAAGGATGGGGGAACGCGCTCCCCGAAACGAGTGAAATAAGGGGTATACGGCAGTTTTCTGCGACGTAGAACTACAGAGCATTGGCTTTTAGCATCCAAGGAAGGTGTTTCAGTTGCGTCTTTTTCTTATCCGAGTCATCGGGGGCGAGATACCCGCGTCGGCCGTGACCAGACGGTTCCCCTGCTGCATGAACGCATCCAGAACACTCGCATATTTCAGCCTCTTACTTTATTCCTTTGCTGCCACCTAGATCCGAGTGCGTTTAGTCTCCCATTCCAGCAATGTCGTCACCGCCTCGACCTCGGATCCTCTGGTCAGCTGACCCTTTTAATCCGCCTTTGGCCTGTCGCGTTGGGGCTGACTCTCTGAGCATCGGTTGCAAACGCGCACTTCCAGGACGATTTTCAAACCTCGTCCGTTGTCTTGGGTAGCGTGTGCGCTGTTTTTGCTGCAAAACAACCCTTTCGGTGGGAAGCGCGGCATGGCGAAGCCAGCCACTGCTGACGGTCCACGCGTCTATTTGAATTGTGTCCATACATTCTCTGCGCCCCCGTTTCTTCAGCACAGGAGGCCTGGGGTACATCGGGAGCCACACGGTGGTGCAGCTTATTGAGGAAGGCTACGACGTGTTGATAGTGGACAACTTCTCGAATGCCCCCCCCATAGTCGAAGACCGCATACGGGCGATTACGAATGCAACAGAGGAGCAGCTGTGTGTTGTGCAGGCAAGTCTTGGTCCACCTTTAGCGCCGTCGACGCTTGTGCTCTAATGATGCATGCGGGCAATGCTCGGCTGGCGGATCGGCATGTGCCATGCTGTCTGCCTTCAGTTGGACGTCAGGGATAAACACAACACCCTGGAGCTCTTCAAGAAGCAGCGCGTTGATGCCGTGATCCACTACGCTGGTAGGCGAATAAAGCGGCACCCGAGGAAGCCGACAGAGCCTTTGTGGTAGTGTGCATGCGGCTGGCACGGGGAGAACTCGATTTCAGGGCTGTGTTGCACGCATCGGCGGTGCTCCTGTTGTGGTGCGACTCCGCCGGTGCAGCGCTGAAGGCAGTCGGGGAGTCCGTACAGCAGCCACTGCAGTACTACGAGAACAACGTTGGCGGAACATGCAGCCTTTTGGAGGCAAGCCGCTTTGCATTTCCCGATTCCACAATCCCCCCGCGTCAACAACCAACGATCTCGTTCAGAGCGCCTTGTAGGGACCGCCAAATGTGCTGCAACTGTGCTGTAGGCCATGACAGCCACCAGCGTGAAGTGCCTCGTCTTCTCCTCCTCCGCTACTGTCTACGCACCCAAACCAGACTCGAAGATCTGCGAGAAAGATCCGCTAGGACCCTCAAACCCCTACGGGCAAACCAAACTCATGATTGAACAGATTCTCCGAGCACGTCAACCCCTTCCGAGAGGCCAGATCTGAGCATACCACTGCACCTCCTTCTTAGCCAGAACTTACTTCTCGCGCCTGCGCCTCCAGGGCAGGGGCCCCTCCAACCGTTGCTGCATGTAGGCCGTTGTCTGCGTCTTCGCAGGATGTATACACTGCCGATCCGACTTGGAAAATCTCGATTTTACGCTACTTCAATCCCGTGGGGGCGCATCCAAGCGGCTTGATCGGGGAATCGCCAGAACAACCGAACAACCTCCTGCCTGTTATACAGCACGTCGCCATTGGCCGAAGGGACCGCCTTCAAGTGTATGGAGATGACTGGGATACACCCGATGGTACTGGTACGCATGCATACGCACTGCGGGGCAGTGCTGTGCAGGTGATACCCTCCCTCCCTTGTGCATTTCCACATACGCATACACACATTTACATACACATATACGCATACACGCATACACATACACATTTACATACACACATACGCATACACACATACACACATACACATGCAAACATACGTGTGAATGCTGCCTTCGAACTGCACGCAGCACACAAACCTTGCGCGTTGTCGGACGCATGTATCGAGTTTGAGCTTCGTTTTCAAAAGTCGTCTTGCATGATGAGTTTCCCAAGCTTTGTGTGTGTGTGTGTGGCTGTTTACAGGAGTGCGCGACTACCTCCATGTTGATGACTTGGCGTCAGGGCACCTTGCGGCACTTAAGAAGCTGCTGAAAGCTTCGGATGGCCAACTCCTCATCCACAACCTCGGAACGGGTGAACACACGCAATTTATTAGCGTCTTAAGGCTCAAGTGTTTGTGCGCAAGCCTCTAGCCCGAGCGTCACACGAGCAAACAGCAGCTCTGTGGAGAGGGCGGTGCTCTTGCCGCAACGTTGCTGTTTGTGCATGCGTCATGGGGAGATGGCATGCGTTTCCCACAGGCCGTGGGTACTCCGTGTTGGAGCTGAAGGAGCTTTTTGAGAAGGCTTGCGGCAAGAAAATTCCTCATGAGGTTGTCGGAAGGTAGGTACAGCAGCTGGCGTTGGGGGGAGATGGCCGTTTCCTGAGTGCAGCTGCAGCTGCCCATGCGCGCGTAGGGAACTGTGGGGGGAGCTGCTGGAGCGGCTTCGTGGCTAAGCTTTGCGCAACAACGGCCTTTTGCTTGCTGCTGTGGCACCTCCATTGTGCTCGTTTGTATGACTTCTGACTTGCACAGACGGCCAGGCGACTTGGCATGTGTTGTAGCAGATCCGAGTTTGGCGGAGGCCACTCTTTGCTGGAAGGCAACCCGCACCATCGAGTCAGTCCACGCGTGTGTCTTGTGCAGCTTCTAGCGGTCCCTCCCTTTGTGGCACCTGTAGCACTCTCTGGATTTGTGAGGCAGTGAGAGCTGCGTCCTGCATGCAGCCCCCCGCCCACATGTGCCAGAGTGCAGCAGGCTCTGCTGGTGAGTCCAGCTAGCCAAGTTGATGCTCGCGCATATGTAAAGCTCCATACGTATCCCGGCTCACCTTTGAGCGCGTGATCTGCAGGGAGGCATGCAGCTCTGCTTGGCGCTGGCAGTCTAAGAACCCTCACGGCTACATTTGAAGGGCTTCAACGTCTCGCTGCTGTCGACGGCAGTCGGAGCCGTTCGTATCTGACGCGATGTACACTCGAGCTGGCTCTGCAGCCTCTCTCGGCGTGCGTTCAAAGTGGCTGCAGACCCTCTACCACCGAACTCGCTGAACTTCCTTCCCCACACAGTCGGCTGCCGATGCCGTTCGTAAGGCCTGGGGCAGCGGCTACAGCAGCAGCAACTCTGCAGGCACGCCTCGCAGTGACCACCTTGTGTCATATATCAATTATTTTAAGACTAAACCCAGCCGCAGTAAGGGGTGCCTGCGTGAACTCGCAGTCCCCGGCTAGCTGGCAATGCAGTCCCTTATGTGAGTTGTCCACATCTGCGGCTTGCTACTGCTCACAAGTGGCTCGAACTCTACAGACATGCGTTTTTCTGGTATACGGCGAAAGCACGAGCCTGGAACTTCTTTTGCATGCACTTCCGGAGAAATAAGCCGGGCTGGATAGCCGAGTAGCACAAAATTCGTCAGAAACAGGTGCAGATAAAAGCTGCTCTACAGTGCAGATAAACGCTCCCCTACAGTGCAGATAATAGCTGCCCTACAGTGCAGATAATAGCTGCCCTACAGTGCAGATAAACGCTGCCTTTCTGGGTGTCAGCGGCTTGAAAGGGCGCTCCTGGGGGATTCGCCAAGTATTCGCTCGCGCACAGCTTTCCTGCGTGGCACCTGCAGACCTGAAGTCCTGTGACAAGACGCATGTGGAGAGAGCCTCTTCAGTGTAGCAATCAAATGCTCTACCGAGTAATATGGGGAGAAGGACGTCGCGCCGCTTATGCAAAGGCCTCAAAATAACCGTAGTGCCCCACGCTCGGGACCACATGATGTCAAAGCGTGCAGAGCCCGTATCCGAACAACCCTTTTCCCGCCAGCGGAGCCAAAAAATGTGTTCCAGAGTGATTTTCCTTCCATCGTATTCTTTCGCCACCTCATGCACTTCATAACTGTAGCAGTTCCGTGAGGAAAGTCGCCCTCGTCGAGTAGTTAGCTCCTATCCCACTTAGAAAGACCGCAATGGGTCAGCTCGTCGCTGTCGACGGACTGTCTGTGCGGCTTTTTGCTGCTTCTCTACCAAAAAAGCAGACGGTATCGGCAGGTAGCTGGAAGATTTGCATAGTGCTTCTTCGCTTGCACGAACCTGTTGACTTCCTTTCCGCTTTGCAGAAGCCACATACCAGACAGTAACCAGCAACCAACTGGCGAGTGTTGCTGCACTCAATAAGTTGGAGGCAAGCTGGGAAGAGCACTTCACGCGGAATCTGCGCTGAATGGATGCAGCTGCGACATGTTGCCACAACCAACTGCCGAAGCGGTGGCGCATTAAGGATGAATCTGCAAAAGTCCATGGCCAAAACTTTGCGCGATGTGTCTGCGTACAAAGCGGTGACCGCGATCGGGCTGGCCGAACGGTGTCTCTTTGCTGCTGAGCTTTACCGGCCCCAAACATTTGCATGATAGCATACGAACAGTTCCGAGTTACTTAGCACTGAGCCTTCCATTCAGTGCCGCTGAGCAGAGAAGAGCAAAGGGCTTGCGCCTGTTTTATGTTGCTACCTGGTGGGAAATCGGTCACTCTTGCCTCTTTGCGGAGACTTGATATTTTGACGGCTTTTGGTGGTGTGACCAAAATGCAGCGCGCATACTAAAACAGCCTCCTGCCGGAATCGAACCGGCGACCTTCCGCTTACTAAGCGGATGCTCTACCGACTAAGCTAAGAAGGCAGGGGTCACCTCCTAAAACTCGGCTTTGAAGGGAAAAACATGCATTTTAGTTTTGTCGCATCATTGCGGATACTCAGAAGTGTTCTGATAGACGATGCGAGTGGCTAAGTGGATGTGGTTCCTTGGTGCAGTGTGCCCCATTGGGGCCCCCAAGATAGAGTATCCGTCGCATTTAATGCAGACGAGGGCATTTGCGCTGTGCGTGTGGCCGTGGAGTGCCTTAAATACAGCTATTGATTGCAGAGCAGAGCGACACGAGGGGCGAGTGGGCAGCAGTGCGACAATGTTATATTCAGAGGCTGACAGTGATCGCTGAAGGACTCAAGGTCAGACGAAGCGTTCTTCTTTTTGCTTGGTCAGTTAAACATCTGTCTAGAGAATGGAGGGTCGTTAGTTTTGTGATCTAAGGAAGGACCGTTTTCGTTGAGAGGGATATGCTCCACACAACGACAGGTGTGGTGTAAGCCGTGCCTTAGTAATATCACTCTGAATGCGCCTTATCACGAGCTGCTCTTTCTCCCCCAGAAAGATCTTGAGGCTCTGGAAAGCGTGGCGGCAGTGGCACGCGTACGTGCTTCCAACCTTGGTGGTAGAGAACCAAATTACATTTTAACACTTCCCACTGCACCATTTATGTTAAGCATAACTTTATAAAGGACTTGGCCACATGACTTGGCTATTTACGTATCGTGCTTATTGCAGCATACTGGAAGTTTGAAAGAAGGAGATGCAACGTTGTGCACGTTTACGGTAAACGTTGTGTGCAACTAGCTTCGCATGATGGGAAAGCTTAGAGAATGCGGCTACGCACATCTTAGATGAGCCCTTCCAGCAAATCGGAGCTCTGAGGGGCGCGGGCAGGGATAGCACGAGTTGCATTGAGAGACCCTCTACAACTTGCTAACCAAGTTTGAATCGAGTCAGGAGCTTAGCAGCTTTTCACTGAGATTTTTGATGAAACTCTACGGTTTTCCCATGGAGATCAGCCTCAACCAAGAATGCAGCGGCAGTCAGTCCTACGAACGCATAAAGCCATGCGGTGCAACTGCCTTCGTGCTATCCAGATTTCGGGTAGAATAGACGTAGTCGATGTACGGCAGACTTCATGGGGTTTTGTCCAAGACTCCATGGATGAGAGGAAGTCGCCTGTGCGGCCACTCGTGCAGAGCGCAATTTGACGGTCTGGTGGCGGTAGGCATTTACATTCCTTTTCGGTGTTTGGTGAAATTTCTTTGCGTTGGCCGGTAAATGGGGGGCGGTATCGACTCATGCCGGACGACGCGCCTGTCACCCATTTCAGTGTTATGCTTCAATCTCGAACTTCATGAGGAAAGTGCTTCAAAGAAGGAATCTCCATGCAAGTGTATGCGCGCGCTTAGCTGCATTTTGGATGTGGACTGGCATGGTCCCCCGTACGGTGGCCTCCTGCAGAGACAGTCCGGGGCGAAGAAAGACAGTGGAGTCAACTCCCTATTTATTAGCGTTTTCTCTGTCCTGTTGCTGCTCTGTGCTGCACTCTAGGATGCACAAGATGTCGGGTTGCGCGCGTCCATGGGACCAGAGAACACACAATGGAGCGATCGCAGTAGCTCAGCAGCACACACACTATCTCGAAGGACTTAGTTCATAAGGTGGGTGGCCTTTGCTGAAGCACATGGCGGGTTCGGCACAGTTCTGTCTGGAAGGGTCGGGTTCAGGCCGATACTCAGGATATCTGAAGGCCTCTGAGGTTGAGCTCGAGCCCTTAAACGCAGAGAATCGGGTATACCTCTCGACTCATTTATTTATAATTTGTAAATAAGGAAGAAAAGCCCAAAGATCACAGCCACAGTACGCCCCTCGTCGCCTTTTGTACACCTCACAGTCGGGTGGTCTCGCCGTTTTCCCAGGGCTGCTGCACTTTGCCCCTCAAACCCATGAGGTACCATAGATCTCTCTAGCCCATCAAGGCCGACCTTAGCTTGGCTTTTCATTGAATCAACCCGTTTTGCAGAAACACGGAGGACGGTTCACCTTGTACAGGAGATATCACGCACCCGCCTGTCTCGCGCTGCCCAGAGCCGCGGTACAGTCGGCTGCGGCAGTTGCTCTTTCTCCCAAGTGAATCCCTTGAATACCCCATCTCAATTGATTTCTTATGATAGGATTACTGTAAATTCATTGAAAATCATGAAGGAAGGACAACTCGGGGCCTCACTTTTGGGGGAGGCGCAGGCGCAGGTCCTTGCCACTTCGGGGGTCTGCCATGAGACGCAGCAGCAGTTCGCACACTTATCCATAGAGCCAGCAGAAGCCCTCTCTCCTATAACAAGAAACGCAGCTTCCAGATATTGTGTGCCGGGGTGCACAGCGGCAGGTGGGCCTGGACGCCTCCCGACCTATGTGGCGGAAAGGGCAATCCTGAGCGAGCCCGTTGCAAATGAAACACGAAAGGCGGCAGTTCGGTACCCTCGATATTCCCATCCTAAGGCTGGTACAATGCGCTTTCTAGAGGCGTGCTCAGGAGGCACGCCCGTTGAGCTAGCGAAGTCGGCAGCGGTAGTGCTTCCTGAACCTGATGGCTCCCTCTCCACAGAGGCTGTTGTTACCGACAGCGACGATGGCTTGAACGCCTCTGAAGGCAAGGATAGGACTTTTGCCTCTTTACCTCGGGGTCGCTTGACTCCTAAAGCGTCTTCGTCGGACGCGAAGGAGGCCACTTCCTGTTCTGTCCCCTTGCATGGTCACCTCCTGGCTGAAGTCTTTGCCATTCTAGGAGACCAGCCGAAAGAAAAGGCAAGACTCGCGACCGTGTGCAAGGACTGGGCAGAAGCGCTCAGACGCCCTAATGCGTGAGAAGAAGAGACGCTGGCGGTACCCGAGGCGAACACAAAGTCTTTGGGAGCCAGCCAGGGGCAGGGGACGGGCAGACAGCTTGACTTTTATCCCCTCATCTCCTCGTTTTCTTTATCCCTCTCTAGTTTGGCCTTTCTTCTTGTAACGTTGTCTCTCTCTTCGCCCCTGTCCCTGCGTTTGGCGCTACTGGTTACCCACGCAGGTGCCTCTCCTGCTGCGCCCCCTGCGTGTTGTACTGTGTTGCTCTAGGTGGCAGTACGTAGATGCATCTCACAGACCCCTGTCCTCCCTTTGGGCGTTTGGAAGCCGGCTGCAGAGTCTTCTGCTGGGGGTTCGGTCTCTTGTGGTGTCAGAGGATGACGTGCCTCTGGCGACAAGACTCCTCCTGCAGCTTGTCACTGCGCCTCCTGCCAATCGTCTCGAGTATTCCTTGACCAAAGGTCCCGCCTCGGCCTGCGAGCAGCATGAGGCAAACTCCACGGGCAGTATTTCTGCCGCCAAAAGCCTCAGGCGATGCGAGACTAGCGCCTTCAGCGTTGACTTCCGGCTGCCCCACCTAAGGTGCCTGAGGATTTTTGAGAGCCTCGGCTCAGGATTCGTCCGACACCGTCAGTTTGGGCCTTTTTGCTGACAAAAGCGGCAGGGAGTGCTGCTGCTGCTGCTGCTGCTTTTGCGCACCCTCTTTGTCACACCGTCCCTCTGTAGCGCCTGCCCTCTCTTGCTGCGCGGGAAGATTCTCGTAAAAAAAACGGCTCTATAAAAAGCTTGCATGCATGCAACCTTTTCTCAATGCACGCACCAGCAGGGGCCGCACTTAGCATGACGGGCAGTGGGCAGTGGAGCAGACAGGGAGGGATTACGAATACGCCGCATGCGTGCCGCTGCACCTCTATCGGCCCTGCGTTGTGCCGCTCTGTGAGGCCTCCATGAGTCTCACCCAGAGGCTTTTACGGAGGCTTGCAAAGGTCTCGCTTGCGCTGGCGTGTGGTGTGATGTTGCCGTTGCCGCTTCAGTTGTGCCTAACGCCGTGCTTGCCGCCATGGATGCCGATCGTCGCCTCAGTAGGGACCACGAGGCAGCGCCTGCAACACGCTTCGACCTGGGGGGCCTCCAGCACCTGGAGGAGCTCGTCTTTGAATGCGACGTAGGCTCAGCGCTGCTGCTCGCTCTGCGAGGCAGAACTCCAAGACTGCGATCCCTCGTGCTTTCAAGGCTGCAGGTCGAAGAGGCCCCCCCCTTTGCGGCAGACCAGCAAACCTCCAAAGAGCCGACGGCCTTCGAGGCGCTTTTGCTGCTGCTGGAGTCGTTGCGCCCGCAGCAGCTCCGCGTCTTCGGTGTAAGTAGAGCTCACGCCGCCAGCGTCGGGTGCGAGGAGGAGTGCAGCGATGCACTCCCCTGGAGACACTTGCCAAACGGAGAGGAGGCCGCGCATATGCGTGACGCCCTCGAAAGCCTCAGAAACAGGATTCAGCAGAGGCATCAAAGGGGGGCCCTCCACTCGGAGGTACTATGGGATGAACTGGCAGACGTCTTGTCTCACAAATTCAATACATCGCTTGCCGCCCTCTGGGTAAGTAAAGCTGCCAGCGCCACGATCCGTAAAGGAGCTCTTAGAGGGCCTGCTTGTACGCCTTGCTACGTGCCTCTACCGCAGCCAGACGCGCCTTTTCGCCCGCTGCGTAACGGGGTGTGTCTATATGTGTGCGCAATTGTCTATGTGTCTGGCATTGTATCTGTGTGGCATTGTATCTGTGTGGCATTGTGAATACATGTGTGTTTAATAGGATGGAGGTGTGTTTTTGTGTATATATATGTGTGTGTAATTGTGTATTTGGTTGTGTACTCGTGTGTAGGTGTGTACGTTTGTGTGTCTTGCAGCTGCCAGACCTCCAGTGTTCGCTCTCCGCCCTGGGGAATCTTGTGCGCAACTGTCATAACGTGTCCCGCTGCTCAGTGCCGGGAGCCTCCATGCTTGCCTATCTGCAGGAAGGCCGTCTGGGGTTTTAGTGGCTCTCACAAATGGTCTCTGGCGTTTAGCGCCGTATAGCCAATCCAGAGGCGTTAGCAGCAGCAGAGTCATCGGAGGTTCTAGACTCAGTGAAAAGTTGGAGTGGCAAGGCCTCCCTCCTCAACTCCTGGCTGCTTTAGCCTGTATCGCTAAATTTTTCGCTTTTTGTGTGCCTGGTTGCTGTAAGACAGCCCCACAGACGCCTAGCAGCCTTTCTCCCGGTTTGAAGGAAAAGCCTCATTAGTTGCACAGCCTTGAGCGCCTTTGTCGCTGAAGAGGCGTGGTGCCATGCTACCGCCTTGTCTAAAATGAGGGGGTGGTGCTTTTGCTGTAAGATGCGAAAAGCATCATTTCACGTGCATGGTCAGGACAAAGGGGGCCTGGCCCTTTTGTTTGCTGCCTAAATGCCCCTTGGCTGCGGGTATTGTGCTAGCGGGTGAATAGTTCAACCCCGGAGCATCCACCTGTATGGCTTCTCGGTTGCTCCCATCCTTTTTCCTAGCAAGCACCCCGTTTTCAAAAACCTTTTTTAATCAAGACTGGATGCCTCCCGATTGATTTGGGGACGTCCTTTGGGCTTGAACGGGGATGCAGGGGTAGATAGGACCTTGCCTGGCGGGGTTGCATCTCAAATTCAACATCTGAAGTGGTACGCCACACTTCTGCAGGAACTTCCGTCACCTCTTCTTCGTACATAGCGCTATTTTCTTGTTTTATTCTTCTTGCATTTGAGAGGTTGCGCTGAATATGGGAAGCGGGGGTGCTTTGTTCAGGGGAAAGCATCCAGTTCGTTAAGCTGGAGTGGCGAGAGCCGTAGACAGCCGAGCGTAGCAACACGTTGGGACATAAGGGGGCCGCTGGCTCCTTCACCGTGCGCTAGGAAGAGCACGTTTGGCTTGTACAGAGTTCTACGTTTCAGCTGGTCGTGGGAAGACGACAGCATAGGTGGGATGGACTTGTCTCAGGTACAGCTTTCTGAACGTTGGTATGGCTGCGCGCCTCCAGCCTTCAGTAAAAGCCACACAGCAGCAATGATATAAAAGCCAAGAAAGAACATAGATGAGAGGCAGGTCACTGCTTTTCCATCTCACCCATGTGTTTCTCTTTGAGGACTGACACTGGGCGCCAGGACGAAACGCCACATTGTGTTGGTGCACGCGAGATGATTTCATGCGATTAGCGCATTGGAAAGCAGCCAAAATGGCACCCAGTCAGGCGGCACAGACGCATAAAGTAGGCAAAAGTCCGTCAATCTGACGCATCGGGAGCACATGCGCATGCTCCAGTGGTCCTAGCGTCTGGCTTTTGGTTGCTTGCTGCGTGAAGTAGCACACTCGAGGCTGCAAGAAGCAATGCCGGTCCGCTTCCGCACGCACCAGCCGTCTCAGGCGTCCGTTTAGGCGGTTATAAGAGGTGCAGCAGACTTTAAGGAACGGAAAAGGCTCTTCATAGGGCACGCAACAGCACAGCGAGACGGCCTCTTCACACTTCTGGTGAGAGTGGCGCTAGGAAGGCATGACAAAGATAGACCCAGAGGTTGAACACGCAGCTGTGTTGTGCACTTCGCGCATGGACTAAAGATTACGATATGTTTGCTGGGACACTTTAAGAAATTCGGATCATTTTCAGCCGTGCAATCATGAGAGGAAAGCCACAACAATCTAAATGGCGCAGCGTCTTTGCCTTGTCCAGTATGAAGAGAAGAACTATACGCGCAGCAACAGTGACCCTTACCGGTAGCTCAATCTTCAAGCTTCTACGCGAATTCTAATAACGCAGGTGGTACCTGCATAGGCAACCCTTGTCATTTTAGCACAGTTGGCAGGGCGACCGCTTTGTGAGCGGAAGGCTGCCATATCGATTCCCCCGTAAGGCTATTTGGCGTGTGCGATGCATGAATCACACCACTTGAGGCGATCAAACATTCAAGTCTCCGTAAGGAAGTGACAGTAGCCAATTTCTCATAAGGTAGCAGATGAGTTTCAGTATCGTAGACCTCTGCTCATTTTTTTCTAAAGCCATAGGCGGACGCATAACACACAGCAGAGCACCCGCACTTAAAACCTTTTTCTTTGAAAACGCATTTTCAGTAAGAAGGAGCTGCCCTCCAAAAGTCGAAGGGGTAAACCCTAAAGTACGGAGGTTGCGGCGGGCGTAGCGCCTTTAGCACATATATTTATCCTGTACCGCACCTTATGCCTCAAGGCGTAGAGTTTTCACTGGATTGTTCCATCCGCCGTGCTGTGCACGAAGTGTACTATCCCTTGTACAGGGGCCTCCAAGGAACCGCTGCTACGTTTTTTGCTCATCGTAAGTTACTCTCCTGTCTGCAGGTCGCCTTTTAAATGCATGGCGCGTCAAACTGTGCCTGGTGCAAAGTCTTGTAGCGGCCTGGCGCATGTTGCCCTCCAGAGTCTTTGGTTGCTGAAAGGCTTGAACGACGTGACATACATGGCAATAGAAGTTCTGCAATGAATCCAATGACATGCATCTTTGAGAAAGGGTTTATTTGGGTTCACGCAGGGCTAAGCGCGACAAGGAAGTCGCCAAGGGAGAGAGAAAGCCATCGAATTACAAATTCGAACCCCCCTTTTGAAATTTATCACGACAGGGGAAAGGATTTGGCTAGTTCGGGCTCCATGAAGAGAAAACAGACTGGCTCCTTGAAGCAGCGAGTTTCGCGACGCTGCTCGCACATGCGCAGGCTTCCAGACGGCATCGGTACGCCTGCCTCTATGCACGCTCCACATAGTCCCCAGCAGCCTTCTCGCTGTTGTAGGAGAGAAGGTAGCCGAGCTCAGGTAGACGATTTTCCTAGCAGCTGAGCTGTAGCAGAGGGCTAGCGGAAGTGCAAGATTCCGTTCGGACAAAGTGGAACGGATTCACAGTGGCATTAGTATGCCGCCTTAGGCAACAGAGTGTTGGGGCATCGACGCAGGAAACCCGCGTAGCAATTTCCAAAAGCGGAAGTTGTATCTTGGCAAAATGGCCTTTGAGGAATATTATTAAATTTCACTGCGCAAAAAGACCGGCGTGCCGCCACATGAAAGTTGCATCTTAGTACAAAATTCGGGATGCTGGAATGAAAGGGGGGTGGTTCCTTGGCACGAGAGATCGCTTTGAGGATCGAGTTCTGTCTGCGCTCCAAAAAGCGCAGAGAATAAGTGTATAGTGGAGCTCTGTGTGTTTTGTCTGCCTTCCTACTGGGTGAAAATTGCTCGACTAAAATCCTTTCGAGGATCATTCCCTGCTGGCACAGAAGGCAACCTGGTGTATTCAGGTGACTTTCATGTGTCGACTTTGCCCTTGCTCATCCAACGGAAGAAGCAACCGAATTCAACTGATTATTTGGCAGCATGTGGAAACGTGAACAGGTGCGAACACTGTCACCCAGGCGGGGGAGTCTTTTCCCCATTCGCAGGGCGGTTTCATCGTATCGGCGCAGCACACTGTTGCATGAACTCCACAGCACGTTTTCTGTAGGAGAGGGCATGTGGAGCAAAGCCGCCACGCATTTTTTATGGGAGGCAACGCCTCCTGTCGCAAGCAAAGACTATGCGCACCACAGCAAACCAGCTCACTAGGGGTTCAAGCTCCTTTAGCAGCAAATCCACCTACAGCAGGCAGCAGCGGAACCTAGCAACGCGGGTCAAGTAATCTGCAGAGACAGAGTAGGTTTCTACGATGAGTGATCTACCACGCCCTACTCAAAAGACGCGCTGGTCAATAGCGTCAATTAGCGATCTGCGTAGGAAAAAATAAATCAAGCGGCAACAGGACTCACGAGAGCGAGCACTGATATGCGGACGATAAAGGCATAATTGTGCCCAGCATCAAGAACTGCCGCAATCCAGGTCCGTGCGGCCGATGCACATCGGCAACTCCGATTGTGATTCCGTCATTTTCCACCTCATTCAAGCATGTCGCTGCGTTTTTCAAAGAAAGGATAACCGAGGCAAGGGTCCTGTGCCTCAGCCCTCATGAAGGACACAAGAAACGAACTGCATTACATATCTTCTGAGGAACAAATACAGGTATGGGAAACGTACCACGACGCCTACGAAAAAAACACATGTGCGCGAGCGAGTGCGCTCTCTCTCTCGCGCTCTCTCTCGCGCTCTCTCTCTCTCTCTCTCTCTCTCTCTCTCTCTCTCTCAACCCCTATCACTCCCGCTCTTTGTCTCTGTATCCTCCCTTCTGTTTAGCTGAGACACACGCACGGTCAGTGTTCAGCATTCCGTCCTTGAGCCTACGACGGCTGGCTGGAAGCGCCCTCGTGTGCTCCCATCTTTCACCACTGCCGGGGGTCTCCACACCACGTGCACGAGGCTGTGCACTTGCTCGCGAGTGCGCTGCATCGCGACAACCTAAATTCGCTTTCCTCGGCAGCAAGACAAGGCCGCCCATAAGCGGGTAATTTGCGGTGGGTGATGCTCAGCACTACCCCTTCCTTTTCCCTCGGCTGCAGCCACTCTCTATTCCTTGACAGCGCTTTTCCAGGCGTAAAGAGAGCTGCGCAGCTCCGATCTCAGCGATTTCAAAAACAACCTCCACACGGCCTCCCCCGTTCCCTCCCGCGCGCGGTGCCAGCGAGGCGCATGCATACACACATATATCCACCAATGAACACCTAGAGCTTCCTATTCGCGGAAGTCTTTGACCGTTGGTGCATCAATTGTGAAGCCTCGCTGTCCACATGCCGATAATGCAGCAAGCTCGTAAGCACTTTGGAACGGGGGTCGTGGTAGCCGCATGTTACTGCCACCCCTCAAGAGGCACATCGGTATTCGCATCCAGAGGAGCACTAGGAATCACCATCATGGGGAGAGACGCCGCTCCCTCGCGTACCCACGCTTTGTACTGCGCAATTTCATTCCGAAACTCAGCAACAGACTGCCGTTTGTAGACCTGCAGCGAAGGAAGATTCATATTCCCGTCGAACGGCTGACACGCTGCTGCTCCCGCTGCGGATGGTGCGGCACTGCCGCCGGGAACCCCTCCCCGCGCATGCGGCGCGGAGTCTCTGCTGACACCCACGGCCAAATTCTCCGCAGCGCGAACTGCGCTCGGAGGCAGAATTTCCTCGATAGACAAGGCATTCAAGAAAGCCACAAAGATGGTATGTCCCTTGATGACGACGGCCTCTTCAGTAGACAACGAGACGCGTCGCGGCAGCAACGAGGCTTCCTCCGCCTGCCGCTGTGGGTTCTGCGGAAGCTGAACTGCTGCGCTCGCTCCTTGAGGGGCGTTCTCGTGGAGCAGCTTGAAAGACGGCTCGACTCCAGTGATGCGGCCGATTACTCTGCGCATGCCCTCGACGAGGCGATACAGCAGAACCCACATGAACGCTCGACGGACGATCCATGCCCAATGCAGAAACAGACGCACGCCGTGCGTTCTCAGGCAGAGGTCAGTGAGCACTGCCTCCAACTGCTCGCCGTTGAGGATGGGCAGGTTCCTGTAGACGAACCACAGCCCTTTAGAGACGTTCGCATACAAGTCAGAATCAATGATCAGCTGAAGACCTTTGCGCAAGAAGGCAAAGTCAAAGTTTGGAGGCAGCTGTCGACCCCGCGAAGCAAGGAGCTGCACCCAATAGTCCAGATACGTCAACGCAGAGAAAACCTGCGGGCTGTTGTGAGCGTGTGTTCTTAGAAAAACGATTTTGAGAAACACCGACAAAAGCTTCTCGTTCGCCAGCATTGCACCCGTGCAGTTGACTAGAGAATCTGGAAACTTCGTCACACTGCGCGCTTTCAACTCCAGAAGCAGACGTTTCAGCAGCGTGGGATATCCAGGGATCTCGCGCCAGTCCAAAGAGGCCTTATGAGGGCTACTCTGAAGAAACGCTCGTACCCACTGCTCGAGGAAGGCGAAGAAGGAACTCCCCTCCATGCTCAGCTCCTTCCGCCAATCTGACTCAGGAGACAGCTTCCCCTGCATGGCGTCAATGTCTTCCTGCAGCGTTCCCTCCCCAAAGTACTCCTTGAGGGTCGAGTGGAAGACTTCCCACTGCAGCAGCACGCGCAACGGACTCGAAGCACCCCACTTCTCAGCCTCCTCCAAGCTCGCGGCATCCAGCAGAAAGTCGGTGCCTCGCCACTCCTCTACGGATGCGCTTCGACCTTCTTCGGTAAGGACGCTCTGCAGCAGCTCCCTCCTAAAGTCGGGCAGACGGAAGTACGCAGCTGCAAGCAACAGGCACGCGAAGCGACGCTGCCCCCCAAAAGAGGCCTCTCCACCTAGCATGCGTAACGCCACTGCAAGAGCTCGCTGCAGCAGAAGACGAAACTGCCTGCACAACTTGAGCCGCTTATGATACAGGATCACGGAGAAGCGGTCTTCCGCAGAAAGCGACTTTGCGAAGCGGTTCAGCTGCTCCGTGCGCTCCCGCGACACTGCCTCCGCATGCTGCAACTTCCACGCCGCTAGCTCATCACTTTCCCGCAAGCGACCCTTGGAAGTATCCGTCAACTCCCTCCCCAGATGCACAGCCGCTTCCGCATCCCCCGCAGCAACGACTGCAACGCCTGCGTTCTTCAAGCGCTGCAAAGCAGCTCCCAAGTACCCCCGAGGACCCTCCCCGTCTCCTCCCCCAAGACGAGGCAGCAGCAAGCCGCTAGCAAGGGTAAGCCTGTTGCCTTGCTGCTGCTGCCCCCCCCCTGCCTTCCCTCCCGCTCCTGCAGCGCTCCCCCCCGAAGCAGCGCTCGCGTCGAAGTCAACCGAACGCTGCGACACGAACAGCTTCAGCTTCTGCTCGCCTCCAGCAGCACTACCCCCTCCAGCGGCGGAGGCTCCGCAGCCACTCGCTGAGGAGGCTGCAGCGGCAGCCATCGCTGCAGCCTCGGCATTCTCCGCCTTGATCGAGGAGTACAGCACGTAAACTTCAGACAGAGTCAACGCAGCAAGCGCGTCGGGACGCGCAGGCAGCACCGTTCCGAGATCGAGCTCCCCCCTCCGCAGGATCGCACATAACACAGCGCAGTAACTTGCCCTGCACTGCCAAAACACGTAATCCAAAAACTCCAGAGTGTGATTCGCAAGATTCAGCAGTACCCGCTGGCTCCGCAGCAACTCAGCCTCCGAAGAAAACAAAAAACTCCGCCGCGTCTCCGCGTCGCTCGCGCTCAACAGCTGCAGCAACTCGTCGCACGCTGCCTTCGCCTCTTGCAAGGTCTGCAGAAAAACACACAAGCATGTAACAGCACGCGTACATGCAAACAGATATGCACAAACACACACGTACTTATATGTGCATAATACATATATACATGTATACATATTCATACATCTACATACAAACAGATATGCACAAATACACACGTACCTAGACGCATATGCACACAAAGAAACACAAGGAAACACACGAACACACACAAACACACGAAAATACACACCAAAACATACAAACACACATACATACATACATACATACACACATACAAACATACAAACACACATACAAACATACAAACACACATACAAACACCCACACACACCCAAACATGCTCACATACAAACACACATACACACCAAACATTGCACGTAGTCGTGTGCCGCAACGACGCTGGCAGTGCGCCTTCCGCGGCGCTCGTTCTGTGACACTTTTTTTGTCCCCTTGTGCATTTCGCACGCCTTGCGTTGCCCCCGCCACGCACGCGCGCTCGAACTCACAGAAGCAAAATCATCCGCATCCAGACACACACACAGAGAGAGCGCAAAGAAACACGCATGGAGTCGCAGTCAGTTCAGTCCTCCGTGGACACACAGAAGCAGCGTGTGCATGCACTGCTGCTGTTCAGATTCGAGAGCAGTGTCTCTCCTGCGATCGCTTTTCCCCTCACCTTAGTGCCCTGGGGATCTGCATCGGTGGTCCTTCTGACGGAAGCGAGCAGCGCTGAAACAGCCGCTGTCGCCGGCGTGGAGCTTTCGGGCAGTTTTTGCTGCGTTTTTCGCGCGATGAGGTGCAGCAGCTTCTCGTGGAGGGCGGCAATGCGCGCTATGGCAGGTGGCACGCCTCCGCTGAACTTGAAACACACAGGTCGATGCTCATGGCCGAGCACTGGCGGGAAGATCCTGCAGAGGCCTTTTTCGGTGTGAACTCCTGCGCACACCTGGCGAACCACGGGGTTGTTCTGAAACACGATCACGCCCTCCAGCACTCCCACGCGCTTGCCGTCTAGCCACAGCTTCTCCTGGAAGTATGAGTCGTAGAACTGGCGAGGCACGGCTGTGACGACGTCTGCGTCGTACACCTTGAAGAAGGGGAGCCAGCACTCTCCGAAGAGGGTGGGCGCGTCGTTGGGGAACACCTTCGCGTGCAGTCGGATGCGCAGGTAGTGCTGTCTGAGTTGGTCAATCGTCGTGGACAGGCGCAGCGTCGGGAAGGTGTCGTGCAGAACCTCCTTCACGAGCTCGCCCTTCGCAGCCACAGCTGCAAGCCGCTCGTAAGTACTCTTGGGGTCCAAGTGCTCGAGGTGGCGCTGCGTGTACCTCCTGGAGAGAGGCGAGCTCTCGGTCCGCCAAGTGGCCACCGTTCCTCTGCCTGTGTCTCCGCAAACAGCGGAAACTGCAGCGCGCATGTCGCTGCCTGCGGCAGACCTAAGCGCAGACGCACCGGCAGCAGGTGCGCGGAAAGAAGAGGAGGCTGAGGAAACGGCCTGCGGAGCTGCTTCGCTCGGCAGCGATGCTGGCTCGTGCGAAGTCAACTGGATTTCCGTCTTCGCAGCTCGGAAGGGTATCTCCTTGTCATCCTCATCGTTCACATGCTGCTTGCCGACGTTCTCGTTTTGGTTGCTGCTCGTGTTGCTGTTGTTGTTCTTGGTGTTGGTGCTGTTCTCTCGCCCGTCCGCCCCGCTGCTCTGGGAGGTCAAAGCGGCGTCTTCTCCCGAGGCGCAAGCGTCGGGGAGGCAGTGGTTCCTGCTGCTGCTGCTGCCGACGGCAGGCTGAGCCTCCGCCCTCCTGTCTGGCGGCACAGTGAAGCCTTCGGGAGCAGAAGCGACGGAAGCCTCGGAAAGTGCGCGCACGTTGAGACGGTGACCAAGCAGGATGTGATCCACTGCGTTCCAGTACGGCTGTTCGACATTTTCAGTGGCAACAGAAAAGGCGTCTCGCGGGTTATCCACGCCAGTCGGAGAGAAGGAGAGGAGCCAGTGCGCAGAAAGAGGGCCGGGTTCCTCATCTTCCATGCCAGGAGGCGATGATTTGCCCCTGTGCAGATCGCGCGGCGCGTCGCTGTCTGTCGTGCTCTCCGCGCTGCTGCTGCTGCTGCTGAAAGTCTTCGCCAGCCCCCTAGAATCTGCGTCTGGGCTGCTGCTGTCGCCTCCTGCCCACCCGTCGCTGCTGAGCGCCTCTGTGAAACCTCCTGCTGGGGAAGCAGCAGCAGCAGCAGCAGCAGCAGCAGCAGCAGCAGCAGCAGCCCGACTCGCTGCGGCTGCTGCCTGTCTGCGCTGTCGCTCCCCGCATCGAAAGTTGTAGGAGCGACTGGCGAAAGAGTGGAGGTGGTGGTGAGAAGAAGCTCTGGCCCTGCAGAAAACTTCGGATTGCCTCCCGACGAGCTGCGGCTTTCTGCTGCTACTGCTACTGCTGTTGCTTTCCTCTGTGACCATGTGCGTCGACTTCTGGGGGGGGAGAGGCGAATCCTCTTCTCCAGCATCCGATCCCTCCTCTTCGCTGCCGCTGCCCTCCCCTCCCCCGTCAGAGGAAGACGCCGAGTCGCTCAAATGCGCGAGAATCTCGATGGGGTTGATGATCAAGTCACAGATCTGCTGCATGCGCACATCCATGATGAGGCGGCCAGTCTGACTCGCCTCGCCAGGCGCTCGCAGCAGCACGTCATGGTGCAGCGGTCCAGTTGCTACGGCGAAGAGACAGACAGAACCGCTGCCTATGACGCGACCAGGGCAGGAGGCGGGGGAGGGGAGGGGCCCCCCGGGGGCGGGGGGGCCCCCCTCCCCTCCCCCTGCGCCTTTTTGTGGGCTTGCAACCTCCAAGACGGAGAACACCAGCGTGCGTCGATGCAGCTCCGCAAGAGAAGGGGAGTGCCACGTGAACTCGAAGGAGTCAAACCACTTGGGAGAGCGCCCCCGAGCCGGCTGTGTGGTCAGCACCAGCACTTCCCCGCCGTTCCTGCCGTCTGCAGAAGCCTCCAAGTGCTCCTCGCCTTTCGCTTGGTCTTTCGCTTCTTCTGAGCGCTCCTCGCCGAGCTGGTGCTCATCGTGACGGGGAACGGCAGACGCCTCCTGAGGAGGCGTTGGAGCGGCCTCCTCCACGAGAGGCGCAGCCCACTCTAGCCGCAGCGAAGTCGCCGTAGTGTGCGAAGAAGCATCCAAACCTCGTGCCTTCATGCCGTAGACGCGCACGTGGAAGAGCAGACCCCGGCTGATGCGCGTCAGCTCGCCAGACAGCATGTGGTGGGGGGGATGGCCAGTGGCGTAGCTGAAGCCTGCCGGGAGGGGTTTTTGCTGCTGCCCCCGTTGCTGTTGCAGTTGCTGCTCTTGTTGCTGCTGCTGCTGCAACGGCTGCAGCTGCATGCACTCCGCAAGCGGCGACACGGCGAGCAGCTGCTGCTGGTGCTGCCCCACAGCGGCGGCAGTCGTTGAAGGGCCAGCAAGGGGACTGCATGCATCCAACTTGCGCGCGCTGTTGGCTCCTGCTCCTGAAGCCGCCGAAGCAGCCGAGAGAGCACTTGAAGAAGGTCTCCGAAATCTGCCCTTGGAAGGCTTTCCTGCGCCTGTCACTGAGCCTTGCACTGCAGCGCCAAGCTGCGGTCGAGGCTGGGGGATCAGAGAAATGCGTGTGCCTCGACGGGCGCTGCCTGCGGCATTGCCGTTGCTGTTGGGCGCTCCTGACGAACTCAGTTTTGAGGAGAAGGGAGTGGGCGGCGGATTGCTCGCGAAGGGCCCCACAGGGGTGCGCTGAGGCTCTCCTGCGACGTTTTTTGCACAGCCAGACCCCATACTGCCGCCGCTGAGTGGTGTGAGTTTCGACGCGCGGGAGGCAGGCAGGCAGTGAGTGAGTGGGTGCACCGAGAGGGGGGGAGGGAGGGGGAGCCTCGAGGGTCCTCCTGAGTCTTTGTATTTCGCGCAAAGACGCAGACAGAGGCGGATGCTGGTGCGGCGGGTGTGCGTGCGTAAGTGTCACGGGGATAGTCGAGTGTACCGACACACACATGGCCAGGCGCTCGACAAATGCTGGGACGTGAACCCGGCCCCCTGCCCGCCTCTCGCAGAAACAGACGCGCCAGGAGTCTGCAGATGCGGAGGCAGACAGCCAGTGCAGCACGGGAAATCGCCTGAGGCGCTGCGGCAGGCAGCGCGGCAGGCAGCGCTGGCAGCCTCGAGAGCCACGAGTTGAACACTACGACACCCACAGCGGGCACTAGGGGGCTAGGGGGGTTTCGATCTGGCGAGCGGGCAGGCGGGAAACGCGCCTACTCTTCGTTGAAGATTGGGAAGGCGGTGGAATGCACGTCGGAAGGGCTCGAACTAAGCTTCTAACAACGCATAGGGCTTTTCGATCTGTCCACGGGGACTCACCCGAACGGAGGAGGGAACGAAAGCGGAATAATAAGCCGAAACTACAAGACAATAGACCCTGATGCTTTGAAACAATGGAAACCTCAAAAAATCGCGGCGTAGAAACAAAATCTGCAGCCCCTACAGAGGCCGAACTCGACTCCTTCGAAGATTGAACCTCGGTAGCCGTCACCACGAAATCGCTGACCCCGCCTCGATCTGCACTCCCCCCTCCCTCCTGCAGTTGAACGCCTCTATTTAGCCTATATGTGTTCATTAAAGAAAGGACGGTACGCCAGCTCCTCCTTTCCCCGGCGCCATGCCAACCAGGAGCAGGACAGGCTCGCTATCTAGTCGATGTGCGCCCCTTTCATCGGGCAAGCTCCTGCAGGGGTCATGTATAATTTCTCTCTAGTCTAGAAACCCAGAAGCCCTGTATTTCCCAGACGCGCTGCCTTTTAGCCTGCGCAATGCGGCTTTCTGCGGTCGGCAGTGCATGCCCCCGCGCTGTTCTTGAACTGTACACTTCCGCTTACACATTCCATGCTTGTTCATGCCGTGCGAGAGCAACTGTCTTGCGACGCGCTCAGAGATTTGGCGAAGCAAGCCCACTTTCTTGCACAAACCGCTGCAGCCGCTTGTGTTCACTGACTTGACGTGCTTTGACTCCCCTACGGACTCCCCTCCCACGCACACCGCGCCCCCCCAAACGCCCTTCTCACCCAGGGCGAGGCAAAACAGCACTCCGCGGTAGTACTAGACCATAGATGAAGAGAAACGGAGCTTGCCGAGTTTCAGAGGATGGCCTTCCGTCCATGCATCCCCGAGCGTACCTCCCGCACCGGCGAAAGAACTAGTGAAAAAGCAGGGGGGCTAGCTGGCCGCCCAGGTAACCTAGTTTACCGCAGGGAAAACAGGTCGTGTTGGTTCGCATGCTTCCTGACGTTGAACACGTAATGCTCATGAGATAAGGTTGCTCGCTCTTGGACTCTACTGCTTTTCGATTCCCAGTGCACAGTGGCTTGAGGGATGACAGCCTGGTAGATTTCCCCGACCCTGGCCCTCCTTTGCGATTTTTAAAGAAACATCGACACGAAACGGTGGTCCAGCTCATGCAACAAGGCGATCGCAGCATAGTCGGCACGCGAAGAATTGGCTCCTGAGGCGCCTGTGAGCTGGGATCGTGTGGCTTTTTGACGAAGGGGAGCTAAGTATCCCTTTTTTGCTTTGCCTGATTGTGTGTGGTGGGATGCACCCGCAAATGCTGAGTCGACGTCGTGTTCTCTGGGTCGGACGAGTGTGTGGAAAAGTAGAAATGTTGGATCTTCAGTTTTGTAAAATGGAGAGACACTATGATAATGAGAGTTGTCTGAAGCTTCTCACCCAGATTCCGATCGAATTCTCCATTTTCCGCGTAGAGGGGGGTACGACAATCGCTTCATCAGTTCATCACCTCGAAATCTAAACAGGGTAACAGGTTTCAGAGGGCACGGGCACTTCGCTGTTTGGTGAAGAGCAGGGAAAGACTCCTGGTAGTTGGTGAAATCGTACACAGACACCACAGATGTCATCTGGTAAGCGGCGCCTCTCCTGACGGGGTTCGCTTATGCAGACGGCCCTTCGATGTCTTTCTACAGACGGGAGGTGCTTTACCTTTACTGTCACATCCTACGGCATCTCGATTCCAGTAAACATCCAAACCCCTCGTGGCTTGTTCTCGCCTTGGTAGTCTTGGCAAGGTCCTCCGCACTGCAAACCGATTGCCTCGCCCGTCAAGGAGGGAGGGCCTCTTCTGCCCTGCTAGCATTGCTGGACACGCCTTTTAACCGCTTTCGCATGCAGCAATAGAGTGCACACTACAGCACTGCCTGCTAAGGTATAGAGGAAGAAGATTGGCGTGCCTGTAGAGCCCCAGTAGGGCTTTTCACAGAATCATGACTCCTCAACAATCACTCAGTGTGGCTTCATTGTCGGTCTTAATGCAGCCATGCCGAGAGCAGAGGCCTTCCGGCCACAACTCAGCGATCTCTGCATCTAGTGGCAAAAGTTGGGGGATAAAACTACATGTCACTGCTTATGCCAAAACAATCCTTGCAGAGGATTGCATAATCACAACGCACATCATGTCAACTGTGTAACTCATTGGAATCCTGCCAGACTACATCTTAACAGTGGGTGGGAAGCCTGAAGGCGGCTAGGCACTGCTCGAAAGTGCAACTGCTAGGGCGCCGATGTGCACTTCAAGCAATCAAATCGTTGTTGTCAAGCACTGAGCACTTGTTCGAACAAAATATAGTATGGCTGGATATGTATGTGTTTCCTCTCATTGCGGCAAGTCAAATGCTGGTAGGTAAGAGCCGAATGCCAACTGATACACACCCGGCGCTCGTCAGACGCACAAGGGCGATGGGCATGCGCAATGCAGGGAGGCTGCCAAAACAAAAGGTTCTGGCTCAGCCGCAACAGTTAGCATCAAGGCCTAAAGGACTAACTACAGAGTGTAAATGGCGGTTCCGTATTTGCTTCTCGCTTAGTCGAAAGGGTTTCTGGTGACGCTTGCATGCCAACTACCGGGCACGAGGAAGTCGATTGCTTGGGAACAAAATGGGGCCTGGAAAACTACAGATGCCGTTATTCGATCCCCCAGTGAACCCTCAGTTTTGCTTCAAACAGTAGCTGGTTCAAATGTATTGCATCTGAGGGAAACATTTTTACCGGCGACAGCCCTTGAATGGCAACGGGTGCCTCTTCACACTGAGGCTTGCAGTATAAGAATGTTATGAACTCGCAGAAAAACGGGAACACTTCTCATTGCATCCATAATGAAAGCTTCCGCATGGCAAGCGAGGAATTTCATTGGCTGGAGAACGTGTTGGGCATGAATCAGGCGAATTGGTGCAAGAGCCTGCAGCTCAGGCACATCGGTGTATGAGCATGCAAGTGGGTCGCCTGGAACTAACGAGGTAACAGCTGTCTTCGGCACCTCGTACGCAGCGTCCAAAAGAACTGAGGAGGATTGCGTAAGCTTCCACAAGCCCGATAGACACACGCGAGGGGGCGTTTCTACATCGAGGATTCAGATTGTGGAGCGACCAGTGTTTCGACGGCGGCCTGCTGTGCCGTCGTGATGGGAGTCTTCAGTTGACCTCCATGCTAAATTCCACAGCTCATGCATTGGTTTGGTCTAGTTCGTGGCTTTTGGCGTGTTCAATAAGCTGACAGAGCGGCAGGCGTATAGATCGAGCCAGTGTGCAAACAGATATGACGCAAGGCGCCTTGTGGGGCCGCAACGCCGAGTAGCGTAAATGGACGCAACGTCCCTTACTAGCCCTACAGCACGCAGCCACCGTTTTGAAGGGGGGATTGCGCTGAGACGTGACAGCTACAGCTAGTGCATTCATCGGTTACAAGGGCATCGTTGAAGCCACGACCAGCACCCATCTCCCGTCAGTGCTCCGCCGACAACACCCTCTCGTCGTAGTCATATTTTTCCGTTGGCTGACCGACCCCATTATGTGGCCATCCTGTTTCGACAAAGCATTGGGAAGTCCGCGAATTCATTTGAGTAGGTGTGCCTCAAGAACACCTGCATCCAGCCCGTCGAGTGTTTGCAACCTTGAAAGTCGAAAAAGGGGCACGCGCTGCATCGGGGAGGGAGGCCATGACGGGGAGTCTGCAAATCGGCACACACCTCTGCGAACCCCCGCCGGAACACACATCAGTGACTGGATGCTCCTATGCGAATATGCATACATATACATACATATATATCCATCTATTTCGCACGAAACTCAGACCAATGATCCTTCTCTGGCCAGACAACCCGGAGGCCGAGTCGCCTTTTATAGCATCCAGCATTGTGTGGCCCTCCTTGCCCAATCGACCATTTTGTGAAGTCTGCAAAAAGCGTCCACAGCTCCTCCAGCGGATGTAGGAGAGGACAAGCCAAAAAGCATGGCGTGCTCGAAAACCGTGGCCATGTTCTCAGCGAGGCCCTTGCCTCTGTGTGTGGGGTGCTGAGAGAGAAAATGCCAGATGGGCGCTCGTATGCGAAAGCGCGGGGGGGAATGGAGGGATGGGCATTTCTCTGCGGCGTATACGCAGAGGGAATGCACTGACTAAAGAAACAGCTGGCTCGCTGCCGTGCCCTCTCTCTAAGGTTCTTCTTCTCTGTCTAACCGTACTCAACATTGTAATTCTTGTACCTCTAATGTTACTGTCAGCCGACGAAGCCGATCTGCCCGGCTTGTGAAGAGGAGGCATCATGGGCCACCACAAGCTGCTTTCCTCGCTTGAGAAGTATTTGCGCTTGTTGGCGATTCGCTGAGAGTGAGGTGTCGCCTTGGTGGCGAGTGCAGCGATAAGGGTATCGCACTGGACTTTCCAGTAGCTTAAAACGTAAAGCAGCAGGCCTCGAGAGACTCACTATACGGCTTCGCCTTGTTTACACGGACGTGACGAAACTTGCGTTCAAGGGGGGATACAGTGCTCTCCCTGTGTCTTGCGTAGCGCACGCTACAGCTGTGCAAGTACACTACGAATTGTGGCTCTCTTCTCCGTCTCGAGTGTAGGCCAAGAAGGAACATTGGCGTATATATATATAAATATGTATATGCATGTAAAATATATGTATATATATAGATATGCTAAGGCAGGAAACTTGCAGCGCCAACAGGTGCATTAAGGGGGAGGGGGAAGGCCTAAGCCAGCTCTAACGTAATTTGTCCCTCAATCACAACTAGAACTGTTCATGCTTTTTTACACCTGCTAAGTCTTAGCTGGCTCCCGCTACCAAGGCAGTCTATTTGGCAGATGCCTTTATTGAGCGCGCAAGAACCTCTATCAACGCACAGCAGAGCGGCACTCGTTTTTGTCCTAATTCGCCTTGCTTTACCTTATGCCTGTCTAGACCGCGGAAGTTCGGCTGCGTCCGTTGTCGAGCATGCCTTTTTTGCAGTTTCAGCGAGTTTGGAGCCTTGCCGACTTGGCCCACTTGTCCACCACCAAGCAAGCACCTCCCAAGCTGGGTGCAGAATCAAGAATTCTGTTCCCCTTGGCAGTGCACGGAGTTGCCATGCGAGACATTGAGCAAACGGAGGATCTGTCCTCGGGGGTCCACCGACTGTTTATGGTCTGTCGTAAGTCGTGTTGCGGTTGGAAGGCCTCTGCTCTCGGCATGGCTGCATGCATTTAGACCGACAATGGTGAAGCAACACTGAGTGATTGCTGAGGAGTCGTGATTCTGTGAAAGGCGCTACTGGGGCTTTACAGACGCGCAATCTTCTTCCTCTATACCTTAGCAGGCAGTGCTGCAGTGTGCACTCTATTGCTGCATGCGAAAGCGGTTAAAAGGCGTGTCCGGCAATGCTAGCAGGGCAGAAGAGGCCCCCCCCTTGACGGGCGAGGCAATCGGTTCGCAGTGCGGAGGACTGTTGCCCACTTTTCAGCTGCAAATTATGCTTCAGGAGGGCAGCTCCTCTACGGACGGCACTCCCTACTGTCTCTTACAAGGCATTCCACTTCTGCAAGCTCCCAGGAGGCTTGTGGACTTTGGGGATCTCGGCAAGTTCTACTGTCACTCTCGTTTTTATTTGCGTGGTTTCGCGATACACACCGTAGCCTCTCCTGTGCCGCTCCGGAGACTCAAAATGCGCCTTAGCGCTGCGTATGGCCCCCTCTGCTTCACTGCCAGTCCGGATCGAGAGGAGACGCCGCATACGCGTGTCAGGAAAAGCACGAAATGAAATCTTTGCAGCTTCCGTAAGACACACCTTTCTAATTCTACACCTTCCCCTGTGCCTCGGGCTATCACAAAGACCCCTCTACGGTCACAGGGAGCCTGCTGCGGCTGCCAGATCCTGAGGACAGCCTGGCTGCAAAAACGTAGTGTATCACTCGCCAAAATTGAAGCACTCGCACGTCAGTGCATGCGCAAAAAGCCCAAACCCATCTGCTCAAATGATGGCTACACAACCCCATAAAAAGACGAAGGCGTGAAGAACACCCGCCCCCCTCACGGTGGCAGCAGCACTGCAAAAATCTGGCCAGACGTATCGTGGGATGTGGTTCGTGCTTGTGCTAATAAGGGGTGTGTGCTAGGCGTGTGGCGTAAGCGCACGCGCGCAGCAACCCGCTGCATGCCCCTGCTACGGCTGAGTTTGGGACGAAAATTTCTGCGTAGCAAGCGCTGCCGGTTGGCGCTAGCGCCATGCGGCGCGCAAAAGAACAAAGTCAGTCTCGAGCTCGAGCTCATTGAAGAGCATGTAAAATTCACGCTGCACAGGAAACACAGAAGCGCATGCAAAAAAAACCGCCTCACAGAAAGAGGAGAAGGGTCAAAAGCGGGCAGGTTCGATCGCAAGAGGGAAAATGCAGAGACGCGTTTACCGCACCACGCCTTCACAGATAGTGACTGCTGCTCACGTTGCTTTTCCCAGAGAGGCAGTTTTGCAAATAGTCGTCGGGGGGAGAAAGTTCCTCCACTTTTAAACCCGCACGCCGCAAGCTGAGAGGCACAAGGCACAGCACGAACGCAGACGCTTGGACCGTTTGCGTTGCCGCGGCGACAGCAGCAGCAAAATCAGCAGCAACAACAACAGCAGCAGCAGCAAAATCACATGCAGCAGCAACAACAGCAAAATCAGCAGCAAAATCAGCAGCAACAGCAGCAAAATTAGCATCAGCAGCAGCAAAATCACAAGCAGCAGCAACAACAGCAAAATCAGCAGCAAAATCAGCATTAGCAGCAAAATCAGCAGCAAAATCAGCATCAGCAGCAAAATCGGCGCTGGGGGTAGAAGGGAGAAGCTCGAGGGGGCGCGACAAGAGCCGCCGAGAACCTCAGGAGATGAAACTAACCCATCAGCAGGTGTAAGGAGAAACACACCTGTCTGCAATGGTGGAAGCACCATCTCTGGATAGCCTATGGATGTAGTACAAACGCCCTGTCTTAGGCTTAAGGAGGCTGCTGATGGCAGTGACAAGGAACTGCACCCCTGAAGCCTCGTATATCAGATCGCTGCCAACTATGATGTCAAACGTCTTTGTATCCCCCTGTGCAGCATCCCATACACCCCGAAAGACGCAGGAAATACTGCAGAATGACACGCTATCCAAGCTGAACGCCGAGGCTCCCGCATTTCCAAGAAACACGACTCTACACGGCCGCACAGGTATAGTCACATACATCTACATATATATATGTACGGAGACACGTACAACTATATATCTATGTACAAAGATACGTGCATCTGTGTGTATGTGTGCATAGATATATATATTTATCTTGACATAGATCTATGTACGTAGATACATACATCTCTATATATGTGTAAATGTACATGGATACATACATCTACATGTGTATTATATATGTACACAGATACATACATCTCTATATGTGTAAATGTACACAGATACATGCACATGCACATACAAAGGATGCATATCCATGAAGCCCATGAGACGGGGGAGGAGGGGGGCGGGAGTCGCGCGGCTGTTTTTCTCGTTTCTTTAGAGGGTCGAACAGGAGAAGCAGCAGCTCGCATGACGCATCGCAGAGTTGGCGTACTGTTTCGTCCTTTGGCCAGGTGGACACATCGCACCAGTCGAGCCGCAAAACGCTGGCAACTGTGGGGACGACTGCCTCTGCTGGCAGCTGCTGATCAATGGGGAGGTTGTTTAAACGACAGTTGTGCCGCAGATTTTCGAGGGTTTGGGGGAAGACATCCGTGAAAGTGACGCTGGCGGGAGACACTTGCATGGCTGCGCATAGCAACCCCAAAACACCGCAGCCAGCACCTAGCTCGAGAACAGCCTTGTCTGCGAATAGAGTCTGCACAGAAAGACATGCGCATCGCCAGCAGCCTCTAGACCCTTCGCGAGCTGTTGCGCCGTTTCCCCTCGCCGCAGCGAGCAAGCTTGCAGGCGCAGCAGAAGCCGATTGAATCGAGGCAAGAGCCAACAAGCCGGCAAGGCAACAAAGAGCATAGCGACAGGCAGCGTCATGCAAGGGGGATGCGCGAAACTACGGGGCTGCTGCGGAAAGACAGACAATCCAATCGCTCCACACCAAGAGGAACTGCCGCTGCAGCTCTTCGCTTACGGGATTCTGCTGTGCAAGATGCGCTAGCCACTGCGCTCCCACCAGAGAAGATGCCCACAAAGCCACGCCTGCGAAAAAAGAAGGTCAAACAGCAGACAGACAACTTGCGAGGCTGTAGGAAGCTGTTGAGAAGAGGGGTCGCTCAGAAACAGGCAAGGCAAGAACGACGGGCAGTAAGCGTCGAGGGAGACGGCGCTGCCGTGGCTGCGGATATGGCTCGCTGTCTGGCTTGTTGTGGGGTTGTTATGTCTGCGTGTCTGTCACGGGGGGAGCTGGCTGGAAGAGCAGTTCGGAGGGGGCAGTTGGGAGTGGAGACATAGGCTGGGAAGGCAAGGATCAGGAAGCAAGGGGTGTTTGCAGCAGGAGCTTTCGCGATGAAGAGAAGAAAATCCTCACAGAGAGTGGTTCGCAGCAGCAGCTTTTTACCCTCGACGCCACTTCCACTCTCCCACCCGCCAGAAACACCTCACGCAAAACTGCAGCAACACACTCAGGTTTACTACTGACCTGTCGTATCGTCTTTCCAGGCATTGTTCACTGTAGAAAAAACCTCGCCCTTCCAATCCAACGCGATTTCGCGGCATCTGATCGAATAATTGCCAAACTGCAAGACATGCGTTGCACTGCTGGCCACTACAGCGCTCGCTGCTGCACCTACAACACTTCCCTGCTCTTGTTGCTGCTCTTGTTGCTGGAGTTTCTTTTCTCTTGAAAGGCCATTCGGCGCTTCAGCGGCTGCCATATGCGCCTTCCCTGTCGGCTTCAGAGGATCCTTCTCCAGCTGTGCAGCAGAATGGTGCTCTAAGAGCAGCTGCAGGATGTCACTGTCGCCGGCAGTAAATGCCTCGGAGAGCGCAGATTTTCCAAAATCGTTCTGTCGCAGCACATCAACGTGAAGTCGGCAGCTGCAGCTTTCCGCCGGGATAGCTTTCGCCGCTACTTCTGCTGCTTCTGCCTCTGCTTCTGCTGCTTCTGCCTCTGCCTCTGCCTCTGCTGCTGCTGCTTCTGCTGCTTCTGCTTCGTTGTCTGGCCGCTTGTCTGAGGCTGCTGACCTGTGTAGAGGGCAGCTGCTGCGCTGCTGCGCCTCCTCCCGCAAGAGCAGCTGCAGAAGCTCCTTTTGCTTGGTAAGAACGAGCCAGTGGAGGGCCGTGTTACCGCTTGTGTTGCCTTCTAGATCGACGCCTACGGGAGCAGCAACGAGAAACACACAAGAGACTCCTTCAAGGCGTGTCTCTTCTGAGTGAAGGGCTTTGTGTGCAAGGAGGTGGTCTACTCGATGCACGATGCCACACCCTGTCTCGCGCATCAGCGTTCCTCTAACTCTTGCCCCCCCGCTGGCGCATCCCTCAGCAGCGACTTATCCCCCCACTTTCCTCTCTCCCCGCCTTCTCTGCTCCCGTCGCTCTTCGTGCTGCCACCCTTCTAAGTGTGTGCCCCCTTTGCTATGGGGTATTCGGAAATCCATCAGCCGCCTCTTTGCCAGATTCTGAGCTGCGTGAGGAGAGGGCGCCGTCTTAAACTTTGAGAGTCCGCTGTATGCGCAGCTACCTGGGGTCGTGCTGCTCCGCAGCCGCTGCTCGGCTGGTGCGTGCTGTTGGGTGTGTGAAGCAGCTTTCCTGCTGAAAACGTGGAGGTTCTGCCTTTCTGCAGCTTCAAATCTCCCTCACCTTGGCTTAGAAGGAAGCTCACGAGGTCCACGTGGCCGTTGGCTGCTGCATAGTGCAGCGCGGTATTACCGCGAGCATCTTTGAAGGCTGGCGTGAGAGGGAGCTGGTGCTCATGCAGCTGCTTCTGCTCGAGCTGCTGCGCGAGCTTCTTCGCCCTTTCAAGGACCTGGACGTACTCCTCAGTTTGCCCCGAACGAGCTGCATCTTCCCAGTCTTCGATGAGGTTTTCTGCAGCCGCGGCGAGATCGGCGGCATCTGCCTCTGCAGCAGAGGCTGGAGCCGCCATGGCGTCAACTTGAAGGCTGCAGACAGTCCGCTCAGTGAGCAAATGCCTCAAGGGGGGGCAGCGAGCGCGTGGGAGCAGGAGGCCCCCCGAAGATGCGAGAGAAAGGGGGTAAGGAATATATTGAAAGTAGGGAACGGATGGGTCAAAGGAGTCTTTCTGTTCATGAAAGGATGCTGGAAGGCGCGTTTTTTTTTCAGATCGCGATGCAAACCGTCCTTCATGATGGGGACTTCGGCCCCGTCGGCGCCAGCGAGGGGCTGCAGCCCCTCAAGGAGGCGACTTGCGCATGCGCTTTTTTTCGCTGCAGCAGCGAAAAAAGCACGCAAACGTTAGTTGGGAAGCATTGAAAGGGGCGTTGGTTCATGGAAAAAGCGCGAACCTGAAGAGTGCAGTCGCTTGCATCTGTCCAGACACCGCAGCGGCTCGTCAGTTAACGCCCTCCTCGTGTCACACACAAAGCTGAACCCTTGCCCCCTTCTCCCTCCCCCGCCGTAACGGCGGTGATTTTCAGAAGCGGCAAGCAGAAGGGGTCTCAAGAGAAAGCCTGGCTGCCTTGGATAATGTTGAAGAGGGAAGCGGGGGAAAGCGGAGGAGGGGCGGCAGAGTCGCCCCTGCAAGATCTCTACAAGATGGTGAATGCCCTTCTTCTTTTTTCCGCCGTCCCTGTTTTTCTTGTGGCCGTCCCTGTTTTTCTTGGAGCCGCCACTCTCTTTCTTCCTGCCCCTCCTCCGACCTGCTAGCCCTTCTTGCCGCCTGTCTGCTGTCTCTGCAGGGGGCCGAGCTGCAGCAGCAGCACGAGGTATTGGTGCAGCAGCTGGGCAAGATCGGTCAGTCCATACACCGCAGCGCTGTCGCCGCGAAGAGCGCAGAAGCCGCTGTTGCCTACGTAAGTGTGACGGGACCCCTATTCCAGCATGCAACCGAGCAGCTGCAGACTTTTTCCATGCTTCCTCGGCTCCATGTGCTGCCCTGCATGCATGCGGCAGATCAACGAAGCGCGCTCTGACGCTAAGGTCTATCGACAGATTGCTCGGCTGTAAGCGGGAGAACACGCACTCCTCTTCCTGCTGCACTGGTTCTCTCTCAAGGGCAGAGGCGGAAAGAAGGCCTTTCTCCTCGTCCACCCAAACGCTGCTTCCCTTGCCACTGCCGCTGTTAGCGCGTTTCAGCGGCTTCTACTCGCTGCTGTTGCTTGCTGCTGTCGCCTTTTGTGAGTTTTGTGCTCGAGCCGCGGGAGTCGCTCGTGGAAGACCTCAAGGAGAGGGCTGAGCGCTCAAAATCCGACCAAACGCAGCTAGCCGTAAGTGTTTCCTGCTTAGCGTGCGAGTTTCTTAGGCGCGTTTCTAGGCAGTCAGACAGCTCTTGCCAACCGACAGTCCAGCTAGCTGCTCCTGCCGAGCGTTCGCGTTCGCGTGGATGCGCCTACGCTTTCCCTTCCTCCTTTCTCCCCCTTCGCGGTCGCATGTGTCTCTGCCGCCTCCACCCCCGCTGCCTTCCTCCTCTCTGCCTTGCTTAGGCCGTCCGAGAGCAGCTTCTCGCGAAGCTTAGCAGCGTTCAGGAGCAGAGCAAGGACGTCATGCAGCAGGCAAGCACGGCAGCTAGCTGTAGAGTTGGGTTTGGCGGCCAGGTGCACGCGCTGCTAAGTAGAATGTGTCTCTCTTCGACTTCATGATGGTGCGACGCCGCCTTCTTCCCGTTTTTTTCGCGTATTTTCGCAGGTCAAAAAAGCGGTGGAAAGCGGCGCATGGCCGGGAATTCCCACGTAGAGTCTGCAATGTACGCAAAGGCGCGGGTGGAATGGGGGCGGAGGGGTGTTCGACCGCTGTACGTACACCGCAGCGCCTCGAGGACAAGTATTGCATTCTTAGGCTTAGCGGGAAACCGCCAGTTGTGTGTGTATGTTGCGTTCCTCTCGACTGTCTCGTTGCCAGCAGCGGCGGAGGGGCGTCGCCAGAAGGGGTTGCCTCTAGGGCGGCACTCTTCTTGCCATAACTTCCCCTAACTGCTCTCTGTACGTTTCACAAGATTGGGCTCATAGCTTTTGCCTTTCGGGGGAGGTAGATGCAAGTCCGTATTAGTTCATTCATGCGGAGTGATTCGCAGCCGCACTACGCCCCTCGCCAGCCGTTTTCGCCCCCTCTCCGGCTGCCTCAAGCTGTGCATTGCAGCTTAGCCTTCGCTCCTCCCCCCGCCCCCGTAACGTCTTCTGCCTCTCACAGTACCTCTCTCTCTCTCGTGCGGTGGCTTTAGAAGCACTGCGGGAGTGCCTAGACGCTCTACTCTTCTAAAAGACACACAGGGAACTAAGCCGTCCGTCAGGCGCTTCGATGCAACGCCCCCGGCTCGTGCTGCTGCTGCGCTATGCCCATCGCACGGACTTCTTGAGCAGCAGCAGCAGCCGAACCACCCCACCCAACCCCACCGCCATTCTCTACCACCGCGCACTTCAGCCAAAGTGCGCTGGAAGGCACTTTCTAACAGCCTGAATGTTTGGATTGGAGTCGATCGGGGGGTCTCGAATTCTGCAGCACCCGCCAATAGCAGAAACAGCAAACGCTCACTTTCATTTCGACGTTTAGCAGCCTGCAGGGCGTTTTCGGCGGAGTCGCCAAACGTACCGCAGCTTGTGGCCTGGCGTTTGATACTTGAACTTCTTCAGGTCGTGGCGAGAGACGTAGGTAATGGAGTAGCGCTTCTTGAATTGTTTTGCCGTCTGTGCGAAAAGACAGCAGCCACGTGCCGAAAGCGCGAGCCGGCGGGTGAAAAATGGCGAAACGAGGAAACAACATTCCCAGTAGTCACCGCTGCAACAAAGGCACCTTTAAAAGACTCATCGTAAGGACGCCAAAGAGGGCGCGGAAGAAGCCACCCTACCAACAAAAGACCCACCCAGGTGCCACGTAACACTCACACGAAGTGTATGTACACTTGAGCAAACCAGACAGTCCATCGCACAGTGCAGAAAATTCTCACCAAGTTGAATTTCACGCCGTTTCGGCCTTTCCGCAGGCGCTCCCATCCAAACCTGATGCATGCAACAGACGCACAAGACGCGGGGAAAAGAGAAAATAGGCTGAGAGGCGGCTTCGCTGTCAGCCCTGTGGACGGAAACGGGTGCACGGCTTCTAACGAGGGGATTTCGAGAAGTTCAAGTTGCATACATGCACGCCCAGAAGTGTATTTGCATACATGCTGCGCATAGAGGCAGCAGCACCCAAGCGAACGGCGGTGTACATACATGGAGGCTGCCTCTGTGCCGTCGTGGACAGGGGTGGAGTAACAAGTTTCGACCAGGGGTGTGGCGAGTAGAGAGCAGTGCACACCACATGCAGTCATTTACGCTCGAGCGGGGAGACATGCTTCAGCATAAGCTGCCACCCTTGGGGGCTGAACCTTCTTACCTGGTCAGTCTGAATCGGGTTAAAACCTTGGAGTGGTTCTTTGGCTTGAGACTTTTCCTCAAAAAATAAGACACGCGCGCTCTAAAGCGAACGCGCATCCAATTGATTCGCGTCCGATATGCGCGCTTACTTTCAAAAATCCAGCTGCAGCTGCCGCTAAGACTGCTGCTGCAGACAAAGGCAACGGGCAGCTCACTCCCTCGCGAGCTCACAGGCTGACAAGAAGCAGTCGGGAAAAACTTCCCAGAAGGCGGTGCGATACAGCCAGATCCCCGAGGTGTAGCTGCTCCTGCTGCTGCTGTTGCTGTTGCTCTTGCCGTTGCTGTTGCTGTTGCTCTTGCCGTTGCTGTTGCAGTGAAGAGAGACGACCCCGTCGCACTCCCCACGGCGAAAGCGCCTGCAATCCGGGGCACAAACAAACAGCAAAGGCGTGAAACAGCAGACATTGCTGTTGCTCCTGTTGCTGTGGCTGCTCTCCGTCTGCAGACGCTCAAGTTTTGCTCCTTCTGAAGAAGTGCTGTTTCCAATGCGACAGCCACGCACAGAAAAAGCCGCCGAGTCTGTTTGCCTCACGCATACACTAGCTGCTCGACCTCCATGTGTCACAGTGCAGGCCTAAACAAGTCGCCCTCCGTGAGGTTTCTCGGCAATTTTTCGCTGGCTCACGCTGCTTCCCCTTCCTTCGGTAGCAGCAACTTCCTCACGAGTTCAACTTTTGTGAAAACAGCCTTTTCTGTGGCGCGAGTCGGTTCCGCCGGTTTCTACGCCCCCTATGTGCTATCTCTGCTCTTCGGCTGTTGTGTGCACTCCCATTTCTGAGACCTCATGGGCCGCTGTGTGAGCAGTGTCATCTCAGCCTTCGTGTGAATGCCGCTTCCCCAAGACGCAGGAGAGCTGCTGCTGCTTCGCGCCTTGTGGACTGCAGGCGAGCAGCGAGTGACGGCTGAAATCCATCGAAGAAAGCCACCTGCAGCCCAGGGGGCCGCGCGCGAAGCTCCGAGAGTCCAAGCGCATGCAACTCGGCTGTAGGCGCAGCGCAGCTGCGCCTTGGGGCTGTCTGCTCAAGCGATCTGCCATCTCGGCTGCTGTTTGAAGTCGAGAAACGGTACTCAATGGCCAGCAGACCACATTCAACGCAATTTAGGTGCTCAATTGCCTGCCTATTTGCCCCAGGGTTCAGCAGCCATGCCCGGCACCGCGGGATGCGTGGGAATGTAGTGGTCGCTTCTTCAACCGATCGGAGTCGATTCTGAGCTTTACTGCGTTTATCTTTCTTTTCTTGTTCTTTTCTGGCAATCAGCTGGAAGCCTTGCTTGCTACAGGCCAGTTCGCCTACAGGGACGCGAACTGCCATCGGCTCGTTTCTGAACTTTGAAGAGCAGGGCATCTGCCGCCTCTGCCCGGGTCCACTCCTGGGTGTCTGTGGCAGTCTTTTGTTGATTTTCCTCCTATAATTGGGAAATGCCAAAGTTTTATTGCGAGTACTGCGACATTTACCTCACGCACTCCTCCCCTGCGGGACGGAGGCAGCACGCGAGTGGTCGCCGGCACATTAACCAGAAGGTGGAATACTTCCAGAGTGCGTGACTTCCTGCCAAACCATCACTTTCCCGCAGAGATACAGGGGCATCTTCCGACCGTGTGATTGCTCGGGTGCCTTCTGCCTAAGCCCATGGGGTCCTCCCATGAAGTTTTTACTGACTAGAAATATGCATCCTCGATTTTCGTGCTTAGTTTTGCCAGTGCGTATCAATGCGGGTTGGGGAGCCGATTGGGGCACCTCGAGAGGCTGATGGTCCGATCACATGTGGGGGACGTCAGGCGTAGCTTGCCTCCTATTGTGGTAGTTCGCTTTGCTGGTGGGAGTGTTTCTGCAAAGTGTCTGAACGGTTTTTGGGTTGCTGTGTTTCGCCGTGGTGCAGATCTTCTCAGGGAGGGAAACTTTCAGGCACCCGCATTCATTGACCAGGCTGTTGCCATTCGTGCGAGTGCGTTTTCACTGAGCTGCTGGTTTCACGCGTGGCGTCGTTGCGGATGTTGCTGCTGCCGTTTCTGCACCTGAACGTTGCTGCATGCGTGTTTGGAGCACTTGTGTTTGCGCTTGCTTGTCCTTTGGCTGCACAGTTCAAATTGTAGCTAACACGCCACCAGGTGAGTTTGCCACAAGCCACATGGGCAACTGCACCAAGGTTCGGGAGCAGAGAAGAGGAGCACCCCGAAGGGATGGGGCCCCAACTCGCGGAGGCTACGATGGAGAGGATAGGGGCCCCCCGCGATTCCCCCCGGGGGGCCCCATGGGCCCTATGGGAGGCATGGGGGGGGCCCCCCGCATGGGGGGGCCCCCGCTACCCATGCGGCCTCCCATGGGAATGCCCATGGGAGGGCCTCCTATGGGAATGCCCATGGGAGGGCCTCCGTATGGGGGCCCCCCCCCTTTCCTAGGGGGTCGATAAAGTGCTTATCTTGGTGAAGCAGACTGCAATAGCCTTCTTTTCCCATGTGGCAAACTGGCTAAGTTTGGCCTTCAACGATTTCCTGCCGCCGACGGCTCGCATGCTCTGGTGGGGTTGCTCTTTTGGGGTCACTTTAGAGTGAAGAAGGGCAGGACCAGTGGGCACTTTTCCCTTTTTGCCGATGCTTACCACTCGCCGCTCCGTCCCTCCTGCTTAGGGGCAGCAGCGGCAAAGCCGGTAACAGCAACGTCTGACCTTGCAGGAGCAGAACTTGGTACCTTTTAACACGGCACAGCTATTATCTGTCACTCGACCTCGTTGTCAGTGCCTTTGCCCCTCACGTGCTGCTCCACATTATTTCCACTGGCATTTGGAGGACTTAGCTCTGACGTGTCTCGTATTTTTATCAAAGGCAAAAGAGGGGTGTGTGGTACCCGGTGCGGTCGTACGGAGCTCGAGTTCTCTTCGTTGCACACACAGAATTTAGGACCGTCGATCTGGCAGATATCTGGCATAGGCCTAATGCCAGTCTTTTCGGCCTTCATTGAAACTGAAACACTTCTAAGCACCTCCCGATTCCGTACGAACGACTTCGACCACTTCGGGAGAACTGCGAGCTCTGGTTTTGGGGTCGTGTGGCGACGTGGAGCACAAGACGTGGTGTGCCCCATCAATTGCTTCGTGATGAGAAACACGCGATAATCTGTGACGAACGCCTTTCCGCTTTCTGACGGTAATTGGTCATGAGTCATGCGCCGTCGTATGCTTTCTCCGTCTGGCATTGGTATCATGGCAGCGTTAACCGCCTCTTGACACCAGGGTGTCCAGGTATATTCGCGAACTTTGCTGCGCGTGTTCGCTTATCTTAAAGATCAAAAGGTACCGTACCGGCTGTATTTAATGCTTTATTCTTTAAGGGAAACAGGGAAGGCGAGTTTCTCCTCCTTGAGTAAGGGAACTGAGCCGACACACCACTGGTCGAAGGACACTTTTTTGGATGCTCAAGCGAAGGTTCAAATGACACTTGCTATAGGACACCACGAGGAAGGTTAGATCCCTGTCTGCATATTCGTGCTTACGAAGGCCTCCTAATGCACAGGTCACCATGTTCGGCGACTTTCTTCGCGCGAGAGCATGAAGGAGAGGGGGCGCGCTGCAGATGAAACCCCACCTTTGCCCAAACAAGTACATTTAGCACCTTGAATTTCCTATGATTGGCTGCGTGGGCGGAGAATAAAGAAGCATTTTTGTATGCAGCAAGACCTGTTTGTGCTAGTGAACACTTTTAAGCGCAGGCCCATGTGACCCTTCCTAGTAGCTCTGTAGCTTGACCCGGTTTCTTGCGCAGTTTTTTCTTGACACTACTTAGAAATGTGCTAACTGCATTTTCTCAATGTGATTTTTTGTTCGGGTTTCGCCACAGCTACCCTTTAGGATGAAGCATTGTCGCCTCAATTAGAGATCGTGCTTAGTGGCTAAATTGTATACCGTCATCGAGTCCTCTTGCTAATTAGGTACGGTGTGTACCGGTGATTCAAAAGGCTGGTACCTTCAATAAGTTTCAAACGGCAGATACTATCTCTTAAATGCATTTTAGCCCCCTCATACGCAACCGGCATCTGCAAGATCGTCGGCAAAAAGGAATGCTTCTAAGAAGAGCGAGGAAAACTCAGCCAACAAGAACAGAGGAAACAGCTGTAACGAGAATAGCAGAGGGCGAGACATGAGAGAGAGCCGTTTGTTTTTGCGTTCGAAAATGTAAAGAAACCACACATTTTAAGCACTAGTTCACGAGAAACGGCGCTGCATGAGCAGCCCCTTCGTGTCACCCACGAGTTGATGAAGCTTTTTCAAGCAGAAGAGCACTGCTTTATTGGGCCCCATTTTCAGTGCATGAGAAAATCAACTTATAACGAGTGCCACTTTTGGCTTAGGGCCTAATTAGGGATGCCCTGACAAGGCGTATCTCCATCAGGGGCCAAGGGCGTAGGGCGGGCAAGCACACACGACAGAGCCCAGTTGAATGCACATGCCTTGAGAGAGAGAGTTAAATCTATTTGGGAAAAATAGGTACCTTTGGCCGGTAAGCAGTGTCTCTGCTAGTAGAGCACCATATGCTGCTCCTGTGGACACATTCTACCTGGATGCTCGTCGTGACGGCAGCTTGACGATGTGCGCCAGCCAGGGATGTGTAACCCTTGTAACTCGTCGCCGGCGTGTTCCTCGTAGCAGCAGCGCCGGGCGCTGGCGCAGCGGGTGGAGCAAAACTTGGTTACCTTTTGCTCTTCTAGTTATATTACAAAATTAGCGAATAATCGGCTGTTGTTTGTCTCCGCTGCTCATGTTTATAATTTGCTGCAAGAATGCGTCGTTGGCTCCTGCGGGCCATATCTTGCTTCCCTTTGTGCATTTGAATGTGGAGGGCTGCCCGGATTGCTTGCAGCGCAGAGTGTCCATGCACTCTAGTAATGCCCTTTTGGCTTCCCTATAGTGGGAAAACCAAAGGGGTCAAGACGGACTTCCTAGATATTAGGAGGCCTTTACAAAGGATAAGATTTAAGTTAGTATAATACGAAGTTTGCAAACGGGTAAGGGGCTATTTGAGGGTCTCTCTCTACGAAGGCCCTAAACAGGTAGATTCAGAAGGGCACCCAGCGCCTGCCTACAAAGGCTATACGCGAAACACCCTCGTATAAGCAAGTATCTATGTGCATGCCTCTTTCCAACCAAACGTTCTGCAGCGTGCAGTGCTAGGATAACGAACACTCACCCGAAATTCCAGTGGTTCGCCCACCCCAGCCTTTCCGTCTCATTGCCCGTAGGAGCGAAAACGCCCAGATTACCTTCTAATCATACTGGTACAAAAGTAAACAGAAGAAGGTTCGACATATTTCGATGCCCCTGTTGTTTTCTTCAGCGCACAACACTGACCACCGCCCCGCCCTCCGCAGCAGGTCACTACAATCCGTGGTACAGAGTCAATCAGAAATCGTTCACATCATGAAATGTGTGGAAGTAACACCTTTTTTATTGACCCTTGGCTATGCAAACCCATGGCACAGAGGACCTTCTCTGTCAGACTCGTCAGTCTTACAGGTGACCCCAGCCCCCCACGGGCAGTCAGTGCGGCAGCACGGAATCATGGGATACTGAATGTTTTCGGTCATCATTTATGGCAAATTCAGTGATACAACTGGTCGTTTTTTATCCTTGGCTAGGAATCGCTTTGTCGATCACTTCCTCTGATCGTCGGCTGCGCTCCTGGCGGGCGAAGGGAGCACGCGCGCGCAGACCATCAAATTTCACTCCTGCTGACGGCGAAGACCTCTTCTGTCTACCTGAGAGGCAGCAAGTATACCTTTTTGCATCAATTTACAAGATATAATTCAGGCTGTGTCACAGCAAGCGCTGCCTCCTCGAACACCATCCCGCCATAGCGAATCGTCCTCCGACTGTCCTGTATAGCCACAGACGCCAAACTTGCAGATGGCAAGACATAGCGGCCACAGCATTCCACAAGGGAAAGAGCAGCAGCATCAAAAGCCGCACCAGCATTGCGAACTCCATCACAGCAGCTCACCAAGCAGCTGTCCATACGCCCGAAAGGGCAGGCGGAGGCTCACAGCGGGCACAAGCCCTCCGATGCACCACCCCCCCGTCGTGAATCCGAGCACACCACAGCAACAGCGTATTCAGGAGCACCTGCAGAGGCAGCAGTGTGACGACGTTGCAGATCTCCCCGAGCAGCTCATGGCTGCAGCTGCAGTCGAGCCAGACTGGGAAGCGGAGGACGCAGCAACCAGTGGATATGATGCGGCACCCCCAGCAGCTGGAGGAACCGCCGCTTTGTTTCGTCAGGAAGCGCATGCACTGACAGCCACGCGCAGCACCAGCAGAAGCAGCAGTACCATCAGCACGAGCACCTGCCAAGACAGCGCGGAAGAAGACATAGCCAGCAGTCCCGCGCTCGCTGTTTCTGCCGCTGTTGCTCCCTTTGCCGCCACTTCGCCTGACGAGTTCAGTCCTCCTACCGCTGTGTCTGCACCCGCTGTGGAGAAACACAGACCGCGGATGCGCCACAGGCGAGCTCGCGTTAAGGGGCATCAGAAGCTCCCGTTACCCATGCAGGAGGCAGCAGTGCAGCAACAGCAGCGAACTTCGATCAAGTGCGGAGTGGGCAGTTCACATAGCCGCGAAAACGACGCGCAGCAGCTCAACAACGCGCAACAGAATCGCCTTTCGAGATACAGAAGACCTAGGAACCCCCGAAAGGCACAACAACGAGATGCGCGATTTCTGCTGCAGCCAAAAGAGAAAACACCATGGAAGCGGCATCATCAACAGCACAGTTTGGAGCTGCGAACTCCGCTTGAGCAGCTTTCTGGAAAGGCGCCTTCGTCCCCAGAGCAACAACAGCAGCAGCAGCAGCAATCCCTACACGCTTCTACGCGCATGCAGCAACGCGAGATTCGCCTGCAGTCAGAAGACGCCCCCCAACAACTGTACCACCAACAGCAAGAGCAACAGCAACAGCAACAACACCAACTGTACCAACAGCAACAGCAACAAATGCACCAACACCAACAACAACTGCACCACATAGAACAACTGCAGCACCAACAGCAGGAGGATGTCTCGCAATGCCAGCACCCCCAAGACAGAGCGTTGCAGCAGACTTCGTTGCTGCTACCACCGAACCCACACCAGTCGCCTCTTCCTAACCCTAAAAAGCCTCCGCATATCCAAGAGGCGATGTGGCAACTGCATCATGGGGAGGCTGAGGGCAGCTGCAGGGGATCTCAACGCAGGGAAGGCATTGCCTCGCCATCGCAACAACATCAGCAAGAACAGCCACGCGTCTTGCCGCACTGGCTAGCTCCTTTGATGGAGGCAACGGAGGAGGAAGTCATTGTCACTGGAGGGCAGTCTGGAGGCGGCGGAGTAGGTGAGATCGCAATGGCTGCCTTGTCGCGTATTTCGTCTGGCTCCCTCCATACGGCGCGAAAAACGTTTTCCTTGCATGCTGCATCCTTCCTTTGCCCCCTTCCCGACACTTTTGCCTCTCTGGCACTCGCACGGTCTTGTTTTCTGTGGCATCTTCGGGTACAGCCTGTTGTGCAAGCGGAAAAGGGGAGGGGGAAGGGAGGAGGAAAGTTTATTTCCTCGTCCTTTGACGCCGTGCGCGTCGTGCTCTCCCTTTTCTTCTTCCTTTTGGCGCTTCTTCTTGCGTGGAGAGGTCTACACTGCAGTGCTCTAGCATGAGACCTTTGCCTTCTCCTCATGCCTGCCACACCCCCCTTAGCTTCCACGTGCCAGGCAGCTGCGCGTGTGCTGCACTTTCTTCCTGCCGTGCCTCAATTCTTCGGCGCCATGCTGTCTTCAAATGCTGTCTGCGGCTTGCCAGATCTGGCGGCTGCAGCGCTTTTGCACGGATGCTCGTGCAGATCTGTGCAGACATTGTTTTTTGGGGGAGCTGTCTGCCACAACTCGCAGTGCTCGTGTGCCTCTTCTAGTGCGTTTGGCAGGCTGCCTCGGGAAGCGGGGGATACTGCCTTGGGAAAAAGCCGTTCTGCTGCCCTCAGAGTTGTGTGCAAGCGCGCATGCACCTCCTCTTGAAGGCGCTATTGTGCGCAACGCAGGAGGCACTGACCTTTCTAGCGCCACACGCCCACTCGAAGGATCACTTTGTGTCTTCTCCTGCTTGCGCAGGAAGGAGGTGGCTGCCCCCAGATTTGACGCTCGATGCCTTTGTGGTGCAGCTCGTCGGCTCTGGCATGTAAGCACTGTGTTGCTGCTGCACTGTGTTGCTGCTGCACTTTGTTGCCACTGCTCTCCTGCCGTAGGTAAGGCGTTGCTGCCACTTGGCATGTGGCTGCTCTTCTCTGCTCTTCGCTGTTTCTCGCTCTGGAGGCGTTTTTGCATGTGTTCAATGCCTTGCGTGTGGCGCCTCTTTACCGAATGCCTTCTACGCCCTTTTCTTCGAGTGGCTCGTACTGCGTCACTTCCACCCATGCAGCGCGCCAATCGTCCTTTGCCTCGGCGCGTGGCTGCGTGTTTGCGGCTGCTGCTGCTTTCTGCGTTGGTGCTGCATGTCGCGCAGCCTGCCCTACTCTCGCTGCTCCACAGAGGGAGATTTCTGCTACCTGTCGCTCTTGTTCCAGCGAGAGGCAGAGCTTACGGCGAACTTGCAGTCTCAAGAGCGCAGAAACATCCGCCGCATGCGCTTAGGGTTGTCGAACGGCATCACTCGCACGGTCTCGTGTTACGACTTCCAGCAACAACCCTCTAAGGCGTCTGCAGAGACAAGCAGCAGCAGCGCTAAGCAGCAGCAGCAGCACGCGGAAGCGCAGAATGAAAGCCTCAACACCATCGGGGAAGTCTTTTCAGGCTTTTTCCAGTGGCTTTCATGCCCAGGAGTCAACGCCACTACACCCCAGCCCTCCCCCTCCCCCACCCCACAGCAGCAAGAAGCCGAAGGGGAGGGGGTTGCGCAGCTCCAAACAAGCCACAGTCTCCTGGCGCAGCAGCAACTGCGACAGCAAAGACAACAGTTCAGCGACGCCGTCTGCAGAAAGGCGAAAATGTAGCCGAGAAACTCACACGCCAAGCTCTGCTTCTTCCGCGAAACCTCCAAGAAATTGACAAGTGGCCTTTGGCCTAGCGCCCTCTACAGCATACACCGAGCCTGAACAGCCATGCGCCACTCCGAATGTGACATGCATGCATACTTGCATGCATACATGCATGCATACATGACGCATTTAGAGTGTCGTGACACCCCACGTGTGCAAAAAGATTCGAATATTCTGCATTCTCGCGCCCTCCCCCTTTCCCCCCCCCTAGAACGTCGTGTCTTCTTCCACATAAAAGAACGACTGCACCCACCTCCCGCTACTCGGCTTCTCGCTGGCTGTCCTCTGTTGATCCTCTCAAAACCGACGCACGCGGCAGCCTTCCCCCGCAACGCATCACTGCATGGGCAGCACAAGCCCGCTGTCTAGGCAGCTACGCGTCGCAGCAAGCAGCACTGCAGCAGCAGATCCATCCAGCTGAACTCCGTGCGGAGGCAGCGGCAGTCAGCGGTGCGGGCTGCTTGCGGAGGTCCTCTGTAGCTAGCTAGCTAGCTAGCGAGCAAGCAAGCGGTCGAGACGGTATACATCTATGTGTAGACGGCCAGCTACCCGTAGGGCCACCCATTTACACACAGGATAGCTAGCTAGGCAAACGAACCGAAACAGCCAGACTTGGAGGCATCTAGAGGCACTACAGCTGCACGACCAGCTAGCTACGCAGCTGCTCGCCGACTCACTTGGATGCCTAATGTGCGTATGTCTATCCACACAGCAGCGTAGCGGCTGATCCACCCCCTGCCTAGTGAACTACGTACCCACACACAGTACGCCAGCTGCTCACGTGGTGGAGCAGCTGGTTAACCACTCCTCCGCTTACGCCGAAAAGGCAAAAGGCAAAAATGCAACGAGGGGTCGAGGGAGTCCACCCGTCGAGATCTGCTGCGCAGATCTTCCTTTACCGGCTCAATACAGAGTACACCTGTTTACCTCTCTCGCAATCTTGCGAGGCAGAATCTCGCTGCACAGCTGGCTAGCCCTTGGCTAGCCACACCGTTCGAACGCGTGTTTAAGGCGGGCCAAGGAGCTTTGCAAAGCCGCAGCGCTCTCAGAACGAACAAGGCTTTCTGCAAAACGCAACGAGAAGCCTCGGCTGCTACGCTTTCTGCAGCAGTGCCTCCTCGCTCCCCCTTCCCCTCTCTACGTCTCGCGCTTCAAAGACACGCTACTGGCATGGAACCCGCTTTGCCGCTGCTGCTGCTGCTGCTGCTGCTGCTGCAGTGACGTAAGTTCCTTTCGGTAGTGGTGCTGCTCCTTCAGCATAAAGGCACTAGATCGAGCAATAGCAGCAGCGAAGGCATGCGGAAAGAGGCGGGATGCAGTTTCAGCTGAGAACCAGCTGCACACGAGAAGAGCAGCACGGCCCCAAGGAGGCAGCCAGTAACCGCATTCCTTCTTGCCTGAGCAAGTTGCGTTTTTATTGCTGCTGCTCTCGTTCTGCGGAATTCTTTGAGCTGACGATGCCTTGATAAACCTACCCCCTGGCCCTCTTAGCCGAATGAAAGTGCTCTGCCGCTGCTGCTGTTGCTGGTGCTCACTCTTGCACGCGGGGCGCTGTTGTTGCTGTTGCTGTTGCTGTCGCTGTCGCTGTTGCTGCTGCTGTTGCTGCTGCTGTCGCCGTCGCTGTTGCTGTCGCTGTTGCTGCTGCAGAAGCCCCTCCGGCAAGTGTTGCCGGAGTGCGCGAAGCTGCAGCCGCTCAGCGTCTGAGAGGGTGGAAAGCTGCTGCTGCTGTTGCTGCAGCAGCAGCAGCAGATGTTTTTGCTTCGTTTCTGGAGCAAAGGTAGCCTGCACATACAGGCCGCTGCTGCCGTTTCCCCCCAACGCTTGGATGCTGCTGCTGCTGCTGCCGCTCGCATCCGGAGCTCCCAAGGTAATTTTAAGCACGACAATCTGAGCTTCTTCTTCTGCTGCTGCAGTTGGGTAGGGCCAAGTCTCCTCGGCAAGCCACTTGTCGGCTGCAGAGGCTGCATGCAGCAGCCCCCCGTTGTGCTGCTGCTGCTGTTGCTGCTGTCGCGGCAACCGCTGGGGATCTTGCCGCAGCAGCAACGTCTGCAACAGCAGCTGCTGCTGCTGCTGTTGCTGCTGGTACTTGCGCTCTTCCTGCAGCAACAGACTCTCGCATCGCAGCCTCTGCTGCAGTGCCTCCAGCTCGAGCTGCTGCTGCTGCACAACTCTCCGCTTCTTCACGACGATCTGCTGCTGCCGCAGTCTCCGCTTCCTCCACGCGCGAACACTACGCCTCTTGAGGCAGCTTCGCTGCACGAGGCTGCTGCTGCTGCTTCGACTGCTCCTCGAGCTGCCGTTGCTGCTAGGGGTCGCTGCTGCAGCCGCCACTGCGGCTTTCACCTCACGCGCTGAAGCGCTCGAATCGCAACGTGACAGCCTACACCTCCCCCCCCCCTTTCCACCTGTATCTCCATCTGCAGATACTGTGCCAGAGCTCCCCCGCAAGCTCCTCATGTTGCAGTGCGAATAGCGAAGACGGCAGCGGCCGCCTTCGCTGCTCCTCAGTGCATACTTTTCCAGATGTCTTCGTTGTTGCTCTTGTTGCTGTTGCTGTTGCTGTTGCTGTTGTTGTTGTTGTTGCTGTTGTTGTTGCTGTTGCTGTTGCTGTTGCTGTTGCTGTTGCTGTTGTTGTTGCTGTTGCTGTCGCTGCTGCTGTTGTTGTTGCTGTTGTTGTTGCTGTTGTTGTTGCTGTTGTTGCTGTTGCTGTTGTTGTTGCTGTTGCTGTTGCTGTTGTTGTTGCTGTTGTTGTTGCTGTTGCTGTTGCTGTTGCTGTTGTTGTTGCTGTTGTTGTTGCTGTTGTTGTTGCTGTTGTTGCTGTTGCTGTTGTTGTTGCTGTTGCTCTTGTTCTTGTTGCTGTTGCTGTTGTTGCTGTTGTTGCTGCTTTACGGCAGACTGCGGTGCAGCAGACCGATGCTGCTGCCGCTGCTGCCGTATACGCAGCGGCTGCAGCTGCCAAGGCTTTTTAAAATCTCTGACCTCATGCAGCAGCTGCTGAGACTTCCATATCTCCCCCTGCCTCTCCCCCTGATGCTGCTGCTGGAGGAGGTAAGCCTGCTGCTGCAGCAGATTCTGCTTGGCTAAATCGCGCAAGGAGTGGAGAGTTTGCAGGTTAGGCAGCTTGCTGCCGATGCCATGCACACTGTTACTGCGAGGCACGCCGTTGAAGCAGCCACCACTGAGCCTGCTGCCATCGCTGCTTTTGAGGCTCGTGCAATCCTCGCTGCTGCCAATCGCCTGCGGCACGTGATGCTTCCGCTTCTGCTTCTGCTCCAACCGTGACTGCACTAGTGCATCAAACAGGAACTGCTGCTGGCGAAGTCTAGCGGCAGCAATTCTCGCTGCCTGCCTCAGTTGCTCCTGCGCAGCTTCCTTCCACAGCCTACAGACTCCATGAACAACTCCAGAGGGATACACCTGCGGCAACACGTCAGCTGACAGCGCGATTTCCCCTAAACAGTCTTGCTGCTGCTGTTGCTGCTGTTGCGGCTTCTCCTCTTGCTGCTGTTGCTGCTTCTCCTCTTGCTGCTGTTGCTGCTTCTCCTCTTGCTGATGCTGCTGCTTCTCCTCTTGCTGCTGTTGCTGCTTCTCCTCTTGCTGATGCTGCTGCTTCTCCTCTTGCTGATGCTGCTGCTTCTCCTCTTGCTGCTGCTGCTGCTTCTCCTCTTGCTGCTGTTGCTGCTTCTCCTCTTGCTGCTGCCCCATAGCAGCACACGGGGTGGGAGGCAGCAGCAGCAAATCCTCACTTTGGGGGTTACACCCGTGGAAGTTGCAGTCTGAGAATTTGCCGCAGCTACCGCTGTTGTGTGTCTGTGTGTGTGTGTGTCTGTGTGTGTGTGTGTCTGCCTGCCGCTTTCTCGAATCCTCACACGCGTCTTCCCGTGGAGCCTGCTGCTTGGCAAGGGATTCTGTGCGTCAGTGTGTGTGCGTGTGTGTGTTGAATTTCTGGCTGCGTCCTCTGCAGCTTCAGCAGCTTCAGCAGCTTCTGCAGCCTCGCGTTTTTAGAGCAGTGCCGCTGGAGGTCGAGATCGTGTCGTACGAGGCGCTGTTCAAGTTTTAGCGCGCCGTCGAACTGCAGCCATGAAGCGTAGCACAGACAGCATGCCACTGCACTACTACTCTCTGTCAGGAGCTGTCCTGGCTGCTGCGGCGAATGCCAAAAGGGTGCAGCTGCGTTGGTTGCATGCATGCATGCATGCATGCATGCACGCAGCGCAGCTGCCCCCTTAGAGCTGAGCAGCAGCAGCAGGGACTGCAGGGGCGGCCTGCCGCCGCTGCTGGTGTCTTTGACTCTGAAAAAACTCGGAGATTTAGGTGTTTTTGAATCCCTCACAAACTTTATCAAGCGGGAATAGAGCAGCCGCAACACGGCGAAGATCGACCCCTGCCGCTCACACAAGCGACGGCTGAGCGGCTGTGTGGCAGAGTACCCCCAAGCCAACTGCGGCTGCGACTCCGCCATTCTTTTCGCGCCGCTGCACGCAGCGGCTGCGAAAAAGCAGCGCGTGCAGCTGCAGCGGCAGGAGGAGTCTTCGGGGTAGCTGCTGCAGCCTCGACTGGAAACCACGACGTCTTTTCCTGCAGCCTCGGAGATTCGCAAGGCTGCTCGCTGCTCTTCGACTGTGCCTGCGCTGTGGCAGCAGCAGGCACTTCGCACTGCGCTGCACTGCGCTGCATTGCACTGCGCCGGAGCTGCAGGAGAAAGAGCTTCCAACAGCAGCAGCAGCAGCGACAAGCGCAATGCAGCAGCAGCAGCAGCAGCAGCAGCAGCAGCGCAAAGCCACCGCTGCTGCTGCTGCCAGTTTGAGCAGCAAAAAAACTGCTGCAGTGCCTAACAGCAACCGCAGCGGGGGTAGCTCTTCCGCTGCAGCAGCAGCCTCCACGCAGCAGCAGCAGCAGCAGATACACCAGAGACGGCCACAACAACTCAAAAAGCATCAGACATTCCAAGTATCCGACGTTCCTGAAGACGTGGGTGTTGTTGTTTTTTTTATTGTTGTTATTGCTGCTGCTCTTGTTGGTGCTTTTGTTCTTGTTGTTGCTACTGCCGTTATTGCTCTTGCTACTGCTTTTGTTCTTGTTGCTACTGCTGTTATTGTTGTTGCTACTGCTTTTGTTGTTGTTGCTACTCCTCTTGTTGTTGCTACTGATCTTATTGTTCGTGCTACTGCCGTTATTGCTCTTGCTACTGCTTTTGTTGTTGTTGCTACTGCTGTTGTTATTGCTACTCCTCTTGTTCTTGCTGCTGCTGTTATTGTTCGTGCTACTGCCGTTATTGCTCTTGCTACTGCTCTTGTTCTTGTTGCTACTGCTGTTATTGTTCGTGCTACTGCCGTTATTGCTCTTGCTACTGCTCTTGTGGTTCTTGATACTGCTCTTATTGTTCTTGCTACTGCTCTTGTTGGTGCGTTTGTGCGATGGCTCACATGCTGGCTCACATGCTGGCTCACTGCATGGTTGTGTTGTCTTTGTGAGAATTTCTTTGGATGCTTTTTTGCCACTTCTTGAAGGCGTCCTTTATGGACGCGCCTCTGTCTAGGCTTGCTCTAGGCAGTCTGCCTGCTTTTCCTGCATGCAAGAGGTCTCGTTTTATCGTTTTTTTCTCTCTGCGAAAGCTCCTGCTGCTTCTACTACTCCTGCGGTGTCTCCCCTCTCTGTACGTGACAAATGGTCATGCCAGTGTATATTGTGCATGCGTTGTGGCAATTCATAGGCCTTGTTAGCTTTTCCTTCCCTTGCACAAAGCCTTGAAGCACTGCAGTCTGCAGAATCTACCATTGGGCAAGCCACAGAGAGAATTCTCACGCTTTTGAGAGACACCCACAATCCGTGCCTCCATCTCCCCGCTAACAGACAGGTACGCTGCTGCCGCTTCTTCGTATTCTCTTTTTCTCTTTATCTCTTTCTTTTTCTTTCTGTCTGTTTCCTTCTTCCTCTTTTTTCTTTATCTCTTTCTTTATCTCTTTCTTTTTCTCTTTTCTTTCTCTTTCCCTTCTTTCTCTCGCTTCTTTCTCTTTCCCTTCTTTCTCTCGCTTCTTTATCTCTCCCTTCTTTCTCTCGCTTCTTTATCTCTCCCCTCTTTCTCTCGCTTCTTTCTCTCCCTTTCTCTCCCTTCATTATCTCTCATTTCTTTATCTCTTCACACATTTCCAATGATCCGTGCGGCCTGCGCGTTTTTGATGGTTCTTGCTGTTTTCTTTTTTTTCTGCGTGACGTGTCTGTCAAAGCATCATTCGCATTTGCTGCCTCTCCTCCTCCTGCCGCCATGCGATCCCCTGTCTCCTCTTAAAATAATAGAGTGCAAATTTAGCCGCTTCATTTTGCATTTTTGCCTTGCCACATCGTGGTGGCGCGCAGGGGTCTAGCTGGCTAGCGAGCTCGCTAGCTAGCCAGCCAGCCAGCCTTTTTCTTGACTGCGGGTGGAGCTCAATTGGCAGGAGCTGAAAATGCCCCTTTTTGCGCTTACTTGCAGTCGCTGCCTTTGCTGCTTTCTCGATGTCGCCTGCGCATCTTCATTTACAACACGCACGCAAATCAACAGCCCCCACCTACCGTCTCTGAGCACCACGCGCCACACTTCCAAGTGCCTCCCCTTCACGAGCTGCAGCCGCCCGCTGCTGTTGCTGCTGCTGCTGCTGCTGCAACAGCCGCTGCTGCTGCAGCTGCTGCTGCTGCTCAGCAACAGCAGCAGCAGCAGCAGCAGCTGTTGCTGCCACCCCCCGCGCTGACTTCTCTCGTGCAGGAACCTCCGCCTTCTTGGGCATTGCATATAAAGGGGCAAGCTTTGGATAAGCAGGTGCGTCTGCGTGTGCTTGCATCATTTCGCGTGGGTGTATTTTGCCTGCAAGTACGCCTGAGGGCTGTCTACAAACGTACAGAGGCAGATCAGGCTCCTGCTGCTGCCTTCGCTGCTGCTACTACTGCTGCTGCATTTGGAAGAATGCCTCCTTCTTCTTTGGGTGCCCTCACCGTGGCGTATGAAAAGCTGTGGATGTGCACACATACACACATATATATTCATGTATATATACATATGTACATACATACATATGTATATATACACATATGTATATATACACATATGTATATATTCATAGACGTATACACACATATACGTATACACATCTACATACATACACATATACATATATATATATATACATCTATCTATATATATACATAGACGTATATACACATATATGTATATGCATCCATACACACACATATACACGTACACATATATACAGTCGTGCTTCTGACTCTTTCGGCGATTAGCGGAGAGCACATGTGCTGTTGCTTTTGCCCCTCCCTTCCCTGCCTGCCTCGTAGCGCCTCCTCTATCTCTGTGGACCCCTTGCGTTTTGTGCAGGAAGGCTGCTGCCTCTCTTCCTTCTTCGAGCGAATTGTTGTGCTAACTGGCTCGCAGACTGTGGCGTGGCATTGGGGTGGGGGTGATCCTGTGGAAGAGCTCGTGCTGCAAAGGCGGGGTGACACCCCCTTGACGTTGAAGATCCTCTTTTTCCTCAAGCACAGGCTTCCCACATTTGGGGTCGGTTGCTGCGGATGGCGATTATTGCGTTGCTGATGGGGTGGATCTGTTTAGCGCAAAGAAATGTGCCCCAGGTGTTGCTGCTGCTTTCGCTGCTGCTTGAAAGCCGTCCTGCTCCTCATCTACAGCCTGCCTTACTCCCGCCGTCTTCGATCCCTCGTTGCGGAGTGTGCTGCAGCTTTCCCCCCAGCTCTCGGCAGTTTGTGCAGGCCAGAGGCAGCTCTCACTCTGCTCAGTCCTCCGTTGCATCTTCTCGTACTGCCTCACCAAGGGGTTGGTGCTCTCGTGGCTGACGGAGGGAAGCAGCGGCAGCGGGAGCAGCGGCAGCGGGAGCAGCAGTTGCAGCAGTCTGAACAGCAACAGCGGCAAGCCGAATTACAAGGGAGTCCGCTTTCGCACAGACGAGCTGCTGCGGCGAGTAAGTGCTGTTGCTACACATCCTGGAAGCTATGTAGACGGACCCTGGTTGCTGCTGCCCTCCTTCTGCTTTCTTTGAGCGTTTTTGAAACCACGTCTTGCATGAGACAGGCGCCGACAAGGAGAAGAAGAACAAGTTGAGCGGAAGGTGCAGGGGGCAGGGGGAAAGAGGCGAACGAGGAGCAGCAGCAGCAGCAAGGCGGCCGACTCATACTATGCCTACACAGCACTGACAAGCGGAATGGTGTGTCATGTACAGTGTGCATGGGTATATATATATGTATATATATGTTTGTATATTATATATGCGTCTGATGTCGCTCGCAGGTGTTTGGATCTGATGTACAGACATTTGGATTGCCCGACCTGCCCGAGTTGCTACGTCAACACCTTCTGCCACCAACCCCCGTCGTTATCACACACAATTTGCGGTGAGATTTCTCTCTTTTTGCTGCTTTGTGTCGCCTTCCTGAGGGGAAGTTTCCTGGAGTTGCGAAAAGTTTCCTCCTCGTGGTATCACCTCGATTCATACAAACAGCCCTTCCCTTGTGGGCAATGCGCGTACATCGGATGCCCTCACTTCTGGTGGCTGACAGCCGCAGGGGTGTTATGCGCATTGATACATATATATATGTATATATTGATGTATATGTACATATATGTACATGTGCATATATGTATATGTGCATATATGTACATGTACGTATTTGTATATGTGCGTATATGTATATGTACATATATGTACATGTACATACATATATATCTCCGTATGTGTACATGTAAGTATTTGTACGTACATGTATACATGCATATATCTATGTCTGTATGTGTGTGCGCCCTCAGCCTCTCAGGCGATTGGCTTGAAAGCGAGCACACGTATGATTTTTCTCTGGATTGCATTGACACCACGTGCAGCGGCAGCAGTAATTGCAGCGCAATCAGCAGTGCAGCAACTGCCTGCTGCGTTTTAGGTCTCGAAAGTTGGCTGGCAGCTCCCCACCAGCACGCCCTTTCCCCTGCCCAGCAACAGAAGGTATGCGAAGGGTGCAGTGTAAGATGCAGTGATACATTTTTTTGCAGCATGGAGCACCCATCTTCCCCCTTGCCGTGCATGCGTTTTCGGAAGGAGGCCTCTTGGCTCCGATGCTGCTGCAGCTGCGTTCTTTCCCCTGCACGTTTCGGGAGAGATTTCCAGCGGGCGCAGTGCTGCACATCTGCATCACATCATCATCGTATGTATGGATTGTCGGCCGTCCTCTGCATCTTGCTTTTGCGTCTGTCTCCGGCTTGGCTTATGGCTCGTGTGTGTGTGCGTGTATGTGTGGGTGTCCGCTGCAGCAGCTCGCCCTGAATGCAGAGATGGATACTCTTGATAGCCAGCTGACGTTGCTGCTACAGCAGATTCATCAGCGTGTGGCGCAAATGCAACTCTATAGCGCCTTGGCAAAAGATCCCAAGGAGGTTCGTGAAATCTGTATTTCTACGGATATGCGTCGAGATCTCCACATATATATGTTCAAATATATAATGTGAATTCGTACACATACACATGTACGTGTTCACGTACATGTATACATGTGCGTATTCACATACACATGCATGTATACATACATGCATTTGGTTGTTCTTTCTCTCGCTAAAAAGCTTACATTCGATTTTCCTTACTCTACGCGCGCGCGTGTGCGCACATGCTTCATGCCTTGCTATTTGCATCCATGGGCTGTTTAGGGCGTCTTGATTCTGCATCGCACTGCTGTGGAGAAAGGCACCTGCCGGTGTTCGCATCCCTCCATGATGCTGTCTCAGATTATTGCCGCAGCCTTCTCGCGTTGTTGCTTTCCCTCTCTCTGCAGTTCATTCTAAAACAGCTAGAGAGCTGCGTCCCAGACCATCAGCGCCTCCTTGCTGACGAAAGCTGCCTCTTCGAATACCAAGACAGCCAGCGGAGAGCATCTTTTTACGCAAAGGTAGATGATGCGAAATGCACGGAGATGCCGCCGCTTGCCGCTTAAAAAAAGGCCTCTCATATTGCTGCGGAAGCAGCTCTTTAGTCAGCCTTGCGCCTCGCTGTGTACAGCGCCTGCACCTTCTTGCACTGCATCTCTTTGGGAGCTTCTTTGCGCGTGTCTTTGCATGCGACATAGATATATATGTCATATATTTGTTGTTGTATATGTATGTGTTCATATTTAGAGGGAAATAGAGAGACATACCCATCATGCAAATATCGTGCATACATATATTTATACATATACGACTCGCTATTGCCCGTCCAGCATCCTAGGGCAATCTAAGCGCATGCCGCCGCCTACATGCAGCATTGGGGCTTTGTTGTTCATAGTCTCTCTTCTGGATTGCAGCCCCTTCTGTCTCTCTATGAAATATGTGTGTGTGTGTGTATGTGTGTGTGTTTGCACCTGTCTTCGCATCTATCAAAGCCCTGGCTAGCCCGTGCAGTGGGACGCTACTTGCAGAGGAAGGCGCTGCCTCTCGAGGATCAAATTTGGTATGTTAAGAGTGTCATGCAGATAGACTCTTTCTCAGGATTCCCTGCCTATATTCCTTGGTATTTTTACGTTTGGCTAGAGGCCGAGAGGGGAGGGTGAAGAGCGGGTGCCTGCCCGTCGTGGCGGCATTTTTCAGCTTAAATGAGGATCGCGTGCGTCTTTCAGTTCTTTTTTCTGTCGCTCTCTTTTGCGCGTGCCGGCCGTGAACTTTGCTTGTCTTCAGTCAACTACAGTGTGCGACTGTGTAATGCTGCAGCAAAGTATTCGCGGCGTATGGACTTGCAGATCCGCGAAAGAGACAGCGCGAGGTAAGCGTGTGGCGTTGCCGCCTTGAGCGGGGTCGGGAGGAAGAGGAGGGACGAGGCGTTGCTTAAAGGCGGTTTTGGGGGGGGGGAGAATCGTGTTTTTTCGGTGCATGCGCGGATGGCTTTGCATCCTAGTTGGGCTGTCTGTTGCGCTTGTTTTTTTCTGGGGTCGTTTGGCGTGTCGAGCGAGGACAAAGCGCACCGCCGCGTTTTCTTCGAAGCGTTGCCGCGGCTCTTCGGGGAGGGAGGGCGTAAGAGCTCTTCGAGCTGGGGGGGTGATGCATGTGGTAGCCGACGAGCCAGCGGCCTCTCCGGTCGTGTGGGGCGAGCTGTGCCGACGCAGGGAGCTGAAGAAGAAATGCGAACTTCCAGCGCGCGTCCGCGGTGCCGTCCGCCCTCCGTAGGGGGGGAAAGGAGTGCTGCAAACAACACGAGTGCCCCTGCTGCAGCGGCAGCAGTGCAGCAGCAGCAACAGCAGGCTGCGGCAAGCAGGAGGCCAAAGGCAGCCACAAAAAAGAAGGACGATGCCAAGCAAGAGCTTCCGCAGCAGCTGCACCTCCAGAACCTTGCGGCAGCCCCCGTTGCGGGGGAGGCGGACTCACTGCCGTAGATTTTTGCAGAGGGCAGCTGGCACTCGTCACAAGGCAGCAAGTTTTAGCCACCGAGCGAGTACGCTGGACGGCTAGCCGAACGGCTTTCCCTCTATCTCGCGAGCAGCTGCCTAGCAAACTGCCTGTGAGAAGGACGACTGGTGCATGTGCAGGGTCGTACGGCCAATATATATATATATATATATATATATATATATATATATATATATATATATATATATATATATATATATATAGACCACATACACTCCACGCCCTGAGGAAACGAATCCTGGGCAGAGCGCCCCGTGCACATCCTACACTGTACAGGAGATGCGCACCTTCTGCCCCGTAATTCGCTCTCAACTCTCATCGTCTCCGTGCACTCTACACGCGCTTCGCTACCAGCCTCTGCGGAAGCGAGTCCAGGGCATCTATATACAAGCCTTTGAACCTCGCAGAGATCGCGCGGCCGTCTGTCTGCCATTCCTAGCCGTCTCGAACTAAAACGCGATTCTAATGCTAACGAGCGCGGGAGCAATACATTGATTGCCCCTGCGGCAAGCCACGGAAACGAGCATCAAAAGACTTTAGAAGAGCGCCCTCCCTCCCTACCTCCCCCCTACCCCTTCCCCTTAGCATCTAGTCACTGCAGTTTAGCCGCCATCGGCGCAGCAGCGCGCAGCCTCTGAATTCCGGGCAGTCGCTGCTGACGGACAGAAAGATGTCCGATCTGCCGCCTTTGCTTTCGCCAGATCAGACACCCAAGAGGCAGCACAGCCATCCGCAGCTCAAGTCGGCTCTGCTGCTGCAGTTTGTGCCGCTCAAGGCGCCGCCCCCGTGGAGGCCCCTACACTACGCGCCGCTTGCTGAGGATCTCCTCGCCGAGCAGGCAGGCTGCTTGCCGGCTGCACATCAAAAGGTCAACAAGCAAACGCTGAAGAGCAGCACCAGCAGCAAGCAGCTGCCCACAATCCAGATGCCAAGATTGTGGGCAGCTGCTGCAGCTGCTGCAAGCATGGCAGCGGCGGCAGGTGGAAGAGACACTTCCCCCCCAAAGCAGCCACGCAGCCCGCAGTAACACGCGGCAACAGCAAAGGCAGCAGCACCAGCAGCAGTCCATATATGACTGACACCAACAGAGGATCGAGCGCCAGTCTTTGCAGATCTCTTTCTCTGGACCGTATCCTCGGAAGAACAGGGATGGCCTTTGCACCCCTTGGGGTAATTTCTCTCAGAGCTCTTCGCCGCGTCTCTGCAGCCGCAGCCCCCCCTTGCTAATTTTGCTGCTGCTACGGACACTGGATGGCAGGCAGGTGTCGCAGCAATGTCAGAAGAAAGCTTTTCGCCAGAAGGCGCAAAGCGTGCAGCTGCAGCAGCAGCCGAAGCAGCAGCACCTCTGGCGGCGCAAGACGACTTCTCTGGTGAACACGCAGGCGCTTCCTCGTGACGCCACTGCTCTAACGGCGACTCCGATTGCGTATCAGCTTTCTGCTCTAGAAGCGTATCAGGTTGCGTATCAGGGTGCGTATCAGGGTGCTTGTCGGGCTCCTGCTCCGCTTGCGCATCAGGCTGCATGTCAGACTTCGACTCTGAGGGTGTATCAGGTTGGGTATGAGGTTGCTTGTCAGCTTCCTGTCCTCCGTGCGGCTCCGCTGGCTGCCGCGCAGGCTGTGAGTTTGCGTTGAACATGCGTTTGTATGTATCCGTGGAAGTCTTGTGGTAATTGAGTTTCTGAGGCAGGCACACACCGCCGACATCCACCGCTCAAAATGCGGCAATCGCAGCCCCTCTTGCGCGCGCTGCACATGCAGCGGCACCCCTTAATGGCCGAGGCAGTCGACGCATGATGCAGCTAGCAACTGAATCAATCAGAAAGAAAAGAATACGCCTTGACCAACCGCCAGAGACGCTAGGGGCCAGGAACTGAGAATAAGCGTGGCAGAAGCACAGCCAGACCGCTGCAGACCACCACCAGAAGAACGAGCGCAAGACAGAGACAGAGAAAAAGAGAGAGGGAAAAAAGAGACAGTCACAGCGATATTAGATGTATCCACCGCCGAGGAGACAAGGCAGACACAAAAGGTACAAGCAGCAGCATACGTGGAAACAAGCCACAGGCTGAAGAAACATGCATCGCCTATCTTTCTCTGTTGCTGTATTGCCCGTTTGCTCCGCATCGAACGGCGTATCTAGACGCGCACACCCCCTAAAAAGCATCTATTACCTTTGTCTGAAGCTCCTTTAAAGCGGCAATGGCATGCGGGTTTGACGGTTCCGACTTCAGAACCCCCATAAAAGACTGTTGCACAACAGACACGCATACGGGGGGAGGCCTGGCTAGCTACGAAGAGGCGTCCATGCACAGCTGCCTTCTGCGCCACCAGGAGAGAAGCTTTTTCTCCCGTACGAGCAGCAGCAGCAAAGCTAGCAAGCAGCAAGAGCAGTGCCAGACCTCTTGGGCTTCTTCTAGGTGATCCTGCATCATATATGCCATTCCTCTTCTGTACAAAGCCTTGCAATTCTTCGGATCCATTTGCAAGGCCTGAAAGGGCAGCCGCGCAGCAAAAACGCACTGCAAGGATGTTGAAGGGCAGGTTCTGAGACTCCTGGGGAGGCTTTCACCGCTGGCGTACGGCAAAGGCAAAGGGAGAAGCGAGCGTGCTCTTTTGAATTTTGCAGATTCGGCTAAACAGCGCCTTCAAATATTGACTACCACTTCGCAGGCAGTGCAAAAAGAGAAACACGCGCACAAACAGCCCACATCGCAGTCACAACGGCCTTCACCGCAGCCAGGTGCGCGCCTCGTGCCTACCAGTCTGCACTGTATATACACCTCGTCGAACTCGCGCTGCTGAAGCTTGCATGCAGCCAAGTTCAGATGGCAAGGTAGCTTGGACTGCTGGTACATTGTCTCCTCCTCTGCGGTGGAAGGAAATGTGTAGTCAAACTGCAGCAACGCCTGGGAGATACACAAGCACGTCAGAAGCGACAGAGAAAGTGCACGAGACAACTGCCAACGATCGAAGCGTCCACATCAGCCCCCACTGCATGCAGGGTGTCTCTCTCTCTCCTTCTGTATCTCTCTGCCTGTCTGTCTCTGTCCGTCTGTCTGTCCTTTGCCGTCTCGCACCTTCCGGTAATTGACAGCCGCCAGACCATAGTTCTTTTCTTTGAAAGCTGCATTTCCCTCTGCGCGAAATCTGGATGTCAACTTGCGCACGCAAACGCGAGGAAGCTATTTGCGTGCAGGTGCCTATCCAGCGCCATAAAGCCTTACAGGGACTGTCAGACTGCTTTTAGTACCTGTCTGCTGCCTGAATCTTTTCTAGCGTGGGCCGTTCGAACAGTTGCCTCTCCTGCACAGCGAAATTCGGCCCTCAAAAGCCTGCAGGGTCCAGCGGCTGCTTCTTCAGCGCTCTGTAGACGCGTGTGTGGGGAGAAAGTGCAAAGTGTTAAGGCGTAGGAAGCGCACAGTGGCGGGAAGGGGAGGATGCGAGACGTTCCCAGAGTGCATGCGTCATCCAGAAGTAGCTGTTGAAGATGCGGGAGGAAGAAGGGAAGAGGATCCCACCTTGGAGTGATCGTGTCCGCAACCTGCAGCCAGTGCGCGCGCTCGCGCTGCTTCTCTGTTAGCTCGCTCTTCTTCTTCGACTTCTTCGGCCTTCAGGCGATTAGAGAGGCGTTGAAATTTTCCTGAGAGAGTAGCAGATTGCCATTCCGACGGCTCCAGGAGCAGTAGCCCACACACGTGGCGACAGCACGCGGATAGAGAGAGAGAGAGAGAGAGAGAGAGAGAGAGAGAGAGAGAGAGAGAGAGAGAGAGACCCGTAAAAACGAGACGAAGCAGGCGAGAGGCAGCACTAAGCTCCGCAATGGTGAGGCGGATGCAGGAATACACGGATTATTCCAAGAGGTGAAGGGACAGAAGAAAAGGAGGCTCTATCTTTTTAGCGATTCAAAAAAGAGTGCGTGTAGAGCGCCACAGAGGCGCGACATAAAACCTAAGGGTACTGGAAACCGACGGCATTCAAATCAAGAAATCGGCAGGAGCATACCATAGTCCGCAGTGCCAATGATTTCTCTCGCATCAGAAACAGCCTGAATGGAAAAGGCACGTTCATACAGAGCCGCAAAGGGGTATCTTTGCGATCGCGTCGACCAACGGACTCCTCCAAACGTGCTGCTTCCCCGGCGGCTTTAAAGGTCGACTGCGCGCGGGAAGCCTGTCAGTCGGAATGATTCATGAGGCTGCTCTACGCAGCCTCATGAATTATTTTGTGTTCGAGTTGCTACGCCCTCCTCAGTTGAGCGTCAGAGGCAGCGCCTTCACTGCAAAAGTTTTACTACCGCTCTGGGGGAGGCGCGCAGGATGACCTCCCTAAAGGATGCGGCACAGGCTATGGGCAAAACGACGGGACTGACTCTTCGGCAGCACCGCCGAGAGCTCACCCGCTGCTCCGTGGCTCTTTGCTTTTCCCGCTGCTTCTCCTCATCCTTCTGCCTGTCCCGACGTGCAAAGTCTACGAAATCTTCGGCGAAGGCGAAGGCTTCAGTTGAAGACTTGAGGAGGCTCGCCATCATAGCCGTCCGCGTGCATCAAAAGGGCGCCGGCATACGCCAAGGAGCGCCCTCAAGGAGAAGCTCGCAAGATGAACGGCCTGGACGATACGGCTCACTCGGCAAGCGCGCTTGCTCGAGGATGCTCGGCAGGAAGATACGCGAAGCGCACCGCTCAAGACTTCCTGCAAAGAACCTGCTGGAGCTCGCCAATAGACTGCCTCTGTTTAACCCTTCGGACTGGGGGCAGAAAGCGCAAAGAGCCAAGTGCAAGTAGGACCAGAGGCAACGCGCCGTCCGGGGCTTTCTCGGCGAGTCACGAAAAAACTCAGGAAACCCTCTTACTACCAATTTTGTAGTCATAAATCATGTGTTTTTCGGTGTTGAACAAGGGTTTCAACTGTGCGTTCGTCTTCCGGACTGCTTCATGATGCTGGGGGCGCCCCCGAAAGGCAGACACCGCCGAACCACCCAACCGCGGCATGCCAGGATGATGTCTCATGAGCTGTCATGAATTTGCATCCAATCTTCCAACTTATTAATGCCCAAACATTCATATAGGACCTCTTTCAGGGAGTATTAATTCCCCACTCTCCTGCACGACTGCACTGCCCATCACAGTCCTCCTGTGCAACCCCTGAAAGACGCGTTCCCAGCATATACAGAAGAAAAAGCAGAAAGTACGCCACTTTTCTTGAGTGCTGAAAGTAGAAAGTGTATTGATGGCGCAAGAAGGCAGAACCCCTTCAAAAGAAGAAGTGGCGCCGCCCCCTCCTCTGACTGTTACCTGCATAGGTCTGTGTCTTGTTGAACCGCGTTTACGCCAAGGGCACATGCCCATTTATTCCATTTACAAGGCCAGTTATAGGTCCTATGTGCAAAGGTGCCGCTGCCCTCCCAGTGTAACGTCCCCCCGTCGGCTGTGCGAGTCTAGTGTCATCCCGCCATTCCGTGAACAAAGCGACAATCCTAATGAACCACGAAATTGTCTCTTCGAAGCAGCTTCTTCCCTGTTGACCCTCATTCGACGATGACTTCAGCCCAAGGCACAGCTAGACACCCCTAGATTGAGGGGGTGCATACGTACGTAAACCACACTCGGACCTCGTTGCAGCGGGCTATTTGAGACTTCTGCACTTTACATTACTCTATTTATATCTAAATAAAGAAGTGTAAGTAATTGGCTAATTGGTTTAGCTGAGCTTGTAGCAAACAAACAGTCCTGTGCAATGACTACGATATACGAAGACGCAGTATTCTGTGCATATGCGCCAGATGTACTGTGCCATTAGCTGTGACTGCTCGGTGTAAATAGAGGATGCAACTAAGTGCGCACTAGCAGTCACTTTTCCCTCATTTCGGAACCTTGAAGGATGCGGCCACAGAAAGACAAAAGATCCTTCGAAAAACATCACTTAGCAACCTTTTAATTAATGGTGCATTCAGTTCGTAGTTAACCAACGGAGACCTTTGCTGAAAGGTTGCACGGAACATTGCACTTTGGCTACCTGCAAGAGCCAAGTAACGCTCCGACCCATCATGATCAGTATATGTATCGATGATAGCCAACACCACAAAAGTTGGATCGGTGCAGCCCACTGTATTCTAAGCTACATAAAACAGCAGCTTTGCTAAATTGGCTAAGTGGCACTGACGGCCCAGCAGTAAGAGACAGCCCATTTCCTGTGCCAAGCGCGTACAGGTCATAATAAAGTTGCCACAGTTGGTGTAATGACCCTTATATGGGATCGGGGGGACACTACGGTACAGAATCGATTCAAAATAGACATTTATCAAGCATTTTGCTGAAGAACTCCCACCATTTTATTCCAACGGACCTCACAGTTCCCGATATAAGAGGCAAAGCACAACGCGGGTGCGTGTAGCTGCAGGCTCTATTTACTACAAGAAACCACAGCTAGCGCACATGCCATCTAGGACACAAGCACGTGATTCTTATCGTATTTGGCTAATCATGCTGTAGGACTAATATGATATACGAACGTTTAAACAATTGACCGGCTTTTACTGATTTTTCTTCAGGTACAACTAGTGTAGTAGAAAGTGTTCAAGTGCACGTTAGCCCGCCAAATAGCTCATACATTCCTCGGGTGCATCTTAAAAGGCGCTCTACATGTGCTATAAAGTCATCGCTGGATAGTCAAGTGTACTGGTTTTGGAAATGGTAGAACTGGTGGATAGGAGTTAGTAGGAAACTGCCTAATTCTTTTGATGCCTGGAATGCTGGAAGAATGAAGCAGCGCCGCCCCCACTGTCTCTTCCTATGTCGAGAGCATGAAGCGTTTGCTCAGTAGGAGGCGTGAACTGCGCTGGGAAATACTCAACAGCTCTGTATCCAGTATGTAATGCCCGTGAAGAAGTGTGTCTGTCTACAGAGACCTGAGGTGAAGCGCTACAAGCTAAGTGCACAGACTCATTAGCCCTGTACCACTGCCGATGTAAAGAAGCATTGAGTCACCGGTGTGACACAAATTATGTACGGCAACACCTGGCATTTTTATTAGTGAGTAGTGCTACCTGATACGTTGCTACCCAGCTGACGATGGTTTGCAGCCCTGCTTTCATGCGGCAGTCAATTGATGCAAAGTAAATACTCCTTCATCTAATTTGTCTAACAGAGCAGGTTACAAAGCAACACATCAGCCATTAGGACACTAATATATCATATCTCCTTTTCAGCACTTTATTGATGCTTTGGGAGCACAGCAGCTATTGCGGTAATGATCCAGGGGGTGATATTCCGGAGGTTCAGGAGAGGAAATATACAAACTTTACAGGTCACGGTTCGCCTTTGAGCGCAGAAAATGAGGGCGGGCGCTAAGAAAGCTGTCAGCCATCCTCTGGTTCACCTAAAAGCAGACTTAGTTGACTTTTGTCGAATTCATCAAGTCGAAACGTTTTCTGACTTCAGTGTTGAATTCTCCTCCCATTATTTCATCGATGACGTCTGTTACGCGGTGCTTCCTGCTTTGAATCCTTTTGGGGGCCTTGATATTTTCGGTGGTTTCGCTGATCTCAGCATCTAGTGCCGCCACACTCTGCAGTCAAACAAGATACATCACACCACTGATCGGGTTGATTGCAAGAAGCTTACTGCTGTATGACGTTCCCTTGCAGATTCCACCTCCTTCGATGATTAATAAGGATGAGTAAAATCATACAAAGACAAGTTAAAGCACAGGTGCCCTCACGGAGCCTTTTGAGAGCTTGGTAATGTCGGAGATTTTGGCTTCCGTTGCAAAAGCATCTTCCTGCACATTGTACGTCATAAAATATGTACAGAACTGCGTAGAGAATAAGCTTTATCATCACAGCTGCTAACGTTTGAATTTGTAGAATCATCATCATCCTCATCCTCATTTTGTTGTGACGTTATTGCTTCTTGACGAAGTCTCTCGGCTGTTGGGTTGAAATGGCATCGTGAACGCGTGAAACGTAACGCAAGGCTTCGCGTCTTACCGGCTTCTGCAGGAGTTAGCGCCTAGAACCGGAAAGAATAAATAAGTATATGGTCTATCTTGTGGGGTCAGCAGTTACCGGTGTTTCGGTGAGGGAAGAGTCGCTGATGTCTGTCGGCTCAACGCTTGCGGTAACCGCCTCGCGCAACGGCACGGGTGGAGAATAGTCATCATCGTCATCTGCACTGGAACCAGCGCATATACAGGCGGCAATCACAAATAAAGAAGCGTAGCGCCTCATTTTCGGATGCTTAGCTCAGCAGTCACTGCATTAGCCGTATGAGGAAACAACACTGCCTGGCACGCCGCTACCGACTACACGATATCACTGCGCCTCGTGTCCATACGCCACTGCGAATCGACAGCACATGCCTCACATGAAGCCTCTCGCGAACCCACCTTTTCGTTCCGTTTTATTTTATACTTCGGTATTGCTTTTATGGAAGAAAAGATCCGCACCGTTCCTTCTCCCCGATTTCACTGGATTGGATTATGGTGAAGCACGGTTCTGACTGAGCAGGGGCTCCATGACTAGGTCTTCCCGCTTCTCGGGGACTCGAAATGGCGTCGTCTACTACAGATATCGACGCTGGCCAGTTCAGCAGAAGCACAAGTGAAAACATGAGTGATCTAGGCTCGCCCAGGCGCCTGTCCACTGGCTTGTGGACTGCTGCATACAATGAGCCTCCCGAACAAGCAAAAGCTGAACCTAAAGAGTCTATTGCTAGGTCTGGATTTAGTGCCCATATATGTGGAAAATCTCTGAACACTGCTTCCAAACGCGTTATTCGCGCCACTTATCTGTATGGCTCTGTTCATGGTGCCGTCGACCAGCTCCTTCCAGCGTGTTTCAAGGCTCTTGAAAGGGATATGGGATTTACCCCGCAGTCCCTTGGTTTTGTATCTTCCGTTGCTAGGGTTTCTCATGTTTTGACTTGCCCAATCTGGGGCGTCATTATCGATTGTTGCGGACGTCGCCGCATATTTTCTTGTACAGCTCTTGGCTGGGGTGCAGCAATTAGCGCCATATTTTATGCTACGCAGCAGTCGCACATAGTCCCCATCATGTGTGTTCTCGGTGTTTTCATGGCAGCGATGGGGCCACTGTCGCAAAAAGTCATTGCGCAGGAAATCCCAGAAAGTGATCGAGGCCGCAGCTTTGGGATGCTGCACTTTTTCCAATCGTTTGGCAGAGTTATATCTTTAACGCTTACCACATCTGTGTCTGGTTTGAGCCTTTGGGGGATTCAAGGCTGGCGATATGCGCTAGCTAGCTTTGGCCTCTTGTCAACAATCGTGGGAATTATTCTTGGATGCACTGTTACAGACTGTCCTCAGCAACATAAGAGACAGCAGGGAGGACAGCGCTTTTCTCTTCGCGACACCGCTTACGTGTTTTCCAACGGCAGCGTATGGGTAATGCTGATAATGGTGAGGCACTGTAGAACCCGAAACAGTGCAGACACTGAGTGCAGACGTAATTGCAAATTGTCGCGGGTGCACCTCGTTGGTCGAGAAATTTCCTGTGATAACGCTGTATATGTTGCTGATACACTCAGGGCATTCTCAATGGAATTCCTCGTTCTGCAATTCACTTCTCCACAATGTATTTCCAATATTGCAACATTCCAGACTGGTGGGCCTCCTTTATTGTGTCGTCCAGCTGGATTGCTGCTATGATCGTAGCCCCAGTCATTGGGTTGACAGGTGATTTCATACATTCCAGACACCCGCATCATGGTCGCCAGTGCTTAGCGCAGGTGTGCATTGTTGCACGGTGCGTCCTCATGACCGTTATGTTAACCTGCGTACCAAGAGAATCAGAGTCTCTCTGGATATTCCTCGTTCTAGCGATCTTAATTGGTTTTTTGGCTGGCTGGCCTGGAGTTGGAGTCAATCGTCCTATCCTTACGGAAATTGTACATCCGGATCATCGCGCTACAACGTTTGCATTGGTAGGGAGACGAAGTAGTACTGTGCTTAGTTCCAGTATTACTAGTAGAAATTGGTCGTTCCCTCTATTTTCGGGCAGACACCTCACTGTCACGCATGTGAATTCATGCAGGTTTCTTGCCTCGAGGGCGTCGGAGCAGCTTTACTGGGAGCGCCTATAGTGGGCTACCTGTGTGAACATGTCTTCGGATACGTTAAACCACCTCATGGCGCACACATTCACTCTGCAACGATTATCCGTGGAAACGCCAGAGCGATCTCCCTCTCTATGCTTTGCATGACTGTGGCGCCGTGGTTGCTTAGCATCGTGGCCTACGGTGTTCTCCACTTAACGTACAAATTTGACAGCCACCACGGGGCAGATCACGCAGGTATGCATCTTCCCTGAAGCCCCCTTTCTGCCTGATGATCCAGCGATCTCACAAAGGTCCTCTGATCTGGGTTACCCCCTTGCAAGCCCACTCGCTTACTGAAGTTGTATGTTCCTGTTGCAAGCTACGTCTGTGATCTGAATTCGCAGCTGAATCCGCACGTTTAAAAGCAACGCGGCCGGAGTCACGAGATGATCAATACCTTCCGTTTGCCAGAAAATAGCTCTGTAGTTATGTCTGTTGCAGCATACTTAAGACAACGCCTGTTCAGACAAAAAGCTTTCACCCGACCCCGCAACGACATTTGCAGCGCACTGATTCAGGTTGAGCGGGGGCCCTGGGTCCCCTGGCAGTGGCCAGGTTGAAAATATATTTGTTTTAAAGATATAAGGCTCTTCATTTTCTCTCCTAGAATTTCCAAGAGCACGCGTATAGGCAGCTCGCTGTGCGCTGAATTGCATGTGCAGGAGTAAGGCGCCCTAGGGCCGCTGTGGCAGTGTGCTAGCCAGACTTGGGGCCTACCGTCTCTCAAGGGGAGCACCTGCTGTATACTACGCATCTAAAAAACTGGGGAGGGGTGTAGAACTCTGCGCCCAAGCTCCCTTATAGTCTTAGCAAAGCAAGCAATCAGGAATGTGCAGTGTCTGAAGGACAGAGCGGGGTAGTGCGAGCACGGGGTGAAGCTCTTGGATGTGATCTGTCCTGTAAATCATCCCCAGTGCTGCGAGACCAAAGAAGGTGTGGAAGGCGTCTGCGAGATCGCCAGGCCTGTCAGCAATACCACCGCTCTCCGTGTCTTGAGCCTGAAGAATGAAGCCAGCGAGCTTTTCTGCGTCCACCCATCCCTCATAACCAAGGATCCTGAATGCAGCGTATATCCAGAAGGAGTAGCATACATCCGGAGCCTTCTCGGGGCGCCCATTGAACCCCCCCCCAACAGTTTGCCGGTCGATCAGCCAGTGTGCAGCTTTCCTCCTGTTGACCGTCCAGAGGCCTCCACACAATGCCAACGTGCTCAAACAGCAAAAGGCAGAAGCTGCATGCGATTCGCCCCCAGGGATCCACGCGAAACCGCCATCCGCATTCATGAGTCGCTGGATGAAACGGACAGCCCTTGCCGCCACAGCTTCATCCAGCTGCCCTAGAAGATGCAAACACGCTACTCCGCAGTACGAAAATCTGCTGTCTACCTCTCCCCAGACGTCGCCTTTAAAGCCCCCGTCCGGCGTCTGCAGACTGCGAACCCACGCAGCAGTTCGGTGCGGAGAAGGAAGCAGATGGAGGCGACCCAGGCCGAGAAGCAGCAGGAGCGCATAGTGTGTAGCTGTCAGCTGCGCCTCCTGGTGTATATCCTGCCCGAACCCTCCGGAAGGGCACAGACATCGCAAAACAAAGTCGCACAGCAAATCCTCACGAGTTTCCAGGATAGAATCCAGAGAAAAAGACCCGCAGGAAGGCGCGTTGCCGCCATCAGAGCCCACGCAGCTCTCTTCACCAACGACACTGAATTCTAGAGGGAGGCAAAACGATGCCTCTCCCGCGAGCTCCTCTGCGAGCTTGGCACCTTGCGAGCTGCTGCTCTTTTTTCTTCTTGCGCCTGCCTCCTGCAGCATCCTATCGGTCTTTGAGCTTCTGAGCCCCAGAAGCCACAAGGACGTAGAAGCCCAGTAGGCAGCACCCATCTTCAGGGATGCGCCAAAGAAGCCCTCGAGGGTGAAAGGATCTGCGCCAAGGGTTAGGAGGTACTGGCCATGCAGCTGCTTCATCAGGGACGGCAGGTTGGCAGCCAGCTTGCCCTCCGCAGGCAGTCTAGACGCCACGACTTCTTTTATCAGGCATGCTAACTCTGCTGCTTCTTCGGCGGTAGCTGCGGAGCTCTTGGCCGACTCGGAAGACGTGTCAGGGGGACCCCATGACGGCAGCACGGGGTGCACGGACTGCTGCTTCTCACTAGAGGCATGGGATGCCATATAGGCAGCAGTGGAGTGCCCGGGGTGTGTGGTTCTGTAGTCTGCTGTATGCGGAACACTGTGTGCAGACAGGGGCGAATCCCTGCCTGGGCAGTTCTAGAGAGCTCTTAGTTCGGGTGTATCGACGGTCTCTCGATCCTCCTGAGCGCCCTGGAGCTTCTTAGGAAAGCTCGGCAGTTCCAGAATACGCAGAATCCCATGGGGTCGGGGTGAATCCCTCTGTGAACGCACGGTAAGGAACAAGAGGCGGTTTCCCCTGATCGGTGCCCCTGGGGAAAGGCGCCGTGTCTCATCAAGAAAGGGAATCTAATGCATAATAAAGAGCTGTAATACGTGTAAAGAACGTAAAATTGAAACGAGCACGCACACAGGAGGAAGCCGCATGCGCGCTTTGTCAGACACGCTACGCTGCCAGCGCCGGCCACCATGGCAAGTTCCCACGTCAAGGTCCGCGTTTTCGAGCAATTGCCCATTTCTAATAGAAATCAAAACACATAAGACTAATAAAATTGTGACTCTCGAGTGCTAGGAACCGCCCTATTCCATTGTCGCTTTGCGTGTTTCCATTCATGCCCGCAGGGTGTTGCACCAAACTGCTCTCTCTAAGACTCGTGTACCGCTGTGTTTCTCTGTAGACAATGAACTCCATAGACGCACAGCCAGTGCCCCTCGGAGGCACTCGTGTTCCAGATTCCATGGGTGGTTCTAGCTGCCCTCCATGGCAGGAGCTAGCCGAGCAGCAGCCTCAGCAGCCTGGCGGCTTCGGGCAAGCCTGCGATATGGTGCTGTCTCTTCGCGAGCAGGTTGGCGTCATGAAGAAGCAGGTGTCGAATCTCGCTGTGCCAATGAAGGTGTACATCTACAGCTCAGGTGCCTACCACAGCCCCTCTTCCTCCCCTTCTCCCTCAGCGCTGGAGTACCTCTCCAGACTTGAATGCCGTCAGTGGCACACGTTCCCCTCTTTCGCGCAAGCCCGTTTTCTCTGTGTGTTTGCCTGATTTTGCGTGTCAGTTCCAGGGAGCCGCGCGGAGATTGAAAGTGCTTTGGACGTGGTGGATGCGACTGCCACCGCTATTGGCAGTGCAGCAAAAGTCGCAGCAGAAGCGGCGGCAGCGGACTTCTGTTTGCCTGAAGACGTGAAGGCTGAAGCTTTTAAGGTTCTTGGTGCGGTTCGCAGCGATACAGCGCAGCAAGCGGCGGACTGCAGAGCCCTGTGCCTGGTGACAGCAGACACTTCAGACAGCGATGCAGCCAAGCGCCAACAGCCAGCACACCAACCAGCAAAGGAGCGTCCTGAGTTTGCGAAGGAGCACTACGGAGATTTCAATTTGCAGCTAGGGCCCATCACACGGAAGCTCTTTGCTGCCCAAACAAAGCTCCTGGCTCTCATCAAGGCCATAAAGAAGCAGCGAGCTGCCAACGTCTCTTTGGAAGAAGAGCTGAACAACTGATGGTGCACGGAGGGGTCTCTATGTAGCTGTCTGGTGTGCCTTGTCAGAGGTGTTTTTAAATAGTGTCATTTCAGGTTTCACCTTTATCCCTTCCATTCACGGGTGGCCGTGCGGGCTCTTTGTCTGCTTGCAAGAGAGACAGCTAAGCCACCGTTTAGCGCTCTCCTTCGGGTGGGGTTGCCCCTTCCGCCTTTCCCACTCTGTTAATAATAGTTTTTGGTAGGGTTTGCGCCTTAACGATCAGGGGAGAAAGGGTCCTTGGGGAGCTTCGCAGGCCTAAGCGCCCGTACATGTGTGCTCGCCTACACGGAACGTTGATTCCTTGCACAATTCATGGGGCACGCTTGTGCTCGCCTCTGTTAGATGCGCAGCAGTCAAATTTAGGAGAGGGAGAGATAAAAGGAGAAACAGATCTTAGCTGCCATGCAGCCTTAATACCTGCTGTCAGTTGCACTAGCTCCGTTTTCTTTACTGTTCTCGCCATCATGGGAGAGTTGCAGTGGTGCAGGGCCTTGTAATGTTCGAATCGATCAAAAAAAGGCGCCGGAGAAGGCCGCGGCTAGCAACCAGGGGCATCTTTCATCCTCTAGGATTACACGCACTGACATGTGTAGTGCACACGAAAGGCAGAAAGCATCGGGAAAGCCCTTTCGGGCTTTTTCCTTGTTTGGAAATCTCTTCAATGAAATATTAAAAACCGCCATTATGAAAAGCTTGAAGATTGGCGGCAGACTACAAACGGAAGGGGCAAACGGCGAAGGGCAACTGCCCTCGAGTGTTTTAATCGCCAAAGCAAGACGGACTATTGAGCTGTGGTGTCCTGTTGGCTCTCGAAATTCTGATGGTTTTTCTCTGTGATGCAGGCGTAAGCACAACTGTAGTGGGCTAAGCTACACAGAAGCACTTCCTACAACACTAGATATGATATCTGACCAATGGTTAAGGCTGGACTGAGTGGCTTGTGTGTTCGTAGTTCTTATTTGTTGCAGAGTTGCGTAAGCTCGATGCACACAGAACTATTATTGTGTGCATGAGCGTTAGATGCTATGTGCAACTAGCTGTGAGTATGAGGAATGCCTAGAGACTGCAGCTACGCCCACCCTAGTTGTCTCACCCTCTCCTCGTGTCGGAACTGTGACGGGCGAGGGCTCGGGAAGCCTGGAGCTCTTTGCCAAGCGCTCAATAACGTCTTGCTAGCCTTCCCTTATATCAAAGTGTAGGCATATCCAAACGTAGATAAAAGTTGCAGTGGTATCAGCGATAACACAGTTTTAAATTCTTACATCAATGGCCAGTTTGCGACCACCTGACGTGACTCTTCGCGTAGACCCTGGTATGAAGCGTTGGTTAAGCAGCTCTTCCGGACTCAGGGAAACCAAGCCTCTTGGTTAGCAAAGAAGGTATCAGAAGAGAGAAGCCCCAAGCGCAGGCTGCGTGGACTAGAGGCGAATGTCGAGGATAGTGCCGTAGTTGAAGACACACGCCAGCCATTCTGCGCGGACACAAGTTCACAATGACGGTCAAAGGCGGTGTTGCTTGAAAGTGGGTGTGCAGCACAGTTGTTATCTAAGGAGACCGCACAGAGGTGCAGTCTCCCTGTTCGGCGACTGACGGCACATCAAATATTGGGGGCCTCTGCAGATGTGCCGGCGAAAGGGCAGATTTGGGCGATTCGGTATCATCTGCAGCGGTGGCAGCCTCCGAGATCTGCAAACCCAAAATACAACAGCCCTTGGGGTGGTGCAATAACTCTGGTTCACTGACGTGCTGCGAAACATAAAAAACGGCAGGGCTACTGCAGTTAAGTGCCACTTTAAACATGAGTGGGGCTTTATCAGCATAGCCCGTGGCTTGGATATTGGACCCGTACACCCCATGCTGTAGTCCTAGGTATGCCATGGCTGACCAATGGAAGGAGCACATGCAGTCACAGCTGCGCGCTAAGGATATTCGTGTGACGATAACCTAAAGGGAGAAGCAGCTGTCGGTTTTTCTAATAATGCTCATTTTATCTTGGGTGAGTGGGGTAAAGTCGATGGCTCGACGATAAGGCACGGTCCTCACGCGGGTTGCTCAGCAACGCACTTAGCAAGGATAATTCTGAGCACACATCCTGTCTTAATGGCTCTGTAGCTGTTTTCTTGTTATAGAATTCGGTCAAATTTTGAAGCGAGCAACCGCAGGAACAAGCAACTCTTATGAAGTGGTTCGCAGATGTGCTTGATAATGAAAAGCTGCCAAAAGGCTAGCAACCTGCTAGGCGTCCTCTGCATCGTATTAAGCTAATTCCTTTGTTATTTTCCAAGCTGAGCTCAGTGGTACGGAGGCACGCACAGCTTAAAGATTGGATTGGGCGTTAGGCGGATTGTTTGCTGATAAAAACAAATCAAAGGAATTAATGGGTGTTCTTGGGCATAGCCTGGTGTTGGTGCCTGGCAAGGAAGGAGGGTGGCGCATGAGCGTTTTAACATGTACGGCGAAATTCCGATACCGCATACTGGCGGCATGAATGACAAGCAGCAGGAAGCAGCAGTCTACCCGGCACTTGACTTCACACACGCCCTGTGGCAAATCCTCTTGCACGCCTATAACAGACACAAAATAGCGTTCCACACTCGCACTCACAAAGTCGAGTATACCTGCATCTTACTTGGATTTTTGATGCCATTTCTATAGCTGGTAGGCTTGTGACGGAGGAATTAAGCCTGTCTGCCTGGCGAAGTCGTAGTTTGAAACTAAAACGTTCAAGGGACACCCAGAGCACCTACGGTGTGCGCTGCAGCTGTTGCGGGGTAAGCAGTCTAGTGTGAAGGCATGCGAATGCTCGTTTTCACGAGGGCAATCATGCATCTGGGAACCAGTATTCTGGCTGATGAAATAGAGCAAGACTTTGCAAAACCCTGAAGCAATTAAGGCACGGCCTCTACCTTTACGCACCACCTAGGACGATGAGGAGCATTGTGGATTTGCTCCCATTACGCGGGGTAACGGGGGTACGGAAAGGTGTTGGCAGTGTTTATATGGGATTTTTCCTTCCAAACCGAGAACCAGGATTAAATGTACCTCACAAAGAATTCCCGGGACCTTGACAACACGGGAGTTGTTCGCTGGCTTGAAGACCTGCAGCAAGGCTCCACAGTGAGAAATACTGGTAGCAACACCCAATGTGATCATCGATGCGCTCTAGCGACGCCCTAGCTTTTTGCTCCTAGGAAACTCAGCCGCTGTTTTCTAAATGATTCACATTTTTCTTAAACCTAAGTGACTCTTATGCTTTTGACTCCCATCAATCCGTTATTAACGCCAGCATCCAGAAGGGCAATCAGCTTGAAGCCGTATAAGGCTGAAGATGGCCTGCTCTAACTGAAAAACACAGCGGGGGCTCAGCAGCTGAGACATCGCGACTGCGCCACACAGTGCTGCTTCGCGCAAAGGATACGATCATGCTCTTTCGGTTTATAGAGGGAATCGCATTACAGGGGAAAAGCTCCAATGGTATCGTTGATGACCTCCGATGCGTTCCGCGGAGGAGGAATATGCACTATTACACCCAGATTCTGAGCAGCAAAAGCACCACGATCCTCCTACGCTTGGCACTCTGCAAGGCTGTCCCGGTCATTATAGGATTTGGATCAATCTACCTATGGAATTTGTTAGACTGCCTGAGAGCAAGGGTTAGGGTTGCATCTACAACCCTTGTTCAAGCTGTGTCACGGCTCAGGAAGCCCCTCGATCAAAACTCATGTCAGTAGGATTCACGGATTTTACATGAGTATCATCTTAGTAACGATCCAAAGCTCGTAAGTGCGTTGGCGTGCTCTTAGCACCTGCCTAAACATTGACCATAATTCGACCACTGTCAACCAAGCCGAGGCAGCTAGACAGACTGAGTGCACCAACCGCATGCCTATGCAGTATTTGCAACGATATGCTCACAGACATTCGAATGCTTATAGCTTAATTTTACTCCCTTTGCTGAGTGGGTTCATAGTACGACAGGAAAGTACACTTATCTATCCGTTGCTCCCCCGCATCCCTGGTCTACACTGAGTAGCTCCTCTCTAATTGAGGCCTGAACCTGGTAGTCAGCGGTCAGCCACCACCTCTGGCGACGTAGGAACAGAAAGAAAAACCTACTAATGCGCGCACGTATTTTCGCAACGATCAGACGATACAAGCACACAATTATGATGAGCAGGGGCCGACTGTGTGCCTCGATTGTGGAGGCTTGGTCCTGGTAGCCAGCAGCCCCTTGAGAAGTGCACCAAAAGGTGATTAGACAAAGAAACAATTTGCAGTCAAACGCCTTACAGCATATGCTATTGTCTCACTGATTGGTGCTCCATCTGACTATGTCAATTTTCCTAGTAATTGGAAGTGCCAAAGAATCATGGATATTGGCTTCGTAAGTAGTTGCAAAACTCCTCCAGTTATTCGTGGAGTTTGCTACGGGAGCAAGTCCCCGATGTGGAGACGGACGATTCACAGGGAGCTGCAGAAATGTGACATTATCGGAGAGTTGATCGCCAAGGATACATTGGAAGGGACTTTCTAGCGAAGTGGGGTGGGGAATGCCAACGGGTGTGGTTGACGGAGGAGCAATTTCGGGCTACTTCGCCTGAAGGAGAGCCTTCAGCTCTGTTTAGCTAGCACATCTGTAGCCATAAACAATAGTTCTAGCGACTCGTGAGCGTTTTCCTTCCCAAACACAAATACTGAATGAATTACTTACCTTCTATGCACATTGCTTTATGAGTGTCGCTGATTATTGGTGAAGCCTTTCCTACAAATAGATTTATATGCAGCCACTCTCAGCTATATTGCTCTAATAGTCTTTCGTATGTCCCTTTTGGGGAGCTGATGTTGAGTATGCATCGGCTATACTTGCATACAGATATGGCTCTAGGAGGCGTGAGGTACTGCTGAACTAGCGTGTATTTTAGATTCCTACACACATTTACTCGTCTTTTTGTTTTCTCGTGGCAGGACGGGGTCATCTTTCTCGCCGTTTTCTTGGCGGCTGGTGCACTTCGTTTTTTCGATTGCAGTTTTCCGCTTTCCTTCTTACATCGGGACCGCCGATTGGGCGCATACACTTCCCCCATCTTGCACGGAATTTGTCTAGACGTATGGGTATGGGAAACGCGGGCGTATATTTGAAGTGGGGGGAAAAGGTAACGGGCGAAGCCACGACTAATCACTTGCTCCTGCATCACTTACTTTCAACTTAGAAATATTGTTGAATTGACTAGTTGATTTGCCTCTTCGTACTTCTTTTTTATTACATTGTACTGCTAGCTCGACATAGGAAGAAGCAACGTGTGTGTGTGTGTGTGTGTGTGTGTGTGTGTGTGTGTGTGTGTGTGTGTGTGTGTGTGTGTGTGTGTGTGTTAGATGGTATGTGCAACTAGCAGTGACTGCAGGGAATGCCTAGAGGGTGCAGCAAAAGTGCACCCTTGCCATCCCTCTCCTCATGGTGCAACGTTCAGGGGCGCGAAAAGGGGAATGTAAAAGCTCTTTTGAGTGACTATTTAGTAGCTTAAATTAATTTTTCATTGAGTTCAGATGTAGGTGCCTCCCTACCAAGGCCCTAAATGGAGCGTTACGCTGAAGGGGGAAGTACACAGAGGAGAACGCCAGGGTTTGTGGTCCCCCTAATGGGGCTGCCTGGGAATAGCGGGCCATATCAGTCCTGTTAGTAATATTGTCTGATGCGCTGAAAGAAATGTTGTACTGCCTTGAAGGCAAAGAAGACATTTCTCCTCCAGTGCAATGCGATTGTTACTGAAGTTGCATCCGGAGCATGATTGCACTGTTTGCTTACTAGAGAACGAATAGGTAGCGTGTTCAGAGGGCTCGCATCCGAACGGCAAAAATGTATTACATATGGTGCGCCACTAAATCAATTGCGCTAGAGAAACATGCGGAGCTGACACCACCCAGAATTGGTGAGAATCACCAAGGGTTCACTAAATTTGAAGGCAGAAGACCTGTTAGTAATTTAGACTCAAAAATTTCGCCGTCAAGTCTGTAATTTGCCAGTTGCCGTCAAGAGAGCTCATTCGACTCTCCCAGGCTCCGTCAGACATGCAGGCCGAGTCCCAATCGGCAAATGGGGCCCGTTCTGGTTCAGGAACAAAGCTCTAGGGAAATCGGAAAGGAAAATGCTGGCAAAATATATTACTCAATATGTGGCGTCAAATTCTACACCCTGCTGATTAGTGTGAGTCGGGGGTCTCAGTTACGTAGGCCAGGCCCTCCATGTGGGACGTAACAAGGCAGCTTGAGGGCACCAGATGTTTCTCTAGGAACAAAGTACCAGTTTGCTGTCAGCAAAGGGCTTGACAAACCATTGTTAGGAAAGGTTCGGATCTACTTAGGAGCTTCTGTCAGCTTGGGGAGGCGGTGAAGCCGTGGCAGTGCGCCACAGGTCGTTGTGGCGTCATCTCCACACCCCAAAGGGATGCCCAGGCGAAGAGTGGTACCGGCTGCGGGGGGGAGACCGGACGATCCCCTCAATCAGGAGGGGGAGGAATCCAATTTTCAAGTTAATCAACCTGCTTCCTCTGACGGTGCACCGCCCAGGGACCAGCCAGCCAGCCGGCCGGTAGGTCTTTGTGAAAAGTCTGCGTGCGCGTTCCCCTGTTCAAGTTGGTAGCACGAGCGAGTCTGGAAAGGCTTCAGCACTTCTTTTGTGCTGATTGCATGATGAAGCCACTCCGCCACCCCCGGGGCATGTGGTGCGCTGGAGGAGTAGCCTCGGTATGCGTGGATCAGCAGGCAGTTGTTGCTGGTGTGCGTGTGGACTTGCGTTTACGTGTCGCCTTCTGCAGAACCGTGCTCATCGGGAGTGCTCGGGATGCAGCGATGGCGTGAAACGGGGGTGCGGCTGCGGCCGGTGTTTTTGCTGCTCCCGAGCCGCGCTTGACGACTTCATGCAACAGAGGATGTCTACTTGGGAGCCACTGCTGACTCCTAGACGGATCTTATTTGCATTATTCGTTTTTGGCATGATCTTTTTTGTTTTGGGACTTGTTATCGTGTTATTTGACCGCTCAATCGTCGAGTGCAAGATTAACTATACGGATATGTCTGGTGACCTCATGCTCAAGGTAGGCTCTCTGCAGGGGCTACCTTTTCTTTATAGGAACCCTTCTCGTGACTACAATTTATGACAGAAGCGTCCTAAGATTTTATTTTGGTACCGTATGTTTCGGTGACCGCGTTTCGTCTTTGTGTTCAGTGCTGCTGTATGCTGTTGTCTATTCGTCTGCAGATTGACGCTTCGACATGCACGGATACCACCATTACGGAGATTGAAGGAGATGTCCTCCTGTACTACGAGCTGTCTAACTACTTCCAGAACCATCGACGTTACATGAAATCGCTGTCTGACAAGCAGCTAGAGGTGCGTCTGCTAGCCGCGTTATGCTTCTCAACTGCTAACTCGCTTGCTTCGTTGCGTATGTGCCGTCATCCCTCCGTTCAGTGTGTTTTCATCGTGCTTGCTGCTGCGTACATGACTGCTTTCTCGCTGCTGCTCTGCGTTGTTACAGGGCACTGTCTACACAGCAGTGTCAGATATCAGCACGGCATGCGATCCGCGTGTCGAATCGTCCGACGGCCGCGTGCTCCACCCATGTGGACTGAGCCCGGCCGCTGTTTTCACCGACTCGTTCACCGTTTTCGCGGGAGATCAGAAGACGGAGATTGAACTTGATGAATCTCGAGAGGCCATTTGCTGGGATTTTGACCTCTCAACGTTTAAGAACCCCACCGCAGAGGAAATGAGGAGCGCCGTTGGTCAAGTCAATTTCTGGTTGTATGACCAAAAGCTTGTGGAGGCACTTCACATGAATAAGACAGGTGCGGCAGGTGAAATGAGAGCGTCGTGCAAAATTTTGTGGAAGAATCTTGCATGGCGTCGCCCATTGGTGCGCGGGAGGGTTTCGCCATTCGTACAGTCACACTTTTCTCCCCTGTGCTGGCTGCAGGCGTGGGCTGGGGGGTCGAGAACTCGCACTTTATTGTATGGATGCGCGACGCGGGGCTGCCAGCCTTCCGCAAGGTTTACGGGAGGTTCGTGGCACAGCCACTTAAGCTGCCTTTTTATATCAAGGTGACGAACAATACGTATGATGTCGCGTCCTTCGGAGGTAGGCTTGTGCAAGGCGATGCACTGAGCAAGTGAAATCCCCAGACATGTTTTTGCTTTGACATAGCTGTTTGTAAAAAGAAGCTTTGCTGCTGCCGCCACTCGGCTGCACCATCCAGCGCCCTTTTTAGGAAATTACTAGGCAGCTGGCAGTCGAAGGTATAAGCATGTACTCTAGGCAGTAGCAGGTGGTTTGCCGCTATAAAGTTTCGTGTTGCTGCAGCATCTACCGTGCGTCAAAAACCTTTTTGCCTATTATTTTGCAGGCACTAAGAGTGTTGTAGTCACCCAGGCCTCGTGGCTTGGTGGCCGGTCGGCTTTCCTCGGCATCGCTTACCTTGTTGTGGGGAGCGTCTCCCTCGTCGTCTTTGCCGTATTTTTTTACTACCACAGACGGAATCCAAGGCATCTAGGAGATGTCTCTTGGTTGCGGCGCGCGCTGTACTCTTGAGAGTCTGCCTTGATCCACCAACGGGAACCTCCTGATTCATTGTGCAATGCTTTTTTCGGTGTATGCATGAGGCTCGCCGACGGGCCCCAGGATGTATACGGCTGGCTGCTGGATGCTAGTAGTATGCTACCCGTGGATAACCATCCTGCGCCTGTTTGCTCATACAGCACTGACAGTGTCTCGGCATTTCGTGCTTATGGGGCATCCTTGTTTTTTCGTTCCTACATCCCAAAGTGGCAGTCGCGGGCTTGGAGTAGACTTTTGCATTGGAGCCGCAGTGGGAACGTGCACGGAGACTCAAATATAGAATAAAAACATGAACACAAACACATCGGTCTTGTAGCCCAGCAAGTTAGCTTGCGTGGCAGCATCGAAGCAACAGGCCTCGCGTTACCCCGTTGGTTCCGGTCTGCGTGTCGGTATAGCGGTTGTTGTACACGAGAAAATACGCAGAAAATTTTTAGCATTTTATAGTTGATGGGGAGAGGGTTGCCTTGGGAAGAGCCACACTGAGTACTGCGCCATCGTCAGTGGCCAGAAGAGCCTTTGGGTCGAAACTCCCTTGCCCTCTCTTCCATGTCTTCGATCCAGAGGACCAGCTGAGGCATAGAAATCAGTTCTCCCCGGCTGCCATGGGCTATTGCTGCAACGAGCTGCTCCACTTCCTCCATCGAGGCGGCTGGTCTGAGGCCAGCAAGGCTTTCTAGCAAGTCGTCCTGAAAGCGCACAGGTGCGTGCAACACCCTTGAAGTGTCTCTTGGGTTTTTCGTCCCTACGTACCACTGTTATGTAGCCGTCGGCGTCCTCGTCGAGATAATCAAACAAGTCCTGCAGGGTGATTCTCAGGTAGAAGGCATTTAGCAGCAGAGCTCGAGAAATGTCGTACGTGCGTTCGCGCTTGGCGAATGTGTGGAGGGGCAAGGGCTCTTGTTTCGTCCTCAAGCAGATGCATGATCATCTGATTCGAGACATACGCATCACGCAGCATTAGGGGCGTAGCGTCGATTGCAACGTACAGCGGTGAAGGCAGGGTAGGTAAGGCTGCCAGAGGGATCCAAGGCTGTGACCCAGCCTTCTGGTGTTGTCATTTTCAGACAGTACGACGCATTCTTCAATTCAGATTTGCACAGGGCACTAGGGCGAACCGACTCACCGGCTTTTTTCTTGCAGTCGGGTATTCGTTCACTCAATGAAAAAGCGTTGATCATCGTGTAAATATTCTTTAGGGGGATTCGCGGTTGTGCCGACAGCTCGGCAAAAGCATGAAAAACGTCTTGATAGCCTTTTTGTATTTCTGGGGAAAGCGTGTCGTACAGCTGCTTGGCTTCCTCAATTTCATCCCGCGCCCGCCCAGGCTGGGAAGCAAAATGAATATCCGCCTTGTGCCGCAAGAATTGCAATATTTGGAACTGCCGCTCCAACACTTTTAGCTGAACCCGCTTTGCGCTCTCCTCCAGCGCCTGCCGGCTGGCGAGAGCGCCAATGTTACTAATTAACGTTAGCTCAGTAGCAATGACAGGGAAGAGGCCCATGCTGAACACCAGGATCAGCAAAGGTGCAATGCCACTCCAGTAACCCAGTACTGCAAACATAATGTGCTGGTAGTGGGGGGAGAGCAGCAGCTTCACGATGATTGTGACAGCCACGATGTGAAGGGAAAGGGAAAGCTGAATGATGGTTCTCAAGGCCGAGATACCTCTTGGGCCCAAAAGAAACAAAGACTCCTGAGCATTCATAATCCTCGTTCCCCTGATAAGACTGCACAGGGTGCCGTTCCTTGTGATTGGCGGCAGTGCATCTATGGGAGCGCCGGGCAGCTCCATCGGCTGCCGCGGCAGTCCTAAGCTCTGCAAGTACATCTTGATCTCGTTGTGACTCGGAACATGGTAGTTGACGATGGTTTCGAGCCTCCAAAAGATAAAAAGGTTGAGAAAGAGGAGCCCTCCAGAGGCATAAAGAAGACACTCCACAAGAGGCGTCGGATCAAGTCCGAGGAGCGGTCGAACGCAAAGAACAATTGGAATGAACAGCAACCACGTAGAAACTGGTATCTCCACCATGCGTAGGAGCGTTCCAGACAGCTGCTCTGCGAGGAATTCTCCGAAGCAGAACTGCCCTTCTTGGTGCGGCACAAATGGAGTGGTGGGATTCATGATTCTATGACGCAGGTACCAGAAGCGAAGGGCCGACCCAGAGGCGTTCTTGCTTTCGGCAAGCTGCTGAAAGTCTGATAGGCTCATGCCGTCAAATCTGGAAAGGCACAGAATTCTCGGTATTGCATCGTTTGCATCATTATGCAAAGCTCACCCCTTCCATTCCCGCGCTTTGACAACAGATATGGACAGCAGCACAAGAATGACTAGCATGAACGTAACCATGAGGATAAAAACTAGAATATGCGCGCTTTCGAACAGCTCGAATACGACAGTGGGGGCTGCATAAGGGTTTCCACTCTCTTCTTTCAGTTCCTCTATGCCAACTTTCTCTAGGGCACTTTGCCCGAGGAGCTTGTCATTGATTGCCATGGTGATCCCGAGCCGCGTGGAGAAGAATAGGAGTAAAGATATGAAGCCAAGTACCGTCACCTCCTTGGTGATGGCTGCAATAACCTTCAACACATGATGGAGGTGCTTGTGCTCCAAGTATTCCACGAGTTCCTCATGTCCAACCTGAACGATTGCCGTTACGACTCACACCTGCTTCCCCATTTGACTACTAGGCTACCCACCTCAAATAACAGAGTCAAGAACAAAATTACAGTCAGAATCGCTATTGTCACATTGGCCTGGGCGTCTCTGTGGTCATGCTCCTCATGGGTAAGTTGACAGACTCCAGCGGTTGCTGTGCAGACCAAGGCTGCAGGCAGGTTTGTCCCCATTGTGAAGGGGAAAAATAGAAAAGTGGCGTTTAAACTGATCTCAAGAACCAGTCTGGCACCTCCAGCTGCGAAACATACCCTAAATTTGATTGCAAAACAGGGAAACGGCAGTCCCTACTTGTATGTACAGTGTGTTCACGAAAGTGACATTATGTTCACACCGGTAAATTTTACACCAATACAGTACGGATAGTCAATATGTGTCAAGTCAAGACAGTCGTGAGACCGCCTGCTTCCTGAATCAGACTGCTTCTGCAGGGGAAGTCGTTAAAGCCTTCTGTTGGCTCCCCGTGCGCTTGTTTGTGCCCCTAGCCCTACTTATGATGAGTATTCGCCTAGTTGAATACCCATAAACCATAGTGGCCGCCCTAGTAGGCGCTAAGGACTAATCCTCAACGAATTTCCTCCCCCATGGATGGGTGTACACAGCTGTGCACACCAGTTGTCCATGCCTTAAGTTGTATCTCTAAAAGCATCCTGCATGCATTATTTTCCTCCATGAAGCCGTTTACTCAGGATACTTCAGCCTCAGCAAATGGTGCTAAAACGTCACGTTGCGGTGAATGAGACGCGTTTCCGTCCCGTCACTGAAAGAAGTTAAACGGAGCAGAGAAAGGCAAGTTTTCGCTCAAATATTTGTCACGCGGATTGCGCGCAGAATGAATGTTTCTCCCTTCTGCACACTGCCTATATGGGAACAGCCCATTTCTGCATCATTAAGAGTGTGTAGTCCATGCTCCCAACACAGAGACATTCACGCAATGAAGAGTTCAAAATGACCATGCATCAGGGAGGTCCCTCGCAATGTGGCGCAGTTTTCATTCCTACTCAAAGCGTGATACAATGAATGAGCTATTATTTACTTGAAGACTTCAGGACGTTGATGGAGTTCCTGATTTTGGCCGGTGCTGCATGAGTCAAAGCTTCTTTTCGTCCCCTGTCTTCTGCTACTAGAGACACAGCCTCACTATGCATGCCCTCGAACACCGACATATTCTCTCTGTCTTCTCCTACCTTTCGAAGCATTTTAGAGAATAATCTTAGTGTAACCAGAGAGAAGCATATAACTGTGACCTGCGGTGTATCTTCTGGCCGTTCGTTGCCCCTGCGTCATGCCCGTAGAACAGAACCCCTCGACGTGCCATCCGTAGGCACCACTTTAGTCTCTCGGGTTGCCTTCGTGGCACTTCAGTTTTCTGCTTCTGGATGTCTCCAGAAAGCGCTTACGTATTCGCCTTATGTTAGCCGCATGACCATCCACACACCGCAGAGACACCTGCTCTCTGGGAGGCAGACACTGCTTACGCAAGCAAGCAACTCGCTACGACTTCCCGCGTCTTCCTTCGCCCCCTTTACTACGGCACTTGCGTACCCTCGCGAACACCTTGCTTTATCGTAAGCTCCTCTCGGCCGAAAACAGGGGTCCTGCGCGAATATGCGCCGCGAGGATACCAACAAATCCGCGCAAGGCGTGCCCACAAACCCTTCCGACCCTTCCGTCTCTACAACCACCACCACCCCCGGCAAGGGGCACCGCCAAGGCCGCAGCAATGTGGAAGGGGATATCGAGTTCCCAAGGAGCCAGGAGCCCCACCGAGTCTCCACAAAGAGTCACGAGGGTGCCCACCATTCCCAGTTTTCGTCCTTTTCCCGCACCGAAAGCTCCCCGTGCGACTGCTTCTTCGCCTCCGAGCCACCACCGCCCAACGTCGCCACGGCGGGCCTGAGAGTCAGGCAGTTCGTGCGGCCTCTCCAAGAGAAGAAGGAGCTTTTGAGCGTTCGCGTCGCTGTCGTCACGGCGGGGGGCACAGATGTTCCCTTAGAGGTATTTTGGGGGGCTTTATTCGAGTGCTCCCGCCCTTTAGCTGTGCAATAGAGGTCCTCGCGCAAGGACGCTTGATATCCTGCCTGCTGCATGGCGTGCTTCCTTTCCCTGCAGGAAAGCGAATTTCGCTTTGCAGCATCGGGTACGGCTGCCGAGCTTCCATTTCCGCTCTTGCTTCGAGGAGCAGCTGCCCATTCAGGCTGCTTTTGCCTTGTGCGTTTTCGGTGCAGCGTGAGGCGGTGCGGTACTTGACGAACACGAGTTCGGGAACGCGAGGAGCTGCGCTGTGCGAGCAGCTGCTCATGTTGGGGTATTATGTGATATTTCTGACTTCTGTGAGGGCTGTCAAACCGTTCGTTCGGCATCTACTGCCCGCACACCCCATGCCGCACATCCTCCACTACCTTTCGCTGGCTGGCGTTCCCCAGCAAGCAAAGCGGCAGGAGACGGAGGAGGAGGACGAGGTTGCAGAGGAAGGAGTTCACGAGCTCCACGCTGCGCCGATCATCACGGAACCTCCCCCGGACGCAGTCTCTTCGGAGGGCGAGCTCCCTGTGCCTGCAGCCGCTTCCACTTCTCGCCGGCTTGCTAGCCAAGCCTCGACGGAAGGCCCTCAGGGGGCCACAGTCACTTCACTAGGGTCCGTTGTCAGCAGCAGCGACTCTCTCGCCGCTGCACAAGAGCGGGCTTCCTACGAGGAGGGGTCGGCATCCGACGGCGTCGAGGTGGAGGAAGCCTCTGAGGCGAGGGATGGCTGGCGCGTGGTGTTCAGGGAGCCGCGGCAACGGGGGGGGGACGATTACGAGGCGCTCGAAGGGCTGGGGGGGCCCCCTGACCCGGTGGACGCCTTGGGATGGATGTTGGATCCTGTTGAGGCCGCTGCTGCCTTGCAGCTGTACAGGCAGTGCAAGGACCGGCTGCTGTGCATTTCCTATCAAACGCTCGTGGAGTATGCCTTCCTCGTTCGCGCTGTCGCTGCCGGCACATGCAGCCTCAAGGAGCGACTTATGTTTTGTTCTGCGGCTGCAGTGGCCGACTTCTACGTGCCCTACGCCCTCATGGCGCCCCACAAAATCGTTGCCTCTCATGATCACGGGGGGCCCCTCTCGCATCACCCCTCGTCCGGCTCCGTGGGGGAGGCCACCAGCAAGGAAGCGGGGGGCATAGAGGTTCAGGGCCCTTCTCGCAGCTCTTCAGGAGCTGGAGGCAGCCACCCGAGGCGCTGGTTCACTGGAAGCTTCCTTTCAACAGAAGACAGGGGGACAAGCACAGAGTCCACTTCATTGGCAGCGGCAGCAGCTGCACCAGCGGTAGAAGCTGCAGCCGCTCGTCCTACAGAACACCCACAGCACCACCCCCAGCAACCCCATTATTTGAATTTGCGCCTGCATCTCGTGCCAAAGATGCTGCTCGTGGTGCGGTCGGTGGCACCTAACTGCTTCCTTGTCGGCTTCAAACTTGAAACAAATCCAGAACGATTGCAGCAAAGCGCCCTTGCCTACCTCGAGGGCCCCCGCCCCGGGGGACCTTCGGGGGCCCCTGAGGCCTCCGGCGTCGCAGACTGCGTTGTAGGCAACCTGCAGCAGACGCGGAGAGCGGTGGTCAAACTTTTCACCAGAGCCGGACAGAAGGAGCTCAAGCAAAAGCACAAGCCCAAGCCAGGATGCTTAGGAGTGAGGCGTCTGTAGCTGTTTTCATACAGCGGTCACGTTGTAAAGGTCTGATATAAAGGCTGAACTAAATGGCTGGAGGACGAATAAACAGCAACCACTCTGGTGGTCGTCGCTGTTGCCTTGGCCTAGCTCTGTGTATGGCCATCAAAGGCTGGTGCCAAGGTCACCCGTGCAGTCTGCGTGCTGTTCTACATGTGTAAGTCTTCAGTGAACCTGCTTATGCGTGCATGTGCTTGCATGCGTATCTGGCTGTGTGTGTGTATGTGTTTGTGTATGTATATGTATGCAACTCGCAATTTGTCATGTTATGTCGCTTTTTGCAGCATGGGACCATTGAGGCGCGGCTGTCACGGTATCTGAGCAAACTGCACACTCAGAAAATGGATGAGGGGCTTGTGTAGATCCCAAGATCAGCCTGCATGCTCACGTGATCACCTTCCCTCGCGTCTCCTAGGGAGCAGTAACCGATATTTGAGGCTGTAGGGTGGCTATTGTGGTTCATGGTGCCGGTCAAAAGCACAGCGAGGGCCCTGCCGCTGGTAGCATCGTACTAATTGCTGCCCGTCTACAAAGGAAAGTTTCTAGGTGAAGGGTCGGTCTCTTTGTAAAGCTGTTAGCGTAGCTCTTTCAAACCTCCTCTATGCTCTGTCGGCCGTGAACGATCCTGGCCGCAGACCGCCCCTAAGGGCAGTCTATGGGTGCACTGTGTGCATTAAAAAAAACCCTCAGATGGCTCGCAGGACTGCAAATAGGCTATGAGAGCTATGTTGCGCTCCAGGGGTCCATGCCGTAGCAGCCTGTTACGAGCTGGTGTGGGCCCAGCCGCCTTCACGTGCGTAACAAATCGTCGCCCCACTAACAATCTGGTTCACTGCTCTGAGCCTCGTGTTGCCTCTGTGACAGCAAGAGCAGCAGCAGCAGCTGCTGCTGCCATAACTCTTGATTTTTCTTGCAGCTTTTCTAGCAGTACGCGGCATGAAGGCCCTCCTAGTTGCACAGTGACAGCCGCGCGGGCACCCCCTGTCAAGTGCTGAAAGGCCCTTTGCCAAGCATTAGCAGTGAATGCTGCATTCCTGCAGCATTCGCACCCTTCCTCTGCTGGCAGTGTATCCCTTGGGGCTTCTTCCATTCCTATGGGAAGCTCTTCGCAGGATGCTTCTCTCTTCATTTCACCTTGGCCCCTGTGAATGCCCTGAGGGCTCCTGTCTGGGTGGCATATAAGCACTTCGCGAGGGTGCTGCAGGCTAGTTCTCCTAATAATAGAATCCGCTGCGCGTTCGAGCACTTGGAGGCATTCATAGAACACGTCGGGCTCCACGCAGAGACCCAGGGCCCCCTGAAGAACTTCAGCCGCACCCATGCGGAGAAGCAGCAGGGCCCTGGGGCCCCCGCACGGGCAGATAGCTGGGGGCTCCCCAGAGGTACTCGGGTTTGTTAGAAGACACCCGGCAGATCTCCATTGAGCCTCAAAGGCTGCGTACGATCGAGGAAGCCTGGGGCCCTTCTGGACCATTGTGTGGCCAGAAAGGAGACTGGGCTTCTGCTGACTGGCGGAGGGAGCTACCCTGTCAAGTTTTCGACATCGGGTATCAGTACATGCGCAGTCACCGGGTGCTTTACAATTAAATGCGGGCACTGGTGAAGGGGAGGTCCGACAATGCATGCATATTTCTCTCTCCTCTTGTCGTTGTGGCTGCCCGTGCTGTTGCTCACGCTGTTTTGGCAGAGTCTCGTCCTCCGTCAACGCTTGTGATACGGGCTCCGAGATTCTCTCGGGGGGATCTTTTTTCGAGTCTTGCTGTATCTCCTGGTCTTGCTGCTGCACGTGTGGAAGTTGGGATGTCTGAGAAAGTACAAGGGATGCTGCTTGTCGATGTACTTGTGCTACCGGCTCTGAGAATGCAGCATCCTCAATCTGCTGCTGCGCTTTGGGCTGATCTTCTGCAAGCATTCCGCCTTGCTGGTGCTGTCGGTCTTGGTGAGGCCGCTCGTCTTGCTGGTAATAGTTATGCTGCTGCTGCTTGGCGTCATGAGCTGCGTCTAGCATCTGCGTGGACAGCTCTTTTTGCTGCTGCTGTTGCTCGTAATGGCGCACCTTGTTGCTCCCCGGCTGAAACACAATGGCCTCCAGAGATCTTTGGGTTCCAGAAGGGCAAGGATCATGGAGACCCTTCAAGGGCTGCAGGAGCATCATCTTCTTTCTTTGCTGCTCTTTTAGCTTCTTGATTTGTGCTTCACTCCTGATTTTGACGATGTCCTTGAGGATCCGTTCAGATAAAGAGCAACTCCTAGGCGCGTTCGGGGCTTCAAGGGCTACAGCAGACTCCTTGCCTGGTACCACGCGGGCTTCCGGTATGAAACTCTCTGATTCTGAATCAGGCTGCAGCTGCACCTGCGCCTCCCGCTGCACCTGCTCCTGCTGCTGCGCCTCCTGCGGTTGGGGCTGCACCCGGGCCGTCTGTTGTGACACTTGCTCTCCTTGGCTAGCCTTTAGGGCCTCTGTGAGATCTGTCAGCGCTTCTTGTGTCTGCCCTCTAAGGGCCAACGCAAGACCTCTCCGATGAAGAGCTTTGGGGTTCTGCGGAGTCCTCTGCAGTGCTGCCGAGCAGTCAGCAATGCACCTGTCTAATTTCCCCAAGTAGAACAAAGCGGTAGCCCTGTTGCTGAGGAGCTGCCCTACCAGCTTTTCAGCAGCAGCGGTAGCAGCAGCAGGCAGTAGACCCTGAGAGTGCATGCACCAATGAGGGCAAAAAGAATGGGGCTTCGGACACCCAAAAACCTTTCTCACAGAGCTTCCCCTTTCGATGCACAGTTTTTTGCACAGTACAAACGGGCTGCCAAGGGACGTCCCCTCTGCCGTACTCTGCTCATTTCTGCCTCCGCCTGCTGTAGTGCCTGTGTGTAGCACTTCACGGCGGCTGCGTACTTCTGTGCGCCGAAGTAGGTGTTCGCCTTCTTCTTTAGGGCCCCCACTTGATCCAGCACACCCCCTGCTTCTTCAGGGGATCCCAGGGTTTCCATATACGAAGAAACATGAGCGGTGGAGGCACAGATTCGCATTCTAGGGCCACCCACAGCAGATTGGGCACCTCCACGGCTTCCTCTCGCTACTTGCTGCGGCCACATGCACAAGGTGGTAAGGTTTTATCTCATTGAACTGGAGGGCTTGCGGGAGACCCCATAGGGCTGTTAGAAGGTGAGGAGTTATATGCCCACCTCCATTGAGAACTAAGAGCAAGTTGCAAGCACTAGCTAGACGTGCTACCACCCTGGCTGGGTCTCTGTTGCAGAGCCGCTGCTGCCGTGCAGCCAACTGCCGGATGAAGGACAGCACTTGGGAGAAGTAGTATGAGCCTTACTGATACCGGCTTGGGCTTTTGTGCCTTTGGTACTGGGGATGCATTTGTGCCCGAACCCCCTGAGCAGACCCCAGCGGCTTTGTTGGTTCCGTCTTCCTCATCAGCATCGGGGTCATAGGCGTCCCATGCCTTGTAGTAATCTGGAAGGGAGTTCTGGTCACGGGCGTACTTTTTCCTATTCTCTGCATCAACTTTCCTGTGAGCCGTGGGCACACCGGATGAAGCTGTGCGATCTATAGTCTTTTGGGCATTAACCATAGGGGGAGCAGCTGAGTCATTCATGCCACCCTCGCACAGCTGTTCCTGGTGCAGCTGATGCTGCTCATTAAGTGCATGCTTTTGCGTCGAATCGGGGCAAGATCTTTTTTCTTGTTTTTTTACTTCGGCACTCTCATAGAAAGACTCTTCCCAGTCCCGCAGGTCTGATAGATATGCTTGCAGCTCCTCCGCATTCCTGCGGATCTGCGCCTGAACTGCTAGAGACATCTGCGCTTACTACTGCTGCTTACGTGGCGTCGTTACAACGGATCGTGTTTGCCCTGCCTAGGCGCAAGTTGCTGACTCGAAAGTTGGGATATGCTGCAGTGTTTGAGCTCCTAGGGATACATGTAGAGTGTGAGTACTACAGTTTATTCGTAGACGGATGGGGAGACAGCATCGAAACGTCTCTAGAATATGGGGCTACCAAAACTGCTGCTGCATCAGCAAAGTCACAGATGTATCAGCCTTCTTCGTTGCCTTAAGCGTTTCGTGTTAGCTAGTGGCTGCTAAACTTCTACAGGAACAGTCTCAAGTGCTTGTGCCTGTTGCCTCTCGTGGATGCCTACTGGCGTTTGATTTGGGCCTGTGATCATCACCGCAAGAAGCTGAGACAGGGGCATAGGAGAGCTTCGGGCTCGTTCCACGATCATGCGCAAAGCCATTGTTGCTGGGCTTGCCAAGCTGCGCTGAGTGACCACTGATCAACAAGGAAGGGCAACGAAATTCGTTGTGCTAGGAGCGCAAGCGGGACATGAGCCACCATATTTGATGCTAATTCATTGGAGAAGCAGCGAAAGTTGGAGGCGAGAAAAGCGGCAGCACTTATGGGGTCACGAATAAACAGCGCTGCCACCAGGAGGCTGTCGCCACCCGACCCACACGAAGGAATTCCAGGCACTATTGTAAGAGCTGTTCAAGCAAACTGGGAGGAAACTCGTGCATATTTAAGCTAAATATCATTGCATACTGCACAGTGGAAAAAACAAAAGGCAACCTGGGGCTGCAGATTGGGGTAGGGCCCCCGGTGGCCACCTAGACTGCGAATGCGCAAGGGGGTAGCACTGATCTTCAAAAACGGACGCCAGAATAGAAAACTCAAGTTTTCTGAAATAAAGTCAAGCAAACTTGATACTCGTGTGCCGCTTGGTACACCATGCGTCTGGTAGTGACCGGACGAACGCGGCGGCGTTTTCAACATGCTTTCTTCATGGAAACCACTTCCTTTTCCCTCTTCATCATAGCAAGCAAAACGCCTTTTCGAGAGAGGAAATCTGGCATATAACGTGCAGTCGGCTGAACGTTCCTGTTAGGCAAGTCATATAAGAAGGCAAACGGAAGACATCTGACGAAGATCCGAGAATCCAGCAGCTGATTGCCGCTCTGCCGGCTATACGCTTCCCATAGAGGAGTTGCGGTGAACAGCGGCACCACCTGCACACGCAGAATCGCAATTCTTTCCCGTTCTTCTCATCTGTCACGTTCAAGTCGGAACGTACAACTTGTGAGATTGCCTTGTCTTGCAGAACGTAGGTATGCAACCACACGACAAAGCCAGCCCGTTCGACTGGAGGGGTCTTTCGGCGCTTCATGGTGAACGTGTAGGCAACGTAGGGGGGCGCTTCGAAGGGCATCATGGGCGACCCCCGCCAATGCCTGATGCATTTTGCTGTGTGCACCCATCGGCACTGGAGAATAGGCAGCAGCAGGCTGGTGGTGACTGGCATTTGCGGGCTACAAGCAAGCAAGTGCGGACTGATGCAGATCTTCGCCGATGGTTGTCCTCTCCGATCCATTCTCGGTTTCTTGCTTTCATTGGGAGGCTGGCGAATCGCGCAGCTGGAAAGAAATCCATGCCTAGCCTCTTGAGAGTTAACATCGCAAACCAGCGAATGCTTGAAGCAGAACAGCTACAGCTAGCGCAGCGTGAATCACAAACAACCGCAGCTGCAGCAGGACCAGTGGAAGCAACAGCACGCGCACAGCAAGACAAGGGTTTTCAAAGTCTTATAGCCTCTTTTGCCCCGTTTACTGAGCTACCATCCAACGCCGCCTGCTGGGAGTTGCTGGGTGTCTTGCGGCAGTTGCTGCAGTGGAGCGACGATATCGAGCCGGTCCAGCAGCCAACGCGGTTCGGCAATCAAGCATTCAAGACGTGGTGCAGGAAAGTGGAGGATGTGAGCATACATACCCTTTTAAGGCATTTAAAAACGGGGTTTGAAGCAGTGGGAAATTAGCATATCCTAGGTCGCATAATGGTGACCATGGCTCTGGATTGAAGAGAACGGAGGAAGCCAATCATGGTGGAAGCAGTAGTGTGAATAGATTTGCATTGACTGCCAAAGGAAGAACCAAGCAAGCGAACGGTGGAGCGGTAGAGAGTCACACTGTTAGACTTCTAATACAGAGGGGAATGGGTATTACCATTCCTTTTGATTGGCCTTTCCAGAAGGGTTTTTTTCACTGGTGCTGCCAAGCTGCGCACTGGTGGATATTTGATTGCCATTTCCGCTTGATTCCTATTTTTTGTAAAATGTGGTGGACCTTGTCTTGCTCGTGCAAAAATGCCGCTTCATTTGGACATGTTTATCGCTTCTCGACCGTACACGACCCTGTTTTTCTTCCTCCTTAGATCTCCGTTGCTCCTTTAAATGCTGTGCTTTATTCTTAGGAGGCTGGCGCGCTGTTGATCAATGTTTGGGAAGCTAGCGGGGTGGATATATCAGATGATGAAAAACAACAGCTGACTGAAATGTTCTGCAGCTCGTTTGGCAATCCAGTGCGCCTCGACTTTGGTACTGGCCATGAGTGTGCTTTCGCCATTTTCCTCTTCTGCCTTTTCGAAAAGAAGATCTTGAAACCAGAGGAGCATGACCCATTTGCTGTCTTGGGCATTTTCAAGGGGTAAGCGTCTCCCTCCCTCCGTTCAAGCGCCTCTGCACTCGTCTGTGTATCGGTTCATTGAAACTGCTTCTCGCCCTCGTGTAATACAGTGCTCTGCGATCAAAGAAGGGTAGTCAATTTTTCCCTGTCCCCACCAGACGAATACTCTGCCTTCTCTTGATGTTTCAACGAGTATTTTTGGGAATGATTTTCGACAGATATGACGCTTGTGCCGTGTTTTCGCTTTGAGGCCTTTAATGTGTAGCACACCATTGCGGATCCATTGCCAGCCTCATGTGAGCCTAAATCGAAACTTCCTTCTGCTTCTTTGGTGCATTTGCAGATACGTGGAAGTGGCCCACGCGTTGCAGCAGCGATATATGTTGGAGGCAGCAGGCAGTCGGGGAGTTTGGGGCTTAGACGATTTCCACTTCCTCACGTTTCTCTGGGGAGCGGGGCAACTGGCAGAGCAGCAGATCATTGAGCCTGCGCAGGTGAGCCAAGGGTGGAGCAGGGTGATAAATAGGAAGAATCACGAGGGGAAAAGCGCTTTTGGCTGCACAAGTCACTTCCACTGGATACAGAGGGGAGGAGGGCTGGTAGGCATGCACATATACGTCTCTCTGTTTACTCGTGTTGAGGTTCTGCAGATCACGGAGCGAGACTTAGTGCGGCACCTCGCTGCTGACTTGCTGTACTTTGATTCAATCGAATACGTGATGCAGGTACGACAGATACAGACACCACATTTCAAAAGAATACAAATACCGACGTGTACAGGCTGAGATTGGCAGGTGCGAGCCTATTCGCTTTTGCAAATTCTACTGTAGCATTTGTCGTGCCGGCAGACGTAGCCTTTTTGAATTGTCTTGGATTTTTCATTGCGATTACATAATCTAGCAGACTTTTTGGTGGAGACGAGGCCCAAAGATCTTTTATTGTCAAGTTGAACTTTTTTTGGAACATCAGAGAGAGGCACTGCTTCAGGGAGCTGTCTTTATCGTTACGGTTCAACACTGTTTGACTGCGCGCTTAATTCGCTGCAGACCAAGAAAGGTGCCCCCTTCTTTGAATGTTCGCCGATTCTATATGACGTCAGCGGTATCAGCAGCTGGTGAGACTTTGCTGTGCTGCTACAACTAAAGGAAATGGGTTACTTCACGCAACTGAGGTACTATATGGCGGTAAAGATAGAAAGGGAAGAATACGATAAAAACAGTGCCAGAGCGTGCCATAGAGGAATAATAAAATACGCACTTATTGGTAGGCCTTTTGTTTTCTTGAAGTCCACCCTAGGTCGATGCAGCACTCGTGTTTTGGCTTGCTGGTGCAAGACCTGGTGGTTGCTGCTGTTGCTGATATTCTTGTTCAGGAAGAAGATTTGCTCGGGTTTGATTCGGATGTACGAAGGAGAGGTTCTGTGCAAGTTGCCCATTGTCCAGCACTTCCTTTTCGGTTCTCTCTTCCCGCTAACCGAATATTAAATAGTGCAAAAGTGGCATCCGTAGGTGTATTTGCAGCGAATTCAATTCCCTTAAGAGGCGATGTGTTCTTTCTTGTAAAGTCTGTGTTTACTCGTTAATAATAATTCTCATAAATTATCCTAATAACACATGTCGCGGTTTGCTGCATGAAAACTAGAGAGGGCCACTGTGCCACGGTTGGGGTGGACGATGTGAAAACTTTCCATCTTTTTTTAAACAAGTATCTCGAGGAAGAGCATCTTCACTTTTTGGTCGTATTACCGTTAATAGGCAAGATTGTGCATTTTTTGTGTAGTAATTAGAACTTGTACTGTAGATTTGAACTCATGCAGTACGAGGTTTGTTCGTCTACCCCTGTATACTGGGAATAGACTCGCACTTTGCCCTGAGTTACATATGATGCGGAATATTCAGGCTTCGCTTTTATTATGGCTTACTATACTGATGCTTTTGTACTCTGTGGGTTTCATGCAAACGGTGAACACTTACTGGGCGAGTTGTCTAGTGCCCACTTCCTCTGAGAAGACCACAGGCTGCAACGCAAGGAGTGTGCCAGTAAGGCTCATATCCTTCTTAGATTACAGAGAAAGCGAACATCCACTAAGTTAAATACGTATGAGAAATAATTCCCTCTACTCGAGGATTGCCGAGGAAGACCAGTGAAATGCCCATGCACACACGGGTTCGGCAGCATTTTATTGGTTCTTCTGCAAGTTGAAATGAAAAGAACAGAACGCTAATACATAGCTAAATGGTCATTTAATCCGAATCAAAAGCTAATTCTAGTAACAGATGCGAGCGGAAGTGCCTGTTCGTATGGTCAACCAGTCGCCGAGGCGCAGGCCAGTGACCTGCATGCCAAGCCACCTCCATTGGAGTTGTTTGAACTCCGCGAGTCGCTTTCCTCTTCCGACAGACTTTAAGACTCTGGTTTATATTGTTACGCTTCCCAAGTACAAGGTGCAGCTAAGTGGTTTGATTATCCGTGCGTGAAAGCGTTTACGCAGGCAGTGTGCTGTCTTCATGAACGAGTGGATGCTGGTTCGGTGGTGTGGCCACTGCGCTCAAAGTTTGAAAGCTCACAGTGAGAGTTTCTAATAGCTCTTGCAGTGAATTTCGCAGAGGCTTAATCCATAAACGCAACAAAGTGCAGCCAAGCGCCGCCATCATGCTTCCCTTATTGTTGTGAATCGCGGGGCCATGCCGAATCAGGTAGCTTCATTTTGCCTAAGGCAGTAATTCCCTCCCGAAAAGCAAACTGCTAAAATCATCTTCTTGAGCGAGAAAAATATCAGCTCTGCTTAGTGTGCTAACAGCGTTTGCTGTATCTCTGATGCACACGGAACCATGTTGTACAGAAAGTGCCGTTACGGAAAGGACCTTACAGGTCAAGAACAAGCCGGACAGTGCCTTCTCTTCATCTCCTCTATCATCTTCCAGGCTCTCCTCGGTGGCTCTGACAGCAAGAAACGAAGGAGAGATGCACAACGAAACGGGCAACATAAGTGTTTTCCCCTTCCCGGTAGTGTTCGCCAATTGCCAACCGGGCAGCTGGGTGCGCAAGCACATCCGCCTAACAAACAAAGGAAAAAATGAGCAGAAACTAGCTGTTACCTCCTCAAATCCTTCGGTGCTCTTCGTTCATAGGGAGGCTCTAACCCTGCCTCCCGGGGCGTCGGTTTTTCTCCCCATAATAATGTCTGTGCCGTCCGCCGGCAATGGCACGGGCAATGGGGGCTCAAGTCAAACTGGAGGGAAACTTCCGTTCACGCACTCTTATCAAACAGAGGGAGAGCTCCACGGGCTTCGGCAGGAGCACTGTTTGACACGGGAGTGCCTCGCTATTAGAGGAATGGGCTGGAGCATCGATCTACCGGTGCTCGTGACCCAGGCAGAAGAGCACACGACAGACAACCAAGCGTCTTTAGACACTAGGAAGAGAGCCAGTTCTGTGTTTTTCTCTGATTCCAAGCTGAAAACAGCACCCTCCCTACTAAACAGCTCTTCACCTTTACCTCCGCGCCGCAGCACCCGTAGGTCAACGGAGCCCCAAAGGAGGCCTCTTACAGTTTCTCTATCCAGATCAGACACCTTTAAATGCTCTCTAGAGGGCTCTTGTGACGAAGTTCCCATTACACACTCTGCAGACTCCTGGTGGCCGGCCCCCCAGGGGCTCCCCTCTCCACAAGCAAAAGGGCCCTCACCGTCTTCTGCATTGAGTTGGGGCCTCTTGGACCCATCAGACCTTTTAGATGCAAAATCCGAAGGCACATCGCAGTCCTCTATTAGCCCAGCTTTGCTTGCCTCGCAACAACCTCTAGACGGCTCCAGAGGGGCCTCCAGGCTTTTGCCTTCTTCTCCACCTTCCACGGGATCGCCCTCAGAGGCGAGCCTGCATTACAGTGGCAGTGACAGCTGTTGTAATAGCAGCAGCACCGTGTTTGAGGGTCGCCTGAGGGCGGTCCCCAAAACTGAGGGTGATAATGCTAGATACGGGGACCAAGGGTTCTCTGATGCTGGGGGGTTGCAGTTTGCAGTCACAAACAAAGGCAGGTTCTGCACTGCAAATACTCAGAGGGAGCCTCCGGTGGCCACGGAAGCAAGATTACCTCGTCGGGATAAAGTGAGCTTTCAGAAACCCCACTGGAAGAATTTGGAGGACAGCATTAACAAGGCTCAGATCCCCACCGCTGAGTGCAGCGGTGAGGCAGGGAGGAAAGGAGCCCCTGCGAGTGCGCTCTCAAGGTCGTTACAAAATCATGCTCAGTTAGCAGCAAAGAAGCAATTTGAAACCGTACCAGGAAAGCAGAAAGAAGTGGTTTCCGCGGAAGCTGAAGTCCTGACACACCAGGACGCACTGGTATGCAACAGGAAGAAGGTTGAAGCCCTGGAGCGGCTGCATGGGCAGCAGCATGCCATGCACCAAGTAGGAAGCATGCGGCGATCCAGAAACCTCACCGCTGACTCGTTGGCGCAGCGGAGTCCTCTTTGTTCTGCGAGAGAACTCCCAACGCCACCTCAGCAGCTGCAGGCTGCACAGCTACAGCAGGCACCACAGCAGCAGCAGCTCTCCCCGCAGCTGTGCAGCAAGGAAGAACAAAAGCGCGCAGAAGCTCACCAGCAGCAACTGAAGCTCGAGTATCAGCGTGACTCAGACCATCTGAACACAAAACCGCAGTTGCAGCTACCCGCCAAACCGACGAATTCGTCAATACAGTCGTTATACCCATTTCACACACTGGGGAGGATAACTGCGGAGGATGCTATCCTTTCAGACGGCAGCAATAGACACAGTGAATGCACGCACATCGGTCAATTTATCAGCACGAAGCGCCTGCGGGAGCAGCAGTGGTCGCGAGCGGCACACAGGCAACAGGACGAGCTGAGGAAGCTCAAGGCCGCTCTGGCTGCTGCTCATGCGCAGCACAAAAAGCAGCAGACACTGCTGCAGCGGAGACTACATGCATTCGAAGCAGAAGCAGCAGTAGCTGCAGCAGAAGCAGCCGCAGCCAGAGAAAGGGAAAAGCATTTGCAGTTGCAGATAGAAGAGCAGCAGCAACGCTTTGCCGCTGCTGAACGGTCTGCTGCTACCAAATATGCCGGACTGTTCCGCCAATTTCAGGCTGCCATGAGTCGTGAAAAAAACCTCCAGATGCACTTGAAAGCTGCACAAGCTTCGCTTACTTTCCTGTCGTCACTACGGCAGCAGCAAAGAGCTTGTACTCCAGACCGGCCTTTGGACCGCCTCCAGGGAGGCCACAGCATTGATGGCGCAGCTCGAAAGCTACGCAAATACAGCAGCCAGAGCTGCAGCAGTAGCCACAGTAGCAGCCACTACAGCAACACAGGAAGGGGTGCCGAGCCACAGGAAACGGATCACCTCTCGGACGGCGAGCAGAAGAAGGCCTCGACAGGAGTGCCGCCGGATGCAGTTTGTTTTTTAAAGGTCCCCGCGGAAATTCAACATCTGATTGATCATCTAGACACTGCCAGGGGCTCGGAAGCAGCACGCAAGGCCGATGCTGTAGGCAGTGTTCCTCCTGCAGGCATTGCAGGCAGGTGCAAGCAGCGGCTCGGAAGGGCCGTTTCTTTGTCCTCTGAATCTGCTGCCTCCTCCTTTTCCTGTCTACAGCGATCCAGGTCTAGGAGGCAGGAACGCCGTGACTGCGGCAGCGAAAACCTTCGCAGCAGAAGCAGCGGCTGTTGCAGTTGCTGTGTGAGGACGCGCGGGGGGCTGCAGCAGCGGCTCGCCAAAGCAACTGCAGAGCTCATTGCTAAGACTCAGTTACTTGCTGCCCGGGAAGCGGCGGAGGAGGAGCTGCAGCAGCAAGCAGCCGACAGTTCAGCAGCCGCCGTCGCAGCCGAGAAGGCAGCGGCTGCAGCAGAGAAAAAGTTACTGTGTGCAATCTCCAGGAACGCAGAAGCGCATGCCGAATTGACTGCTGCTGCTGCTGCAAAGCAGGCAGCGGCAGCTGCGGCAAAGGCCTCAGACGCACTGGTAGAAAAATTGCGCGCCTCCGAGAGGCAGCTCCAGCTTCAGTGTGAAGCTCTCAAAAGCGAAAGAGATAGCTGGAAGCAGCAACTGCAGAAGCACCTGCGCCAGCGGCACAAACTCTTGCAGAAAATGCAGCAACAGCACGTCCGCCTCCATGAAGAGCAAAGCAAATGCCCTGAAGAGGAGCAGCAGTCACAGCAGCACCGCCAGCTGCAGCAAGATCTGATGCTCGTAGGAGCACCAGGAGACAACGCGCCAGCGTTTCCTGCAGCAGCAGTGGCCGACAAGGACTCTGCCGCAGCCGACGGTGGCTCAGACCCATTGATACTTGCAGTGCGGCAACTGGTGGTCGGCTTTGCACAGCTGAAGGAGCACCTTCTCTTACTGAGGCGACAGGATGCAGAGACCCTGGTCTCTCCTCTCATGAAGAACTGCAGGCAGAATCAGCAGCAACAACAGCAGAAGCACCCGCAGGAGGAAAGCCACCAGCAGAGCGCCCCTCTTCTAGTTAGCTGGTGGCCTGAAGGGCAGCATGACCTCCCCAGCCTCGACACCACCACTAGCGACGGATCTGTCGAGTCGGTGCTGCGTGGTAGAGCTGAGCAACTCGTGTTTTACGTATCTAGCGTTTTGCTGGCTGTGGGGCGTCGGCTGGCAGCCAGCAGCCAGCGGGAGTTAAGGGTCTGCAGGGAAAACAGGGTGTTGCTGCAAAGGCTGAAGGGTGAGACAGCGAGGCGAATCAAACAAGAGGCCAAGAATGAGGTACTCAGCACGCACCTCAAGGCTCTTGATGCAAAGGTCAGCCCATTTCTTCACTCAGCCTCTGTGGATCTCTGAGCCTCTCCCTGCGACTCCTGCGAACCCCCTCTTTGTCGTTAGCCTAGTGCTAAGGAACTGCCGACGTGCAATGAGGTGGCTGTTTCTGGTTCTTGCAGTCTTCTGCTATGGAGTCCTTTGCGGCAGCAGAGGCTGAAGCAGCGGCAGAGCACCATAGGGCTGAGGTATCCCTTCTAAGCCGGCAGCACGCGGAGGCCTTAGGGACGCTCAAATCCTATGAGGAAGAAAGGGCTTTGCTGCTCTCGCGTCATCTAGCCGTTTGTAGCAAGGTGCAGCAGCTACGAGGGGCCCTTCGACGGGCAGTACAGCGGGGCCGGAAGGCAGCAGCTGCCGCTGCTGCTGGAGCAGAAGATGCAGTACTGCAGCGGCTCTCCGACTGGCGGGAGTCCCTCATGAGAACAACCGTTGAAGCAGCGGAGAGTTGCCGCATGAATCCCTGCTGTGGGAGCCGCAGCGGCAGCTGCTGCAGCAGCAAGTCCAGGCGCTGCTGCGGGGAGGCTTCTCCGTGGGATCAGAAGGGAGCTGCAGGCCACTTAGCGGCTCAAGGCTTAGCGCAGCGTCTGGCTGCCGCAGAACTCGCAGTGCTGCAGCTGCGACAGGCCCTGGCGAGAGCGTACCAAGGGTGTGCGGGCCCCTATGGAGAGCGGCAGTCTTCCATTGACCCTCCGTCTTACAGGAGTATCACACCCACGGCGAAAGAATGGCGAGAAGAAAAACGCGGCCTTCACGAGGAGCTGCGAGGCCGTTCCAGCGACGCAAGTAGTTGCGGTGTTCCTGGTAGGATGGCGTTGCAGCTAGTTCAATGCCTTCACAATCCCTGATAGACCTCTTCCGTTTTATGTGACAGGCAAAAATAGCGCGCCACGGGGGCGCAAGGATCAACTGGACGCATGCGTCGGTGCGTGAGACCGTGTTACGGCAGATATAACCTGCTGTGTGAGAGATTTTGCTTCCTCATGCGTGTCTGCAGACTCGTTTACAGAGTCTGCTAGACATCCTAATATTCTAAGAAACGGGCAGTCAAGCGTACAGACCACCAGAGAAGGGCCTTGCTTCGAGGCGACTTGCCCGTCTTGGGACATGGATTCCTCTCCAGAGCCAGAAGGCTCCTGCCAGGAGTCTGGATGCTTCTGCTGCATGAGCAGACGACATACATTTCTGCAGCAGCAGCTGCGGCAGCGGCAGCTATTCTCTGCATGCAGTGTTTTGAATCAAGAACTAAACAAGGCCTCAGGGGACCTAGAGAGAGCCCTAGCCGAGGCAGCACGGCTGATGGACTGTGTCAAAGCTATGAATAGGCAGAAAAGTCTTCTAGAAGCTGCAGCAGCAAAGGGAGAGGCTGCAGAGCTAGAATCGGAGGCACTTAGAACCAAAGTCGCTCTCCTACAGGTAAGGGGGCCTGATAGACGAGGCCACACGTTCGCACGAAGGTGGACCATCCAGCACGCATAGATTCATTGGCAGATCTGGATCCCATGGGGGCTTTGTAAGAAGCCAAGGAACTGAAAGCAGATAAGCAGGCATGTGAAAAGGTCCAGTGTACATTGGCATTAAGCAAGCTCTCCTACGGATGACCGTGCTGCCGCTAGATTGTGCGCTGCCAACGTCTTGCTGCAGGCCCTGCTCAAACAGGAGCGCGAACTCTGGAGCAGCGAGCTGCAGCTCTTGAAAGGAGCGCAGGCAGAGACACTGCCTGGAAACCTCCAGGGGCAGCAGAGGGAGCTGGTTGAGGCCCTCAAGACCGCACAGACTGCGGCGGCAGTGGCGCGGCAGCAATTGGAGCAGCAAGAAGGAGCAGTGCAGCAGCTGCACCTGCAAGTGCAGCAGCTGCAACAGGATGCAGCAGAACGTCTTCATGTGAGCGATCGCCTTCACGAGGCGCTCACACTCTGCAAGGGGAATTACGAGAAGGATGCGCACTCGGTGGATCCCCGTGGCGGCCAGAAATCCGGGGTAGGCCTTTTAGTTGATGCTATGGCTGTCCGACCTAGAGGCCTCTCCCGGCTTCCCTTCCTTTTAATTCTTTTGTGGTACTCCGTCTTTTCCAAGGCCCTTTAGACGCGTGTTTGGGCCGGACGCGGAGAGGGTGCACCTCCAGAGCCACCCTCTATGCAAACGGCATCCTGTAGGATCGTCCCTTTGGGGGGTCTCTTTCAAAGAAAGGCATCTTCCAGGCAGCTGTCACATGCCTTCATGTCTGGTTTTGCTGACTGCAGCTGTACAAAGTCTCGTTCGACGCCTCCGCCGTCCACTCTATGCTCTCTCTTCTGCTGGACGTGGGTGCCTGCCTGATGCTTGCTGCCGGTTATTTTCTGTGCCTTGATGCCTCCCGTCGCCCCCCTTCTTCAAAGATCCTTTTCCGTTGCATAGCCATCTTTTTGAGCTTCTTGCCTCTCATCTGGCAGCCTTGCAGCTTCCGTGTATTGTTTCCCCCCTCCCGGTCCTCCCCCTCACTTGCCTTCTGCCGTTCGCTCCTCATCCCTTGCTGTGCCCCTACGTCTACGCCTCTGTAGTACACCGACTCCGTCTGCCCTGTTCTAACTGCAGTTTTCACTCCGTCTTACCGCCTTAGAGAAAGAAAAGGCCGTCGCAGTGCTCCCACAGCTCGTATTGCAACAGCCGCACACGACTAACAGTCTACCAGCCCCACAACCAACCGAAGAACTCCTGCTAGCTCACAGGCTCCTCCTCGGAGACCTCCTCCAGGCCTTGCCGCACAGCGGCGACGGTGTGCTGCAACAGCAGCGACAGGAACCTCAGTGCATGCACCGGGAGGACCGTTACCCACATGACACGCTTAAAGGGAAGCCTCTGAAGAGCAAGCACCAAACTGATTCAGCAGCTGCAACAGCAGGAGCAAAGGCACAAGTGGCAGGCGCCGCAGCCTCCTGCCGTAGTCTGGCTGCTGCCGCTGCGGCCTGTCTACTGAGAGGCGAAGGCTCCTCGCTACTTGTCACTCTACCAAAAACCTGTGCCAGCTGCAGCAAGTGCATGTCGAGGGGCATAGCCACCTCCGCCGCTGCACTCGGTGGACTCCAAAAGCAGCGAGCAGCCAGAGAGGCTGAGGCGCAGGCGCTCCGGCTCTTACAGCAAGCTCAGAGACTCGGAGGGCCCCTCCTCTTCATCGCTGCAGCGCAGCATAGACTATCTACCCTGCTTACGTTCGAGGGCGCATGCAGTGCTCCGCTGGGTACCCGTGGTACTGTCGGTCCTGCACAACCGACAGCACCGCTGCTGCAGCTGGAGTCCGCAGACACAGCGGTGTCATTACTGCTGCTACAACAAATGCAAGGTGCAGCAGCAGCAACAGTAGACACCCTTGTGGAGGCCCACTCCCTCAGTCTTGCCCTCGGTGAATCCTTAGCTGCTCTTAGAGGAGGGGCGCCTACGCTTCCAGGAGTCTCTTCCCAAGCTGTGCAGGAGAACCCCCCGAATGTGTCAAAATATGCAAGATATCCTGCAGCAGTCTCAGCAGCTTCAACAGTGCAGCCGCAGAGCGCTATTGCCGGAGGCGAGCCACAGACTCCTCACATGATGCCGTCCCCGGACTGCGCTGCCGCCGCTCGCTGCAGTAGTGAGGGCCCTTCGGGAACAATGCCTCCTGACGCTTCGTGCGAGTGTGTGCATCCTGCGGCTGCAGCAGAACCAGAAGCTCCTTCAGAAGCAGCAGCAGTAACGGCACCAGAAAAAACGCCAGGCCGGCCCCCAGAGTCGTGCGTTCCTGGAGGAGTCTCGTCCAAAGCAGCTCATAGGACGGCTACTGAGAGACTGCCAGGAGGCTCTGGCTCAGAGAGGCCATCTAATCGCGTCAGCAGGCTCTCCAGCTCCAGTGACTGTAGGCTTGAGCATGCAGGTAGTGAAGGGGCCGCGGGTACGTGTGCTGGCCTCTGTCGGGCTGCAGGCGTCCGGCCCATCGGGGGGGGCACACGAGAGGGAAAAGAGGCCACAACGCATCAGCAGGAGCGCAAGGCGCTTTCGCGCGGAGGCTCGCAACAAAATAGATGTCCTACTCCAGCGGAGGAATCACGACAAGAGCGGCCGCAGCAGCTATCGCAGCAACATCCGCGGGGAAAAGCAACCACTCCGGGCAGCGAGATCAAGAACACGCCTTCAAAAGCAACACTTGGTATATCAGCGAGACTTAGGGGGATGCAGCCCGCGATATCTGCCCCATCAGAGGACCCCTGCGTCTCTCGCAAAAGAAGAAATCCACCCAGCTGCGTAGAACAACCCTGTGATGAGCATATCGGAAACGGGAAGCCCTCCTTGGCTATGCTTCCTTGCCAAGGCCCTTCCCAGCGGCAACTGCCTGAGCGACCCCCTGGTGAGGCTACCTCTAAAGGTGCTGGGCAGCCGCAGGGGACAGAAAAGTCGAAACACTTACACCACTCCTTGCAGTTGCAACAACAGCAGCAACTTCCAGAGAAGCACGCGGAGAATTCTCAGGAGCAGCAGCCACTGCAGCAACAGGCACCGTCTGACGCTGAAGCAAAGGGAGAGATTACGCATGAGATTCGATGCGGCCCTCCTAGCCGCACCGTACGGCCCCAGTGTCCGTGCTGGTTGCCCATCAGAGAGTATGTGGAGTTTAAACCACAGATAAGGGGCCCTCCCGCTGTACACCGAGTTTACTTAGGGTGTCCGCAGAGGCCTGCAGTACGCAACTGGAGGGTGGAACATCACCAGGCGCTTCCTGGTGGAGTGCGTTGGTCCCACCCGCCAAGCGCCCTGCATCTGCTCAAAACCCCCCAATGTCGGTGCATCAGCGGCACAGCTGCCGAAGGGCAGGAGACAGCGCTTTCTTGGCAGCTACCTCCCCAGCAGACTGGCGCCGCAGTCGGCAAAAGCAGCGGGGTGTACAGACAACGGAGAGCTGCAAGTGGTGCTGTGGTGAGGGGAGCACTGCACAGAGAGGGAACAGCAGCCTCTCGCACTGTTTCTTACGCAACCTCTCGTACACGAAGCAGGCAGAACAGTAGAGCGCCTCTTGCTGCCGCACGGGGTACGGGTGATGCAGGGGAGCCACACCCCTGCTGTTCGTAACTATGTGGGAAACTATCTGTTGGTCGGTCCGTAGACAATTTGGGTGGCCTGCCTCTTGGAACAATGAAAGAAATACGAACGTTGCGTATCAATTCCAAGAAAAACTATCAGGAGCATACTGTGTTACTTAACAGAGGCCTAGCCGCAGAGGAGGGCTGTTTCAAGGGCGAGCCCAAAGCCACAACCCAAAGCTCAAGCCCTGTACTATGGCAGTTAGTCCCCGAGGCATAAAACACGGCATACATGCACAATGTGGTTTACTGAGGAATTCAAGCATATCACTTTATCTAGGGCCTCGTAAAGAGACAGTTAGGTCCAAGCCTTATACAAAACTCGATAGGAAAAGAATATGGATAGCTTTGAAAAGGGCTTCCTCCTTACCCTGACCCGCGCACCTTGTATTCCCCTAAAAGATGACATAAGGAAAGCTGGGGTGCTCGTGGCTCGGTTTTGGGCCTTTTGAGCATTTGTAGCTAGTTGCACATGGCATTTTGTGCACACAAATACAAGGTTGATTCTTACCATATCGAGCCTGCTGTAGTCAATGACCAACAAGATATGCTAAAAGCCATAGTAAATAGTCAGCTGTCTACTAATTTTTAATTGTAAGATGGAAGCAGTGTGGAAAGGCTTCATATAAGGTCTCCTTAGGGAGACAATTGATTCCAGACTCCGCACGAACTACAGCAAAGCCATCGACTGTTCCTTCAGAAGAGCCTGCTGCTTACCCAGCCCTCAGCATTCCCGATACACGGAGACAGGAAGAGCAGTTTTGACCAGTTTGCGCTCTCTAAGCACTCTGAAGTATTCAAGCTAGTTGTACACAGCATCTAACCCACAAGTGCACTTTGCGTCGTGTACCAAACTACAGTGCTCTGCGATGTGTGAGGCATATGTACAGGTAGGCCAGCTGCTCCACTTTTAACTTATTCAAAACAATATATAACTAGGAGCCAGCACTTGCCAGGAGGCAGCTTAGCCCGCTGCAAATGGACTAGGAAGTGCCCACACGTTGGAGACCACGCTATGAAATTTCAGCAACCCGCGTTAAGTTCTATATTGCTTCTCCACTCCTGTTTGTGAGGGGCGCATCTACAAGAATAAACAAAGGAGGAATGAACTATCGAATTCGTGCCACCGAACAGTCCCTGGGAGTCCCTGTAAGGTTTCTACACACCGCGAATTGCTGCTCTGTGGTAACTCCCATAAAGGACGGACCAGATGAAACTGTGGAAGATATGCATTTTAAACAACACTCGTTGTATTGAAAAGCCAGAAAAAACCAAATCTGTGCAGTATCCTTGCGCAGTTGCCGCTTAATCTTTCGTTGCCTGCTGATGCTCTAGGACTTTGGTCTACAGTCTAGCATAAAACTTCGTCTTCCTGCCTCCTCATCCACTCTTCCGCGCAATGAATAGCCAATAATGGCCCAAACTGTGCAATCAAAAGATGTTTTGTCGTTCTTCTGCTCAGAAAGTCTCGTATTTTGTGGACGGAGTGCTCACTCGGGCGCACGGCTGGCTGTTCAGTGTTTCTGTCGGCGCTGGTAGTGGTCGCATTGAGTCAAGTTATTTTTTTATTTACAAGTGAACCACTTTTTTTTTCATGGAATGCTTGCGTATGAGTCATGTAAGCCGTGTCTTTGTGCTAGATTACCAAAATTGTTGTCAGACAGACAGTCGCTGTAGCGGACTATTTTCGCCGTTCGGCCGATTTTTTTGTGGCTACACAACTGAAAATGGATTCTCAAAAGCAGACGATCGCAGAGTTTGTAGGCACGCTTCTTCTCGTTTTTAGTGCAGGCTTGCTGCCCCTCTTAAAACTGGAGTGTCTTGATTTTGCAGGAGCACTCGCGTTGAGCTATGGCTTGCTGTTGCTAACAATGAAGGGGTTGGAAGCGAAGAGCCTAAACCCAGCCCTTACTGTCGCCGATGTGCTACGTGGGAAGTTGGAAGCTGGTGCCGCTTGTGTCTTAATACTAGCGCAACTAGCGGGTGCCGCAATCGGTGGCTTTCTTCTTTCCGTATTTCTGCACGATTCAGATATCTTCCCGGCCTCAACGGAGATAGCCACCACTGATCAGTTCATAATAACCCAGCTGGCCTTTAGTTCTGCGCTCGTATTTGCTTACATAAGGGGGGCGGGGGCCAGCAAATATGACGGTCCATGGCTAGCTGCCCTCATGTACGGGGCGTTCATGATCGGAGGTGATGCGACTGCATGTCTCAACCCAGCTGTCGCATTGGGCGTTAGTGTGTCTCGTGGAGTCTCGGGAGCAGCAACAAACGAAACTTGGTTGGCGTTGCTCATTCTGATGCCCTTACTGGCTGCGGGTGCTGCTTATCTACTGGATAAATCGGCACAGCACAACTTGCAGCTTTCTGAGCTCATTGGCACCTTCTTCCTTAGTTTCGGCATCATTGCCGCAGCGCTGGAAGGGGGCCTTTCCGCAGCAGTTGGCCTTGCCTTCTTCTCTGCCGCTGTTGTTAGGATGATAGCGCCAGCGTCCGGAGGTTCCCTGAATTGTGCAGTCACTGGGGGTGCTCTGCTGATTGAAGGGCGCGGCATTTCCAAAGATGCGATTACCATATGGCTGAGTCAGCTAGCTGGCGCCGTGTTAGCAGCGATAGCTGCAGCTCAGGCCCTAGGTTCAATGCCCTCTGATCTATTCCTTTTGGCAGGAGACTGGAATATGGTGGCCGTCTCTCTTGGGATCAGTGCGCTCCTGATGATTGCCTATTGCACAAAATTCGGCGACTTTCTGGGCTCCCCTGCTGTGGCTTTTATAGGAGCCGTTTACGGGGGCTCGATCGCAGCAGCGAAGAACGTAGTTTCAATAAACCCATCAACAGCCTTAGGTGCAGCAATCGCTTGGTTTGTTCAAACAGGAGAAGTACCACAACCCCTGGAGACAGCTTCTGCCGTCTTCGTTCCCGTCATTGGCTGCATGGCTGGTGCAATACTGCTGCGCTTCATCCCCTCAGAGTATCGCAGAAGGCTGTAGGAGACCTTCATGAAGTGCATGTTGTTTTCTTTACCCAGTCGAAGCGGTAGAATTGGACCGCGCAAATGCATATGTCGTCAATGGGGTCAAAATGGAATGCAGTTCTATGGGCAAACGGCCTTAAGGAACACTTCCAGGGTACCTGAACGATTGCTGATGCAGCGAGGGCAAGAACGGATGAACAGCAGAACGCGCGAATACCCCTACGCCGTCTGCTGTTGCCTTTGGCATATTTTTGCCCGAACTGGGCCTGGATTCAAGGTTTTAGTTTTTTAAGTCTTATTACGAACGTGCTTCTCCTTTCTTGGTCTTCTAGCGTGGCTCGAATCAACTAACGACTAGCAATAGCCGACAGATATCCACCGATGGTAGACGCCTGAATGGTGATGAACCCCTGAATTTCAGCTAGAGAGAGAACTAGCATAATACTCTTTTTAGCTGCTTCCTGCTCTTTCGCTCTTTATCTCTAGAGGCCTGGTACCAAGAGTACCCGTATCATACTGATTGAAACCGCAGTAGGGCTTAAGTTTCTGTCTGTCATGCGCCTTCTTATTGATGGGCTGCAAGATAAAGAAAGTTTAAGACGAGATGCACGCAGCGGTGGTGATAATCGCACATGAGGGAAAGAAAGTGATGAAAAAGTGCGTCATTACACAAGAAACAACCACATGCGGCTTTTCTGCCGCATCCCTAGAGGTATAGACCCTCCGGTATGTCGCCTTTCTTCCTATAAAGGGCTTTTTCCTTAGCCTGACGCAAGTCGTCTTGTGTAATCTTCATTCGCCTCTCACGCAACGCCAGCATGCCCGCCTCAGTACACATCGCCTGAGAAAAGAGGAAAAGGATGTGGAGAGACAGCGAAGACGTGAGAGCAAAGACACAGCAGCACGAATGTACCCGTGAAGCGTGAAGCTGAAAGAGGAAGATGCCGAAAAAGCGCAGGATTGACAGACAGCTTTGGCGAAATTGGGAGTAACACTGCCCCAGTCGGGATGATGATTGTGGCTTGTGGGTACCTTGATGTCTGCGCCTGAGAGTTCATCCTTCACCAAAACGAATTCTTCTAAGTCGACGTCGTCAGCCATCGTCATGCGTGAAGTATGGATCTGAAAATCAGAAACCAATGAAGGCGATGGCAGATCGCGCGCCACCAAGCATTTTGAGTCGTGGCCTATTCAGCCTTTAAAGAAAACTCGAAGCGTTGTGCATGAAAAACCCTCCAGCAGGGCACACAACGATTGAGAGAAAGCAGCGCATACTACAAGGCTCCCGCAGACAGCAACGCGGAAACTTCAAACTGCCAGCTTCCCCTGGCCTCCCTCCCTCCCCCCTTCTCCCCGCCAGACGGTGTCTGTTGCCCATTTTGCGTGTCGCTGGTTCGCCTCCTTCCCGCCCATCGTACTTCAAAGATTTTGCGCTTCGTCTTCGTGTCAGGGTTCGGCAGTTGGATCTTGCGATCGATCCTTCCGGGTCGGATAAGGGCAGGATCGAGAGATTCTATTCGGTTGGTGGCCAAAATCACTTTCACATCGCCTCGAGCTTCGAAGCCATCCAGCTGGTTCAGGAGCTCCAACATGGTTCGCTGAATTTCCTTCTCTCCGCCACTCGTCGCGTCGTATCTGCACGAGGTGTAACTCAAGAGAGGCACAGCATACTTGCGCCGCAAAGCAGAAGCGCGGGAGAGGGGGAGGGCAACGCAAAACCAGTGGGTTCTACCAAAGGCGGCCTCCTCCCTGAATCCCTCTACAGCGCGACAGCCGAAGATGCCTGGAGCGCACACCCGGCAACCCTGCAGCGACAGAGGAAGATGAGGACCAACCGTTTCGTTCCCACGGCGTCAATTTCATCGATGAAGACGATGGACGGCGCATGCTCCTTCGCTAACTTGAACATCTCGCGCACGAGCTTCGGGCCGTCTCCCAGGTACTTCTGGATGAGTTCGCTGCCAACGACGCGCAGAAAAGTGGCACTCGTCTCGTTCGCCACGGCCTTCGCCAGCAGCGTTTTGCCTGAAGCGAGCAGCAAAACAAGCGATTCTTTAGTGGCACGGCGCCAGAGACGTTCCAAGCGCGAAACACACACAGGGAATTCGACTGCATGCGAGAAGCGCCTCAAAATCACGTCCGCACAGCCCAGAGAGCAGCAGCTGCTGCGCAGCAGCTGCTGCTGCTCTCTGGGCTGTGTGCGAGCCGGGAGGGCCGCATGCAGCAGACACACAGACGAATGGAAGTAGCACATGGAGTTCGGGGAGTGGCAAGAAAAATCGCTTGCACGTGACGCTCTCGTTCACGAGGGCCAGAGCCAGACGCACCCCAAAGCCGCAAAGAACAGGGAGGAAGTCAGAAGGGAAAATTTTCGCGGAGAGAAAGAAAGGAGTATACGAGGACGCGAACGAAGATAGAGAGGGGCACGACGACACACAGAGAGTGAGAGTGCATGCGGATGCAAGGGCAAAAACACGTGGGCTTTACCGGTTCCTGGGGGGCCGTATAAAATGACGCCTTTAGGGGGAGCGATGCCGATGTCTTCGAAGAATTCAGGATGGGTCAAGGGAAACTCGACGGCTTCCTTCACCTCCTGAGGCAAAAGCGAACGCGTCGAAGGAGATGCAGAAGGAGTATGCAGCAACAAACAGAGATCGGCCATGCGCCTGTTGGGGAGTTAAGAACGGCAATAAGGAGAAGAAGGTTTCATGGGGAGGCCCCCTAAAAGATCACCCCCCACCACCAACAAACATTCGCCTGCTGAAATACCTGAATTTGCTTTTCCAGCCCTCCAATGTCGCGATACGTTTCCAGAGGAGCCTTTTCTACTTTCATGACAGAAATGAGAGGATCCACCTCGTCGCTCAGGATGCCTACAATGCTGCTCGTCTGAGCGAAGCACGCATGCGCAAGAAAGACGAGGCTCCCGAGGACCCCTGGAATTGGCGTTTGCGCTCACACCACGAAGTCTGTCTCAATACCAGAAAGGAAGCAGCGCGCAGGGAGAACGAGCAGGCACACGTGCCGCGAACAGAGGCAGTGCATAGAATGGTACATTCTATGCTTCTCCCCTTCTTCCCTCTCTTCCTCCCTTCTTCCCTACCTCCATACACACGCTTCTACACACTCAAGAGCGCAGAAATGTATACAGAGGGGTGGGGTGTGTGCCAGTGGAAGAGGGGCTCATAGATGACGCCAAGGAGTGGCAGCTGAAGGCACCTTGTTGTGGAGGAGGACAGAGCATCCAGGCTCCAGCAGATCCTTGTCTACGAACGAGAGAATGTTGACGTAGTACTCTGGACCTATAGAAGAGCTGACGATCGCATGCTGGTCATCTATGAGCTCTTCCAGGGTGCCCACACTCAAAGGTGAGCCCCGCAGTTCATCCACTCGGGAGACCTCTTCCTGCAGGAACAAACATCACGCAGCTTGAAGAAGCGTAGAAGCGCGATTCAAGCGAGCCAAGGATTTGCGGCTGTTTTGCAGAAGCAGCTGGAAAGCGGCTGCAGCAGTTTGGACGCGTCAGCGGCCATGGTCGGGGCGCAAAAAGAGAGAGCACGACGCGAGGAAGACAAAACTTGTTTGTAGAAAGGAAACGGTCTCAGCAGGAGAAAGCACTCTCTACTCGTCGAGTGGCTGCTGCTGCTGCTGCTGCTCTGCAGGCGTTTGGCCTGCAAGACGTGGACGGGGACTGTAGAGCCTGCAGAACAAAATTCGGGGTCGTGAATGAGTGCAGCCACGCACTTCATTCCTTTCCTCCGCTGGCTTATGATGCTCTTGGTTGCTAATGTACTGCGGCACGCACAAAGACGCAAAGGCGGAGAGAAGGGCAGGGGGTCACCCTCGATTGAATATTTTACCGAAAAAAAGGCGGAAAGCCGTGGGGGACGCAAACAGCCAAGCACACAGAAAGTGCAACACGGCGCTCGGGAAAAAGAGGCGAGTCTGTTCCCTCCATATGCACGAAAACAGAGTTGCAACGCAAGAGCAGTTCATAGAAGCATAGCACCTCCTGCGCGTCAGACAGACACGTTTGATCGTTGAAGAAGGTTGAACACTCAAACATTCTCCCCTTTATGCCTTCTTCTTAATCCTCGCGCCGTTTCATGGCCAAGCAAGGGTAGAAGGGGAAGGCTAGGAGGGGTTGGGGTGTACAGTGGACGTTTGCAGACAGCAGTACCTCCTCCTCGAGTAGCAGGTAATCCTTCACACGTTCCAGCTTCAGCAGACGCATGCGGCACTTTGTTACTGGCGTCACTGCAACAAAGAGACAAAGAAAGACGCGTCTGATGAGGATCAGTGGGCGGACGCAAAAAAATTGCGGCAAAACGCCACGACATGAACTCGCTATGCGACCGCAAACCCTCGAACTCTCGTCGGCCCCTTGACAACTCGCCGAATGAGTGAAGCAGACTGCAATAGGGGAGACAACAGAAGCCGCCATTCAAAATTTCACCGCTCGGTAATTTGGAGGCGCCAATAGTGCCCTTTGGCTTCTTTCGCCTCCCGACGTGTGAAGGCGGAGCAGCCTCGAGGGGCTTCTTCTCCTTCTTCTTGTCCCTCTTATCATCTGCTCGAAAGAATGACACGCAGTCTCCCCAAGCATACACGCGTTTTTAGAGCTCGAAAATCTGGCTTTGCCTGCCCTTTCCGGTGAGCATCGGACACCTGCTTCGAATTTGAACATGGAGAGTAAGGAGTTCAGCATCTGCCGAACGAAAGTTTTTGTTGCCGCAGTAGCCCCTGGAATTCATCGTGCCACTCATTTCGCTTCGTGTGAACGTACCGCCACCCCCCGGATGGCCCGGAATGTTGAAACCTCCATGCGCATTGCCCATCTCCTCGTGGCTGGTCCGGCAGATTCAAAAATGCGCCGTGCAAGCCTCAATGTCGACTGCCCCCTCTGGCTGCCTGCCCTTCTTCCCTTCTTGTTTTTTGGCGCGTTTATATGAATTTACGTCCCCTTTATTTAACTTGCTTCGTTCGTCAGATTCGTGCTGTTGCGCAGCGGAGAGCAGCCGCCTGTGGTGTTTGCCAGTGTGTGGCAGCGGCACCCACGGGAGCTGCGCCTTGCTGCGCTGAAGGGATCGCAAACGGTTTTGAAGAGGGGAACGTAGGAGAGACGAAGAAAATGGGGGGAATGCAATAGGGGGCTGCAGCACGTAGGTTTCCTCTCATGCCATTCCCCGAAATAGCTGCGCGCTCTAAGTAGCAGCTCGGGAACGAGGGCTGCACCCTTGTCGCTAATCCGCGGGATTGGTTTCGGTAGAGACACCAGAAAACGGTAGAGACTAGAGCTGACAGTACTCTTAGAGTCGCTCTTATTGGGGTCGTCGCCATCCTCCACCGTCGAACACGCAGACAGCAGCCCCTTGGTCTAGGGCTGCTGCCGACACACATGCCGCATGCAGCAGCAGCACCTCATGATAGTGGTCGAAGGAATAACCTACGGGCCCCCAAAGCCTAGAAAACCCTTACAATTTATTTTCTCTGTTGGTTTAGGCATAACTGGTAGGCTCTTCTGGTGAACAAGGCGATGTAGGTGCAGACTTGGCCTAGGACGCTGTTTTGCGACGGTTTGCTGCTCTCCTTAAAAAAGCGAATCGCAGCGTCGACCGGCGCATCCGCTTCCCCAACCTCACGTTCTTCAAGCTCGAACTACGTCCCTGCAGGGAGCGAACCCGAGCAGTAAGCAAAGAGCGCTCTCCTTCTGCTCCTCTTCGGGGTGTTGGCAGAAGTTTCGCTGCGGGCTGCCGGCGGCTTCTCTTGTTTCCTAGGGGCTGTCCTTACCACCTCTTCCCTAAAAAGTCTGGATTCTACTTCTGCCTTGTTCTGGCTTTCCTTTGGGTCCAAGCGGCACTGGTGTGTGCCCCTTCGCTCGCCCCGTGCGCTGCCTATGGCGCAAGGCTGGAATGGCAACGAGTGAAGGGGGCTCGCAGGGAAAGCTCCCTCTCATCTCGCCTAGCCAGCGGATCGGAGGGTATTGGCTCCAAGGCTTCCAGGCCAAGAGTCCATCGTCGTACTAATAGGAGAGGAACACATCGCCGCAAAGGTTGTTGACGGCTGCAGAGATGGAGCTCTTGCGCCGTTGCTGCGTTCGCCTCTTTGCAACTTCTTATGCGAAAAGCTCTTTCCATGAAGGATCGATAAACCCCTTCGCCGATGTGCAATGGTTCGTCCGCTTGCTTGCGCGGCAGTCAATGAAAGCGGGACGCTGAGGAGCGCCTGCGTTCATGTGACGGCGCACTAAACCCTCGAACGCTCTGCTGGATGTGTTAGGGTGCCTGCCTGCTTGCTGCGTTCTGAGACTGCGCGCTTCTATAGCGGCTTGCCGCCTGCCTTCGCCTGCAGGATCGCGCGGCCTTTCATGAAACGGAACATGCCCAAGAACCACGTGTTAGCCAAGCCTCACAGGTCGCTGAAAGCTGTCACGCTTCTCGATGAAGAGACGCGAATCAACTGGCATGTCATAGACGCCAAAGGCAAGGTACAAGCCGTGCCAGCTCGAGGGGGCTTGATGGATGCCCATGCATGGACGCGTTTATTCCTCCAGCGGCGAGGCCGTTGTTGTGGGCTCTAGAGCAGTTCTCGCCACTGGGGAGGCGCGGGGGGGGGGGGGCGGGGAGGGGTTGCTTGTGGCGTCTGCGCGTGATAACTGCGGCGCCTTGGATGTCAGAGTGCTGCGTTTTCTGCTGGTAGAGCGTTGGAGGCCTCTCTGCGCAGATCAGCCGCTTGCTGCAGGGGAAACATCGTCCTGACTATTCGCCTCTGAAGGTGTCGGGAGACTCCGTCGTGGTAGTCAACGCCATTCACGCCAAATTCTCGGGGCACTCTTGGGACACAAAGATCTACCGATTCGAGAGAAAGAGTGCGGAGAAACTGTTTCTTACAAGCCACCAAGCGTTGTTAATTCTTGAAGTCTCTCAGATGCGCGCTCGACGCCTGAATGAGGCCCCCCTTTTGCAGGAGGAGGGAGCACGGCTTCTTTCGTCATCGCGCGTTTGAGGGCGCCGTACTCCTTCGACGTGCACACGGGATGCATGCGCGGTAGTTGGGGCTTTCTAAGGCCGAGCGCTCTCCGGCAGGGGAGATTGGTGGGCCCACGCCGGCAGGGGGGATCCTCGTACGGAGAGGAGATGGCGTTTTTCACGCGTGTGTTTGCGCATGTCGCTTGTGTGGTGTCTGTTCCCTCTGCGTCGTGCAGCGCATCCAGGCGGCCCTAAGGTTGTGACTGCAAAGACGCTCATGGCTCGCAACCCCTCCATGATTGTAAGTCCTACAGGCGGGGAAATTGTGGAGGGCAAGGGGGGAGGGGTGGGGGACCGGCTTTTCAGCCAGAAAAAATGCTGCAGGGGTCTCTTTATAGAGGCAGTGAAGGCTTATTTGGACTTTGGCGCGATATTTTGCGGGGTATAGGGGACTCTATTGGGGTTGTCGGGTGGGCGTACTGACAGTGCTGTGCGCTTGACGTTCGCATGTTGGTTGGGGGTGTTGTTCCTGCTGGCGGCTCGAGCCGATGTGCATGACTGCACGCCACGCTGCGCTCAGATAAACCTGGCCGTGAAGCGGATGCTGCCCAACAACCGTCTGAGGCAGTTATTCTACAGGTAGGGGGAGAAGGGAGGGGAACGGCCCCTTTTCCGTCCCTTCTAAGCGAATCCGCTGGCCTGTATCCGCAAAAGGCGCACCTCCGCAGCGCCATGAAAAAGACACTTTGCCTGTGGCGATCCCCTTCTGCTGCGCCTTACGCAGGCGGCTGTTTGTGTATCCCGGAGCTCTGCATCCTCATTGGCAGCTGCCTCAGGTCGTGGTGCCTGCGCAGCCCCCCCCAGAGGCTCCCTGCTGTCCGTTCTCCCTGACGCTTCCTAGGGAGGAAGACGCCGCAGAACGGATAAACGCGCTTAACGAAGCCGCTGAGCTGGCAGCGCGAGAGGCCTCAGGCTTAGGGGGCACGCCATAACAGCCGCCTGCATCGCTGCAAGCTCTGTGCAAATAAGTTTTCTTCTTGCACGAACTACGGATTCTGAATAACGCACGCAGACCAGTTGCCGCTCGCAGCCAGCCCAAGGCAGAGTTACAGGAGTTCCTGCAACTCGGAGAATTATCCCATCCCTATTGCGGCCGGGTGTGGCTTCTTTGCTTTCACTGCTGCCAGAGCTGCCACGACTCCGCAGCTTAGGGCCATGCGGAGCAGCGCCTTTGCGACTGCAAACGCGCGCACTGCGTAAACACATGTTAGCCGACTCAGTAGCTTCGCCTTAGGAAAGCGACGTCCGGCGCGAACTGTAGAGGGCATTACTGCCATCTAACCCAAAACTCAGGTAATAATTGATTAAGCGATTCTGCAATAGAACTGTATCTGTTCTTCGCTGGAAATTTTCTCTTGGGGTTAAACGTCCACAAGACGACACACTGAGTAACTGCCTGTTGAGGAGAATCATCCTGGGGGCACTTCCCAGCTCAATGCAAGATAAATAGCACGTTGTTGAATGTCTCGCAGAAAAACATTTTTGTTCCCGTGACCCCGCCTGTGAGTTGTCCCGAAGTTAGAGGAGAGGGGTGCGTCGCTGGACCCCCTTGGTATGTTGAACATAATTAGCAGTGCGTCTTTAGCTTGTGTCCAGCTAACCCCAATCTGCAACACATTGTACATTCGAGCAGACAAACCATGTCGGTTCTCTACTTATTTCCAGCTAAGAGTGGCTAGTGTAATAAGAGGTGTATACGTGGAGATACGTCTCCTATATACTGGCAGAATCAAAGGGCGATAGGGCCACAGTGTGCGTCAGTTACAGTGCCCAATATATAGTTGGGTAGTGACCGTGAAGCAGACCAGCCAGATGCGGCCTCGGCACCGAACACAGCAGGGAGTCCCATAGCTGCCCATGCGTGTCGGTACCTTAAATTAAACCACAGAAAAGGCGTATATCTACGCTTGGCGACCAGGTCCTTGAGATGTTCAGGGAGTGCTGCAGCTTTCAATGGTAGGGTTTGTGGGTCTGGCGGCGTAGCTGGTTGCTTGCAGTGAATGTCGTTGCTCTTTGCTACCCTACTTCGTCCTTCCTAAGCGTTGAACTACTTTAATGTGCGTACAGAAAACGTTGAGAACGCGCATTTTACACGTTGCCTCTGCATGGCAAGGGCCACAAGAGCTCCGCCGACGCACTTAGAAATAGAGTTAGTGGCGAAGTGCGCTCGGAGGTGATTTCTTCAATATTCAAAGACATAAAGAAATTACTGCTCTAGAAATATCTATGAACATAGAGTTTCCATTCGGTGGAACTCGTGCTTTGCCGCACTGGTCCAGTGGGGTGATTGAAATCATGGCGTTGCATTGCGAAACCAAAACGCATTGGTGGTAAACAATCAAGAACCATGAAATCGGGATATATTGATGTAGTTTAAATATATATAAACGCCTGAAAACACTAGAAATCATAGTAGAGTTGCCGCCTAGAAGACAATGGGCGGCTCGAGTTGCAGGCGACCTACAAAACAACACAAGCTGGCCAAGACGCACCAGGGAGTAACCTGCGCCCCTACCAGCTTTATATTTCAATGTTAAAGGTAAATAAGCCCTAGTTGGCATGACTTTCTGTTGTTTCGGTTAGTTTTTTGGCGCATCCCCAGACAGAAGCCAAGAGCAATATTCAATGGCCGGCGCCGTTGCCAGCTTAGTTCTGCAGCTTGTATAGTTCAATCGCGTTCAATTCATGGAGAGGAAATGTATGAACCATTAAATTGGCCTCGTCTGGCCCAGAGCTTGGCCGCCATTCTCAAAACTATTCGCTGGTTAATATCGTAAGTCCGCTTTAATTCACATTCTTTCGAGCAAGACACGTATGCATGCCGAAAACCCCAAGTGCCAGAATTAGGTTGTTCGCTCCCATATTGATTAACCGTTCCAAACAGTCATCTCCAATGCAGGACAAGCGGAGCCTGGAAGAGAAGTGACACTTGACTATTGCCGTTGTTAGTGCTCTTCGCATCTTCGCCGTTACTTCTTAGCCCCATCCTCAGAATTCCCGCTGTGGAAGCAAATCGCGTGAAGGCAGCACAGCTAGATAAGTGGCCTTCTTTTCGTTTCTGGAGCATTTTCCCCAGGAGCACCGAATGCGATTCATTGAGGTGTTTTTAGCTGCAATTCGGGGGCTTTTGGGCTCGATCCAGCAGCCACATGGGCACACCGATCGGGGGCGATGTTGACATGAAAGAAGCAGAAGGACGTAGCAGATGCTTTGCGCGGCTGTCTTCATAGAAGGTGCGCCCAAAGGAACCTGCGAGTGCCACCCTCAGACTCAGGCCACAGGTGTAGCTCCCTTTCATGCTATTTTGCTTACGCGTCCATAGTTTCACACTTCGCTCTTCGTCGGCATCACTTGCACTGTGTTTTTGCGAGTATATCAGCTTGCGTTTAGAGGGCTTCCCATTATGTTGGCCACCTCCCTCTCGGCTTCACCCGCGCCTGCTCCTTCCTGTGCCCAAGTGTATGAACCGCTGCTTCTTTTTCCATGTGCAGCTCTCTGCCCGGAAGTACCACTCGCTAAATGTCTTCCACTGTCACGAGCTCGAAGCCTTTCGACCAAGGCGCTTCTCAGCAGAGGGGGACCCTGGTGCAAGGCGAAAGGGCTGGTCCGCTGCTAGTGAAGCCCGCAGCGACTTCACACGCACTCACCAGTCAGGGAAACGGCCTCTGCCAAGCTGCGATAGACACCGAGCAGCAGAATGACTGCAGAGCGCCGCCCTGTGCGAGCTCCGGCACGACGAGGCGAGAAAGCGATGAAGTGGCCGCCACATTCGCAAGTTCTGAGGCTTCCTTCATGAGGAGTTTGTCGGGGAACGCCCCTCCGAAGACTGAGGCTCCCAGGGGAACCCCGGGTGTCTCTTTGGAGAAACACTATTCGAAATCGTTGCTGAGCGCAGCAGGGTTTAGGACTTTTGTCTTGTGCTACCTTTCATATGCTGCACTGTACTTCACGCGAAAGCCCTTCTCAGTAGTCAAAGAGGAGCTGCGGTTGGAATTCGGCGTTTCGGCTTTTGTCTTAGGCTGCATTGACACTGCGTTTTTGGGGTGCTATGCGACTGGGCAGCTATTGCTTCCATTGTGCCTTGCGGGCTCCTCTCGCGCCCTTCAGCGTTGGCTGATCCTTGCCTCTTTCTTTGGCTCGTTTGCCACTGTCTTCGCCTTTAGTTTCTGTTCTGGCCCCCAAGGATTTGCGGTCTTCTGGGGTTTGAACGGGCTGCTCCAGGCTCCCGCGTTCCCCGTTTTTGTTGAGCTGCTGAGCCATCGCGTCAGCACTGCCAGCAGGGGAAGGGTTTTAGGCTCCTGGACGACCAGCCAGCAGCTCGGTAAGACGCCCTGTGGAGTAGTAAATGATAGGGGAGTGTGTCTTGAAACAGGCCTTTAAGCCACGCGTAAACAGCACTTGTGGCTAGTCCGGACCGTCGATCCTTCGGCCTTACATGCTTCCACTCTCTTTAATCTCGCTCATGAACTTTAGCGCCTGCAACTCAAGCGGTTGGGGACGGCTAGGAAGTCACGTGCGCACTTCATGGGAAGCTGGCGATAGCGGCTCAGCAAGCGCCTTTTCCGAAGGCTGCCATAGGCTGGTTCTGTGGGATAGCTAGCTTCTCGCTCTTCTGAAGTTTAGTTCTGATGTGTCGTGTTTGCATGTCGGTTTCTCGGTGCCTTCAGGAGGGATGGTTGCAACCCTCTTCTGCTCTCTTGTTGATTGGATTGGTGGGTGGCGATCGGTCTTCTGCTGTTCAGCCCTCCTGTGTCTCGTGGGAGGCCTCGTGCTCCGGTTGATCCTCCCGACAGTAATGCAAGAAACTTTTCCACAAGATTTTCAGGAGGTAGAAATCCTTCCCCTTACGCAAAGTCTCGGGGGCTGTACAGAGGAGGGGGGGGCCATCAAGGAGGGCACTCTGGAGAGTCCTTGCCCAGGTTGCGCCTTGAATAATCTGGCTGTTCGCGGATCCGTAGATGCTGGTGCATCGCACCTTTCGACAGACACTACGGGGGAGGGGCATCGTGGGAATGAGCGTTCGTCGGCGGAAGCTGAGGAACGCCTTCAAGAGGGGCCAGGGGGGACGCTTTCTACAGCGCTGAAGCCGCAAAGAATCACACTGCGCACAGAAAGCCCGGAGGGGCTCCGGGCAGATTGCAGCCTCTTTTCGCGAGAAGACGACGAAGCAAGGGAAGGCAGCGACAGCAATTGGGAAACGCAGACACATTTAGAAGACGAGACATGGTCAGAGCGGGGAGGTGGCTCTTGTTCTCAAGCCCCGGGGTGGAGCAAGATGCAACTGCCCGCAAGAGGTGTGCCTCTGCCAGCAGCTTGCAGCACGAAGAAGGGCGTCGAAGAGGCCTCCGTAGCCGCATCATGCACGGAGAATGCGCTTCTGCAATGCCCCCAACAGGGCGGAGGCCGAACACTGGGAGGCAGCCGCCTCTCTAGAAGCCCTCCTGTGGGCTGTGCGCCCCCCCCATTTCGACTGACGGGCATGATAGCGCTCTGTGCCTTGGGCTTTTTCTGTGTCAAGTTTGTTCGGTGCAGCTTAGCCTTCTGGCTGCAATACTTCCTGTGCAGAGAGGGTGCCATGCCCGTGGCAGCTGCGGGCTTCGGCTCCGTTTTGTTCGACGTTGGAGGGGCCGTGGGAGCCGTAGGTGCAGGCCTTCTAGCGGACAAGCTGCTCAAAGGTACTGTTGAAGGGGAGCCAACAGGGGCTCCAAGCAGTGCCTGCGGGAGTAGCTAGAGAGTGGCAGTCGAGAACGCGTCTGCGGGAATCTCGGCAGACGGTACGGCAGCAGGCAAGGTGTTTCCCCCACGCATCTGTGGTGTGTGTATCGCTTTTCAGGACGCCGTCTAACGCTGGCCGCCCTTCTGTGCGTTGGGACCAGCAGCTGCCTCTTCCTGGTGGCATGCTCGTCTCGGCAGCTGCAGCGCCTTCGGCTGGCACGAGAGAGCCTCGCGCTAGAGCGCCAGGTGTCTCTGCTCCTTCTCCGGAAGGAACTGCAGGAAGATTGGACTCGCCTGCAAGAAACGGAAAGCCTCCGCAACGCAGAAGAAGCTTTGCCCAGGCACTCCTCCAGTGGCAGTGCCCTGAGCACGCCGGGTGGGGGGGGGCTGCCAGCAGAGGATGGCGCCGCATTGTTTATTGGTTTGAGGGATTCTCAGACGTTCTTCGAAGAGCCTCGAGGAGGCTTAGAGGAGGAAAATGCCGGTGAAAAAGAACGCAGCGCAGCTTCGGAGCAACGCCTGCCCCCACCCAGACGGGCGAAGGAGGCACCCCGGCAGTTACTTCTGTTTCTCTCAAGACCTAAGGAGAACCCCAGCTCACCAAGCGAGGAAGACTCAACAGCCGCTACCACTCCAAGAGCCGTTGCGCGTCCAAGCCGTGGGGGACTGCCTTTTGGCGGAGAAATAACTTTGACGCAGGAAGGCGAAGCGGGGAGGCCGCGTGCACCTGCTTTAGGCACAAGCATGCCAAGAATTGCGTCCCCTTGGTTGGCTGCAGGAGCCCTCCTGGCGTGGGCACGGCCCATAGATCGACTGCATCAGACAGGCGGGGAGGGGCTCAAGGAATATCATGAGCAGGAGGGCCCCACAGCGTCTCCCCACGAGCTGATGGGCCCCCCTAGTGGTCCACTTGCATCGGCCTACAACCCCCGGAAATTGGAAGCAGTGGAAAGCGCTGTAAGGGGCGCCTCGTCTGAGGCCGTTGACACTGCATCTCCTGCGGTGCCAACCTTCACACCGGAGATGGAGGCAGGCATCCGTAATGTTCAGCGGCAACATGAGGAGAGAGTTTCTATGCTTTTGCAGGATGCGGAACTCAAGAGCCACAACCTGCAACAAGAACGCAACCACCAGCTGCTGCTGCTTTTATCGTGCTTAGTACTTGTTGGGTTGTTTGGTGCTGGACCCGATTCAGTGCTGGGAGCCTCGGCAGCTCTGGACCTCTTGGAGCTCCCAGGGGCGCCGCAGAACAGCCCTGCCGCAGTCTCAGCTTTTATTAATGCGGTTGGAGCATTAGGGGCCCTTTCTCAGGTCAGTTGGGGGCCCTCTGTAGCGCAGTGAGTTGCGGCACAAAGAGGGAGAGATCCTGCGCAGATAGATCGCCCGCCGCCTACCCCGATACACACACGAGCACGCTCTACGAAAAGCTATATGTACATATATGTATGCACAGTATATCTGGCTACCATTGTTGAGTTTATGAGGGGCTGCCTAATCGGTTGTTGCTGACGGTGCTTCAATAGGAGTACTGCTGAGGCCTTCCTCGCTGCACACATCCTGGGGATGGTTCTGGCCTGCTGGAGGCGTCCCTGAACCAGGCGGTCGACTCGCATGTGTATTGCATGCCTGCCTGCCTTCATGTGACCCCTTATCTGCCTTCAGGGTATTTGCACAGCCGCAGTTAGCGAGCTTTACGGCTGGGACGTCCTTTTTGGCCTCTTATCTGTTTTGTGCCTTTGCACGGGAGCCCTGCTGCTCCCAGCGGCGCTACGCGAGAAAAGGTGAAGGGCGAAGTTCATCCTTGGCGCGTGTACTACCGCGGGTGTCTCACCATCACATTTAATGCCGCCTGCTTTACAAGCAGCTGAGTTCGCGTGTCTCACGAAGCCGCTTCGTCTTCTTGACAGAAACGGGGACGGCGTCTGCTAGCCATTACGCCAAAATCACCGTAAACCCTCCATAGGAGGCATATTTAAAGACAGAACGAGGTGCTTTTTGGCCTCTTATTTTGGTTGCATGTTACGGCTCCCACAGGGCTTTTGGTGAGCGATTCCATCACGTGTGTCCAAGCTGGAAACATTGACAGTTGCGCGAAACATTCGAGCGCATATTTTGAGTGCCCTGGCTTCAAAAGCCACTAAAGTGGGTCACCCTCCGATCTCTTCTATCTAGGAGCCCCTACCGGGGTGGAGGCATGAACTCAGAAAGAGTTTGAGTAGGAAAGACTAGACAACGGCAACACGGCTGGTTCTGTGTTTCGGCATCAATCACGCTAAGAAATTCGTTTACGTTGGTGACGACTTTGCCAATTTTCTTGTTACAGCTTCTCCGGCCTCGTGCCTGTCCTAAGGAATGGGCTCGCCATCGGCTTTGATTCCCCTGCGTCGAGCACTTTAAAGGACGAGGCTATAGCACTCCATTTAGAGGAAAAAAATAGTCTACCTCGCAGCTTCAATGCGTGGAAGACACCACCTTTTCACGTGGCTTAATGAATAAGCTGCAGTATGTAACGCCAGAAGAACGCAAATCTTGCAGTTTCCTGTATCAGGGGGAACGCACATGTACTATGGCCCTCAGCGCCTGAGGGACTCTGCGACGTCCACCACCGCGACTGCAGCCGTCCTCTGTCGCATTTTCAGGAAATATAGATCATGTGACTATGATCTTCATTTTTGGAGTCAATTGCCCCAGAGGGCTCTCAGAACTCGACAGTTCAGCTAAAGAGGCGCCCTTCTGTCGGCCCTGCCCAGTGGCCGCTCCAACGGACTGCCGAATATTCACCTTCCTTATGTGAGTAATTAACAAGAATTCTCTAACAGAACCACTGTGAATATAGAGCTTAGGGCAGTTTTATGAAGTCCAATCGCTCAAAAGGGAGCTGCTTTTGCTAGTGTCTTCGGTTCTGGCGGTGCAGCCCAAGAGGCGAAATACAAGCCGGGGGCACCGGTTCATGGAAGCACAGTGGCATCCTGCGCGCTCAGGATTGTCCTTTCAGTTTTACAACTGTCTTTTCAATGGGCACAATTTGTCCATCATGAAGGTGCCAAGCCCTGTGCGCAGTAGGCTTCGAGTGTCCATCAGCTCGCCTTCGATGTGCCGCCTATTTTCTAGCTTCTTGGTCTTTGCGGGATTCTTGCTCTTTGCACATGCCTCTGTCGCCCCCAAACCCACTCCTTCTAGTGGCAAAGCCTCTTCTGAGAAGCAGTATGGGGCCGAAGGGGAACGGGGCCCTACACATCTCGGGCGGCTCCACGAGTACAAGCGCGTGGGCGCAGATCTCGTAGGCCTGTGGCGTGAGTACACCGCAATGACCGATGCCCTGAGCCATGCTATGCGGGACTACAACGTGGCGATTCGGCAGGAGCAGCGGGCAGAGCTGTCGAGAGTCTTGGCCACCAAACATCAGAAAGCCGAAGCCCTCGTTTTACAACAGAAGAAGCACGGGGGCAGCACCTTCCCAACCTCCCGTATCTATGGAGATATAGCCAGTCTTAAGGAAATAAAGAAACAGATGAAACGGCTGGAAAAAAAAGTTGGGCAGATACCCCCGTATTCGCGGCCTGAGGAAAACGTGATGATGATACAAGCCGGCACCACGCCAGTGAACGTGGCGAGAGCTCTTAGCCAAAGCTCTGCCATTCTCTTTCACAAATCTTTTGCGTCGTATTTCTCTCACCTTATAACGTTCAAGAGGGAGTATGACGTGCTACACAGCTCCCTATTCAGCATGAAGACCACTGCAAACGGCACTGGGCGCAAAAACCTCATTAAAGAGGCGGCAGAACACAGCAACTTTTACGACCCAGAAGCCCCCTTTTCTCTCCACTTGCACAAGGCCAAATAGGGGGAAACCTTTAGGCGCCAAAGGGGTGGCAAATGGGTGCTTTAGATTCATGCAAACTGTAGGGAGACTCTCAGAGAAGCCACCACCGCACATTGCGGTACCCCCAACAACACTGTGCAGAGGTGCCTTTTGCATCTGCGTTCAGGAGTACAGGCCTTGAAACGCATCTGCTTTTAGTTCTCTTTGTGCATGTTTCATGTTGCAGACAGGTGCTGGGACCTTAGCACCATTCCCGCTGCCTGTTCAGACCGCAGAATCACCAATCCTGCGAGTTTTTTAATTGTTTGGCACGTCTCATTCTGCATCTGAATAACGCACACACCCCGTGTAGCTGCAGAGAAGACCATGAGGAGCTGCTGGAAATCAGGGTGAAATGAGGGGAAAACAAGAGGAAGCATCAGCAAAAAGTGAAGCAGCAACGACGGTCCAGAGGAGCGATTGCTTCGAATAGCGTATAGCTCTTATGAACCCGAATCTACGGTTGCCGCGAACCCACAGGCCCCGTTCTAGATTTCACATGTCCACACCCTACACTCCAGCGTGCGCTACCCCATGCTTCCACCTGCTCCCCGCAACGAGCTAAAAGGGAGAAGCACATGCCCCATAGCTTTAACTCAGACACTGTACGCACCTTGCTGTAGTGCGTCATGGTGGCCCGTGCGGCGGAGGCAAAACCGCCCGCATTCGCCGGCTGAATGTTCGCCGCTGGGTTTGGAATGAATCTCCAGCGTTTCTGTTCCACACCTTGAAGCGCCAGGCTGCCCATGAGAACTGCCATCAGCCCGACGACACCCAGAAAGAACTCCCTGGGGTCAAAGCCCGCCTGCCCAGTTGCCTCTTCCGGTGCACGTGAAGTTGCCAAATCTACGGTGTCCGAGAGCCCTGCCCTTTCTGATGCGTCTTGCAAGTGTGCAAAACGTGGATGCAAGTACTCGTACAGCTCAAGGAGAGATTGACAGGACTCCATAAATAGTTGGATGGTTGCTGGAGGAAGCAGCTGCTGCTCATCGTTTTGCTGCAGCTGGTCTGTTGCAGTGCGACATGGCAGAGAACTGCCGCCAGTTTCAGGGTCAAAGAGGAGCACCATGAGGCCGAAGAGCACCATGGAGGACTTGAGGGCCCTTTCCTTCGGGTCTAGCACGGCGTCGTTCACTGCCACCGCAGATGTGCTGTCTGAGTTCAGCAGCGCCGCAACTCTTTTTCTTGCCATGAGGCCAGTATGTTGGGGTGTTTCGTGTGCTAAATGGCTGAACGTGAATGTATGGCCGTAGCTGGGTACTACTGGCTCACCACAGGTAGCTGCATGCTCATGCTCAGAATCCACACCAGTGTCCTCCCCGGTCTTCTCTTCGCTGCAATTGAGTGTAGTGAGCTGGGTGACTTTTGAGCAGAGAGAAGCAGCGAGCTTCACAAAGGTCGGTCTCCCCATGTGCATCATACTCCTCCGCTCAGCTACTCCCGCCCTTAGCAGCAGAGAGATAACCACGCGGAGTAGGCTTGAGTGGGCGTCATCACAGGAGCGCTCCAACGCTGAAGAAGGAAGGCAATAAAAGAACTCCAGTGTCTCCAGAATTTCTTTCTGATAGAACCACAGCGCAGCGCTAACAGTGCCAATAGTACAAGGAAAACTCGGTTGCTGATGCACTGCTAGGTACCAACGATGGCAAGCACATACACACTGATCTATCGAAGTCATGGTCTGGTCGCGCTCTCGCGAACCCCTCAGTTATCCTACCATCAGTTTCATTTGATTTGCACTCAAGATGCTGTGTCCCTGGTGAACCTCTTCGTAAGCCCACGAGCAAAGTAGAAGAATCCATGCTGCCGCTTGAAAGATGCCGGTGAGCGACACAGACAGGTCTTGTGCATTCCCTGAAAGCTCAAACACTTCAATCCATGTAACTTTAAGGCATCACGTAGCGTGATAGGCAGGCACACACTGTCAGTAGATACAAACAGAACGTGACTAGAGTAACTGCAGGGTAACAGAGCCTTACCCGCCGCTGTCCTTGCCGCATTCAGCGCTTGTTCAAGGAAGTGACCAACCCCACCCCGTACGAGAGCATAGCAAACTTGGCGTTTGGCCTCCGAAGCTCCCTGCACACCTAATTCGTCTCTGTTTCTGGAAAGTTTTAGTAGACGGCGGTGGAACTCGCACGTGCTGCAAGGGCATCTGAGCAAGCGGTGAACAAGCACACCTGACAAAACCAGACGTGGTTTGAGAGGGGGCGTCGTACACGTATACAGCGATCTAAAGAAGCTTGAACGCACTGTGTCAATTTCACGAATAAAAGTTCTTTACATTGCACAGCGCAGCAGAATTCCGGTATTTACATTAATTGGTTTCACCAGTAACCTGCACTCGAAGGCAAGCTCTAGGGATTTGGGGCATGGCAAAAGTAGTGAACAGAGATCGAAGAGAGCGGCGTATCAAGGGTCTGCCGCATATCGTGGAAGCCTAACCTTTCTTCACGGCAGGCAAATGAACTGCAGGACCAACACAGTGCAGCCCGAACAGCCCGGCGAGTGATAGAAGGGCCTATGCCGAAGAAAGCTACCGCACTGACGGTCTGGATCTGCAATAAAAGAGTGCACACCCCACGGGTTCAGCATTTGGTTTACAAGCCTTAGCAGGACGGATAAAACCCTATGGGGCTAAAACCCCTTTTGCGTCGCTGTACGTTGCAGCTGACCTGCAGTTTAATCATTTCTGTATCTGGAGAACTATTTGCCAGCTGCTCAGTGAACCTCCTAAGGAGGCCCGAACAGCGCACGTGAGAAAAGCAAACGGCCATTCTCGTCACCTGTGCCAGCAAAAGCAAACAGACGAAAGGACAGCAATGCAGTCATCTTAAGCTGAAAGGCTCTATGCCTTAGTGTGACCCTATATGTATAACTTCTAAGACTCAAGATTGCAGAGTCGTTTTTAATAGAGCGTCATGCGTAGCTGGGCGGAGGGGGGGACACAGGAACTCGCGAGCCGTAGTGTGCAGAGGTGTCATTTGTTCTATGGAAAATTTCTTGCACTTAACGAGAATGCAGGTAGTAAAAGAATTCGTTGTTTGCTAGACTTCTCAGTTGCATACGCAAAAAGAACCACACCCATATGTCATTCATATCAAATTAAGATGTGCACACTATGTGTGACAACAGATGCAACGAAGCTTACCACCCTATGTGGAGGAAACGTCCATAAAGTGGAGCGAAGGAGTCGAATCGCAGTAAGCTGCAAGAAATCCCAGGTATCTGTACACTGAAGAAACATTTGATACTCATCTGTACTGGCATCTGAAACCGTACTGCGCGAGAGGGTAGAATTGCATTCTGGTGGAGCCTTGAAGGAAATGAAATGGAGCAAGGCAGAGAGAAATAGCTGCATGTGGCTCAATTCGTTGTCCTTCCAGTTGATATCGATGTAATACGCATGGCGCTCTGAGAGAAAATAAGTTAAAAGCGACATGAGGCCCAGATCATCGTCAAACGGGTCAACTTCCACTAACTGAAACACCTCGTATACCTGAGCAGACAAACAGCAGACAACTCACGAGAAAATTCAAGCTGCAGAACCAAAAAATCAATACGCTAGCTTGGATACATGCACATATCATGTGCCTCTGCTGCAAGCCTTCGCACCGAAACATATGTATGCGGCTATGTTTGTCCATCATTCAAGACCATCGGCTGTTAGCCTGATTTTTTTCTCAGTGATGCTTTAAATTCATTGTGTTCAAGCGGTGAGGTACAACGCTCGTACGTTAAAGAGCTGTACGAACACAGCCGGGTTGGTCGCTTGTTCAGGTACTTCTATGACTTTGCAGAAAAAATTATGAACTCCGCATTCAAAAAAAACCTCGGCGACTTCCATCTCCTTCCGTGCGATAAAAAGCTGCATTTTTGCCCTTCGCTTCGCCCCGTCATCATCATGGCCAAGACTTAACTCAACGGTATCGCTCTGAGGAACACATTCCTTCACGGCTTCCTCTCTAGCTTTGTTTCTCTCCTTTTCTATTTCATCTGCTAAAGTTTGAACATACGACTCAAAATTCCCGCCGCAGCGCAGGCATTCTGTTGCGGCTTCTACTAAGCAACAGATATCCGAGGCGAATTCACTGCGCCGTGGGGGCTTCGAATAAATACCAGGCATTTTGTCTATATCCCCAAAACCGGTGAATTCAGGAAAAGCGCCAGATGTCCTAGTGCGTGCTTGCACGACTTTGGGGTGTAACTGTGAGTTGGGTTATGCGCGCATTTGCAAGGTCAAAAGCCGATAAAAATGCATTAGAGCTTGGCCATATGCTGTTATGTACTTCGATCCTGCTGGTAAATTGACTGAGTGCGCAAGAATTGGAATCTTTAGGCTGTTGCGCGAGACGGCACGTCGTGCATCTACGAGACACGGGAGAAGGTGAGTGAGGGACAAAAAATGATACTAATGATCCAGGTAGCTTTAAAGAATTATCATAAAATGGCGCTTGTTTTTGTTGTTTCGTAGGAAGTCACCCATAGGGAGAACAGACGTCAGCCACTGCTCTGGCTCGCCTGCTAGGCCCTAGCATCTGCAGAGTGATTTGCGTTATTTGTGTGCGATGAATAAGCGCCTTTAGCTATGATCTACTCAATAAAAGAAATGAAATAATATTTTGTAGCGGTGAACTACAAAGATACGGACGATGGAATAGAGTTTTCCTCCTGGTTCTGGCATAATAAAACATCCCGTGCAGTCGTGCGCAACTCAAGTCGCAAACAGCTGCCCGTGGAGTCTCTGTAGAGCTCAGCCTTCAGGCCATGTACGCCCCATATAATGAAATAGCTCGTGATACGGCCAAGTCACGGTTCAGAGAAAGGCTAGCAGTATCAAGAGTAGCACTACCTCCTTCAGCCTTTCCATTGACACTGCACACCTTCCAATTTTCCCAGGGGCATACTTTTCTCAGTAATGCCGTTGCTGGTCCTTTGCTTCCTACAAAGAAAAATGTTACGTTGGCTGATTAAATTTGTAGAACAACATAACTTCTAGATGAATGAAAATAAGGGGCCTGTGCAGGCGCCATCCGTGAATACCAGCAACGGATATGGTCCTGCCGGCCGGCATCCACTAGTACCAATTTTTTTCGAGTGTCTTGCATCTCAAACTTCCAAAACCGTATCCTGCTTTTAAGAAAGCTCTAGGATGTCGTTAATGGTTCGGCTACCCTTTGCGTACATCCATCGGCAACGATTGCCCGTTGTTCTTGACCTGATTCCGCTGCCTTCCTCAAAGAGCTTTCTACGCTAAAAATATTTGATTACATCTTTTGCAATGATATCAAGTGACAGTATCTGTATGTGCGTGGAATTATGGCAACCGAATCCATCCTCATCGCTATTATTTTGAGCAGGGATTCTTAAAAGGTAGCCCCTTCTCAAGCTGGGATTATTAAACGTCATTACCCCTTTCGTTGGGTGGGACGCCTTTAGTCTAGCTCTAGCAGAGGATCGTTGAGTGTTGGGCTGGGCAATTTAGCACCAAGGTAAGACTTGAGCTAGAGTATCCGGATGTAACTTTCCTTTCATAACACTACGCATTGGCAAGGAGTACGAGCAGATATGATGAGGCTGAGGCGGTGAGCAGGGAAGAGTTTAATGCTTACTGCGACGCTTACATGCATACCCAAATCCCTACTTCCCTTCTGTTAGTCTCACATACTAGAAGGGATCACTTGGTGCAGAGCTCCATCTATGAGGTTTGAAGGCAGGGTCCAAACTTCACGCTGGTTTAAAATTGAGTTATCGAGTGTTCCTCAGAAAAACCTCCGACATCTTGTTTTTACGAAGTGAGAGTATTCTGCAAGAAATAAGTTATACGAACTTGCAAAGTAGTTGGTTTAGTCTTCAGGACGTCTTTGTTAAATACAACAAGTGTAGTGAAAAGTGTGGGAGTGTGACTGGGCCCCCTACATCTTTTCCCCCTATTTCAAAGAACAGTTCCTCGTGTTCTGCAGCTGAATGTCAGGACCGACTGCCCATGGGGAAGCAAATAATTTCTCACCGTCTGACCACTCTCCGGGCAGACAGACACAAAAGTAATACAAGAAAGAAACGCAAGTGTGTACATCAGGCACGGAACCGATATCTACCAAAAAAGCGCACTTGTCAATAGCGAATGAGGGACCAAACCAATAGACAACCGGAGCAGCGCGATGGCTCGCTGTTCTCTGACTTGTCAAGTCTTAAGCCCTGTGGCGTGAGAAACCAGGGAAAACTAAAGTGTGTAAACAAGACAATACTTACCAGTTTAGCCACGCCTTCACTCCTCATGCAGCAATCGCTGCGGACATCCACCCGTCACGTGTAGCGTAGTCAACCTGCGAGCTGTAAAAGAAACATAAGGAAGAGTCCTGCGACGACATACATGATAGTGCCCGCGCGTAGATCTGAGTGTACGGAACACCTTGACAATAATGACAAGTATCCCTTCGAGTACTAATCTCAGATAAAGGTGGCAAATGCACACAATGAATGCGCTCGAAAAGAACATGTACCAAGAAACGCGAGGAATACCATCCATGCCTAGTAGCCTTATTGACGAAACAGAGCCACAAATCATCCCGTCGGCAACAAAGCCCGCAGCGGCTCCTCCGTCAACCACTGAGGAAGGCGGTCCCCTCTCCACTTCACTACGCACTCCCGTCTAATGTGTCCTGGGCGCTCAGTAGTTTTTGAATGCACAGCCTCTGTGGCTTCCTATGATTCGCTAGCATCTATATGAGTTCCTTGCCTGCGCATCCGCACTCAAGCTTGGCTGCTGACCGTGGCCCGCCAAGTCCAGGCCCGAAGCGGAGAGAGGTTTCTCAGTGTAGGCTACGGATGCGAAAGAGCAACGCTCAGGGGTAGACGAGTGCGCTGGTGTCTTACGATCTCACTCAACACGATAAAGAAAGTCAAGCTAAGCACCAATGAACTTTGGATCAATGAGCGTCATGAGTTTCCTGAGAACTCGTAGAGCTTTTAAACTAGAATCAACTAAACGACTTTCGAAGCCGTGATAGAGCTGAAGCAAGGGATGAAATGAGCATGTTTTTTAGTATACTGCAATAGCGTACATGCTATTCTGGCCGTAGCCCTACAGAACTCCAACAATAGAGTCCATGCTCAGCTCCATCCATATCTTTTGAGCAACCGGAGGGCTTTGCAGGATGCTAGTTCTGGGAAGTGAGTTGCTTTAGTTGCTGAAAACATGGGTAGGATGTGCATACTTCTTTGCTACGAGATGTATTTCAGGCTACCAGTAGGTCTGTCGGAGCTGTCTGACTGTAGCGTGGATCCCGTCATGTCCCAAAAGAACAGGGTAATGTGCTTCGTGCAAAGCGGCACTGTGCAGCCATACTGAAACGTACAAGCAACAACGGAGTCTCCGCAATATATGATATCACAGTAGGCCGTCCTTAACGTGGTACGGCTTTGCCTTCTTGCCATTCTGGATTTTGGCAATAGTACTGGATGCATGGGTGCCCAAAGCATTAGAATTGCGCAACTTTTAGACACACCGCAAATCGTCACAGCCAAGGGCGGCTGCGCTGCAGAATGATGAATTGCTGAAGCGTCGCGAGAGACCGTGGACGGCCAAATCGGTACGTCCCTAACAAACTAGAACGGGAATTGCGTATTGAACTAGGCGCCAAAAACAGCAAACAGCCAGGAAATAGTATCGAGAGCTTTTAGTCTCTTTGCAAGGTGCAAGTATAGCCTGCTGGCAGATCTGGACAATGAAATGACGTTTAGATAAATAGTGCCAGCACTTCTACCGCTCCCCTAAAGTTGCATACAATCCCTTTTCCCCCACTGGATTACACTCCTCGGTTTCGGTTGAAGCAATTAGCATGACGAGCATTACGTTGATGGCGTAAGAAGCCTGTAGTGTGCTGAGAAAACCTAACCTCTGCGTCATGAGCATTGGTGGCCAGGAAGAAGTCACACCCATGATTGGCCGCCCGCATGAAAACCTTGCCTTTCCTTGCAAAAGCATCCAGTCCATCCCTCGCATCATGTAGACGGTTGACACTGCTAGAGGTACAACTAACTGCGTCTCATTGCGTGCCCTGGCACACGAACCTCCACAGCGCGCAGCTATCGTGGAGCGCACACAGTTCGCTGGGTCACCTATGGCTACCTAGAAGTAAATCCGGGTACTCGGGTCCAACGCAGGAGTCACGGACCATGCTCACGTGTACCAATTTAATTCAAAGTAGCATGTTACTGGTGGAGCCTTACCAATCCTTGCTGCCCTAATGAGTGAGTAGGCAGATTGACCTTCTGTACCGTCTCCTGAGGTACCAGATCCACATTACATCCAATGTCGGGTAACTACATCAATCCTAGCCATAAATGTAAATTTTTAACGCATAATTGACCGCGGAAGGGTCTTGAACTGCAGCTCTAGACTCTGAAGCCCCCTTCAGTGGGCCGCAGCCTGAGTCAGAGCCTTTCTGTTTTCTTGATGCGCCTTCTGTGCTCATCAAGCGTCCAAGTTCCGCTGACCTCAGTTTGTTGCTTGAGGTTTGCTGCTTGAATACGCTCGCAGTCCCGGAATGTGTGGCCCAATATCCTCTAATAAAGGCATATGAGTCGTGTGGGGGCTGAGTGGGATTGCTCTAGGGCGTGGGTTTTATCTGGCTTTCCTTTTTTTCACCTAAGACTGTAGGCTAGGGCCACTTGACACGGCCCCGACATCCAGTTGTTCTAAAACTGTACTTGGCTGTTCCTTCGCAGCCACGCAAGCAGGGCTTGCGCTCGTTTGAACCCGAGGCTTTACGTAGCTCATTATTTGTGAAAGTCCTGGCCTGTCATTTGTTTACATCCCTGCATCACCACCAGTAAAGCAGCTCGTTGTCTACGTTGTGCCTTCTGTGAATCAAAGTGTTGTGTTTCTCGCTATGACGATCTCTTGATTGACCCCCCTGCTAAAGTTTTCTTGGATCTCCCAAAGCTTGCAGCTCGGCTGATCCCCGCATAAGCCGAATATTTAGGGCCCGTATGAAGACTTGCATCGTTGAAATCCCCGCAGGTATACGACAGCCTTTACATCAATAGTGTCACAACTAAAGTGTTTCTCTCTTTAGGCATGCCGCAAGGAGGGCTCGTCTCAGTTCACCCCGGGGGTACATAGAGGCATATCTCCATCAGATTGACGAGAACTCAGAGTACTTGCGCAATTTATGGCTCATAGTATTTCAGTTTCGTCTAAGCTCATAAATGAATTCAAACGTTTCATCGGCTGACGAATCATGCGTTCCACGAACCGCGAGCTACTGCGTAAACATATGCTTGCAGTGCCGGATCAACCGGCGTTGTGTCGCCCTTCGGTAAGCAGAAGGACGTCTGTTTAGACTGTTACCAAGGAAGAGCTAATCACCGAATAATTTGATGGAAACCAGACAACGGATGCAGGAAAACCTGACATCAGGCTGCATCCACGGTCAGCGGATGGTAAGGAACAGCTACAACGAACCATGCAGTGCACCCAATTGCACTGCTCCATTAAAGGCATTGTCTAGAGTCACTTCGCTCTAGATTTACTACAAGCTATATAGAAAACTGTTAAGTGGTTCTTCAAAATTGCTTTTGGCTTACACTTCCCGCGCCCCTCAGTATTCCTGATATTAGAGGAGAGATACAGTCAACGTGTGTGTGGCTGCAGTCGCCAAGCAGTCCGAGCATTCACAGGTACCTACACGCAGCATCTAGTGTACACGCAAACTGCATGCGTCTGCTTGCATCAAGCTAACAATACTCTACAATACAACTGCTTTACGAGTAGACAATCGAAAGAGTGAATTTTTCACTAATTCTCAGTCAAATACAGAGATTGTACTAGAAAGTGTTAAAGTGTAGCTCAGCCCACCACGCCTTTGAAGAAGTGTGAAGCTTTCCGTCAACCCATTATATGGGCCCACGCCTACATGCCCCCAACATGAAATGAAGAGACCAGTCAAAGCCCACAGATTATTAAAGCGATTATATTAGCGAATTGGGCTGGATCTTTAATTCCAGGTATTCTTGCGGTAAAAGGGAAACTCGATCCGGAGTGTTACGTGCAAGGAAGCGTCCATATAAGATGGAAAGGGAAGGAGGAATCAGCCTTTCGTGCGACATTCGATTTTGCCATGCATCCTTGCATGAAAGCTTTTCTGGTAAATACATGTTGATTCTGTGATTGTTTGCGGATAACATGTGCTCAAGACCGCTGCAGGGGCTGTTGGGGCTGGCGTGCTTGTTTCTGGCTGGTGCATGCGTTGGGGGGAGCACATGGTACCGGCTAACTCTCCCTAGTGATGTTCTCGTGGAACAGACCTCAAAGTAGCCGGAGGCTCTTAAGGAATCACCTCGTATTCATTGGGGAATATAGAAGCGATAATGACGCTCTTCAGGAGGTTCATTGAGCCCGGCCGCCTTTGCGTGGTGCAGTATGGTCCAGACGAAGGCAAGGTCAGCTCCAGAATTAGGGCACGCGCGGCTTCGTAAATGCACTGAAAATACTTATTTGCCCTTGGGATTCAAATTTACTTTTTTGGCGAATGCGCATGAGATCGTTCGACAGGGCACCGCCGCTGTTCCAGGGGAAGTAGAGTGTGGGGAGGTGCACGCGAATCGGCATATGGGTCTTTCATCGCGTTTTTGGTTTTCGATAGGCTAATGAGACGGCTATCCTTCGTTTCGTGCACTGGCGTCGTGGACGCTTGCTGCATTCCCACCCGTCCGGATTGCATGCCGCGTCGGGGCGTGCATGCTTCGTGCGGTAGCGTAGTTTCAGCTGCATTGTTATTGGAGAAATGTAGCTTTCGTGAATCACAGAACGTGTCTGTAGGCTACTGTTGGTACGCCATATACGCAGCGTACAGCGTAGTCAGCGGTACACGCTGAATTTATTGAATACCATGCTCTTCCTGGGTTATGTTGCGTTCAGCTTTGCTTCGTCGTGGACATCATCAATGCGACGCGTCTTCTCATTGATGGCGCTGGCGTCACTGGGTAAGTTTCCCTCCCAAATATGAGTGTTCACACATATGCGTCTGGTTTTCAGTTTTCGTATGTCAGATTGGGGGATAGAAGGGTAGGTAGTGCGTAGTTGAAATACAAGGCAAGTTTGTACTGCGAATACATCTGGGTGGACGATACACCCTCCGATGAAGGCCTTAGAAGGGGTTTAACGTGTTTTTTGCCTAGTTTCCGTTTTGAGAGTGCTCTCGATTTGTGCTCGTTCGATGGCTTCATGCTCGCCTGTTCTCAGCGTGACGCGCCAGTCCATCCCCATTCGTCGCGTGGCCTTAACCAACATGCGTCTGAAGATCCCCCGCGGCGTACGTACCTCGACGTTGCGTAAGGCTCTGGAAAAAGACGACGTTATCGCAAAGTTTAATGAATCCTCTTGGGGGAAAAAGCGTCTTGCCAAGCAGCGCAGGGCGTCTCTTACAGACTTTGAGCGTTTCAAGGTTATGGTCGCTAGGAAGCAGAGGTCGCAGGCCATCCGTAGCAAACTGCAAAAGAGAAAGTAAATGGATTTCCTGTGTGTGGTGACTCACCGGGGAAATGCAGAGCCGGCAGCTGCTCCTGCCGGTTCGGGGCACGAGCCGCGCGTTCCCCCGCGGCGGCAACTGTCGTTGAACTATCGTTTCGCCGACAGTGTCAAGTCGTAATTTACTAACGAAGCACACTTTGCATGAGCATATGTGCTAAATAGCTTATGTAGCGTGTTACTGCAGGGGGCTGATACGTTCACAGTATGCACGGGGTACTTGTACTGATTCAAGTGGTGGTACCATCGTACCCGCAAGAGTGCTCATTATCTCAACCGTGACTTGGGAGAGTGCAAAAGGTAGATGAGCGCATGCTTCATAAAGTTATATGTGAATCGTTTTCTCCCGCAAGGGTTCCAACGGCGAGGCAAGCCCCGATCTGGCGGCTAAGCGGTGTAGCAAGGAAACGACCCGCGTAGGACTCTGGAGGGAACATAAAAATAGCTCCCTTGGTATCCCAGGCTTTCTGCTTATCGCCACGCGCTCGCGTCTGCGAAGCAGTGGGATAGCGGTGACCAACGCTGCCGATGCAACCAGCGGTAGGCGTCGAGCTGGTTTTAGCTTCGGTGGCTACACACTAGCGGCAAACAGCAAGGTAGATTGAGCGCCTGGGTCGCTTTTCACGTGCCTTGCCCGCAACGGACTAGTCGGTGGACTTCCTGCCCTACATATGCGACCCGCATAGAGCCGCATGGTGTGCTTTTCGAGTTGAAAGCGGATCTATTTCTAATAGTAGTAACTATACAGTTCTTCCGATTCAAAAAAAATATGCCGAATGTGGGCGTTCAACTGTTACTTCGGTCTTCGATGCAGCGCCATGATTGTCCTTCCGCGCGTCCTTCGCACGAACAATCAAGTGTTTACAGGCAGTGCCATGACTGTCTTTCCGCGCGTCCTCCACGCGAACAATGAAGTGTTTACAGAGCGTCAGGTTTGGTATTTTCGACTGGGCTAGGGACCGAGCCAACGGCGTTCCAGATACGACAATCTCCCTGGGAATAAGAGCGGATAAAACATAGATGACCTGATTTCTATCTTCATTCACTCACTGGTGGTTCTTCCAGCGCCAGCACGAACACATGTGGTGTCGCTTGAGGGGTTCAGGCAGCACGACTAATCGAATGATTCCAGGAAAGTTTGGTACTTCGCAGCACCACATAAAAGAGACATATGCAAGCAAAGATTTGTTGACGCATGCAGGTGCATGCCATTGGGTTGCCCTCACTGTAGTGTCGATGCCCCCAGGGCTTCTATGAGGTCTTCGTCTTCGGAAAGCGCAGGGTCCTCATTAACGGGAAGAAGCTGAGTATCGGTAGCGTCCACCCTGGTTCATTTCAAAACAGGAGTTAAATGACATCGCAAAGGGAATACCGTCAGTGCGTGCATAAACCAATTGAAATTGTTCCTAGCTTTACGCCAACCAAACAATCTCCTCCGCTTATTGGGTCCTTTTTCCGTTGAAGTTACCTGTAGATGCAGGGTAGCTGAGCCACGGAGAGAAGAAGAAGGGAAAGCTGCGAGATCTTCGTCCCGCAGACATGCAGTTCTCGTAGGTAGGGCAGAAATGGTATATGCCAGTCTAGCATCACCCTGAGGGGAAGCGAGAAGAAACTGCCTGAAATTCATGAATGTGCTGCACCTTGACAAAAGATTGCATGCACCGCTACACAAGAAAACAGAAATGCGTAAGCACAGATCGCCGTGGGAGCACTGCCGTGTGTCCCTTCCGCATGTTGCCTGCATTGAAATCTTAATTTGTTTGAATAGATGCAAAGACCAAAAGAAGCGCCGAAGCAGGCGCAGGAGCGACAAAGGAAGAGGGAAGGGCGCACGTGTTCGTAGGGGAGCCAGGAGGTGCAGCGCTTGAAAGACTCAGCTCTTTGACGTTTACTGCCTCCAATAACAACGGATACCACACATGCTGGAAGAAAGTAAGACTTCTGTGGCGTGGCCGACTCTCTGCCTCGGACGACCTGAGGTATGTATGCGTCTCTGTTCTGCGCACCCCCTCAGCAACACATAGAGGCCCAATCTCCCTGAAGTGCTCTCCACCGCAGCTACCCACATACGCGAAAAAAGCCTTGCCTAAAGGCCCCTCTACCCTGTTCCCCCAATAGGCATCCTGCATGTCCGTATTTCTTCACGCACCGCACAGTGTCTGCGTAGTTTTCGTCCAGCATTGCAACATCAGAAGTCGAGGAGGCCCGCCTACAGCTGTGGGGGCTTAGTGCCCTTGTGAACCGAAGGAGCATCCACTCAAGCCTGTAGGGCACCATGAACGTAGCAGGCGCAGCGTCAGCTGAGGCCCCTCACACACGAACACCCCATCCAACTTTTACCCCCGAGACCGCAGCTCCCTAGACGCTACAGAAGAGTAGACATACTTAAAGAGGGAGACCCTAATAGCAAAATCACTGACTTGCTGAGTTGGCCGCCTGCGCATTCCGACTCATGCTCAAAGAACTCCTCCAGTCGCTCTATTTCTGTTTTTACCAGATCCGCCGAGACATATTCAGGCAAACAGCCCCCCGCGGCTGCGACAGCCTCAGCAAAAGCTGTAACCTCTGGATCTGCTGTTGCGGCTGCCTGCTCTTTAAATGCGTCCTCCTTCACTACGGAGCATCCACAGCCGGTTCCGGTACAGCTCAAACGATGGCAAATGGCCCATAGCTCTGTTGGCCCCTTGCCGGCCTCCGACGGTCGCTTGCTATCGGTGCAGGGTATGATGGTGTGGCACTTCCATAAGAAGGAAGCCGAGGAAAGGGCGTCAGAGGAGTCCTCTGCAGCAGGATGAGGAATCTCAGAAGCTCCCGAGAGCAGAGGCTCCGCGGGTTCCCGGTATGTCCTCTGTGCAGGTAGGCTGGCAATGGGTGCAAGCTCTGGAGAGAAGGATTTAAGTCTTTGCAAGTGAAAGGCATCAATGCCTCTGCCCTCATCCGCCAAGAAGCCACCGTACTGAGACAATGCCAAGTGCACACGGAGAGGCTCCTTGAGGATATCCCTCGCAGAGCTATCCGGGGGAAGCACAAAGTTCCACACTGGCGATGGAAGGTGCGATAAACGGCCAGACATCCTACAAAACGTAGCACCGTAAAACACCAGAAAACACAGTAGCTGCATGGTGCAGGCACACGGCGACAGCAAGACAGCCCCTGAAACCGCCAGCAGCCATCGCGATGGGCCCTTTGCTCCCTAGTTTCTGCATGTCCTCCTTGGCTTGTTCGAAAGTTGAGAACGGGCAAGCGACGCGAGGCGTGCCCTTGCGAAACGTGGCCTGAGGTCGGTCTGCGTACAACCCCTCTTTTGGACCCACCGCGCTGTGCATCCGCTAACCCTGGCCAGGTACAGAGTACTAATAGGGATCCAGCGACCTTTTAAGGGTTTCACCGGTGCGTTACTGCCTTTCTCTGCATAAACGCACAGCAACAGACCCGAAAAGTGAGCCCCACACAGCTGGTGTGAGACCTCAAGCAGTAGAGCCATGGCAGAATACGTGAGCCGTCTGGAAAACAGCAGGGAATTCTGGCGATGCTACAGCTGCGTCGTTGCACATGGAGGAAAGGTGGCGGGCCGGGGGTCAGGTCTGGCGGGTAGGTGAGTCAGACTCACTGCCAAGGGGAACAATACGCGAGTGCTCGGGACTAACGAGACACGGCTCAGAGAAAAAGAAGAGAAGGGTGAAAGGAAACACCCTCGAGGCACCTCGGACCGACAGGAGACGGCCAGCCGCTTCCAACCCAGAGACAGTAAATAGACTGTTATAATACTGCCACAAGCTTTGGTCCGAGGGATCCGTGTAGAGCGCCTGCATGCATAGGAAATAGCAGAAGCAAGCACAGCAGCAGCAGAAGCAAACAGTAAGAAAGAGCACGAGATACAAGGCCACTGCCAGCAGCCGCAGGCGATGCGTAAACACAAAAAGTGCGAACAGTCCAATAGGGGAAACGCCCTCCGTGTGTACTACACGTCCAGAGGAAGCCGTTTGCAACAATTGAAGAAAGGGGAATATTCAAGTCGGACCCAGGAGGAGATCTAATCACACAAAAGACAAGGGGAGAGCCCAGTCCAACGGATGGACGCTTCTCACGTGCCACAGACGATCCAGCTCCTCCTTGATGTTTTGCTGCACCTCTGGCAGCATCGACCGAAGATGCCAAGCGGAGTAATTCGAGAAGTCAGACTGAATCAGCAGCAGAGACAGCGCTGCGTTCGGGCTGGTGCAGCGCTTACTGAGGAACAAGCCTACACGCCAAAGGCAGCAAAGAGCAAAGCCAGCAGCAGGCCTGTATCTAGTCGAAAAAGTACAGCTTTTGAAGCCCTCCCCCACCTTGCTCCTAGAGGCCACAGTGCAGAATCAACTGGGCCCGTCCAGGCCTGAAATTGCGCATTTTTCTTACTGGAGCAATCGCTTTCCTTCTCTTGCCCATCGCGTTGCCGATCTCGATATCGCATAAAAGCGGCGAGCCACACGAGGACTGTGGCTCTGTGCTGCCAGCAGTGGAAGTTCCTGCAGTCCGCCTCCGTAAGAAGCCTCTCACAGGCATTCACCTCGTCCTGCAGCAACTGTACGGCCGCATCCAAGCCGCATGTGCGGGCAGATGGGTTTATGGGAGTGGGATTCACGGTAGGGCAAAGTGCCTTGCAGCAGCCACACACAGAGGCTTGTTCGTCCTGCTCTTTCTTTAGCGGCTGCTGATCCGTATGCAATAGATGGGCGGGCTGCTCCAAAGGGGAATCTTGCAGCTGCAGGTCTTCCTCTTCATCCACTGTCCTCTTTAATGTGTCGGGGGGAGAAGGCGAAGACGGGGGATGTGCAGACGCGTGCAGTGAATGTCGTGTGAACTCATGAGCGGCAAGGCGAGCAAGGGTCCAAGAACGGTGCAGCCAGACGCAGTACGCCTTCGCGGAGCCACTTGTGATGATGTTCGTCGTGATCTGCATTTCATCCCGCAATACTTGAAGCAAACGACTGTAGCGCCGGCAGAAAAAACACTGAGTGCTGTTGCTGCTGCTTTCTGAGGCGGTGACGTTTCTGGCGACCTCTGAAGGGGGCACAAAACATGACGATGGCGTAGAGCTGCTCTCGATGCTTGTGGGCATGTCAGGGTATCCTTCTTCCGTAGGCGCTCTCAGTCCTTCGGGCGCAGCCTCGCATGGTTTCTCCAGGATGCGGATAAGGACTTCGCGTCTGTAATTCCAAATCGTGGAGAGTTCGGGATGAAACTCGATTAGCTTGCGGGTGCCTTGCAGCACCTCGGGGGCGAAGATCCCAGACTTGCGCTGTGTAAGCAACTTCTGCAAAAGGGCAAATGCTTGCCTGATTTTCTGCCTCTGGGCCTCCCGCTTCTCAGGAGACAGAACGGGGAGGTCTTCTCGCCGTCGCCCATGCATTGTCGCTTATCTGAAAGTAGAGTATCAATGCCGAAACTGGGGGAACGGCTGCTCCCCTTGATACCCAAAACACTGCGGCGCAGGCGAGTGGTGGCCCGCATGCCACAGTTCGTTTCGCTCCTGTATTTTCCGTTGGGTTGTTGCAAGTACTCAAGAAATTAAGACGATGGCTTGTGCTCAAAATTCACGAGAAAAAAGGTAACGCTACGGTGTGGGGCTTTTCCTGGCCACAGCTGTTAACAACAGCCAAGACAAGCCGGGAAGGTCGTTCGGCTGTTCGCGGGTTTTAGGGGCCCTACACTCCGAGAACTTCTTTCCCCCTCCCACTGCCCTCAAAGACCTTTGTCACGCTAATGACAAGAAAAACATGAAGCCAGGCTCATATCTTCCCAAAGAATGACTATTGACTGCATGGTTAAGGGGATGGTGGATCGGCATCGCATCGGCTGCCCTCAACTACAGAAACTAAAAACTTGTGCAGACAGCTGAATACGCTAATGCAGATATTATTATACAGGCAGGAACTTCAGTATAACGGCTATCGGGGTATGTCCCTGAACCTTCATCGGGTTGTTTCAAAAACGATTGTGGCTTCCCCTGCACGGCGAGCTTCAGATCATAAAATATCGTAGCCAGCAGAGAAGTGTGTGTTCGGGCACTTGGTACACTAGTTTCGTCTTTGGCGCTCTTAATTCCGTGTGCATCCTCATGCTCCTAGGTCGTCCCTATTACAGCACCAACACCCAACCCCGGATCACTGCAACTCGAGAACTTGCAGTGCGAGTCGTGGCGCGTCACCGGCTTGCTGTGCGATGGAAAATACAAAATTACCACAGGCCTGTGAATACCTGCATATAAAATGCATGTAGTACTAGAAGCTTGCTGGGGCCAGCAGTGCAAGAGAAGTTCTGGGAACCCTCATTTGCTTTGTTGCGTTCGCCCTATTTTAAACTAGATGCGGCGTTCAATTGGCACGTGCAGCTGGATAAGATCAATTTGGACGCCTCCTATTGCACTTACTACATTTACATGAGAGTTAGTGGGAAATTGACTAATTGCTCTGTCCCTATTTCTTGTCTGTTGCAGTGCTGTTAGCGTGCTACAAGAAGACACGTAGTTGTTGTGGGTGTACGCCAAATGCTATGTGCGACTAGCGCGCACGTCTTCAAAGGCTGAGAGAGTGCAGCGACGCGCACCCTGGCTGTCCCTTTCCTATCAGGGGAGGGGCAGAGGGAGGCGGAAGCCTTTGTGAGAGCACCCAATAACATTGTATTCATACTGGAGTGTAGCGTCTTCCTACAGAGGCTTTAGATGGGTTTGTAGAGCTTGTATCACCGCTTGGCCCGAAGCAAGTGTTTTTGCTCATCTGCCGGCTAAGGATGCAGCGCTGTATCAGACTTCCCTACAACAGTTGTCTGGTTTCGACGAAGTCACCTGGTGATGGTAATTCGATTTTCTTTGGAAACAGCCTGCTGACAAAACCTGTTAGGTCACGGGAGTTAACGGTGACACGATGCCCATTGGCCGCGGCACAGGTTGGCCAGCAAGCTGATGTGAACGCAGTAGCTCCACAGGTGATTAAACGACGTGATTTGTCAGCCAAGAAAATGTTTGTGATGTTTTCACCCCACTAGATACAGCTCCTTGGTTTTGCTTGAAGCAGTGCGAGTGACAACCAATAACGTGATGCGTGAGAAACCTGTACTTTGTTGGGAAAACCAAATCTCTACATCGTTAAATTTGGTGGTTAGGAAAAATAACACTTATAATCAGGCACCGCAAATGCCGGAGGAGGTGTGAGGCAGTTCATAAGTTTCCTCGCTGCGACGTTAACCTCTGTTGTCTGGAAAAGATATTGATTTTTCTGAAGTACACCAGTTGCACCATTTAAAGGAGCAGCGATTCAAGCAAACTCAGGCACGCAACCTCGTTAGGAAGGTACAGGCCTATTATTTGTTTAATATCTCTGCGAGTGAGTAAGACTAGGTCTTGATTGCTTTATTTCTTCTCAGTTGCTTATTTCCTACAGCTGAAACACGGAATGCAGAAACATAGTTGTTCTCAGAAGAAGCCCGAAGAGTTACATTGCTCTAACCACCGCTGCTAATCCTGCAACGGTAAAGCGCATGACTTAGGTGCCGCGATCGCTCTTTCAACGTTTCGGCAGAATAGTTAGCTGCCGTCTCTGTAGACAGTCATCCACTTGTCCTCGATGGGATCACAAACATCTCGACAAACTTGACGGTTCACTCCAGCTGAGGCATACGTAACTCCAAAAGGCATACAGGTATACAGGAGCTGGCAAGGGGGAGTATGATGTTCCATTTTATGGCTTTTCTCGGGGGGAGCGGAGATTTGTGAGGAAGAGTCTACGAAACTGAATGCCCACTAGACTGTCGACCCATGTAATTTGTTGAGTTGTTCACCAGCATGAGCCATCAGGAATTTCTGCTACACAAGAATAATGTTCTAGTGCTTTGAACTTCTTAAAGTGGTTTCGGATTTCAGCACTCGGTCTTCTCTCAACAAATAATTCCCCGGAAACTCAATTTCCTCTTTGTGCTGCTGGGGCTTATAATACCGTGAAGCCTAGAACGACTGAATCCACAGTCAGCAGATGGGCAAGGAATAGCTGCATCGAGCCATGCCATAAAAGTATCTGTACTATCCCAGTTAAGGTCTCCATAGGGAGACACTGAACTCCAATATCAATACAAACTTAAGCTGTTATTGGGATTTTAAAAAGATCTCTCGCCTTCTCCTGCCCGCGACCCCTCCAGTTCCCAACACGACAAGAGAGGGACAGTGTGGCTGCGCGTAGTTGCACTCTCTAAGCTCTCTAACATTTTTAGATAAAATTTACACAGCAGCTGCCGCACAAGCACCCAGCTTTGTATCTTCGTGTATCGAGCTAACGGTACTCTGCAGTACAGAATAAGTACAAGCAGGCAACTCAATCAGTTTAATTTTTACGAACACTTGACTGAATATGGCTGGCGCAGTAGAAAGCGCCCAAGTGTAATGTAGTCTGTTACACTTTCGTATGTCCATGATTAGCGGATCGCCCAGAGGCCGATAGTCTATAGCGTCCCCCAGAGTAGGGAAATAGCAGTGGCCCGTCAAATAAACTGGACTTAATGTGCTGACAGTCATCAGTTGTAAGAGTATGAAGCCTTCATCGTTGTCGTGGGGTATTCCGTTCCTCTCAGTGGGCCAGAAAGGGGTGCTAGCTGTATTGGACGTAGGTCACACGATAAACACAGAAGCATGGTACGGAATATGTGTAAGCAAGCTACAAATTACGGAACAAATGGCTATCCCAATGTCTCAGGCGCTCATTACCTCGATATGCACTTCGCAACCGGTATCTGCGGCTTGGTAGTTGGCATGCCCCGGATGAAGGCTGTGGCTTGTGTGCTACAGGCGTGTGGCTGTGCCTAGAGCTGCTTCCCCGTGTTTCACTATTCATTAGAAGGACATGTCCTTTCATTTCCTGTCCCCCCCTAAGGCTTCGGTGTTGCGATCTCACGAATGCTTGGGCAAGCCACCTTGGCTGCCACATGGATGAGGTGCGCGTACACCAGCGGTACTTCTAGACAATTTGAAGCATGACATTAAACCAAAATATTTGAAACCCCCAATAAGGCGGTGGAAAGCTAAGTTCCTGTGGAAACACTCCCGTCGGCCACGCGGGGAAGTGTCGGCCGCGCTTGCGAGTCGTGTGGGTGGTTGCCCTGCTCAGCTAGTGCCTGTGTTTATATGATATCGCTCTATATATCTTGGGAGGTAAAGGATTTACGACACAGCTTTGTCGGCTTCTGCAATCTTGTGTGCAAGGCAGGGGAACAGGTATTTCGTACTAGGAAGCCGTCCTATGCTCGGAGGATCGACAGGCCTGCTCAAAAAGGAGGTACCACTCCCTGTTCTGAAGGTTCTTATTCCTGGGCAGCTGGCAGAAAGGAGGATTGAAGCGGCCGCAACGCCCTGTCTCTTCTTCAGGCTTTCAGGATGGCGCCGCCGCTGCTGCATAATTGGTCATTCCTTCACGATGTATTAAACTATTCCACTGCCATTTTTTGGTTTTCGGCCTACGTGGCCATATTGCAAAAAGTCCATAAGGAACGAAATGCATATGGCCTATCGTTTCAGACTCTGTTTGCTTTGGTGGTGGTTGAGGCCAGCAATGTGTTGCTTATCGTGTGTTTGCTCGCCTACCACAACAAGGCTGTTCACTTTGATTTCTTGTTGGTGGATTGCACCTCAGCAATCGTTTCCATATGTGCCTTTGTGTACCTCTACCGCAACTTTCGGGGGACGTATGAAAGGCAGCGTGATACTTTTGGCCAGAAGTATCTGCGTCTTTTGAGAGTGCCCTCGTGCTGCCCCTCCAGCCATGTTTGCTTCCTGTACATCTTGGCATTTATCGGCGCGTTTTCCATGTTTCTTATTCGCCGCTCTCCACACGCCCCATCCGTGTCTGATGCTGCGCGCTATGGCCACAGCCGCTTGGCTGTCGGAATGCTCCTGTCTTTCTGGGAGTGCTACAATGACAGCATCTTGGCTCTTGCCCTGCTTCCTCAACTTTTCATGTTCTACAACAAACGGCCACGGAGAGTAACGAACCTTTTAGGGACCTTTGTTGCCATGCTTTTTTGTGCAAGGGTGCTCGCTTTTATTTACTGGTACGCAGTTCCCGGTCCTCCCCGAGATCAAGCAGTCCGTGGTGGCATCCCGCCAATATCTTTGATACGACGTTTCAACAACCTTCGACCTCAGCTTGCTGCCTTGAAGGGGCTAATGGACTCTGGGGAAGCATCATTTGGTTGATCACTGCGTCGATCTGCGTGATATCCGTGGGCTATGCGAGCTGCGCTCTTTGCTGCTGTGCGTTGCAGGCTATCATTCCCTCTCTTTCATAGAACCCAACCATCTGGGCGTGGCATCCATTTGGCAACAGAAGCAGTAAATATCCTGATCCTGCTCGACTTCCTTTATTACTACGTAAAAGCGAAGCTTGCGGGTCAAGAGGATATCTCTCTTCCCATATGACAGAGATGCCGTCTTCACGTATTTAGGGTTGTACTGTTCGTGCACCCAAAATCTATATTGTGCGAGGACATATGCAGATGGATTCTTTCGTTCATGACCACTGGACGTCATATCGCCTTGCCGCTGCTGCCTTTTTCATTTATCAGCGTAATTGTTGGTTTTATGTCGTCATTAGATAGATAGAAACGGAAAGGTCAGCAGAAGCATGCCAGCTGGCTCATGTTGGCAATGTGTGCAGATATTTACTCGAACCACAGGTGGTTATGCAGTTCTCCCCTTATAGCAGACTTTTGGGAGCCACCTAGATGTTTAAAGCATATGTTCAGATGCGTAAATAAATTGACAGAAGCACGTTTGAGAGCTAGGGCGTCAAAATCGTAGGCACATAAGCGAAGTGTCCACCTTATTTACTCGCCAGCACGTTAGGGAAGGTGCTTCTTGAACATTGCTAAGCCGAATGGCTGGAAACACGTTTATATGCGACTAGTCGACTACCAAATGATTCTAACACGCAGGTGTGTGACACGAAATGGTCGAGTCGCGAGTACGCGGCTCGACCATTTCGGAGCTGTATTGAATGCTGGGGTTCTAAAACGTTTATAACACCTCTACACATGTAAGAAATCCCTCAATGCTCAACAGTACCTCTAGCACTATTGATCCGCCAACCCCCCCACACCAGCACGGACTCCGGCAGAATATTGCATGCCTGGCAGTTTCTGCATAAGGGTTTTGCGGGAAAGCGGTAGGCGACTTCTGGGTTCGAAAAATACGAATGTGCGCTCTGCCCTTCGCGACCAAGAATGAGGTTAAATGCCTATGGACTCGCCGGAGCAGCTGCTCAGTCGGGGGTGAAACGAGCTGTCTGCTAGAGGAGACCGCTGCTCGGCGTTAATTAGCCATTGCAATTCTGAGTAAAGAAAAGACGAATTCCCGTTTTAGCGGCCGTTCCACATCATTTGGGCGGCCACGCCGTGTGATCTCACTGCACGTTACGACCGGCGCGTTGCATGCGACGCCAGCCACCGGCGTTAGTGGGCATCATCGGGGCGCTTTGGTTTCCGTCGATAAGTCCGCATGTTTGTGGTAATTCTGCTCGCCCCAAGTGGAAGACTCCACTGGGAGGCGCTTCGCCGATCGCGTTCTCGTACCTCCTAGCGGTCGACTCAAGACACACGCCGCAGAAAATGGGTTACAGCAAGCACAACGCGTCAAGGCGCTGGACGCCTGTGTGTGTGCTGGCTCTCTGTGCATACTTGACGCGTGCAGCGCTGGCCATTGTTCCTGGAATGGGCCCAACGGTAACTTCGCACGTCTGGCAGCCACTGCAAGGCTTCACACCCGCCGGCTTCACACCCGCCGGCTTCACACCCGCCGGCTGCTGCCCATCGTCAGACAGCACTGCTGGAGGCTCAGTTCGCAGTCGGCGGCGCGCTGAGGGGGATTCGCTGCAAAGCAGCGCCTCGGAGGCACTCACGTGCAGTCTTTCGCCCACCACCACGGCGGATGGGAAAGCCCTGTAGCGGCAGACAAGAAGTGCGCTTCGTTGAGGATGACGCATGTCTTCAGTGCTTTCTGATGCGCAACGCAGGACTATGAGGCTGGCCAACGCATCCCCGTCCAGGTGTCGTCTCTGCAGTCCGTCCAGGGGATCTTGCCAGTGGACCCATACGACCCGAGCCTCCCCTTCTGCAGGTATTTCGGCTTGAGAAATGTCGAGAGATGATCGCTATGTGCTTTGGAGTCGGACCGAGCTTTTCCCTTTTATTAGCTACGAGGCGCCGGATCCGAATCATTTGCGCTGATCCACTGCCATCGCCCCTTTCTGTGCCGCACGGTATTCTGGCGCGTCGCAGACCAGACACCACAGAAATAGAAGAAAACAACTTGGGGCAGATGCTCATGGCTGACCGCGTTCAAAATTCGCCGTACGAGGTGCGCCCGCAACTCTCCCCTTTCATTCTGCTTGCCGAAAATAACTTCAAACTGAAGAGGCGAGGGGCGGGGCGCTGGGTCAAACGGCGCACATTCACTCCAGAATTTTCGAGGTTTGGCTCCAAGCGTTTATGCCGAAAGGCCGAGTAAAGTGTGTGTCTCCACTCTTTCTGCAGATAGAGTTCCTGAAGAATGCGTCGTGCAAGACATTGTGCAAAGATGTTCCTATGACAGATGATGCAAAATCCCAGCTGCGGCGACTTGTGCGGGATAAATATATGTTCCACATGTAGGTGCCCAATACGTACGCATGGTCCAGTGCCACTTTCTTGTTTCCCGTTGAAGGAAAAGGAATTCTCCGCTAAATTCGGTGGGCGCGCGTCCTTTCGTGTTTTGATTTTTTGCTGCCGCCTGGCTGTGTGTGCGAGAATCGTATCAGGATCATCGACCAGTTGTACGCCCTGCAGCTCATACACCGCACGAATGGAACTAGCGGCTACAACATTGGCGTGCCCGTTGGATTCGAGCGTGATGGCCGCATTTACATTTACAATCATTATAGGATCATCGTTTACTACCATGGGAACGCGGAGGGCGAGAAGTCATCCCGAGTATGCAACAACGCCGTATTACAGAGTCTGTTGTTGTTGGTGCCCCGTCCGAAAATACCCAGAGAACGGGTGCTGTGGATGCTTTATGCTGCGGGCGAGGGGGGCAGCGCATGCGCCGGGAGTTCGCGCGGAAGAAGATTGAGATTACTCGCAGTGTGTGTGTCAATTGCGGATTCAGGGTCTGTTCAACTTGCCGTGGGACTCCCCGTCTCCTCATTACAGGGTTGTTCGACTTGAAATCGTTCCGATGTCGATTCATCATGGTTCCGACGTATCAGGGAACCTCACATGCGGCTTGCCGCCTGTGGAGCAGCCGCAGGAGAAAGCCGCTGGAGACGCGGAGTCAGTACACCTCCCGTCTTTGCCGGCTTTCACTTTCAGCGCTGAGGCCATTGCGGCTGAAGAAGAGGAGAGCGCTTCGCAGCCTGACCCAGTGTACCTCAACTTCTCGTATGACGTCGTATTTCAGCCTAGCCCGATATTGTGGAGCGAGCGGTGGGATATTTACCTCGCAAATGCTAGAGACCGCCCCCTCATCCATTGGTTCTCCATCGTGAACTCTCTGGTCGTGCTTCTGCTGTTGTCGGCGCTCGTGGCGATGATCCTCCTCCGCGTCCTCTACCGAGACATCAGCAGATATAACGACCTGCTTGCTGACGAAGAAGACGCAGAGGAAAAGGGCTGGAAACTCCTCCACGGCGACGTCTTTCGGAAACCAGCTCACTCGACTGTCCTCGCTGCCCTTACCGGCTCTGGCATGCAGGTAGATACACGTGGTTTGCTGCTGCTGCTGCTGCTAGTAGTAGTGCCCAGCGGTGGATGCCCGGATCCTTCTCGCAATGTGATGGACTCCTGCGGAGACATGCTGTTGTAGCCAGTGACTCTTGACGAACTGACCTCCCGAGGGCAACTGGGAGATTACTTGCAACAACAATGCTTCAAATCTGCACGTAGTTGTTCCTGTGGACAGCATTGCAAAGGAATAGATAACTGCTGCACGCCTTTGCGCGAATCGCTCGTCGGTCTGTGCTGCAGTTGGTCGGAATGGCATTCGTGACAGTCATCTTTGCGGGCTTGGGTGTCTTCTCTCCCGCTTTCCGAGGAGGCTTGTTGCAGGTATGCACACCTGTCCCTCCACTGCAGGCACACCCTGGTAATCATTTTTCTGTGATCTTTTATGCTGACGTTTTGACAACCGAGGAGGATATTGGCGTGTGCAGACGATGTTGATTCTTTGGACTGTCATGGGAGCAGTCGCTGGATACACATCTGCAAGGATGTATAAGCTTTTCAAGGTAAGATGGTGCTGTTGCCGCCTTTGAATTAGACTCCTTTCTTTTAAGTTAATGCCATGTGGCAGAGTTTGGCTCCGAACGCCGATGAGAAGTGTCACGTCTGAACATATTGAAAGCGACTGTTCCTCATGCTGCGTTGCAGTCCATGAACTGGAAGATGACGACGATTCGCACCGCCCTTGTGTTTCCCGGGGTGGTATTTTCGGTGTTTTTCCTCATGAACGTCGTCCTTTGGTCGCAAAAATCGTCAGCAGCTGTCAGCTTTACAGGCTTGCTAGCTCTTCTTGCCATGTGGTTCGGAATCAGCATCCCCCTCGTCTTCATGGTATGCTGACTTTCTGCAGAGAAGAGAGCGCCAGGGTCCTTGAAGAAGGTACAAGATTTGCGTGGGAGTTGTCTATCAGCATTCGATCGAACAGCGGTTTTTTTGTGCCGTCTTGTGCCCTTATGTGTAGGGAGCCTACTTTGGATTCAAGCAGCCAGCAATCACCATCCCCGTTCGAATCAATAAGATCCCCCGTCAGGTTCCCCAGCAGCCCTGGTTCATGCATCCCGCACTGTGCTCGTTAGTTGGGGGAGCACTCCCGTTTGGGTGAGTTGCATAATCCTGATACTTGTTTAATCACGTATGGAAACGGCCGTGTGGGAGAAGGCACGCCATTCAGTCTGTTCGTGTGTCGGGCGATTATGATAATAAAACGTCACACTCTTTGTACGTCGTCTGTTGTTGCGCACCACAGGGCAATGCTGACCGAGCTATTCTTCCTCTTTTCTTGCATCTGGCAACACCGCTTTTATTACCTTTTTGGTAACTGCTTCGGGGCGCAGCACTTATAGCGGGCTTCTCACCCATAAAACTGGTTTCTCCCACGTATTTATGTTTACTAGAGCTACCAAGGAGGCCTTGTATCTGCATTTTTGGTATGTATGTGCGTTCCAGGCTTCCTCTTTCTTGTGTTGATCATTCTGTGCGTAACATGTGCCGAGATATCGATAACATTCGTGTATTTCCAGCTCGTATGGTACGTTGGGATTGCACAGTTTCGTTTTCTGGCATGCCCAAAGCGCATATTTTTGCGCATTTGCAGCTATGGAGGGATATATTTGAACGTAGAAATAACTTCTGTTGGAATCCATGCACGAATGTGCTGCAGCGAAGATTACAATTGGTGGTGGAGGTCGTTCTTCTGTAGCGCTACAAGTGGGGTATACGTCATGCTCTACGCCATATACTATTTCCACTCGCGGTTGAGCCTCTCGCACACTACAGGGTCCCTAGTCTATTTCGGGTATTCCTTCATCATGGCCTACGCATGCTTCATCCTCACAGGTACGGCCCCTTGAGACTGTCGGCTGCGACGGAGGTTTAAGCGATTTCAGGTCATGAGAAGCGCACATCTTGGAGGTTTCTCATGAACCACGCGCATGCATCAGGCGCCTACGTTGCGCACGCACTGGTCGATGCAGCCTCTTTTTGCACTGATCCCTGTGCACATTTTTTTTCAGGGGCTGTCGGGTTCATGGCCTCTTTTTTTTTCCTACGCAAGATTTACTCGTCGATTAAGGTGGATTAAGTGCCACAGAGACGGCACGCACTGCATCCGCGTGTAGAGGACGCACTGCCATGCCGCGAGACAATGCCTCGTCCATTTTAAGGGCGGGGTTGGCGGCCATGTGTTCCGCGTGCCTACAAGGGTTCGTGCATGCATCGGAGCTAATATACTTTTTCGTTGACATGGAATGCGCGAGAATCCGCGACAGCATGCAATGGAAAGTTCAGATCTCCAAAGGCTTGCGTCATTTTCTAGCACCGAAGCGGGCTTGAAGACCACGCTGAAAGCAGCAGTAGCAGGAGACAAGCTTGCCGGACGCCTTGAGTCCATGTTGCTTCCAGGGCACACTGAGGGGCATCTTGTACATGCACGAATAAGCCCCAATCGGAAAAGATCAATAGATTTCGGCATTAACCTCAAGAGCTGCGCTTTTGAAGGACCACAAGGGTGGTGGAGTACTATGTGTGAGGCGGCGATGAATCAAGGTCTAGGTCATCCCATCCGTGCGGCCTATAACACAGAGGCCATTAATCTCTGCCTTCTTCGCCCTTTTGATACGTAAACCGGTGCTCACAAGTCAAGAAGTTCGTCGATTCGATTTTCTGGGACGCCCAGTCTGCTTCGTGTGAACTGCCCTGGGAGTGGCCGATGCAAGAAATGCTCGGTGAGGCGAGCAGAGAAGCACCCTACGAATGATGGATATATTATCGGTCCAGCGTTCGGCGGCTGCATAGGCATAAGCCGTCTCCTCGGTGAGCTGCCGCAAGCGCTCCGGATCGCAGAAAGAGAAACTGTGCGCCTCCTCTTGGAGCTTCTGGAGGCGTTGTTGCAACGCATCCACTTGAGCCAAACGCTCTACGTCCTGTTCCTGTAATCACTCCCAGATGTCTTCTGCATTTATCGTCTCACGGACGCGAAAGGCGGGTTTATCCGTACATGTTCTGTCGGCGAATCGAGGGCGCCCAACAATTCCCAGGAAGCCAACAGTTTTGCCTTTTGCTCTCTAAACGAATGGCACACCTACGATGATGCGCGTTGCGGGCTCTAATAGCTAACCGTAAGCTTTGTAGTTCTGCATCCTGTTGAGCGTATGCTTGGCTTCTGAGCTCCCTGAAACGCATTTTAATGCCTTTCAAATATACATTCTGAGGGCGCTAGGCACGCAGCACCAGAATACTGAAGACCCTGCCACCTTGTCGGTCTGTATGAGATTCTCCTCAAGCAGCATCTTGACCGCATCTGCGGTGCAACTCGCTTCAATGCCATTTCACCGGCAAGCAGATAACGGCTAACCTTTTGCCTGGATGCTCCTATACCCAGCCTTTTCAGCTAGTTTCTCAAGCTCTTTCGACCCGAAAAAGGAGTTAGAATCAAGCACAAGTTTGTGCAAAATATGAAGTCTTTCCTCCGAAGTCTGCTTTGCTTTAACCATCTTCGTAAGAGAAATTTGTAGTTATACGTGTAGTGCTCAACAAATACACAGAATCGCAATAGCAAGCATGTGGGAGGACCCTAATGTCCTGCACACTTGCATGTGTATAGACAGTTCCCGTCGCAACAGTGTAATGAATCAGCAAATGCGTCCGGATCTTCGGATTAATCGTCAGCCAAGATTTTCCTGATGCACAACAAACTTGGTTATTTATTTGTGCCACCGTCATCCCAGGCTAACTTGCGCGCGTGTTTCTGGGTAGTAGGCTCATCCAGCGCCTCGACTTACAAACGCCGAAGGGCCAAGCACCTGTTCCTGAAAGGAAGTAATTTCGCCAATCCAGGATAAAACGCGAGAGCGCACGAACTCGGCAATTTAAATACAATAATACTATTCAGATTCGAGCCGGGAAAATGTTGCGCAAAAGAAGCCGTCCATTCCACGAGAAGTTGGTAGCGAGTGGAATGGAGGTTCATTTAAGACTAACCCATGCTGCTGGCAGAAAAACTTGGCCTGAATGTGCAAATCCACAAATGCAAAGTGCTATACCGGGTGCAACTCGACCAAAATGGATAAAGGTACTCGCACTAGAACGCAGATCCTATTCTGCTGTCGAAGCGGTTAACTCTGCATACGGATGTACCTGTTGGACATTTTCTTCATCTAAAATGCTGCACGTGATGTAGACGATCTTGCCACTTTTTGGCTTGACATACTGCAAAGCGCTGCTGAAGATATGGCGTTGCAGTGCAATGAAATCCATGAGCTGCAAAAGATCAGTCTCGTGCATAGATAGTTGGGTTGGCACGCGTGGTAAACTATGGCACACCTGCCTTAAAGTGAAGAAAAACCCTCTAAATCCTCGATACGGGGGCCCACCTTATCGTCACGGTATTTCCATTTCATTTCTGGACTCCGCCGCAAGGCACCAGTGCCGGTGCAAGGCACGTCACACACAACCTGCACGAAAGCGCATCTCCCGAGCCTCCCAGTCACTCCTGCTCCAAAGGCAAAGCGTGGAATCGTAAGCTGCTTACAGCCAAGAGCAAATAGACGCGCTCTATACTGCGCAGAGGATCAAGGTCGCCTTTTGAATTGACTGAGGCTCTCGGTACTACGGGCAGAGAGGAAGCAACAATGCATGATTTAGAATCTCATGACAGATAGCATTCGCAGAAAGAGCTGCAAGAGGGTCCTCACCCAATCCATTGCCCCGGCGAGTTTCTGAAGAACGGGATCTCCTGGTGTTAGGACTGTATAGTTTGTAATTCCTGCTCTTTTCAGCCTCTTCTTCGCTTCCCGGAGCATCCTTTCTCGTACATCATGCAGATAAATCTTTCCCTTGTTCACCATTTGAGGGCCGAAAGCCAGTGTCTTCCCTCCGCTACCTGCGCAGTAATCTAGGACCTTATCTCCCGGCTTTGCCTGAAGAAACACGAGCACGCAGAGGCCTTAAAAGATGCGCAGTGCAACGCGCCCATGGTATACCACCTTTTACAAACTCATCATCCTACCCTGTGCATAGTGACAAACTTACTGCGACTTTTAGAGCTGCTAGTTGACTTGCTTCATCCTGGATCTCGAAATAGCCTCTATGGAATTCTGGCAAATCGCCTAGGCGCTGGCGGTGAGGCAGTACTAAGGCATACGGCGAATTGGCACTCTTCTCCACAGCAATGCCTAACAGCAGAAATCAATTGGGGCAGAGGTCGATGCAACATACCCTAGTTGCCTGCAGTTTAGAATGTGTGCATGGAGCAGGATATTGTTCCGCCAACGTGCACTGCATTGTCAATGCTTCGGCGGCTTTAACTGTATACAGGTAGAAAGGTGCAACTAATCATCCGGGCAATCGACGGAATACCTTTGTTAAGCAAGTAGCTATAGAGCCGATCACGTGAAATTGCAAGGGTGTTCGTCCGCAGGTATGTAGGCGCCTCTTCGTTAAGAATATTGCAGATATTGATGGCTTTGACCGTCCCATAGGCGTTCTCGATGCGAGCAAACAGCTCACTGGGGAAGGAAGTCCTGGTAGAGGGCGGCAGCTTGATGTTTTGTGTCTGCAGTTTCCACCTGCAAAAGGTTGCGCATGCACCACCCACCCTGTGACTGTGCCTATATCAAGCCGGTGAGTTGAACTGTATGAGCATGCGAAAAACCCTCTCCAATTGAAATAGACTTCTTTGCTAAGTGAGCTTCGGAAAGAGGCCCACCAGCAAGATTGCAACAGTATGGGATCTAAAATTGGGAAAGCAAGTCAGCTAGATGCCTGAGCTCAACGGATCGCGAAAGTTTGACCCGCGACAGCTAATGCGCCAATTTCAAGCGGTAAACAAAGAAGATGCAAAGTATTTAAGCGAAGGAGCAGACAAAGCTTCGAACAAAGGAGTAGCAGGAAATAAACTGAGAAAAAACATCAGAGATAACTATTTGCCAAGTGTACCTGTCTGATACAAAGTATGTACGTATCCTGCTTGGCCATGAGGTTGGGGGGGGCGTGATGTGGTCCAGGAGACCTTTCCACTTGACAATTTGGTAGATATGTTCAGTAATGAATTTCTTGTCGTTGCTTCCGACGCTCTTGTTGCAATTGTAGTAATGACGCAGGAAGAGATCCAAGGGAAGATGCCCTGTCGAGTGAGGCGCGTAGTACAGCTGTAAAGCCTGTTCAAGGTGCCTAACACGAAATGCATTCATCTTCCTTGTCAGCAAGTCATACCCAATATTCACGTTGCACCCGTAACCGTAAGCCCGGCACCGAGCTCAGGTATTGTTTACGGCTCAAAGCTTGGTCGGCTGCTTCTTTGGGGACTCTCGGCATGGCTGCCTTGTGGCCCCAAGAGCGCAGATCACCTTCCCATCTGCGCAGAAGGCATGTAACTTGGTGAGTGAAGCGCGTTACATTCACTGCGTGGCTTAAGAGGGACCCGCAATGCACTCCATCACACTGAGCAGTGCCACACTGCAGAGTGTGGTGGAATTAAGGAAAACAGTGGTTAAAGAAGACTCTCTACCTATTTCTGTACAATTGGCTAGAAAACATGAAACAAACTACAGTTGTAATTATGCCTGACGCACATCTGCGCGCCACAGGTTGCTAGTCCGCATGCAAGACGTGCCTGCTTGCTTCCACATAATCCATCTCCTTTGAGACAGTGTGGAAACGCCAACATACTTAACAGTAGTCAGTCATGTATGTTGTCTGGATTGACCCTTATATTTCGACTTCTGATCTCCATACTCCTGTTCCCCCGCAACTAAATTTGTGGGAATCAGAGAGTTTCCTCATCTACTTCTGCTCGCACTATGGCTGGCTGAAATAGTGGACTTTCATCATTCATCAAGTGCAGTTTAGGGCCTCCAAGTCATTTGGACGCATACAGTTGGCGATGGGCAACCGACTCAGGCCGCACTCCTTCTGGCATCGGATGTTTTTGTCTTGAATGTCACCAATATTTGCTGAGGAGTTTGAGAATTTCCGCAGATCAGTGTCTCTCCGAGGCTGACGCAGGGGTGTGCACCGTCGGACGCATTTCGGGGCTTCCTGGTCGATGTTTTTATGAGAATTTCAGGGGGCGTTCATGGTGGAAACAGCCGCGGAGCACCCATTGTCGAGACTCTGTACCATGCCCAGCGCTCCTCATCAGGCTCTTCAGATGTATTAAAAATGACACTGGCGGATGCTTCAGTGTGCCAGGACGGGCAAGAATGCTCGAATACCTCCAAGCCAGCCGCAGCCCGCAGTACACCAGATGCATCCGTGGATATGCAGACCAGCTCCTCTTCATCTCCCACTGCTCATACAGAGCAACCAGACCACCAAGAAGGCTCAGAACGTGGTGAAGTGGTGCGTTTGATAAGCGCTGAGGGGAGGCCCGTAGAGGTGCCAGTGCGAGTAGCCAGGGAATGCGAATTCCTCGAACGGATGCTTTCTGGTTCATTTACGGAAAGCCGAACGCGGGAGCTAAGTCTCCCGAACATCAGATACCGCGCGCTTAGCAAAGTTGTGGAATATCTGAGGCGAAGGGCCCAGTGGCGGGAAGGTGGAGGGGTACCTCTCGAGTTTGAAATGGATGATGACATAGCAGTCGATCTCTTGATAGCCGCTGACTATTTGGGGCTGAAGTAGCAAGGTGAACCATTAGATTATGATATGCGCTTTTCCTTTTCTAGGCTTGGAAAAGGGATGGTGACAGCCGGCATTTGTCGGTGTTCGCCCCTCCTCTGTTGTATCCCGCAATCAGGCGTGTTATCGTCTGCGTATCCACGCACTTGAACCCGTCTGCGGACCTTGTTACCCCGTTTCTGGGGGGAGGAAACACGGTTTTTTCCTCGCATGATAAGTATGGGGTTGCGCATTTGGTGTTTCCTTTGCGCGTTACTACGTCCACCTGTTCATGTATAGAGTCTCTGAGTATATGCATTTGCTCGTCTCACCATCCGTTACAACTCGATCAAGAGGACGCGGTAGTCTTTCGAACACTAGAACTAGTCAGAAATAATTCATAGTAGGTTTTTTGTGAGTTGCCACCTAAGGCGACTGTTTTTAAAGCAGGGACGCTCAGCCTCAGTCAGTCGCCCCCCTTTTCCGCATGTGTAGATATATAAATCGTATACCCCAGTGGCCACCCTTCGCCTCAGTTGCCTTCGCGCTGCTTCAAATCAAACAAGCAGCGAACTGAATCCCACATGCGTCACCGCTCGACTGGCCCCAAGGCGGGGCACCCCCTTTAGGTGTAGGCAAATCGGGAAGGTGCTCTGTTAGCCAGCTACGGCTGAGCTCGAATGCGCTGAAAGATCCCGTGGAGGACATGGCGTACGCCGGTGAGGGGCACTAGAGTTTCCGTTTCGTCCTCGTTGACAGAAGAAAGGTGGCGCCTGCCCACGAGCTCCAGCATGTCGAAGGCCCCGTTCGAAGGGGTCCCTGCCTTTGATCGAGGGTAGCGAAGCAGCCACGCTAAAAAGGAACGCCGCCCTCCCGAGAAGACTTCAGAACCCAGATTCAGGGTACTGTCGTCTTGGGAGCCATCTGGAGGCGCGTCAAGTCCTACCTCTGAGCCCCCCTCTCCGGACGCGTTCTTGCGCTCCACACTTGGCCTTTGCGCCTTCGAACGCTCGTCATCAGGGCCTCCCGGATCCGCATCCTCAGCAAAGGCCTTGGGCGCCGTGGGGGCTTCCGCGCATGCGTGGCTCCCCTCGGCCTCCTTCTCCGGTGACCGCTGCCACAGAGAGCCGCCAATGTCGGCGCTTTGGCCCTCGGCGGGCGCTAAGAAGCAGCACTTGACCAGCCTGACAAAGGCCGAGTCTGAAGGCCTTACGGGAGCCTGCATGGCAGTTCGCAGGGCCCCGAGAGACCGCGCTCCAGCGGAGTACACCCACTTCCCGGCTTCGGCAGTGTGCGCCGCGAGCGAGCGGACTAGAGAGCGGCTCGTCTTTTGCAGCGGGTACTCTGGCCTGAGGATATCTGCGAGCCGCTGAATTGCCTCCTTGTTCTTTGGGGCATCCGCGTAGCGCCGAGCCGCCAGCTTAAGTTTGTCCAAGCGCTCCTTGGAGGTTTCGTCGATGGATACAGTGTCGATTTCCGGGTTGAAGCGGAAGTAGATGGACGGCGGCAGCAGCTCCGTCAGCAGTTCGTGGATGGTCTCCGTGTTGGTGGCTGCGTTCACGAGCTGCGTGAAGATGCCATCCCACCCCGTCCGCGTATCGCACCGCTCCGAGGCGCACTTCCCGGTACCAACGCTGACCACTAACTCAATAGGCACCCCAGGGTACAGCGCCCGGGCTTCTGCGATGGCCACAGCCGTCGGATTGTTTGCTAGCAGGGCCCCATCCGCCAGCAGCTCTCTCCCCATCTTCTTGCCGCTGAAGAAGCCAGGAGCCGCGGTCGTCGCCCTTAGGGCGTCCCTCACACGCACGCAGCACGAGCCCTCATACCGCGCCCCTTCAGCCGCTTGGCCAGTGGCTGGACTGAGTCGCGAACTGCAGCCATAGGGCTGCCCTGAGGACCTTTTGAAGAGGCTCAGAATCCGGCGAAGCCCGCTGCCTGCCAGTTGCGGGCCTCTTTCCGACGGACTCGTCCCGGCGGCTGGCAGATGCGGGTAATTATAGTTCCGCCAGACTACTAGCTTGGCTGGGTTGGTTGAAACTCTCGTGGAGAGGCAAAAGACCTTGGGCACAGAGGTGTCTGCTGCAAAATCAATCATCCGGGTGTCTCCAAAGGCGCGGAGGAGCAGCGATTCCCACAGGCTCTCGTCGTAATACGCCTGCCGTACGACCAGGCGGGCCCCCGCCACCGCCGCCGAGTCCTTCACAAAAATCTCGCTAATAAGCGCGTCGTAAAGGGCCTCCAGTTCCTCGGTAGTCGCCCTCTCGAGCCCGAGGAGAAGAGCAATGACGCCCCCCGTCGACGTCCCACAGATAATATCAAAGATGCCACTGAGCTCGGCCGTCCCTACAGCCGCAGCGATCTCCTTCAAGAGCGCCACTGTAAGGACGCCCCTCGTGCCGCCCCCATCGAGCGCGAGAATGCGGAGGCCCCGCTGCCCTGGCACACGCGGGCGCCACTGGGGGCCCTCGCCGAGGGCCGAGGCTAGCACCGTTGCCAACCGCAAAGGCCTCGCGTGCTGCAAGCGTGCTCGTTGGTGCCGTTCTATCGGGGGGAGCATGTGGGAAACGCGTGGCAACTCGGATGTCTCGGCAGCAACAGTGGAGGCCTCATTGGCCGCTCCAGAAGAACGTGCGCCCTCCGCATCTGTCACAACCGACGGCCCCAAAGGCACGGAGAAGGGCCTTGACGGAGAGAGCTTGCCGGAGCAGAATTCAATGACCTTTTTGAGAGATGCTTTCAGAGACGCACAGCCGCGGAGGTGCTGGATGACGGCCTCTTCATTCATGCACAAGGCATACAAAAAGTCCAAAGCGGCGATCTGCAGCCGCTCAAGAGCCGCTGTGTTGTCGAGAACAACCCCCCCCCCGCAGCCCTTCCACCACCCCGTTCGGCGGTAGGGCGCAACTATGGCTGCAGCAAGGCCCTCTTGTAGCCGACAGCGGAAGGGCTCCTCGGACCCCTCTCCTTTCCTCTGCAGCTCCCGCGATACCACCGAAAACAACACCTCGGAGTCTCCTTCCCTGCGGGTCAGCCGGGCCAGAGCCTCTACGGCCCCCAGTTTGGTTTCCGCATGCTCCGAGGATACGGCGTCGAGCAGTGCGCGGACGGCCAAGGGCGCAACTGAAGACTGAAACGCCTGCGTTCCGGTCAGCAAACAAAGAGCTTGGAAGCGCTTCTTCTGCGTGTGCTGCTGGACGAAGGTGCCGGAGAGAACAGGAGGGCCTTCCCTATCCGACAGCCTTTGGAGATGCCGCTCCGCGGATGCGGCACCGCCTTCGCGCAACTCCTGCGCCGAGACGTCAGGGCTGTCGTCCACAGTGATTCCTAATACTCCCCAAAGAGGCATCGAACTGCCAGAGGCCCGGGGATGTGCAATGTGCACCTCCTGCAGCAGATCCAGGAAGCGAGCCTCCACCTGCGCGGCGCCTTCGCCGAAGGCTGCGTGTGCCTCCTGCTGCGACCCTCTGTCTTGGCCTCCAAGACCCTCCACAACCCTCGCCTTCATGGCAGCAGCAAGCGCCTCCCCCCCAACAGCTGCAACTGCTGCCCACACGGCGCTGTCGCCAGCCAGCAGACTTACAGGGACCCAAAGGACTTTCCTTTGCGTCTCAGCGCCTGTTTTCGCACTGCCGCCTATCAAGCCCGTTTCGAGGCGCCGCCAGCTTGCTGCAGCGCGCATGCAGCGCCGGACTGCTGCAGACAGCGCCCCTAACCGGAGCTGCCAGCGGGCAGCCACTCCACCGCGTCCAGCACTTTCCTCCACGGCGTCCGATAGACCCCTACCCTCTCCAGTGCAGCAGGCCTCCAACTTGCCCCCTGTCGCGGACCCGTCGCCTGTAAGAGGGCTCTGCACCGGCAAGCCGCTCTCGCACGCACCTGAATCCGCATAAGAACGCCCTCCTAGGGGCCCCCGTCCTCCGCTTGGATGCCCCGCAGAAGGACTCGCGCCCTGGCCGCTAAACGATGTCAGAAAGGACCGCACCCACCCTCGGTGCGCCGGCTCGGAGGTCCTCAATGGGGGCCTCCCCTGTGCAGCGTTAAGATCCTTTTTCTCCTTCAGCGGATCTACTGCACTGGTCCGACCCTCAAGTTGTGTCAGGAGAGCCGAGGCAAGGAATTCCGCTGCTGCCCTCAAGGGCGCAGGGTCTAGCGCCACCTGGCCCTCAGCGGCCGGAGGAGAGGACTCAGCTTGCTGGATGGAGCTATTGCGTACGCCACGCTGCTCTCCCCTTTCTTCGCTCTCCGAGACTGCCGCTGTCAGCGTTGCGGGGGGGCTCTCACCCGCCGCCTCCACTGCCCGCAGAGGGGGCTGTGGGTTTGTGGCCCCCGGTGCGACGTTCTCGCGCGTTTGTGCTCTTGCAGCGCCGCCTTGGCAGGGGAGTGTCTCCGCTGGCGTCTGCTGCTGGCTGATGGAGCTGCGCAGTTCGAGAGCTCCCGGAAGGCCCGAGGAAGAGGAGGGCTCGCAGACGCTTGCTGCCAGCTTGGGGGCCTTCTCCCCCGCCTGTGCAGCAGCGGGGAGCCCTGTGGGAGAAGGCGTTTGCCTTTCCGCCGCAAAAGGCTCGCCCCCAACCCTCTGCCTTTCCTGTGCAGCGCTTGAGCGAGGCGCCGCTGCATGGGCCGCCGCCTCAGTAGCTGCAGAGCGCTCCTCTGCGTCTTCAGCGACGTGCTCCTCGAGCGCGCTGGGGTAAGGGCCTAATGGCGGCGAATGTGCATCGGCCGAGGCTCGAGAGCTGGCAGACGGATCGCGAGCAGGAAAGCGGCGGCCCTCTCCAGCCTCTGCGGCAATGCGCGCAAGGGCCTTCCGCAGCTCCTTGTGTGCGGCTATGTGCCATTCCGCCTGAAAACCCCAGGAGAGGAGGCGCTGCAGCAGCTGCAAGGCATCTAATTGGACCTGCAGCAAGGCTACTGTCTCTTGGCTCGTCGGTTCGGCCTCCCGCTGCAGCCACCGCGGCCAGAAGGGCTTAGGCGGACGGGCGCTGCTGAGAATGCGGTGCAGAGCGTCGACAAGGCCGCGCTGCAGCAAGCTGTTTACAGGAGCGTCCACTGGTGGCGTGCTGCTGCTGCTGCTGCTTCCGCCGTTGCTGCTGCTCGGGGGGCAGCTGGCTGCCGATGCAGCGGGCAGCCCCCTGGACCCCGTATCCCCAGCAATAAGCACACACGCCTCCGTCCGCGAGGCCTTCTTCCGCCCTAACTCCGCAGTGACTAGCGCCAGCAAGGCCCGCAAAGCCACTGCCGGCTGCCCCAAGGGCCCCTCCTGCAGCGCCACCAGCAGCTGCTCGCCTACTGCAACGCACAGCGAAGACGCAGAGAGAGGGGCTCTCGCATGCACGGAGGCATGCCGCCAAGCACGCCTGGCGGAGTGTGAGCAGCGCGTCGCGCCTCGCATTTCTAAGACCAACTACACTTCTTTAAATAAGGAACGGGGCAGCTATCTGCAAAGGGGCCCTACCGGCCGTCTGCAGGCTAAAAGGGCCTCCCTGGCCTTCGACTGAAGGAACTCTGTCCAACCTCTCTTCAGCGGTAGGCAACGGCTCCTTGCTGCCTCGTATCCAGGGTGTCTCTGGCCGTCTCCACCCCGCAGCGGGAGGCCTTCCAGCAGTGGGGGGAGGTGCCACGGCCTCCAAAGCAGCCTGTGCTCGGAGCTCCTCAGGTGCACTCGCCCCGCTTGAGCCCCCTTCAGCCCCGTAAGGCGTTGGAGACTCGGCTATGCGCCGAGTCTCCAACGGTGGTGGCACGGGGAGTGAAGAGGTCTTTGCGACTGCCGAACGAGGCGCCGGATACTGGACCTCCTCCCCCCCCTTTTCTGGACGTTCTGAAGCAGAAAGCGCCTGCTCAGAAACTGCTGAGAAAGCGGCCGGGGCCCCCCTTGCCGTGTTCGGCGTATGACAGAGTGCAGGGGGCCCCGATGCGGGGGGGGCCTCATTTTCGGGTGTCTGCCCGGCCAGCGGCGGCGCAGGTGCGCTTATTTCTGCCTTCGGCGTGGCATTGAGTTCTTCCTCCTGTGCCCTCGCATCGGCATCGCTTCCCTGTGCACTGTCTTCTGACCCCAATAGAAGCGCGTCAGGTTTACTTCCTTCTTGCAGCAGCGCGCCCTCTGCGCCCCCCGTTGTGTGCAGGGATGCCCGTTCGTCTTTTACCCCAGCATCTGCTGAGTCACCCGCCTCTTCTCCATTCTGCTGAGACTCCAGGCCGGCTACCTGCGCGAGAAGGGGGGGGGGCTTTGCTTCCTGTTGACGTGGTGTGGAAACGAGCTTTCCAGGCGCTGCCTGCGGAGAGGGTAAGCCACCAGCTCTTTCGGCTGGCTGCCCTTGCTCATGAGGAGATGGCCCTCTAACGTCAGAGATGTAAATCCGTGCAGGCGGCGCAATGAATGCGGCCATAGGAAGCGTGGAAGTACTCGCCGACGAAGAAGGGCCCTCTACAGGATATGACGCGCGCGGTACATCTTCCACTCCAGCTGCTTCGCTCGAATGGGCATCCCCGCGAGGGGGTGCGCACTCGCTCGCTGTGCAGGCAACCCAGTCTCTGAGCCGTCTTGCCCCAACACCCACGGCGCGTACAGTCCGCAGAAATGTGTTTAGAGCCCCCCCTACTACACGGGGAGGAAGGCCGTACGAAGAGCTCTGGTTGCACCTTGCCGGGGCAGTAGGTACAGGCGGTAGTGTAGGAAGCTCCCCCTGTGCACTCCCTGGATGCAGGAAACGGCCAACAGCGTCCACAGCGCCTCCGTCGCCTTTCGAGGGGAACCCAGTGGTCGGCGGGCAAGATGAGATGGGGGAGCTAAGGTGGCGTGTGAGGCAGTGCAATGCCGCAGCGCATCTTGCGTGCGCTGGTGTTTGGTCTGGCGGAAGTGCCTCTAACCGTATAGAGCCAGAGGGAGCGTTTGGCGGAAATCCTACGACTGAATGGTTCAAAAACTGGATCTGCTTCTTGTGCAGCCCATTTCTGAAGCCTGCGGAAACGGCTGCGAGAGGCGGCAGGCAGGCTCCTGATTGACGCGGTCGGCAGCCGGCGTGTTCATGCCGCGGCGTGGCTTTGAGCGAGGAGGATGGAGATTGCCAGGCGTGCGTTTCCTGGTGCCTGTGTGGTCGAGACAAGCTGCTGGAGGTGGGGCCAGGCGCCGCAGTCGTCTCCCTAGTCAGCGATACAGCTGCCCCTGCCGGCCTGAATGAGCTGGTTGAGGACACACATAGGCCCAGGACAGCAATGCAAAGCCAAACAACAAGACACCACGTGAAGCACTTGGGTTTAATGAAACAGAGTAGCGCTGGCGACGCCCCTAGAGGGTCTGAACTCGCAGCGTCCCGATCCCGGGGACGCGGACCTAAAGAGGCCCTCATGAAAGGCAACACAGGAAACCATCACGGCGGAAAGAAAGAAATACCGAGACTGTATGGAGCACTGATATCTAGGAAGCATATGAGGGTGCTGGGTATTGCCTTTGCAACAGGACTGTCATCGCGATTTGACGCATGCCTGCCACGGGGTGACTGCCCATCCCCAGAGTATCCAGCGGACCCGCCGAAGCCATAGACCTTTGGAAACTCCACAACTGGCAATTCGTCATTAATAAAAACACTATTAAACCCGCAGAGACATCGCCTGGACGCTCATGTTCACCCATATTCCCGTTTCATTCAGCGGGTCTCCATTAATATGCTCTTGGCCCATACCTTGCACCTTTATGCTAGTGGCAGTAAGTCAGTAATGAACTACCGTCAAAAGGGTTGTTTTTGTCTTTAAAATGGACCTTTAGGGGTTTCCGATCATTTTTGAGGCCGGTGGAAGCAACATGAGTCGCATACACCGTCGAGCATTTGAGATACTCGAGACCATGGACACTATTGTGGAACGCAGAGCAATGAGCCGAAATAGAACTAACAGACAGTACGATCGGCTATTCCATATTGGTCTTGTATTGGGAACTAGCAGTTCACTGCTCGCCTGAGCAGTTCCTGGAGCGCTTTGCGGCATCTGGAGATACAAATTTCAAGTGTTTTGTACCGACAGAAAGTACCACCATCTCTGTTGCTTGCCCATAATAAATGGGCCCAAAATAATCCTACATCCTGGGTTTCCCTTGCCAAAAGCAAAGGTGCCACTAACGATGTCTTCACCGCAAGACTGCTGCTGCGTGCTTTCGAAAGCCCAGATAAATCTTGCTTGCACAGAGTGTCTGATTAATTCTCTTCGCTGATATGTTCATCTTCTGCTTCCTCCGACTCTGCCTGCGCTATTTCATCTGCCCGCTCCTTTAAAGCTGTCACTTCAGCGCTCTCTTCCTCTATTTCCTTCGCGTTCAGTTCCTCTTGCGCCTCTGCAATCTTTTCCTCTGCTTTTTCCAACTCTTTTTTCTCCTTTTCACACTCCTTATTTTTCTCTGCGTCAGAAGTTACTTTTCATAGCAATCAGCGGATGGCGTTTTCGGATCAGCTCCCACCTTTATCCTGACCGGCCCCTTCCTTTTCCCCATCAGAGGGTGAGGCGGGCGATTCCTCTTCCCTTTCTCCATGCTCCGCGATATCTTCTTCCTTAACAGGCACCTCCTCATCAGGAGAGTTTAGTGCAGTACTGCTTTCGGCAGAAGCTTCTCCATTTTCTCCTAGCGTAGTGCAGCCCCTACTGTTTTCATGGTTCCATGGGATGATCAAGTTGTAGTTTACCTTCAGATGTGTCTTCTGCGTCTTCTTGCGGGCTGTCTCCTGTCTCTTCTTGCGGGCTGTCTCCTGTCTCTAATTGGCCATGTTTCAAACGAAATTTCCGTAAATGCAGAGAATATGCATGCAAACCTTCATCGTCATCAGTGTGCAAATTGAGGTGTGCTTTAACTGTCGCAAGAACGGAGGGCCGCGAAGAGGCCCCTGTTGCTAAAAAATGTTTTATGGTCTAAGAGCAGTCAGTGCTGAGAAATTTAGTTCTTAGATGCGTACGGGGAAATCTCTCAGGAGAGTGAAGATACGCGTGTGACTGCCGACTCCAGATTGCTGCCCGATTCAAGAACGCCGTAGTTGCCGTAACGTCCGCAGCCGCAATTGCCATTGGACTGCAGGCAGCCCATAAAAAGAAACAAACTAAAAGAACCAACATCGTAGAGGACCTAACAGGGTGTTAGTAGGTGGCTGCTGTGCCATTGCTTGCCATGCGTCCTTTGACGCCCGCACGAAGTATGTACAGAGTGTCTGTTCGCCCCTTGACAGCTATTGTACAGCAACCCTACAGCGGTACAAATGATTTAGCGGTTTTGAAACAGTGACATTTTTTTCTGTGTACTTCAGCTCAGACCAAGCAAAATGTAGATCAGCCGCAGCCTTGCTGGGAATACATGGTGCTGTCAGATAGCACGATGTTCGGGGCAGGAGGCGCCATGAAGGCCAAAGGGTTATCTAAAGGAGCAAAAAAAGCAACACGTGTACTTTGTCATAGTTTCTGAGATAAGGAATGCAGTGATCTGTCTTTTTTGCGGAAGCGTGGGCGCTCCGGACACTATGACGATCACATATCGATATGTTCTGCCTTATTTATGTTTCATGTGTAACATAAACAGTTCAAGGACTGTGCTGAATGAGGAATGTTACTAAAAGTGCGCTCTTTAACGGGGGCACCCTCTTTCTGATGGAGAAATCAAGAAAAGCTGAACATGAATAGTGCAAGTGCATGTTGAATCCAGGGATCTTTGCGGCCCCTTGGCCCAAGCGGAACCCCGAGAAGACCCTGAACTCTCCTTCAAAGACACTTTTAGAGACTTTTCATCTCAAACTGCGCTTTCCACATGCCAGCCTCGACGATGGCGGCCCCTAATGAGGGTGGCCCCCCCGGGACCCCCCAGTCCAAGGATCGTAGACACCATCATAAATTTATTAAACATGGTCACATTTTCCGTTTTATTCATTTAAAAGTAGCCTTGAATATTTACAAGCCGGTTTTTTGTAGGTACCTATTGCTCTTTAGAGGAACCCAATTGCGTTCCTCCGAAGTCGCATTTACGCTTTTCGATGCGTCTTCTTTGCGAATGTCCAAAGCCGCCGCTAGAGCAGAAATTTCACAAATCACATGCGCTTGCAGTCAAGCGCAAGCACCCAAAATGCACAAATATCAACTCGCGAACCGTAAACGCACCATCCCTTCTGCATTTTTATCGCCGACCGCGGAGTGATCAGGCATGGTTCCGTAGACCAACGCTTATTGAGGCAGAAGCTCATTCAGCCCAACTCGTGAAAGCATGAAACGTCTTCTGAAGACCTGAAAATGAAGGAGAAGCCGCCTTCTCCAGAGATCTGGTAGGTCCTAAAGATCGATACTGCGATCGGTTCAGGTTGCGGGAGCACGGCTGATTGAGCAAAGCTTCTTGCAGGCACACATGGCCGCATGAATCTTTCGAATAGAAATGTGCTGAGTTCGCCGAATCTGTCCCCAATCTTGGTTTTATTGCCTTTTGGATGCGTGATATATGAGCGGCCCCCTGAATGCGTGTCCGGGGGTACTTGCGATGCAGCATTGTGGGCGGCGGCCTCAGTGGGCTGGCTATGGCCTTCCACTTGCAGCAGCAGCCTGAGCTCTGTCACGCCAGGATTAAGATAATCGAGACGCAGCCTCATCTCGGCGGCCGCTACATCAGCACCGAGCCTGCAAACGCAGGAGTGCTCCACGGACGGCTCGACGCGCCACCGAGCTCCCAAGCAGGGAGCATAGCATCGCAGCACGGGCTTTGGAAGGATGAGCTTCCAAAGGGCCAGCAAAGGGAACTGGTTCCGCTCCTCATGAAGACGCTGCACGACTGCAGCTACATGCATTCCCATGTTTCGCTTTCGCCTGCGGCCCTGCGCCCGGGGAGAAAGGCCGCAGATGGACCCCCCTGCAAGGGAGGTTCACAGCGCGAAGGCAGCACAGTAGGCCATGAACACGCCGACATTCCATTGGAGTTTGGAGCTGGTGTGCCGCACCTCCTTGCTCCTGGTGGGGCTCACGTCTTGCGGCTGATGCAGCATCTACTGATGCCTTCCCAGCTGTTAACCGCCAGGCGGCAGGCTGGCTCTCTTTTCTCCCTAGCGCGCAGCTCAGTACACCCCGCAAGGGGTGCCGCGTGGCTGACGCCGTTGCGGAGACTTAAGCCGCGCGGCCCCACTCTGGATGCGCAGCCGAAGTGCAGTCCTGGGTTGTCTCGACGGCACGTTCTACGGGCTCTCTGCGCTGGCGTTCGGGAAAGCTTTTTGACTCCAGAGAAGGTGGCGAGCAAGCAACGGCGGCTCGGCCATGCAGAGGCGCCCAATGACATGTCTGTCTCTGCATTTGCAGAGCTGCACGCGTCTAAGACCCTAGCCAACGCCGTGCTCCTACCCGCCTTTGGCTCATGCAGCTACGCAGGTTCGCCTTCAGAATCCTTGCATGTACTAACTGCGTTACAACGCCGAAACAATGCTAGTCTCTTGTGCCGCAATAAATGCGCAGGCAGGCAGCTGCCGCTGCGAGGAGAAGGCATTTATCCCACTTCTTCAGCAGGTCACTTCGTCGACGTCAATTCTCAGCACTGCTCTTGCCGAATGCTTGTGCAGGAGACGCAGAAGCGCTTTCGGCCAGTGCGTATTTTCCGCGCGCCTGGCTGCTGCACTCTCAGTATGGCTCCTTGCTACGGGGCTCCTGGGTTGAGCGCCGTTTGCTGCGGAGGAGCGGCGGCCAGGGAGGCCATAAGAGCAGTGGCGGCATCGAGGCTCCAGTAGACGCGGATGACAGACACATTATGCCCGTTGAAGGGTGCAAGGCCTTTCCCCATGGTCACGAGGGGCTGCAACGTGTCGCGTCTGAAGGCGCAGGTGTATTTGCACCAGTCGGTGGCATGAGGCAGGTGCGCCTCTGAGTTGCCCCTCTGTTTTCAGAGGAATTGAGAAAACGTGGGAATGGGGGTCTCGCCTGCATCAGTAGCATGTAGCACTTGGTCGTAGCATGAGGAGCGCGTGTGTGTGACAATGGGCGAAACAAAAACCCTTAGTGGAGCGCGCGTCCGATATTACAGTGTTAGGGATAAAATAGTTTGCAGCCGCTCCTGGCGGTTTGGGTGTGTCTGTATGCTCTGGTTGCATCGCACCTTTGCACTTGTACTGCTGCAGCTCGTTGAGGCCCTAGCGAGGCATATAAGGACGCCCAATGCCTCCGGACCGCCGATCTCAGTGGTGTCGAGCTCTCGGGTTGTTCGGATTGCGCGATCGCTTGTTACAGGCAGCGCCAAACCAGCTGCAGAAGTAGTATGCGAAGATGGTTCCCGCCACTCGGCAGATCTTGTGATCTGTGCAGTGCACCCATACGACTTGGGTATAATCTTGAGAGCCTCAAAGGAGGCCTTCGACGAACCCGAAGATCTCGAGCAACCTCTCGGGAAAAGCGCCTCCACAGGGGGACGGCAGGCAGAAAGCAAGGAAGCTCACACTAGCGATATCAACCACACGAAGGAAGCCCGCAGGAGTACGTCCGTACTGGCGGAGCTCTTGCTGTCACTGCCCTGTGCTTCGTGGGTTAGCGTTCATGCCTTTGCTGCTTACACCTCAAGGCGTGCGGCCTCCCTTGGCCGAGGATGTTTGTATCCGCCTACCCAACCGGCAGCGCCTCTAAGCTTTGTTTCTGAACATGAGGCTTCGACGGCTCCCCCACAAAGGTCTGTCCCTGTGCACGACGCACAGCGGGATGGGGAGGAGCAGGTGGCAATTCCGTCTAATGCAGTCGCCGAGGCTTCGGCCGCAGTCCTCACAGCGCTGCAGGCTGCCGAGGAGGCCCTGACAGTGGCGGAGCTTCAGCTTCCCGGAAACCTTTTTCCGCATGCACAGGCCGAGGCTCTCTCCGCGGCTGGCCTTTTCGACAGCTCCGCGGCTCCTTGGGTCTCCCGGGCAGCGCTGCTGCATGCGCAGGCGTCGGTACGGGTGCACAGGCTCGAGACGCTACTGGAACACATGCAGCAGCTGCTGCTGCCGCTGCAGCGCCTCCTACAAGCGGAGGGTCCGTCTTGGGTGCGGCGGGAGTCCAGTGAAGATCGGATGGCTGCCGGCGTACGCGCTTTGGGCCTCTTGATGTCTGCTGCAGAAGCTGCAGTTGTACGAACCCTGCTACGCGAAGGCATCGTTACACCGGCAGAGCAGTTGGTGCTGTCCTCCAGGTTGGCTTTGCAGGCGGAACCGCAATGGCCTGTGTTACTTCGGCATCCCATGGAGCCGCGAGCGGCCGCCCAACGTGGTCAGCTTTTTTACTTGCTGCAGCGTTTTGAGCAGCTGCGTGAGGAGCAGTGGAACGGTGCCCCCCTCCTACATGCAGCCTTAGGCCACGTACCCCCAGTACGGGACTCTCAAGTGACCTTGACCCCTCCAGAAAGTCCAGCTGTTGAGGAGCAAGCCCCACATTCAAGGCAGGAATCGCCAACGCCGAAGTCGTTTGCTGAGGCACGGGTGCTGTTTCATCAGCTTCGATTGAAGGCGGCTCCCTGGCTGCAAGTTGTTGGCCCCGCGGGATCTTTCTGGTATGTTTACTTCTCTTGGTGCTAGATCAGGCCCAGTGGAGCTTATAAGCGCGCACGGGCACACACACACACAAGGTAGCCCTAGATAATCACGAAAGCTTCAGCTGCACGTTTGCCCAAAAAAAGTGACTGGCAGCTAGGGAAAGCAGAGAAGCAATGCAAATCCAAATTTTAAAGAAACGGGATAGCTAAGGGGCAATTTCTTGTTCCATTTCTTACATGTCCGACGGCACTTGAATCCTTCTGATCATTCTGCGTGTACAGCGAGTGGGGGGCTGGCGCTAGAGTAAAGGATGCAGCGATTCTTGCTCATCAAGTTGCTCAACGGTGAGCTATTCAGTGTGAAAGCGTGCGGCGCTAGCTTCTCCAAAGCAACATGATACCACGTTTTGGGGCTCTATCAAACCCTATATCATGCGCTTTCTGGCGACTACAGTTGAATCAATGTTGTCTGCTCTGAAATCCTTCTTTCTGAAAATTTGTTTCCCCGCTACATACTCAATTTTCGTCCTATCAGAGGTCTAGACTGGTGAGAAACCTGAGATTATCATGTGAATGCCTTTGCTCCTCAGATTCGCTTCATTCCCCAACATCCGCCCAGAGACGTCAGATGACTTCATGGCCCGTCTCAATGGAGGGTGGCTCGGGGTTCTCTCAAGGGAATCAAGGGAGGGTGAATTTGATGGGGCGAAGCGCAGTCACCCTAGCAAGCCTCAAGGCCGTGGGGCAGAAGTAGGGGTGCGCCCTTAGGAAGCAACGCAAACTTTGTGACCCTGTGAAACGTATTCACTTCCAGACGTGGAATAGAGGCGGGCCGTATTTTTGTTCGTGAACATGGGGGGAAGGTAGATGATGTCTTATAGAGGTAGGGCATTCTGCTCATCTGAAGTCAGTCAGGGCTCCTCTCTGTCACATTCAGGCAGCCAGCAAGTGAAAAAGGCACCAGTATGGCATTTTTCAGGCAACGCTGATAGAAAAAGAGCACGCCATCCAACGCGTTAGCTGGAAAGTATAGCTCAGTCAATAACAGTGCCCCCTTGATAACTTCTGAAACAGTCCCCTCGTCTCTCACCTCTGGTTGACACATTTCTTTCAAGATGCTTCATGCAAGGCAAGCGGTGGGGCTCGCATGGGCATGAGCTCTCATAATGTACTTCATCATTTCAGGATACCGCATATATTCTATCTTTCGTTTGTCGGCTACTGAGGTACCGCCCAATCAGTGGTTCTCCCCAGGCAACATTCCCCTGAAATACTGATTAAAAGGTTGTTCCACTACAACGCGGCCTTTCTGCACCAAAGCCTCCCCGTCTTCCGTATGCATTCTGGTGCTACTGTTGTTGTGTGGAGCTTGTTTAGCTAACGAAAAAAATTGTTGCCAGGCCAAACCTCGTAGATCGACAGGGCGGCGTGCGGGTGAGTGCACTCATTGTAGCGATGTGTGCAGCCAGGGAGCTTTGTAGGCATGAAGGAACAACCGTGAAAATGGTTTAAACGAGTAATGCCGACGAATCAATATACTGCCCATTTCACTTATAGCACCAGCTCTGCCACGGCTCAGGAAACAGTTTAATTTTTCTTAGTCAATATCCAGAGGCTTTGCAGATTTACCGGGGGTATCGTTACAAATAGGGATATCTAGTTTGATAGTGCATTCTGGCGGGTGGTTGTGACCGCGAACCACCTGGAGGCAGCTCAGCAGACAGAGCGCACCAATCGCACTCTCCTGCAGTAGCTGCGACCCTAAGCCTACAACAATCCAATTGCATGGCTTGATTTCTTCCTTGTGCTCAGTCGGTTTGTACTGCCCCAGCACTCTCGTCTACCCGTAGCTCTTCCCCATCTTTTTGAAGCTAAGTCGCTTCTTTCCCATCCTGGATTGGGCCTGGTTGTCAACGGTCTACCGCCTCCCTTATCAACGGCGGGATTGAATGAACGGCTGGTCCGTGCACGCAAACGTAGGAGGACATATCGAACTATACAAGCTTAGAGTAATAAAAATCAGTGGTTTGTCGTGCTTTTCAAGCCTGGAAATCGGTCCTGGTGGCTCAGCAGGTTCTACGAGATGCACCAGACGGTTATCAAAAACACATGCTTGCGACCAGGCGGCTATAACCGTTTGCAGCTCTCTTGTGAACCAATGCTTTCTCGTTCTACCGATTTTCCCCCCAAAGTTGGAAGCGCCAGATAAGTATCAATTCTGGCTTCATACAAACGTTTGAAAGTTGCCTGAGTTTTCAGAGGCTTTTGCCGAGCAGGCTAGTAATCCGTGTGGAGGCGAAAGACCCACAGAACGACGTAGAAGCGCTGCCCTCCAGGCCTATTGAACGCTTAGGCTGCACTAGGTGAGAGGCTCTCTTAAAATGAGCTGAGCAACTTAGATGAATGATCAGTTGCAGGTTTCATTGGGTGCGGAAGGATTTTGGGCTATGCTTGGTATGCATAGTTGGTAGCCATGCGTAGTGTTCCTCACGTTCCTTAGTATTCTCCTTCCACAGCGCAAGCTGCGGCTGAAACAGCCGGCGGTGACCCATGGTTATCGCTCCAAAAGTGCCGATAACTATTGCAGAGGCGTGATGTACACGGATATGTATGCGCATGCACTCGCAGGAGTGATACTCCTAGATTCTTCCTCAAGGCTCTTTTGGGGCAATGGTTTCGACTGCGCTGCATGCGCCGTGTGTTTTTCATGCACCTGCTGCTTTCTGAAGAGTGGTTATGCTGTCTATCTTGATATCCTTGAAACATTGTACGTACCTTCTGTTTTCGCGAAGCAGAAGGTTCACATATTTCACTGATCTGACAACAGCAAGCCCTTGCGCTGCCGCAATGGTGTTCATTCGGCCCCCAACTCGTTGTTGGCCAGTTCATGTGACGTTTTTGCCGTCAAGTTCACCTTAGCAGCCGATGTACGAATTTGCTTTTCCGTCTGCACAGTTTTCGCATATCTTTGTCTTGGAGTGGCGAAAGAGTGGGAACTGTCCCATTGTCCTGCATGCAGCTGATCTCGACGCAGGTGTATGGAACATGAAGGCGCCCTTCTGAAAAGAGGAGGACGCTGTAGCGGGCAAAGGTACACATAAACACCTATTAGACCAATTATATTAACCTCAGACTCAACCAGCGATCAGTTACTTGGTTTCTGTGTTCGTATATTGATTGTTGCAGTATACTGTTAGCTCAATAAATGCACGCAACGGTTTGTGCATGTCTGCTTGGTGCCATGTGCGGCTACCTACACGACAAGTGGCAAATGCTGCATGGATGTCCGCTAGGTGCGATGTGCAATCCACCGCGAATGCTTGGAGTGTAGGTAGGTGCAGCAGCACGAATCCTAGCTGTTTGTTTTCCCCTATATCTCTAAAATACTTATGGGAGCGGGCAGGGGAAGGCAGGAATCCTACAAGGGCAGTACTCTACGAATTCCTCGTAAGTTTGTGTTGAACCTAGTGTTCTGTATCTCCATGTGCAAATCGTTAATCATGGGTTGCAGTCCCCATATGAGGGGAATGGTTAAGTTAGGTTGCGCAATGCTGCGTCCGCTAAGCACTCCAAGCATTCACGGCGAATCGCACATCGCACCTAGCGGACACCCATGCAACATTTGCGCCTTCTTGTGTAGGGAGAAGCGCTCTGAAGGAGAGTAGATGGTACAAGCGGACAGATAAGCTAGTTGATTGCTTACTAAATCTTTTCTGTATATCAAGTGTAGTAGGGCGTTCATAACTGTAACTTTGCTTGCAGCACTTCCTCTTTCGCACCTTGCCGTGTTTCGCGACGCCATAGTTGGGCACACGCGCTTACGGTACAATGACATGTCACATGCTTTACACAGACCCTGCACTCTACCCAGCTCTATTCAAAAGCTTCACGTTAGCCCGATGGCAAACAAAGTTTTGCCAATCTTGACATGGACGATAGTAGGCGCAGCTTGCTGAGTTCCTTGTACACCACGTGCAACTTGGGTGTCTCCAACCCATGGATGGACCTGCATATATCCGAGACCACAATGCTCTTTGGCTACTAGTCCTTCGGGATAGCACGTAGTGTAGCCTGCATAGCTTGCATACTATTTATGGCCAGTTTATCCAGACATGTAGGCGAATTTCACTGTTCAGCAAGAGCCAATCTAGGACAACGGTACACCTAGTAAGCGATGAAGTTATTTTCCGCACAATATGCTCTAAGATCATTTGTATTAGCTCTTAGCTCTGCCTGAATGGGCATCTTGAAAACCAAAGGAGTCTCGATCCTTTAAGCCCCGCGATGGGCCCTTCCGTGTGAACAACCGATGAAGAGGGACGCTCGAGAGCCCGGTTTAGCTGCAACATCTCAAGTTAAAGCAATGACTGCAACAGTACATTGAATACAATGATTTTAGTTTTGTCTAATGCTAAAATACGACACAAAACTTTCAATTTACCTCCCGCGTTACACCCTGCTGGGGGCCCCCTTCACAGAGCAGTCAAGGGCCATCCAACGACAGCTGTTCAACGCACTGTAAGGCGACCAAACCCGGAACAAGAAGCGATATAGCCTTGGTTAAATCATTCGTTCAAGAGGTAGCACATATCACTAAGTGTGCAATTCCTTCGAGGCCTTTCGCTGTTAACCAATGACTGCACGCTTTGACGCGGTCCCGGGACCAGATCACCTCATCCTTTGCGAGTTGACTGGAAGCAAAGGAAACCTGGACCCTTTAGGCGCTTACATCACTTACGGCGTGCAAGGAAAGCACTACTTTAACGAGGAGTCGTAAAGTTTTGGGAAAAGCTGCTAGCCTGGCATTTCCGAGCTTGAAATTCCATCTATCTTTCGCCTGGAGAACATCGAAAAGTCCCTCATTGCTTCACCGAACTGCAGACCTACCTTCACTGTGGCTGCTTTTCTTGAGCCACGGGAGACAACTGGAAGCAAGAAGACTGCCTCAGCATTCCCTGATCGAGGGCCTTGTCACATTGCTTACCCAGTGAGATGAACCTCACACACCTGTAAAAGCCGAAACAAGGTGCTGGCTAGGACCCCTTCAGGAAAAAGGGGGCGCTGCAGGCAGCTAGAATCCGCATGATGGTCCCCGCATGAACATTGAATTGCCACATCGATTCGTTTGGCCCTTGGAAGGCCACACAGATGGGGGCGTGCGACGGGATTACATATGGCTGTTTACGACAGTTTGACACACGTTTGTTGCCCTAGGTAGGAAAGGCAACGGACAGATCCTCTTCACGAGTCTCCTGACTGTTGCCGCCAATCTCCTCTCCAGGTGGGCGACTGGATCAGCCCGTTCAACAAGCGATAACAGTCCGGCAATCGAGAATATGTAGTCTCCGCTGAACAGCATCATATCTCAGTATAAGGGTTTTGTCGTCAAGAGCTCTGCTGCTGCGGGAGCCTGTGGAGCGATGGCACAGCAATTCTGGGTTCCGCACCCCACCGAGGTGTGGGGGGTGGCGATAGAGGCCTCAGGCGGCAGCTACAAACTCTGGAAGGTTTTCGACTCAGCAACAGATCCAAACAACCTTACTTTTACTGTTGATCCAAAAAACAAATCCCGAATCAATCCGATCGTAGACCCTAAAGGACTTCAAGGCACGTTACACATCACTATCCGCAAGCGGAGTTTCAACAGAGCACCATGAAGAAAGGGGGAGTTGTTACGCCTTCTGCTTCCTGCCTGCAGTAAGGTAGTGCATCTAGAAATATTGAGTCTGTGGGGCTAAGACTACAGCCGTCGTAGGGCGGGTTGCAGGAAACTGTTGCGACTATATGCACTGGTTCAAAAAGTAGTTGTGGGTCTTGCAGGCAAAGAGAATATTTGCGACCTTTCGGACGTATCAGAAGCGTCTCTGCTGCAGACGCTTCGACAGCGGTATAAGGAGTGTCAGATATACACCAATGTTGGGCGCATCGTGCTGTCTCTGAATCCATTTGAATATCTCCCCCTCTATGGAGAGTCAATCATCTCTCAATACTTTCTCTCGGATGACCCGTACAGCCTGCAGCCACACGTCTATCAAGTGTCCGCTGCTGCTTTACAAAATCTAAGGGAGGAAGGGAAGCCCCAGGCAGCGCTAATAACAGGCGAATCAGGCACGTGCCCTAGGATGTTCTGACCATCTAAAGCTGCATATCCTATTCGGTCCAGCACCTGGCAGATCTACTGCTCATGTAGTGAGATGGCTGTGCTCTGGTCTCTAAATAAGCTTCTGCTCTTAGGGAGAAGCCCCCAGCCAAAAGTATGCCCCTTTGCTTTGACACTTTTTGCAGGAGCTGGGAAAACAGAGACCACAAAGCTCATTTTGCAGTTCCTGGCTGTTGCGGGAGGCAGTGAAGGAAGTGCTGGGGTAAACGCAGAGACCGGATCCATACAGCAAAGAGTCTTGGAGGCAAACCCTGTGCTAGAAGCTTTTGGAAATGCCAGCACCAGCAGAAACCCGAACAGCAGCAGATTTGGCAAATGGATCGAAGTCATTTTCAACGATAAATACAGCGTTGTTGGTTAGTATAAGAACTAGGAACAGAATGACTTCACGGGCCTTTGAACTACCATCAATCCTGTCTGCCTACACGCCTTTGCTGAGTCTCCGTTGTTCCTCATTATATTCATTTATGCTTTCTTTCAAAGTTTAAATCACAGTGTTGCAAAAAGAAAGGGATAGTCTGCCATTTCCAGTGCCCTCACAACCTTTGTGTAGCTGGTCGCGGTCTGCTTTTCTGTCAGGGGCCTCGGCACTGCGTCAGCCTAAGCTTTCAATTTTTTTTATCATTCTGCAGGTGCCCGCGTGACTTCGTACTTGTTGGAGGTACCCCGAGTAGTTGGTCACACTGAAGGCGAGAGGTGTTACCACGTGTTTTACCAGATCTTAGAAGGGCTGAAAGACAGTCTTAAGGGACTGCAAGGACAGTATCAGCTTGGAACAGACCCAACGGCGTTCAGCTATTTAGAGCCATATATTCCGAGCAAGACGAGTATGCATACAGTATATCAACAGCTATACTTTAGAGTGCATTGTTTTCCGTTTGCTATGTTAATTTTTCGATACTTGAATCATATACCGGTCCATTAAATGCTCTCTAGAGGCTTTTCTTCCCATATCACCGATATCGCACCTCCAGAAAATACCTATATTACATCACTTAGAGCCGTATTTTTTCCATTGTTCTCTTAGTTCCTCCCTTCGTGTATGCACTGAATCCTTTTTGCTGCCTTTATTTGAACAGTTAAGGACTCAGAAGCCTTAGAGGAGCTGAAGCACGCACTTCAAACTTTGGGGTTCAGCGCTTCGCAACAGAACAACCTCTTCTCCATCGTTGCCGCGATATTGCACCTAGGGAATGTGAAATTCATCGCACACGGGGTGTGGCTAGCAACGACAGTGCTCCAGGCGCCATTAGACGACTGGCTGGGGCTTTTACCTTAATGTGCACCTGGACTGCGTAGGCTGGGCTTAGGTTCACACCGAGATCGTTTTTTCTACACATTGTTTGAACTCGTGGCTGACTAAGTTGGATTTAAAAGTATGGTGCCTGCCTCATTATTCTTTATGCCTTGAGTAGTACTGCGACTTGGATTTGTGGCTAAGGATTCACAGCATTAGTGTTCCGTGTATTGCAGGCTGGCGGTGGAGAAGGCAGTGCGCCAGACCCAAGTACAAAAACTCACATATCGAGTTCATCTTCTCTTTTGGGCGTTTCAGAAGAGGTAATTTCTGTGAAGTAGGACCCACAAGACTCTCTAGCGATGCGAATTAAGAAAACATGCCAAGAAGGATCTGTGTTCTCGTCGCTTCGACGTGCAATTAGAAGCAACTAGCCTTTTTATCGGAACAGAGGCTTTGTGATATAGAATCAGCAACATTTTTCGTGAAGCAAAGGTAGCGTCTTGAGGTGGTTCCTTTCGAGTACTGCACTTCAATCTATAAAAACGGCTACATGCTTATTTGCAGGTGTTCATCCCCTGTTTTTTCTCATACTACATCAAATCTGTGGTTTTAAGACTACAGGCTCTGTGGTATGGTGCTTGTCGTGCTGTTACAGGGTCTGGTGAATCTCTTCATTTACCGCTCCCTGAAAACGGGAAATGAAGTAATAAGAATGGTGCTGAGTCCGGAGAAAGCTCAGGCTGCGCGCGATGGCATTGCCCAGCTTGTCTACAGCTGTCTTTTCTCGTGGCTTATTGCCAGAGTAAATGAAAGTCTGCAGCCAGCACAAGAAACGCTGGTGAGTCGCCTATGAGGTTGGCTAGGCTGAACGGGCACACCTCCTTCGAGTTCTGAGTTTTTAGTTAACTGCAAGAACGGATGAACAGGAAGTGGTAGATAACCGGAAAACACCCTTTGCAACACATTCTTGGGAGTTGGATGGATTAATAATATGACGAGCGGCGCAGACGCCTCACAAGTACAACATATCTCAAAGTCAGCAATAGTGGGCAGAGTCTTATGCATAAAGTTGCCTCAGGAACATTACTTTTTTCTACACGAGAAATGTGACTCTAAAAAGGCAAAAGATGAAACTTCTGATGAAAGAAAAAAATTCGTTATCGAACTTTTTCTCATGGCCAGTGATAATCCCTTTGCTCATTTATGGCCACATCTTACTTATTTTGTGAGCATGTTACGATTGGACTTGTGCTATCCTTCCTTGTTCCTTTACACATCAACATGCGCCTTACACAGAGCAACAAAGGGAACATTGTTGGCATTTTGGATATTGCGGGCTTCGAGAGCTTCAAAACGAACGGCTTCGAGCAGCTCTGTATAAATCTAAGCAACGAGAAATTGCAGCATCACTTCAACCAGGATATTTTCTTGAATGAAATGGAAGATTACCAGAAAGATGGGCTCAAGGACCTTAAAATTGATTTCGTTGACAATGAAGATATTCTCGACCTAATCGAAGGGAAAGGAGGTGGGGAAGGCACTTGGCTGCCTTGAAAGCCCACCGTACTTTTACTCTGTGAACTGCACATTATCAAAACTTTTCTTTCCTTGGGAAGCCTGACTTCCTTCTATGTTCGACTTTTGAAATTACATTATTCCGTTAAAGTTTTTACCAATTTTTATGCCTGTCTCAATTTTTAATTTCCTCTTATCCAATCCCTAAGTGCGGAGTCTTCTTATTCTCCACCTTATGCCTTTAGGAATTTTTGCGGTTTTGGACGAAGAGTTGTTTGTGCCCAAGGGTTCGGAGCAAGGATTCGTGGCGAAACTAGCAAAGAACCGGGCGAGCGACAAGCGCCTAATTCCCAGCAAGTAAACTTAAAAGCATCAGCAACCACCGATTGACACGTGCTCGGCAAAAACTGAGAATTTTGTGTTCGCTTGACTATGCAATATACCCTGAGTACATTTCTCCGAGCAGCAGGATTGCACTTAAGGGGTGCCGATGAAATAGTATTTCAGGAAGCCAAGCAGGTTCATAGTCGCTTATAGGCTAGTTTTATCAAAGCCATGCCTGAATCGATATTTTTACAAGCTAAAAGCTGTGAACACTTCAATTGTGTCTCGTTAGGGCTTCAGGAGCGCTAGCATTTAGTGTGAATCATTATGCTGGGACGGTAACGTACAACGCGGGGTGTTGGCTTCAAAAGAACCAGAGCGCGCTTCCTGCAGAAGCAGTACAGCTGCTGCAGGCTTCTTACAATGAGATAATGGCACAAGCTGTTGGACTTGTGAGTGCGAACAATGCAAGCCAAGCAGGTGGAAAGGGAAAGAGCAGAAGTACTGTAGGTATGCCATTATCAGGAAAGAAACATATACCTGAAAAATGTCTGCGTGAAGAATTACAGCACACGTAATCTGCATTCCTGGACTGGTGGGAGTGTTTTCTGCATCAGTTGTTCGTACAAGCGGTGTTCTAGGCCGTACTGAGCGAGAATTGTTGATTTCTCTCCTTTTGCTATGTGCGCTGTAGCTCTTGAATTCAAGCGCCAGCTAAAGGATTTGATGGGGCGCATTGAGACGACCACTACACATTACGTCAGATGCATAAAACCTAACAAGCAACACCTGCCCCTTAATGTTTGTTCAGAGGATATTCTCAACCAGCTTATTTGCTCAGGTGATCTATTGATATTTTTAAGTGTGAAAATATGTTCTATTTTACCGGTCGTTTCTTCCTCCATACTTTTTCTCCTTGATGCACCAATAGTTATTGCATCCTTTGAATATGACAGCAGAAATGCACAACAACGCTCTAGTATTCCACCCCTTGCAGTGCCCGCTCCACGCTTAACTTTTTATCTGCACCCAATATACATCGATGGTGCTTTTCACTGAGAGATTATGCTACTAGCGCGATACGTGGTAGCGAGGACTGACACTTCCCTGTCGTTACACAGTTTGCTCTGGCCCTGCGCCGATGCAACAATTGAGCTCTATGCGACTCATTATTGGCAGGGATGTCTGTTGTCCTGCATTCTATCAGGTGTCATGGAGGCGGTACGCATAAGAAAGGCGGGATTCGCGCTGCGGTTGCCACATTCGGAATTCGTCTCACGTTACGGAGTGCTGATGGGCAGGCAGGCAAAGACTCTTAAGAATATGCAGCCCAAGCAAGCTGCAGAGGCGCTGGTGAGCCATCGTAGGCATTCGTATCTCTTTTGCATGGTCAGGGTTCAGTTTGCTCTGCAGTTTGCACCAGAAACCCACACACGGTCAAATTAACCCAATTCATTTTTTGGCGGCCCGTCATCAGATAGTAGCAGGAAGCACACTGGTCTTTCTGCCTCGCTGTTTACGCTCAGCTTAACTACATCAAGAGCTCCATGGGGCTGACGAGCGACAGTTGTTTGGCTGGCAATTCAAAAGTTTTCTGCAAAGACACAGTGCAGGAGGCACTCGAGTCTAACCGGTGACAGCTCCTGTTTCTTGCACTCTTATAAAAAATTCGAAAAAATCAATTCCTTGTCTAGCTGTTTAATGTTTACACTTTTGAACGGACGGAAGTACCTACAGAATTCGTCGTTTTCAGCCAGTCACAGCTTATTAAAAGTAGCGACTTATTTACTTTCGGGGACCTTGGTGTTCTATGCTAGGCTTTTAATTTGGTATTTCAATGGGCATATTTGTGTTCACTCACGTGATCCTGTATGCTGCAGGCGAATTTGTTTGGCTTCTCCGGCCATTTTGATCCAATGTCATGTCAGAGGTTTCCTTGCGCGTCGACGGGTGGTGGCTGTGCTGAACCTCAGCCGGCAGTTGCGGCCATTTGGTGAGGCCCTTGGGATTGCCAAACAGCAGGGCGGGTCATTTCTGTCGCCTTCCGCTGTCTTCCCCGATGCACCCGATGCGCTACGGCTTAAACAGAAGTGAGGATAATGAAATGACCCAGCTTTGCAGCAAGCACCGTTGGTGGCAGGCTACGGATATTCCCCAACTGACCAGAAACTCGCATTGTGCTAAGCCGCTTTGTTTTCCCCATTCGATGTTCTTGTGTGGGTGCTTCTGCCCCTCTTTGGTTTTCCTGTTTGCTTTTTTCTCTAGATGTCGCTGCGTGGCCATGTATAGTTGCCTCTATGTTTTGGCTTTTACGGATTCCAAACTATGGGTTTGCCACAGAGCAGCCGAGCTTCTCTCTCTCGTGACACAATGTGAATCTCTTGGTTCGTCCTTGGAACCACCGGCATTAGCTACAGCCAAGCGGGCTTTGAACAAAATGACCGTCGAGGCATCCCTGACGCTGTGAGGCCCTCAGAGAAGACGATCAAAAGTCTTCGTTGTCATGCGCAGATTGCGAAACAGTCATGGGTCACACATGCGCATCAATATAAGCTTGATAGCTGTCTGTGCTGCTCCAGAGCTTATAAAGAAGCATCATGCCCGCGACTCTTACCCTTGGGTGCTTCGTCTTTTTCCCACAGAACACATCCCGACTGAGCAGCCAATGGTATTTGCGTTATTTGCTCTCCACATTCGTGTATTCGATAGCAGCACAGTTTCGTCGGGGCTCCTTATTGTTTGTTCGCGCTGCTTTTGGGCTCGGCTCGCAGGAAACTGGAATCGGAGCTCCAAAGCCTCGTAGAGGACACTAGCCCGCTGGGCGAGCTGCTCATTCAGACACAGGCCAAGGGCATCAATAACACAACTGTAGAATACGTGCGACGCCCAACTTGGTGTCCCTTATCTCCTTCTTGTCATGTTAAATCTTTTCTCAGTCATCCAAAACAATGCCCAGTCATGCGTGGAGACCGCCGCAGTTACCGTCCTTTTTTCACTGGCCATTTGCCTTCCAAGGACTGTTGCTGTTTATATTGTGCTTTTTTACTGTCTGTCCAAATTCTGCTGCAGGCGGAACAGGTCTTCAGCCGCATACAGGCTGAACAGGAGCTGCTGACCGCGCTGGCGCCCGCCATGGAGAGCCGCGACGTTGCATCATTGAGTCAGCTTGTATCTAAAGCGGAGCAGCTAAAGGTACGCACAAGCAGCAGTCTCATAGCGGTTCCTGTGTGAATATCCCCCCGTAGAACCCCTAGAGAGTTTTTGCCTTCTCACATTTCCTTTATTCTGCACTTTCTCCATTCTGCACCGTGTCTTCTCCCAAGCCTTACCCCACCAGTTTGTCAGCTAGCAAGCAGCTCAGTAAGTATCCACACTGGCACTCCTGCATCTTCAGAGATCTCTCCGCTTCCGCCATTGCTGCGTCAACTCTTTGTGCACAGAGCCAAGAGGCACTGCGCGTTAGCGGGCTTAGCGAGTTAGTAGACTGCGCAGTCCAGTTCCTTGCTGCACTCGCTTCAGACAGTGAGAAGGGCCGCGCCCCAAGCCTCTCGACAGTAGAAGTGGAGGCATTTTTGACTAAGATTAGCGATAAGCAAAAACTGCAAACAGCCCGAAGTGCGCAGAGAGAAATTTTGAAACAGGTAAAACCTCAAATATCAAGCCACAGCGGCGAGGAGTTACTGCCTTGTGGGACGCCTCCAACCACCCCAAGTAGAGTTCCTCTCAATTGTTATCCTAAACCAACGTAGACTTCTACTTACGCGACACACAGCTACATACCCAAGAGGAAGGCAGAGGGAGCAGAGGCATGCTGCTACTTCTTTCGTTTTTCCTCTCCTTTGACAGGCTTGGATGTTTGCTTCATTGTGTAAGCTGCTGTTTACTGCCATCAGACTGTGGAGAGCTGTGCCCCGTTGGACGCGCGAATACGAACTTCAAGGATGCGCTCACTGATGCAAGGTAGAGAGTCCGTCAGTGAAAAAGGTACGATTGTTGTGCCATGTATAAACTCGCTTTCACCTACTTATCTTCGACGCGGTTTTTACCTCTGTCTCTAGTTCTTGAGTTCACAAGGCTTACAAGATGTGCAGCCAAGACGTACGCGGTTTAGTCAGCTCCAAAGTGCCACATGAACTGCTTTCCTGATTCCGTTGCGCCTACTATCGCACCTGCATGAGTACTGTTCACACTTCTGTGCAGACAAGGCATCCAAGCCAGTTCGCGTTCGCCCTTGTTTTGAATCTTTAGCTACCTCCGAGTGGACGGAAAGCGAGAGCGAAGAGGAAACTGAGTATCTTCAATTCCTTTTAGGTACGCGAATCAATCATTTGTAACAAGACTCCTCGTCTTCCTGTATTTTGATGGTTCATTGAAGTTTAGCTGTATGCTTAATGCCTTGTCTGCACCTGACATCTAATACATGTTGTCTCTTACGCATTTCTTTCTGCCCATTCTTTCCACCTTGCTCACACTTGCACAAGGGGACAGACAAGCGGAAGCGGGAGTAACTGGACAAGAAGTTTGGCCACAGGCTGTTTACGCAAAAAAGTTCTTGGAGGAATTGACGCAGGCCTCGGCACAATGCGATGCGGAGGCACTACAATTTCTCTTATCCAGGTAAATAGCCGTACAGCAGTGATTCTTTGTAGGTGACGCCGTCGCCAACTGTTGCAGAGAAAAGAGGGAGGACAAGGAGGGCACCAGAGTCACTGTAGCATAAAAGATTTGCAAATAGGGGAAAGTCGTGCGGGTTGTGTACAGAAATCACAGCCACGGTGGAAAATTACCGGGGGTTACAGACCTTGTCCCTCAAAACATGCTGTTGCGCTGGACTCCCTCCATTGGGAGGAGAAGAAAGAGGCAGTAATTCCGGATCTGCTTCCTATTTACACTCCGTCTCCACTTTCCATGTGTGTTTGTGGTGTATCTGCAAAGAGCAAGCGAGGCTGGCATATCTCCTGGTCAACGAGAGGTGCTGATAGCTCACCAACAGTTAAGAAATTTCTCAGATCCCCAGTGGCTTGAGTGCGAGCTGAAGGAGTGTGTCATCCTTCTTTCATGGGGAACCATTTCCCGAGGCGACATCACCCGTTTAACCAACCTCATAGAGCTAGCAAAAACAACTCCAGGAGTTAAGCAGGAGGCTCTGTTGTCTGCTGAGGCAACGCAAAAAGCAGTCACAGAAAATGATATTGGGGGCGTCGTTCAGGATGAGGCCGCAGGATTCAACTCCATCGAAAACTACCCCGAGCTCAGTATCAACATGGAAATCAAAAAGGTCAAGGTAAGAAATCGTTCGATGCTTTCGATCATAAGTAGCAGCCAGTCTCGGGTGACACAACTCCAAGCAGGTAGAAGCACCCGGTCCCTTTCATTTTCCCACAGCCTCAAAGTTCAAGTTGCGTTTTTGATGTACACGATCCCGCAGGGTCAGGGGAAGCTAGAGCGTCTGCTACTCCAACGTGATGTTATACTATCATTTCAGACCGAGGGTCTTACTGAACCCTTGCTGCCCCTCCCATCGCCATTAGACAAGGAGGCCCTCTTGATATTTAAGAAGCTGCAGTGTCTAATGGGGGACAGGTTCTCAATCGGGCATAGTTACGGGGATGAAATTATAAGAACGGTCTTGGCCTGTGAAGAGCTCAAAGATGAGGTCTACGTTCAAGTTTTAAAACAGCTTAGGGGGAATACCAACAGCAAGAGCGTTCTAAAAGGATACAGCTTTCTTGCTACACTCTGCCGGGACTGCCCGCCCTCACTATCTCTTGAGCGCTATGTCCGACAAGCGCTGGAGGCGCATCTCGGTAGGCCTAGGTCTCCAGGATTGCTTTTTCCCTTGGACGAAGATAGTAGGTACACGCATCCAATACCAGCGGCCCCAGAGCATACACCCGCATACCAAAAGCAAGATTCAGAACTTCAAAAGTTTTGCGCTGACGGGCTGAGGGCATTAGAGGCGAATTCGAGCAGCGCCCGACTGCAGCAACCACCTCAGAAAAAGTACAGGAAATCCGTGTTCGAATTTCAGGTGAGGGCATTTGTTTGGTTCGCTAGCCCTCGTTTCCTGCCTGTTTCTCTTTTCCCGTCTTCCTTTCTGCATTCGTTGTGCGTCCATTTAATCTCTGAAGGGCTGTATCCCGAGCGCTTGCTTGTCCATCGTGCATTGGTTCCCATCAGCATTCGCAGCTTTGCATCCCATTAAAAATCACTTCTCGTTACCTCAAATTGCAGTTTTACACCCCTGAGGAATCTTCCCTATGTATGTAGTAACGACTTTGGTCTTCCAATTAACCTTTCAAGCAAGGGAATCGCCTTTGTCAGCTTCTCCATACTTACTTCCGTTCTCTCACGACGTTTCGCGGGTTGCTCCTCCCTGTGCCTTTTTAGGTGCTTCTGTCCGATGGATCAAGACGTCGCGTGCCGCTAGGCCTTCAGGCGAGCGCTGCAGCTCTGTGTTCGGCCACTGCCGCCATGTTGAACATCCATAATGCTGACGAATGGGTATGTCGTGTTTGGAATTATTGGTGAGGTTGTTGCTGTATTTTCGTGTATGTTGGTCTTGACCGAATACGATACGGGGGGCTGTAAACTGATGCATTTGTGGTGACGCGAAGTACAATGTTAATGGAGATTTGCATGTGGATCTAAATCCATAGGCGATCGAAGAGCTGGTGCCGTCATATCTTTTAAGGCCCCTCAAGAATGGAGGGAAAATTGGACCCTATTATAGACTTTTGCACCAAGAAGAACTTGTACTTCCTCTTATTGAAAGTGTAAACAGAGAGGTATGCGTTTCCTTAAGCACTTCTGAGTGCACTGCAGATTGCTGGGCTGTATATGTAACCGATTGGTGTCGCACCATATGTCGGCGTTGGCTGTATGACCTTCAGATCTCCTTGGTATTCCGCCGTCCATATCTCCGTTTGAGAGAGAACATCGCACCGCATCCCCTCCATAGCCGGTTGACCTGTTGTCAGGCCGTTGCTGATTTCCTCAACTACCCACTGGAAGAGCCTCCAGAAATTATCGCGGAGATTGCGTAAGTTCTATAGTTTTACTGGCCCACGATAAGGTTTTTGCTTCCACCGGTTGTATCCACGGTATATGCAAGTTAGCGTGCTAAAGAAGCGTTAACAAGATAATTTTCTGGGAAATGACGCTGCTGGTTGCCCTGCTGTGGGACAAAAATCCATTGACTAACTACAGGATCGATTTAGCGTGCACGTTTGAGCATAGCACATCCTAGCACGTCCTGAACAAAACAAGCAAAACCCCCACAAAAATTTCAGGACCTTTGCTTCCAAATGGGCTGGCGTCTCTGTAGGGCCAAGATTGGTTGGTGCCGTGCCTCCTCTCAGTTGCCAACAGGCCCACCAACAACATCACCAACCGCAGCGGCGACAGGAAGTAAATGGGTAAAATCTATCAAAGAAAACATACCCATCAGGCTGCAGCAACTGCTACCTCCACACCGCTGGGTTGCGCTGTACGAACAGCACGCGGCGGAGCTCGACCCAGACGAAAGCGAATTTCTAAGGATGAGCTCTCTCCTTTCTTCTCTCAAAAAGTTAAAGGCAGGAAAACACTACCTGCAACCCGGCACAGGAAGCACAACGGGGGCAAGCAGCAGGGAGGGAAGCATAAAGCAGAAGAATATGAAGCAGCTACCGTGTACACAGCAGTGTCCAGCACAGGAAATATCTGATGACTTTGATAGTGTTCCCTTTCTAACACATCTACAACAGAGCGAGAAGAGGCTAGATGGAAGCAAAGAGCGCTTCAAAACAGCAGCTTGCCGTGCGTGTGTCATTTTCAGGTATTTGGAGGCCCATTCTTTCTCTGCGATCCTTTAAAGCTGTCTCTGCAGCACTTGTTGTCCGTCCCCCGAGTTTTTAGTGAAATATCTGCGGTAGCTTTTGGATGCACAGAGGAAGATGGGCCATCAGCTGCTGACAATACCGAAGCAAGGCAAGAAGGCCTCGAGGCCTTGATAGATAACAGCCTGCACTGGGCATTCGTTGGGCAGCAACAAACATCCAAAGGGACTGCTACGTTAATTCCCAGACTCCTTTGCCCCTGCTCTAACAGAGCAAAAGCCAGACATAGACGGAGAACTAGAAGGGATAAGAAGAGGAATGGGTTGTATGGTGGGAAGACGAAAACAACCCCAATCGAGGGAATCTGTTGGCTCGGATTTGGGGAGGGGCAGATTGTGCTAGAAGCAGAAAGCGCATTTATTGAAGACGACGGCGATACTGGGCGAGTTACTCAGATGGATGGTCTCGCAAGAAGCATAAGGGGGAAAACCCTCTTTACAATGCCTGAAGAGGTAATAAGCAAGTGATATGGCGAATCTGCTGCTTTTAATTTGCCTGTAGAAACGAAATGGGGAGGCAGACCGAGGACATATGAGATATGTACATATGGAGTGCTCGGAATAATGAGTCAGAAAACATGCAAAAAATAAGATCTACTGCTTTGAGTGACATCTTTTTCCTACTTTCATCGGAAGATAACACCTGTTTCAATTTACGCGTGAATCGTAATGCCATGCGTCTCCAGCGTTGTTCAAATACGCATTATTCAATTTGAAGATTGGCCCGACGCATTTTTATGTGCATAAACTAGAAATAGTTTAAATGTCGCGATAATGTACGTTCATGGTTGGGCAGACGTACAGTCACGTGGAATGTTTAATTCCAATCGGCTCTCGGGGCTAACTGGGAAATTCACACCTAGTCCGTCTCTATCTGTGTGTGCGCGCTCGCTCGATTGTGTGTTTGGTTTCCTTTCCAGTTGACTGGCGCTTTTGCGTTGGATTCCGTCTCTTCTTCATTTGCTGATGTGCTAATTCTGATGCTAAGGACTGCAGCTCAGGGCCCCCGGCTCTGTGCATTCACCACTCAGGTGCGTCCGCCGTGGCCCTGACAAGATATACAATGATTTATGCCTATGTTTCCTCCCCTTGCAGGAGAATGCATGCATTTTGGTGAGTAGTTTCCTCGCAGCGCGAGCCAGATAAAGTGGATTGGCAGGTGCTTCGTTTTGCATGGGTCTCGTGCTATCGTGGGACCACGCCTCTGAAGGGCAGTTCATCTGAGGAAGTACACTTTGGAGCGGTTTTTGCGTGGCCGTTAATCTCAAGCCTGCCTCGCTTTTTGCAAATACATTTGAGATGCACTGTCTCTTTTTGTTTCTCTCTCAGGATGATGCACGCAACGTGCTACAGTACCTACGCACGCTATATCCTCGAATTGCTGCTCCTGCAGAACAGCTACTCCCTCCCACTTCCGCCCTCGCCCCTCCTACTCATTGAAAAAGCACAGTTCGCAAATCGCCTTGAAGATATACCCGTCTTTCGTTTTATCTCGTCTTCCTTTTGCACAAATCGTTTCATGGTCCGCACACAGCAAGAAGGAATACCCACAGTTAAATTGCTTAGCGTGGTCAGACAGATACCGTCTGTACGCTTCATGGCAACGCCCTTCGTAAAGCCGGTGGCGGGCGTAGGAGGCCACATGAAATCCCATAAAAGAGCACAGTAAATGAAGGGAGGCACAGCTCCCTTTATTGCCCCCAATCGGGAGACCCAACAAAAGAGGAGGGGCTTCACGCTAAGGCGTGGGCCCGTCGCGTAGCGTCAACACCCGCTGCACTGCAGCAACAACAGCGTTCATTGCTTGTGTTGAGAGTTCCATAAGGGATATAAGTTGGCTAGTATCTCTGTGATACTGGTTTTTCGTACTCTTCTGATTGCCTCACTATCCCTATGCCAGAAGCGGATTGAACCCCTCATGTACCGCTGGCCCAGAGTCCTCTGAAAAGGAAGGAAACGTGGATGAAGACAAGGACGGGCACGAGGGGGAGCTTTCAGTTGCAATCGATTCTAGAGCTGCAACGACAATCGAGAGACACAGCAGTAATTAGGCAGCTGCAGTTTTGTTACCCCCACAGATCACCCGCTACGAGAACACTTCCTCAGCATTTACAATCTCGATCAGGTTTTGATGCAGCTTTCTTCCCTCAAACCAACAGGAACACGAAGAGCAGAACACCCCATCTCTTCAAAATCACACCTACCCTCCAGTCCATATCCTTCTTCGAAAGGCTCTGGCTCTGATTCGTCGATACCGTCTGCCTTCGCAATGCGCCTGGCCCGGCCCCTACACCAGGCGGCCTCCCGCTGCTTGCGTGCGAGCTGAGCCGCAGCGAAGCTCGCATCCAACCGACTCAATTCTGCAACGCGTTCTCTGCGCAGAGAACACATCATAAAAAAAACCGCCCTAATACCGCCACAGCAGCATTGGAAATTATACGCATCGAGTGTGTGGTCTGCAGTGCCAAGAATCGCCCCTGGATCAAGAGAACTCCTGCCCTCTCCGCAAGGGTCCACATGCATCATGCTAATATATATGTTCTATTGTGTGCGTGCCTCTTTTTGGCAATTCTTTGTTGCTTCCGGCCCCCCGAACTTTGCATGCGAACAGGCAGGACCGCAGTGAGCGCTTCTGTCCAGTCTTTATTCCTTGAGAAAACGACCAGGGCCTCTAGAACTGAATTGATGTTCAACACCACGCGCGATTTCCCTGGCAAGAAGGTCTGACGCGCAAACGCCGACACACACACACATACACACACACACCATCAAACACCCATCGCGGATCTCACAGTTGCAACAATGCCTAAGCGGAGCACCCGAAGGCCCCCTAGCCACCGGAAAGGGGTCGATTCAGAAGAGCCCAACGTTCTGGATTGCAGTCTGCACACACCTTGAAAGGGAGCCGTCTGCAAGTTAGGCCATGCTCCACTGCCTGGGATAAACTCAGACCCTACAGCAACCAACAGGCAGTAACACTACGCATTCTCCAGCAGAGCAGCACTTCATGCGCCCGCAGTCACTACCGCTAGCTCTAACGACGGATGGGGAGCGGTCAAGCGAGCTGCGGGAAAAGCGAAACGAACTTTGGTGACAGTTCGATCAACAAGCCCGCCAATAACAAAGGTCTTGGACGAATCCACATCCAGCAGCTCCTACACAGCCAAACCACCAGCCCTGGCCTTTTGCATGCGTAACACATATGCCTGCACCTTTGGTGCGGCAAACGACAGATCCGCAACTGCCGCTATTTAGGGGGGGCGGGGGCCTAGCATGCACCCTCTACGGACGGCAGCACACACCTCCTCAGCATCCGGCGACAGTACAACGATTTCTTTTGGATTAAAGCACTGCCAGTAAGGCTCCTCGTGCCGATGTACCTTCACACACCACCCAACACACGTATACACATACATCCATTCACACACACCCCAAGCCCTCATTGCGTATTCATCTACCTCTCGCCAAGGCTGTTCTGTTCGCGCCCTGTCGGCCTTTGGGCGAAGCTACGCAATACAGCTCTACGGAAAAACCTCATCGCGGCAACAACAGCAGCACCAGCTGGAGCAGCCACTGCGCAGATTTACGAACCAGCCAAGAAGCTCCAGAGAAGAGCTGCTCGCACGCAACTCGGCACCGGCTGCCCTCGGCGAAGGACGCCAGGTGTATCTGCACCTGCAGCAGAAAAGCAGCAACAAACTCGAGCTCAGCACGCCTACACGCGAGGTGCTGCTGCATGGACTTGTGCAAGGAAGAAGAAAGGCGCCTGAAATTCCAGCCCGACCTTAACATCCGTCGACTTCTTCACAAAGTGGTAGCTCAAGAATAACTGCTTCGCGAGACTTCGTATTTCCTGCAGCAAAAGTATCTCGAATACTCGCGAAGCAACTCGGCAACGGACTTCTCACCGTACAAATTTGCTGAAGGGCCCCCATTCCTGTATGAGCAGCAGCAACACCTATCGCAGCATGCATGCAGAAGCAGCCACTACGCACCTTGTCTTGCATGTTTTCATCGAAAGAGCAGTTGAAACACACGCGAATGCCTTCGCGCATGCATTCCTCCAGATGTGCCTAAACAAACACAGACAACAAAAAACCATACCACCGAACTTCAAGAGCAGCAGCACGGCCGCAATCATAAAACTGCACACGCGCACTCACTCCATTCCTCTTGACACGGCACAAAATATACAAAGCCAAGTTTCACGATCTGCGAACTACGGGTCTAAGACTCACCAAATGTGCCTTTCTCTGCTCCTGCAACTGGTCTTTGTGGGCTTTCATAGCGGCCGTCTTCTCTTCTGCGGAGAAACAACACCCATCAACTGCTGCACAGTTTCTCGAGCCCCAGCGCTGCTCTCTGTGTCTTGCAGCTGCCCTGCCCAAGGTGCTTCCGAGCTGGCGCAAGCGGGGGGAGGGCTGCAAGGCAGCTTAAGAGACCGCTAGCCTGTTTACACCGACTCCACAGGAGGAAAATCTTCAAGCGCGTCCTGTGAGGCGAGCTTATGACTACCTCAAGGAGGATTTACACGAGTCAGGCACTTACCAGAAGTGTGCAAACCTTCAAAGAGTTCTGCTTTCTTCTTCCGTCTTCTTTCCCGCCTCTCTTCTGGTCGTTTTTGCCTCTTCTTCTGACGGTAGCTTTCCCTGGACAGGAGCTTCTTCTGCGAGCGTGGAAGACGGTCTTGACTCGGCTGCTGCTGTGGCCTCTCTTCGTCTTCCTCTGGGTGCTCCTCGTGTGCTTGCTGTGCCTGGCAGCTGCTGGGAAGGGCCTCTTCTTTGCCGAGGACGGCGGAGCCAGCCGCTCCCGCTGAAGCTACAAATTCTTCCTGGGGTCTATGCACGCCCCATTCCACGCCTCCAGCGCTGCTGCTGCCGCAGCCGTGTCTTGCTGCTGCTGCTGCAGATGCAGCTGCTGCTGCAGCCGAATCTGCTGCTGCAGCTGCTCCTGCATCTGCTGCTGGGCAGGCGACGCAGCATACCACAGTTGCTGCTGCTGCTGTTGCTGCTGCTGCAGCAGGGGGTGATAGCAGGGCGTCTGCATCATCGGATCGATGTAGGCTCCGCTCGCTGCAGTCGGCCATATGTTGTTGCCGTGTAGCAGCAGGAGCTGTTGCTGCTGCTGCTGCTGCGCAGCCGCCACCTCCCACATGGAGCTCTGCAGCTGCATCGCTGCGGCAGCCTGCTGCGGCATGTGGGCCCCCGTGGCTGCCACTGCGGCTGCCACTGCAGCAGCCGCTGTGTTCTCCTGCTGCTGCAGCAGCAGCTGCTGCTGCTGCGGCTGCTGCGGGGTGGGGGGCCAAGACATGAGCGGCTGCTTCGCTGACGCAGGCGCAGGCGTGGGGGCCGTTTTGGGGGCTGCCGGCTGTTCCGGGGGGGGCGGCGGAGGCGGGGGGGGGGCCCCCATGCGGGGCCCCCCAGGAGTGGGGAGGAGAGGGGGCAGCGACCCCGGGGGCGCCGGGGCAGAGGGGGCCCCCGCCCGTGGCATCACGGGGGGCGGCGGGGGGGCGCTCGGAGGCGCTGGCGGGGGGGGCCTCGGGGGCCCCATGAAGTGTTTGGGGGCGGGGCCCATGAGGGAGGGCTTCTTGGAGGCTACCTGCGCTGCTATGGAGGGAGGGAGGGGCCTCCCTCGGCTGCGGGGACTGGGGGGCGCCTGGGGGGGGCCCCCCGTCTCCGCACTGCCGCTCAGAGCTGTGGGGTGAACCGGCAGAGCCCTCGGACGCTCCAGGAGAGGCGGCAGGGAGGTGTCGCCCTTGCTCTTGCCTGGGTGTTGCGGAGCTTGCGGCTGCTGCTGCTGCTGCTGCTGCTGCTGCGCTAATGCGTAAGGATGCAGCAGCGGCCCCGACGGGAGCGGCAAGAGCGGCGGAAGATCCGAGGGGCTGTGTGGAGTCGTCCGCGTGGCTCCCTTGCCTTCCTGTGGTTTCTGGTACTCTGCCTGAGCCGATGCACTCTGACAAGTGGCCATCTTCTTCAGCGGAGGGGCCCCCTCCTCTGGGGAGGGGCCCAGGGAGGCCCCCGATTTGTGCGTCGCTTTCGGGGGGGGGCGGGGGGCCCCCGAGGTGGCAGCTGAGGAGGCCCCCAGCTGCGCCTCCCGCCCTCCTTCCTGGCAGGCCTGTTGCCATTCGGCCCTCTCCTCGTCGGCTGCGTCTTCGCAGGAGGGGCCCCCAACAGGAAAGAGAGGATCTAGAGGGGGGTTATCGCTTAGTAACTCGGAGGTGAGGGAGAGAGGCAGCATTGGATCTTCTTGAGGCTCTCAAGACATTCCCTGGCCTTGTCTTTCCGACCCTTGAATAATCCCCGGATGTTGAAAAAACACCACGCAGAGGGAGTCAGCAACAGCGGGGTGTGAAAAGCCGTAACAACAGGCACAGTCGACGAGACGCTACTCGGCTCACGGTTCAGGCTCTCCGTGAAGTTCTGCGCCCTTGCAACCCGAGTGCTGTCTGGTTATGGTATTGCGAGGCTTGCCCGCTGGAGGTTCCGAGCAGCTGCCGCAGTTTTATAGGTGTGGCGCAGGAAGCACAGGGATGCAAGCGCCTCAATCGGGGAGCGAGTCGCCCCCCTACAAGAAACGAATGGTAGGATGGAGGAAATATAGGCAGTGCGAGCCTGGCGGCGCGAAACAAACGCGCCCAAGAGAATTCCCACCCGAAACTCGCGGCACAACTCCGGCGGAGTTCAGGGTATCAGCTTGTCACTAAAGTAACAGCACTGTCAGAATTAGGAGTCGAAGTTTTCTTTTTTAGCCGGCCAGGCGCGATGGGCTGCTATTACCCTCTGCTGCGCATTGGGGCTGGGAGCTCACCGACGGCCCCACCCCGCAGCGCATGCAGCGGAAAATGATGCTGTGGGCTGCAGTTGAAGATGTGGAAGGCAAAATCTGTGACATTTGTGGGCCAACCGCATGTAGAAGACCGCAGCAGACGACGCGTTGGGTGTCCGTACACCTGGGCCCCGGGCCGCTGCACAGTAGGGTTGGAGGAAGAGGATACAATTCAGGGTGAAGTCGGTTGCTTAGGTCAGGACGTGCGATAAAATGGTCAGTTTAAAAAAGAAGCAGCACGTTCAACCCGTGGCGAAGTCTCCCAACAATGAGGCCGAAGGGCAGCACAAGCAGGGGAAGCGGTCCCTCCCTGGGAACCCAGCCGCAACACCAGCGAATTCTCGGCCGAAGAAGAAGCATAAATCGGGCGCCTCGACAGCAGCGGCTCGTGTTGCTACCGGCACCGTAAGCGAGCTGGCAACATCGGCCACTCCGCGTTCTCCCTCCTCAGCCGCTCTCCCCGCAGCACCGACTTGTGCTTCTTCGGGTGCAGCTGGTCGTATTCAAATAGGAGGCGGCTTCGTGGATTGCGCAGGCCTCGATAAGGCGCTTAGGGCGCTGTGTCGCCATGTACAAAAACGCCATAACCAAGATCAAAGCACCGATCTGCTAGCGGGTGGCTTTGGCCCCACCGTCTGCCTGATGTTTTCCCTCCAAAATATCCCCGAAAGGCAAAAGCTTATTCCACACCTCATGTAAGAATCTGGGGTCAAGGGCATGCGGTTCGCGCTCAAGGTTGGAAACCTTAAGTTTTAAGGCTTACGTGTGTGCTTGTGGTACTGCCTGTTCAGCGAGTTGCCGCACAGCCCGCTTGATCAGGGCTCAGAAGCCTGCCTGATCGTTCGCGATCCGCAGCGCAAGTGGAAGGATGTGGTGGCTTCATCAGCATCTTTGTCAAGCTCTATCACAAAAGTGATTTCTTGTAAAAAGCTCCCCAAGAAGTACCCGCAGTTCCAGGATAAGAGGGCCCTAGCTGCGGCTTTCGACTTGTTTCTGGTGGATACCTCCGTGAAGGAGAAGGCGTATAACGCACTGGGGAAGGCTTTTCACAGCGCCAACAGGTTAGGCTTGTTTTGGGCGGATAGGGGGCCTTTTAGCGCAGGCTGTCGCTTCTGTGGTTGGTTCTGTCTTGCGCGCGTCACCTAAGAGAGATACGCCTCCTCTTGTGTCGTGAACTACAGAGTGCAGCAAGTATTGTGCGTGTTTATATGTTGGGACGCTTATTCCGTGCCTCTTTAGCCTCCCCGTCCGTGCCCCCAGTTCTAGAGCCAGCATGCCGCAGTACAGTGTAGTCTTATGAGCGCAACACGCGTTGTCACTGCTTCCGCTGTTTCCATGGCCAGTTGCCTCTTTGCCTCAAGGTGTTACAAGTCTCCAGCTGCAGCAGTCTTTGCCTTTTTGCTTGCATCTCTGTCTGCAGGTTACCCCTTCCGATTCGTGTGGGAGTTAGCACGCTAGAGAGAGAAGTGGAAAAGGCTCTGCGTTGTACCTCCTTGGTCCTAAGAAGGGGCCCCTCTGTGGCCGTGCGCATTGGTCGGGCCCTGGGCTCCCCTGAGCATTTGTATGCTAATGCTATTGCTACCATAAATGGAGTTTCGTCATTTTTCAAGGAAAATCACAAGTGGAAGAATACGATTACCACCATTCACGTTCAAGCCACCGACAGTCCCGCCCTTCCGGTGTACATTCATCCGAAGTACAAGGAGGCAGCAGAGTTCTACAGAACCAACAAGCCCCCAAGTTTGGACGCAACGGAAAAGGGAAAGGAGGGGAAGAACGACGAGACGAAGAAAAAGGGAACACCTGACGCAGGGAATGCCATCACCGATTGCCGGAAGATCAAACGGGGGAAAAACGCTAAGCCGAATGAGCGAAAGGATAAGGAAAGCAAGAAACCAAAGAAACATGCACTTACGGAAAAAGCGGGAAAACAAAAAAATTGATTTGTGCTTTGTGAACTAACATCCAACTTGGAAAACATTTGGGGGCTATCAATTTCTTAGTGTCATACAGACTTTGTTTGTTGCCTTGTGAACTGAGGAGGGACATTTAGCAGCAGCTTTACGGGTAGGCGCATAGGAAGAAGGAAGAAAGGGGTAGAGAGGCCTATAGGTGGAGGGTGCAAATACATCCATACACATGCGTGCATATTTCGATACACACATACAAAGGTACTTATTTAGATACACATGCAAGTACATATCTCATATACATACTTCAGTAAGCACATACGTACATACACACATACATGCTCACATACACATATACATACATACAAATCTAAACAGAGAAGACATGCCTTGGCGCCTTGCAAGGTTCTACGTGTGGCGCCCCCCAGAGTGAATGCTCATTAAATCCTCTCAGTGTTGCTGCTATAGTTCGACTTCGATGAACGCTCCCTGCATAGGGTTTTTGTGAGAAGTACTTCATGCAGTGGATGCGAAAGGCGAATATCAGTTGTTGAAAGTGACAACGCGGCGCGTACGCGTGCTCGAATGTTGAGACAGAAAGCATAAAGAATGCGCTTTTGGATGGCTTTCCGTCGTAAAGCAATGAAAAGTGCACAAATAGATTAACTGCTGTGATTTCCGGTTTTTATGGGGGGAACTGCGAAGGCCAGATCTGATGGTCCCTTGTCAGGTGGTCAGTGACTGGTCCATCATCGCGCTAGGAGGGGCTGGTCATTTGGCTCCACCCAAGTTGGGAATGTTCCGCCGGATCATCTCCGAAATTGCGATGTTAATACCCCCACAACAAAGTTTTCGCTCACTTTTACTATTGGCATTACAGCGCAAAGCTGTCACACACTCAATTGTCGCCTTGTCGGGCCTAGCACTGCTCCGCCTCAGTCTGCCCTAATCCTTTCTTCACCATCCATTGTCTTTGTCCTTTCACTTCCAACGATGGCTGCTAACACGCAGCGTACACCGGCTTCCAGGACCGAGGTGACGAGGGCTCAGCATAAGGGTGAGAAAAGGTCACAGGCAGACACAGTTGCGACTGATGAGATGCTTTTCAGAGGGGAAAACGGCTGTAGAACGCAAGACTGTAAACACAACACCTACTTACAATCCAAATGCAACAGAGATCGCTCGCAGCCTGCCGGATTTCCGCAAGTCTTATGTCTATTGCGTACATCCCTCCCCTGTCAATCCTTAGGTTAAACGGCGAATTCATTCCGCTTACCCGCATTGTTCTTTTTCGCTCAGTCCTCGACGGCTTCTCCTTTCTCGAGCTTCATACCGACCTCAATCCATCAGAAGAGAAGCTCCGGCGTCACATTAGAAGCATCTGCGAAGCGCAGATCCGCCCCTTCGCCGCTCGCATTTGGGATGCGGCTATTTTTGATCGTCGAGTACTTGGTGCATGCAAAGATATGGGGCCGGCGGGCCTGCAGATCAAAGGATTTGGTGAGTCACATCGGAGCCATCGAGGAGGCCACTTTTCGCTCTTGCACTACTTCGCTGCAGGGGAGGCTGGGTAGGGCCGCCCTCATGGGGAAACAAACACGTTGGTCTCGATTAAAGCTTCGAGTATGCGTTGCTTGCTCAGGATGCGCTGGTCTAAGCAACGTAGAAGCGTGTCTTTGTGTAATGGAAATGGCACGGGTTGACGCCTCTCTGGCAACTTTCGCCGTTGTGCATTCCGGCCTCGCGATGAAAGCGATTGCTGTGGCGGGGACTGAAGAGCAAAAGCGTTTCTGGCTGCCTCAGGCACGACCCTTTCGATCATTGGGCGCACTGTGCTCCCTCCTAGTGTCTGGTTTCCCTGGGGTCCTCGTGCTCTTTCTTCTTTCTCATTCCTACCCTTTTTCGTGCTTCCATGTAACGCGTGCGTTTTCAGTACCCATTCAAACTGCTTTGCCGCGGTACGGTCGGGAGCTCTGCTTCTGTCCCCGCTGGTGTGTTTTGCTGCAGATGGCTCGGTGGGATAAGATCGGCTGCTTCTGCCTAACGGAGGCGGAGCATGGAAGCGATGCTGCCGGCCTCGAGACTACTGCTAAACGGACCAAGGGGGGATTCTTGCTAAATGGAAACAAGCGATGGATCGGCAATGCTACGATTTGCGACGTTGCGGTAGTGTGGGCCAGAGAAGTGGAATCGGGAAAAGTAGAGGGCTTTCTTGTGGTATGTGGAATATGCTACGGAGGGAGGTGTGGCGTGCACGATGTGCGTGTTGTCCCCTGGCTGCATTAGAGCAGTACATGACTGTGGCACACATGACTGTCTCTTTACTGCGTCGAGCTCGCTGATTATCACTGCGATTTGCAGGAACGACACTTCCCAGGGTTCAAGGCTGAGGCTATTAAGGAGAAAGCTTCTCTGCGGGGAGTAGAGAATGCAGATATTTGGTTCAGCGACTGTTTTGTTCCAGATTCCCATAAAATGAAACCCGGAGGATTTTCAGGCAACACGAAACTGGTTCTTGAATCATCAAGAGCATTGGTTGCAGCGGCATGCTCCGGCTTGCTCATCGGTTAGACTCTCCGTCACAGGAGCTCTCTTTCCTCTAAATCCTGCTGCCCCTTCATAGATGATTCCTCTTTGCAAAAGACTTTGAAACACTCCCGCTTTGCGCATTCCTCTTGCGTCCTCAGGAGCTTATGACTCGGCTTTGGAGTACTGCAGCGCTAGGCAGCAGTTCGGCCGGCCCTTGACGGGTTTCCAGTTGGTACAGGAACGGCTCCTGAGGGCTCTGGGTCTTGCACATGTACAGTTTTTACCCCTGAAAGCATCACGTGATGAGCGCTTTAGGCAGCTTTCTCTTGCTCCCCGTAAAACAACAGCTGAATGCATGGAAACTGTGTGCACGAGAGGAGGTGCATGTAGCAGAAGGGGAGGCGAAGGAATCGGTGTCTAGCGTGTGGGACTGCATGCTCAGGGATGCTGCACGATGTCCATACAGCTGGCTCGACGAATGGATACGGGCAGAACCTCGATGCCCTTGATAGCTTTGGTGAAGGCAACGACTTCGCGACTGGCGCGAGAGGGCGCGCAGCTCTGCAGAGAAGTGATGGGTGGCAACGGTATCGTGCTGCATAACGGGGTGGCAAAGGCCCTGGCGGACGTAGAGGTAGGGGGAAAGGAAGGAACCAGAGAGCGCGGGGAAGCTCATTTCTTGGAAACTCAGCACCTCTTAAAATGACCATTATTTTCATAGCAGAAAGCTTGTGCTACCAGACATAGTGAAGGGGTAAGGTTGGATTTGCTATGCCACGGATTGCAGATTCCGTCGGTTGGTCTGATTTTGTTTGCTTCGAATCCACCAGGCGATGTACACCTACGAGGGCACGTACGACATCAACATGCTCATCGCCGCACGTGCTGCAACTGGCATAAACGCCATTACTTAAGCCTACAAATAAGCTTAGCTGGCCGTCTAGCCATCTAGGTAGTCAAGTGGATAATTGGCTAGCTGATAGGTCAGCCAAAACGTGCTGATGCCTCCACAGCCCCAAATTCCAAACTGTATATCAGATCCTCCGAAACTTTCGTACTGAATGATCTTGGCGAGAACTACAGCTTAATTACTCTGTCGCGTATGTGTAACCAGCTCTCTTTCTTGTGGTTGTTGAGCGCAAAGAAGCTGGGCTGCAGTGAACTTGGTTAGCTACAGCTGCTGAATAGCAACCCCTCTTTCGGTATCTACAATCCTTTTTTGACAGATTTTTTGTTTTACTTGCTAGCCAGTTCGCAGGGGATCACTTTTCTTTTAGGTTTAAGGGAAAGTGCTTTGAAATCATCGAGGTGCTGCTGCTTCTGGGGCTTTGCACTGTTAGAACCACGTCGCGTGATTAAGCAGATGAGTTGCACAGCACCAGCAATCCGTTTGGCAGAAAACAAAGATCCGGTATACGGAGTCCCAAAAGTATAGTGAAAGATAGACTGACTATCTAGAGCCAGTTTTCAGAGAGTAAACGTATACATTGGAGTTGCAGATGGCGCAGTGCATCTGTGCCGTACGAGCAGATTAGTTGTTCCCAAATGAGGCCCTCGTGTTCGCCGGAGGAATGGTTCATGGGATGATGTTGCTGCTCCCACTACATGAGATCTGTAGGATAGCTGTATTTGCAATCTCGGAAAAATGTAGTGTGACGGGAGGGACTTGCCTACAAGTTCTGGCTCAGGGTAGCCAAGGAGAAAGAAAGCCTTTGTGAACAAAGCCATCTCAGTGCCTAGGGAGAGGCACCTCAGCACTTTGCACAAGTGCTCCAAGGGAGAGTACTCGGCATGCAACTGACTAAAGCTGAGTTGGAAGTTCGCAAACGTGCGAAACACGGGCTATAGTTAAAGTTCCCAGCGGGGTTCCCGCATGCAATACCGCTGAAACCAGCAAAAATGGCTTTTTCAGAGCGTTCAAGAATATCGCTTCCTTCGATCCGTGGAGGTGAAAGCAAATATGCAGCCCGGAGCATTGCTAACCAGGGGAGATCGCCGAAGGGCTTTTGTTTAGTAGGGTCTGCTGCAAATTTAGAAGGAAGCACGCGAAACTGAATATGCTTTATCGATTCCGATCGGCTATAGCTCTATCTTCAAATCGCTGTTGCTACAAGCGAAAGGCGTCAAGTGTACGGCGTAAGGAGCCAGGTCTGGTGGTTCCGCGGAGCTGTCAAAATCCCAAAAGGCTGTTTTTTGCTAGAGCTAAAACCTGCGTAATCTCTACACAAAGTATTTACAAAATCACCTCCTGAGGAATAATCGGTGCTGTTCTCCTTTTCTCATTGATTTGCCGCTCTTGGACCACCGAGACTGGAGCCCTAGAGGGAGGCCAGAGGGCCCCAGTGGTGGTGAGTCGCTGCTTGCCATAGTAGCTGCGCATCATTTCATGTTTTTGTGGTTGTATTCTGTTTATAACACATTATCTTGTCGATCCCACTCCACAATAGCCAGTTTCTGCTCATTTCCCTCCAGGATGCCCGGCACTGACGTATTCTTGAATGTGTACAAAATAAATGGCTCTCCTGATTGGTGTGCCCCCTGCGGCCTCTACCACACAAGTGAGCCTCAAGCTCCCTCTCTCTCCTATATCAAGGCTTCTTCTACGGGTTCTGTGCGCACTCCCACTACCCGTCCCCCCGCCTCTCAGTTGTGGCTGGTCTGACTGTGGTCGCCGGTCCTCCTGGGGGAGTTGCTGTCAGCAGAACCCGCTGAAGCTCACTTTCGTACTTAGGGCACTACTCTTTCTGCTGATATATAGCGTTACCGATTGCCAGAGTCCCCCTTCCTACTCTCTGCATGACTGGCCGTTCTAGTTCTTTTCTCCCGTGGCCACGTACGCGTCTTACACAGCAGACCACCAGCGCCAAACATGCGTGCCCCTTCCACCATCACCATTCCTAACAGGTTCTCTTATTATGAACCTTTGATATCTCTCCGAGCTTCTCGTTCCCTGTTCGCACTGTTGGGTATGCTCTGATTTTGATTTCAGGTGTGCAGATTGGGGAGCTGGAGTATAGTTTTGGGGAAGGCGTTGGCGTCACTTATTCCACCCACAACCCACGGGTTGATGGCGTCCACGGATTCCTAGATGGAACATATGAATACAGCCTCCACATGGGTGTCAGTACACTGTCCGCTTTAGAGCTCTCCAATGTCATCTCCACTCTTCAACGGGTCTTCCAAGGCAATAAGTATGATCTCATCAACAGAAATTGCAACCACTTCAGCGACACCCTTCTTAAGGCCGTTGTAAACAAGGGGATTCCCAGCTACATCAACAGGGCGAGCCGATACGGAAACTGGCTCAGGTATGATGATGCAATGGGTGCCCTGTTGTTCACCTCTCACCGTTTGTCTTCCGTTTTTGCAAACTAGCCGCTCTCATTCTTGCCATTTCTGTATGCTGTTTGTCCCCATTTTCGTGAACTCTAATCTCCGAGGGCCTTACAGCCGCATCTCTTAATCCCTTGCTTGCAGCGCCCCTTCACCGGCCTGCGGGTGTCGTATGCGAACCACGTAAAAATGAAGCCCTTCTCGATGCGAGTTTTCAATAATCCTTCTCCCCCCTAGGGTTTTGCTGTCCTCTAAAGTTCCACTTCTGTATTCGTGCGTGTAATGGTATTCTGATGTGCACGTGAGAGCCAAAAGATGTCAGGTATTCCCTCTGTTTCGTTGCATTGGCGATTTATCCTATCCACCGATCTTCCTGACCAAGCTAGGAACCGAGCACTGTTGCTACGTTTGTCTTAATCCCAAGAACCTTTCCCGTTAACGGAGGTCAGCGTAACCCTGGAAGTCAACCCCTGGTGTCGAGACTCCTCCCCTTCATACTTTTTGTTCCTTGGCTGCCACGCTTCCTGGTGAATCTCTGCAGCTGTTTGTTGCCGGATGCCTGGAGGGGCCCCTCAGAAGAGGGGGGCCCACCGGCGAGCGACATGCCTTCTTCCATCTGCGGTGTGTTCGGCGGAAACGGACAGCGCCTGGGAGAAGGAAGGAGCGGAAGTGGCATCGGCGAGGCTGGATACAGGATATTGGGGCAGTTGCTCAAAATTTCTGATTGTTTGAAGCCGAGTACTCTTGTACGTGACGAAAGGATCATGGACGGTACGCTTGCAAATGGCATCCCAGTGGCTCGCGATGCCCTGTAGCTTTTGTTGCAGGAACTGTCAACATGATTTCTAGCAATGCTTTTTGTGGTTTTCCGACTACTTAGGGCATTGGCAACACAGATCTCTACTGTCACAGGCAGCTCAGGACAGGATCCAGCGTCAACTTTCCCAAAAGTCGCGCTCCTTTTGTTAGCGGTAGATTCTCAGCGATCAACGGAAACCACAATCGGAAAGAAGACAGTGGCATTCAACTTTGTCTGGCTTTCTTACGACTTCTCAAACGAAATTTTGTAGCAGAAAAACCAATGCAACAACACGCCTTGAGTGTGAGGGGGTCTCAACAGGCGCCTCCCCCGGTCTTTTTATGTGCCTGTAGACTTTATGCAGTGGGTTTGACAAAAGTTTTTTTTGAATCATAGATTGCGTGATGTCTGGCTGTTCAGTTCACCTTGATCACAACTGTAAAGAGCCGTCTCGAATATCTCGTGCAACGCGCTCCAAGTGCCGTTAGCGGAATAAAATGCAAAGACATCACACGAGGTGCAAGCCAAGTGGCTTGAGGACGCTGTCCTTAATCTTTTTCGTCGTTCCTGACACAGTTGAGCCACATTGAGCAGAGGGAAAGGTGCAACAAACGGCGAGGCCGTTTCCTGGTGTGATTTATCGGCCTAGACAGTGAATGAAGAGAACAAGAGAGTGGCAAACCGCATGTAGATCTTCCATGAACCATAGTGATTGCACGGATGCATATGTCAGCAGGATGCGGACAATTCATTGCACACATCTCTTGTTTTTTTCCATTTCTTGATGCTCCCACAAGAGAGTTTCTGTATTAGGAGAGCCCTGAAGCCATCTCTCCTGCACACGCTCTCGATGCACATTTGCAGCGGGTGCAAGCACTCACGAGCCAGGAGGTAGGAAGGCATTAAAGGGCAGGCCCACAAGCATTCAACCCATGTACCACGTGGATGTCTTATTGCAACTTCGCAAGTGGAGTCAGAGAGCAGCTTAGGCCGCTGCAAGGGGCGCTCCTTCTCCCAAGTCTCGGGGGAGCCGCCGAGGATGCCAATTCACTTAGGGTTTGAGATGGCCACGATGATTGAACAGTTTCGCCAAATTGCTTCCTTTCTTAAAGATTCATCCGCCTTACAAACTGTGCCGGCATTTTTTGTAGCGGCAGTTGCACCGAGTTCGGCGCCAAGTCCCCCCCAAGTTTTGCGCTTTACAATGACCCTTTACCGATATCCTGCCTTCAAAATAGCCGCAGGTGGGGGTTCTCCTGAGATATTTCAGTATTCCAGCGGCAGGTCTCTGAATTGAATGCTGCGGCAGCGAATCTGCATGCCTCTCTGCAAAACACCCAGCCTTTCGAGCGTGTGGCGGGAAAGTTGTGCGCGCTGGCTCTCAAAAGCTGTAAAAGTACTTTTTGAGGGCGAGAGTCGTCCATGAAAGAAGCATACTCAGTGGCAAAGAAGGCTTCAGGATCCAGGAAACCAGCCAGGGGGCCCCAAAAGGGTGCCGCGAGTTTTGGCACCAATGGGGCCTACGGGCAGTCTACGTGCTATGCTTTTGCTAGGCAAATATGATGAATACTTCTTCTTTTTGGAAGAATTCCTCTGGCAGTCATAGGCGCCCGGCTACTGCCGCAACCCTTTCTTCCCTTGGGGGCCCCTGCCACATGAGCTCTCTCTGAAGGTTTCAAGAAGCCTTCTAGTGCAGGGAGATCCTATGGCTTCCCTCCTAGCGGCAGCTCTGGCGCTGCGCGCTGCTGCTGGACAGGGATCATCTGGAGGAAAGCCTGATGCACACTCTCAGTTGCCACATCATCAGCACCAGAAGCAGCTCCAACCCCAGCAGCAGCACCAGAAGCAGCTCCAACCCCAGCAGCAACAACAGAAGTTTCAGGATCAATTGCAGCGGCAGCCAGTTTCGCAGCAGCTGCAACAGCGTCAACAACATGGCAGTGACAGTGCTTGCTCATCAGGCAACAGCCATCCTACTACCAGCAGTAGCGAGGGTCCTACTGCGAAAAAGCGCAAGCATCGGAAGCGGTCTCAAAGTCCAAGAGCCACACAAAGCGCAGAGGGCCCTCAAGCTGCCCTTCCACAAGATGCCAACGGGAAGAAAGGGATTTACGCGAATACGCCCCAAGCAGAGTTTTCAACGCAACAGGGGGAGCACCGCAACCAACACATGCACACATGGAAGGGACAGCAGGAGCCTTTGAAACAGCAGCAGCAGCAACGTCAAGAGGTTGCAAAGCAGCTAAAATCCCCGCAGCAGCAGCAACAACAGCCGAGACAACAGCAGCAACAACAACAGCCGAGACAACAGCAGCAACAACAGCCGAGACAACTGCAGCAACAACAACAGCCGAGACAACTGCAACAACAACAGCCGAGACAACTGCAGCAGCAACAACAGCCGAGACAACAGCAGCAACAACAACAGCCGAGACAACTGCAGCAACAACAACCACTCCAGCAAAGTCAACGCATGCAGCAAGTAGAGTACCAGAAGCAGCGCAAATCGCCACAGCAGGTAGATGCCCAACTGTTCAGCCCTGGAAACCTTCACTCCCAAAGTAACTTACCTCAGCAACTACAGCCGCAATTACAGCAGCAGGAGCAGCAGCAGGAGGCAGCGGTCGCCACTTGTTTGTTCACAAGTCATCAGGTAGCATCGCTGAGGGAAAGTCTGTGGCTGTTGCAACAAGAAGCGTCAGCAGCACCCACTGCAGCAGCCACTGCAGCAGCTCAAGCGAAGGCGACATCGCTGCTGCTGGGAGCGTCGGCGCGTCGCCTTGCTGCTGTGGCCCCTCGTGTGGCTGCAGCTTTCTCGTAGGTTCTGCAGCAGCAGTAACAACAGCATGTCTGAACGTTGAGAGCCGCTGCGTGTGGTATACGCTGCTGGCGAGACTGCGGTATTTGCTGTTTGCGAGTCGTTGTTTTTCCTCAGGCGACGCGCGTTGGATTGGGCACAAAAGCATGGCATAAGTTCGTTTTCTCGTTGCAGCTTCTTGCACTGTTGCCACCCACGCTGACGCTGCGTTCACAACAAGTCGTCCTGCGGCAGCAGCAGTAGAGGCAGCAGTAAATGTGCAGCAGCGTCTGCGGTTGCATTGCTTGCTCTTGCCACCATTAGGCGTATAAAGCACCGTCGCTATTGGTCCTGTCTTGCCTCGTGAAAGGCCGCCTTTCCCCTCAAAATTGTGTGGGGGGGGAAGCCGTGGCTGCCTTTGAAGGCCTCTTTGGATTGGCTAAGACGCGCAGTATGCATGCAGTTGCTCTGCGCTTGTTGCTGCAGCGGTGGATCAGAAGTCTTCACAGGGTCTGTGTCGTGGCTGTGGGGTGCCAGTGCTGCCCTTCTTGACGAGCGCCTTCCGTACGATGCCTCTCCGTTCTCGTGCCGCAAGAAGACGCGGTAAGTCCTCTTGACGGCGCTTATGGTGCATGGTGTTTGCGTGAATGATGCATGCGGTCCCCATGAAGCCTGTGGATGTGACCCTAACCAACTACTGCCTGTCTCTCCTCGCAAGATGTGCTGTCGATGCGCAGCTGGGTAGACTAACGTTTGGGCGGCTGCCCCTAGAATCCCCTTCCTGCCCATCTTCTGCCCTTGGTTTACTCGCGCACTCATGCATCTCATTATAGCCGCGCTTATGCACCCTCTGGCACAGCGTTTCGTGCATGAAAACGAATGAAGCCCCCTCTGAGGAGGCCTCTCCGTCCATTGGCCTCTCTGACTCCCGTGGCCTTTGAGTGTATTCATTTATGTGCATAGAGAATGTGTAGAGTGTGTATGTGTGTGTGTATGTGTATGTGTGTATGTGTATGTCTATGTGTGTATGTCTATGTGTGTATGTGTGTATGCGTGCGTGCATGCGGTTTAGTCGTAAAGCGCACCAAGCAGAAGCTGTTGACGCAGCAGCAGCACGCCGCTGCTCCTGGAGCAGCGCCTCGCTATCCACGTTCTCAGGACCTCCACGATTCGACGGTTTCAGCCTCTCTGGTGTGTCGTGCACTCGGTGGGGGTGCATGCCATACAGCGCATGCATTATGAGGCCTCGGGGCAAACGTGCGTGTCTGTGGGCGCCCAAGCGAAATCTAAGGGCCCCGCCTCGTGCCTCTGTGGGAGACTGCTGGGGCCCCTGGGGGCTTCTGTTGTACCACCGGAGATCCCCTGCGTGTGCAGTAGTGGCCTCTGTGCGATTCGCAGGTTGCAGTCTGCAAGCTCTGTGACCAGCGTTCCGAGATGGCTGTAGGGCCCTTGAGGCCGGCGCGATTGCAGGAGCGAAGGGCAGATTGCGCAAGAGGTTCAGCCTTCAACCGGCAGAAGCGTGCGCTGCAGGAGCAGAGACAGCAGCAACGGCAGGCTGTGGCTGCTCTCGCGTCTCAGCGGGGAGACTCCGTCTCCCGGGTGCCTTCTCTTGAGGCCTCGCTTTCTTCACCATTCCACGCTTCAGATGCTTTGAAGGGCGCGTCTCCCTCTACCGAGGGCAGCAAGGTGTTTCTGGACGCTGTGCCTGCTGCAGCAGCACAGGACCTTCCCCACGCCAATGCGCGTTCTGCTGCTGTCTGCTCAGGCCTTAAGCAAGGCGGAAAGCCCCTTGGTGGGGGAGGGGAGCCTTCTGCAGGCACTCGAGGGCCACAGGTGGCTCCCCCCCATTCAGGTGCCTGTTCTCCTCCCGTCCAGAGGCCAGGGGACGAAGGGGGCACTGAAGAAGGCGGCAGCAACGTTAGGGGCCCCGAGGTGGAAGGCCCCCCACACGGGCGGCCTTCATGGGGATCTTCTAGCGGCCAGAATGGGAGTGCTAACCAGATTTCCGGGAGTGTATATGCGCTTCTCGCGGATCTGGACTGCTGATTCTCAATAGACCCTAAATAGCGCTGGCATGGCAGAATGTGTTTGCGCTTTTCGGCTGTAATTCTAGGGGCCACGCTTGCATGTTGCTATCCCAGTGTGTGCTCCTGCTCGTGCGCGCCAACAGAAGGGCTCTAATAGCTCAGCGCCTCAGCGACCTCCCCAGGGTTGACACCTTGATGTGGGCGCTTTCGGTAGTCTGGCTGGCTGCGAGGAGAGCTGCACGCAGGAGGCAGTTCAGGCGTAAGCTGTGCAGCAGGCTAGCTGTTTATGCACTGTCCTGTCGCTTCCCCAAAGCTGGCGGGGTGCAGCTAGCTAGGCAGCCTAGAATGGGGATCAGGCCACAGTGACTGCCCCAGCTCAACGGCAAGTAGGAAAGGTTGCGCCGTGGGCTGGGGCGAGTGATCGGCATCCATTTTTTTGTAACGACCTCTCCATCGCGGGATTCTCAAGGAGCTGCTGCCTCTGCTCCTGGGCTTGCTTGGATAGCACATGCGCTTGCTCCTCAGGCCCAACACACTTTCCCAGGGCCTCTTCAGTACTACTCTGGCATCTACACTTTCATTATGACTGGCTGGGCTAGCGCCCAGCTGTGATCCGAGCGGAGTTTGGCTCAGTGGTAAAGCTTCGTACAGTGGCCCTTGTCTCCTGGGAGCCTCCCTGGGGAGAACTAGATTTTATGCCAGAATGAAGACGAGCCGCGAAGGCAACAAGACGACACCATGTGGCAAAGTCATAAAAAGCAAAAAATAGATGGGGATGTAACAAGCCTGGTACACAGCAATCCCAAAGAACTCTTCTAGTTTCTTTGGACAATTCCTGTCCTGTGTAGCGGGCTAAGTTACCCTCGAATAAGTTCTACTGCAAGCGTCATGTTTAACTTAGAAATAGTTTGGACTTGAGAAATTGGTTTGTGGCATAATTTATCTCCCTTGCTTTAGACAGGTCTTAGCGCAATAAAATGCAATATTGTGTGCGTGTGTTTCGAATGCTATTTGCAACTAGCTCTGGATGCTTGGATTGCATGGATTCAGCTGCACGCACCCCAGCTCTCTCTCTCCCATGATGTTGGTTAACGTCGAGGGCGCAAGCAGGAGACGGCAGAGCATTGCTGGAAAATACTGAAGAATTGCCTATTGAGTTTGAGCCTAGAGATACGCATCTCCCTACTGAGATCGTAGACGGGGTGGTACGAAACGCTGGTGGAGCAGCAGGCGTGGCATCAGCATTACACCAGCGCTTTTGTCATCTCATCCAAACAGACTGATCTGTAGTGCTTGCCTGTAAATCGTACCGTAGAGTAAAGTCTCAGGTCAGTACGTCACTCAGGAAATCAGCTACCAAATATTTCGCCGGATCTGCTTCATTGCACGGTGTTCCTCGCTGTTCGTCTTTTTCATGACAGTGTAATAGGCCATTGCTGCGCCGGCATATCTTTCCTGTTCGATACCACGGTAGCTGAAGAAGTTGCTGAATGCGGTGTATGTGCTAGTCCAGTGCACCCTTGACCTCCCCAGCCTGTGCGACATACTGACCCTGTCATTTTTTGCACACTCTTCTTCCCCTGTACTTCCTGCTCCCAAGTATCAGATTCCGAATTGAATAAACTTATGGAGAGAAGGAAGAAGAAAGGGGTGAAAACGGGGGAAAACAGTTGGGCACATTGAGCATGACTGCAAACTGTTGCATAGTATTGCTGCATATCTGACCCGCAGCAGCTCCCTCTTTGAAGTCCTTAGTCAAGGATCTGTTTTCCTTTAGATCCCTTCTTAAAGATAACAGGGAGATTTTTACATTTGATGGACAGAGTAGAAGTAGTAGGTGTAGGGGATTTTTGGCGGCCGTCGACAGTCAGGCACTGTCGGCCTAGGGGGCGTGCCACTGTTCGTCTCCAAGCAGTCTTTTTTGCGTGCACTATAGATAGCGTCATACCTATTTTTTAGAATCTTTGTACTTTATTTTATGGAAGAAAATTCAAATTTCTCACTGATTGCCTTAGTGGGGCACAATCGTCTCCCCAGTCACTTGATCTTCTGCTCGGCGATCGGTGCAACTCCGAAAACAAGTAAATTTGGGCGCGTCGCTCCTTTTATTACCTTCAGTATAGTTGTGTATTACGCAATATCACATCTTAACGCATTGGATTCCATGTCTTCGTGGCAGAGAAAAGACGAACACCTGTGTCAGCGCGGCTCAGGAGGAGGGAAGAGAAGCACATGGTGGCATGCTTTAAATCTTCCACGAGCCTTCCCATTCCAGAACTCCCAGGATATCTTTGAAATAGTTTATCAAGAAACTATGACCGCTCCAAAGGCCTGATACAATAGCAGTATCCCTACACATTCGGAGACAAAGGGAACCGAAGCACATCGCTGGGACCAGAGTAGCGAACCAAACGCACACACACACAGAGAGAGAGAGAAAAGTGTGTTTTTTCGCGATGTCAATGCACGAGTGCGAAGCGTATTGGCAGGAGTTCCTGCGGCGTCCCAAGGAACAGAAGGCCATTCGAGAAGAGCAAAAAAGGCTACAGAAAGAGTCGGTATGTCGTGACCATTCCCCTATTTCGCATGATCTACTCGATAAAATAGATAAAAATATGATCATCGCACCCATAATCATCGAGTAAGTAATACGGAGATCTATGTCCTTCGCAATTTTTCAGGCGGACCGAATGGCAGCGCTAAAAAATGCAAAAGTCAAAGAATTGCAAGAGGCCCTCAATGGATGCACATCCGAACAACAACAACTTCTCGGCCCCATTCTGAAAGCTCCTGGTCTTTTAGAGCTTTTGCATGACTGTTTGCTGCGTTGCGGTCGCGACTCCAGCATTTTCAGCAAGGAACTCAAAACGGATCAGTCCCTACTCACGAGGATCATGGAGAAAGCAGAAGAATACGAAAAAGATCCTGAAGCCTGTAGGGTTCGCTGCGAAGTGCACCGCCCTTACCAATAAGTTTAGTCTCGGGAGTCCAAATACCTCGGCACTTCAGAATACGATACAAAGGGCCTACTGCGCACGATACAGCAGGATTACATTGTTGCACAAGCTACCTGCACTAACACATTCTGTCAGCGAGCTTCCCGAGCTCGGCTTTGCAGTATCGCATCCGTGAACAAAAGGTTGACTGCAATATGGAACCATTTCTCTTCAAACTGTCCTCCCTCTAAATACTGCCCCTCACATGTGCGGTCCCCACCATGTTTTGTCATCCGCAGTTACCCGCCAGGAAGAGCAATTGAGAGCCTTGCATGTTGAGGCCTCACGTCCTCTCGACGCAGCAGATATGAACTATTTGAGAGAACGAACCTGGAAAGACCTACCACCCGCTGAGTTGGCCGAAAGAATGTCAAAGGGCGAAATCTGCCCGAGAGAAGAATGGATCCCTGGTAACAATAAAACGCGAGAACTGCCAGACACTGCACCCTCCACAACATTCCACGAGCATATTGCCATTTACAAAGCAACATTTTGCTGCCCTCATTCAACCTTCGCCTCCCCAGGCGATCTAGCGCTTATTCAAAATGACCAGCGATCAAATGAAGGGGTGAACCTCTCAAGGGAGGGACTGCTTCGGCATTATAATGAATTTCCTCCGTGTTGTTCAGTTGGAAACATAATTTTGTATGGCTTTTTGTACAATTTTTGTTGCCTGTCCTCCAACCTGGCAAAAGGAGTCTTTTCCTTTGTTTCTGGGTAGCGCCGATCCCCATGAGTGCTGCTTCCGGAGGTTGCACAATTCATCTCTCCTCAGCTGTAGAACAGGATCTGTCTGTCGGGCTTTCAGGCATATCCAAAGGAAAACGTCCACTGAATGCCAAGGCCCTAGAGGAGCATCTGGCCTTTGGGGAGCGTCTGGCGCGCGAGGGCAGAGAGGCTTACGCTGATCAGTTGTATGAAACTGCCTTCTTACGTTTCAAGCAGGGAGTGGAGCTTTTGAACTGGGTCGAGGCAAGGGATGCAATCAATCAAAGGTCTGTAGATGACATGTACTGCATGTTCCTGAGAAACGTCGCGCAGGCGGCCCTGCAACTTGAAAAATATCAGGAAGCGATCCGTAAGGACACACGGGGGATGCTGGTGGCTCAAAAAGGGAAATTATGGTCATTCGTATGATCCTAATGCTGGTGTCTCTGTTGCTTCTGTTGATGTTACTGGTCACCCGCCGGTAGCGTTGCGGGACGTGCTGCCACTTCCTCCGTTCGTGGCCCTCCATGCGCTTCAGAGATAACACTTGGGATGTGCTTACTCTCTCCGCTGCTGACGGGTTGCTCGTGCTGCTTTTCCAAGCCAGCTCCTGCCTCGCTCGACATGCGAGTCAAGCTGTGCTGGGATGCCTTCGTGAAGAGCTGTTGGGGGCCTTGTGCCGGATAGCCTCCCGAGGCATGAGAGCAAGCTTGAACGATGACGTAAATGTAATCTCGCTGCTGCGTTGCTGTGTGCGGTAAGGGGCCTGCACTACTATCATTCAAGAGCTCGATGAACACGACTCGAAAGCGCGCTACCGCAGGGGAAAGGCGTATCTTTTGCTGGGGATGGCGAAATGCGCCAAAGACGATTTTCTCTTTATTCTTAAGAGCCCCTATTCTACGCAAGAAGGCGTCCACGCAGCACGATTGGGGCTGAGGGAGCTTCGGCGTGTGGTAAGTCGAAGCGAAATAGATGCGAAGGAAAGCGTCTGCAAGGGACTCAGTGGGGGCCTTTTCTCGACTGGAAGAGCTAGATCGGGGCACTTTGTGTTGGGAGACAGATTCAGTGGGGAAACGGAATTGAAAACAGAGGAGCGAACTCCTGAACACGAAGTGGAAGCAGGCGATTTCAGACTTCCTCCGAGGCAAGCTGCTGCAGAGGACCCTAACTCGTATACGACCAGCAGCGAGGGAGACGCTAGTCGCCTCTCCTCGAAAGCCTGCGACGGCCTCAAGTGTCTCCACAGCTACCCTGTAAGCGCGAACACAGCCTAGGGCAACCAGTCACAAGCTTAGCCGCATTATGGTGCACCTGGTTTAGCAGCAAAAACGGCCTGCACGCCAACTCGTAAAGGCGAGCAAGCGAATGCAAAAAACGACCATTGGAGAGCTAGTTGTGTCACGCAAACTCCAGGAGTTTCCTTGCATTCAGGACAAGATGGGGAAAGAAGATGACTCTAAGCCTCCGCCCTTAGATCTCGAGGAGACGAGAAACATCCTCATAGATCTTCTTGATGCGTATACAGTAAGCACTCGTCAATCTTGTGAATCACGCTATCAGTTCTGCTTTTCTTCTCGTACCCCCTTTTGACTATACAGGGATATGCAAACATTCTCTTATTCAGGAGTTGAGGGCCTTGATTATTTCTAAATGAAGCAGAGGCGTGGGGCCTCGTGCCGCTGTTCTTGCTCCGTTTTTCGGGTTATTCCCAATGTCCTCTACGTTGGCTATATCGTGTTTCGCCTGCTGTTGCCTCAGTCTGCCTCTGCTGTCTCCCGCCTGAACGAGCTGCGTAGCCTAGCGGACTACGACTACAGGAGAGTTCTCATTAGGGCAAGGAAGTTTCTTCCTGAGTTGCAGGCCCCAGTGCTACAGCGACACGGAATCAAGGGGCAAAGCCACCGTAGCAAAATGCAGCAGGTTGAAAGGAGCGCAAGCTACTGGCGACATAGAGATACGGAGATCGCCGAGCTTACCAGAGAGTGCCTAGAGGCCATATTCGGGGATGTTGCCGATATAGACGGGTAAAGCGAAGGCGGGGGCTTTCCTCGTTTTGCTTGATAGATTACGCTCTGATGGTTGTGTAGTGTGTGCAATTAGCCACCAAAGAGAGAGAGAGGACAGATATGGAAGAAACAGAATGACCCTTTGGGCACTGCTATAAAGGCCGTAGGGGAAAGCGCGAAGCATTTGGCCCATAGGGGTAATCGCCTGCATTTATCCATATAACCTTTTCCCCTTCTTCTTCCTTTCCTTTTCTTTGCCTTTGCATTTTGGTATTCATAAGCTCCTCTGAAATTTGCCTTTTGATTCATTCTTGTTCATGTTGTGTACGTTGCCAATCTCCTTTGAGAACGAAAGGGGACCCAGGCCATGCACCGCCTCGCACTGCACCCAAAATAGAGCAGAGCAAATGCGTCGAGCCGGTGTTGCCTGATATGCTTTTCTGAATATGATTTGGCCCCAAACGCTTGAGGAGATGAGGTGATATCGCATAAGAGAACAGGCTGACTTGTGGACTTTGGAATTTTTTTCCAGCGTTGCTGAATGATTTGTCCGATAGCAGGGCGTCTTTTTTCATTGGCATGGCCTTGTTGTCCAGACTTCGTGGGCGCAACACGCCGCCTATGACGCCGTGATGGGCTCTAACTCGGAGGGTAATGGCTGTAGGTTTTGCATGGCCAACTTGATTACCCCGTAGCACTTCTCAGATAAACCTAAGCAAAGAAACATGTATATAATAGTGAAACTTGGACACTAAGTAATCTCTCTAAGTGCTATGCAATAAACGCTTAATACCAAAGAAACGGTGTCGTATGCGTTTTCGTGGGCACAGCACTTAGTGCTTAGGCTGTTCAATTTATGGAAGTGTATGAATATCTAGTCTTCGAAAATCTCAACAGACTTAGAAATTTCAAGTAATTCGACTAGCAAACGTCATAATGTTTGATTAATCCAACGGCACGATGCATGCAACACTACACCGCAACACGAAGCCCCGAACTCCCATACCGCCCACTTCTCTCTTCCGTTCCTGGTCTACCAAATCTCCACTCCCCATTATCCTTTTAAAGCTGTTTTCTTTTCCATTTTTTTGTGAGTTTTTGTCCCCCAGGGCCCCCGGTGTACCTACCACAGGGGGGCCCCCCTCAGCGGTTGTATAGAGCCAAAACTTCACTAAGGAGAAGCTTTCCTACACTCACTTTCATGCCGAACCCCCTGTCTTCGGTGCAAAATTTCTAGAGAGGGCATTACAGTAGTCTGGCGGAATCGTCGTGTTCGAGGTTCCCGGCTGCTCCTCCTATTTCGAGGCATCGGGGCCAGTGTTGGGGGGCCCTGGGGCCCCTACAGACGTTGTACCGATGAGCGCCTTCGCCTCTCCCGCCGAGACTGACCGCTTCCCCATCAGGAGCTCAACTTTCGCGGAGGCTCCCGTCCGTGCAGAAATGGAGGCTCATGTATTAATGAACCCACTCCTCCGGGGCGGTGTCACCCAAGCACCATATGCTTCCGCCTACCAGCAGGACACACAGTCGCAGATGCAACAACACCGTCGCTCCATAACGTCTGGCCCTCCCTATCCGTTCGCGGCAACCTTAGCACCTTCTTTAGCAGTCCCTGTGGGGGTTCCCTTAGGTCGTGAGGGCAGCGCTGAGGGCGTCGGAGCTTCCTCTCCAGGAGAGAAATTGGATGTTCTGGGAGAGGCTTCCGCACAGTTTGCCAAGGCGGCGATCCGCCTACTGTGGGGGGGCTTGCGAAGCGACGAGCTGCACCTTCATTTAGACAGTCCTGCGAGGGGCCCCTTCCTAGGGGTGGGCCCATGGGGCCGCCGAGTAGGAGGCCCCCTCTGCACCAAGGCGATGTACGAAGAAAATGGAAACGCTTTTGTTGTATCGGATCCTCAAGAGTGGCTGCCACTGCCGAACTGTTTCTCGCGCCTCCTCTGCACCTGCGGAGCAGCAGAAAACACCGGTGGCAGCAGTGGTAGCGTTTCGTGTTGCTGCACAGAAGCGCCTCCTTGTGGATTTATATCCGAGTTGAATAGCGTGTGGGTGGGAGGCGAGGGATTTCTGTATCTGTGGGAGGTGGGGTCCCCCGAGGACGCAGTGGAACAGCTCTCGGTGCCGGGTTCAGTTGAGTCTGTGGTGTACATACACCTGGATAGGGAGGTCCTTCCCCCAGCCCTTAGGGCTTCTTTTTGTTGGGATGACGCCGATCTGGCGGCCTTCTCTGTAACAGCCCATCTTGCGCCCTCCGGGTGTACAGATTCCCCACCTTTCAGCAGCATAAATGCCTCTCCCTTGCATTGCATTGCCGTGTCGCTAACGTCCTCTGTCCGCCTCTTTGCTATTTCGGCAAGGGCAGGGGCCCCCAGAAGGAACCTCATTTCGCATCTGCAGCACGGCAGGGGAGGGCCCCCAAGGAGCTCCCAAGCGGCCCCCGCCTCCGTCTGCTGCTGCGGCATGGAGTTCACGGAGATCGGAGTCGCCGATAAGCCGATGAGGGGCTTCAGTGGTGGGCCCCTGGAGCTGTCGCATGCAGTAGCGCACAAAGGCAGCAGCCACGTCTTCTTCGGCAGTACCAGCTCCCAGCAAGTTTTCCGTCTGGAGGTAGGGCCCCGAGCGGGGCCCCCGGGAGGGCCTCGATGGGGCCCGCCGGGTTCGCTCGCGAAGAAGCGTGCAAAGAGTGCTGATTTTCGTCCCCCACTCACGGGCGCTGCAGCGGAGAGAGAGGAGGAAGAACCCGCTGCCTTGCATGCAGTTGCACCTGCGGGGGCAGTCGAGGCTCAAGGGTTCAGGCTGTGGAGTCGGCGTACAGAGGGAGACGACGGGCTAGTTACGTGCCGCCTAGCTGCTCTCAACCCGAAGCTCTCTGACTGGCTTCGATCGAGCATTGCTCTCGGCGTTAGACGCTTCTTCGGGCTCGCCAGTACCCCCCACAATGGCAGCAGCAGCAGCAGCAGCAGATCAGGAGAAAATAATACGGGGGCTCATCGACAAGGGCTGCAACAGCTGCAGATGGATGAAGCGCGGGGAATTCTTTGGGCTTTAGGGAGCGACTCCTCAGTAAGCGCCTTTTTGTTGCCCACACTCTCAGCGGAACAACTGGCTTCAAAGGAAGAGGACCGCAACAGATATACAACGCGTAAGGTCAAGGCACCCCGTAGAGCAAGAGAGAGAAAGACGGACCTGTGGAACACACAAAAATATGCTGCACGCTGGCATCTCTCTTCATATATATCTCTCTTTCTTTATATATATATATATCTCTCTATATATATATATATCTGTCTCCATCTCTCTGTCTCTTCATCTCTCTATCTCTATTTATATTTCATCTCTCTATCTCTCTTTATCTCTGCATATATATATATATACATCTATCTCTATGTATATCTCATCTCTCTATCTCTCTCTGTCTGTATACATATGTCTTTCTCTCGTTTTATCTCTGTCTGTCTCTGTCTGTCTATACATATACATATACATCTACATATATATTTATATATGTATGTATATGTATATCTATAAGAAAGCGCCGCCCCCGACGTAGGCTCCCTCTATGCCGATAGGACTCATCGGTAACAGCTCCCGATTTCTTGTTCTTCGCTGTCTTTGCTTCTTCTTTCCTTCCTTCCTTCCTTCCACCACGCCTACCGTTTCGACACGGTTGTGTGTGTGCCTCTCTCTTCCTCTGCAGTCCGCATGACCTCTAAGGCCATAGAGGAGGGCCTTCGCAGCCTAGGAGCCTCTTGGCAGCGCTCTCCGCCTGCGGGCTGCGGAGGACTGCTGGGGCCCCTCCTGCGCACAGGGGGATTTGTGGCTGTATCGCTCTCCGTCATTCCTCCGCAGGAAGGTCACTCGCTCGCTGCTGTCATCGTGGATGCTTCGGGTATGCCGACTTGATCCTCCTTTGTGTTGGCGGGAGTCCTTAATTTCTCCCTGAAGGTTTCTCTCTATCGTGCGTCGGAAGTTTTTCGCGTTTACCCGTCGAAAAACTTCCGACGCACTCGCCTTTTGCCCATCCCTCTCTCTCTGTTCCGACGCTTTTCCTGTTTCTAGTCAAACGCTGCTGTGCGCAGGCGGTCGCACATTTCTTTCTCTCGCCGACCCTTACAGCAGCTCTGCTCCTGGTAGCGGAGCCTTCCCCCCCCCAAGGAACTACGCTGTCCGGAGGCCCTCGGCGGGGCCCCGGGGGCCCCCGCTGCGCTTAGTTGTTGGGGGCTATAGGGGCCCAATAGACCCTCTGCCCCCCTCTCTGGGGCCCCTGCGCTGTGCTGCCGTCGCCTCTTCCGTGTTCCTCTCTGCGCACGCGGCGAAGAAGGAGGCGGGCGGCGCCTGCGAGGAGGCAGCTGCTCCGCAGGCGGAGGAGGATCGGGGGGCCCCCCTGCTGCTTCCGCGGTGTGGGCCTTGCAGGAACTCGTGCTTCGTGGGGGCCCCCTGTGTCCTTTGCGCCGCATTCGGGAATGCGGGAGAGGGGGGCCCCGCTGGGGGCCTCTCAGGGGGCCTCCTTGATGTCCAAGAGCCGGAGCTTCCCTTCATCTACGAGCAGAGCAACGGCGGCAGCAGCGCCAGTGCAGCAGGCTCTCTGTGTTGTTGCTGCAAGGCCAGGCCTGCTATTGCGGAAGATGCTGCTAGCCCCAAGTGCACAGCTGCGAACAACGGCAGCAGCGACGTCCTTGTTGCTGCAGCCCCCGATCTGCGAGGCTTGGCAATGCTGCAGCAAGGGGGATGCTACAGCAACAACGGAGGCGTGGCTCCAGGCGTAACCCCTGCCTCGCCCCTTGCCAGCAACTTTTTCCCCTCGAAAACACACCTCCCGACAGCACAGGATCCGCTGCGCTCGCAAAGCAGTGGGAGGCCCCCCTCCCTCTCAAATGAATGGTTTTGCTGCTTCCGTCTACGAGAAGGGGCGGGGCGTGTGTTGCTGCTTTGTGAGCCACTACCTTCCCCAGCTTTTGGGGTTCTGCAGCAGTGCAGTTCCGTCTTTCCTTCTCCCTTTGACTCCAGAAAGCGGCAGCAGTGGCTCTCGCTCCCGTACGGAGGGGACCCCTTTTCTTCGGCTGAGTGGGAGAAGAGGGGCCTCGGCGGGGGGCCCCAGAGGGGCCTCAACGGGATGAGCAGCAAGGCGTCCATCTGCGCCTCCTTGCCGGCTGTCTGTGCGCCAAGTGCCCTCACGGACGCAGCGGCGGGGGTCCTCTGTGGGGCCCCCAAGCTGCTCGTAATTACCAGCAAATACGTGCTGCAAGTGCGACGCCAGACCATTGCGCAGATCTACGTTCGCAGCATCGAGAATCTCATGAGAGGGGGCCCAAGGCTGGCAGCCCTGGACGACCCAAGAGGCATTGCAAGTGCGTATGGGGGAGGCATACACCCGCAGCAGCAGCAGCAGCAGCAGCTACGCGACGGTCTGTTTGTCTCGGTGGGCCCCCAGCGTCATGCTCACTGGCGCTTGGGAACCCTTTTGACGGCGCACATGTGCGAAGAGGGGCAGTTTGGGGCTGATGCAGTGTTTGCTGCTTTTTGGCAGCTGATGACGGACAGTGCGTCTGCCCTTGCTGCATTTCATGCCACCCAGGCGAGCAGCAGCGGACGCCAACAAGGAGGAGGGTCCGAGGGGGGGCCCCCCAACACCACGAATCTGCTCGACAAACAGCGTGGCGCCCTCAGACTGAGCAGAGCGGGGGCCTACTTTCAGCCCCCCTCGGCTCCCCAGCTCATGCAAGGGGGGATTTCGGGGGGCCCCCTCGGCTTTTTTGAGACCCCTTTCGGCCTGGGCTACGTTCAAGACTCAGGGCGGCAGCAGCAGCAGGTTGTCGCTAGCGCTGCTGCTGCTGCTGCTGCTGCTGCCCGGGGGGGCCCCCCGGGAGGCCTCGGCAGCCCCCTTGGGGCCCCCTCTCTTGAAGCGGCTGCTGCAGGAAGGGAGGGAGACGGTAAAGCAATGGCGCTTGCCGTTGCCTGGCGCGCGCTCGTCGGACTGGAAGCCCGGAGGGAAGGTGGGCCCCCCCTGAACGCGGAGCTTCTTGGGGAGCAAATGAATCTTCCGTCTGCGCTGCAGGAGCAGCAGCAAACATGGGGGGGTAGAATCTTCGGGTACTCAGACCAGAAGCAGCTGCCGCAGCCACAGCCACCGAACCAGCAACAAGAAGGCTTCAGTCAAACGATAGGTAGGAAGAGAGCTGCTACCAGCTCCCTGAGACCTCCTCATAAGCGACGTTAACACGAGGGAGGGTTGCTCGGCTTACTTGTGAGAATTCTTTGGGGCCTTCTTGAGGTGCAACGCTCTTCTTTGCCGTGCATTTTTTGCTTCGCTATATATATATATGTATATATATATATATATATGTATATATATATAGAGAGAGAGAGAGGCTGCCTGCCATTGCGTCTTTCGTCGATTTATACCCCAGATGGGTTTCCCCTCGTTGCATGCAGTTGTCTTCGGAGGGGCCCCTTCGGAAATTTTTTGTGGGGGCTGCTTCTGGGTGCGCGTCTCTTAGGGGACCCTTTTCTGCAGCCTTTGCCGGGATCAACAAGTGCCTCGAGCATCCCTGCAGTGCAGAGCCTCCCTGCAGGCCTTAGTAACACCGCTCGCGGTCTCATACTGTACGCTTCAAGGCTGCTTCGGCCGATCCTGGGAACCCCCCTCGTGGAGGCAGCGCTCCTGCCATGCGGTTTAGCCCGTGCAGATCCCCGGAGCGCGCATCCGCAACAGCAGCAACAGCTGGGGCGACTTCGGGAGGAAGACGAGGGCACCAGGAAGAGAGGCAGGGGGGAGTTCGACTGGCAGCCGGAGGAACTAGAGGACGCAGTGCATAGGCGGCATCTCTGCGCCTGTCTTGTCGGAAGATTCTCTGCGGAGGCGGTCGATCGGCTCCTCTCGAAGATCGCGTGTCTCTATGAAGTACGATTCAACTTGCGAGCCCGTAGATGTGCCGCTGCTGACTCGGGGTCCATTTCGGGGGCCTCCTCCCTCTCTCCTCTTTCTGCTGCCTGCACTCTTTGCCTTCTACGGAGGCAGCACGGCTGCAGCAGCGCCGCATGCGCCTTGTGAGATGCGTCTCCGGGTGCTCTGCTCCCGCAGGTGCTGGATGCTGTCTACACAACGCTCTTCTTTTCTTTCGGCCAGAAGTCTTCGCTGCAGCAGCAGCAGCAGCAGCAGCTGGCGCAGGGGTCTCCGTGGGCCTTGTCTCTGCGAGGTTTGCCCCCACATTTCGCCGCGCTGCGCATGCCACGAGATATCCACGTAGACACTGCCGCTGCAACGCAAGAAGGCATCCCCTCGTCTGCCGAACTCGAACAACAGGAGGTCATCTGGGCCTCAATTTCTCTCGTTGAGGCTATCGAGCTGAGCGTGCTGGTGCGTTCGACCGTAGAGGCGCAGTGCCTTCTTTTCGCCTTTGTTGCTGCCGTGTGCTCCGGCTCTTCCGCGTGCTGTCTGTCTGTCTGTCTGTCTGTCTGTCTGTCTGGACTCTTCTGGATGCATCTGCTGCGCCAGCGACCTCCCCTCTGCTGTGGAGACTCCGTTGTTCGTGCTCCTTCTAGCCTCTGTGCATCTGCTTCTCTGCCTGAAGTGCCTGTGCGCGGTTCCTTCGCGCATGCACGCTGTAGACACGTCAAGCCACCCACCGCTCCTATAGGGCCTCGTATCTGCGACGTTCTGGAGCTTGCACGCGCCATCCAAGTCGTTTGCCCCCTTGCCTCGTGCCCGCTGTGCGCAGTATGGAATCAGCAAGGTTTTGATCACGGCTCACGAGATGCTGACAGCCTACCAGCTCCTGATGCAGCAAGCAGAGTACTCCGTCCAGATGGGCTGTAGCCGTTTTGTGCAGCCGCTGCTCTTCGACCGGCTCCTTTCCCTTAGCCTGACGGACTTGTAAGCACCCAACAGCAACGCATCCGCACGTGTGGCTGGCAAGCGAAATGCGTCATCGAGTTGACAGATTTCGCCAGCCTCCGCGCGGCACGATGCACCGTGAACTCGCATTGTAGAAAGCCGATCTGCGTGTGCCTTACAATATGCGTCGTCGTCCAGCTATTCCACCTCTTTTGGGGTTGCACAGAAATATGCGTCTTCGTTTCTGGTTCCTTGTCTCCCCTCTTTTCGCGTGTTTTGTTTTTATTCTGGCTGAGGCAGCATGTGTTGATTTTTTTTCTATTGCCCTCCAAGCGTGGTGCTCTTCAGCGCGATTGGCCTTTCAATGCATGCCACGTGGCCTGTGGTCGTCTTTCTTGGTGTCGTCTGTAGGGGCGGCTTTTCGTTGCGTAGTGTGGAAGCAGTCGTACCTATGGAGGCTTGCTTTCTGCAGAAACCCCCACGCCCTCCCATGTGCCGTCTTTTCTCGCACGTGTGTTGACTGCTGCGTGAGTCGGAGGGCCTGACTCACCTTTTCATCAAATGCGCTCAAGCGTGCTTTCTCCGCGCAGGTGTATGAGCGTGGAGGCGCGAGAAAATTTCAGGCAAATCGTGTTTGAGACAGCCGCCTTCGGCAACCCTCTGCTCTCCCGGCTCTGTACGGGGGCCCTCTTCACGTGAGTCAATTTCGAGGTTTGTTTTTGTTGGATCTGTGTAGATGATTGAGCGAGCACTGAGTGTTTTGCGCGTCCTTCAAGAGACGCTGGCTACGTGGTGATGACGCCTTCTTCCAGCGCTGTCACGCGGGCTTTCGCACGTACTTTGCTCTGGACGCCTCCTTAGCAGAGGAGCAGTCAAAGTTTGAGTGGAGCCATGAGGGGGGCAGGCAGAACTACTAGAGAATATCCCTGTGTCGTGTTTTGCAGACAACGGCTGGGCCGTCGCTCTGCATTGATTCCATGGTTCTGTGTGTTGCCACTATGGCGATGCGAAGCGCTGTCTTTGTGATTTGCGCGCTCAAAGCTTCGTGTCGCTGTTTCGCTGCAGGCGGGAAGAGTTGGAAGCGCAGATGCTGTATCTGCAGCTGCAACGCAAATTAACCGAACGTGTACATAGCGAGGCGGCCCCCACTCTCCCAGAGGTGCAAAACTTCGTCTTTTATCATTTGATGCCACGACTCCTCTTTTTGCCGCTCGAGGGTCTCGTCTCGCTGCTGGACAGCCTCAAGTTCTACCCGTAAGTACTGCTCTCAACGTGCTTGTCGAGTAATAAGTATCTGAGACTCCTCCCTGCCCCCGTCTTTGCGATCGTATGGCCAGTACTCAAGTCTTTGCTGCCAAATGCGGTTGAGAGGCCCCCGAACTGCGCGCTTCCACAAAGTCGTCTTCCCGCATTCTCGCCGTGTCCGCTTCTGCAGCCTCCTGGTAGATGTTGTCACTGCAAAGGCAGCGGAGCTGACTGCGAATTTCCGTCTCCTTACCGCAAGACGCCGAGCGAAGTGGCCCTCCCTAAACGCAGACTCTACGCACCAGAATCTCGCAGACTTGCAAAATCTGCTGTAAGACCCTCCGATTCACCGGCATCTGGTGGCATGATGCCAATCCCTAGCCGATGCACAAGAAGCCTCTAAACAGTCGGCGCAGGCAGCACAATTCGAGCGAGCATGGGCAAAAATATTCATGAAGCACTAATATATTATTTATATAAAGTATAATATATATATATGCATGCGCACCTGGCGGTGGAGCGGCGTCTTTGGAGAGGGGGCCTCATCGGCTTGGCATGCTCTGGAAACGCAGTGTGCTCACAGCTGCGTCTGCCTGCGGTCGTTGCAGCATTTCCAGCTGCTACCGTCATGTGGGGGAATGCCTTTCTTACCACTGCAAGAAACTTAAGGAGGCCGAGCAGGAGGCGCCTCCTGCAGACCACCAGCCTCATGAGCAGGAAGATGGAAAAAGCCACATTGACACAAGCGTGCAGCAAGAGAGCAAGGCCTGTGCAGCGGCGCTCGTTAATGCATGTCTCGGATGCAGCGACGAAAACATGCAGGCTTACGTGTTAGATTGGATAGCTACGCATGGAGGCAGTGAGGCCCTACTTAGCCTTTCAGAGCAAAGGATCCGGCTCCCTTTCCTCTTCTTCCCCTGAAACGTCCCTTACAGCCCATAGACTAACAGCAGAGGAGCACACGCCAGTGCGTGTCTGTGCCCTGGCGAAGAGGGCGTTGCATGTGCCGCCTTCTGCGTGTCAGCGGGGGCCTTAACGTACGAAGCTGCGTCTGTCAGTGAGCGCATCTGTTGTGATTTGCAACTGCAGAACACTTCCCCATAGCCATGCTTCAGCTGGATGGGCCTATGGCAGATCGGCTGCTCGCTCAAAGTAACGCTGCTGCCTTTGCTACGGACTTGGGGGAGTGCTACGCTGCTTCTGGGCTGTATGCTCAGGTAGGTCTTATGCACGTGAGGATGGCTCAACATTGAACTGGGGGGCTTGATTGCGTGTCTGTCTGTCTGGGTGTTCTACTGTGTACTGCAAGCGAAGCAGCTCGCTGATTCTTCACCCTGAGCCGGGCATTTCTTGAGATCTCGAAAGGACGGTGCCTCTCAGCGCACTCCATGAGAATTTGGCCTGTATGTATTCCTATTGTCTGCCGAGTTCCTTTGTCGCATGCGGAAAAAATGGGCGTCTTCTCGCTGTTCGTGTTGCCTCTCCTGGGGTTTCTCAGGCCGCCAAGTGCCACAGTCTGCAGGGGCTACGCCATTGGTCTGCCTCTGAGGGGCGCAGCCGCGTCTTTCAAGAAGTCTCGCAGGCGCATGCGCAGCAGCAGCTCAAGGCGGACGATTCGGGAAAGGGTGCAAATTCAATGGATGCCTCCGCCGTGTTGGTTTTTGACGAGCACACAGACGCATTCTGCTGTAGCCTGACAAGGCCCGTTTGGCAGTTCTTGTTTTCGTGGCTTAGGGAGCATGCACAGAAGCCTTCGCTCGATGAGCGGCTTCTCCACTTTGTCAAAGCAAAAGAAAGCGCACAAAATCTTCTCCAAAAGGCCAGCGGACTCTCCGGACAGGCTGGCTACGGTTTCCCTGACAAACCCGTAATGGGGCACTTTGGTGCGATCCAGCCCTAGAAAAATATTTTCTACCGCTTTTTGCTTTACACATCGGCTACTTTATGTTGTTTAGAATGCTTGCTCGCTGCGCATCATGATTGGTTTGGGGCGACAATAGTTGCAATCGGCTTGCGTATGTATGTATGTGTGTGTATGTACGTGTGTATGTACGTATGTATGTATGTGTGTATGAATGTATGCATGTATGTATGAATGTATGTATGTGTGTCTGCCACCATTTCTGTAGGAGAAAAATCCTCACTTCGGGTAGCTAAAGAATCGAACATAGCATTGGATGCTGGAGCAGATGGCTTGTCAAGCGCCTCTACTGAGCGCTCGCTACGGCAGATTGACCTGAACATACGAATGGTGAGGTGGATATGCGGCACTTTGCAGGGACCTCACGTGCATGCACGCCATGGTGAAACCGAAAAGCTGGGTGTTGCATCTCTTTATTTCGCGAGGATTGTATTTCTTTCATTTTTTATCTGAATCTCCTAGCGCCTCCCTGCCACGGGGCACGCATCTTTTCTTTCTGGAGTGCTCGTTCATTTTTCGTTCTCCCCCGTGATAAGGCTTTTATGGCTTAGGCTTTTATGGCTTAGGCTTTCATGGCGAGCCACATGCAGGGCCGCCTCGCCTAGGCTTGCTATTGCGCCTTTGCAGTTCCCCTCCAAAAGTGCATCTGCGTCTTAAAGGAGGCGGCAAGCAGGATGCGTTGTGGTCTTGCGCAGCAAGGCTGCTGATCGTCGTGCTTCTTCTGCATCCCTTCGCATTATTTCCATATTGTGTTGTTGCGTTCACAGGTCGGGATTCAAAGGGCTCTCCTCCGCGATGCTGCGCATTTATTTTGTTTCACGACCCTCAGCTGCATGCAAAACCATAAGCGAGAAAGAGCGCTGATCACTGGGCAGCCGCAGGCTTCTGTTGAGGCCGTCAGTGCAGCGGATGCTGAGGCTTTCTGTTGCAGAATTTCTGGTGGCTTTGGCAGCAGCATGAGCGAACACGCAGACCGATCGCAAGAGCCCGACAGCCGCACAGTAAGTCCTGCAAAGCTCGAGTGCCATGGACGTTTACGACTCTGGTTTCTTCGTAAAGGCCTCATTCCACTCATGCATTCTGCCCTGGAGTCTGTATTCGACCTAGTTAGACACGGCTGTGTAGCTCAGGGGCCGTCTATGGAGTGCGCGGCATGCACGTGACAGCCTTGCTGTTGTTATTGCTGCCTGCAGGACGGCTGCCGAGCGATCCTGGTGCTTATGATAGATCTCCAGCGTGAAGTGTATGCCCCTGCTGAGCTTTTGGAGCTTTTGACGGCACACATGAAAGATTCTGGACTTGCCGAGAGTCTGACGTCTCATTTCCCCTCCATTGCCGCACTTCGCCTCTATGGACAGCGTGTTGCGGCAGCCGCTGCAAAGCATCTGGCCTGGTCACAGGAACAGGATGCTGCACTTGCTGCGCTTGATGAGGCGTGCATGGCATTTTTATCCTTCGCAGAGGCCGCTTCACGCGCTTTGCATCAGCCGCGCATTGTCTCCGATGCTGTGAGCAGTGACGACGCACACGAATACGCCTCTCGTTCAGTAGCTGTCCTTAGCATTCTTTCTGGGAAGGGATTTGCGTATGGGAAGAGATTTTTCCTCAGTTCGAGCTTGTTCCTCGCAAACACTTTTCGTGTATTTTTCCCGTGTGTTGCACAGCTGCGAGATCTACTGGCGCTACCGGATGCTCCAGTTCGGGACAGCTGCAGCCGATCACTGAAGCGGCTTTGTGTAGTTCTGCATCTGCACGCTCAAAGCCAGTGGGGTGACCGCGACGTTGGCATGTTGAATGCCGAAGGCGAAATCGTTCACATTCCTGGGTTTCTCTGGCCAGCATGGCGCCTGGCGGAGTGTGGACAAAGCTTTCCCGCCCTCATAGATCTGTATTTGTCGTTTGAACAGGTGGGTGTGCGTGTTGTACATTCGACCGTGCTAACTTGCGTAATTACAGCATACACATGCACAGGGGCACCGATCGGGGGCCTCGCCGCCGTTTTTTTCCACTCATGCTCATTCCATCATTGAAAATATTTCAGGCCGTTGCATTTGGAATTTGCCTTGTCTTCTGCGGCGGCGTACTCTTTCTCACAGTCTTCTGCACTGTACCCGTTTCAGGACGAGTCAGCGAAGCACCATAGCCGGCTGCATGCCCTCAACCTACAGACTATCTTTTGTTGGATATTCGAGCAATGGCTGACAAGTCAAGATGACGTGGCCTGTTCTGGGACGTACGTTGGACTCTTGCACGAATTGAAGGAAGCTGGGGACCTGCCGTATTTTGGACCGCCAGTTAGCGTTCCCCTGTGGTCTCAGGTAAGGTGCTTCCTTGCTTGGCTCTCTTTGTCATACACAGTAGCTTTGACCCTTGTCTCTTATTCAACATGAAGGGATAATGTGCACCGCCAAATTGCGTCGTCAAGCACTCAGTAATCCTAATTTTCCTGTCACAGCCTTTCTGTTTGTGGAGGTTCGGACGTGAGATTCATGCTGTTTGCCTCAGCTGAATGAACAAGAACGTGCCCGAGCCGACACCGCGGCGCAGAGGCTAACGGATATGTTGTTGCAAATCGAGTTGGCAATGTCCGCCGCTACCCGGGCCAACCCCAATCTGAAGAGTGAACGGCATTTTATTGGGGTGCATTCCCGCTTGGCGATACTCAAGCAACAGGTTGCTGAATACCGCGCAGCGTTGCACAAACACGCCCGGCAGGAGCGTCTCCCTATGAGCTTCTGAGTGCTTAGCGCGGAAACACCTAGTGTCGATATGCTTGCATGCCAGTGACACCGATCTCGAATTTGCAAGGCAGCAAATGCACGGGAAGCTTCTTGAACTTGCACGTCCACAAACAACTTGCGAGGCGGTTACACCCTTCCAGTCTCTACATAGGGATTGTGAAGCCTTTTAATGGGCTATTGGCATTTTTTGTGGAAGGTTAGAAGTGGAACTCCTTGCTCAGTCAATGTTGCTGGCGCGTGTCTGACAAGGCATTCGTGGGCTGGCTGAGGCGAAAAAAATGGCACAATGGCAGAATATTCAATTCAAGTGAAGCGGCAGCTGGTGGTGAAGAGGAAATTTCTCTGTGGATTTCAAAACTGGTTACCCCTGCAGTTCTTTTGAGCGTTTTTCGTGTTGTAAAGTTGTTCAAGTTTTAACTCTAGTTTGGTATAGCCAGTGCTACTGAATATATCTTTTCGCATGCAGCCGAGGATGTGGTTATTCCCTGGGTGTTACTAATGTATTTTATGTCACATTGCCGTACTAGAAGGATCTCTTACGGACGTAAGGATGGCCCAAAATGTCGGGCACTGCCAAAACTAGGCAATTCTGGTAGTGCATCATACGGACACTTAGTTGCCATCGAGGCAGCTAAACTCGCTACCTCTGGCGTGTTACCGTGCCAGCTCTGCTGTGCTAGAAAATCCACGTGCCCTACGATCATCTGTTCCGCACGATGCTCCCGCGTCTTTGCACACTTATTACTATCACAGGGTGACTTGCAGATGAACCCCAGTGCTTGCGGAACGCAACCACTGGATATGGCCCATCACAAAGCCCTCTGCAGCAGTTATTGAAAGACAAAGGGATAGCCTGTGTAGAAGTCGTCTTTATGGAACTGGAGACGGTGATTGCAAAAACACCGCCTGGATCTTCAGACAAACCGAGAGAAGCTGCAATAGAGAATGTGCCCCTGAGGACCCAACACAGCAAAATTTCACAGCACTCTTACATGATAGCTTCGATATAAGCACGTCCTCATGGCGCAGACATAGATAGAACACATTTATATTGCGGCTGCTCTTTTACAGCCGCAGAATAGTTTGGAGAAATACCTCTAACTTACACTATTAGATGCCTGCTACCAGCGTTGCTGAAACGATAGAAATATTTGCAGCTGGGTCCGGTTTCTTCCTACTGCCTCGTGTTAAGACTTAAGCCGTTCAGCTTAGCTCATTGCAAGGGGCAGCAACTCCCTACCTTGCAAAACAGCGAACTCTGTAACACCGAGTTCATGGAGAATTGTGGCCTTCTGCAAATCGGAGAGATGATCTGACTTGACAACTTCCACAACCATCTGCACCCGCACGTGTTCCGAGAGAAAGAGCAACAAAGCTGGCTACGATTCAGAGTCGTAAATATGTAGACACGCAAGTGAGTAGCAGGAGGCAAAGCAGTCTAAAGCGGGTCAAACAGTGCAATACCGTTAAGGGTGACCGAAAGACATTGAACACCAATACGTTAAATAAAATGAGAAAAGGATAGCAAAAACCCAAAGGTCGAAAAGAAAGATATCGTACAACCTGTAGCCCCACCGTCACCGTTGCACCTTAGGTGCCTCGCCCAGAGTATTTCAAGGGCCAGACATCCATGTGTCAATCTTATTAATAATAAAATACGCGCTACTCCCCACAAGCGTGTAAACCTGAGTCTTTAGAACAGGCCAAGTTTCCAAAGAATTAGTTCGTTGCTATATGGAAGGTAAAAACCCAGATATGCGAAAATGGTGACATGCCTCTTGAAGTAGCAGCGCCACGTCCCAGCCCTGATTTGCAACTTCTTCTGCTATCTCGTTGACCTACGGAAGAGCGCATCTATTCAAAAATAGCATTTTCAACAGGCTACCAGATTATATTGATCCTACGTGCCCCGTGGGCGTCCATATGTTCGCTACGTGCCAGCAGTCTTGCGTGTGCATTCGAAAGCGAAACGAGTTAAGCAACGCCTGCCCTCTCAAGTAGCCTAAAGTGCTAATCACATTGCATTAGCAACAGCCCTTATTAGAAAGGCCCTTACAGCATCAGGAGAAGTCGCGCAGGCGCTCAGGACACTTTGGACGACGTATGAAGGGGGGTGCTGCAAAGACCGGAGACAGGCAGAACCGCGATCGACGGTATTACAGCGTAATGGCGGCTGCAGTCCATGCGCAACAAGCCATCAAAGTCAAACTATTGCTGAATTGACCTTTAAATGGGCAGATGATTGGCTTACAACGGCAACCTCTAGAATTGCATCCTCTGTGATTGTGCGGTGAATACCTGCTGCAGACTGCACAAGAGATACAAAGCTCAGAACGGAGGCTCCGAAGGTCTTCTTTTCAACGCCGAATAACAAAATTGGGGGTACTAGAGGAAAGCAGGTATACACGCTAAGTTCAAGCTCTACATAAAAGCGACCGACCTGTAAGAGATTGACGGCGCGGCGTAGATCGCCGCATGTGAGACTCATGAGGCGTTCGAGTGCTCGGCTCGCTACTGTCAAACTCTCTGCCTTGCAAATCATCTGAAGACGCTCGATTTGAGCCTCAGGAGACACCTGTGCATACGGCAGATAGGGGCACGACAGATTGTATCATAGCGCACAAGCACACTAGGACACTAAGCAAGGACCTCCGGTCAGCCGTAGTGTACTCACTAAATACTTTAGGAAAAACACTAGATTGCATTGCTTTGGGGAGTTGCAGTGATTCGAATGTCTTGTATATAGGGGAAACTTCAGTTTCTAAAAATGCGCCTTCTGGAGTATTTTAGTTTGTACAATGCCACAAGTACGTCGAGAGTTACAAACGTACGGGTTCAAACCGGTGAGGAGAACATCTGCTGAAAAGAGGATCAATTATTCTGCAAAAATGCAAAATACAAGGCTTCGACGATGCAAATTTAAATTTGCTCAGCTTATCGCGCCGTCGGCCAGCGGCAGTAGTCAACCTGTGCTGCAGTGTCGGAGCACAATGCATGGATTGATCTCTGGCATGACAGACTTGTGGACATAGTTGCATATGATAATAAATCGTGTGTTCCGCGCGAAGGCTTCCATGATTCGTCGTAAAGCTGCCTGCGCATCCGGTGTCATCATATCTGCTTCATCCAGCATCACGACCTTCCAAGGTGGCATTTCCCTGAGCACCAACTCTTGAATCAAATGACATCTGCTCAGCTGAACCCGAAGCAGCCGGATAACCGACATACCTGGGAGAGTATTGGATATTGCGCACCTGCCAGTTTCTGGGTTGATCTTTCCCTTCGGAGTGTTTGTTCGAGTGTATTTCTTGATCTTTTCACGAACAACTCGAATGCCTGCACGACAGCCGAAAGAACATCTCCATGATGCAACATGCCCTCCAAGTGAGGCCCAGTATAATGCCTCCCTCCGTATAACTTTCCAACATTGCAGATCGGGCGCAAAAACTTCACCTCTTTCGTCGGACGCATTGAGTTCTAACAGTCGCGTCTTAGCGTCTTCTCGCCTAAAAATCAGTCCACGAAACGCAAAGTTTGCGGTGCTGCCCTATTCATTCAGTATTATTGATGTGTGCGTTGTGGAGCTGAGCACTCCAGGGTATCACAAGCAAAAACAGTGGCCGGCACCTAGAGAAAACGCGACCCGTTCGTATGCAACGCAGGGGACTTTTACATTACCCGAAGAGCTCTTTGACAAGTGCCAAGGCTGCCGATGTTTTTCCGGATCCGGGAGGACCGAAGAATAGTAAATGTGGCATCTGTTTTCGAAAGTAAGCAAACAGTGTGAAGAATTGTATTAGCAGCACAGCTGTTTCCCCACGGCGCAGGTCGGTGAACGTGTATGCACTGAAAGTATTTTCGATAAGTAAGTATTTCCCACATTTAAAGCAGATTTAATGTGTGCGGGAGTGCCTACATTTCCTGTTTCAATTATGCGAGACAGAAGCCGCTTTGCTTCAACCTGCTGGGAGACCTCCGCAATCTTGCGCGGCCGGCTGAATACAGTAGACCGCAGCGGTTACCCAGTTACCCGCATATTTTAGCATATGCGCACGCGGCAAGTGCCTCTGGGAAAGTAAGAGCTGGACCCTAAACGTGGGAAGGGGAAACAAATAGGACCTACTACTTTTCCACCCATGGTCTCGAGTCGCTCGCCGTCTTGGACATTATGTCAAGTATATAGTATCTGTGTTCCTATCTCGATCCCGTTATTCAACAGTTGTGCATTGACTGGAGCACAGGCACTTTCTGCCTTCGGTTCCGAAGGCTGCTGGCTGGCCTAGGGCGTTCTCCCGCGGTGTACTCAGTTTACCGGAACATGCTACTTGGAGCAAAGAACAGCTCGCCTGCAGCAGATTCCTTTTTCTAGGCAGATGATGACTTAAGCAACCTCCTCCACCCCGCTGATCCCGAATTCCGTACAGTGTGTTCTCCAGACACTAGGGCGTGAGCTGAAGGGTGCGATTCACTGTGGTCTTCACCCCAACTTCTGTAGCTTATTCTTGTTAGAGCTGCACGTTATTATCTCAGAGTTGTAAATAAGGGGCTCGGTAAATCAACCTGCAGGGGGGTCACCAACCCTACGGGCTCAACCACACAGTAACCACCCGCGCCTGCATGCACTCGCGCCGTGAACCTAGAAGGCATTCTGCATATAACCCGATTACCAGTGGTGTTTCCCAGACACGACAACTATATAACAGTGAATTTATACCACTGAAACTGCTCCTCTGTGCAGGCTGCTCCTGGATGAGCAGGACTCACCTCCTCCGCCTACAAAATCACCACGTACCTACGAAAATCCGTTTCGAACCCTTTGCATAGCTCTACTGTGCGACACTCATGCAGCATTCAGCTCTGAGACCTTAGTAAATGCTCGATTTAAAGCTTTGTGAAGAGATTAGCTATGCATACTAGCTGTGCATTCGACATATTGTGCGCTTTCTTCCTGCTACCGTTTTAGTCTATGGATTTAGAAGAATTGTAGTAATCCCTTCTATCACATTCGTTCTCGTGCTTGCTCATTAACAACATAGTGACACGTCACCTTTGAAATGCTGTTTTCTGCTGGTGTTTTGACACCGCGCCAAAACACCATATTTTTTTCGGAAGATCACAGCCCTCAAACAACCGCGAAGTAGCCTACTTCCTATTGGAACTGTAGTCTACTGGGCAACCTGGTCTTGTTCTTGCTCAATACTGTTTTTCTTATATTTTTGAGAGGCAACAAAGCTAACCAAGTGCCCAACTTAGGTGTTATGATTGGAACGTGGCACTTGACCGCTGAGCACTGGACCAATTTAGGGCTACACAAGACGGGCACAGATGCGGGAAACTGCAGAGTTTTCACTTCTAATGTAAGTGGAGCTCAGCTTACACAGGGGAGCAGTGGCGAACTACGCTATACCTTAAACTTTTTCCTACAACACCACTTACATGAAACAAAAACTATTCTAGTATTAATTATAAGGTGTGTATATTCATATACCTCATTTATTTTAAAGAACTGTTAGCTGGATACAATAAGGAGCAATATTGAAATGCGCGTCTGTGGCAGATGCCCTGTACAACCAAACGTAGGTGCGGCTATGAACACTGTAGCTGTCATCTTTCCCCTCATAACCGAACTCGGAGGACATCGGGAAGGAAGAGAAGGCGGTGCTGTGGAATAAAATATAGTTTTTTATTGAACCTATATTTTAAAGCTGCGTGCCTCAAAAGGAGGCCCTAGCTGCAGCATTACAAACTCCCCCCGAAAGGGGGGCTTTCTGGCAAACTCAGCGTGCCGAAAAAGAGTACTTCATTGCAAACAGTGGCAAATGCTTTCGCCACATCCAACAGATTAACTGCGGGGATAATTCTTGTGTTATCCAAAGGGATTCTCGCCATTAATCCTGAGGCTAGAATTTGCTTATACAGAATTTTTCCACGCTGAGGACGCCTTCAGATGTTCTTTTGTTCTAAGCGGATTTTACATAGCAATGACTCGGAAGTAAGGCTAATAGCATTTCAAACCTGGAACATAATAACGTTGTATGATCCTGATAATTGCTCTACCTATGACAAAGCCGGCCAAGTGACAAAACATTTCATGTGAAAACAAACCTGTTTCAGGGATTGGGCCGACTTCTATCCTTCCTGAAGTTCCAGGTGCAAGATCATGCCGATAGAGTGGGTTTGTGGACCAAATTTCCTTGAAGTACAGTTGTTTTGCTTCCGAAGAAGGAATGATTTCTATCCAGAGGTGGGCATCTGTTGTAGTGAGCAATATCTTTTGCAGTATCTTGGTGCTTTCACTGGATTTACCCGGTTCGTTCGGAGCGTTTTCGTAAAAGAAGCTGGGCCGTTGGGTGGGTAGGAAGTGACTGAAGCGAAGATCACCCTGCCTGCCATCAAAAGCGATCTGCTTGCAACTCACCGGCTACAGGGATGCAGACAGACATTCTCGCCTGCACAAGCCTGACACGGTGAACGACATTTTTCCAGCTGCAATTATGTATTATTGTCGAGCTGGATCCACCTTGTTTGTGTGCCCAGGGCATGCTATGCGAGTCAACTCATTGTGAACTATAGGTTTCCCATCACAGAACGCATGCTGTAACACCACAGCAAGTGCAAGACAGCTTGCAAGTTTTGATCGCTCCATTCTCCAAGAATGCGTTGAATGGAGTACAAGGAATCGCCAAAATGAATTCCAGTGCCTAGTAGAAATCTCAGCGCTTAACGCAGCAGAATTCTACTATCGCTGCCCACGCATAGCAGGGTTTATGGGGTGTACATGCAGTACAGAAGAAATAGGCGCCATATGAAAGTGCCACATCTCGACAGTCGTTGCTTTTTCACGTGCCAATCAGTGTCTTTGCAAAAGTGCTCTAAGTAAATCTTCTCACCAATTAAGCACAAGACGAGATCACAACCTTCATCAGTTTTCATGCAAGGTAGTTTGGGAGCTGTGGCGTTAGGATAGCCTGTTCCAAAGCAAATTCAGTAGCCGACTCAAAAAAACCAGAGGAAAAGGTGTGGAAAACATCAATCCCTGTGTAAAATCTATTTCTTCTACAGGGTCCAAGTGAGCAAGATTAATTAGTGAAGTATGGCGCACATGTGTGTCAATGTTTGCTGCATACACGCAAGCAGTGACTTCGTGTCATGAACATCCATTGAGGGAGACCTTTAGTACTTATTTTCCGGCGTGCCATATTATAAATTTGCTCTGAATCACTCAGTAACGGTATAATACAGTGTTTAGGGGCAGTAACATACTTATGAATCGTTTACTCTGGAAGAACGGGCGCACTGGTGCTTAGGCAAGCGACTTTGCATGCCCCAGTGGTAGCTAATTGACCCAGGCCAGCATAGTTCCCAACGAAGGACAAAGAGGAGTCATCAAACTAATTTTTAAAGCCTTCACGCCAGCTTTCTTTATCTTGAAACAGCTACAATTGTCCTTGCTCGCGTCGTGGAATGTTCATTGAGTAATAACGTGTGGGCTAGCGGGTATGGTTTTGCTATGCAATATTGACCCTAGAATTTGCCCATGGATCGTACGGCTCCCACAACCCTCTTTTCCTGGTATATCACGGCAATCAGCGAGCCTGGAAATGCAGCATCTCGGGTGATTCCTCTGTGTAGCCTTCCTATTTAGGCAGTGCGTACAGGGCGCCTACACAGGGATGACTGGCCGTTTTTTATGAATTTCTTCAACAAATAGCCTTCCCAGTGCCGATGACCTTCTATCGTGCAAAGTCTTAATGCATTTTAGTTAGACCACAAGCAGCTGCGACAGTACATTAATCTGAGGCCACGACTGCCCAGGCATCCCTCCGCTTGGTATTGTAACCTGCATGTAGTCCAGGAGGCGAACATGGCAGTCTTGTCTGACAAAGGGTTGATATGCAGCAACTCTCTCTGTAGGCAGCGTGATTTCTTACCCTTCCGTTGCGAAAAGTGTGAGAACGTGGTGAGACGCTGTTGTAAAAGGGCTTGCTCGCCTGCAACATTCCAATAACGTACGCTGCACTGCCACTTGAAGTTTGCAGGGGAAACGGCTGCTCGCTAATGGCTCCAACGCTATCCGACATAGGACATCACATGTGCTGTATTATGCGGTTTCTTTGTGAACGTCTGCCCGCCAGTTTTGCCTGGAGCACTACCTGCCCGATGACCACTCCTGTCCCAAAAAGAATATTGGGAATCGGCGAGTTTACGTCTGTCCAGAATGTCAAGACGTTATCAGATTGGTGGGCCTCAGCCGGGTGTGCGGTTTGCCCTTGCCCTTTTTCCTGCATGCTCCAGGATGCCATTGGGAGAAACAGATTGACATATCTGACCCCCCAATTCATGTATCATTCTGACACAGATGGATCTGGAGACAGACGAAGATGGAGCACGACGCCATCGGAACGAATGCAAACCCGAACTACGGGCTCAGCGTGAACAAATGCGGAAGGGAAGGCACTGCCCTGTGAAGGGCTGCAAGGAAGTAGGCCTGAGAAAAATGACAAGCAGCATTTACCGTTGCAGTTGCTTGGTTCTGTTCTCCTTATAGTCACAATTTCTATGCAGTCTGACGAAAGGAGGAAAATTTCTGGGTGTATGCAGCGATTACTCTTTGCATTACCATTGTAAGAGTGCATATACCGAATGCCGAGTGAAAGCTGCTTTGTCCCTTGCTTTTTCGTCAGCGGCTCACAGCCGTATCGTCCATTAGATGCCCGCATTGTCAAATGGATGTATGCATTAGACATCGCCTGAAGGAAGACCACAATTGCGAGATTTTGAAGGCTCAGCATAAGGAACGAAGGCGAAGCTCTTTGCTTAGGCAAACGTCTAGTAACGCCATGAAGGCAGTTAAGACACTGTTACATCCTGCACCTCCGACATCAGGTGGGCCAAGCACTTATTTAAATGTGTGGTCGATACGTAAACGCTTGCCCCTTAGTCCAGTGACGTGATTCTTCTCGTCACAGCGTGCACCTAGATTCCATTTGACGCCATGTGCACACTGTACATGCCAACCATTAAGCGAAGGCAATGTCTGTGGTCTTGTTGCGTGCTGGCGGCCAGCAGACTCGAAGAATCGCAAGGTCCGTCATCACGGAATATTGTACAGCAACTAGAATATCAGGTAAGATTGCGCGTAAATGGTGCATGTCGCTGCGACGCTTGCGCTGCTCAGGACAAATCCACCAGCTTCTGCGCAATAATGTGACGTACTACGGTACTTTGAAACAAAGTCAAGTTTAAACGAAAGGCGTGGGACGATAATGGAGTCTTCAAGCTGTACTTTTCGGCACGCTGACTAGCCGCAAGCTCACATTTCCAGCCTAGAGCGCCACACAGCCTGCCTACTGGTACCCCAGGCCACTGTTCTAAGAAAGCATCAAAACTTGCCACATATATACTACGTACAGGCCCTAAATCTAGCCGCACTACTCAGCAAATGCTAGTCGTTACGGCCGAAAGATGCCTAATGAACCAACCAATTCCACTAAACGCCGAAACAGCAAATGAAAGAATACGGTCCCAAAGCGCCGCAATGGCAATCCTGCAGACCACGGCATAATCCCCGCCTGTGAGTCGAGCGTAATGCCGGATTCGGGGGATCCGCTAGTACTTAATGCAGTCTAAACTATATTCAATCATTCTGAAGGGTAGAGTGGCTAAACCGGCAGATGCCGAGTCTACCCATACAATTTCAATCACGCTTACAGCTTGTCGTAGTAGTGATCCAGAGGAGGGATTTCGGGTTTCAAGTGCTTCCTGGTGCGAATGCCGTGCACCAGAGTTTCCATCTTGCTTCCTTTTTCAAGAGGATCGCCAGAGAGGCAGCTCCAGTGATCGAAGACGCACTGAGGGAACGCCTGTCCAGACGTGGCAGCACGGAGAGCTGTGGTGAAACCAAAGGACTCGGCGACTGGGAGATACGCCCTGAGAACAACTAGAGGATTGCCAGGCTTGCTGTCCTCCTCAAAGACGTGGCCACGACGCATGAACAACACAGTGTCGATACCTTCCATGGAATCGCGAGGCACCGAGATGTCTACCAAGAACATGGGCTCCTGGAGGCGGGGTTGCGACACCAGCTGTGATGCGTACAGAACACGACGGCACGTAGGCATGATCTGACCGGCACCCCTGTGAATCGCATCCGCGTGCATCGTCACGTCCTTAAGGTTGAAGCGGATACCTCTCATGTTCTCCTCACAGAGCACACCTTCCTTAGAAGCCCACTGGAACGCAGAGTTGCAATGATCCTTGATTTCGTTGAGGTACTGAACACCAACTGTCATATCAACCAAGATGTTCGGCCCCGAGGTATCCGGGCCGAAGCACCAGATCTTCATGGCGTGGTTCTTGTCGAAATCGAACTTCTCGCTCAGTTCGGCAGCACGCTCCTTCGGGCCGTCCTTGGAGCTGATCTTACCGGACTCGATAGCTTCAGGCAGGCCTTCTGGAAGAGGCTCGGCAGTCATATATAGCCTGTTGTGCTTGTTTGGAGATTTGGACAGGCACGTCATGGAAGAAGGTGCAGTAACTGTTTCACGGTAGGACACGACTGGGTCAGACACAAGGATGTCGATCTGCGCGTACTCTTCCTTCAGATCCTTCAGGCAGATTTCAACGTGCAGCTCACCACAGCCAGCAATAATATGCTCGCCACTTTCTTCCGTCGTGCACACAACCAGTGGGTCAGACTTGGATAGACGCTTCAAACCTTCAACCAGCTTCGGAAGTTCCTTCATGTCCTTCGGTTTCACGGCAACGCGGACGACAGGAGAAACAGAGTACTTCATATCGGCAATGTTGTGGGCTTGGTCGTACGTAGTGAGGGTTCCAGATTTCAGCAAGAACTTGTCGACACCGACGAGGCAGCACGTGTTACCGCACGGCACGTCCTGCACCTGTTCGACGTATTTGCCCATCATGATGACGGTACGCTGGATGGTCTTGATTGTCAAATCTGTCTTCTCCCCCGGTACGTAGTACGGACCCTGGATACGAACCTTCTGGCCGGTGGCAACAGTCCCGGAAAACACACGGCCGAATGCATAGAAACGGCCCTTATCCGACGTCGGAACCATTTTGCTCACATACATCATCAGAGGAGCGTTAGGATCGCAGTTGCGGATACCATTCGCAGCCTCATCGTCTTTTGGCCCCTCATAGAGCGTATCCACACGGTACTTCTGCGCCTGCCATGGGGAGGGCAGGTGACGGACAATCATCTCCAGCAAGCAGTCACCAGCGGGCAACCAGAGCTGCATAACACGTTTCAGAAGTGCCTTGCCAGTTAGGTCCTTGTCTTCACCCTGAGCAGAACAACCAGCCAGCAAAGCGAAGCAGGATAATGCAACGTTTGCCATACTTCGAAATGCACACACACACACACTGCAAGAATTCCTTAACGAACCTTAAGTTCAATGCCGAGAGTAGAGAACATCTTCTCATATTTATCCTTTTGGTCATTCATAATGGATGAAAACAACTTGCAGATGGGATCCATAATGAACTGGCAGAATGCGCGCTGAGAACCGTCGGTCTGACTCCTGGTCCACTTCTTCTCCTTGGCATTATAAAAGTTGTTGCCCCACAGACGCTGCATCATCTTTTCCTTGGGCACGTCGAACTTCGCAGCGTAGAGTTTTGCGAACTTCTCGATTGTGAAGGCCCACCCGTGAAGACCAGAACCGAATGACACGGTACCTTTCTCGGGGAAGACTTGCATGTCACCAATATTCTCATCAGTGCAAGTGGAAATGATGACATTGACATTTTCAACGTTCCGCTCAAAGGTCAGATAGATTTCTTCCGGTTCCATTTGGAGCTCAAGGAGGGCACGATCCACCTTGTTGACGTGAAGCACAGGCTTAATACGCTCCTGAAGAGCCTGGCGCAAGACCGTCTTTGTTTGGACGCAGACGCCATCGACAGAGTCCACAACGACAAGGGCCCCATCAGTAACACGAAGAGCCGCCGTGACCTCGGAGCTGAAGTCAACGTGCCCCGGCGAATCAATCAGGTTAATGAGAAACTCCTGTTCACCCTTTCCGTCATCCAAATCTTGCTTGAAATACAGGGAAATACCTGTACTCTTGATCGTAATGCAGCGCTCCTGCTCATCAGCACGGGTATCGGTGAAACGCGCCGTTCCCGAGGCCTTCTCCGAGATGATACCCGCCTTGCACACCAGGGAGTCTGTCAGAGTACTCTTACCGTGATCGACGTGAGCAATGACGGACATATTCCTAATATTCTTAGGATTGCCCATAATTTCGCGCATCTGATCAACTGAAAAATTCACCTGAGACAGCAATTCGCATACCAGGTAGGTCTATCATGTTCCAGAAGGGTACTCAGGCCTACATCTGTCCTAAAACAAATCTAAGACCCATCAACTAAGCCGAATGCAGCACATGGTATGTCGACTGCCTTCGGCGGCCGCTCATGTGAAGGAGCCGAAAAACGCAGCAGGCCGAGATATGCAAACTAGCGGACAAGATGGAAAGCTGGTGGTATGATATGTATTGGCTTAGCCATTCACACCCACGGAAACCAGGAAAACAGGGACGCAGGAAGGGAATTCACAACTGTTAAAACCACCCCCACATAGCACGCCCTGGCCACAGCTGGGAACCCTACGCAATAGCTATACTGCGAATAAACGCAGATATTGCTTTATTCGAACACAATGCAGACCACTTGCTAAAAGACGACTTGTCCTTCGAAAAGTAGCAGCGGATACCATATGTAGATCACAGCTCCCGCAAAAGTTTCGCAGTAGCGTACCATTTTCGAAACCCTGAAAGTTGATGGGACGGCTAGAACCGGTGGTTGGGCTTGGAACGCAAATCCTAGGATACCAGTAAATCCCCTGGTAAGAAGAGTTTTTGAGACGGCAGTAAACAAGCCAGCAGATACATCGGTGCAGCAGCTCGGCGAAGGTGGGGATGGCTGTGCGGGCTGCTGAAGGCAGCGCAAGGGGGCTGCGGCGGGAGCAGAGGGTTTCAGAATGTTACCTTCCCACACATCCATGCTTTTTGCGGTTCAGTAGTCAAGCAATCGTTCATTAAGATCTTTTCCACCTTGTCTCGAACGTCATCTAGAATACAGTCTGCATCTTCAAATGCATGCCGCGGTGCCTTGTGGGGCGAGGAAGCTCATGTGACTCCGTCTTGTTTTCCCCTGTTGAAGAAGCCCCATGGAAAATCGAGTTGTTTCTTGTGGCCGCTTAGTTTTTGCAGGTCGTATATGAGCTTGTCTTCTGAGGCTACTTCATAGCGCCTCAATGTGGTGTATCATCTGTGGGTCCTCGTATACAGTACCGCATCCACCTCTTGACTGGTTTCCCCTTTCCCGCTCCTCCTTCTGATCTCTGTCGATAAAAGCTTGTTGTTTCATCTAGTTGAGCTGTTGAGAGCTATAAATGTTCCGTCTCGGTGTCTAGACGCTGACTGTTGTGGGCTAGGCTACAAGCAGTTCTGTTTGATTAAGAATCAGAAAGGAGTTGACCGTTTTGTTTGCGGGTTCTTAACACTTGTAAGTTGAGAGAAAGCTCTTAGCTTGATACAAGATACAGCAACTGTGTGTGTACATGTCCTAGCTGCTTCGTGCAACTAGCTGTGAGTGCTTGCATGGTGCGGCTCCGTGCACCACTACTGTTTCCTCATCCCTCACGTGGGTACCTCCAAGGGGTACAAGCAGGGAAAGGCCGGAAATTTCATGAAAGCACATGAACTTTCAGTTAGATATGTATCAATTCGGGATGCGACGTTCTATATAGGATCTCCGCTGAGACACTCGATCCCAGACACAGTACAAACCCTTTAGAAAGTTGGCTCCCAAGAGGCCCTCCTGCTTTCTTTGACCTCACCCCTCAGAGTCCTCATATGTACATGGACAGCTTGGGTGCGCCTAGCTGCACTCTGAGCTTTACGAGGGTTCTAACCAAGTGGCACATGGCATCTAGTGCATATGAATGGAACATTGCGTTCTCTTCCATCGAGCTGCGAGCCCGCTGCAAGTACCAAGAGATACGGATATTCAGTAAGCTTTGTCAATTGGGGACTAGCTCTTAGTCACCAATAACTGTTGTGGGAGATGTTCAAATGTGGACTAGCACTCCGCAGCTCTCCCCTATCTTAGAAATCCACACACACCTGTGCCTCGGGAGGAATAGGACGCAGGGCAAAGGTAACGTTCCCGCCCCTTTACAACTTCCCAAGCAGAACGAAATTCGAAAATAGTCAAACTAGTGTCGAGGTACCGACTCTACCAATCACACCACAGTTGAGATCACCGTCATTGGTGGGGACAGATGTTGCGTTTTACGTTTCCTGAGATACTAAGCTTCGCAACGAGTTGTTGTGGCCGCGTGCGTGGCTTCCACAGCGTCGACTACGGCATACCTAGATTTTCGTTATTGTGGAAGCTCCAGCATAGAGGTCACGAGCCATGCGGATAGCAACCAATTTTTGCGTTTAGGAGATATTTTACTGCAGCGGCCTTGTCAAACCCTCGGTTCTGACGCCTCTCAGCAGATCATAATCACAGCGACTGCGCTATCAAGTAAACAAGCAAGCAGCAATTTTTGAGCCATTGTCTTGAAAAACACATCCACTGCACAACCAGCGTCAAGTAGTGCTAGCAATGCTTGACCATTAATGTGAACTTTATCAGAGTGGAATTGACCTGCGGCCGATCCACAACTAAGGCTTTGCAGTAGTTGGCCCTTTAACTGCGCCAAAGCGTGCGTGGGGGTCTTGCGTTTCCTTAATGCGCCCTCTTGGATTGCCAAGCGGATTGCTTCCGCTGAGCTCAGTCTGCTAAAGTTCCTGTGCTTATTGTATGCGTTTGCATTTGCAGAGTACACAGCCCAATATCCCGCAATAGAAGCAGCTGCTCTATCGGGGGGCTGTCTGGGGCTGCACAGAGGCTCGGGTTCCCTCTGGGTCTCGCCTCTCGCTCACCGTAGCCTATACGCAAGCGCAGCCTGCCACAGCCTTGGCATCCATAGGTTCTAAGAAATGTCGCAAGCGCCCTCTTCTGCCCGTGCCCCTCGGAGTTAGTCGACTTGTTTGGTGTCAGCACGACTCGTGACTTCTATGCTGGACCGTCTGCAATGACGAAAGTTCTAGGAATGCCGTAGATGACGCTATGGAAGGCGAGCAGACGGTCGCAGCAACTCGCCATGGACCTTAGTATCCCACGAAACTATTGAAAGGCAATATCTGTTGTCATCAATAAGGGTCCTTTTAACTGTGGTGTGCGGGTCAGAATCGGCACCTCGAGACGGTGGGGCAGAGACTTGATGCGGGCGGGCCAGCAGGGAGGTACGAGAAGAAGGTTCTCAGCATGTCTCTTAATTTAAGGGCACTGCAAACGGTTCCTTCAAGAAACCTTGATTTTTTGGAACAGATGCAATGGGAAAGTATCAAGTGGAAGATCGCGGTGTGCAAACTCCTGATGAGCTGCCAGCAGGCTAGCCATATGCTGATCGCACACCTCACCGTATTGAGCGGATTCTGTGGATCAGTCCAACCTATGTTCCGCGGTATCAGCATCAAGATGAAATCGATAAGCAGAGAGATGAATCGTTAAAGATAGGCAAAGTGCAGGAGTCAAATATCGCCTTTGGGCATTGGCAGGCGGTGCCAGAAAAGGGGCAGAAGCTACCGCATATGCGTTGAGTTTAGGTCCACGAACAAGACTACTAAGAATCAGAAGTACAAAATATTCCATATTTGGCGAATCGCTCTTCACAATGCGCGGACCAATAGTTTACTCGACTGTTGACTTTACTTGGGCATTCTCACAATTCCCCGTTCACCCTGAAGACAGGCACAGACCGGCATGCTCGCGCCCGCGAACTCGGGTATGAGTCTGTACCGCTTCGACTTGCTGATACCCTGGCGTTTGCTTTTAACCCGCCTATACAGTGACAGTAGTATGACCAATGGTAAACACCCAGAGGCAATGGACAGGAAGATCGCCCCAACCGCGCTGTTCTGCAGTACTTGCGACTTTATGCTCACAAAAATTGGTGGCTTGGGTGATTGAATCCTTGTGTTGCATAAGTTTCTAATATGGCAGTACACTCGTCTACCTGTTGCTGTCCCGCACTCCTAGTGAATGCTGTGGTTTCCTTGCCAATGCGGGCCTGAGTCTGGTGGTCCGGGGTCAGCCGCCCCTCTTACCAGCGCAAGGACTCCGCGGACAGTTTGCTCGTGCACAAAAATGCGTGCACAACGCTCAAGAGAGACAAGCACGGAGGTATGATAAATAGCGGTTGGTTGTGTGTTTGGAGCCAGGAAATTTGGCCGTTGTGGATCGGCAGGGTTGCCGAGGTGCACCAGATGGGAGATAGATGAGGAGCCTTGAGCCCAGTTAGCTAGGATCATTGCCATTTTGTCAATAATTAATGCTCTTTCTTACTTTATTGATGTACGTTAAAGTTGGGGGTGCCACAGAACCACCAATATGCTCTATCTGAAGCAGTTTCCAGAGTCAAATTATTAGTGGACACTGACGCGCAGGAAAGCGACCTGCATGGAGGCGGAAGATTCTCATAAAGCGGTACAAGCGCTGGGTCAAAGGACTGTCGAGCGCCGAAGACACACTACACTGGACTGTCTAGTGAAATAGGGTCTGGAATGGCAACCTAAGTGGTTGACGGAAAAGCATCCACGGATTTTACCGCTTAGCAGAATCTGCACTCTGCTTCGCTAATAAGGCTACTCCCCATTGACAGTATTCCTCGCTTCCCGGTAGTTGTTCGACCCGGGGAGAAGCTTTGCCCAAAAGCGCTACCTTAACCCCGTAGATATTACTTGATCAATTCCCGATTTATCTTCGCTAGGCATCTTCTACACTCGGATTTGTGTGCAGTAACTGCCAGGCACAGTGTCTCTACTTGTCCCTTACGACTCGTTTGGGGCCCTGAAACTGACCACGCTGCATGCACCGGCTGTACGTGCATGCAGAGACTGCTCTATGCGGCGGGGAGGCACTGCTGCACTCTTGTGTCTTCTGATCACCCTTTGCCTTTAGCTTGTCGACGGTTTTCTCGTAGCATGGGGCTCGAACGTTTCAGTGCTCTGACGACAGCATGCCATAGCGCCGCCGTGCGCTCGTTGGTTTTGGTCCCTCGTTTGTTGTTGGCTAGTGTGTGTTTTCCTTCCCGTCGATTTCACATCAGCGGTCTACGCAAACATCTGCTTTTCTCAGTTGCATTGTTTTCGCCTTTCTTCCTGCATGGCGAATGATAGAGGGCGGAGACTTTTCCTTTTTCTTGCATGCAGTTGCTCCCGAAGTACAGGTGAGGAATATAAGGATGTGAAGTTTTCCCAAACAGGAGAAAGCCGTGGGGTGCTAGACTACAATTGAACAACTCCTACTACGATAGTTATAAATAACCAAGAATTGGTAACGCGTTGACTCGGGGGAGTAATATGTCCGTGCATCTTATTTATTGCAGAAAGCTCTCAGCTTCGATAGAAGTGGGCGCAATGTTCTGTTCTTGCGTGTTAAAAGCTACGTGACAGTAGCTACTAGTCCTTAGAAAGCTAAGAGTGCAGCTATGTGCACACTAGTTGTCTCTGTACTCCACGTGGGAACTCTGAGGGTTACGAAAGAGGAAGGCAGCAGCTTAAGGTGAAACACTTAATAACTTTTGAACAGGTTTGTAATAAGTCTGCGGTTCAGTGTCTCAAAAAGGAGACCTAAATGCGAGAGCTACGCAATGCAAAACTTGTAACACAGTTATTGAATGTCCTACCAAAAGGGCTCTCTTCTCTGTCCACGCTCATTCCTACGGTTCCAGCACAAGGGCGGGGGTACAACAAGGGCATGCATGTGTTTTCGCACTCTGTAAGCGCTCCAGACATTCGCAGCTAGCTGCACGTAGCAACTAGTCGAAAGGTAATAACAATCCATTTTATCGCCCTGATCTTAAATATACTCGGGAACCATGAAGGTATGCGAAAACGTAAACCAGCTTGTCAATTCTGTACAAGCACCTGATTAAATACAACTAGTGAAGGGAAAGTGCCGAAGTGTAGCATACCTGCTGTACGTTGCTTTTGCGCTACCCCTGTTCCACACCAGATGAACGAGTAGCAAAGCACATTTACAGTTTTTAGAAAGTTCCAAGAAAAGCTAAGTCAGTCCATTAGTTAATATCTATGAATAGCCCTGCCCTCTAAACATAGACCCAGTATTTTTCATACTCTACCCATCAGCAGGTAGTGATAAACAGAAAAGTGAAGTTGAGGATGCCAACACCTCCAAATCATCCTGTACTTCACAGCTAGATAGAATATGGAACTTTCTGCATTGAAGTGAATACACAACGCAAATTTCGGATACATCTGGTACACGGTAGAGTCCTATAATTGCGATGGCTAGCCAAAGGGCCGAACAAGATAGCTGCGCCATATTTGTCTTCTTTCAATGGAAAGCAGACTTGCAATGACATACAAAAAAACAATTGGCCAATTATTGCCCACACCGGGCGCTGTTATCAAATTATGCGGGGTATGTTTCACCGTGCCCCCCTGACTTTGCAAGTGGCGTCCTGAACGAGGCGAAGCTAGAACCGTTTTTAATTATGGTCCCTGTGTATGCACACATAAAGTGTGTATTTTCCACATTAGAGAAACAAGTGAATATGAGTGCTTCTTAGCGTTTCCATGCGACATGCACGACTAATGTCGATAGAGGCCACCGGTCTGCCACTGCAAAGCAGGGACTTCCTGAATCCTATACGCACCCGCAAAGCTATGGGTTAGCAGCATGGCTGGTTTTTAGGAAAGATTTTGGGTATGAACATTTTCTGGGCTCATTCTTTCTATTTGGGAGCCGGTGGGGTCAACTGCACAGAAGGCCAACGTGGGGCTGCCATTCCATCACGGCTTCAGCTGGCACGCTTGAATGCATTGGTTGAATGTGCAGCCCAAAATTCAGAATCCAGCTTTACAGATCTGGTAGGGCCCCAATTTAGGCCAACACCATCGAAGCAGGCTTGCCCCTGCTCCCTCGAAGTCCTTAAAACCACCCTAGCGGGAGCGGACAGTGAGTTAACTCGCAGATTATACCTGTTCATCTGGGCACGTGCAACATGCATTCATGCCACTGTCATAGAATTCGTAGAAAAGCTATTTTGGAATAGCTGATTGACTAACTGTCAACACTACGCAGTGGATGCCTCAAATTATTCAGCCCCAGCGTTTCGACTTTTGAATGATTAGTTTGCTGGGCGTTGTACCTTTAGTGACTACCGCTACCTGCTGCGTAGAGTGAGATACACATTGTGGTGAAGCAAGCTCGGATCACTGGCCTTTTAAGTCCGAGAGAGGATGACAGACAAGCAGGATACGGAGGCCAAGACGGCCAGCAAGCTCCTCAAAAGGGGATCAGCTGTGAGCACTGCACTTTTATGTTACCCCATTTCCACCTGCTTTAACAAGCCCACGTTAGAGCATTCCCTAACTCCAGAGCACTGATGTTGGCATTAAAGCTTGTATGTAGACTTCCTTCCTACGTAGCATCCAATTTTGCCAGTTTACTTCACGTTCCAACTGCCCTTGTACCATCCCATTGTGTTTCTACAGGTTGTCTGTTCACACGATGGAGCGGCGGTTGCGAACCTTCAAGTTTGGTGCACGTCGGCTCCGGCAGTCAAGAGCGATCCTGACATGATGTTTGCCTTATGTAGCGTTGAGCCTGGGTCCACTGAAGCCAAGTTCATACTGAAGCAGAAAGAACCACCAAGCAATCAGGTTAGCATCCAGCCTTTTCGCTCTAAGCTTTCTCTGTCCCACGGCTATCAAGAGAAAAGGAGCCGCATTAGTCAGCTGCCGTCTGAAGAATTCACATGTGCGTTCCTTTAAATATGCTCATCACTCTTGATTTAGGGTATTTTGCTTGGATGGTATTTTAATACAGTGCTTCGAGGCTCCTGTTGGTCAAGTATTCAACGCAAACACCAACTTGGACCCCATGGCATATAACGATATCGGAACAATACCTCATCAGAACATCCCGTGCGTCTTGGATTTTCTCCGGGTTCGCTATATGAACAAGGCGATGTATACCGCAGTCGAGCCGATGATGGTGGCAGTTAATCCCTTTCAGGATCTGCATAATGGGACTCCTGAGGTAATTGCCAAGTATCGCGATGCGCATGACTCTGACAAAATGCCGCCTCACATTTTCCAGCTCTCACGGCGGGCAGTGGATAACCTTCATGGAGTTAGGAAGAGCCAAACTATTGTAGTGTCTGGAGAATCTGGGGCTGGAAAGACGGAGACTACAAAGCAGCTTATGAAATACTTTGCGAGTGCAAGATCTGGAAATCTTGATACTCGTATCCAGCAGGCTATCATGGCGGCAAACCCTGTGCTGGAGGTCCGTTTTGAAGGCATTTCTTAGCATGCTGCAGAATCAGCCGAAGCCGTTTATGGGATATTGTGGGCTCGTCCTTAGAGACAACGCTTGTGCGATATTCTGGGCCAACGTCCGTGCGCTGCGGTTTTGTGCTTCATTTACATTTCCGCAGGCCTTTGGCAATGCTAAAACCGTTCGTAATAACAACAGCAGTCGATTCGGGCGCTTCATGCAGTTAGACGTAGCCAAAGAAGGTGGCATCCGCCACGGCTCAGTCCTGGCTTTCCTTTTGGAAAAGAGCCGTATCCTTACCCAAGTAAAAATATGGATGCGATACCTTGGTGTCTCGGCACATTAGGTGTGCCTGAGGTATGCAGCGAAGGCCGTTAGACGAAATCGGTTGTACGGTTGGAGAACTGTTCCATTTGTTTTGTTGTGATGGACAGGACCGAAACGAACGCTCGTATCACATCTTTTACCAAATGCTGAAAGCAAGCACCCCGCAAATGAAGGAGCGCTACAAGCTGCTAGATTGCAGCAAGTACCAGTTTCTTAATCCGTATTGCTGCGATGCTCCTGGTAGGCCAAATAAAGCGCCCCTCTTCAAGTTGGTAGTCGCATCGTACGTGAATGCTCGCCCTGCGTCTTGTTGACGTATTCTTGGCATCGGAGTGGATTATACGCTCACGAAATTGCATCTGAATAACTGTAAACTCCTGGCTGCCAATTTCCTAGGCGTTGATGACATCAGTGAATTCGAAGCAGTAGTGAAGGCATTTGAATTTATGGGCCTCAAGGAGGAGCAACGGCACACAATTTGGTCATTGGTTTCCGGCGTGTTGCTTCTCGGGAACGTGAAAACCGTAGGTGTGTTACTATGCAGTTTCGTCCATTTTATAATAACAAAAGTCTTATACTCAGGCACAGTTGACCACTACAGTCGAAATGCCCCTTGCCCAGTGCAACAGGTGGCGAAAGGGACCTGTACTTGCACCGCCAATATCTGAATATGATTGGCTTGCTCGCTTGATTCGTGTCAGGAAAGAAAGAAGGCGGAATCGACAACGCAGCTGGTATATCTGGAGAAAGCGCGAATATATTGAAGGACGCCTGCGATCTACTTTTCTTGGACAGTAGTCGTATTATGTCAGAATTGACAATCAAAGTTACTTACGCTGGTAAGACATCTTGATATTTATTGTCCTTACGCACTTGATTGCCATATTCTCAGGCTTCTGAATGCAGGAAATCACGCACGTATCTTTTCCGCGTGCAGTAGCACGGGCAATGCAGTCCCCTAGTCCAGCTCAGGAACATTGCTTTCAACTACTGTCCGCTACGATAATAAGACCCCGTGCGATTCCTGGTTCATTTGGTATCTGCAGGTAACAACAGGATCGAGGGCCGTTGGACAGTTGAGGACTCAGACATGCTCCGGGGCTCTCTCGCCAAAGCCATGTACGAGAAGCTGTTTCTGTGGATAATCCAAGCTCTCAACTCAAACATCGAGCCCAAAGGGGGATTCCAGACTTTTATGGGTAGGTATTTACATTTAAGTATGGTGGTGCCAGCTTATTGAGTTTTTAGAGCTGCAGACGGAATAGAAATGTTGTATTACTATTTGCTGGTCGGGCAGGGCTCCTCGACATCTTCGGCTTTGAGGTTTTCCAGAACAACTCCTTAGAACAACTATTTATCAACATAACAAATGAAATGCTTCAGGTTCGTAAAAAATATTTATCGCATTCTTTGTAGCAATGTGGTACCATTACAATAATAAATCGGGCTTTCCCGAGCAACCCTGGGTTGTCGAATAGTGTTGAAGTATGTGACAACACTATGGCAGTGGTTGCATAGCGCGTGTTTTGGGGTGTCCTTCAGAACACGTTTACCGACGTGGTTTTCGCCAGAGAGAGCGCGCTGTATAAAAGCGAAGGCATTACATCGAAGGACATAGAATTCACCAACAATAATGACATTATTAGCGTGCTAATTGACAAGGGCAACTCCGTGCTGAGTATTTTGGAGGACCAATGTCTGGCACCAGGTGAACACCCTAACAGTACACTAACTGTGTTTAATTCTTACTGACCCTTGGAGATCAGGCTACTGCGTATTGCTGTAATCCCGTTTGCGAGCAGGTGGCAGCGACGAAAAGCTCGTTAGCGCCTGTTCAACAAAGCTCAAGGCAAACGCAAAGTTTGTGCCGGCGAAACTGGACGCACAAAGCGCTTTCAATATCAACCACACTATCGGGTGTATCAAGTACAACGCACAAGGATTCATTTTCAAGAACAAAGATGTCTTACGGCCTGAGATGGTTGAAGTTGTACAGGTATGCTCCCTGCCCATGGAACGCATGCATCCCTAATATTCTTCGATAGGGCCTTCCAGTACACCCATGCCCGCTCGATAGCAACGCCTAAATTTTTTATTTAGTTTGGACTAACTATTCCAGCCCGTTGTGTGTACTTCGATTATACAGGGTTCAGGGAATCCGGTAGTACGAGCTCTGTTCGAAGGGGTAAAAGTGGAGAAAGGAAAGATGGCAAAGGGATCGCTTATCGGCTCTCAGTTCTTAGCTCAGCTTAACAAACTGATGACTCTTATTGGCTCAACCGAGGCACATTTTATCAGGTATGCTGCAACATTGTCTTTTCTTCGCCGAAAGGACAAGTTGACCGGACATTCGGTTTATCTGCACGCACACATACTTTCGCCACGAAAGCAGCGCGAAGTTTTTCACTGATGAAGCTTGCATGAGGTTAGAATTTTTGGAGTATTCTGCTTGTACAGGTGTGTTAAACCCAATGAGGAGAAAAAACCATTGGTGTGGGTACAAAGCAAGGTTCTAATCCAGTTGCACGCCCTCTCCATCATCGAGGCTCTACAACTACGTCAGCTTGGTTATTCATACAGGCGAACATTTGAAGTATGCATCGCACAATTAGTTGCGTCTAGAAGGTTCCTTACAATGCGTACCAATGCCTGTACAGTTCCGTGCACTCCTGGGTCTCAATCAATATGCAGCCCCGCTGCTGATAAAGCAAAATATCTTTTGTATACTACGAAGCTTAAAACGCTTGATCTGTGGCGGTAACAACGTGCATGCGCCTTTGCAGGAATTTGTTCAGCAGTTCCAGTTTATTGACTTGGCAGCTTCCCAAACGAAGGACCGAAAAGCAGCTGCTCAAGCATTAGTCGCTTCTGCCCAGTTAGAAAGTGGTACGGTGTGAAGTTGTTGTATTTGTTCCTCCACATGAAAATAGCAGGCAGCTTCCTTTAGCCCAGCACTACAGGTTTATTTTTGCGGCTGAATTTGTGCAGGCTCATATGCGTTTGGGAAAAGTATGATATTCTTGAAGCCCGAAAGCGCTAAATATCTCGTCCATTTGCAGCGCAGTCGGCTTTCCACCTGGGTTCCCCTTGTAGGAGTGATCGAAGCTATATGCGTGCAAAAAAAGCTGCAGATCAAGAAGCAATCCTTTTCAATATGCTCCAGAATTTGCGCTCATGCACGGAGAAAGCTTGTACAGCAAGCTTAACTGGCAAAGCAGCCTACTTGAGCGGCTGCCTATTGTGAGGCCAAGCGTGTTGCCCCTATACCAACAAATTAGAATATTTGCCACCTTCTCATTAGCTGTTGAGGACCGTTTTTGGTCATATTCAATGTACCATTTGTGACGTAGTGCTATAAGCAATGGACGGAAGTGCCACCAGATAGGCAAAATTGTCATATTTGCCGCAAGTATCAGCGTATTTTATACGAACACATAACCCTATTTCGTTTTTCGTCTTTAGATGGAACCAGTCAAGTTTTCATTTCATTGTGAAATCCGATTTGGAACTGTAGAGAAACGCCATCACAATGGAGCCTGTGCCAGATGCTCATAATTTAGGGGTCTGTGTGGGCGGCAGGCGTGACAACAGGTACTGCATACAAAAATATTATCGGGTGTGTAATCTACCAGATATGTTGTAGAAAGGAGGAATCAATAGGGTGAGATGAATATTATGGAACATGGGATGATTGTTTAGGCAGACTTGCTAACCTGTCTACCGAAGGTTTGTCGATTGCTCTCGTAGGCCTAGCAACAGCTTTTCCTACCGGCAATAAGCTTAATTTGGATTGATTCGCCGGGCATTGCCCTTCTCGCCCTTGCTTCAGGGGTCTGTTGAGGTGGAAAACAGAGGCTGTGATCGTTACAATTGCCACATTGACGCTTATACAGCTGCACTTCTATTGGTTTCTATGGCTGGACATGCCTGTGCGATAAAGAGTTCTGGATCTAGGTTGTAGATTCAACGAGTATATTACAGCGCTTCATCAAACATTATTTCATGCATTTAGTATTTTCAGTCCCCCTACGTTGGTAGGATACTACAGCATACTCTAAAACGTGCAAGAGGGCTGAGACCTCTACCTGCATTGGGCAGTGACAGATGCGCTGCGATCTTCCTCCGGGTTGTGCACTACGAGGTACATCCTGTCCCCTATTTCCATATTTTCGATACCATTGCACTTCACTCTTCTGAGCGTCACTTTTCAAGTCCCTGTGCCCTTAGCAGCTGTTCTGTTTGTCTACCTAACCTCACCGGTTCTCCTTGAATGTGGCAATGAAAAAACGCTAACAGTCCTCACCAGCCGGGAAGTACGCCGAAGGTCGATTGTTGAAGCAAGAACTCCAGCAAAATTATGTCCTGTCCATTTCCTTACGGTGCTTCAACGATGTATTGCATTCACTGCTGTCGCCACGTCTGAACGAGATTCACAAGTTCGCCTGCAACATCACCAGCTGTCGTAAAAGAGTTTGGGCTTCCTTGTTTTGACGTGGTAATCATTATACTGAGTACGTTTCCAATATTTGCAGCGTCGTCTGACGCCGGAGCTCTTGTGCTGCTCTACACGCACCTGTCATTCTCGGCCGACTAACTGCAGCACGGCTTTCTGGTTTGCTTGATAGTAATCTTTCCTGTAGAGCCCTCTGCTTTCTTGAGTAAACCCACTGTGGTGGACAGCCGTTTGGGTAAAGTCTGACAGGAACGTGTTGAGCATTGACGTTTCCACTTCAGTTCACTGGTTGCTACCTCCAGGGGTGTCAGGCCCCGGTTGCACTTTAAGTGGTAATCAGCACGCTGCGAAAGTGAAACAATGCATTAAAACGGATCAGTGGATGAGGACAATACTTGTGAGCTACGTGTACTAGGAAAAACAGTTGTGATACGGGCCTCTAAGGGATATTTGTGCAACATGTGGGTACTACAGATATTCTTACATGTTGAAGTAAGAGCCTCACGATTGGCGGTCGCTCAATTGCATCGAAGAGCGGTGTCTCTCCATTGTGGCGCTGCTGGTTGATCATACCTGGAACGTGTTCCAGCAACAATTCGATCACGTTCACGTGCCCCCCCTTCACTGCATGATGCAACGGCGTATCGCCTTCTTTATCACGTATCTCAAGGAACCGCCTTTGACTTTCGGCTCCACCTGCATCGCACACTCTCATGAGTGTAAAGTAATAAATGCTTAAGCATGCATCAATGCGCAAAGGTTGAGCGAAATATTCGGAAGCCTCAACAAACTCAGAGCCACCTACACCACGTAGAAGCGATCGGGGGGAACGACATGGATGGACGTTCTCGAAGGGCAGCTGCTTTCAAATTGAAAATACTTTACTGGGTAAGAAAGTTATATTTGCACAGCAGATATGGCATTCTTGTGTTGAAAATTTGGCAGCTGCTGATTCACCTGCTTGTTCGAGAATCCATTTAAGGCAGTTCACGTGGCCATAAGCAGCAGCGTAAAGTGCCAGAGTTTGGCCATTACGGCATTTAAAGGCGGTGAGCGATGGTAGGCGAACACGTTCCTTAAGCGGTTCATCTTCATATATGCACTTAAATAGCTCGAGGACTCGATCGTCGTCCTTGCTGGGATGGCGTAGCATGTGGTGGAACAAAGACATGCCCGAATTTTCGCTAGTAGCGAGAATGAGCTGTCTGAGCAAAAAGAGAAAATGCACTCTTATTGAGCCCGGTTCACAAGTGTCTGCGACTACTTCAAGGCACCAGAAAGGGCTTTCCTACGGAGGCCTTTGCCTGTTGAAAGCTAAAGGCGCTTGCCGAATGCCAGAGATACGTACGGGTCTTCCTTTAGTCGATTAAATATGTCGGGGCCTAGCATACTAACAACACATTCTGGCCAACCTTGATGCGGTGACTGTTTCCTGCTAGCGGCGATCCCAGAAGGCGAATCAACATGATTCTTTTTCTGTTTCTTGGGGGGCCTCCGACATTTTGCTGCAGTAACCTTCCTTCGCTGGTTACTGGACATGCTGCTGGACATTGGCACATCCCGTTTTCTCATGTTTGAGGGCAGGGATGCCCTCCCTACCCCCTTTCGAGCATCATCCTTTGCATGCGCTGACGGTGGCCCTTCGTCCACATCGGGTGTGCTCAATGCATTTCTGGCAGAATGAGCAAGTGCTAGCCGCGGTCCCTCTTCTGAATTTTCAGCGAAGGCTTCACAACGGATGTTGCTGAGTCCGTTACGCTTTTTCGGCTGACTTGTGCGGCTGCAATCGTGAGACCCACTTCTGCGTATGCAGCACGATGGCTGCAAGACCGCCACACGCTGCTTCTCTCTACGGGGCGCCGTTAAGTTTTTTCTCGTTACCTCTTCCTGTTCGATACAACAAGCCGCAGAGTCCTCGGAGCTAAATTTGCTGCTAGCTCCGTTGTGATTACACTATTTAGAACATTCCCTTACAGCCCAACAAGTGTGTTGAAATTCGGATGTTGCAATGCGCTCCATTACGCGGTGGCTGCGTCAACTAGAAGAAAACTCATCGGCGGGCGAGGTGAAAAGTAGCAGCTCAAAGCGTTGCTGACGGTTACTGTGCGTAAAGATAGAAATCATCTTACCAACGTATCTCTTCGACTGGCGTTTGCAACACATATTCCGAAATGGGAGTAGACTTTAGCTTGGGGTACCTCGAGCTTTGGCTCTGGGTAAATCTGCAGTTCATCGGATGTGGGGCTAGAACTGGTGTAGTCGTGGGAAGTTCCTGGTGTTGAAGTGACTTGGACTTCTTCTATTCTTGGATGGCACGTTTGCCTCAAAACTTTAGAACCAGAGTTTAGGGCTTTGCGTTTGTGGAAAATTTCCGAAAGCTCTGGAAGTCCCCACTGCCTCTTCCGAGGAGCGTGCCACAACTGAAATTGCAATGCAGCCCTCCTCGTGGAAGTGTGCTCTTGTTTCAACAATATCCGTAGTCGTTGTTTCATATTTAGGTCGGCCCTCCTTACCGCAAACCAGCGGCAAGGAAAGCCTGCAGCCCTGTCACTTGTAGGCGGGTCCATTTCTACAAGAACAGCCAGCCCACATGAGCTACGACTTCGTTGATTAGGGTCACCCTGCATGCAAAAGGTGGCGAAGCGGCGGAACTTGCTTAAGTCGAACTTTTAGACGTCTCAAAGGGATCGCCAGCGTTGCTGCTTCCAGGGTTCTTCTGTTAGAGAGACTCCAAATATGCGATCCATTAATATGAGCCTGCCGTTTTACCTTCTAGAAAACTGCGAATTCCAACGTCCTCGAAACAGGTACGAACGTCTGATCTACATTTAACACATCAGCTGGTGGCCTCTTTCCTTGCTTACACGTACATCAGATCGGCGTAGTACCGTGGCTCTCTGGGTATCCTTTGGATCCGGTGCACGTAGAGCCGCACAAGTTCCAACAGCTACATACACTGCGGCTGTGGAGAGCGATGCTTTCGTCTATTAGAATCGCTGCCACCAGATGGACATCAATGTCCGGGTGCACTACAGGGTTCGTCAGAATTTTTCACCAATGTTTTGAATGTGGTGATATTCTGTAGTTTTCTCACTGGTCCATCCAAGTACTCTCTTGGTGGCCCTTTACATCAAAGGGCCAGAAATTGGGGCATAATTCCAGAAACAAAATTGTGCAATATGTGGGCGTGTACCTGTAAATGGGCCGAGAAAACAGTCACTCTGTGTTTTTCAGCCCAGAACAAGCCCCCCAGTTAGTGGGCTTGGCGTTTACTCGCTGCCGGCCTTGCCATTGCATAGGGCTGCTGCAAAACGACTAGTGAAGCATTGTTGACTATCTGCTAGTCGAACATGCAACATTGGATAGCAGCGTAGATGGTGGACTGCCACCAAGCTGCAGGAGCTATGGTGTTACGCGGTGCAGGGGGTCGTGGAGGGGGGCAACGCGTAAAGGCACTCAGCACCGGATACACTTGCTTTTCCACAGGGGTCCTCAACAACGCCATGCATTTTTTGTTACCTGAAAAAGAAACGCGTCGTGTAGCAGCGCCACAGGGATTGCTAAATAGTGAACCCATGTTTCAGTTTGACTTGCTGCACACCAGTGGTCCTTAACGGGTGCTGCCAGAAGTGAAAGGCTACCCTTGTTGCTCACCTCTTAGCTACTTTTGCAACTTAATAGAGGAGCCCTACAAAAGCCTGTGGGATACATGTGAACAACAAAAAGCTAGGTTTCCTTCTACGATGGATTAATGTGTGATATGAAATGTGGGGAGGCCCGCTACAAACAATATTCCCCGGTGACGTGGAATGTGCATGCTGTAGCTGTTTGAGAGGGATCCGGTTCTGCCATAATAATACCTCAAAACAGGGACAAATATGATTAGTTTCCCTTCGATTTGGAAGCCTGATCTGGAAAAATTCTTGCACATCAGGTCTCATTACATGGCGTGTGCGTACTATCCTTGGATAGGTTTGTTGTGTTTGTGCACTACTGAGAGGGTTCACGGAACACCTTCTGTCGCCCTTCAGATAGCAAATGAAGACGCAGTGTCACGTGCTCCAGTCTCGTTCTTTACTACTGCCTTGCGTATTCCTCAGCCCCTTCAAGAGGCACCGGAGGGTAACGTTTGTACGCCAAACTGAATGTGTCTGCCTGCTATTTGCTTCTTGAAGTAGCTATTATTCAGAAATATCGATTTTTTAATAACCTGAAAATGCGCGGAGCTCGTATAGCCACGGTTGTCGCGGGGTTCAGCGGATGTTACACTATGACGTACTGCAACCCCGCTGTCTTTATGGAAATTTCGGCCCATGGTTTTCTTTAGCTCAAATATTGAGCTAAAGAAAACAGTTTAGCATGAAGGATGTGCACTTGCATTTGGAAGCCTGAATTGGAGTGGCTACGCGTGACTGAAATCCCCATTGCTTAGACTAACACCAGACACAAACAGCATGACAGAATAGCCTTTGGCTGTCTAGCTTAAAAATCACACAAGAAACCGTTGGAAACGCATTGCACTAAAAAGGTTTATTTCTTTGGAGCTCAAACGCACTCCACAGTGCCGAGACATTTCCTAGGTGGCAGCATCAACGCAAGCCACTTTAGAAAGGCCTAGGAGGGGAGTATAATAAATGAAGCAACGTAGGCGTAGCTTGTGCCTTTGCTGTGCCCTACTCAGCTAAATTTAGCAGGACTGTGCTAACCTGATACAAGCATCATTTGCACAGGTGTACCTCAACTGGAGCAAGAGACCTAGCCTAACTTTGCTCGTATAAGAGGCGTTAAGGGAAATAGAGCACAATGTAGCACGATGACCAGAAACTAGCAGTCTAAAGAAAGCACTGAACTGATCCTTGATATTCAGTAGGATGACTTCCACCAAGCGAAAAGGTGTTTAATGTAAGTTCATCCCTATTAGCACGACTCTCTCTCAGTGCAATAAGCTTCAAGGATTGGCCTGTGCTTATCATATTTCTGAGCTGTTGCATGGGAAATCAAGCTTGATTCTTCTGCAACTGAGTCGGTGCTAAGGTCATATAAAGCAATGACCGTCAACACATGTTGTTCACCAAATTTTCACGCAGATCTAGTTTACCTCTTTTTACTGGTAATTTTCTGTACCCACACGAGACTCGTAAAGGCGATATAAGCTCCACCTGCCTTATCAGCTCACAAACGAATAGTTCGCATACCGAGCACGCCGGTCTAGAGCTCAGTCTTCACCAACCACTACTACGTTGATTTGTTGTCTACTACTACAACTTTCTTATTGCTTGAGATCTTATGCTGAGCACAATGTAGTATTTATTGTCATGTGGTAGGTTTTCCAAGCACGTTGCCCGTATAGACTTCTCTTCCCTCAATCCACACTTCATCCAGAGCATCTTGCGTAATCCATCTGACACACACAGCATAATAGTCGCATGTGGCAATAGCCGGTAGTACAGATGGCGGCGTCAAGAATGAGTGCAGGTGTTGTAGGTTAGGTGACAAAAGCAGAAGCCTGCGTTCCTTGAACTTATTGGACTGACGTGGTCGCAGCTAGACCTCCAGCTCACACAGCCAGACAAGCTACTGAAAGAGATGCAGTTTCAGGATACCGAGCACCTCATTCTGATAAGTTTACTCATTCTTCCCATGAATGCACGATAAGTCTACTAGCAAATATTCCGCATCTGTATGGTGTGTGGCTCGATAATACCCCTACTGCTGTGCTCCATACAGCGATATATTAGCGTTCTAAACCAGAACCTCATAGCAGCGTGGAATAATTAGTCATGGCTTTAAAATTGATGCCTACCTATCAGCACCCCAAGAACTGAGGTTGATCGATACGCGATGATCATCTTAAGAGAACAAATATTTAGCAGTGCACCACCGCATTATCATGGCCCTTCACCAGTTCCGGCATCTTTTCTTCCAGCGTCCTCAATAAATGGACGCACAGCCACAGCCTTATCTGACCAGCCCTTTTAACCATGATGCTTCGATACATGTTCGACCTTCGAATCCTGCCAGCGGGGAAACAAGACAGAGATAACTACTCGGCCACCTCAAAGAAGCTTCCGCATTTTCGCCTTTTGAAGCAGTCGACAAACTTCTCTAAGAATAACGCCTTGCTCTTGGATGAGTGCACAAAGCATTTTAGCCTGCGTAACCAAAAGCCACTGCATTCTGGTGATACTGTACTCTAAGTGTGTCAGCAAACATATTGAAAGCTGTGTGAGTTTCATGTCAGGGCACTTATGAGTCTCAGTGTTGATCTTACGTCGCCGGGGCCGATGCATTCCCCGTGCAGCTTGTCTGTAAGTCGCTGTGAGCGTGTGAAGAGTGGCCCTGCGGAGCTGCATGGCAGTTTCAAGCCCTGCGGAGGCCGTACAGGCTCTCGTATCTGTTTTGCAGTCCTAACCTGGCATGAGGTGCTCCCTGAAGGCAACATAGGAAAACAATTCAGCGCACAAACCACAAACCAACAGAGTAAGTGGAGCCGTAGAAAAATATCGTACTCTATGTATCTGTTGACCTCAGCACGTTATCGCGCGTCAAGGCCTACAAACAAGTTTTTCAGACGTCAAGGGTTTAATGGCATCAGGTGGGAATGCACAGGGCTAGTGGGTAGCAAGACTTATGTCAATTGAAACTGAAGACAAGACCGCCATTTGGACCTTAGTGTAGCTACTATCTGCCACATCTTTGAAAGAAAAAGTCCTGACAGTCCCCTGCACGGCGCTCAGATAGACTACAGCAAATCGGCTACGCCTATAGCCTAAAAAGATAATAAGTGTCAGACGCCATATTTGGCATGAACAGCGTGCAGTAAGAAAGCCTCTCACGACAGTGCAATGGTGCTTGGGCCCACCTAATCTGGGATTTGCGCCGCCTGTCCGATCGCGCGCATGCGATGTACGCGTTAGTGGACCTCCATGTACTGCAACACTGAGACTAGTTTTATGATTGTGGGTCAAAACAGAGGCTAGCCACTCGTACAAGTCCATCAACAGAACTAGCTCCGGCGACGCTTTGCACTGGCGCACTAATGCCTCACGAGAGTTAGGGTGATGATCTGCTGAATGTAGAAGCTGCTGTTGCCTTCCATAAGCTATAAACTCTGATATAAACTCAGGAGGAATCTTCGACATCTTTAATTCCAATGAATCAACTACAGCAGGGCGGAGCACCAATGGAGCACTATATCCGACCCCAGCTCCAGCATTTTGCAATGCTGCTTCATGAAGTTTTGTACCACCGATGAGGGCCTCGGGAGGAATAAATGGCTGAGCAACTAGGCGTATCATTGGATTCCTGACAGGTGGCCAAGTCTGGTCAGCAACAAGGTGCATTGAATACCCTGAAATCCGAGCCATTTTCGCCCACAAGTAGCTGTCCGACCTGCTAGGCACGTCGACAGTTGAGGACGAGCGGCTCTTGGGAGAAAACAATTTTATCAGATCTTTCAGTGGGGGTGCAGAGAGTGCATTGCAGCAAACTTGGAATATGGCCCTCAGGAGCAACGCTGAAACGTCGAAGAGCCACGCTGGGTAAGCGGTAGAGGTTGCTCCAACAAGAGCTTGTCTGCAGTCGCAGCAGGGAAGACAGTATTCGGGTGAAAAAGCAAACGTACACAGACATGCGCAGCAAAGGGAGCTTTAGCCCGCAGTACTACACGTTCTACTGGTGGGTGTGCATGCAACATGCAATTTCCTTAGTTGCACCACACGTTCCACGCCTCACGTAAGGGCCCCTATCCCCCAGGCGATGCGTAGACATGAGATTCGCAGCTTACCGGAAAGCCTCATCATCATAATTCCATAACTTGAGAAAAGAATGCCGTACTCTGCGAAAGGTTGCTGGTTCTGCGGGACTGGATATGCTGGGCAACAGGAAGGCAGAAAAAAAAGGAAAGTGAAATCGCATTGACAATCTCAATTCCGCATCCTAATGATAAAATGAAAGCTACTGAGAGCACTTCCTCCAAGTGTCGCCTCCACTGCATAGAATATGGACAGGTGAAGCTGGAATACCCTCGGGAAGCATGGTAGTCAAAAGCACCAGCAGGATAAAAATCAAATAATCAAAACGCCTCCATCAGTGACACTTGCAGTATACATCACGTTCTTGAATACTTATGGATTGTCTTAGTACGCAAGTAGGTGGGCGGCGGGAAAGGGGGGAGGTGGGTTGCCCGACGCGCGAGGGCTAGAGGCCACAAAAAATACTGCGGTGTCGTCACCATGTGAGTGTCATACCTCTTATAAACTCCAGAAGCCAAGGGGGAAACTGTTGGACCTGCAGCTTCGTCGTATCCAAATGTTATTGCCCGCTCAAGCTGGTTTTGCTTTCCCAGCAAGCTTAAGCATGCCTCTTCTTTCGCTTGGTGCCTAGCGACGTGAGCATCGAGAAGCATGCGCTCTCTCAACTCGCGATCCTGCAGTGACCTCTCCAGGCATAATGATTGGCGGCTACCCCTAACTGCTGCCGTTGGCTCCGCTGCATTGATCGCTTGTTTGCCTGACGCCGGCAAAACTTTGTCCGTTTTGAACTGCTGCCCAGAAGCTCCTTTTCTACTTACTGGGTTCATTTCAGCTACCGCTTTACGGATGGAGGCGGCAACATCTTTCATACGCGGAGTTTCGGCTTCAGGTGGATGTGCAGGTGGTAGATTACCAGCCCTGAGAAAAAAAATGCGAGGCCGACCTGAATTTTCTTGACGGCACGCGAACAAACAACAAAACGTCTGCTCTGGGTTGCTGTATGAACGACGAACTTCTACCGGGTAGTATCTCAGAGCCTACTTGACGGCCTCAACTTCGCTTTCTTCGAGGTCCAGCAGCTGGATTAGCGCCTCTGCCGACAGGGGGCAATGCTGTCCATCCACTTCCTCCTGCTGGTATCCAGGAGACCCAGGGTGTTGGTGTAGCAGCATGTACAGGGACTTGTACAAAATGTTCCGCATGCGATACTGTGCTGCCTGCAGCCAAACTTTGCTGCAACGCCTCACGACCAGCAGCTTTGAGAGTGACAGAAACCTGCATATCTTCGACACAATGCGCGGCGACTCCCACACCATCGTACGTGGAGGAGGTACGCCCAACGCTTTATTCTGCTTTAACAAGCGTGATCTGGTGCTGGAAGCCATCGCCCGTGTACCATGTGCAGTGCTCCATCTCATCTGAGCTGTCCATTTTAACAAACGCGGGTCTCTGGAAATAACAGCTTTGCCAGCTTGCTCGGAGACTTCCGGAACAGCAGTGGGAGCATCGTGGGTCGCTGATCGAGCACGGCCACCCCCCTCCGCGATAGGTGGCTGTCTATTACGTGGAGGCTGACGAGGGCCTCTAGGGTAAGCCTGAGTATTCACGAGATCCGGCTGGAGCTTCAGCTGGTCTGCAGTACCTTTGCCATATGGGTGCTCGAGCGAGTTCAAGTCTGCAGCGGCAACCGGCGCGCTTCGCTCTCGTTCGCACGCCATATACGTGGCGCAAGCATCACAAAGAGACGCCGGACCATCCAGATCCGGAGCTCTCTGGCACAAAGGTATCTGTGCATTTGGTTCCGCTTGCGCGCTCACCCTTAACGATGCATCCTGCAATTTGCCACAGCGAGCGCACTGGTACTCAGTGTCTACAGCCCCAGCCGGCTCCCCAAGTGCATAAATCTCTTGTTGACCCTTCTTGTCTCCATATGAATCGCCAAGCCCGACGCGCCACGAGCAGCAACATGGACAGCAGCAACACGATGCGTCTAAAGCCTCTACGCCCGAGTTTGCTGCCCGCAAGCGGCAACATTGGCAGCCACAGCGGGATGAGTCTCGGATGCTCAAGCCAGCTTCGTTGGAAGGCCCTTGCCCCTTTGCAGTGGGCACATCAAGGCGGTTGTGGGAGCCCGCAGGCAATGAGTATCGCCGCAAAGTGTTGGACACACCATATGCTCGCATCCAAGAAGGAATTGACCATCCATGAGCTGCTTTTTGCCGCATGCGCGCATCGTCGGCCCGCTCTCCATGAACATTGACTTCCTCGCATTCATAGCCTGAGCAAGTAGCGGGTAGATGGGATACGGAAGCTCTCCTCGGATCTGTGTCCTTCCAGCCCTTCGCCGTTTTCTGTACATGAAGTCGCTGCTCCTTTAGCCTTAAGCTGGGCTGCTTTCTAAAGAACTGCAGTTCCCTGGGAGACAGCTGAACCCCTAATCCCCGAAGAGTTTCCTCGTCCTCGCTGATGGCGCCTCTGCTATTCACAAAGCTTGAGTTGTGGATCATATCGCGTTTGCTTGCGGTGCACCGTGACACGGCTAAAGGCTTGCTAAATCCTGCCCTCGGCGCATCCGACGAACGCAAGGACTGGCAAAACTCCCATGTCTCCAAAGCGTTCTGCGATGAAGGCTTTCCAGCAGCCAACTCGGTGATGCGGGGAGGCTGCTGCTTGTTGAACTGGTCAGATACTTGACAATCTGCTTGCCGAGGTGCCCACTGGTGGCAGCACTGCATGTGTTCAGCTGGCTGCTCCTCGGCTCGCCAGACACCGAAGCGGGTGTCTTTTGCGGCTGTCACGCGGCGGCTTCGAATGTCAGAGGGAGCCTCTGCACACGAGAGGACCGCGCATTGCTGCTCATGTTGCAAGAACTGCTGAGATAGCATGTTTTCTCCGTCGGATGGGGGATGGAGACTCGGGGGCAACGTCGACGGCACAGCAAATCCTGAAGGGTCCTGCAGACCTCCAACGGGGTCGTTCGCCGAAGTGCTCGCGCCGTGCTGCCGCAAACTGCTCCGCTGAGATGGGCGAAAAAGGCGTTCATTGCTTGAGGGCCTCTCCGTTGGTGAAGCCCCATAGGCTCCAAGGCCTGATGCTGCTGCTGCTTGCCACCGTCGTCGACTTTGCAGCCACTCCCCTTGTGTCCTCCTGCTTCCGCTGGGCATTCCAGCTGCTGGCATGTTGCGCGGACTCATGCGCGCCAGGTTCCGCTTCAGCGATCGAGATCCCGTCCCTCGACTGTCAACCGGGTTCGTTGCTGATCGCTGAGGACGTGGGAAGCCAGGTGGGAAGTCTTCATGTAGTCGTGAATCAAAGGTGTACGGGCTGGTCTCTTGGCTCTCGGGTGAGCCATGTGCTGCAGTTGCTCCTCCATATGGAGCAGGGCGCTGCATCAATTGCTGCTGTCTCAGAATGTGCTGCTGCCGCTCCTGTTGTTGCTGTAGCAGCTCACTCTGCCTGTGAGCAAGTGCTGCTGCCACACGGCTCGTTGGACGGCATTCACGCCTAAGAGGCTGCTGGCCCGGTCTGAGCTGTGGGTCATGGCTGTACCGAGGATATGGAACGGAAGACTCTGGTCTGGTTTCATACCCGTCACACGGATGCATTGAAACACTCTGGAGTCGTCTTTCTATGGGCCTCTGTGGGGGTGGAGGAGGAACTGGTCTGTCTTCCGAATATCCTAAAGGCCTCGTCCTTGATAGCCGTAGCAGCTCCGCACGCACCTGCTGCTCTTGCTGCCGCAGACATCGCTGCTGAAACATGAGTGCACCAAGGTCATAGTTCCCCAAAGCGTGCGTCATTTGCGTTTGGCGGCACTGGTGTTGAACCAGTCACCCCGGGCCAGTGCCAAGCGACAGTTAGCCCACGCAGTGCGCAAGTTGCTGCACAAAGCCGGCCTCAAAGACTGCATACATCGGGATACTCAAGCAAGCAGCTGCTGCAATGAGGATTCCGTGTTTCCAATTGAATCGCCCAGAAAACGAGCCTACTGAAGCCTCTTTGTGTGCATTTGTTAGCGCTAGTCTGATGGCTGCCATAGGCACTGGGAGGCACCAGATTTTCTTGGGGCCACAAGATCTAGTCTCCCAAGGCCAAAGCTGCACGGGGTCTGATAGTGCTACTGATGTACTGAACACCCTGCTCTCTTCTCCTCACTGATATTGTTCCTAATAGGCGTTGCTCCGCGCTCTCAGTCTACTAAAGGATAAATGAGTGCAGGTCTGTCGCCGCTTCGACGGCCGGAATTCGAGATATGCTGCGAGATCCCATAATTGAAGCCTCCGAAGGCAGCAAGTAGCATGTGCTGGGTGGCGTCTTCGCTGTCAATATAAACCTACAAGTGTATACACTTCAGGCTTTTGGGTAGCCGGTATACGGGGGTGGTTGCTTCTTGGATCTGGGTAGGCCAGGTGTGAGCTGTGGCCGCTGCCCAACGCGCTGGGTGATGCGAGAACAAAAAACGGGAAGGATGTACTTGTAGTTGTGTGATACCGCATACATTACCACTTCCTCCACGGAAAGTGCAATTCATGACCATACAGGGGCCGAGAAGCCTGTTTGATTCGTCTCGACACCCTGTCATTCTAGGCTGCGCTCGATTCTCGCGATCGCTGCCGACGGGCCTTGTTGACATCGGCTTGTTCAACATTGCGGTGCTGCACTTTTGATGGAATTGATTTAGATCAATAAAATTATGTTTGCTCAATGTTCTTGGCTTTAGTAATTGCCTCTCGTGCAGCAAAACTCTTTTGTCGAAAAGCTCTGGCACACGCATCACATTGACCTCCCAGCCACATCCTAGGAAGGTCACACACATGGGCGATCCCGCCACCCTAACTCCATGGTATGTGATTTCGGGACTCAGTCACCAGTGAATGAGTCATGCGACTACAGGGGAGTATCGGCGCCCAGATAAATCCGTCCACTTGCACGGTTGGCTGGTAGGTGCCGAATAATCGGGCAGAAGAAAATACGCAGGGGCACAAAAATGACTTGAGTGAGTGAGCGACTTTACTTGCTCAACTTCACACCTATAAATTGTAGGAGCGACCCATGTGGCACATAGTATTCCGCAGTCAAGGTAGTCAGCCACCTCATGTCATGGTGCCTGCAGTCGGCCTGCCAGAGTTGTTGCGGATCAGTCTACTAGTAAACGACTATTACCAGGTTCATTGCACATCATGTGGTCTTACTGAGTATTATTGGTTTGGCTCGTATGCACTTAAATCGTGTACGTTGCGAAACTCGGCTATTTCCGTACGGAATAGCTGATGCTCTGGACTGATACGCTACGCTACCGTGTTTGACCATGGTGAAAGCCAGCAGTGTATCATCAGACAACAAAACTATTCGAAGTGTGGTGGCACATCATTTTCATAGGCAGGGAATCTTATGAAGTGAGAGATGGAGAGGGAGAAACCTATCTAAATAGTATTAATTGGCTTTCCTCCATGTTTTGATGCATTTAGTTGGCTTATGGGATCATTTAGGAGTAATGCTGATGCCTAGGTGTAGTATCCTTTAAATATTCAGTAAGCTGAGTGGCTAAAATGCCTACTATCATATGGTTACACAGGTTTGATAATCATCCTATGTACAGGTCCGGCAAACACTCCAGCTAATTGTGGAATGTGCCAGCCTCCCACGCGGCAAAGGCAAGGTTTCCCAACAATTGTTCTAAAGCTTTTATAAAATGTGACCTCTTACACGGGCACATCACAAGTGCCCAATCAGCACAAATCCAGTCAACTTAGCTGGTGCTAGTAGCTTGATTCGCCATTTCAGTCATCCACTTTGCACCTATTCTCGGCCCATGTGAGATGCTTCTGCCCGCAGCAGTACCTAAATTTTCTTCTACTCAAACTAGAGTTTGCTAGCTTTCACTTTTGGAGTTTTGTGAATTTAGGGTCACGCTCCCCTAACGACTTTATAGGGAGAATCATAGCCCAAAAAACCGAAGGGACATTCGGTAGAAAGTTGACAAATGCCCCTCCGAAAGTGTTTAGTTCTCTACGCGCCCTCACTCCATAGGGCTTGCCTTAGGCGAGGCGGACACGAAGGGTAATATTGGTACGCACTATCTGCGCTCTAGAGCAAGCTCCCAAACCGAGCTACACATAGCAACTTGGTGCAGGGGCTCACTGCGTTAAGTTCTCTAGTATGGATCTATCTAACTTAATACATAACAAGCGGGACTGACAAAAAGGATAAGTAACTTGCGTGCACTTCGCCGATTCGTAGCATATTACAAACAAGGTTGAAAATAGTGCCTAAGAAGAGCTTGGCTAGATACGTTAACCTTCGTGCTGCCTAAAGTCCATATCCCTTTTACTGATTTCGCTTTCTTTATTATTCAAATCGTAGCATCATAGTGAACACTTATGTTACTCTGTTCATTTGCTGTAGCACTCTGCTAGCACTGCTGGCATGTTAACGCGCCACTCTGTTGATCCTCAGCTGAATGTTGGCTCACCAAGATGGCATACTGCCATCCCGATCGGCATACGCTCTTAGAGCTAGAAGCAGTCAATTGCTGACTAAGGCAAAGACAGTCATGCAGCGGGCCTCTGTCATCTTGTCAGCGGTGTGAGCTACGCCAAAACTGATTTCGCCTTTTAGCCTCCTCAATTATTGCTGTTCCAGAATATTTTGCCAACATTACGCGCAAAAGATCCACTGGCGTCGATTTCGGCACAGTATGGAACGGCCACATGCGAAGATGTGCGGGGTGATCTCCCAGTTCGGTAGTCATTCACAGTTGATAACGTATTGGGCAGGTAGCAGGGTGCAAATACTTAAACCTGGTTCCATACTGCAGGATTTATTCATTGAAATGCTCCTCTGGTTACCCTTATCATCATATCTGTGTGCCTAGTTGCGATCAAATCCTTACCTTACTAGTTAGTGCTATCGCGGTGGAACCCTAGTAAGGTAGGTGAGTGGCGCTAAGCATCACTCACACTGCCTAGTGTAAGAGGACCTGATACTGTGAGCTGATTCCAGTTAGTAGGAGGAACCCATGTATTACTGACAACGTAACATGAGGAAGCTCTAAGACATCAACTGACGGTTAGCTACAATGGGTGCCAAAACGTGATTCCTCAGTTAGAACAGCATTCGAAGTATTCAACCGCAGTGCTTATCTTAATATGCCAAAGCATCTTCCTCTCTTGAGCAGCTATACGCGCATGATAATGAAATTACACTTTCAAAGGCCTGCTTAGGTGATTCGCACTCACATATTGCTGAATTCTTGCTTGAGGAAGCAGGTGAGTATTGATATCTTGGTTGCATGTATTCACACCTCGGTAGAAAGTGCAACGCAATCGTGTTATGGCCTGGAGCAGTCAGGGCGGCCCAGTGGAAGCTCTTGTGTGAGGGTTCTAGTGGGCAACTACCTCTCCCTAGTACTAATGGCGTGTTAATCAAAGCTTGATTGAGTCACCTCAGATATGAGAAATGGCCAGCCTATCTTGTTCTTTGCAGCTATCACAAGAGCCAACTTGCCGCTAAGTCAAAAGTTTGACGCTTGATACGATGCACGCGAATCCCATCAACATTTAGTTTGCAAGCCTGCTCTCACCTCCTTCCTCCTAGATATACCGAGCTTGCAGTGTGATGAGCGGGATGGCAGAATTCATGGGAAATGTTCATCAACGAAATTGTTTACTGAGCAGCGCCGCATTGTGGTCCCTGTGCGCCAACACTGCTGCCATCCTTCGCTCGCTCTAGATATAATGAAAAACCTTACTTTTACTTGTCTCGCACTGCCATGAAATCCGAGCTGATTACAACTTTTTATGTTATCTTAGTTAGATATATTAGTATTTTAGATACAGGATTGTCGTCGATTCCTCTAGGAAGACTGACAGTTGTTGATGACCAAGCTAAATTGGAGGTGAAAAGGCTATAACACACACTAGTGTGACAAACTGTTGCATTTCGCTTTAAGCTAACTAAAGGAGTGTATCACTTAAGCTGATCGAAGCTAAATGTCCCGAGTTCAGGGATGGGCCTCTTAGGGCAGGTCTGCAAGCTTTAACTCACGTTAGGCAAGGCATTAATACTAGAAAAGCTCTTGGAGCTCAATGAACGACTACCTGCGGACGAAATGGAGAGCACACCTGCTAACTACCTGATCACCTGTTAGAGCTTCTGGAAAAGCGGGATCAAGGGGAGGAGTCCGAGTTCAATATTCATCCAGAAGCCCTTACTAATAATTCATCCATAAAAATACTTTCCCGTCACCAGCTACTGATTTGCTACATAATCACTCTCTCCGATTGAATATATCTTCGAGAGAGCCGAAGGACAGCTAGACCGGTTGAAATTGTCTTTTCACAATTAACAGTCTTCGAGTGGTTGGGTTTCATGTTACTATAGCAGCAGAGATTTTGAACCCCTGTAGCTTCCTCTTTGGGCTATTGTGGAAAAAAAATTTTGAGGAATGCTTTAGCTCTACCGTCCGGAGCGGCCCCAAGTCACAACCAGTTGGTGGAGGCACCAGCATATAGGGTCTTGAGCAAATTCTTGTGTAGCAAGTGCGAGCGTCCTACTACTGCTAGAACATACTCACCATCATCAAACCTCCTTGATCAAGTCCCCACTCCTGGCCTTGCAGAGGTCTGGTATGCATATTGATACCTAGTGAGGCATGCTTGAAGCCATATTTGTGCCAAATTTGGCTGCAACATATTTAAGCTAAGACATGCACTTTCCAGTGTCCTTAAAGGCACTACCTGAACTGCCAGTATAAATTCATGTTTCCCCCTGCATATCAATATAGCGACATAGAAACTTTAAGAGGAGGCGTTCGATATGTTTAAGTGTTGTTTTACGAGAGTTTCGGCTGCTGCTCGCGCCGGAGTGCCCCAAGAGTAGGCACCTCATTGTGCTGATCTGCGAGAGCAATGTGCAGTGTGAGCAACCTAAATAAAAGCCGCATAGTCTTCAAACAGTACTACAAGCGCCAATTATCAGTAGATGGTTCAGCAAGAGAGTTGCTGGGGATTGAGTAGGGACTGCGCGAGTACCAGGGACGCCCGTGGGGGCCCTCAGCTCTAAATTTAATCTTAGGGTTTTCGGCGAAGTCACTTACAGAGCATCTCTAAATGTACTTGTCCAACATCGCCACATTTGCTTTAGAGGGTTTGTAGCCTGTGAATCCCCTGGGCTATTATGCTATGGCTGATTCAGTGGCAAGCTGAATGAGGCCATCCTTCTCTTTGGAAGCCTAGCGTTAGTAGTCTCCCGAAGTATATGGTATTATGTGGCTATCAAAGAGCGGAGTAGAGCTCATGTTTGGACATCAAGACTTGGGTCTCCAGTGCATTGCTACCCCAGGGGCTTAGAGTTTACGGCGTGATTATTGCCCTGAGCGTGCATCTTCCTCCGGAAGCAGTACACGTAAAGGAGGCTCCAGAGAAAACAGCTGAAGGTCAAGCGGGGGAAGATGCTGAATTACCTGATGGTGAAGAGGATTCGGATCTTTTCGTGGATATCAAATTAAAGGAACATATAGATTTCGCCCAGAAGCTCCTCAAAGACCGGACACTCTTACCACCCCGTAGAAGGAAGGAGCGAAACCACCATAACCTCGTGCACCTTATTTGGGCAGCGACACTCTTGCATCTTACCCTGTTTCTGCGCCGGCTCCCCCGTTTCCCCAGAGGCAAAGCCTTGCACCGCATGACAGCAGGTGACCCCCTCTTATTCTGGAAGGTCAAGCAGCTAATTGGTGACAATGTAGAGGCGGGTGTCAAAGGCGCTTGCAAAAAATGCCTCACGTGGTAAAGAGCCTTCTGGACTTTATTCAGTTGTCAAAAGAAAGTTTGGACCAGAGGGATGAACAAGAAAAACGGATGCACTCGTACCAAGAGCAGCTAATCACCTCGCTGAACCCGTTGCTTCTCGCTACTGACCGCATGGAAGCTGTGCTAAAGCAGTATTTTCTACCGGCATTAGCTTTACCGGCAAGCCATGGCGAGCTGTGTTTACAGCTGCAGCTTCTCCAAGGTGAAGGAGCACGCTCATCGGATCAGAAAGCGTTGTTTTTGAACGAATGGGGCGCTGATCGGATGAGAAACGAGCTAGGATTTAACGAAGAGTTGATCACGGCTCTACTTAGTGTGATGGTAAAGGACTCAGCTTACACGAGGAAGAAGGCTGCTCTGCAGGAATTCCAGACGAGTGTAGTGCTACAAGCCACAAAGAGAGGTAGCATTGCCTCCGCTTTCACAGGTGATCTGCGTTCGAATGAGGAGGTGGTCCGCGACGCAGCCAGTGCTGTTGAGGAGAGAGCGACACATTGCATGTTCTTGCTTCCAGAGCGTCAGTGGATGCTATTGCTTTTCGTGGAGCACCTTCCACAGCAGGATCCCGAATCATCAGTGTAAAGTCACACATGCGGTTTGTGCCGCCAGGGTTATGACAACCCCTTCTTTTGTCAGCTCTTTGATTACGATTTCAGCCGTGCTTTCTTTTAGCAGGGCTAGAATATAGAGCTGGCTATCGTGGTATTTGATAGAGAGGATGCTTCCAGAACACCAAAAAATCAAGTACTGCATGGATTTAAATTCATGTGTTAAGCAGGTAGAGGCATCACGGGACTAGCGCAAAATTCAGCGCTTAGAAGAAGCCCTTGTTGGCAATGGACTGTGTGGTCGAGCCATGTTTTGCAGCAACGGTTGGAAATGGCGTCATAAAAGCCTTTGTGCCCACGGCAATTTTGCCCTTTTGGCAGCATCAACTCCCTCAGACCGGGCATGTAGTGAACTGTGTATACGCTTACAAGGCAGTGCAAGTACGTCGGCAAGAGCACATTGGCCAAGGACTACACCTCTTGGGGCGAACAAAACGTGAAGAGCCTTTAAAGCCAAATTTGTGATGACTACCATAGGAATGGAGTGCTTGCCGTACGACTTACACTAAATGCTACTTGGCATTTCCTGTACTGGAGGATACCCTATGAATACCCGAATTGTTGATCGATAGTAGCGATTCCGGTTGTTCGGGCAGCTGCATTGTTCACAAGTCGAGTTATAGCCTACAGCACAGCCAAATGCAACTGGGTAGGCTCTGCCTAGCACAGGAAGTAAAGCAGTTATCACGAGCGATTTTAACCTTCCGTTCCTGCATGTTCAAGTCTAGTGCTCGAAAGATACAGGGAGAAAAGAACTGTGCAAATTTTGATGGCGTAGACTCTTGTGCTTCGGCGGCCTGTAACATTGGTGATGCTCCAAGGTTGCAGCAGCAGGTGTCCGTGGGTAGCATAATCCCTCATGTAGCTTGAGCTCGTGTTCACCTTGCTGATCATGAGTACAAGTGATAAAAGTTTTTGCTCGCGTGGTTTCAAGTGACTACATCTGGTACATCTCGCCAGCTGCGGCACTGCCATGGAGTAGCAGCGTTGTGCTTATCCAGAAAATAAAGTCGACTACTCCCTCCTTATGCGCACGAGCTACATCGATAAATTTGTCACAGCAACGCAGTTTATTGTGCTGGCCCATTTTATTGGGTGAAGGTTGCTATGAAGGGGGCATACTTTCATGCATTTTGTTTAGCTTTTCTCGGTATTTTTGATGAGGAGGAGATCGCCAGAGAGACCCACTTAGCCACAGCTTCGAGGTTAGAAAAGGAAAGAGCGAATTTTCATGTGGAAGTTTTTCAGTGAATGCACTTTACGCGCAAGAGCAGTTCCTTGAGTAGATTTTATGGATTATAGCTAAGGAGAGCTTTGCAATACATTAACTTTTCCTTCTATGGTGGCGCTGCTTAAGCTGATCCACAGCCTCTACGATTGTTCCTGTGTCTCTGTGTGTGTTGATGCTGTGGAGAGCTCCTGTTCAAAATACCGGTGGTTTCTTGTGGCATCCGTCGTAAATATCGCCTGTTCTCGCTCCGCCGTAGAGAACGTAGAGCTATACCCTGAAAGGAACATATTCCCTGTAAATTCATGGAGCAATATATAGCTTAGAACAAAAATTAATTTCGATTCTCCCAATGATACCTTGACCAAATGCTATTTCACTTTGTGGGGCTTTCCATGGGCGATTGTCAAATCATTGGCCGGACTCGGGCCGCAGCGAAGCACCGTGCCAGATTTACATACCACTGACTTCGCCTCTTTCTTTCGGTCTATTTAATAGGGAAAACATGTAACTTCAGGATTACAGGCGTATTCTCCTCTCAACAGCATCTTGCTCCCCACGCGTTTGCATATACTTGCGCTTTTTTGTTTATCGACGTGCATCTCGAATCCCGAGCGCTGCGCAATTAGAGAAGGCTTCCACTGCGAGCCACGCCCATTAGATCCTGTGTCGCCTACAAGGCCGGCGCAACTCATGCACCACCGTTTGACTTTTCATTACAGCATTGGTGGTCATCTTGAGCTGCTGCCACACTTGCCGCACTTAGAGAGACAACAGCAAGACTATTGCATTCCCATAATCTCGCTGACTCATTGCACACCTATTTCAGACTCGGATATTCCAGGCTGCCGGTGTCCCCCATGAAATTTTACAGGGTTCCCGTCCAGTGCATCTTTAGCTTAAGTCACTGTACCCAATAGCCATCACGCTGTCACGCTGTGTTCCGGACGTTCGCGCCCCCCCATTGCAATGCTGCACAGTGACGCTCCGGCAGTGGCTGCACCCATCCCAAACTCACGAGGGTGTAGTCTTAAGGGTCCCAGTAGGCGTTCCATCAGCAGGTCCCACCGGCAACAAAAAGCAGACATCAACGAGGCCCAGCGTGAAGAACCGGCAGATATAAACACTTTAGAGAGTGCTGAATCACAGCAACAATGCTTACAGAAAGCACCGGAAAAGGCAGCAGCTCGCTGGACCACATTTCCGGCCGAGGCCGGCTGGACAAGTGCCGTTCAGCTTGAAGTGCCTCCAGCGGATAGCATTAGGCGCTCAGAGAAGCCAAGGGCAAAGCCTGGCACTGTCGCAACTGTGGTGGGCAGTAAGGCGATTGCAAAAGCTCATGTCGAGTATTCGTTCAATCGGCAGGAGCCCTCGAACAAGAACACACCAGCTTCGTTGCCGGAGGTGGAGGATGCCGCTGATCCTCAGTCTGTAGAGAGTGGTGCCTTCGTGCAGCGACATCGTCAAGTGCAGAGCAGTGAACCTCATGCTGCTGCAGTGCATTCCCATGCTCAACAGACTCCACCTCCCACGCGGCAGGGGTTCAACAACGAGCCTGGCAGAAGGAGGTCATCCGTAAATGGCCGACAGCGGAAGGCAGAATTTCCACACCCGCGAGGGGGATCTTTGGATCGATGGGCTTGGACTCTGGTGGCACTTGCTGCACTGTTGCTGCGCGCACTCAAGGAAGTCTTGGCTATCTGTCTATGGCAGGCGCTCCAAGGCTCTCTCCAGCTTATGAACCAGTTAGGTAGTCGATGCAGCGTTGGGCTACACTTGACCGCTGCAGGCTTATTCAGAAGAGCCAGATTAGGAAGGGGCAGAATGGTCATTGCCACAGATGCACTTGCACGGCTAACACAGAATTCAGGGGATCTCATAAAGCACGGTGCAGCTACTGCCTCTGCCGCGGCATCCCGCGCCGCGGCAGAGGCAGTAGCTGCACGTGTTGCCGCTGTAAACGCTGCAGCAACGGCGGGATCCACATGGAATAGCCTTGTGAGCGCTCTGTGGCATGCACCTACTCCGGCGACAAACGCATCTGAGCCTGCTGGGGCGGACTCGGAAACGACTGAGACGCTGCCAGAATCGCAGAGATATGTGCAGTTGACCCCAGAAGAAGCGCTTGCAACAGGTGCGTAAACCCCCACTGTGGCATGCTGCATGCATCACCAAAGAAACTACACAAAAGTCGGCTGCTGCAACGCGCGCAAACCGGAGGTAGAATTTGCGAATTTGGTAGGACGCGTGCAGGCAATGCCTTTACGGTGTATGTTGGGCTTGTGCAGCTTGCTCATTATGGGCCGCATTGCATAACGACGCTCCTTCGAGGCGCGTTGGAGTTCTGCAATTTCAGGATTTGCTCCGCCGACGCTTGGAAGCAAGAAACGGATTTTTGTACCTAATTCCTGCAGAAATGTGGGAGGAGCGTGACGGGCACCAAAGGCTGTTAACCGGTACACCCGAAGCAGCAGGGGTGCACTGGAAAGAGCAGAGGTGTGAAGAACCTGTCGAATGTGAGACTATTCAAGTGGGGATTGTGGCTCGCGCAACGCGTTGCGTCCGCTCAACGATCCGTTCTACGTTTAGCGCCTGTGCCACGCTACTCTCGGTGATCTGCGCCCCTCTTCAGCAGCGGTCACCACACCTGAAGCAACAGCACGAGGCTACGGCATCCCGACCCTCAGAGCGCAACAAGCCCGTGAAATCGGGTGTAAAGCTTGCGATGACAGCCATCATCTTTATCCGGGTATACTGCGTCCTCCTCCTTTGCTCTTTGCGCTGCTCAACAGTTCAGCGAGCCTTCGTGTGTGCCCGATAAGGTAGAAGGTGATTCGTTCATGGCAAAACCAAGCCTTCGCCATGGGAGAACATTAAAGTTGCTACCACACTCTTTTGAGGAGCCTGCCATTATGCCCTATGTGCCTCTTGTTTGCAGGTTCTGGCGCAAGAGCTTCACGCGGCTTGCTGGCTTGTTGTAGCTGAAGGCTACCGATTTGCCAAATTTTTAGGGAAGGCCACGACTTGGCAGCTTGTGTTTCTGACATCTCTCGCCCGATATATAGCTTGCGAGGCGACCAATAAGGCGAAGGCCATCGTCGCTTGGACCTCTGTAAGCTGTTTGATGTGCAACGAAGATTCCCAGAAATGCCATGAACGGGTGAACGGGGGGGTCGCTACGGTTTTTGCGACTTATTTCCATCTTGACTCATGAAGGAGCGTTCCGTTTTTGGCTGCGATCCTACTTCCTGCAGGACTCACTGCTCTAAAGAGTACAATGCTAAATGCTCAGTAGAGTACGACGGCCAATCTGATATTTCTCGCAGTACTGGCTCGTTGGAACACCCCCACTGGGCCTTCATTGACAGTTGCCTTCCATACTGCGACCCTATCCCCAATAGTGTGCAATAAAGAACGTGTGTGAAATCCTGCTATGATTTTTTGAGCCCAGGAGTCACTGTGGACACTTTCGGCCTCGTTGGCTGACGAACTCTTGCAGGGCAGCTCTCAGGGTTTTGGAGAACCCCGTACCATTAAAACCGAATCCTTGCTGAATGTCTGTTAAGGGAACGTCAGCGTTACAGAGTAACCTTCTTCAGTTTCTTTTTTTTGTGGGAAAGCATAATGGTAAAGGGTGGTAAACACAGCACAGTGGATAAAATGTGGCCTCTTCTGCGGATCCCTCGAGTTCTGCAGTGAATGAAGAGGAAAATTTCTTCGTGCCAGACCAGCAGTTTCTGACTCGCTTTTGGCGCTTGCCGGAGTAACTGCATTAAGTCTGCCTTAGCCTCAGCTGCTGAATTGGCTCCCAGCAGGAGCAGTGTCCCGAGACCAGTTCTCCAGAAAACAGGAGATATGCAAAAGCTCTAAGCCTCTGCAGTTCGTCGCAATACTATATTACTGTCATGAAGGTGTGAAGGTTAAGATAGCAACAACAATAGAGAGCTGAAAATCGTAGGGATTCAAGATGATAGAGACGGATTTGGTCCAACTGAGACAGGCTCTCTCTATGCAAGGGTTTACATTCAAATGTGTGAACAGGAAGCGCTGCAATTAGGCATACATGAATTGGAACTAAACCAGTGGGATTTAAAAGGCATTGCCAATCGATCAAAACGAATGTTTTCAAAAATGAGGAAATTGGATAGCTGAACTAGACACATATCCGTTGAATTTACGGATATATGAAAATACCTATTTGGAAAGGAGATAACACATGCAGCAAGAAAAGCACTGCCTATGAGGCTGAGCTCGGGAGAAAAGGTGAAACTGGTGCAGGGGATAGAGCTGCAATTGTACGCTACTTTCGCAACGAGCGTTTGCTGTATTATATCTCTTGAAGTTTGCCTTTAGCCATTTCATTTAGAAGAAGCCCAGGCCTCCATTGATCAAACCATTTTCAAAGCTCGTCCTACAAATGTTGACTGCCCTTAGGCGCGCCTTTCAGCGAAACGCCATTTCGTTACTAGCAGAGGCCTGGCGCAGTTCATGCTGATGCGGGGCATAGCCCCCACACCTTTCGGAAGAGGTCCTGCGCTGTGTATGTGGCCTTTACAGCGGTGGAGAGTCCCCTTAAGGCCCCTCCATGATTACTGGGCAAGTTCACGCCTTTAGAAGACCCCATACAGTTATACCGCAGCGAGGCATTTGCGACCGCAGGGCGTCAGTTACTGCTCTCCCCTACCTGCATAATCCAAACACGAGTTTATCTTAAATACGTACTTTCGACAAGGCTGGAATACTCCGATGTGCTACTGCGTAATGCACCCACACACCAGCGGCGACACAGACCAAGGTGGGTATATCAGGGGGTTCCTCGCGCACACCTGAATTACACGGTTGTTAGAGCGAGAGCCCTGATCCGTTTTTCTCCTCCACTTTATGTGAAAAAGAATGCATATCCTTGCCGTGAGGCCGTAAGGCTAAAGAAACGCGTGTTGATTTTCTTCTTGTAGCTTCAACAGCTGCGGAGCCCCAGCATCCTGGCTAAGCCTGGGGCAATTTAAGAACACGCAATATCAGTCCTTCTGGTCTTAGAGGCGCATTAGCTGCCGCGTGCAACTACCGTGGTGAAGCTGCATGCCCCCGCTTAGGGTTACGGCAGCTCGGACTCTTTGGAAACTAGCACTGGTGCAATCGGTGCGCTGCTGCTATTATCCTTCGCGGCTGACGCTCGCAACGGGCTGCTTCTTCCCTGTGTGATACAGGAAACACCGATTATATGTGCTCTCTGTAAGCTGCTTTTGTTGAGATTTCGACGTTTCGAGTCCTTCGTGTCCCCCCTCCTGGCATACCCTGCGCCGCCAGATGCCCCCTTCGGTGCAACCGCGAAAACTTAGGGCTCACAGCTGTAAGGCTTGCTATTTGTGGTTTTCCTGCTGCTTGTGCTGCTCCGACCACAGGTTTAGCATTTCTTGCTGATCTCGTTCGCGTGTCTTTTGGTCCGGCATCCGCTGTATCAACCTGTCTCATTCAGGCCACTGCCCCAACACCCGTGTGATTCGCGCTGCTGAGTTGGTTTCAGCAGCCAGCGCAGCGCTTCCTAGACCCTCATTCCCCTCGTGTAAGCCCCATCTACGGCGCAGTTTTGTGCGTGGAGGCACAGACTTTGCGAGAAATGCCGAGTGTGGCTGGAGTCAGCCCTTCCTGAAGTCAACAAACGCCCCCAGAGGAGCTTTTGCTTGCCTCTGCTACAGCCCCTAACATGGCCGCTATGGCGGCTGAGGCGAGCGCCTCTGCCCTTGGCGTCCCTGATGATTCTACCCAGACACCTGTCGCATCTGCATCCGTGGGGGATGCAGGTGCATCATCTCCCGTGGCGGGGGGAGGAGGCAGCAACAACGCTGTTGCTGCCTCCTCCCCCTCTCCCTCAGCCGCGTCTGCTGCTGCCGGTGGCTGTGGGGGCCCCACGGGGGCCTCGCTGACAGCCTTTGCAGCTGCGCCTCGGGGGCTGGGGGGGTCTCGGTCTATTCCAACTCGCCACGCTGTGTCCAGACAGTCGAGTGCTGCCTGTCGCGTGGCTGCTGGGAGCAGGACGAAGTCTTCGCGGCTGTCTGCTGCCCTCAGTGCCTCGGGGGAGCAGCCAAAAGAGGCGCCGGATACGCATGCAGACGCTGCCGAGACACCGCGCGGCAGACAGTACAGCTCCATCGCGCTTGGGACTAGCAGTGAAGCCTCGCCTCCAGGGAGGACAGGCCGAGGCACGCGGCACACTCGAGGCGGTCTGGAGGCTTCTGTTGCTGCATCCCCCGCAGTGCTAGCGGAAGACGCCGTCCTGAGTGGCAGCAGCAGCTCCTTCACCAAGGCTGTTCGTCGTGTGGCTGGCCACCCTGCAAGTGCTGCAGGGGCCGCATGCGCGGCGACTCCGCAAGCGGCACCACTCGCAGCAGCGGCAGAAGATTCGGCTGCGGCTGTGGATTTCCGTGGTCTGCGCCGTTCTCTTCGGCAAGCCCTCTTGGCGACTTCGGGGAAGGCGCAGTCTCCTTCGAATGGGGGCAGCTGCGTGCCTACGGGGGGCGAAGGCCCCATGGGAGGCAGCAGCTCCTCAATTGTTGCAGGGTGTGGTTCGGCAGGTGCTGCCTCGGGTGTGACGGCTGGCGCTTACGGCGTGGTGAGCACTAGCGTGGCTGGAGGACGACGGCGCATGCGGCAGACACATCGGCAGCTGCTGCAGAGCTACGTTGTGGGGCAGCAGCACCAGCAGGTCGGCCTTCAGGCAGACGAAAGAAGCGGCTGTCTAGCGGAGTGGCTGGATGTCGACAGCACAACGGCCTGCTGCTGCTGCGGCTCGAACTGTGCCTCTTGCAGCTCCAGCAACAGCGGCAGCAATGACACACTGGGGGCAGCATTGGGCTCTGCGTCTCGCACACGCAGCAGTGGGAGCTGCACTCGTGGCGCTCTCGAACTGCAAACAACTGCCCCTGCAACCAAGAAGGAGAAACGACAACAACAGCAACAACAGCAGCAACAACAGCAGCAACAACAGCAGCAACAACAGCAACAGCAACAGCAGCAGCAAGGTGAGGGTGCTGCTCCTTCCGGCGCACAGAAACAGCAAGGCGATTCAGAAAAGGGGATACTTGTTTGCCCTTCATGGTTTGAGGCGGCTGTCCCCGTGGCGTTGGAGGGGATTCCCCGTCATTCGACGTTACGGCCCTCATCTCCATCTCGCGCTGCAGCGTTTTCATCCCGCCAGGCGAAGTGGGAGGAGGAAGACACACGCGAGGCGGCTGAGCTCGCAGCAGCGACTGCTGGCACACCATGGCCGAAGGGCAGCACGAGCAGCAGCTTTGGTGGCTACGGCGCAGCAACGCGTAACGGCGGAGTTGTTCCTCTTTGTTGCTACTGCGGACTGCCCCTTAGGCCTCCAGCAGTAGGCGTGAGGGGGGGGGCTGAGTCTGGCTGCCCCTTGGTTGCAGCTGCAGCAGCTGCTGCTTCTCTGGGGTTCGATTGCAACACGCAGTGGTGCCGCTGCTGCACGCGGGTGTATGGGGACCTCCGGCTCCAGCACCAGCGAGACGCTGCGGGACTGCCTTTTGCCGCTTTTTCTTTTCCCAAAGCCCCTCTTCGATACATCCTGCTCCCCGCGGAAGGTGCAGGAGACACTCCAGGAGGAGCTGGCTCCGTTGCCGCTGCCCTAGCAGCGGCCGCAGCTGCAGACACTCGCCGCAATAGGCCTGCTGAGGAAAATGCTTGTGGCGCTGCCGTTGCAGACGGAGACACCGAGGCGGCTGCCGCTGCTGCTGCTGCTGCCTCTGCTGCCTCTGCTTCTGCTTCTAACGCCACCAGCAACGGCGCCGTCACAGCCTTAAGACGCACCCGCAGCGGCCACCACTTTGCGCGAGCTTCGGGGTCTCGCACGAGTGGTCGCAGCAGCAGCAACGCGTCTGACCTTGTGCGGTTCTTAGGTGCCTCTTGCTGCTGGCCTAGCTGCACCTCCAGCAGCTGCTTTGTGCAACCCATCGCGCGCCTGCAGCAGCAGATGACGCAGCTGCAGCAACAGTGCGCAGAGCTGCAGGCAAAACAGCAGCAGCAGCAGCTGTGGGGCACTGCCGATGGGGCACCTGCCACACCCGTGGCTCCGAGAACAGGGGCTGGTGTCAAGCCTTCCCTTGTCGGCGGGAGAGTTGCCACCAATCCATCGTCACCGCTAGCGGCGGAGAAGGGGGGAGCAACCCCAGCGCAAGAGACGACTGCAGCGGTTTCAGCCGAAGGGGCAGCAGGAGGAGGCCGACCAGTTGGTACACGCGCATCTGTCTGTAAGGGCGTGCCTCCTTCTGACATGACTCTCGCGGCAGAATCGAAAGCTGAAGTGTCGCTAATAGGCGCAAACACCGCATCGAAACGAGGCCTGGCAGCACCTGAGCTAACTGATGCAGCTGCTACACCCCCTCCAGTGGACTCCAAATCTCAGTTCAGCCCCAACAAATTGCAAGGGGGCGCTCAGACGCCTTCTGGAGCCCCTGAAGCGGCGGCCGCATCTAGAAGTCTCTCTACTTCTTTCGCCGTTCCAATGCGCACCGTTGTCGTTCCCCGGGTGTACCTCGAGAGTACCAGCAACTGTTATGTCGCGACGGCCTTTGACTCTTCGCGGCGACAGCTCCTTCAGAAGCGCTTCTGCTGTTCGATCCTAGGGGAGCAGCGCGCGCATGCATTGTCGTGCCAGTGGCTGCGGTGGGTGCACAGGAACATCGCCAGCCAACTACATGAAGGTCGTCTTTCCCGAGGACAGCAGTACAGTACTCTGGGTATGCCTACAGGTGCTGCAGCGACAGCAGTGCAGGGGTCTTGCGCTGACAGTGAAGCAGCAACAACTGCTGCTGTCTCCCCGGGACGCAAAACGGATGGTGGCGGGCCTTGTTCGCACCGTCGCGGCTCGCAGCGAGGCGATGGAGCCCCCGACATCCAGCCTCAGCAGGAACAATTGCGAGTTGATCGTACGTACAAGCGCAGGAGGCGTTGCGGGGACTTCCGTGAGGGTAGCGATACAGAGGAGGCGCCAGTACATAGCGGGCGGTGTGCGACTGATGCTTGTGGTTTGGAGACAGTGGCAAGGGCTTAACGGCGCAGTAGAGCCAAAAGCGTCCACATGGCTGGTGCGAACACACTGCCAGCATGACGGTATCGTAGTGCCCAGTTGCCTGCCTACACTGCGGTCAATGCGGCTCCAGCGTAGCAGTTGGGGTTCAAGTGAGGGTGCTTACTTGGCATGCTTTGCTGGCGTGTCTCAGTCGTACAGGGTACGTATGACGGCTCGAACTCCATATGGAAGGGGAGGGAAGGACTGCGTGTTTGGCTTTCATGCAAAGTAATTTTGGAAGAGACAGCGGCCTGTTAGATGCGGGGCTGCGTGCAGCCCGGCATCGCCTCCTGCCAGCTTCATCAAAGACAAGCAGAGAGAGCGAAGGCACTGGTGGATACATCCAGTACAACATCGAGAATCAAGTAGGTGCTTGAATTCTCTCCTGAATGTGGTTGTTTTAGGGTAGGAGCTGGCAGCAGCAGCTCAGACTGAGAACAGTGGGTACTCAGGTGCGTGACCTACAACTTCTCTTGAAATTCGTACGTGGTTTCCGAGATATATCAATTTCTTGATACAACGCTTTTATGGCGAGGCCCGGCAAAGTACATACGTGGGTCTAAGAAGGGCACTACGGCTATACCAAGCTGACCCTAATCTCTCGAACGCCGTTTGCCCATTGCAGCGCTGCGTCACATAAAACTGAGAGAGATACAGATGGAACTTGGAAAAAGCGAAAATTACGTGGAAACGTAGCCATCAGGGAGGTTTGCAGACCCCCACTCTGCAGCATTCAGAACGCATGAGACGAGAAACGCATCAGACTCGGTAATTCTATTGCTCGATGATCGACCTTAGTTCTTTGGATGCGCGAACGGCCGTGGATATAACATTCATCCTTGCACTCGCACGGAGGCTCCTCTCAAAAGTCGTTCTATGCTTGAGAGAATATTTTAGTTGCGCTCGCAAAGCAAACAGGTGTCCCTTTACCCTCAGCCGAGAGCCCGCTTGATACGGGAAGTAAAGGCAGTTGTAGTACAAGTAGCTGCTATTCACTTGAATTCTGGACGTTTCACGCACAGAAACTTCGCGCACAAACAGGGTGCTGCGATATGGAAAGGACCGCGTTCTTTGAAAATGGAGTGTAGGAGCAGACATTTCCTGGTCAGCGCTTGGTTAAATTATTACCACAATCAGAATGCCTGTAATGACTATGAATAGCCTGGAGCCCTACACAGCTGAGAGTTGGTTTTGTTTCGCTGCAACAAGGTGTGTGGTAGTGAGCCCAGCATGTTTGTCTATCAGCGGTCAAGTATTGTGTCTCTCTTTGACCTAGACGTGCTGCTGCAGCAGTCCGCTGAGACCGATGACCGAGTTGCGATGGAAAGTCCCTATAGCCGCACTGGAAAACAGGGAGTCAGTATAAACCTGTGATTTCCTGCCGTGCCGTAGGACGATTTATAGAGAATCTGGAGTCCGACTACCCGGTATTTTGACTAGCGGTCTCCTCTTCCACTGGAAGAATGACATAACTTTCCCATATCAAGGCAGGAGCCAGAAAGGTTAGGGATTCTCTAAGTCCCTGAACAGCTGCTAGCTGCCGTTGCTCTTCACACTACAATCGGCGTGGCGCATTGGGCACCTACTGCCCAAATAATTCACCTGCATAAAGGCAACATTGCTTTCAGCTTATAGCGGAAAGCTACACGTTGGCAGCAAAAGCCAAGGTGTGCCTCCCCATCGTCAAAGCAGGTAGTGATGCAAATGCCAAACACAGACCACCCATCCAGGCGTACTACCTGTATATCACACGAGGAGATGTGGGGAAAGATGCATCCATGTAACGTTGTGCCTCTTTTCCTCCCAGCTAACCGCTTGACACACACCAGTTCCCACCAAGAACAAGTGTAGAATTAAGGGCAGAAAACTGGAACACAGGCAAAAGCTGCGTGCCTTTGCTTAGTGCAGATTGCCCACACTGCCTTACGAGCCGCTGCTGACTTTCTCCAGACCTTCATGTATTGCATCCGTGAGACTGCTGACTGCCAACATGATGGTATTGAGACTCTCAGGGGGCACCGTACCCTCCAGGATCGCTCTTTCAGCATTCTCCACTGCGGCCTGGGCTTCTAACACAGCTGCGCTCATGGCTGCCTGAGCGACGGACTTCGGACTCGTGCCGAACGCTGCCAACATTGAACGGATAGCATCTTCTAGTTTATGCATTTTTTCCACTAGCTGTTTCGCCTTCGAAACCTTAGGATCATGAGAGTGGCCCGTTGCACCCTCTTGAGCACTCGGCATTGTGGGGGGTTTACTCGGAGCAGGTGGACTTGCACTAGGGGGAGTTGGAGTGGTCACTGTCGTGCTCGGTACAGCTTGTTTTCCAGTCAGAGACGCTTTAGTCTTGGATAGAAGCATTACTTGCTGCTGAAGAATTGCTTTCGCTAAGTCTTGCTTCTCTACAACGCTTTTAATACCAGCATCAAGCGCTTGCTTTGCAGTGGTGTGCAGAGGTAGGATCATTTCAGCCCGCAGCTTCACGCAGGATGCAACCAAGTTGTGTGCCATCACAACCGCCTTCTTCAACTTGGCACAATTTTCTGGAGATGGCGACTCTAAAAAATTAGCGATGACAAGCTGCAGACCCCTTGCTGCCAAGAGCAGCACCAGCAGGCGGTCCATTACCGGATGTGTAGGCTGTCCGGGCTGGAGCACTGCGCTGCTCACTTCAGCGGCTTGCAAGTCAAGAATCATTCCCGTTGCCTTGAGAATCGCTTGCTCGCATTCATCAAAAGCGCCCATCATCTCCACCAGAATTTCAGGCTGCAGAGTGTCTTGTTGCTGCTGACACATGCCCCTGATGGCAGACAGCTGAGAATTTGCAGCCTGACTTGCTTGCATGAGAAACCATAATTCACTCTTGCTAGCCTCCGTGCCGCTCGCTACAGATTTTTCTACATACTTCATCACCTCATAAAGGAGGTGCCGCAGTACCGATAACTTCACTTTGTGTGCTCTTACCCCATGTTCTGCTGTGGATGCCGATGACAGTGAGGCAAAGGTGGCAGAAAACCTCGGCGCCGCTGGTGACGTAACAGGGACGTCCGGTTGGGGCGCTCCGGCTCCTACGATGCTGGTAGATGTTCCTTCACCTGCTTCTTTTTGATCAGTCTCCTCGATATGTTTCGTCTTTGCTTTCTTTTTTTTCGGTGAAGATTCAGGAGGAGGTGGCGTTTGGTGCACATCGGAAGGATGTTGGGTAGACTCTTCAGCGCCCGGATGAGGCCGTTTTCCCCCCGATTTATCGGCATCCGATCCACCCTCTGCTGCAGTTTCCTGCTCACTTACGCCCTGTGGAGCCCCGCCCCCTGTGGTGCCTGGAACGGGTGTTTCTTTATGGGTGGTCTTCTGACCCTCGTCTGCATTTGCATTGTCATCGGAACCATCTTCGCCTGGAGGACCTGGGAAGCACGGCGTACTGGGTTCCTGTGCACCGTCACCTTCTGGGCCGCTGTTGCCTTTGTCGGACCCTGCAGTCCTTCGCCACGAGATTCCACCCGCTCCTCAGAAACTGATATGTCTAAAACAGATAAAGATGGAGAACACGAGGGTAGTGGTGACAGCCAAAAGGATCAAGCTGTACAATGGTGTCATATAGTCCCTCTTTCTGAGGCTTCTGTAGGCTCCGGAGCCATAGTGCACGCTCCCATAGAGTTTTGGGTGCTTCAACGATACCAACCCCGTGTTTGAAACATCCACGAATGACGGCGCAGCATAAAGCGCCATCATACATCGCCTTTACATCCCAACGTGCTTCTCTAGCTTTAATACATATACTGCAAGATGTCCGAAGCTGTCCTATGCTTCTGCTTACAAAGTCTCGATGACTCTCCCCTCTGCATCGAAGCTCCCTGCTAACTCAGGATCAGCCAAATATCCACTGAACTAGCCTGCCTGATGCGCAGGATCAAGTAAGATTAATAGTTTTGGAAGTAGAATAATAGTGTTCTAGCGATACAAGTTGGCAGCAACCGCTGCGCTCCCTATCTCGTGGGGAGCCAGCACTCAGTCCTGCTGCCACATCTGCCAGCCTCGATCTTGGATTGCGGTATGCGCAGGATTTGCATGCAGGGCTCCCAGCTTTTTTCCTTGGCTGAATTGAAATACAAATGCAGCATCGGAGCGTCTTTAGACGTGTTCTTGTTCCTTTGCTCCGTGCAGCACCCTCAAATTAACGTTTCTGTGATAGCAGCGAATGACGTCCAGATCGGGTACTTCGAAGGGGTAGGTTAAAGCCCATTACGCCTAAAGTGATTATGCACACTGCAATGTTTTCTTTAAACTATTGAAGGGGCTCTACTTTCTATCAGCAAAAGCCTCCGCTGGCTTAGTTGGGGCCTTAGTTTCTAAGCGTCGCTCGCAGTCCATCGGTCACATTTGAGGGTGCTGAATATAATTAACACTCCGCACAGCTCTAGCTGACGGAATTCGGGAGTGAAGTACTCACCTACATAAAGTCATCGAAGTACCCAAACGCGTACATTTGCCGCTGCACAAGGCGTGCAGATGCCCTAGATAGGGGCTAGTCAAGGGTGCCTGGAAGTTCGGCCACAATTGTTCACCCTGCTAACTGCTACGCACCAGGCTGGGAATACGCCGCTGGAGCCAAATTGTTGTATGTATAAAACAGAAGAATAGGGCATTCTGCGTTTTAAATCGAACCTGTAACGCTGCATCGAAGATATCCGTACGGAGGTGTTCAACTCCAAGACTCAAAAAAGTTCATAGAAGGTTATTGAGTGCGTCTCATATGAAGTCCTGCCTTCTCCTGCCCCAGCCTCCGCATCTTCGACATCTGGAGAGGACAGCTAGGGTGCGCGTAGCTGTCTGCACCCTCTCAGAACCTTGGTTCAGCCAGTTGCACAGAGCATCTAGGGCACACACACGCAGCTTCCATCGAGCTAAAGGTGCTGTGCACTATATAAAATCACCGAACAGACAAACGGGCTACTCAGTTCATAACGAGTTTTCAGTTCAATCAAACTATTGTAGTAGAAAGTGTATCAGGGTTGTACAGCCCGCTCAAACAGCTAGTCAGGCTCCTCAGCCAAGTAATTGTGGGTCGACAATTTTTATTCTGGCAGCGCGCTCAGCGACCGTTTTCAGATGTGCAAATACCTTCGGCAAGGATGATACAGTGCCACCGTTCATTTTACTTGGAACAAATTGGTAGGGCGCACCTGCAAGACTGTACTCAAAACTCTGGTTTGGGCAACAGTGGCGGAGCATCATTGTCTCTTCGTTGATTCACGAGGTAAATCTAAGAAACATCGGGATGCGTGTTCTGAAGTACCAGCGCACAGGTGCAGATGTGGAGCTGTTGAACTGAGATTTCCCGCTGGTGCCTCTCATTACGATTATAGGCAGTGAACGAAGTGGCAACGCAAAACAGCCTAGCAACCCTTTCAGATTCAGCCGCTACTGCCTACACTGACTAGCGGTCAATGCTGCCTTTGACAGTGAAGCAGAAGATGGTAAGGCCATAAAAGAGGCCTCAAAAACTCTTTGGAGGCCCTGGTCTTCCTATCCCTTTTTTATTCCAGTCTACTTTTCTGTCTAAACATCTGAATCATTAGTGGTGGCATAGTCGTGTAACATGCAAACGAATAGACGCTATTTGTTGGGTTCTACGTTGGTGGTAAGGTGAGTGAGCATTACTACCATTCATCAAATCCGTACAACCATTAACAGCAGCTGCAAGACCATCAAGCATCATTAACATCAGCTCGAGGCCCTTCTTTTCCCTTTGATATCATCTTGCAGTTACGTGACGGTTTTGAATGCGATCAGGGCTAATCTTGAAAGTGTCTCGCCTTGGGGTGCACCCGTGAAGGTAGCCCGGATGGGGCCCCCTTTCACAGCTTTTAGAACATTAAATATCAAGTGCATAAGCAATTTTTATACATCACTACCCCCGCCAATCCAGTACTGCTCAACGAGCAGTACAACGCTGGACGCAGCATATTCAACGTCTCTCACCACTTCGTTGTACTGGCTGGCCATTGCCATACGCAGTGGCACTGCTCCTGGTCCTTCTCCCCGTGCTTGTCCTGCAGCTCCTCCGAGTAATTGTGGTTGTGCTTCATCTGAAGCGATTTATGAAGTAGTTTATTTGACTAGCTTTGGGGGGCTGCTTCTGGAGGAACCTTCCGAAACAATGAAACGGTTAATGTGCTTTGTTGCGGTGTGGTTGGTACTCCAGGGTCCGCTAAGGGTTGTGTACCTGACTGCTGTGGCACGAGGCTTGGTCCAGGCCCGAATTCCAGAGCCTAATTTAGCGGAGGGCTTTGGTGAGACGGTTTGGGTTGTAGTTGAGGTGAGAGAAGAACTGCTAGTATGAGTTCCCAAACGTCCCACATAGATTGCTGCTCTAGCTCTCTGAGGGACGTTTGCGAAGAGTTCTCGTGCTGCCATCAGCCGCTCATCTCTCTCTGCCTCCAAATCCATCGGCATGAGGGCAGAGTGATATTGTTTAAGCTCTCTGCTGGGAAAAAACTGTTTGATTCAGCGGGGTCTTTTTGAAAGACACTAGCTAGAAGTACATGCAGCTCTTGGTAAGCCAGTTACCACGGATGACCGCTTACACTGCAAGGTGAACCTCATCATCCATTGGAAGAAGATGGTCCTGTGCTTTGTGCAAAATGGCACTGCGCACTGAAGTCGGAATGTGAAAGCAACGAAGTCCACGTTTTGTTGTGAACCAAAATAGACCATCCTTAACGTGGTAGTGCTTCAGCCTTCTTCCATGCTGGATTTAGGTAATAGTAGCTTATGCATGTGTGTCAAAAGCTAACAATACACGTGCTTCCAAAAGCAACCACGGATCATCACAGACAAGAGCGGTATCACTGCGTGATAGTAAGCTACTCAGGTGACGCGAAAGCGCATCGGCGACCACATTGGTGATGCCCTAACCTACCTCACCTATAAAAATTCTAGTGCGTTGCAGACCTCAACCAGCGAAGAACTCGAAGATTATCAAAGGTATGGACGCTCTTTTAAAGGTACAATAAAGAGTGATGCTTGGTCTGATCAGCGAACTGACGCACACATAAATAGTGCCGGCATCTTTTCCTCCCTACGAAGTTGTTTAGAAAAATTGGTAGACAATCTTCAAATGGACTGTATGCTTGAATATCTTATTTATTGCAGTGTAGTGTTAGCTGGACACAAGAAGAGATATTACTGGGTGCATCTGCCCCAGATACCACGTGCAACCAATTATAAACCCCTAGAGTGCTGAGGGGCGCAGCTCCAGGCACCCCAGCTGCCCTTCTCGCCTCATGCCGTAAACTCCGCGGGTTGAGGGCAGGTAAAAAAGGGGGATTTATCAGGGAAACACTTGACTTTCGATTATGTTAATAATGAGTATGGAGTTGAAGCTCTCCTTTCGAAAATCTTATAAGGTGCATTACTGCGACCGTTACGAGTGCTTTTCCAGAATCTTTTCCCCTTCTTCCTGCCCTCATCACCTGGGATTCTGGCTTTACTGCACCCTGTAAGCACTGTGAGCATTCGCAGCTAGTTATTTAAAAAACATACAGCGCACAGGCATATGCAGCTTTGTTGCATTCGTAGAGCTAGCACAACGCTAAAAGAACGTTACTTAGCGACCGAAAGTAAGGAAGCTTCGCTCATTCTTGTTCTAATATACCTAGCAGTTAAAACTGCCAGAGCGTAGCCTGGTGGGTACAGTATTCGCTCAGGGCTTTGAATTGTGTATTTCTCCGGCGAAGGCGACAGAGGTCCCATGGCCGCATGGCCACTCTCTCAAACATACAGCTCGAACGGTAGGCGTTCGTGTGAATACTCAGATGATGAGCAGGCGTAGACAAACGAAAACAGAGCCATGCCCCCATCGGGTGCGCTATCAATATGCTACCATGCTATAGATGATCCAAGCAAAACAGGAAAGAAGAGATCCATGAATACAAATTTTGAGGGAGAGAAAAAAAGCCTAAAATGGAAAATACGAAAGCTATGTACAGAAGATCCACGCGTATGCGGCAACATAAAACAAACATGGCCTGCATCGGCACGCATGTGGGGCGCGGCCCACAGAGAAGCGAGGCTGAAACACTTACCTGGCTACATATTGACTGTAAGACAAATAAAAATTGAAGGGCTGCAAAGACCCTAAAAGGTGCACAGAAAACAAGCAACATAGAATGGCAACACGAAGAAGATAAGTCATGTGGCTTCCAGTTGTGGACCCCAGAGAGTTTGTGTAGGATAAGAGCATTTTACTGCTCTTCTAAGACGACCGCTTCAGTAAAGCTTATTTTATTCATTGTTTCATTGGTGCAACTCAAGCCTGCTTCTTCTCAATCCGTAAACAATCTCCTTCTCCCTTTTTACTGCGTTTGGATATGGACCTCCAGCGCCGCAAACGCCGCGGGCTAACTGCAGCAGAAAGTCAGCGGCGATTCAGCCGTCGACCAGGATCGGCGGCAGGCAAGAAGGGCCCTTTCGATTCCCAGAGCCCCCATGGCCGGCAGAGAGGGAAGGGAGACGCTGAAGGTCACAGGAGGCAAGCAGCACCTTTCGGCCGCAAGCGGCGGAGGGCAGAGGACGAAGATATAGAATCTGACTCTGCATCTGGCTTGGATGCCCCTCCCTCTTCAGACAGCGATTCAGAAGATGGTAAGCGCCTCTCATGCGTGCTGCTTTAGGTTCGGCAGTTTGGCCGGCACCGACCTTTTGAGACAAAAGTGGCAAGCATGGGGTTAGGGGCTTCATTCAGCTGCTTTGGGGTTTGTCCTTTGCGTGTCTCTGGCGTTGCTGTACAGCGGGAGAAACAGCAGACGAGGTACGTCTCCGCGTGGCCCGTCAATATTTAAAACAGTTTTCTGAGGCGGCGAAAGGCAAGCTACGGGAGGGCGGTACTGCAGAAGCGGCTTCACGGACCGCAGGGGAGCTGGCAGCAGATCCAGCTTTTGATTCGGCTGGGGGTACAGATGACGGCAGTGGGGGCTCGGGCGAAGATGATTCTTCTGATGACTTCTTCCAAGATGAGGATTCCAAAGCCGAAATGGCAGCCAAGCTCCGACAGAGGGCCGATGAGAAAAAGGTGTGTTTTGGACAGAGGAACTAGGGGCGGCCTTTTTGACCGCTTGCTTATGTAGTTTGCACATATAAAGCATAGGGAGCTTCAATGGCTGCACAGCGAGCGTGCAAATGTATGTGCGCAAATTGTTGCAGTTGCAGTCCAGGCCCACAGTGGCTATGGCGTCTCGGACGCGCTTCGGCAGTTCAACGTTCCTTAGAGGCCACAAGCTGGCTGTCACGTGTGTGGCACTGCCTGGAGAGGGCACTGGGGAGGGAGCAGCAAGTCGGCACCTGTACACTGGGAGCAAGGATTGCTGCATCATCAGGTGGGACGTGGATACAGGGAAAAAGGAGGTATTCAAGGGCCAGAGAAACTGTTTTGGAGAGGCTTTGACGCGAGCAAAAGGACGGGGTTCTGGCGTAGGCTCAGGAGGTCACTTCAGACCGGTCTTGAGCGTTTGTGTAGCCGAAGACGAACGTGTTTTCTTTTCTGCTGGGGCCGACCACACCATTAGGGCTTGGGATCCGCGAGCTTCTAATGAAAAGTAGGGATTTATTTCGTTTAATTGTAATTAGCCATCAAGACGCACACGACGCTCCCGTATTGTACTAGAAAGCAGGCTAAGCCTGGAGCCCCTTCATTTCACACTGCACAATGCGATCGGAGTGTATGCATAATGCGTCAGATGGCACACTTGTGTTTTCTTGCTGTGCGCAGGTGTATGTTTGAACTGCGGAGTCACAAGGGCCCCGTAACCGGCATTTGCCTGAATGGGGGAAGCTATGATGGTGCTGGCCAGGGAGATGCCGAGCTTCTTTCTTGCAGCGCTGATAAGTCCCTCAAAAGCTGGAATATCGGCTGCCGCAGCGTTTTGAATCACTTCTACGGGCATGCGACAGAAGTGAACTGCATAGACACTCTACAGCCGAACAAGCCCATCACAGGCGGCAGCGACGGCACCCTCAGGAACTGGAAGGTAGGACGAGTTTTTGTGCAGACTCCAGGGCGAGAAAGGGATGCAGAAGGGAAGAGTTTATGCATGGCTGTTACGGCGATTCGGTAGTTCAAAGGAGGCATAGCGAAGGTGTAATACTCTGGGATTATTCTTTCTATTGCTCTACTTGCGCAAGGCGAGAGTGGCTCCTCACTGCGCGGCCTGTTCTTAATACGCGATTGCTTTCGCGTGTACGTGGCCTCTTCCAAGTTCCTTCAAGTGTCGTCATTATCAGTCGCTCTCATATGCTGTGCTGTTTGCCGTTGTCGCGCCCTCATTCTTCCTTTTACCTTTTCGTCGTTCGGCACTGCCGCTGGACTTCGATGCACGCCAGTTATTTAGGTTCCCATGTCTGCAAAGCCTTCGCTTCCATCCTGTATCGACTGTGTCGGTGTGGAGAGCCACTAAGGCATTTGCTTGCGAATGAACTCACGTCCGTTTTCTCATGGGGTTTTCGACGGTCTCGCTGGAAGTAGGCCGTTTAGGCGTCTCATTGCCTCTGTTGTTGTGTGGACTGTTTGCGTTGCATCAGCTGGTTCAAGACACTCACACGGCCTTTCCCCCCCTCGGATCGTGCGTGGACTCGGTGGCCATGTTGTCACCACATCTCTTTTGCTGCGGAACACAAGGGGGGCTCTTGTCTCTGTTCAACAGCGGATGTAAGAAGCCCTTGGCGTGCGTTCGGGTACACCAGCACGACGGCAGTCCTTCCTCCGATAACGCGTCATTAGACGCGGCAAATGCAACGTATAGCAAGGCTGTTCTAAGGGCCACAGGAGACGCAGCAGGGGTCTCGGCCCTCCGTGCGCTGCCGTTTACAGACGCACTTCTAGTGGGCACTGAAGGGGGGAGCGTGCAGCTCTGGTCGGCAACGCAAAATGACAGTGAGGCTGGCCTTCCCTGCACTCCCTTTTGTAGCGCTGTTATTCTCCTAATTTCCTCCTTCTGCTTTTGTAGCCGGACCTTTGGCCATTTTGGCAGATCGAGGACCCCTCGCAGGCCCCCGCAGCTGCTCCTGGCAATTTAGTTTCCCTTTAACTTGGACAGACCGGTACACCTGTGTGGCGGCAGGCTGTAGCTGCACGCCGTATACAAGGCACCAGTGCTTGCACGTGCGCTTCCTCCTGTGGTTTGTTCGCTTCAGGGAAAGGCGGTTGTGGCAGCTTAAAGCCCGTTGCCAATGCTACAGAACGGGTAGCGGGGGTCGTCACTGGTCTGTGTGTTTCTCCGGACAAGTCCTTTGCAGCCGCTGCTGTCAGCACCGAGAGCCGTTTAGGGCGTTGGTACAAGAGTGATGGTGCCAAGAATGGAATTCAAATCATTCCGATCATGACGGACTAAAGGGATGGCACGAGGCTGCCAACAGCTCGCTTCGTGCGCACTTCATGGCTCTGTCACGCATTTCCTCTCCTAGGAGGGCAATCGAAGACTATGGCGGGGCTGCACACTACAGGAAACGCAAACTGCTTTTGCTACTTGCCCCCCGTAACTATAAGGGGGCTTGCTTTCCTTTGCCGAGGAACACTTCCATTTGCTAGCTGTCGGTACGACTTCTCGACAGTTTTTTTAATGATACTTTACACGAAAGTGTATGTCTGCAGCAGTGTAGAAGCCACTCTCTGTAGCAGAGGTTTAGTCTGTAGGCCTGGCCTGAAGCCCCCAGGCAACAAGCCGTCTCGGCAACCACGGCGAGGCGAAGGAGACAACACACGGAGGGTTGTCAGAAAGCCATACATAAAGGGGCTCCCCGGCTAATGACCGGCTGCACCACTACAGCAAATCCCCGCTTGCTGTTTCTCATGGCTTCCCAATAGATCTATGTGTCCTACGCAAGGCAAAAATATGACTGCGGGACAGCTGCCATGACTTCTATGCCCCTTGCCTCGGAGTTTTCGACGTTGCCGCTATGTTTGACTGCTGCTTGCTCAATGCACGAAAACATCCCCAGATAGCCCGTCCCTAGATCCAAAAGTACCTATACTGTTGTCGTTCCTTCCTGCGAAGTTCTGAGGTATACCAGAGGTACTCCAAGGCCTTGGGGGGCAAGGCGTCCAGCAGCTCGTTGTAACTCAAGAACGCGGAGGGTGAACTGCTGCCACTGACGGTGCCCCTGCTACCTGTATTGCTTGATGCCTGGATATAGCTGAAGCATAGTGCAAAGAGCTTATCGGCCATCATTGCTTGCTCTCTATCTCCCTGAGGATGACACCAGAGCCTCCTGAATCCAAGTCGTTCCATGCGCTTCTCCCGCGGCAACTTCTCCGCTGTCCACACTCTCCGAAGCAGCGCCTCTAGCTCCGCACACGCATTCTCCAAGACGCTAATATCCTCCTCGATCTCCGTGCGCATCGCCTCAACTAGTGTTATCTCATCCTGCAAAGATGAGTGGCCGGCGAAAAGACTGCTGAGAGACTGCGTCCTATCCGGCAGCTGCAATGCGGAAACTGCAGGGGGCTCTTGGTGACGCTGCTGCTTCGGGTGTTGTAGCTGCTTTGACGCCGACAGGGAACCTGGCATATCTGATATTTTGTATGCTTCGGGTATATCCTTCATGTAGCGTGTTTTGCCGCTGCCCGTATGCCCCAATACCATGCCGCTCGTTCTGCTCCCATCATCGACATCGCCTTCTCTGCTGTGCGACCCCACTGCTTGCCGCCTCCGCGCGATCTTATCCTTAATACTTTCTCTTAATTGCTGCTTGTCCCTCTCCAACCTCGCCTTCAAAAGTCTCAATGCCTTGTAAGTCCCAACCTGCTGCGCCAGCTCACTCCAAGAAGGCCGCATACAGACGCCTACGCCCATTGCCGCCAGGGAGGCAATCGATACAAAATCATACTCCGCAAGTCCTCTTGTATCGGTACTGGCTTCGTTGCCGCCGCTGTTGCTGCTTGGGTTACTGTCCAGGGCATGAATCACCTCAAGTCTCTCCCTGAGAAGAAAGGCCCTGTACCGATTCGCGCGAGCACTCAACGAGGAAGCGGCTGGAGGAGGGTCTCTTGAGTGTCTCACTTTTTCTGCTGCTGCACGCGGACCTAGAGGTGCCCCTAAGGGCTCCTCATCAGACCAGAAGAGCTCGGCTAGCGCCAACTTGGGCAGCTGCAAGAGTGCCTCCAGACCCATGACGCGCATGTGTTTTTGTCCGGCACAGTGAGAAGATAAACTCCACTCATCCTCTGTTGATTCGGTTGCCTCACTGTTACCTGCTGCATTTCCTGCAAGACGGTGGTGATCGGGGTCTTCTGCTGTCTCAGGCTCTCCGGTCATAGGAGAAAAGGTTCCTACTGTCGCTGTCGCTTCCCCCCCTCCAAGCACGCCTTCCTGATGATCCTCTTCGTTGGCCTCCTGCAGAATCACGTGAGCGCCGGTGAGTTCCCCTGGTCCATTGGAATAGGAAGACTCGGCAGCTCCCATTTGCGTCGGTTGTAATTCAGGACGAGTCTCACGAGACAAAAGAAGCCATTGCTGACCACAGGATGCGCATGAAAGACTGATTTAGTACACATCTAAAATAGAAAGATGAGAAAGAACTGAGAAAAAGAGCGGGCAGATGGGAGAAGGATGCAGCGATGAGGGCGTAAGTTCCAGCGGACAAGGAGTCCACGAGTTATTGCCTTGTGGAAGCATCACCAACCACAGTACCAAAGCAGACACAGCAAAAAGGCTAATTGAATGGCAGTGTCAACTTTGAATCTAAAGAGAGCAAGGCACGATTCTGTCCAGGACCTCGAATGTGGCCCTGTCGCAGGCCCTCCGTAGGAAGTTCCTGTTGTACCCTTACGCGCAATTTGCAGCTGATAGAAGGAGGAAGCGACATAAAGAGAGAAAATGTCCTAGGAAGGCAGAGGAAAGGATATAGTAGGACGAGAATGCATGCTGCAGTGGCTTGCCTCGATTGACCCGTAGCGTCAGGTTCAGCCAAACACAAAAGTCGCCATTTGTTTCCTTGTAGCCCGTGAGTTTTGCTTCTCTCTATTGAGTGTAATCAATTTATGTGCATCAACTCACCAGATCATGGGGAAAGCCAGTGTGAAGGCAACGCATTGAAGAATTGCACAAGATCGATCATTTCCTTCTGGCCCCCTGCCTGCGGGGTACATTGGTAACTCAAGGACACGCAAATCGGCCTTGAAATGAGTAAAAGTCCTGTTTCTGCTTCGGTGTTGCGGTATTCCGTGCTTTGATTAATGCCTGCTTCGAAAGGAATACACGCACTCCAGATGTGTTGCTTGATGGATGGGGCGTTCTCATGACTCGCCTAAGGTACATATTATGCTCTCACGCGGTAATATGCCACACTGTTAGTGCATGTCATGCGATGGTCGCAATCAGTGTTAATGTAATGTGATTTCTCCCCATTGGTCTTCAATGCCAACGGGATTTTACTTAGTTAACGGCGAACGGAACCATGACGTTCTTTAGGGTTGCCAGATGCCTCGTCATGGAGGTAGCTACTGCAAGAAAGCAGTCTTTCCGCTGTCCAAATCGCCACCACGTGAGGTACCACCAACTATGCCCTTGCATGAAGAAGCCTGCGCGCATATCGGAGTTGTTGAGGGAATGTGTGATCTATGTTTCAATGATCGACTGAGCGGCCTACAAGTCGAATCGATCGGCACTTCTCCGGTATAATTTTCTGTCTCTCTGCGCTTACTAGAAGAATATCGTATCAATAAGGGCGCAATTCAAACAGTGAATCCACACGGAGCTCAATTCTATTGGCTTCATGCTTCATAATTGTGCTACAGCTTTTTATATAAAGCATGGAGGCAATAATAGTCTCAATGATTTTGCTGCTCAAGTTTCGTTGTTCCGTACAAAATCTCACCTTATTACCACATACATTTTTATGGCCAAAGATGACTAAAAGCGGCTACCCTCCTCAGCCACTTCATGCCACCGGCGTTGGATACAAGAAAAGTAACAAATATTTCCGTGCTTTTACGCTCCATCAACGGTTCCACAAGAAGAAATCCTGCCTCGCAACGAAAAAGCGTTTAGTGCCCTTACACAAGCGCTATTTCCTCTTCTCGCCTTCAGCCCGTAGGGTTCTAGCAAAAGAGGGGGGCTTCCACATTGATAACAAATTTAGCTGCACTCCATGAAAAACCTTTCACACTTATATGCATAGAGAAACTTGGTGAACAGCCGCGCACAGCACATTGCTCTAGCGCGGCGCTAACTGACCATACTCTACAACAAATAGTAAATATGAAGAGCCAAACCACCCAGCCCACTCTTCACCTTTCCGTACTCCAGGGCAGTTTCAATCCTGCTGCAGTGCCCCGTTCACGTGACCAATGGAGGACCACGCACACGGAACCAGCAGCCCGTGGAGCACCTTCATATTCGTCCCACTTACCGCCCGCGGTGACTCCGCAGTGATGGTTGCGCGAACATGTTCGTCCACCCCACTATCTTTACTAAGGAGGGTACTTCTGCAGTGAAGATTACGGAGAGCTGGGCATATGACCAGCCGCAGGCATGGGGTCGAAAGGAGGGATACCGGCCGTTGTTGCAAGGGTGTGGCCCCCTTTTTTTGTCGTACCAGCACCGGTGGGGAAACGATAGAGCATCTTGTACTGCATATCTAGAAAACCTTGAGCGAAGTGCAGGTACCGCTATGCTATACAAACATCCCAAGCTTCTAGTAAATATCAGTCAGGAGATCATCTGAAATATTGATCCTGTCTCGGCAGCGCTACATCTCGACACCGGACGTACATATATCTTCCTTCGCTCGTAACCAGGTGCTGCATAGAGTGACAGGAGGCTCGTAATTTGTATACTCTTCAACCCCAACACACCCACGGCATCTCCCATATTGAGCGCTGCAGTGCCCCAGCAACAGGCGGTGGCTTCTTTAGCAGTGAACTCGCCAGCTCCCTAGCCAGCCAAAAGAAACGCCACTGTTGTCATCAGGCAGGCCTAGAAGCGCTATTGTCTCGAACGGGATGGAAGGCGTACAAAGAATGCATACGGGGCAGGGAGGGGGGGACCCAGGGCAGGGGCAAGAAGCTGAACGGATGAAGCGAACGGGGAGGCTACAATTGGTGTGTTTCTTGTGCGCCGTTGGACGGATAGTTGCAGGAGGAACATACAGTCAAGCTGCTTGTTCTCCGATGTACAGCCAGCAGTGAACGTACAAGCCACCCACACAATGCGCTAGTGCACGGTGCCTCTCGTTGCCCCCAGCAGGATGATGCGCACCCGCCCTCTCCGAATTTATAAATCCCAGTTGCTCAGGCGACAAAGGGCTGCATCTGCGCATTGTGGATAGTAACCTGGTAATACGTGTACGCCGAAGCTACTCGAGACTGTACGCGGCGTAAATTCTAGGGGGAATGCAACGGCATGCACATTGATGGAGGCCGTCATGGGCCCTGCTGCTAGAGAGCTGAAGGTGTGCTAAGTTCGGTTCGCTCTCCCCCGGAAACTTGTCCAAGGGCAGAAGGAGATTTTGCGACGCAAAGCCGCGTGGTGCTCAGAAACCCAGCAGATAGCAGTAGCACCTGCACTGCGCCTCCCTACCTCTCGGCTACTCGTGTTGCTTGCTGGCTGGGGCCTCCAACAGGCATAGCAACAAAAAGGGCCGAGAGAGCGACGCGAGCGCACGCATGCACACTCGCAGAGTCTGCATCTTGTGCAAAGCTTCTGCCACATACGGGGTCGTAAACCCAAGGGAGCAGCGAGGACCACGCCAGAGGAAGCCTTGAACCCGGGGGCAGCCAACGCACTTTTGCGGCAAGATTGTTCCTCGCTCTTACTTCTTTCCACCAGCTGCCTTCGCCTTCTCGGTGCCGCGGAGCTAAGCGCATACGCAGTTAACAGACTCGCGACACACTGATGCCTACTTGTGAGAAACCGCGCAACAGCCTGCCCCCAGAATGCCTTAGCCAAGAAAAAGAGAGGAGGCAGGCTGAAGAGAGAGAGAGCGCGCGTACTACCAGTTGCCGGAGGGCTCCCTCCTTATATGTGGAGTGTATCTTCTAGCCACTATAATCGCGACATAAGAACCCGGGGAGTTCAGCTACATCATCTTGCCATGTACCCCTAAAATCACCATCCCCCCTGCACCCTTCGCCACTGCACGCCTGCCTACCTTCTTCCTCCTGTTCTTCAGCTCCTTCACACCCCTGCGACCCTTCTTGGGCTGCGCCTCGAGTAGTCCTGCCCTGACAAGTCTGTACTTGTGCTCGAAGCGCTGAACCGCCTTGAAGTCGTCATATATCCAGGCTTGGCCCCTGCTCCTACCTCCACCGAAGGCAGTGGACAGGTTACCCACGATGATGCAGCGCGGATCCTGGACCTTGAATTGCTGTGTGAGCCGCTGCTGCAGCTCCACGCGGCTCACGTTCGCTCGGCCTAGATGAAGCAAGTCAACGTACATCTGCCTCCGTTGCAGCAGAGGATTTGTCAGCAGCTTGCAAATACGCACGGTGAAGGGAGCCTTGCAGTCCGACATCTTAGCCACAAGTGAGGGAAGGAGCAGTGGGGCCCAACAGGCTGCTGCCGCAGATGCTGTTACGTGTTTAGGATTTCGGACGATCGAAGAGGGGAGTAGACGGGCACCACATAGGAGGGAAGGACCGATGCAAGCGGAAGCAGCAGAGTACAATCAGGTCGAGAAACCCTCCCAAGACAAACTCTAGGGCACCCTAATGCTGCAGGCACCCGCATGAGTGAGTGAGAGAGAGAGAGAGAGGCCTCCCCACAGCAGCGGCAGCAGCCGCTGCTGCAGCCGCTCCCTCGGGGCTGCAGCCGCTGCTCCCCACCCCACGGCTGCACAGGCCGGCGATGAATATACACCTGTGGCGATTAGGAGCCGTAGGCGGGAAATCGAGCCACAAAAGCCTGGGGAGGGATCTTTGGAAAGTGCGAAGTCTGCTGCCTGGTGCTGCGTGAAGATGAGGTGAGCTGCTGGTCTCTGCTGGTCTCGGAGGAGCACCAGAGCACTTCGTGGGGTTCCCATTTTCGGGTTTAGCACCTCGCGTTTAAGGTCTTGCATGCATACATTGGTGCAGATGATCATACTTGTAGCAGTTTTCTTGAAGGAGGCGGGAGGAGCTGGCTCCCACGCGCTCGTAAGGGCTCCCCTGCGAGGAGCCACGAGCGTGAGGGCCGAACGACGGCTGGGGACTAGTATTCTCTTCGACGTTAAAAACGGACGAAGGAGACTCCGGAATATACCAAAATGCGACGCAGTCCGGGAGATGGGATACACAATCATAGCAGCCGAGAGTGTCGGCGTTTTTTTTCGATAAGAGAGGGAACTCTGGGACCTTGCGAGGGTGCGGAGGGAGTCTCTCTCTACTGCGCTGCATCGTACACGTCTAACTTATTGAAATCTCCATGCGCAGTGCAGCTTAGAAAGGACTTCATCGAACAACAGGGGTTCCCGCCTCTTGTTGGAAGCCTCTTGGGGGCATGCGTTCCATGGCTTCCAGCGAAGGGATTCCAGCGCCGCCATTGTATGCCTTAATGCTTGTGCGTTGTCTTGCAGCAAGCTGAGTCAGGAGGCCCTCAATGCGGCGGTTGTCTCCATCCTGCAGGGGGCGCAGGAGAAGAAGAGGAACTTCGTGGAGACTATCGAACTGCAAATCAGTGCGTGATGGTTTGGCGCTGGCCCTCCTTTTGTCTGGTGCCTTCGACTTGTGTTGCTTCGTGCTCTCTGCTGCTTTGGATTCGCTAGTTCTTTTGGGATACGCTGCTCGTCTATTGGTTTATTCGACTGTCGCTTTCTTCTACAGCAGAGACCCCTAGGCTTGAGTGTTTTCCCGCACACATCGGCTCGCTGGACGAATTGCAAGATCCTTGAACCCTCTGACGATGGTTTTCTGCTTCAGGTCTGAAGGATTACGACACACAACGCGACAAGCGTTTCTCAGGGTCTGTCCGCCTTCCCCACGTGCCTCGCCCAAAAGTGAAGGTGCGTACCGCTCGCCGGCGGCTTTGCCTCTTTTGCATTCCCCATTGGACTCGTGTATCTTGCTGTATCAACGGGTTTGCATTTCTTCGCCTCTTAGAGCTCCTGTTTCATGGCGTTTCTACACCCGTGCCACAGCTTTTACGACCCTCAGATGCACTTCTCTCCGTGTGTGTGGCGCTCTTCAGATTTGCGTGTTTGGCGATGCGGTGCATATTGAGGAGGCCAAGGCCCTTGGCCTCGACTGCATGGATATCGAGGACATGAAGAAGATAAACAGGAATAAGAAAATCGTCAAGAAGCTGACAAGAAAGTGCGTGCAAACAACTCACCCATCTTGAGTCTCTGCTACCTTGTATCGGTCTCGCTCCCTTGAGGGCTGCACTGCTCTACCCGTCTGTGGTCACAGTGTTGTGCCTTTGAGTTTATTGTAAGAGGCGTTCTGTTCCATAGACTTCGTGGCTAATGGCTCCTAGCGCCAGCAGTTTTCTTTAATTTTCGTCATGTGTCGCTCCGTGTTCTCGCAACGGATGGGGTGGAATTCCTCCAGAGCCGTCGCTGGCTTCATCACCTGAACGACAGGCAGCGTGCCAGGAGTGCGTTTTTTCGGGGTCCGCAAAAGGTTGCGATTCTTCCCTCCCTTGCGTTTTGTGCTTCCCCCACAGGTATGACGCTTTCCTGGCATCTCAGTCGCTCGTTCCGCAAATCACGAGGTTTCTCGGTCCGGGACTGAGCAAGGCTGGCAAGTTCCCCGCTCAGATTACCCATCAGGACAAGATCGAAGAGAAGATTCTTGAGGTTCGCTCCTCGATCAAGTTTCAGCTGAAGAAGGTCCTCTGCCTGGGCGTCGCTGTTGCCAATGTTGAGATGACTGAAGCACAGGTAGGCAGGACGCGTATGGAGACGTTTGTGGGAAGCCTTATGTCTCGAAGCTCCTGGCTTGCTCTCCTTTCCGACGTGCCTGATTGTGTGTGATAAGATATATTCTTCGCGCGCCGGAGTTCATTCACTTCTTCATCCGTTCTATGTGCAAGTTCTTGTGAACGCGTTGTTTGCTTGTGCGCCGTTCCCTTCCCCCCCACCCCAGCTGCAGTTGCCTAAATCTCTTCTCGCTGTGGCGTGTTGAATCATGGAGGTTCGTTGTAGTTGAGTTGTTCGGTGGCAGGTGCGGTACAACCTGACAATCGCCATCAACTTCTTGGTGTCTTTGCTGAAGAAGAACTGGAACAACGTGAAGCGCCTTCACATCAAGAGCACAATGGGGAAATGCCACACAATTTACGGCTGAGACCGCTTCGCTGTACCAGCGCAATACAGCATCATTGCGCAGCTCGCTCCGTACCCTCACATTCTTCACTCCTCAAAAATGTGCATGCAGTGCCAGCCCCGGAGATGTGGCTTGCCGCCGTTTCTTCGAAAGGGCCGCGAGGTCCTTTGGCGGGTCCGAATGCGGTTGCGTTTGCCCCTGCGAGGGTGGGGTGGAGGAGGTGTTTGGACTGATGGAGGGAGGAGGAGCGTCGTGCCGTCTAACTTAGTGTTCGGATTATCGGCTTATTGAGCGGTGCAGACAGGGCCTCATAGCCAGGCAGCCGATAGTCAAAGAAATGTTAGGGACGGCACTAGCGACTATTTTCAGTGAAACATTGTAGTCCCCAGTTATGATAGAGGTCCTTTATTTTCTATCGCAAGCAGGAGACTGTGTGCGTTTTGCTAAGGGGAGGGAAATGCCGAAATGGGCATTGGACCGCGTGCTGGAGCAGTAACGCTTAGAATCCAGATACTATAAAGCTGCTGTCCTGTCAGTTCACCTCTGCTTAACTGCATTCAACCGGAGAGTCTCTATTAGCGGATAGCTGCCCTTTGTCACTTTCCCGCTGCGGGTAGCGTGCCCGTTAAGTGTTGAAACATCCTGCCCCCACCAATTTGGCCGTACGCGTGGGCTGGACCGCCTACCGGCCGCACTTGCTTTACCTCTTTGTAGAAGAAAGAGACGATAGAGTGCTATCTATCCGGGGGGCGAGGCAAGGCGCGCAAACAAGAAACGCGCATGTAGCATGACCACACCCCGCCGTGGCTGCGGACGGCCAAAAGGCCGACTACAACCGTAACGCGTCACTGTTAGGGAGTCAGACGGGCAAAGCTGTGTGGCTATGTTGCTGTTTGCTATGGCCAGCCTCTGCTGTCTGACTGCTTTTCCGCGCTTCTGCTTCTCCATTGGCCCTTAGCGCCTTTAAAAGCATCTCCAACTGGTGGGCTTTCAGGTGCAGAGGCTCCTGCCACTGAATTTTGCTGACCTGCTCTTTCTGCTGTCGCAATAGCATTCTTCCTTGGAGTCTTCTCCGCAAGACTTCCCGGCGACCCCCCTGACCGCGCGTCACTCGTCGCGTGTGTCGGTACCGCAGACGTAGCTCTCTCTGCACTCCACTCTCTGCCCACAAGCGGGCGAACTGACGAGTTGCAGCCGCGTTCCTGAAGAGAGAAGCAAACGAGGGCGTGAAATCAAGCAGTTTTACACACAATTGCCACTCGAGGAGGCTTGAATGCTGTGATGCGCTTTTGCGGAGGCAAGGAAGGGCAAACAGCATGTGAGGAAACGCGGAGGGAGAGCCGCATGAGCGGCAGCATTGACGAACATCTTTTCGATTTGTTGATCGCTTGTTGCCGCATCCGGGTTAAGCAAGACAGAGAATCCGTTGTGTTGCATCCTCCCCAACCTCCCGCATGCGGTGCGGCCATCCGTTAGTTTCGCAACGCTAAGGTCGACGTTCATCGAAGCCCCCCCCCTCCCAGGACAATATGTGCGGCACCCCTCATGATCTGCTGGGGTGATGAGAGGAGGAAAGAAGCGCTGCTGGCAAGGGAAGCGAGAAACGAAAGAAGCGACGACGCGTACCCCGCCGACAGATTTCCGGCCCACTGTGTGGTGAAGCACCCCGCCTTTATGCTCCCATCGCGAGGTGCCGTGACACCCTAATAGTGAGGTTTCAGACGCCCAGCATACCGATGCAAAAAGAAGAAGCAGCAATAAGAACACAGATGGGATACGCGTCAGATAGGGCACGGAGCCAAGGCAACGCCACCGCGTTGGAAGGATCCTCCACATGTCGCCCCTCCATAGATGACTTCAACAGTTCTTATTGGGCTTAGTACGCAGAGAAGGCACAGATCATCCGGATTCCGCCATTTTTAAGATCGACGACTCCACCAAGGCCACTTACTCCTTACCTGCTGGGCCCTGAGGCAAGAAAACCGAGATGAAGACGCTTTTCATGCGGAAGTAAGAATTCAGAGGGGAAAACCAAGTGATTAACAAATGTCCATGCATACACAATGGGTCACGTAGCCCGCCCATATGCCGGTTAATTCATCTCAGGGCCACCGGGGACCGAGTAATCAGGGAGGAAGGGAACCTTTGACACATGGCTCCAGTTTTACGACCCCAAAATGATTTTTGTTGTATATATGCTTATAAGCCTTGCGGTGGACGGTGTTGGAAAAGAAAATGTTCGAGCGGAAGCCGATTTCAGCTCGATCGGTCACAGCATATGTCCATGCAGACACTGGTTGGTTGCTACCAGGGATATCCTAAAGCGCCATTACTCTGCTTCTCGATGTTCGGACTGCGTTCTCCCCGCGTTTTTGTGTCAAGACATGTGCTCACTAATTTTGACTATCAGGTGGCGTCAGTCGACTGGAAAACGAACAAGCAGTTCGCCTCACGTACGTGGGACTCTACGTCTCCTCAATGTCTTTCTCATCGGACCTTCGTCCTTACAGTCAAAAGCATTAGTACTCTGAAATATAATGGCTATCATGTACACTTCTGCTAAGCTTGTTTCTGCAGTATCTCTTCAGAAGAATTTAACCTGTACTTCCAAAGACGATACTTCCAGCAATGCCAGCTACACGGCAGACTTCAGAGGCAACTTGTCAGCAAGGGTCTGGCTCCCATCGACGGTCGGCTAGAAGACTAATGACCTATTGAGTCGTTGCATATTTACTCATGGACACGCACAAGTTATCAAACCATGAGCCCTTCATTAAGGGTCTCCAAAAGGGGACACCTAAGTCCACACACACTACAAACGTAAATCAAACGAGTGATTGCTACTGCGAGGACGCTCCATTCTTCACCTACCATTGCCCTTAAGGGATCCCACTTCAGTGAAGAGGAAGAACTAGGGTGCACGTGGCTGCACCCTGTTGGCACTCAGAGCATTCACAGCTAGTTGAATTTGGCATCGAGCGCGTCCGAACAACAACGTGTGTTGGGCTAACTCTCCTCTGCAATTAGAAAGTCTAGACTGACTGCAAGTCTACAATTCAATTCTTTACCAATCCTCAATTGGACACAACTAGTGTAGTAGAAAGTAATATCAATGTGAATCATGAGCCACTACATGCACTCAAAGCGCCTCCTGGAAAATGCCGGGTATTGAGGCCTTACTCAATCTTCTTGGATCTCCAGGCCGAACGTAAATGACACGCGATGTCACAACTTTTGTGTTCTGCTGAAATTTGGATCTCTGCCTCCCGCCCACTGCTCGCTGGTGCTCCCAGTTCTTTCATTCAACGAACTCAAGAACAATTAATTCATAGTGGAAGCCCATCCCACACTTCGGAAGCAGAGTGCGACGAGAGCTCAGCACGCCAAAATCATAACTCTTAAGAACACTTCGCTAAATTGGACAGCTACGAATTCTATGGTTTTGCTAGCCATCGTAGAAGCAGGCAACAAATCTGATGCCGTCATTCGTGGCTGGAGCAGACGGGAGTCTGGTATTTTTAGGGCATAAAAGACTCGGTGGGAGCATATATGATCAGATAGTGCCCCCAGTCCCACTTAATCTTGGAAGGGAAAAGAGGAAGACGTTCGGTTAGGGGTATATCTGGGGCTCTGACTCCATGGATGAGATAGGGAGGCCAATCAATAAGGGTTCACATCTTGGCAGCTACTGATCCCTTGCCTCCTGCCATATTTCCCGATCCGGATTGTGTTGCCTGAGGAAACCCCGCCTTTGGCCCCTTAGCACCGACAGGAACCTTAGGTTTCATTGTCTTGTCAAACTTGTTCGGGTCTGGCGGACGGACTGCAGAGGAGGCACAAGGAGAGCAGCTGCACGCTGTTGTGGACCACCGTCCGTCGGTGTGTTTCCATTGCTACTGCCTCAAGATCGTGCGAGAGAAGAGCGATGAATACAAGGAGGCAGCCGACGACGTTGAAAAATAAACAAGGCTGCTAGGAGCACTTATGCAGCCTTAAAGTGCCAGAGAGAAACCGAAGCACCCATAAGAGCAGAGAAGCATGAATGACACGATGAACATTGAACTGAATGGACAGCACAGAGTATAGAGTAGGCAGCTATGCAGAAACCCCGTAAAATGCCGATGATATTTGAGAGCCCATTCCAGCGTCCTTCACACAGGCACCGGAAACGAGAAACGGCTGCGGCCAAAAGGCCAACAGGAGATTAGACTACATAGGGGCAACACGTGCAACACAGGAGGAAGGTGGCTTTTGTTGTCTCACGGCATCCCATTTGAGACAAGATAACGAAAATCAGGAAGACAAGGATCGTCAAGGCCCACTGCAACGAGCGCAACACATACACAACAGAATTTAGTAAGCATGTGCGGCATCCAAAACAAGGCTCAGGCCATAAGAGATCCTATTACGAGGAAACACAAGAACGTTCTGAGCCACGAAGCCTGAAAAAAACCTTTTTTAGGAACTGCCGATGAAGTTCTACAATAGGAGGCGCACACTCCGTTGCATGGGAACCCCTGCTCGGTATACGTTGGGCTCTGGGATTTCGGGGTAAATGAAGAAAGGAAATCTAAGGCCTTCATTTCTTTTGGAATGAATCTCGATACCTGGCAAGCTCTACAAGCAAAATGGTTAGAGACTCATCCTAACAACTTCGAAGAAGGAGACTCAGGGATTAGGGCGGCCTGAATAGGGGATGCAACGGACTTGGAGCCATTCAGGTCTGATGTATTTTGCGATAAAGAACCAGGCATCCATTTCCGGCAGGGGCCTGGACATACTTAACGAGGAGGCAGATACAGCCTGCAAGTACGGGGGGACAAAAGTCACAAGGAACGAGACGGGTTACGGCCAGCAAAACCAGGAATAACAAGGGGATTATGCGCCCCGGCAGCAGCACCAGAGAAAAGCACAGCAGCAGAGCACGCCAGTGTTGTATCGTCCATTTTAGTAGTCACGTGCTTAAGCTGAAGGAGCAGATTTTTAGCACTGCAAGAACTCTCTTTGGAGAGTGACCCAGCAATGCATAGTGCCGCTACGTCGAAAAGGGCGGGATGTGCGTCCGTACTTCAGGACAAAAGCGAAACCATGCACAGCAAAGCAAGGCCATGCAGATCGAGGCACGACCCCCCATTGCTGCTAAGACCCCTTGGCCCCAGCGAGGAAAAACATTCCATCTGATGCAGCGTAAACGGGCAGCAGTTGAGATAACAGCGTAGGTAGAACTGCTGCTTTTGCTCCTCGAGCCCCTCCACTTGTTCTTGTCGCAGATCCTGCTCATTTTGTCCATGGTGTTGGCGTAATTTGAAGAGTCGCTCACTGTTTCCCTCTGTATGCTCATTTTCCCGAAAAGAGCGTATGGACTATTTCGTGGCCACCGACCTCAATATGCGTTTACCCGGGTGCAATATGTCTCTAGCAGACCATGCTTCCATAATATCGCTCCAGGAGAAGTTGAGTGCCTTGAAGTCCGGTACAGGATCAGACAGCGACACGGCCTTGCGGCAGAGGCTTGACTCGGGTGAGGTCTCACCAAGGGGAGCGTTCGGTCTAGACAGCGGCACAGCCAGCGCAAAAATAAACAGAAATGAGAGAGTGCGAGGGTGTTGTCATGTTGCCCAAAGAAACTTGGACCCTTTCGACCCGAAATTCAAAGAAAGATTGCGCGATGCTGCACAAACGGCTAGATGGCTGGTCGGAAGCTCCAGGAAAAACAATCGCCCCGCGAGCTCAAGTATTCAAGCTAAATACAGATGGATCATAAAAACAACCAAATCTTAGCGTTTTTCGCACTTGCCTCAGATAGTTCGTAGGTAGACAACAGGTGAGTTCTTCAAAGGGGGCCCCCGCCTCACTCATTAGTCATGCCGCAGCTGCTGCATGCGGCGAGGGGCCCTCGATTATGTCTTTGTGGCTGCCTTTGCTTTTATTTTCCCAATATATTTTTAGGTTTAGCGCGGGCAGAATTGGCTATTCGGTGCCTTCAGCGTCTGTACCTTTCTCTTTGACGCTTAGCGTACGACCAAAGTATTGCCACAGTTGTCTTCACACTGTGGACCGACCCGCCATTCCGCACTGTGTCATGCACGCTCTAGAAAAAGGCTTTCTAATTATCTTTATTACACTCTCCCTGCTTCAGTTCATGGCTCTGTAGCTTCGGTTCACGACCTCGGTACCTCATCGGCCTGTTGTTCTACCCATTGCGCTCTCCCATCTCTTGGTATAAACCCTACCTAGTGTGAAGACGATGATCGGCAGCGACGCATTCTGGGAAAACGAGCGGGAGGCCCCCTTGCTTAACCGTAACGATAACTTTTTCAGACCGGAAACTGCTGATGAGCTGCTGCAGCGCGCGCAGCAGCTGCTGCAGCTGCTCGATCAGAGGACAGCAACCAAAATAGAATCACAAACCTTAAGTCCCAACTGTGAAGACGAAGCCGCGAAACGCATTTTCGCGCTTGATGCTGAGCGCACGTTCAAGTCGCCTGAATGTAGAGGGAAGCTTGTCGAGGTAAATTTCATACTCGAAGAAGCATTGCCAGAACCCTACACCCTAAATCCAAGAGACGGAAGCCAACTATCTTGCACTAAGGGAGATGTATGGGCATTGGACTCCCTGTCTTTCCAAATTTTGGAGCCAGTGCTGTACAGTGCCTCGCTGCAGCTGCTGTTTCTGCTGCTTTGAGAGCACGCTTTTGGGGTCGCCAAGTCTCCATTTTTCCCACGATTATCTGTGGTTTGCTTGGTGTAGGTCCTTTCTTCCCTGTGGCCAGAGCTAGGGGATTACCATCAGGGCTTAGGATTCGTGGTTTCGTTCTTGTTGTTGGTACTGCCTCCCACCGACGTGCTGCGGGTCTGCATTGGCTTGCATCGGGAATATATGCCAGGCTATTTCAAGGCCGCTCCAGTAGCCTACGTTCGTGACGCTCGGGTGTTTCAGAAAATGCTAAACAAAAGGGAGCCTGAAGTGGGGGCTCATCTAGAGGACTTGGCGTGTGCGGAGGCGTATGCCAGCAAATGGTTCGTCGGCCTCAATGTACACGTATTGACGTTTGAGGCCTTATTTGTGTTCCTTGAGGGGCTTTTAGAAACGGGAGACAGGTATCTTTTCCAGTTCGCTTTTGCACTTATTGCAAACTGCAAAGAGGAGCTCCTGAACGCGAAGAATGCTGCCGACGTACTCGAAATCCTGAGGCTGGATGTAGCCAGGTATACAAACAAGCACAAGGCAACTGGGGAGGACGCGGACGGCTCGTTTTTCATGAAAATTGTTAAGGACGCAAAGGGGATCGTCGTGGAGTGAGTTAGTCACCCAGAGTCTTCTAGAATTCCCTTTTTCCCCGATGCGATAGTTTCCGCTGGCACCATACACGAGCCGCTCTGCAGGCGTACAGCGCTGCTTCGGCCCTGTCTACAGTGTTTCCAGCTTACTGTAGCACTTGCCCATGCAAAGATTTTGTGAAGCCGGTCCTTGGATCTTCCGTTTCCCCTCAGGACGGAAGAACTAGAGAAGCTCCGTGAAGAGGCAATGGAGGATTTGCGCATGGAACAAGAGAGACGAAAGCAGAGAGACAAAGAGGTCTGTCTGTGAATTCGGAAGCGGAATATATAGCCACACTTAGTGCCTCACGTCCGCATGTTCTGGCCTTTAGAATGATGCATTGATAGTACACGGAAGGCTCCAGGGCTCCCCCCAGGAGGCCCTAAGGAAGGTCATAGTTGACGCCTCATTAAAAATTGGCAAGCGTTTAGGGCAGTATTTCGAAGTAGCGTAGAGGGGCTCCCCCTGGGGCAGCTAGCCTGTTCTCTCTCTCCCTATCTCGGTAGTGCATACTTTTGTGCTCCCCCTGTGACGCATGTCTGACTTCTGTCGACTGTCCGTGCAGCTGGGTCTGGACTCGGATGATTCCATCATTTTCTCTGATGAATACGAAGAAGAAGAAGAAGAAGAAGAAGAAGACGAAGAGGAAGACAGTTCGGATGTTGAGACGGGCGTACAGGAAGCACCTAAGGGGGAGACCAAAGCCGTTGCTGTAGGAGATGTAGTTGAGAAGCGCGAATGCGCAGAGTAGCAAAAATCAGAATTACTAAGGGGCACTCGTTTTCATCATCTGCTTTACTTGAAGAGTTGGCAGCTGACAGGGAGGCCGTTTAACTAAGGCTTTGCCGGCAGGCGTGCGTCTCGTGCCCCCTGTACTAGGAAGCTTCGAGGAGGGGGTGTAGTGAGAGGGTAGTCGGGGGCGCAGGCGTGGCGAAGGTCATTGAGCGATTGACTACGGTGCTGGCTTCTTGATGTAAGAAATGGTGCGCCGCGGATTGCGTCGGGAGGCTGCTATTTCCTTTTATAGATTGCATATGCGCGGAATACATAGGAAGTAATAGGGTAACGACCAATTCTCCAAGACATAGGGCTGTCTTCAGCGTTCAGCTGTCATATCAGATGCCCCAGGATCAGAGAAATACATAAAGAGGCTTAACTCCTTCTCTACTCATCTGGGGGGTGGGTGTAGGCAGGCAAAGGAGAATCCACTGTCAGGTACGGCCTTGTATACTTTGAGGCTCTGACGTTGCTACCGGCCATCCGAGGGTCATACGCACTTAGCAGTCAATTGAATAAAGTATCGGCTTTGTAGGTATGCAATCAAGACCCCTTGAGTACTGGTCGGCACACGCAAAAAACACTGACACTGCTCAAGTTCGTACTCTTCGGATTTACAAGTGCTGAGCAAGGCGGTTGCTCCATAGTTATCCTGGTTTTCGGGTGCAGGTGTATTCTGCTTGTAAGAATCTCCTGTATGTTAGAGTCTTAAGCGTTGGACCCATCCATTTTTTTCTTCTGAATAATGTAATTTCAAGGAGCCCTACGGTTAACAATGGACCTGCAGCATGACTACAAGTTCATTTGCTTGGCGTCCGTCTCTACACATGCATATACTGCTGTCTAACATGCCTGGTGTCGCTGATCCGGAGGCAGCACTAGCCAGTCCTAACTCGGGGTAGCGCACTGGGTAATGATTTTGATCGAATGAGACCCTCAATAAGGAGACCCCGAGTCATTTGCAGCCTGACAAATTTTCGGAGAAGCTCGGCAACTATTCTTTTCTAAGGGCCGCCCCTTCTCCCTGTCCTAATTTTAATGCTTCACCTAAGGTCTTCTAAGGGAGACACTGAGCACTAGACTCAATAGAAACTTCACGCAGTTTATTAGAAATTATTTGAAGAAAGCTCTTTCTTTACTGTTAACGCTCCCTCACAGTTCATGACATTAAAGGAGAGGGCCAGCCAGGGTACCCCTAGGTTTGCCATCCAAGCACGCCGAGCATGCACAGCAAGTTGCACAAGGTCCCCCACCTCCGCCCCCCACACCATTTGCGTCTGTGTGTGTCGAATCAGCAACACTGTGCAAGATAATAAGTATCTGAACAGACGAACATTTTAATAAGCTCTTTGACTGCTGTAGTATTGAGTGTTTCAGTGGAGCCTATCCCACTACCACGGGCATTTCTTGCTGTTGTGTGCTCCTCTAGACAATTTCAGGATGGCCAAGGAGCAGTAAAAGCGACACCGAGCCTGGAATTTTGCCTGAATGCGCAGTGAAGATGTTTAGCTCTTGGGTAGAAAACGGTGGGCTAATTTTTAGCAAATGTGGGAATGAGTGCGTTGCGATATCTGCGTCACGGGCTTCTTGGCCACCAGGCGTGACCGGGTGATAGGCGAGGAAGTATTGAGCGAATTAGTACAACACCAGCTGCAGACGATAAGAAATGCCTTTACACAGGCTAGTGCTTTCTTTCTGATCCCGGTGATTTGGGACTGATCTGTGTCGGCAACGTCATCCGTTGTTTGCTTCGTTGCTTCAGGCTTGTTCCCGTTGAAGCGAGGCTTGCTCTCGAGTGAGCCAACGCTTAATAAGATCTGAATTTTAATTACTATGCTAATAGATAAACACAGATTGAAGGAGAAGGGGACACTGATGCCTAGGGCAGCGTGGCCAAACAGACTGCTGCCGAAATTCGGGGTGTCTCTATCTGCGGCTTGATGCTCTCATTGAAAATGGGGGGGAAACGAGCTGTTTTATTGCTTTCAGTTCACTCCATACCAATTTTGAGGTATTGGAACGAAGTTCGAATTAGCTATTGCCACTCGTTTGTTACAAATCCCCGGGTTAGCGAGACACCAGACATATGCGAGGCCCTGAGGACGAAGCGGCGCCTGTGCATTTGTCATTTTCACTGCTGCAATCTCGGCACCACATTGCCCTTTGCATGAAGTTTGCGTTATTTGGTTTTATTGCCTTTGTTTCTGGATATTCTTTCTGAACACTTGCTTTATTTGTGGCGTTCCGCCCGTGCGGTTCGCAGTACGGCCTCCCGCAAGGCGCAACACACCGTAGGTGGCAGTCGCGGCAGGCAACTGTACAGGCCTTGCGTTCCTTCCTTACTGGCTCATTTGAAAATTGGTTTTCAACAGGAGCTACGGTTATTAGGGTCAAAAGGCATTCCTAGCAGCTGTACTGACACTGGTCGGTCGCAAGGGCATCAGTCCACTGGGCTGCCTCGGCCGCCGTATAGGAGCACTCCGGGTGTTGGACTTGGGGTCTGATTCCAGGTTTTTAGTTTAGTCGTCGGAAATGCATTGACCGGATTGAGCGGACAGATATTGCCGCAACTCTCCATCGCATCTGGTGCCAGTCGCCCGCAAACGGCTTCCCAGTTTGCGAGGCAAGCCGGTGCCCTGTGTACAAACGCTTGGGATGCGAGGCCTCCTGTTCGTGTAATTTGGCCTCTCACAAGCTTTTCAGCACCTCCTTTGTGCCCGATGCCGGTGTCCGCCTCGGCAGGGGCCTCTGCCCCTCTGTACAGCCCCCTATCCCGTTCCCGTGGGTGTCTGAAGGCTCTCGGCAGCGTCGCCACACCCCATGCGACTCCCCCTTCCCCTGTTGTTCCTGAACCTCCCGTCATTGGAAAGTGCGAGCTGCTCGCATGGGTGAATCAGGTGCTCGCAGACACCGGCGAGAGCGTTGAGTTTTCGAGTTTGCGATTCGGCGATGTGCTGTTGCGCCTGTTCTCTCTCATCTGGCCAGCCGTGCTGCTGCGAGTTGAACAAGAGGCAAAGCTGCATCCCAAAACGGCGGCAGATGTGTCCACCAACTGGGAACTAATTGAGTGGGCCTTGCAGTGCGTGGGAGTGCCTTCCCACTTTGTGAACCGGCAGCTCATCGCGGAGGAGGATTTCGGGGCATGTTACGAAGCCCTCGTGTTTCTCTACTTTCTCTTTTCTCTAGCCACGCATCATGAGTGCGAGTTCGTGCTCGCGCATCCAGTTGCAAACGCGCTGACGGAGTTCATGTCCTCAGAGGCCCCCCTGGCGTGTCTCGTCGCAGGGGGAGCCGTTCACGTGCCCAAGCCCATCAAGGAAAAAATCCTTACCCCTAAGAACACACCCAGGCTGACAGAGCGGCAGGAGGAGCTTTTGAAGGGCACCAGCGAGATCCAACTCGGCGCAGTCGCTGCCACTGCTGAGGGGGCGGCTTTCGGAGTATCAGGCACAACTCCCCCCTCTCCCCTTCCTGCGGATCCCCCAGAGCAGCCTCACCTGCAGCTGCAAAGGCCTCTCGAACGGCAAGACAGCGCTTTGCAGGCGTCTCCTTCTCCCTGCGTAATGCCTCCAGCCCGCGCAGCAGGCAGAGCCTTCACCCTCACGCCTCCCCCTGCTGCCGGAGTTTCGCAGTCTCCCCCGCGAGTCGTTGGCGGGGCCTTTGCGAGTGATGGCACCTTCTGCAGCGGCAGCGCAGGGGAGACCTCCACTCGGCCTTTAACTGCTGAAAGAAGGGATGTGCGCGTGCAGACGGAAGCCGTGTTTCCTCTAGATATCCAGCAGCAGCATCCGCCGCTGCCGATGGCGTCCCTGCATGCGCTTGTGGAGTGGTCCGGCGAAGGACAGAAGCTCAAGGGCGAGCAGCTGCTCGAAATGCTGCAGTATCAGTGCGAGCTGCTGCAGCAGCAGCTGCAGCAGGCCGTCGAAGAGGCAGACACGGCGAGGCGGCAGCATGCACAGGCGCTCCAGGACGGCAAGGAAGCCGCAGATCTGCGGCTTAACCGCGAGCGAGAGACGTATCGATCGCAACTCCTAGACCTGCAAACAAAGCACGCCGCAGCTCTTCAAGCCATGCGGTACCAGCACGACATGAAAATCAGGCAAATCGAAGACGACGTCACGATCGATATAGAAGTGCTCACCTCACGATCCAGCCTGACGGGCCCAAGGCCATCCACGCGCGCGAAGGAAGAGCTGCAGAAGAAGCAGCGGCAGGAGGCGGCAAGCGGCTACCCAGTAAGCACCTCCTCCGAGGCGCAGCCACACTCGCAACAGAGCGCCTCAGCATCCGCAAGCCAAGAGGCAGCCATGGCAAAAGTGCAGAAGCTGGAGGAGTTGATGACTGAGCGCCTTCGAGCACGCGACTTAGCAGCCAACGAAACAAAGATGCTGCTGCAAGACACGCTGCAACAAGTCGCCGATTACAAGCAGGAGAGCGATGCGCGGTGGAATCAGTGGCGGCGCTGCGAAGCAATCAGACAGAGCATCCTCCAATTCGCGACTCACGCGGAAGGCCTTCCCCCGATGCCTAAGCGCCTTGGACAGGCCGGCACCCCCCCGCAAGGAGACGCTTTGGCGCCTTCTCGCCACGTCATCAACATGCAAGTGCAGCAAATCGTCGAACAAAGCGGAATTTCAGTGCCTCAAGTCTCCCCGCTGGAGCAGAAGCTGCTTACTGCCCTGGCCGAGTTGCTGTACATGCAGGTAGCAACCCGTTTCGCTCAAAGGCCACCCCTCCCCTCCCCCAGCCTGTAGAAAGACACGCGACTGGTGCTGCAGCTGGCTGCAGCACCAGTCGTGCACCTCGCACAGGATAGGATCCCTAAGTGTAGCTCTAATAAGAGAAACTGAAAGCGAATACATGGAAGCCCTGCCTTTTATCGTGGACGGCTGGCTGTCGCGTGCAGATGCAGCGTCCAGCGCTCGATGCGCAGCACGCTGCATCTGCCTTTCAAATAGGTCTGCTTTTGCGAATAATGCCTTTCTGTGCAGCACGCTCAGCAGTCCCGCCATCGGCAGCGGGAGCTGGAGCTGACGAGGCTCCTGCATCAGTGCCAGCAAGGAAGGAAGGGGACCTCAGGGGCCTGTGCGGGGAAGGCGACGCTCGCGGAAATGGGGAAGGAAGTTCTTCTCGAGGAGCAGGTGCGCAGACTGGAGTCGCAGAACCAGCGGCTTCTCCGGACGTCCGAATACTTGAGGTTGAAGGTTGAGCACGTAGGCAAGTGGAGGGCAGAAGACGCGCTTTCCACTCAGCAGCAGCAGCCGCAGCAGCAGCAAGACGGCAAGCCTGAGGGCGGCAGTAGTGGGAAGCCTTCCACAGCGAGCGAGACGGAAGGCGCGGAAGTCTTGCAGCTGACCAGAGGAAGCAGCGAGGCGGGTGTCGCGTCAGGCATGCTGATGTTGCGCGAAGACGATGCCACCATTGAAAGAGACGCAGAACTGCTGCACGTCTTGAAAGGCCTGCACCGCCATCATCACGACAGTCGCTTCACAGATGCGGCAGAGGCAGAGCTGCAAACTGGCAGCCTCCGAAACGTTGAGGAGGCGGCGGATATCTGCATCTCCTATCAAACCAAGAAGCGCCTCGTGCAGCTCTTTTGGATGTTCCTCGGTGACTTTTACAGGTGATAGGCCGCCGTGTCTCGGCTAATGAGGGGCTGCCTTCTTCCTACCCTGAGCAGCCGAAGCACTTGCTGCGGCTTTTTTCGCGAAGCGGACTGCACTCCCCAGCAATTTTTCCACACAGTCACCACGCCTGCAAGGCGGAGAGCCCCTTTATGCAGGCGCTCTCGTGTGCCACCGGTTCAGAGGGTAGAACTTGGGGGAAAACAGGCACGACTCGGGTGCTCTCATGCTGCAAAGTGTTTGAGTCCGCATGCGAACGCGGACGTGAGGGCCTCACACCGTCGGTGCATGCAAAGAAACAAGAAAAATGAGGCCCTTTTTTGTCCTGCTCGCTCGCTTACCATAAAGCAATTTTCACTCGAACGATGTGCTTCCCCGTGTCGTCTCACTTATGCAGGTTTCGAGCAAGACTGGAGGAGGGAGACCGTCAAGTGCGCCTGATGCAGCACCTAGTCCACGAAGGGACGCAAGCGAAGTTGGCTCTTGAGCAGGTAGGGGCAGGGGGCTTTGGTGAATACGGCCAGAGGAGTGGAGGTATCTAAGGGTCGCTTTGCTCACCACATAGTTCCCCTTCAATTCATAGACCCCCAAATATATATATATATATATATGTATCCATGTATCTATGTATATCATTCTCTCCTTTTCCATCTGGCAAGGGCTATTTGAGCACTTCTCACGCATAAGGCAAAGCGTGCTGCTTTTCCCGAGTATTAAGGAAGCAAGCCTCATGGAAAGACGCAGTGCTCTTCGGGGGCATCTCTGTGTGTAGAGGGATCTCCTACACAGTTGTCTGCTGAGGGCCCCCAAAAGCTGCCTTGCAATAGGTGCTTGCGTAGAGGTGATTGTGGTGTCTTGGTTTGTAGGAGGCGGCAAGGATCATGACAGAGAAGGTGTCTTGTTACGAGCAGAAACTGCAAAAGGAGCGAACTCACTACCAGCGCACCCTTGGAAGAACCCTCGTCAAGCTCCTTGTTAGTTGCCGCTCCCAGCTGCTGCTATCTGCCCCTCTTTGTGCAGATGGGTGCGGCAAAGGCTTGGCCAGCACGGCTGTACCACACGCTAGAGGTCGCGTATTACAGCTAGCTCCTTTGCTAGCCGCACCATTTCTATAGAGAGAGGGGAACTTTTAGTGTCTTTAGACGTCACCTGCGTCTGTGCAGGCTGCTCAAGAGCATCTAGACATACTAACACAATCGAAGAAAAAGCTGGAAGAAGATCACGAGGCCCTCCTTCAAGTGCTGCACCAGGCGGACCACAAGCGCTTTAATGTGATGCTCGTAAGCAAGCCCCCTTCTCCAGGGTGCTGCCTCCTCTATCACTGCTCTGAGAATCTCAATGTCTGCCCGCTATCCCTTGCCTTCGCTTCCCTCCAGCGCTTGCAGTTAGACTCTCTACAGCTTCGGCGTGTCTGCTCAGAACAAGCTGCATTCCGTGGAGATGACGAACCGTATCTTGCAGAAGAGGGAGCACTTCTGGAATCAACTAGCGAAGGTCAGCACCCTCTGCCCCTCGGGCAGTGCTCCATCCTCTCACACCACGGGAGGACTCAGAAGATGTCTCTACTGTCCAGTGATTTGCCGCCTTTTTTTGTGACGGTGCTGCCGCATAGAAGCACCGACAGGCTTCCATCCCCCTTCGTCACGCCGCTGCTCAAAGCTGCGTCGCTAGAAATGCTCTTTTCTGAGAGGCTTCGATATCTCAAATGCGGCACGCACGCTGCGCCCTCTATTTTCTGCATGTTTGCAGGCTCTCTCCTCGCAGCTTCGAAGCCCCTCAGAAAGTTCACAACGCGCCATTCAAGACCTTTGGTCTCAGCTCATGGGATCGAAGGTTCTTTTGAACAGCGACTCGCTGCAGCTCAGTGCAGACAGTACGGCCCCGCAGCAGGTGCAGGAGGACCTTGTGAAGCTTTCAAAAGAGACAGGTAACAGCATCGCTGTCACCCGACGCGCTGGTCGGCGTCCTTCCACAGGGGGCAACAACAACCCGACAGCGCTCAGAGACAGACAGCTCGGACGATCCAGCTCTCGAGCCAACGCAAAAAATTTCACTCAGAGCAGCAGCAGCAGCACCTCTGCTGTGCCAACCGACAGCGTTACAAGCTCCGCAACGGCCAAACGTGATGCTCGACGCGCTCGCGAGACACCCGCAGCAGGGGCACCCGAGAATGGGGAACCCCAGACTGCAGAGGATCTCGACTGCGCGGATTCCTTTGCACAATGCCTGCGGGAGATTTGCTGTCAGCAGGGGGCTGACGAGCAGCTGTCCGAAGCGCTTTCGTCGGCAAAGGGCAGCTGGAAGACGGCTTTTGAATGGATCCAGCAGACAAGCGACATGGAGGAGGAGGAGGAGGAAGAAGAAGAACCAGAAGGCGACCTTTCCTCTGGCGCAGGAGCGCGTCCTAGCACCTTGAGGCTGTTGAAAGCTCACTTGTTGAAGGCCAATGAGGCAGGATCAGAGGGGGATGGCATGCCAAAGGACTGGCTTGCGCTCCTTAAAGCCATGATCCAAGAAGCCATGGCGCTTTTCAGGAAACACAGAGCTCTTCGAGATAAAGAAGTAAGCTGATCGATGTGGGGAGAAAACGAATTTATAATGCGCGGCTGTCTCCCGGAGGTGTACAGACACCTGAATTCCGCTGCCGGCACACGACATGGCGTGCGTGCTCTCAGGTAGATGAGCTGAAAAAGGAGAGGGAGATCCACATGGAACAAAGCAAGAAGGTAGGGTCTGATGACTGTGGTCCTCTTCTTTTGCCTTACCGCTTTGTAAGAATGCGGATGGAGGTCAGCACGCACCGGTATATCTGCCGGCTAGCCGCAGCATCCTGAGGGGCGCCTCCCCTTAGGACATATACCATGCGTCGCACAAAACACGAAGGTGTCTCTCTCGAGACTCCTTCTGCTTTACCCAGCATCGAAGATATCTGCTATAGCGCCGCATCTGCACGCTTGCGTTTCAGTGCACCGCCCGCCTTCCTGTTTGTTTGCCTCAGTTAATGTTACAACTCAGCGACCAGGAGACGCTGTGCGCCTCCCTCCGGGAGCAGAAAACATTCTTCCAGAAACAGGTTAGACTCACGCATTGGCCCTCGGGTGCCTCTTTGATTTAATGTGCAGTTTTTCGGATTCCCTGTAAAGCAGAACAGGGGGCGCAAAGCGCTCCATGTCAGGGTACTTTTCATTTCATGACGAGCCTGACTGCAGCTGCTCTCCATCCGTGTGTACTGGCTTTGCGTCTTTTGCTTTTCTGCTATGCGTTGCGTCCTTAGCATCAGCTGGTCCTGGCAGCGCTAGAGCGCTTGCAGCGTGACAAGGCTCAGCTGGAGCAGCAGGAGAAGGCTGCTCAAGACGCCCTGCGCGCGGAGACAGCCATGCTGCGCGCGGGCCAGAAGGAGACGCACCAAGTGCTGAAAACAGTTGCTACTCATGCCACTGACATTCCCTTCATTGTTTCTCTTTGCAAAAACTTTTTGGCGCAAGCGGCAGTAGCAAGTCTGCAGGAGGGAGCAGCGCATCCTGCTTTCACGGAGACATCTCGCGAGGAAATAGCCCCTGAATCCGATACCTCCAACGCAGAAGGCACTGCAAACGTAACTTGCGCGGCGCGACAACATCTGGAGGAAGGTCACCTGGAGAGGGGCGACTATGAAATGACCGCTCTGGTATTGCCTCTTGCTCCACGCCCTCCGAGCCCACGCACTCCACCTCCAGTATCCGTTGCAGCGCAGGCCCCCCTGCAGCCGCTAAAGCAGCACGAAGTAGACGACAGCGAAGCAGGAGACATTTGGAAAACGCCAGCACTCTTGCGGAAAGATAGTTGGAGAAACGGCTTCCAAGTAGACACGCGAGCCTCAACAAATGACGCGGCGGAATGTGAAGTGCCGCCTAGCAGCCGGTGCGGTAACGGGGTTCGCCAGGGCCCCCTAGGCAGTCTTCCCAGTCGGAGCGTCAAGGGGAATGCAGCTAGTTCGGATCGGTCCGAAAGAAGCTTGGCTGGAGAAAAAGAGACAGCACGCGTGTTCGCCTCTTTCTCAGAATCCAGAGGCAGCGGATGTAGCAACAACAGCAATGCGCGTAGAGCTGCCAAGCCCCCCGAGGACGACTCAGATGACATGTGTGGGTTGGAAGACATACACCGCATTCCCAGCACCACGCTTCCGACCCCGCGGTCGCCCCCCAAAGCCTCTCTGGCACCCCTCCTTTCCCCTTCGCGGCTCGTTCAGGCGTTGCGCATGCAAGCGCAAGTGCCGAAGTCCACAGGAGAAGGCAGCCAGGAAGCAGAGCGGCTCACGGGCAGCAGCTGCGCTGCTTTCATGAGCGCTGAAGAGTCTTCGCTCGTGCCCTCAGAGGCTTCCGCGATACAGCAGCCCTCCGCGTGTGCAGGGCTTCATAGCCAGGCTGCGCTTGCAGTGTCTACGACGAACACCATAGCCTGTCAGCCTCCCTCTGCCAAATCCACGAGTTCGCCTGAAGCTGATGACCGCGGGCGGGCGCAGCGGCAGCTCACGGATGCACGAGAATCGGAGGCGGAGTCTCTGAAGACGCAGGACGGGTTTTTTAACTTAGACTCAAAGCAAGACGGCCGGAGGACAAGGCATAGCAGAGCTGCAGCAGAGCAGGCCTGGGAAGCCTTTGTCGGGGAATATGGTCTTCCTCGGAGAAACAAGGTGCACTCACCCACCTCAGCTACGCACTCCCGTCGCCTGCACAGCTGGCGGTCTGCGTACACCCCAAGTAGCAAGGGTGGCGAGTCCTCGCTTTTAGAGCGCAGTTCGGCGGTGCATCAGATACAGGGAAGGCAGCGGGGAATCGAGTGTGAACGGATGACTCTGGGTGGCAGGGAGGCTATGGAGGACGGGGAAGAGGAAGAACACGATGGCCACTTTGGGGTGCTAACGCGGGAGTCGACAGACTGCAGTGTACTGCAGGATGTACTGAACATCGAGCGAGGCCTGCTCGACGAAGAGATCGACGGGGGTGGGCCCCTCTTTAAGGAAAGCGCACAAAAAGGACTGCCGTTTGGAAACGAAAAAAGGGCTGCATTGTTGTCGGATGACCCCGCCCAGCTAGGGGTGTCCACATCTGCTTTCCTTAGAAGGCTTGGAAGCCAGCTGGAAACCCGCATGCAGGCACGGGTCTCATGCAACAGAAAGACAAGTCATTTAAATTGACTACCGGGAAACGAGAACACACGCATTTGAGGAAGGGATGCACGACTCGGAGTTGCGCTGTTTGTGTCTCATAGAGAGAGCGATGCTCCTTGTTGGCAAACGAATGAGATTTCAGAATGGATTTTAAGAGAAAGGCCGCGTTCATTTCACTGTTTCGTAAAATACCTGTGTAGATGGGGCTTGTGTGGGTAGAAATAAGCATTCCTTTTTCTATTGTAAATATGTGTCGCCATTATAAAGTCTAGAGCGCCTCAGAACTAAGTAACGGGTCTGTACATCTTATTTGTTGGACTTCAAGCAATGGAACACAAACGGACTGCGGGAGGTCAACATCAACCGAAGAGTTGGCTCGTTGGCTGCACAGGATGCTGCCGCTCCATACTCGGCCATTACGCTCGGCTTGGCAGCAAATACTTGATGTGCTGATCCTTATATGCTCTCCATAGGGAGGCACTAAACTTCAGACTAGGTACATGCTCAATAGAAAACTACTGCTACCCCTACCAGCGAACTCCAGAGTTCCCGACGTGAGGAGAGAGCGACAGATAGGGTGAACCTAGCTGCAAGCCCTAAGCATCCCAAGCATTCATAGCAAGTTGAACATGCAGTTAGCGTACACGCTTGCGCCATTGCGTTTTGTGTCGAGCTAGCCGTGCTTTTCAATGTATGAGATATGCAGGCAGAAAACATTGGATAAATTCTTTATCAACTATGAGTTAAATATTACTAGTGTAGCGGGAATATTCTTCAATTTGGCTTGGCCCGCCCACTATATCTACGGGCATCTGCCCCCGAACTGCAGGTAGTATTATTCTTTCATCGGTTCCATCGTTCGGAGCATGGCCAGGCCTAATCTTGGAAGCTCCCTTGTGAGAACAAAGAAAAGGTGAGACCCTGCATTTGCTTCAGTCTGTGTCGCAGCACTTAGGCGAGAGAACTTCGGAGTTAACCCGGTGGATAACAGACTGCGATTATTCTGCGAAGAAATATTTGAGTCCCTATTCCCTGGTTTCGGGCTCCCATGAAGCAAGGCGATCACACATCCGAGTGCTAGAATCAAAATGTCGAATTAACGGGTGATGAATCCAAGTAAATCTGCTTTGGGCATGCAGCCAGATGCAAGTTTTGCAAGGGTAGCAGGACCAGTCGGTAGGAGGCTGAGTTGTAACCAGTGGTCACCTGAAGCGGTCTACCGCACATCGTTAACTTGTGCAGATTCCCTTTGGGAGTTTCAACTTAATTGCCTCTAATTTTGAGTGTCTACTCTCCAAAGATATCCTACAACCGACGACTATTTGCATCCTGCTCTCCCTGCCATTGCCGCAGCATGCAGCACCGGTAGGAAGTGGCACCTCCACTTGCGATGGAGAAACGCATCACCCTGCTGTAGCAGCGGTCCACTATTTTAGCTGATTATTCTTTGTGAAACAGTGAATGAAAGGAGGGCTGGCATTTCAATTCACTGACGCCAAAGGCGTAGACGAAGGGGCAGCCTTCGCATCTGGTCGTGACGGTAGCAACACAGTGTATGAGGATAATACTAAAGGATGGTATGCGTGACGGCAGCAGCAGGGGTAGAAAAACCAGCAGCATCAATGAAAGATAGCAACGGTTGCGGCTGTGCCCCGCAGGTGGTTTAAATTCGCAACTCTTCCCACTCTCACACTGAACTTCTGGACACCAAATCAGAAGCCTTGTTTTGTGTTCTTCACCGCTACCTTACTTCTATCACTATTCTTAAGGCATAAAGTGGGCCGGGCGCAGTGATCTAAGCAGCCTCGCGCGTCTTTACCGTTCTATCTCAAGATGCCGACTGGCTTATTCCGTCCAATGGGTCCCGATGCGGACGATGCGGAAGTAGACGATAGCTATGAAAAGGAAATCAACGAGCTTTTACCCTCAATAATTGACTCGCGCAGGCATATGCACTACATCCAGCTTAGCCAAGAAGGATTGGTCGCCACTTTTGTGGGAAAAGGTGATTACACCGATGTTGGGGTGAGGCATAACACGTGTTCGTCTGGTGCCTTTTCTTTATTTTTTCGTTCTCTGTCACAGGCTCTTGCTTCTCCTTTATTCCTTCCCCTGTATGTATACGCATATTTGCATCTTGCTATATCGGCCTGCAGCAGCCGCATCCTTCCAGGTGCCTTTGCCCATCCTGACGAGCTGGTCGTTTGAACCTGAATTCCTGCCTTTTAGTTGCTACGAACGATCTTCAGCACCTTCCCCGCCAGTTTTCATATGACTGACAGTGCGATTGTGCTGCAGGCAGTCCAGTCGGATCATGCCTTCCCTAGAACTTGCCCCATCGCGTATTATGAGATCCGCATTCTGAAAGCTGCAGCCGTCCGACCCCAGATTTGCGTTGGCCTTGCACCGGCCTCTACACTTCTCAATAGGACTCCAGGTCTTGAGCCGAGGTTCGTCTGGTCTTCCCGGTTTATGAGGTTTTTGCGACCAAGCCGACGGTCGAGGGGGAGGATTTGGAGGGAGGGGCCCTTGCTCATTGCCAGCAAGCAAACCAATAAGAAACCCTTCCATTCTTGCATTTTTCTGGATTCGCCGCTGTGTGCTGCATCTTGCGCGGACTCCTCCCCCATGCCCGTGCCCTGCCTCCTAAAGTCTTCTTCTGCGTTTCCCGCAAAAGTTCCTTCTAGGAAACGCTTTTTGTCATCCTACCTCCATTTAAAGCCGTGCGCCCTGTGATTCCCACAGATCGGTCGGTTACCGTGCAGAAGACGGGAGGTGTCACTACCGTAAAGGCCGCACAGGGCCAAGTTCCTCCGACTCTGTCAACTGGGAGCCCTTTGGCCCCGCCTATGGGCAGGGAGATATCGTGGGCTGCGGCATTCTGAATTCTTCGAGAGGTATCTTCTTCACAAAAAATGGAGCCTTTGTTGGCCACGCTTGCAAAGTTTCTGCCCTGTGTGACGTTTTCCCAACCATCAGCATGAAGAATACAGGGGATGCAATCCGTGTAAACTTCACCGGCCCATTCCTCTTCAATCTCAGGCTCCTCTTCCATGTAGGTCGTCCTGTGCGAACTGCTTTCCGCTTGTACTGTCGGAGGGCGTTGGCTGAAGGAATCCATATATAAATACATATCTTCTTTCCTCCACAGTTGGCCTTTTAAAAGCATGACTTGGGCTGGGGATGCAGGTCAGAAAGGACATAGCTCAAGGATCTTGAGGACCTGCGACTTTTTCTCTTAGTTGCGTCCTTGCTTTCTGCCATCTCTGACTGCTGGTGCTGTAGAGAGTTCAACTTGGCACAGGGGATCGAGCATCAGGGCACACTAGTTCACCTTTGCATTGGATTGCTGCTGCAGTCGAGCTTCTCTTCCATTTACTCGCTTATTTTAGCTTTTTCTGCTTGCTAGCGACACTGAACTTAAGGAGATCTCTTTTGATGCTGCCAATCGGCCCTTTACTGCTAAATGCAGCACTGCGTCTGTGCCTGCCTGCCCAGTCCCTTTGTTATTGCCCTACCTCCACCACCGTTCCCGACGTTTCTCGCCCACCTGTTTCCATCCCTGCGCTGTATGTTTGCTCTCGCCGCTATCGCAGCGTCAACTGCTAGAGGAGCGTCAGCTTATCAGGCAAGAGCATCTGCTGCCTTCTGTCCTGCAATCGCTTGTTCGCTCCTATTTGCTCCACAGCGGCTTTTTGAAAACCCTTCGCGCATTCGACAGGGCCACTTCTGAACAGCAAGGCAAGGGTATATATATATATATATCTACGCAGCTAAAGCCACACACTTTTAAACGCTAAGCCCAGCCAAATCTACAGCTCTAACTCGCGCGCGGCTCTCTGTCCCATGAGCGCACATAGCCAGCTGCAAGACGCTCACGCAGATCGGTAACAGTCGGAAAGCCCCCTGGCTGCAACGAGGGCAAGGGGCTACTGGGGCCTACCGTCCGTGCTGCTTTATTAGCTTTTGCAAAGCGCTTCCCTGCAACACCCTGCGGATCCGAGGAGGAGGAAGAATAACATCATACCCATACTTCCCAACTCCCTTCCCTTCTCTAGTTTTCGTTTTTCATAGCTACTTCAAAGAGGTTTTTTTGTTCCCTTTTCGCAGTTCGTAGCCTGCTCTCCTTCTTTGTCGGCTCACTCACAGGCGAAGGAGATATTTGCACGGAGGGAGCGCCACAGGATACTGTAAAAGCGATGAGGGAAACTCCGCAAGCGACGGGGGCTCCAGATGAGGAAATGTACAGCCTGGCCAAGAGTATTAATGCAAGAAGCACCACCAACACCCACAGCAACGCTAACAGCGACAAAAGTCAGAGTCCTGAGAGTGCGACTGCAGATTACCTTTCTCAAGAAGTAAGGCTTTGGAAATATCTCTCCTCCGACGGAAGGAGGCGCGAAGGAAGACAGGCACAGCAGATGGAGAGGGCGATACGGGCGCTTGCTGAGATATCTATTCTGTCCATTACTTATTGGCTAGAAAAAAACGGGGGGAAAAAGCACAGCAGACACCGCTGCTTGCTTCTTATGGGCTGCTCTTGCCTTATCAGTCTGGTTGGCTGCCTGCGTGCAACCTTTTTAGGAAGGAGGCGAAGCGTTCCCCAGAGGCAAAGAAGATCAAGAGGCCGTACTAGACATGTGGCCTGCAGCCGTGTCTAGGAGACTGAGCCGCTCCCTCGTGAGGCGAGCCGGTAAGCTACGAGTATTTTCCCACATTTGTCTCGGGTGCAGATACGTCGAGCAAAACACCTAATGGAGGGACACGACCTGAACGCGAGCGGTCCCATGATGCAGTGGATAGTGCCTAGGAGCGCTTATGCAGTTTATTTTAAGCGATGGGAAACAAATCGAAACACAAGGCGTATATACACGTGTGCGTGCTAGGTGGAGCGGCATAAATGGCAACACATAGCTCTTTTCTTTTTTTCCCAGTTTTCTGTTGTCAGCTTCGTTTGGCCATCTATAGACCTGTTTGGCTCCTCACATATTCGCTTTCACTTTGTTTGCTTTATCGTTTCTTTAGATGTTGTGGCGTTGATCATGGAGGGTCGCATCTCCGAGGCGGTATTGTTCCTTGCAGAACATTTTCCTCTCGTTCTCGAACCCACAACTGTAAGTCTTCTATCCTAAAGCCCTACAGCATATTGCACTTCTGCACATCAAGCCGCACCCTAAATCTAGTCCCAGTCCTGCTGCCCAATTTTCAGCCTTCAGCAGCAAGTACAAGGACAGCAAAAATGGTAGGCGTAAGAACGGCTTTTATGACAACGAGGCATCTTGAACTAGAAAACATCTAAACAAACACTGCAGAAAGGCAGCAGCAAAGTGCGCGAGTCGAAAGGGCCTCTGCTATGTGCTTGTTTCAAATAGCCGAGTGCGCAGTTGGGGCCCATTTTAATGAGCCTTTGTTTTCACTAATCTACTTTCGTATTGCCACTTGTTTGTTTCCCTTTTATTTTGTGCGTGGGACATCTTTTCCCTCATGCTTTGTATCGTGTGCCTCCTATGCCATCTAATTCACCTAATACAGTGGGCAGATGAGAATGAGACTATCGACTCGCCGTGTGCTTGTAAAGCCCTTTTGATTTTTAATACTTTTGCTGCCTCGAAGCGGATGCTTCATGGCTACTCATTCGCTCTTGATTTTCCATGCGTTCAGGATGACGCCTCTTGTTTAGCTCGCGCCCTCCTATACACGCAGGAAGTAGTTGAATGCATTCGCCCTCCAAACGGAGATTTTACGGCTGCCATTCGCTGCATGCAAAGTAGAATAGCGCCTCTCACTTCACAGGTTCCTCCTTTTATTCAAAAGGCCATCAAAGTAAGGCTTTACTCGTGGGCTACGAAGGACAGCTCCCATCACTTGCTAGATAGAAACCAGGGAGAAAGTGAAACATTCACCAGTTCTGCAGATTTTGGTCACATAGCAAAGAAACGTTGAGCCTCACCACTTCTGGTGGTTTTGACTGGCTCCGCTCTGGATACCCGAGAACGAGGGAAAGGAAAAGGTTGTGTAGAAAAGCAGTGGTGTAGAATCATTTTTTCTCTTGTGCAAGCGTCGGGCTTCAGAACTGCAGTGCTTGTGCTTATTGATGAAATGCCCACAGGAATGTTTAGGTATAATGGCATACGAGAATCCGAACAGCGGCCCTCTTTGCCACGTATTTCATCCAAGCAGACGAGCCCTCACCGCCGGCTCCGTAAATAAATGCATCCTCAGTGAGTTTTTATATTATGCTCAGGTGTATTCGGTAAAACTACAGGTGCTTCTTCAAACTTTCCGTACGTTTTCTTCTGTGTTCTGCTTCATACTTCGAATTATTTGGCGCGATACGGGCTTTTGCGTGTATCTCTCTCTGCATATTGTTCGTAACAAGCTCTTCGTACAATGTGGTTCTCTCTGTTCCTTCGTTTTCTCCCTACGTTTATTCTGGCGCAGCCAAACATTTGCACGTAAGCGTTTGGTCTCCGCTGGAAGTCCTCATCCGCCACCTCGTTGCATGCAGGTGTGCCCTAGAGATACACTTTGAATGTTGCTCTCGTATTACAGAGTTACATCTTTTGCTATATATTGTCGTTTATGCTGTCTTTCACTGTTCCCTTTTCGAGGTTTTTCTGCCTCTCTCCCCTCTGTGTTCAGATACGTACTGCGCACGCTCGGCGGATCCAGGGGCCCTATTCCCTCGTCAAGAGAATACGCGCACCCCTTGCCGCTGAGGCAGACGATTGAAGCCTTGGAAGCGGAGCTTCTCTGATCTTGCATATTTTAATTATAAGGCCCCCTTTGTTCGTGCATGCAGTGCGAGCACTGAGCGTCCACTGGCTGATTCTCAGCTCTTTTACATTCGGTTCCCTTCCTATACACAGCCTAGGTGTTTAATCCACTAGAATCGGTATTTTAGGGACTCTATAAAGGCAGGATTTGGGGCTGGACAATCCCATGTGGCACAGGGACACCAGTGCAGCACCACTGGAAGCTCGGAAAAGGCTTCAAATCAAGGTGCTAAGTAATTGGGGGCCAGAAATGCGAACCACAATCAGCATAGTGATATAGATGTATGGCAGCGTCCACGTGTAAAGACTAGTGTGCGTATGTTTGTTCTGCTTTGTTATTATCCGGTTAATCTGGCTCTTGACAACACTACAAATAAAAAGGTGCATGCATAATAGTCTAACACAAGTATTGGTGCATGTGATATTGCATAATTGTACACCGGCAATGTTTCTTCTATATTGTGTTGACACCCATAGGGCACTAGCATTTTTCCTTACAGGTTTGCATTGACGCACCGTGCAGCCAAGTGAGCGGTTGAATCTGTTTAGGACAACGTTTCAAATACCCAGAATAATAATCAGAGGGTGTGAGACGCTATTCAAGCTTTATTGTGTGCATCAGAAGCATGGAGGAGGTCCAATTCTCGAGTCGGTCTAAAGTGTCCCGTATCATGGTGCGATCTGTTGAGCAACCCGAAACAGCGCAAGAAAACGTTGCTCTAAGGAAGAAAACGTTGCTTCAAGCAGGAAATTACAATTATAACAAAAAATCTAAAAATAGAGCCTCTACGATAATAAAAGCAGCATAAAGCTGGAGAGTAGAGGTGATGCGGACGTGCTTCTCTTGATTTCTACTAGTGAGTGTCGGCACACCTCGCAGACGACCCCATTATTCTTCACTTCCGTCGTTTCATGTGGTGCGCATCTTCGTATTGAAACCTTTTTGCTGATTTCACAAAGGTATTTTTACTAATAAACGCAGAGATTTCTTGCCAGGGCCCGCCGGCTCCTGTTTTTTGCTGTAACTTACCCCCAAATCGACCCAGCGTGCAGTGCCAACAATGCTAAAAAGTCTTTCTTTAATCTTTGCTTACGGCATCCATAATGCTTTTTCTTATGAAACTCATCACTTAGATGGGAATTCGCGTATGGAGATTTCCCGGATGCGGCACCACAAGAAAGGGGAAATCGATTGGGGAGACGAATCCCTGGGGATGCCGGTGTCAGAAAATCCATTGCTGATCCCAAGGGGAATTCAAGAACACCATAGCGAGCGGTGGTCGCTTGCCCGCCCAGAAATACTTCTGGTTCTCATCTTGCTTGCCCTGGTAGCAACAGTTTTCCGCGCAGGACGTAAACACGAACTCAAGGTGCGCGCAAAGCAACATGATGTTATCCCTTCTCATGCACACAGCAGTGTACATGAAGGTGCATAAACTCATACATGAGGTGGCTGATCACAAATGTGCTCTTGTAGCTCAGCGTTGTGCACAGTCTACTTTGACCACAGGAAATCCTGCAATATATGCGACTGGGTATTGCCTTTTCAAAAGATGATCATGTGGTTTGACTGGAGTGCCTCAGGGAGTAAAACGTCTGGTAGAGGTACGCGGCTGGTGCAGTTCGAGCATCTAGAACTCCTGCCCACATTGCAGACAACGCGAAATTCCGTTATTTGAACCGTGGGAGATGCGCATCAACTACACTTTCTTCCCCTGCCGCCTATTTCTTATATGACTTCCTCCATTGTCACGTTGTTCTCGGCGTTATTTTTGCAAACAGAGAGAAGTGCGTGATAATTCCGAGGCTAGCTACTGCTCTAAATGCAGTGCACAATAATTTAACGTGGTGGGGCCTAAAAGGGGTCTGGGGTGGATCACCACTTAAAAGCCCCCATTGTGTTTCCAGAGTGTTGACGACTTCCAGGTATGCCATAGTGATGCTATTACAAAATCCATCATCTGGGTCATATTCGTAACTGCCGAGGATCTTGGAAAAATCCTGCTCCAAGAAAGTATGTCTATTTGACTTTTCCCCTTTAGTGCTCTCTGAACTCAGAAAGAGCTTTGTGCGGTATATATCCGTCTAGTGCGAATCTGATGAGCATCATTTCTACCATGAAGCATTATGGCCGTTTTATTTGTTGATGGCTACTGCGCCACTGTAAACATCGTGAATAGTAGTACAGTTTACACGCGAAATAATGTGTAATTACTTGGTGAGAATGAGAGTATGTTACATTGCCAACGAGGATACCACAGTCTGTTGCTCCTATGGCTATATCATGGCAGTCCTAACAAGTGTTAATTGGCGATAGATATTTCATCAATTCGTTTTATTCAAAATGCAGTGTGTGAGCAGTGATATAGCTGCATATTCGGCATCTAAGCAGCAACTAGCTAGTTACTGGAGTTTATCAAGGCTGCTACATCTACGTACTTCTTATTGTTTCCTTCTATCGCCGAATATTATATTCTATATATATGGCAATGCAGTTTGTGAGAAATTTGCTTTTTTACAGCATGAAGAAGCATAGCAGTACCTTCAGTACAAACAAACCGCCCAAGAACCCCCGCAATTACTCTTGTGCAAACTCCTATTGCAGTCTCTCTAGAACGACCTGTGGGGTGGCGCATGCTTGCGAGGGTCTTAATCAGCTGTCCTGCAGGGAGTGAGTAGTGAAGATTTATTTGCTGTAGATTATAAAGAAGCAGCGCATTATGTGTGGCGGCAGGGATAACCGACAGGTAGTAATGTCTGAAAAGTAACAGGATGAGAGGAGCCTTGAGCTGCCACCTGCCTGTCAGTCTACCTCATAACGCCTGCCAGCCTTAATAAGCAGCACGGGGGGAAGAGGCTGCTGGTACTGAATGTGGGACATTTGTTCTCCTTTTGCATTTTCACCTAGTAAGCAATGGATATAGCAAAGCGTTATGATGCGATGTAAGGTGGAAACAGCTCATTACAGTCCGTCACGCGGCGCATGGGAGTATTCAGCACTGCTCCTCGAAAACAAATGCATTTCGTCGGAGACAGATTGTAAGAACAAGAAAATTACATCCGTTGGTCTTAAACCCGCGTCAGCCAAAACGGAGCGTTCACAGGAGTATAGGGGCAGAGTTAGAAGGGAGGCAGCACAGCAAATCGAAAAAATTACGTACGAATGCATGATATCAGGAAGTCAGAGAATGGGTGAGCGAACAAAAACAAACACAAGAGAGAACCAGTTGCTCTTTAGGATTTACCCTTTTCTAGAAGTAAGCCAGACCCTGTGGCCGAGTTAGGTAGTACGTGAAACTTTACTATCATTTGGTTTTTTTCAAGCTGCCTATAATGCCTTTGTTTGATCAATTTGGTCGCCGGGATGTTTCGCAGCTGCGACGTCTCCTGTGTATCGTGATTAGACACGTTTTAAAAATTCAGTTTCGTCATCTCTTCGTCATCAAGTAGGAGGTGCGTCTGTAGACCTGAGGGCTGTTCTGACGCAGAACACCCTCCCTGTAAAGAAGTGTACATGGACTCGGAGTCATAGCCCCGTATTGATAGCAACAGAGGAGAGGACATTTGCCGGTTTGATGTAAAAGCTGATGAGAAGCAGGATGGTAACTAGTCATCCCCACTGACTATTACTGCTTCCCCGCAATGCAGCTCTCTCTGTGTTGACACAGTCAAGCAGACAAAACAGGAGCAGGCGCAATAGACGAGAGCATGGGCAGCACATGACATAGGCAATCGCTTACATAGCGAGTACGCCAACAGCCTAGTTTGATGCACACAGTGGCTGCTTGATGCGTGAACCAGTTAGGCACCATGTTGGAAGGATAGACAAAAGTAGTCAATAGACACTCAGGGAAAGGGCAGTCCTGAGAATTTTAATTCGGAAGAGCGACACCGCGTCTTCTGATCTAAAGCATGTGAGCCATGGAGGTTTGGGAGTACAAGGGTTAGCGGCACTTTGCACCTACGGCAGATGAACCACGGAGTGGAGAGGTGCGGACAGCGCTTGCGGATCCGGGCAAAACCTCAAAAGGCAGCAAGGTTGTTGAGACGAGCTGATTCTTATAGCTCAATCATCGTGGCATCTTACAGGCTGTAAGAACAAGTAACAAACTAAGCAGTACACATGCGTATGTCCTGCATCTAACCAACCAGTTCCAGTCATTTAGC